CCTTTTTTTTTTTTATCCCTCTCTAATATGCCGCAGAGGATGATGATCGACCCCATTCTCCAACATCGGGAATAGAACCATATTGGTCGCCTTGACTTGATTTTCGGGGTTGAGTATGGATTCAATCATTTATTTTTATCCTTCGCCTCATTTATGAGGTGGTATTCGTTTGAACATCCCTGTAGATTGTCGCATTTTGCTTCTACGGATTCCATACGGACTGGTACTAGTTATCTCCACCTGGGTCTAGTTGCAGACGGCGTCTATCGCTAGCGGGGGTCGTACAGGAACATGGCGTCGCCCATCGTTGGCGTAGATAAATCCATGGCTCTTGATCGGAACAACACAGTGCATAGATAACCTTGGCATAAATTCAAATCATCCTGTAAGTACAAGCCGATCGACCCATTTCGACCAAAAGCAAAAGTAAAACAGCGGGTCAAAGGGGAGAGGCATGATTGCAAATCTTGAGGTAAGGGCAAAGCAAAAAAGACGAGAACATGCGGATCGACAAGGAATCGATACATCGGACTTTACATCCCCCTTCAATATCTTCCCAGCTCAGCCCATCACATCCCGGCATGGATGTTGGTTTTTGCTGATTGGTGGAAGACCACGGTATTTATTGTTTTGATCGATTATTGTCTGATTTGATTAGCCCGCCACGTTCCACCCTAGTCGACGCCGTGGCCGTTGAAAATGCTAAGATCGGAATGTAACATGCAGGACATGACTCGTAGTGACAAGGATACAAGATGGGCCGGGCGCAGTTCACACAAATTTTTTTCCGGTCAGATCTACGCAGTAGCTCGTTCTCTTCCAAGATTTTATCCCTGCTTCATCTTTTGACAGCACATTGACGCCATTTCACCATGTAGTATTCCGTATGGAGAACCATGGGTAACTTGTCGGGAATATCAACCGCCTCGGACCCTCTCCCAACACAGCAACCAGTCTAACATCGCTTGGAATGCTTTCGTAATCCAGTTTTTGGAATTCCATTTGTGTTTACTTGGTTCGCTCTTCTAATCCACTCGGAGTTGCCGGGCGGGTATCCCCTACACGTGATTTTTACTCACTGCGGCTACGCGACTAACGCCATTTAAGAGTCCGATGATTGGACCTAGTGGGGATCTTGTTCTGGAGACAAAGAAACCGGGCGGGGGTCGCAGGACAGGTTAGCATCCCCCGGGGCCATGTTGATCTTGATCTGCACGGAACCGGGAGCTCTAGCCCGCTCATCAAGGCGTTACGGGGCCTGCAGGATGAGGGATAAAAAAGGGGTGTGTCGTCTGTATTGCCAACTAAAGAGAGGAAATGCGCTCTCCTCCTTCGCAGGAGACAGGGAATAGACAGGGATCTTTGGCGGTTAGGTTGCAAGATTCAAAATGAAAAATGGGGCAGCATTGCCACTATTGAATTGGGAGGCTTGCGCGGGCTTCAGGATTGTCGTGCTTTGTCTCCATACGGAGTACGTGGTAGCTTTGTTGAGATTGCGCAGTTACATGTGTATCTGCTTGTAGGGTCTCCATTTACCTACAAGGGGGTAGTTAGTATGTATCCATTATTTTGCTCGTCTTGACCACCAGTTTGTTACGTATGGTCAATCCACCCCGGGGCCAAAACCAGCCCCCCTCGACTAGGTATCCGCCTCAGATAGCACTGTAATTTATTATTCTAACTATTATTCTTCCGCGAGGGTTGTTTCGTATTCGGGTAATTTTGGGGTTGTTTTTCAAGCCTGACGATTTTTAAAATCCGAAGAAATTCTTAGTAGTTAGCCGTTGCAGATGATGATCTACTACCCTTGATCAAGCCTTAATGAAGACCGAAGAATACCCTTCTCTGTCGAATGAAAAGAAAAAGAGAGAGAAAAAACCATTCGCATGCAACTCGGGTATTAACACTGAACAAAGAAGGACCTGACATCACTCATGCGGCAGATTCCATGCTGGAACATCTCGAGGTTCTTTTGCTCAGATGATTCGAGGGGTAAAGTGGAGCTTCTGCTGGAGTTACTGGAGTCTCGACTCTCCATCTTTCAAGGGTATGAGTGGGGAGTAGAGTTGGAGTGGTGCAACTCGGCTGGATCGCCTGCACATCCACACGAGCCGAGCGGGATACCTCGCACTTAGCTGTAATTATAAGTGGGAATTCCCTGGACTGTGCCCCCGGGTGCTGCCGATGGCAGATGGGGGCCATCGCCAATACGCATCACGCCCTTTTTCTCTCTCTCGTTTCCTCCCCACGCGCAAATTATATTGCTGGAGTGGTCTCAATACCTTCAACCATGGTTCGCTTGGTCTCGGGGATTTGAAATATTCAGGGCTGGTTCAAGTTGATCCATTGCAACTCTGTATACTTGATTCATGCTAATCACACTAGGTTGGACGGGGATTGGAAATACGTTCTGCCTGGAATATTGCCTCCCCCTCAACTTGTCCAGGGTTTGTTTCGATTAATGATGATCAGTCTGAATGAGAGATACTCCGAACCTTGGAAAATAAAAATAAAAAATAAATCAGTATCAGTATCAGTATCAGACCCGCTACAAAAAAGACGCAGTGGTAAATTACAGTTCCAAAACGGTCGCGAAAGATGCAAATGCGTTGGCAGACGCAACATCCCCACCCTCTGCATCTGAGGCCTAAATTGAGCCCGCATTAGCCCGCATTAGCTCCTTCTGTTCATTCGCCAGAGCCACCCGGTGCCACGGCGAGCGTCGCAACAGGTGACTCTTGGTGGTCCAATAGACGCGGTGCGTTTCTGTTGGGTTTTTCTCTTGACTTCTTTAGTTTCCATCCCACTCTAGTATCAACGTGCGAGTCATGTCGCGCAACTAAAAAAAATAACTCGTTATAAAAATCATCAAACAGGCAATGGTAGAAAAGTAAAAAAAGAGGGTCTTTCAACGTCCCTAGGTCAGAGCGTCTTATCCACCATACTTGCCCTCTAACAGTATGTAGCCAGCTAATGCTGCTCACATGAAGGATAAAAAAATGATTAAAAGTGGGTTAGGCATTGAAACATCACATCACATCACCGAAATAGAACACGCGAGCATATTGATGGTGATCGAGTATTGATTCTGCATGAGAATGACATTTTTTCCTGTTCAGAGCAATGTTGCTTGCTGTTTAGGATTGGCTTGCATGGCTCCCTGCCCAATCTGTTCCCTGCATTATGTTCAGTGTTTGGCGGTTGGCCTATCATTTCTGGTTCTGCGCAGGGCGTATTGACGCTCGCACTTCGTTCCCTTTTTGACGCACACCATACCCCCCAGCGTCTGAGCATTGGCACGGGTAATTTATCCTGCAATGATCTACTTGAATGATATCTCAACGGTTTAGTCGAAGGTATCAAATCGAGCTATTTGTGTAAATGTACAATACATTATAGATGTATCGCTTGTCTCTCTAAATCGTTGCCGCTGCAATACGGAACACATCTCGTATACTAGTTACACTAACTACACGCAGGCGCGTCTCCACAATTTGTCATTTCTTTCAGGTCCGTAGCTTGGCGATGCGTAGCAGAGACTAATGCTAGACGTGTACTCTGTACTCATTTTCCCTCTGTTTTTTATTTTATTTTATATTTTTTTTGGCGGTTTGCATTGTGGATTCCCCCCGCGTACTGTGCATTCTCCATTTACGTATCCTGGTTGAAACAAAAGTTACAAAAAATAAACGGCGCATGTTGCAATTTATTTTATTTTATTATTTTTTATGTGAAAAGAGACAGGATGAGAATAAGAGATTGTCTTGCCAGTCGAAATAGTATCATCAAGAAATAGGATAAGAAATAAAAATCTCCAAAACTAAATCCGCCAACGAAGAAAAGTGCCGCGTCTCGAGACAAAGAAACATCCTATATCCAAAAACTTTAGTCTACAGTATCAGGGTGTTAATTCAAATCAAGTGGATTGGAATGGAAATCAAATGGATAATAATAAAAAAAGTGGCCGATCATCCAAGAACCAAAATTACCCGATCCATAGAAAACAAAAAAAGCTCCTTTTCTTAAGGCGGAGAACCCGAGTGTGGCCGTAGATCGCCACCAGTTGGGAATTTGAGATATCAATTTCGACAGTGGCGACATGAAATCCGACAAGACAGACTACTGTAGGAATGCGCAGAACCTAGTAAGTCTCGCGGAGTTAAACAGCGGAGTCGGAGGCACCCTGTCTGGTTCACCGGTTCAAGTACCCTCTTTGGTCTTCTGGGGGTGGAACCGATGGTCGAGTCGTCCCCCTGTTAGCCCCAAGAGGAGCCTTGTCGTGTATCCGCGGTACAACTATACAGGGGGCCAAAGGAGCGACGACCAGCCCGACCCGCGTATTTGGTACCCTGCACCCAACAGCGCAATTAGCCTGGGACTTTTATTTTTCGGATTTTGATTTTGATTTTGATTTGTTTTATATTTATAAATTCGTAAATTCATTATTATTATAATTATTATAATTATTATTTTTTGTGGATTTTCTATTTTCTATTTTCTATCTATTTTTTTCTTTTAAGCCCGTGTGCTCCAGGTGATCTGCCACGACTAGAATTCTTTCGATCTATAAACCTTGACTTTCTTCTGGTCCTGAAGGTTTTTATTTTATTTTATTTTAGTTAGGATTTGAGATCTTATACTTCAATCCTCCACTTGCTCGAATTTTTTTCACTCTAACCAACTCTTTTCTTCTCACCCTTCTTACTTCGACCGACCTCCCTCGCCTTACTTAAGAGCTTATCCATTGGGGAAAGAAATAACGCCTAACATCTTTGATATTGAATTCTTGAATTGTCCTGATATACCTTTCTGGTGGTACGATTCAAGAGTAACAACTACCTCGGACATTTTGTGGATTACCCTTTGCGACAATCAAACAAGATCTATAAGAAACACAACCTACACCTATTGTCGCAAAGTGTTGATTGTACAAAATCCAAACAATCTACAAGGGCGCACTCAGCGAGATCAACTCAGAGCAACCAAAAAGAAAAGCAAAAATGGCCCAAACAGAGAGCTACGCGCATCCGCCAGCAAAAAGGCAAAGCCAGATGAAGATCGATGCATTGCTCAACCCCTCAAGTGATGAGATGGAGTACACCTCCACAGACTCCCCATACTCACAGCACGCGACATTACCACCTTCGTTACACAGCTCCGGCTACACACCTTCACCAGGCTACCCCCCAAGCCCGAACCAGTACTGGTACGGTAGATACCACGGCTACCACGACACAAGCCCTGGTGCCGCGTCAACAGCTACAACACACGTCAGCAGCAATTCAAGCAGCAGCATGAACCCGCAACAGCACCACATGTTCCTGTCGTACAGACCTGGCCCTGGCTCAGCGCACTCTTCACCAGACCCGTACCACCCACGCGAGCGCTACGACTCCGTCTCCAGTAGCTCCAGCAACAACGGTACTGATCGTCGTCGGCCTCCTCGCCCAAAGTACGAAGAAGAGGAGATGTACTTCATCTGGTACCACCGTGTTGATCTCTGTCAGGAGTGGAAGGAGGTGCGCGAGAGCTTTAATCGCCAGTTTCCTTCTAGGCAGCGTCGTGGGTTCCAGGGTATTCAGTGCAAGTTCTATCGCTTTATTAAGGAGAAGAGCTGTCCTACGCTACGGGAGCAGAGGAGGATGCGCGATGGGGAGTTTCTGCGTGATGGTGCTGCTTTGGGTGGTGAGGGTGGTGCGCCTCGCTTTGGAGTCATGGAGTGGTCCAATGTTTGGTATCCTTGGATGAGGGAGGATCGGGAGACTGTGCTGCGCCAACAGCAGGAGCATCAGCAGCGGATGGCTGCTGGTGGTGTGTGATCTGGGAGGGGTTCATTTCGTTTTGATTCTATTTAAATACGGTGGTCTTTTTCTTTTTTAGCTTTCTTATCATGATTTGGAGAGGTCTTTGTCTTTACGTTTCAACATATACCTCATTGGCGCTGTTTTTTTACTTGGCATTGGAGGCTTTTTGTCATTTTGTTATGGATCTAACTTCGTTATTGGATCTTCTTGGGAGGCTATACTGTCTTTCGCTATTATCTATGATCCACTAGGGTCTCACGGCATGATTGCCCTTCTACCTCATGTCTTTTTATTACAACTATCATTGGAACCACTTAAAATCCAAAACTATGAATATTCAATACAAAAGTGCTCGTCATCTTGACCCAAATCTTCGTTAAGCCTTGTAAGAAAAAGCCCCTATTCTTAGCAAAGGCCAAAATTCCCGACTTGCTCGAGTCAACTCCATTATACTAACTACTTACGCCATGCGTAGGAGTAGCCTTGTCAATCATAAACTTAATCAATGCACAAATTCCCCAATAGGTCACGGACACTAATCGCTCACACTTTGGTGCAAGTACAGCCAGCCTTACGTCAAGGTTAGCAAGAAAAAGCGCAAATCACTACATGTATGTATCCAGTACGGAGTAAGTGGACCGGGTTCGGCAGCCCTGCACAGCGCAAATTCCCACCCCATGATGCAATATAGAACATCATGATCATGTTCTATTCTATTAACAGATTATCTGTGGATAAAGACCCTATCCATAAAGGCATCTATGCCGACAGACAAGACAAAAAATGGAGTCACTAAGGAACCGAAGTCTAGCTCGGTGTTGATCACGATGATCGCCCCTGACCTACTGTACTCACTCCACGCAAAATGCAGATCCCGCCCACGAAACCGAGAGCCGATCAATCCACCGATGCAATAACCCATAGTGTATTGTCTTATTCGTTCATACGTACGTGATCAACGCATTTATTTATTCCTTCTGTTCGGGCAAAAACGTCTCGTCAAATGACAGGTCGCGGCATTACTCGGGGGTCCGAGATAAATGGATCCAAGGCTGTGCTAATGCTATCCAGGAACTAAAGTCTATTTTAGATTGTTCTGTGAAGGATTCATTAAATGTCGGGGGTGTCGGGGTGCGTTGGCCCCCAATTGTGATTTTCATGGAGCCTAATCCTGCGAATCGTCGAAGTACTTACTTTGTGTGGAATAAGGTGGCTTTTTCAATTAGCTTCTACTCGGATAGAACTCCTATGTATCCTCTTGGCCTCAGGCTTGGCTGCCCGCTGCCCCCGGGGCCGAAGACCCGACGACGGAGCTAGCTGGGGCTAGCATCACGATTTTGGTGGAGATGAGAAGATGAAAATTTCAAGAGCGAACTCGGATCATCATGATGGTAAATTAGGATGGAGTGCTGGAAATTGCTAATTTGACTCATTGACACTAGAGCTACTTCGTATATTCGAGCTCGATTTCTTCATTACCTAGTTCGGCGATGACTACATATGCACGGAGTGAAGGAATCGGTACTGAAACCTACTAGAGTCATCTGAACAATTAATAGTTTGAAAACCCGGTATTCGAGCATATGAAAAAGTAGAGCTGGTGCGTGAGGAAATGAATCGGAAACATTTAGGATGGAGCTAGTTCATTACGTAGTGCGAGAGAACCCCCTGAAGAAACGGTGTGGTAAGAAACTGAAGGAAGATGACTTCTTCCCCGTAGATCACGGCACAAAACTTGGAAAAGGATTTCGGCTAAAACCTTCTAGTCATTCTATTGTCGTTCTTGCCACGAGGCATATAGAGTTTCATGCAACGGGACGTCTGATGGACATGACACTCGTGTCTGGGGAATGTCATGGTTACGTTCACGGCTTAACATACACAGTTGTATACATTATGGTCGGCCTAAAGAATCTAAAATAAAAATAAAATAAAATAAAATAAAACAAAAAACGCTGTTTTTTTTATTTAGTCTCTCCCGCCTTATGTACATACTAGATAACCAAACTAAAATTAAAATCACACGCTACATACCTACCTACACGTGTACAGTCCCACCCATGCATTGTGTACAGTGTACGCGACAAGGCCCCTTCACCAAGCACCAACACCAGGATTCTCGGTACCGCATGATCAAGCCCCATCAATGCTACCAAAGTCCACATATGGCCCCAACTTGAATGCGACAGTATTCCACCACAACAGCAAAGACCCCATGATCGCCTCGGGGGTTGCGGCTCAGGATCACCGCGAGTCAAGATGCCGACAGAGCTAAACAACCATGGAAGCTAAATGCGAGACTAGGAGTAAACAGGAATAGCGGCGGCGAGCGAAGGAATCCCATTCCTTCTCCATGCTTCTTGCCAAGGATCGTCGCAACTGCGAGCGAGTCAGTCGGGTACTCCATAGAGATGTACAGATGTAGGATGGAGGTGGAGTTGGGGGCCGTTTTTGCCCTGTTTATCACTTTAGGGCGTTGCTCGTGCGGTGGGGAATTGATTACGAATCTACTTTTTGGGATGATTGATGGGTCTGTAGTTTCTAAAGGATTTGAGCGTTGGTGTTGCGTGGGATTTCTTTTCAACGGTAATTTTGGTCTTATTTTTCAGATTTTTATTTAGTGTTTTTTATTACTAATTTTATTTTTATTTTTCGTTTTCGGTGCGGAATTTGGACTTGGAGTTTTCTCGGGGCTTTTGGAGGCGCCGAGGGATTCGACTGATTTTGCTGTTTTGGGTTATTGTTAGGTTGCATATGATTGGATGAAGTTCGTCTGCCCCGCTGCAGGTATCAATTGATGTATAGTATGTACAGTATTACTGTACTCCGTATGTGGTATCTTTATCTCTAGATTGATCGCTTGTTTCTTGTGTTGGCCCCCAATATCTAATCTTGGATTGTGGAATATGCGCCGAATACGAGATACGGCCCAGACTATATGTGAATCTAGAATCCAGAATCCAAAATAGCTTGTGACTACCTACATACTCATGTCTGGAACATTATGGGTTGGAAAATACAATCTATTTGTAGGTATTCGTTGCTACAATCCCGAATTGCGTATAGAAGTACTTAGTACATGGTACATGGCACAGATACAAATACAAATACAGATACGAGCGTCAACTCTGGAACTAGAGCTCGCAGTGGCTGAATGTGGATTGTGGAACATATATCCACATGGTCCAAGCGTGGTGGACAATACCCATTCAATCTCGCAAGCCCGGAGTCCAACAAAAGTACCAATTGGGTATTTACTGGGCTGAACACCGACCACGATTGTCTTAGACCAAGCCAATTTCCCACAAATCCTCACGTTGTCAGTGGTCATCAGCACTAGTCTCAAATGTAGAAAGAGGGGCCGCGATCTATCCGCTGATTCGTGCGGAGTACTGCCTGTGTTCCCGTCGTCCATCGCCTCGGGTAAACTAGTCACGATCGCGATGAACTCCTCATGCTCGTCCTGGGCTGGACCCGGGTATTTGACGTTCATTGCATGGCGTGACTGTACTCGTAGAGATATAGTATATTGTATTTTCTTCGGGATTTGCCGTCTTTGGACCGTGTATTGTCTCGTTCGGGAGCCTTGTGCGAACGACTGATTGGGATGGTGCATGAGGAAGTACTTCGTGTACGGAGTTTTGATCTTGCTATTTCCAGTTGGCATCTTTACGTTTGTGGCGTTTGGATCACTTTGATGCTTTTAGCAGAGTACGGGGGATCTAATGGAAGTACTTCGAGTAACTTGATTAACATGTTAAGGTTGGATGTGGTTTTCCGAATGCTCAAATGGCCTGTGCTCAGAGCTGGGTTGGCATTCTTGAGACTGCATCCGATTGATCCCTTAGCTAGTTCTTGACTACACCTCCTAAGCTACCCTTTGTAGTTGGTCGAAAAGAAAGAAAGAAAAATCACCCCCGAAAAATGATTGCGACTTCGTCTCAGACTAGCAAATCCCCTCCCCCTTTCATCTTCTTCCACTGGCCACGTCACTAGTGTTCTTCGAGGACTCGAGTTCCTTCGTGAGGATATTCTTCATATTGATGAGTTCCGGTGGTCGGTCTTCACTCCAGAGATCTGACAGTGTTTTGAAGCCACTAGGTGGTGTTCACAAGAGCCTCTCCCATGCCAGAGCCCGGAAAGGTGTTGGCGTGGAATGAAGAAGCAACAGCACAACTACTCGTAGATAAAAATGAGCATTGAACGAAGTCTTATCGAAAAAATCAAAACGATATAAACTCACGGGTCGGGTAAGAATTCAGGGTTGGAAGACTCCCAGGCCCGGTCGTCACTGAAAAAGCGATGCAGTTCGTCGCCTTGAGTCAAGCTGGTGAGAAAGAAATAGGCACGACCATTCTATAATGGATCCAGTCAAAAGAATCAGCATGTTTAGATCATGGTAAAAAGAAAAGGAAAGAGATTCAAGAAGGCCTGCCTTGTGAGAATCAACCGAGTATGTGAAGTGATCAAGATCATAGTTCGTGAAGAGTTCGTGCATATCTGCGAACTTTGTCTGGTCAGGTACTTCAATGCTCACAACACGAGATTTTCCCTCGTCGACCATCGTCTTCACGGCCTCTTTGAGCTCGGAAGTTTCACCAAGTTCCACGGTTATGACCTGGTCGCAAATGAGGATTCCATCCTTGTAGATGTCGGCATACATCTGGCAGGTATCTTCGTCAATGAAATCGACGCTCATCTCATGCTCTCCTGATTTGGTCATGGTATCAATAGAACCCCCATAAACAAGGCACATGACGTCGTTGAATTCGACCCAGTCGGGGAGATTTTTGAAAATGACGCGACGACGCGAGAGAGTGGGCTTGCCAGTCTGCGCCATTTTGGCGAGTTGCATTTCACGAAATTGCTTCATGAAAACCTCTGGTGGTTGCACGCCACGGCTGAAGTGAGCACTTGAGGTAAAGGTTTTAGCTTCGGGGTTTGTTCCAGTGCTTCCTGGAGAGAAGGAACGTGGCTTGTCAGTATTCGTAGAGGCATGACTACTAATAGAGGCGTAGGCCTGGGAGTCAAACAAACCCGCTCTGTCGTGCTGTTCAAAATGAATGTTGTCAGCTTTCCATTGATATAATGAAGGAAGCATATGATTTCTCATAGCTTTGATAAATGACTTCACAAAACTATGGGCTGTGGTCTCTCTCCCATCTTCCAGGAAGATTATACGAACATTTTTATCAGTTTCTTCCTGGTTCCCAGTCATCTCCGAAGAATCCATGTTGTTGCTTGAACGTCCTTGAGTAGACACCTCACGTTTGATGCTGTATGGCGCGTGGGTACTTTCTGCCAAGGAGAATTTGTCGTTGGCCATGTTGTTCTTCTGTTCACGGGCAGCTCCGTTTGATTCGGGTGCCTTTGTCGGTTTGTAGTGATTGCCAGGTCGAGAAACGTGAGGGGGGTTTCCGACTCGAGAAACTTCAGAATTCGACTCTTCGGGTTCAGGAGAAGGAAGATCGTCAAGAGCAATGACGCTTGTCATCATAGTACGATCATTTTGGCGGGATTGTTTGCTGCCTTCGTTTCTTTCATTGCCATCGAGGGCTTGATTGCCCATCACGCCCTGCTGATGTTTTCTCGGTCAGTATTCTCGCGTCAAATAGCCACCATCTGAGCGCTGATATGGCCTGGATATACTGACAGTCTGAACATTTGCTCGTCTCTTTATTATAGTCTCAATGCACGCCGCAAAAATCTTATGATGTCGGCGAACCTCCTCGACGCGCGCTTTCGAGATGGGCATTAGACCTGTCACGGGGCCAAGGATTTGCGCCATGGTGAAGAACTGGGGCCTAAGCGAAGGTAGACACAAAAGAAATGTGAATTTATCAATGGGGGTGGTGTGTTGTGGAAGGGTGAGGGGGGTTGGAGAGGAAGTAAAAGAAGAGAAGAAAAGAAAGTAAACAGACCGCGACTCGCTGCATTGGGTCGCTGCCTGGCAAGATGAAAAACCATCACAGCAACAACAACACGGTTGAATGAGTCTGGCTTAATTAAGCAATATTATTTGAATACCAATACTGCCTACATGTTGACTTTGGATGTTGTTATTGCCGGAATATGATGCTTTGCTATGAAGTACTGAGGTCTTTTTACTTGGAGGGTTGACTGCTGCTTCTCGATATGGGCGTTCTCATTGGAATTGACTCAACATTGGCATTCTCATGCTATACTGGTACTAGTATATAGATATTTAGTTTCAAATAGCTGATACTATAGTTTCTGGGCGCTATGCGCGAAAGTACCCCGCTGACTCAAATTATTCGCAATAATCTTCAGGAGGTCAATAAATCGATCTGCGGACATTATTCTAGCTCTTATGGTAGATTGAGTAAATAGGCTGACATTCAAAGGAGATTATGTTATATCCATGCTCATACTGATCAACATGTCGGGATGCTTCTCGGTGTTATCTACAGTGATTCAAGTTACCCCTCAGCGGGGATATCATGGCAATTCCAAGCCGTTGATATAAGCCCGCCATCTTCCCAGCTATATAGAGATCTATACGCTTTGTAGGTTTATTTTAATTCCCACGTTGACTTGCCTCTTCCGAGCTACATACTTATTGTTGTTCAAAAAAGTCTAGAACATGGTTACTTAAGGTTCCCCGCATGGCGATCCAACCCCGCAGTGTCATGTCGTCACCTCGATAGCGAATTTCCCTTCAACATTCACCGAACAACTACCCCGATAATCTCAAGCCGACGCTTAAATAACCATGTCAGAATTCACCATCGTCAATTCAAATGATCCAATTCCAGGCGAGGGCTCTCTACCCCAAGAATTCGTACTGAAAGCACACCCCGCCACAGACGTCTGGGCCAAGCCCCCAAACACATTCTCCTTCAATGCGCCAATCATCTACCAAATCGTTCCGCTGCAGTCCTTCAAGCGAGCCCGTGTCGCGTTCAATGCCCAATGGACACAGCAATATGACCAGGGCGGACTAATCATCGTCCTGAACAACGCCGACGGATCTCAGAAGTGGGTGAAGACAGGTATCGAAATGACTCATGGCAAGCCGCATCTTAGCACTGTTGCGAAGGATCACTGGGCTGATTGGAGCTTGCTTTCTGTGCCGTCGGGTGGTCAGGCTGCGACGGTGGAGTTGGTTCGCGAGCCAGATGGCAGTTTGTGGGTGTATTTGGTTGAGGGGGTGCAAAAGTCGCCTATTCGGGAGGTTACTTGGATCTTTTCGGAGGAGAACGTGCAGGAAACTTGGGTTGGTGTTTATGCCGCGCGGCCATCGAAGGAGGGTGGGGAGTTGGAAGTTAACTTTGGACATCTGGTTATTGACCTGGAGTAAGATGATAATGTATAGAGCCATTTGAGAGACGTAATTAACTATGATAACTATATTCTTTTGTATAGGCGGTGGTTAAATAGTTTGAGGTATGCACGGAGGACTCCTATAGCCTTTGGTACTTTTGTGTATGAAAATGCAATCAATTTCTTTTCCACTGGCAAGATCCAGTCGGAGGCCAAGATAACATGGCTCCTAAGAATTTACTATTTAGCGCTCAAGTTGCCCAACATACCAAGGGCGTCCTCTGCACTCAAGCGACTAGACGGTAGAAAACGCATCAATCCTTCCATCATAGGAAGCAGAGGTTCAATTATTGGATCAGGCTCCAACTCAGCAAACTTTCGCTGGACCTTCGAAATTTCGTCGTCTATGAGAGTAATCAGCAACATACTCATTTTTGTATGGCCCAGACTGCTTACCTTCTATGATCGGATCATGACCAGATTTCAACTTGAAACCCATCAACATCAATCTCCACTTGGACTCCCACTCAGCCGGCAACTTTTCCACAAGATTAATCAATTGGCAAACCAGAAACACGTCTTCTCCAAGATACCAGAATGGCCATATCGTAAACAGGAAAGCATAAATCTAAAATTCACGGCATCATCAGTATCCTCTTTACCCGTCTGGAAGCTATATTGACATACCATGTAGCCTATACGACAAAGGTCTACTCGGTCATCAAATGTGTCTGTGAAAATCGTCTCTGGTACACTCAATAGGCCCGGCTGAGCCAACTTTTCGGGTTCCTGTCCATGGAAGAAAATCTCTTCAAAATCAAAGATCCTTATATCTTCTTCATCATCTTCTATCCACTCAGTCCACTCTGCCGCTTTGACCAACTCCTTGGGTAATTCATCTCCCAAAGGTGTGCCATCAAGTCGGGCAAGCGGTTCAACTTCTGGGCATCCGATAACACTAAATAGCTCATCCTCCGTTTTATGCCATAAATTTGAGCAAGTAAATGCAATGTTCCGGCAACTGATGTCTAACAATAGAGTTGATATAATTTAAATAAGGCGCGAATAATCGTATATGCAGGGGAAATGCCGTCACCTCCGTGGCAAACGCCAACACTATGGATAGACTTGACAGCTTGCAAAAGCTGTGTAGACATACGAAATACAACATCTGGTTCAAGATTGTCAGGGCCTTCGTTGTAATCTGAGAGAACCTGGTCAACCGTAGGACCAAGTAGTTCAAATACAAGACACTGGTGAGCCCCATTCGGGCCTTGATGAGTAAAATGATCAAGAGCTGAACAACAAAATTGGAAGATAGCTCTTCGCGGGGTCTATTCTTAAGATATTCCAGCATTTGCAGTTCTTTCGATTCTGATGATTCTACTGTCATAATCTTTAATGAGACTCATTGTCCTCGACTGACAGAGATTTAGCTCGGGATGATAATGGCTAAGGCTACCCAGAGGTGAGCTGACTCTCGGTTCTTTGCAAGCCATACTGTGGAAAATCCGCCCCATCCGAGCTTGTGATGGACCTCGTATCGATTATTTTCAAATGTATCGCCAAGTTTTACTGGGTGATATCCCCCGAGTCTATATCTTGATAGTGATTCCTGTGAATAAAGGAGGTCACTTGGATAGAAGAGAGATAGATCCATCTCGCAATTTCAATCTGGGGGGCAGGTAGTTTGGACGATAGCCACGTCACATAATGCTTATTTGATGCCTGTATCGACTTAAGACCACCCACTAGTAGCAGCCAGTATGCACCTGGGCAGATTTTGACTTTCTTCGAAGCCTGTAGGTAACTATATAATAGTGCTCTTGGGAGCCTTGGAATGTTGGCGACGAGACATCTCAAAAGCTGCCAACCAGGTGGAGTGACTAAATGGATATGTAGTATGCAGCGCGAGACATACCGCTTCCACGACTTACCACTGGCAGTGGCTTGGATGCTCACCCACATTCATATCTATGTTGTAAGGAGAGATCCTTCGAGAGATCAATCTATGATTGCAGACTAATGTACATTTCTTTTGACTTTTCCCTCCTCTTCTGCAAACTCAAAAAGTGAGGCTCTAGCCATTATGCTAGCCTTAATGTATGGCTCAATAGTTCCAATGTGGTGAGTGCCCCACTTTGACGTGGCAACAGCCACTCATTGGTCCCTTTCCTTACTTACTTGAAAACTGCCTTCTGAAATCCCCGTCGAACCCGGGAAAGACCTTGTTCCTATTTTATTTTATTTTATTTTATTTAATATACTATACATACATTTTTCATTTTTACTCAATCAAGGGGGTGAACACTGTGGAATGAATCTACATGTGCACTTTGTAGCCCTGGTTGTATTAGAAAGCCCCATGATAATACGGAGATGCTCACTGTCACCCAGAGATCGGATAGATACATCGGGAATGATACGTATTCTCAAATGAAACATTACATATGTACACTTACTGTGGCTTTTATACTGGATAGCCATTGCGGCGTCAGATGATACATTGGAAGAGGTATCATGTGTCCATTAGCCACGTGTTTGGGCACGGCAGTCACACTGCAGGGGCGTATAACAGCGAAACTCTATAGACATGAATGACGCACGATTATCTGGCAACTATATCTCATATATGATAATACTATTATGTTCATCAGGTACTGCGTATGCATAGTTGAGTCAGACTACCTGGGTTCAAGCATTCAAGCATTCAAATGTTGCTGTTAAGAGTCATCCCAACTCAGCCCCACCAAGTAAGTGCCACCACCTGCGACAACCAGGGATTGCTCAGCCAGCTCAGCCAGGCGGTTCCTTCCGACCAAATATCTTATCGATCAATCATATCTGATCATGCCAATGGCCGAGAAGCCAATTTCCTGGTCCTGGTCATTTGTTACTCTGACACATCCCGATTATCCATTCAGAGATGAACTTTCCCCCGCTTTGACGGTGCCTGACATCTTGCCACGACTCCACTTTCATTTTTTTCTTTCCCCCGCTGTAAGAGCCGGTTTTGCGTTTCTCCCTTCGCCATATCATCGCTTGCTTTGAAATCGGCTGAACGGGATGAACCGCACTGCAATTTCTCTTACTTGATCTATCTGCATAATCGGATCGCCGACTTGTCTCGAAGCGTTTAGGTGCATAAGCTGCCGGAATGCTGAGGCACTCTGAACTCGGACCGCGCCTCTCATCATCCTCACCTGAATCAACACCCCATCGACGTGCATAAGTGCGACCGACGATCGGGACTGGTTTTCAATCACAAATCACACACCGTGTTACCTGTGCAAAGCGTCGTTTGCTACTGACCTCTTGCCCCTTACAGTTGGCTGCCCCTCTTTTGCTAGCAGGGGAAAAAAATAAAGAAAAAAGAGGAACAGCACACGGATCTATCCTTCGCTCAATCCTGATTTTTCCGTTGCCTGATCCTTTTACCCCCCCCACCCCCCCCCCAAAGTGGGTTTAGGTGTGTAGCCTTCCATGGGGGGAGTTTATAATCGACTGCCGCGCTTGCCTGCCAATTCCTCTGCACTGGAGTCGCTGCGCCCCATATTTGATCTGATTTGATGACAATTTTCCTACCTTCTCCCTTTCTTCTCTATTTCTATTGCATATTCAGCCCCTGATCGACCCGCCGATTTGTCGGTGTCTCGTGTTTACTTTTTCCCTACAGTCTACGGTAAACCTGACTGGCTCAGCTTGGCCCCAAATTCAGCCGGTGCCTAAGCGGTGGTTAGTCAAAAGCAGGATTACTATCCCCTTTATGTGATACGCTCGCTGTCGTCGCATTTCATGTTGCATGAACTTTCTTTTAAATGGGTGTGTCGGCGATTATCTCTATTCTTTGAAATTTTTTATCAAGATCGACGTCGTCTCCGCGTATAATCCCCTTCCTATGATCAGATCTCTTGGTTCTGTCGGTTCTGGGCATCGAATGATTATTTGTATATGGATACCTTGAGTCATATACCCCGGTCCGATTTTCATTTCATCTAATTTGTGGTCATGCCACTACTTGACGCGCGCGACGGGGTATCCTACGGTGCTATACCGCGGGAAAACAGCCACACCAATATGGAGACGCATGAACGAGAACAGCTACTGCACGATGGCTACGAGACGGAAGGGGATCCGAGTGATGTTTCGAGCATGGGGGAAGCGCAGGAAGGTGTGCGAAAAATTGAGGCGATTAATATGACTTGGACTTCTAGATCTTTAATGATCGCCTACGTCAGGTTCGTGCTTAATGGCTTGCAGCAAAGCCATGTCTGTCACAACTTGAACCGACCCCGCTAACTTGGCACAAAGTATATTCCTTATGGCGTTCTGCACGTCCCTGGAAGGGCAAACTGTCATGTCACTATCAGCATATGCCACTAGCGCCTTCAGTCAACACTCGTTGATTTCCACTGTTCTCGTGGTGCAAAATGTAGTCAATGGTAAGAAAATCGGCGCTATTGCACAATGTATTATCTACAAGGTTGCTAATCCATTGAATAGCTGTGATCAAGCCTCCAATGGCAAAGGTCGCCGATGTGTTCGGTCGCTTCGAAGCCTTTTGCCTCAGCATCCTCATCTACATACTCGGCTACATTCAGATGGCCGCGTCGACCAATGTCCAAACCTATGCTTCCGCCCAGATCTTCTACTCTGCCGGATCAACAGGTCTACAGATTTTACAACAAGTATTTATCGCTGACAGCAGTGATCTTCTGAATCGTGCTTTCCTGGCACTTCTCCCGGAGTTCCCTTTCCTAGTCACTGTATGGCTAGGACCCACAATTGCAGGTGCTGTCCTTCGATCCAGTTCCTGGCGTTGGGGCTATGGCATGTGGGCGATCATCCTGCCTGCTGCATTTTTACCGCTCGCCCTTTCGCTGCTGTTGAATCAGCGCAAAGCTCAACGGTTGAATTTAATCAAACCGAAAAAGGCGAGACGCAGAAGAAGTCTCTTGAGCATCATGCGACGGACCTGGTATGACTTGGACGTGGGTGGGCTTACGCTCCTCTCTGCTGCGGTCACCTTGATCCTGGTGCCTCTGACTCTAGCAGCAAATTCCAAGAATGGATGGAAAACTCCAAGCATTATTGTGATGATGGTTGTTGGTGTCATCTGCTTGTTTATTACCCCCTTATATGAATCATCGAAGAAGCTGGCCCCCAAGCCTTTGCTTTCTTTACATCTTCTCAAACAGCGAACTGCTCTTGCTGGTTGCGCATTAGCATTTTGGTATTTCAGTGAGTTCTTTTCTCTTGTCATTTGCACTTACAATGGCACAATGATACAGCCAGAACTAACGGGTCACAGTGGCATTCTATTTTTCTGTTCAACCATACCTCTACTCCTATCTTCAAGTTGTCCAAAATTATGATGTGGCCACCGCTGGCCGTGTCACCCAGACCTTTGCATTTACTTCCACCATTGCTGCATTTACCGTGTCACTTCTCATCAAATATACCCGCCGATATCGGATCTTCGTCACTATAGGTTGTGTCATATACATGACAGGCTTAGTCTTGATGCGCATGTGTCGCCAAGAAGGTGCTTCGCATTTACAGGTGCTCGGCACCCAGATCCTCGTTGGCTGCGGCGGCGGTTTGCTCAATGTCCCCGTCCAACTCGGCGTCCAGGCATCCGCAAGTCACCAAGAAGTTGCTGCTGCTACTGCGATGTTTCTTACCTCCATGGAAATGGGTGGTGCTGTCGGTGCCGCTATCTCCGGCGCTATCTGGACATCACTTATCCCCAAGAAGCTTCAGCAATACTTGCCCGAGGAAACTAAGTCCCAAGCCGGTGAGATCTTTGGTAAGCTGACCAAAGCTCTGGAGTACCCAGTTGGATCACCAACTCGCCTCGCCATCAATCGTGCCTACCAAGAAACTATGAACCGTCTCCTTACATTCGCTATCGTCGTGACCCTGCCTCTGATCCCGCTTAGTCTCGTTATGGTGAACTATAAGCTTGATAAGGTGAGAAATCCACCTAATAATGATAGTGTTTCCAGAAACAAACATGACTGACTGTCTCGATTAAGATGAGCCCTAGTCACGATGGCGGTGATCAAACTCCTCCACCAGTGGAGTCTGAGGCGGAAGATGACGACCCACGCCACAAATAGATATAGGGCCACGCCCCTTTTGTGCATAAATTTTGCACCCAAAACATATGACTGAACGATACCATTCTGATTCTTGTTTGTCCTTTGTCTTTATCACTTGATTTTGTTTCTTTTCATACTTCTGATGATTTTTTGCCATCTGATCATATATGGCATTGTTTTATTGCATCGGAGACCAGCAAGCCGGCGTTTTTGTTTTCATTTTTATTTTATTTATGTTTACTTGAGAACCCCATATTATGGATCTGGTCATGAGCCAACTCGGCTCAATTGCATATGGCGTTATTTATTCATGAGCTGTAGACGCATATATTGACTGAGGAGAATGCATCTTTGTGCAATAGAAATTGCCTCGACACTTCTCATCTTATGGATTTTTGACAATTTTTCACCAGTAAATAAGTCCAATATCAGCAACCCCTTGACTTGACCAGGGCCGGGAACCCTGTCTTTGTCGTATCTCTGTTAAATCGATCTAGCTCGCCACATCATTTATTCAGTAGTATACTGCTGAGTTAGCCTTCTGAGCTAGTTGCGGATCCAGAGTGACCTACTTTTCTCAGATAGAGGGTTCCGGACCTCTCTCACTTATCTACCTTTTCAATTCACGGGAGAGTCTTGAGGTATACGTTGGCTACTGCATTGGGCTCGGGCTCAACTGGATACCGCTGGAGTCATTTGTGAATCATATCCAAGAGACAAGGGCTCGCCGACTGCGACCCAAGCTGCAACGCGCTCAGCGCTGCGCCTAAGAGATGATAGAGGTATATGGGCTTTCAAACCTGATTCAGTCCTAGTAACGGCGTACCTGGCTCGACCGTGTCACTTAACGCGACGGATGCAACTTGGTCCGCATCTTGTCGAAGAAGTCTGATACTGGAGAGAAGTCTGAGCATGTTGCCGTCCATAGTGGAATGCTGATTCAGGTATGTTATCTCTGCACAGGATTACTATCCCCAATAAGCTGTACAGCTGATGTCATCCATTCCTGTAATTGATATTCATCGGCGTCCTCCAGTTCAGAGTCCTCCTCGAATAACTGCTCTGGGGTATCGTCAGCCTCCTCTCGTAGTAGTCCGGCTTATGGGAATGAGACTGTTGGTAATACTGGAAACTTTCTTCAACTTCCAAATTGAGTACTATCGACTGTATCAAGCGCATTCTCTAATCGAAAATGTCGGTCACGAATAAGCTGAATATGGACAATGATGTAGATCAATGTTTGAGAGGGATATGGATTCTTTGTTTGGAGTGTAAACTCAAACTCACGCGGAGATTCAAATCTACCGAATCCCTAGAGTCTACAAAAACATAATTGCAAACAAAATCTCAAACGGATAATATATTTGTTGGGATACGCAGTAGGTAGCCACCGAAACGTCCAATATACATTTCCTTATGTCATACATATTGTGATATCAGTGTGTGTGAGTATGTTGATAGATCCTCACGCTTTCGCTGACGTTCTCGCCCGATGCTAGTACTATTGAGTTGATCATCAAGCCAACCGTGGCACAGGCGAAGCAGCCATTTGAGGTAGTCTGAACCTCCGAGGATGTAAATAGCGACCCACAACTGGAATCCAGGGTTGGCCACGTCACGCAAAAATGACGGGTTTACCAAAAGTCTGGCGGCTCGCTCGTAGTTCGCTCGTAGGTTCCCACTGGCGAGGAAGTCGACGCTCCAGCATGGTCCTCTTCTTGGTTACTGCGCCTGGAAGCTGGATGTTGCAATGTCGTTATCCTTCAGCCTGGTTCCTGCGAGCTCCGAGTTGAAATACTGCGTAGGGGGATCTCATGTCAGTGGGATTGATGATGTAGTAGATATGGATTCGTATGGGATACCGACCCCTGGAGTTTCCAGGCACAGATACGCTCGGAGATGACATGCTGCTGGGTGGTCATATATAATATAGAGGTACATGGGGGTGTACGAAGAAGGAGAGAATCTTGGAAAATAAAAGAAGGCTATTTATGTAGACATCTCTATCTGTGCGTTTGCGTTTGCCATGGCTTATGCTCTGCTGTCTTTGTTTATCATTGCATAAAAGGCCAGCGTCATGAGTAAGAGTTTACTTCAATTGGTTTAGAGTCAGCTCTACCGAACAATCTCGAGCAAACTTCAAACCATCTGCACATGTAATCTGTTGCTTCTGTTCAAGTTACCCTTGGCAAGTTTACTCATTCCAGCCCAATATGCACTGCGACCTTAAATGAAAAACCGCTAAAAGGCCCAAGACCGATTCCAAATCCATCTTACCACTATCTACATGTCCACAAAGGTCCCCCGTCTTCATATTCCAGGATATCATTATCAACCAGCCTACGTGGGTATACTATAGGCCATTGCTTGTTACTACTTCTACAAACGAAGTTTTAAACAAATGAGTATTTAAGCTCTAAATAGAGTGCCGTGCATGTACCTGCATATCGCTGCATGCACGCCTAAGATGCCGCCGAGAGCTTACGAACAGAACACATCGCAATGTACTCTTTGGTTGCATTACGGAAGTTTGAGTTGGTCTTCGAAACTTCCAGTTCCACGGGACTATTACTCCACACATTCACACATGTTTGAGTGGTTTTGTGTCCATTCTACTCCTGTTACTGCCTTATCCATAAATACGAATCCGTGGCGCGTGGGGAAGAACCTTGACTCTGGGTCGGCCCGTGCCAAGACGAAGCTTGGAGCTAATCTCGATTTTCAGGGTCATTGCACGTGTGGATTGGGTTAATTTGGCCCTGCAGGTAGAGCTGAGGGCAGATGTTTGATTTTCTTTCTTTTGGGAGATTATGGGTACTGAATATTCCATGGAATTTGGGAGTGATATGGTTTTTGATAGTGCTGTACATAGTAGATGGGGTAGGATTACAGAATACTGGACTTGATATTTATGTATATGGTTACGGTGTAAGTAGTTTCGCCCGTTATCAAGACGATTTGAAGATTAATGCCGAGGATCCGAAAGGAAAATACTTACTGGTGAATGTTGTCAGCCGTTTGAGATATCCACCTCAATGGCGGTGTGGACAGCTTCGGAATGGAGATTAGCGTGTCGTGGAGAGCCCCTTGAACCTTGGGCGTGCCGTGCTGTGCGATACACTTGCGATTTGGTGGCTTTTTTACAGTCTATGGCTGGCACGGGGTTATGGGACTTGACATTTTCCGATCCAAAAAAAAGGGGGGTGATGTGCTTGATTTCAATTATTTGTATCTTTGGGACAGGATAGCATGATGTACCCAGTGTATTGCGTGTATAGTATAGACGCGATGGAGTAACACTTTTTTAATGGAGCTTGGATCATTTCTTGGGTTTTGTTGGACCGACTGGAGCTATATCTGGGTAATTAATGGGTCTCTGGTCTTCGGTGGGTTTGCCGATGCCTTGATTGTTTATATATTGTTTGGGTTGATTTTTTCTTCTTCTGGTTTTATTCTGATGCTTGAATCTATGTTCAAGCAAAAAAAAAAAAAAAAAAAAAAAAAGAAAAGTCTCTGTCGAGATGAAGCAGTCTGCGCTTAACCGACGACTTTCTTTGATACGGTCTTGGCGTGACCCTCGACCCGTATTGTCGTGTATGGGGGATTCGGGGAAGATGGTTAGATAATGGGTGATCAATATAGGCCGAATCATACCAATAATACCAACTGGTACAAGCCGCGTATTTCACGAGACTAGGACTAGCACTTGTCTAGACTCCATCCTCTCTCTGCGGGTTGCCCCATTCAATCCAGACCACAGCTCTTCTTCCTCCCTTTTCCTCTCACTGCCTTTTCCCTTCTCCTTTCCCCTCATTTTTTCTTCTCATCTCTCCGCTTTCACACTTTCCATATTTCATAACCTTCCGGGTTCATTCTCGGTGCTTCCAATATGGTTGTTGCTACCATCAAGTATGATTTCCCCCTTCTCCTGCTCCCCCCCCCCTCCTTGCCGAAGCGCCCCCTCTTTCTGTTCCCCATTGACTACTTTGACTAACCTTCAATCTTCCCAGGTGCGTCGTGGTGGGGGACGGTGCTGTCGGAAAGACTTGTCTGCTCATCTCCTACACAACCAACAAGTTCCCTTCGGAATATGTTCCCACCGTTTTTGACAACTACGCTGTTACTGTGATGTAAGTGCTCGTCGATCCGCCCGGGCGGAAAAAGAAAAAAAAAAGATATAGCGATATAGCCATCACATATCTTCTCTTTCTTCCCCTCCCCTCACCGAAACCAACGAGAGAAAAAAAAGGGGAAATCTGTGGAAAAAGCAAAAAAAAAGAGACAGAGAAATCCAATCAAATCGGAATCTACAGAATTCTGACCAGTGGCTCCTGAACAGGATCGGCGATGAACCCTATACCCTTGGTCTTTTTGATACCGCCGGTCAGGAAGATTACGACCGACTTCGCCCGCTATCCTACCCTCAAACAGATGTCTTCTTGGTCTGCTTCTCCGTAACCTCGCCAGCCTCATTCGAGAACGTCCGCGAAAAGTGGTTCCCCGAAGTCCACCATCACTGCCCTGGTGTCCCCTGCCTTATCGTCGGTACCCAGACTGATTTGCGCGACGATGCGAACGTGCGCGAGAAGCTCGCTCGCCAGAAGATGCAGCCCATCCGTAAGGAGGATGGTGACCGTATGGCCAAGGAACTCGGTGCGGTGAAATATGTGGAGTGTTCTGCTTTGACGCAGTACAAGCTTAAGGATGTCTTCGATGAGGTATGATCGCCCACCTTGCATTTAACACATCATTTTGATCTGTTCTTTGCCCCCCTCTCTATGACAGGATGGGGCGGGAATCCTTGTTCCCCACTCTCTACTTCTTCCCACTTTCAGGCTTCAAAACGTTCAGTTACTCACCGCTTGTTCCCGATTTAGGCTATCGTCGCTGCTCTCGAGCCCGCCCCGAAAAAGAAGTCGAGGGGCTGCCGCCTGCTGTGATCGGACTATAAACAGTTTTCACAGCCCTGGTTTTATTTTGCGTGGCATATCGGGTTGAGTTTTTAGCTCGTTGATGCCATGACAAAAACCACAGATACGATGGAATGAACCTGTTTTGTTTTTCTTCATTATTTTGAGAGGTCTTTTTAGCTGGGATTTGGTTTACTGGGATATCCACGGCAAAAATGGGAAATCGATGATGTTTTGGGCTACTAGCGTTGCTATCTGAAGCGGTTTCAAATTATTACGTTTCAAACCTTGATGGTTTTCACTGTGCTCGTGCTCGATTCGATCCTCCTTTGCTCGACTATACCTGGCTCGCTTCTTCCTCTTCGCCTCTGTGCCCTCCCTTTTCCTTGAACACCCCCTTGTCATCACTTCCCTGCTTTATTCTATTTGACTTCGCCCGGCTGCGTCCCGTCCCTCGCGCTTCTCCGACATGTGATATCTTGATTCACCCTATCGGGCTTCTTTCGCAAGCCTCCTATTATTCGTCTTCTTCCTCTCCTTTTACGACCTACAGCGACCACGAGCTTCGATCTTCTCTCTCCTCTTTCTCGTGTCACTCTCCCGACCTCCCATTTTCTACTTCTGAACCTCACCTTTTCAACCTTATTTCATCGTATCTCTCGGCGTTGGACGTCAGGGCGTCGTGTTTCTCCTTGGCTGATCGATGAATTATTTACCTTGTTTGTCCCTCATATCTATCGTCAACTTCCGCTTCTAAGTCGGCTTTTTACCTCGGAGATATGAACTTGAGCTTGCTGTACCTTTTCCCTGTTACGCAAATCCGGATATTTTGCATGCGCGTCGGTTTTTTTTCTATCTAACTTCTTTTATTCCACTCCACGATTTCCGATTTTTCTTCAGCTATGAACATCTCTCTGCTGCCATCTGCCACTGGTTTCATGCTTCGTGCTCCCATGGTTCTGAACAGAAATGCGCAAAATCATCCTGGATCTTAGAACTTTGAAGGCAGTGGACAACTCAATTGACAAGATCTATATGATGGTCCGTTGTGCTAGGGTCGATTGTAAATTGAGAGCCGGGCTTCTTATAGATAAGCACCGTTAATATCTATTCAAAACTCAACATATCCCCGCTGGTAGTAAGAACTTTAAGTACTGGAATCTTAGAAGTTCATGTCTACTAGTACATAGTATTTGAAAGGTGACCGGAGCTCAGCTGTGTGGTATGGGCATTTCATTCATTCTTCGTCTACATACTACAATATCGTGTTTCTCATATATTTTATATACTTAAAAAGAGCTAAGAAAGAGAAGCAGAGAAGCTCTTCACAGCTCATCCTTGCCCTCCTCAGACTTGCTCTCCACACCCTCAACATCAATATCGTCCTTGCGGCCGTACCAACCACCCAGATCTTCCGAGACACCAGACTTAACCATGCTAGTAATGATCTCAAAGGCAACCTGTGCCGCAGCAAGAGCAGTAGTCTCACCAGTGTTATCATAAGCAGGAGAAACCTCAACAATATCAGCACCAACCAAGTTCAGCTTCTCCAATCCACGCAGAATACGGATGAACTCGCGGGTAGTCCAGCCACCAGGCTCGGGGGTACCAGTACCAGGCGCAGTAGAGGGATCCAAAACATCAATATCAACAGAGAGGTAAACAGGCTGCTCGGGATCAAGACCAGTACGCTGCATAATAGTCTCAACAACACCCATAGGGCCAAGCTCATCAATATCATCAGCATGAATACGAATAAATCCCTGCTCAGGTCCAGGATTGGTATAATCCCCATCATCAACACCAGTCAAACGGGTACGCAGACCCGCATGCGCAGAGGTAGAGTTACAAATAAGTCCCTCGCGACTAGCCTTGTGGAAGAAACTGCCGTGGTTGAACTGCGTCTGCTCAGATTGCCAGTAAGCGCTGTATCGAACGGGGTTCCAGGTATCAAGATGCGCATCAAAGTGCAGAACTGTAATGGGCTTCTGGTAGATCTTGTGCAGGGCCCGAAGAGCTGGCAACGCAACACTGTGATCACCACCAAGGGTCACGAGCTTAGGGTGTCCGGAGCCAATGGTTGTCTCACCCTTTGGCGAGGCGTTGACGACCTTTCGGGAACCTAGCTCAAGGAATGCCTCGTACATCTGTCGCTCGGCCAGTCCGTTGTCGAATGGGGTAATTGGGATATCGCCGCAGTCTGTGATCTTAGCCCAGGACTTGTATGGGTTAATTCCTGCACGGGTGTTGTAGCTTGTGCCGGACATTTGGCGTGCGCTGGCGGCGCGAATGGCGCGGGGACCGAATCGAGCACCGGGTCTGTAGCTGACGGCTGTGTCGAATGGGGCGCCGATCACGGCAATGTCGTAGTGCTCGTCTGGTTGGATAAGACACTTTACTGGGGGGAGATGCGCAAAGCTGGCAATGCCGGAGAAGGACCACTGTGGTTTGTTAGATGAGATCTCTTTTTTGGGAGGTGCATTTTTTTTAAAAAAAAAATTTGATTATTTGGTTGGTCTTACTTCTTGATCCCACTTCTTCAGCAGTTCTTCGCGCTCATGCTCGGGGACAACTTCTGTGTCGCCATGGTGGGCGCATGAGACTGCGGAGCCGGCCAGAGCCAGCGCGCTCAACAAGGATTTCCAGGCGGGCATGACTATTAGAGAATCCGAGTTATGTGTACAGAAGAGAAGGAAAGAAAAAAATGAAGAAGAATTTAAGATTCGGGACGCATGAATATATAGAATGTCGAAATTCTCCAATTTCTCCGTGTAACTTCCTAAAGCAGAGAGCTTTATCTAAGAAGGAAAGACGAACAGATAGCAGCAATCCCAAAGCCCCGCTGTACCCGCCACTCTCCGCCCGCCCCAATAAACAACTGGTGGATCGCGGAGTCGTGCAGACTTTCCCTTCTTGGCCTTTTCATCTTTGCTTCCCGAACTTCATCTGCACTTTCAACCATTTCATCTTTATCAATGCCATGCGTCGTGTTGTCGTGACCGGCTTAGGCGCCGTGACGCCCTTGGGTGTTGGTAAGTACACATTTGCTTTTCTTTCTTTTCTTTTGTCAAGCTGTATTTGTTGTTCTTTATCCTTGTTCTTCAACATCCACCGCTTGAACCTCTATACATCCATTGATGTGAACCTGCAAGTACTCGAGCCGCAGATCCAATTTGTCATTTGAACCGTGCCTACCATAATTCCCCGCTCAGCTTGGAATGTGCTAGATCTCCCCTGTTTATCTTCCCCCGGACAAACAGAGAGACTCCGCGATGCACCAAAAAATCCGGTGTCTCCACTTCACACCGAAAGGGGAAGGTCCTGACAGCCAATGACGGCATTCGGAAATGCTTGGCTCAGCGGACTGGACACCGCATAGGCTTCGGTACTTAGGATGTTTTGGACACTTGCAGCAATTAGTAAATGGGAAACAGGAAGCGGAAATGCAGGCTTCTGATCGGCGCTGTTGGTTGAGACTGATTAGCTAACTGCCTACCCTTTTTACTTGCTGATAGGTATTCGGCGAACTTGGAAACGTTTATTAGATGGCGAATGTGGTATTGTGAATGTTAATCATCGCGATAAGCGCTTTGAGGAACAGCCTTGTCAGATAGCTGCTGTTGTGCCGCAGGGTAAGAAGGATGATGGGTGTTGGACAGCTTCGGAATGGTTGAGTCGTGGTGTGAGTATTTCTTATCCTATAAGCTCGGCAACTATATCCTTTGACCTGATATTTGGAGTTACTCTTTATATTTGGCCATTTGTAGTGGTTAGAGTGCTTTTTATGCTGATAGGTTAACCATAGGAGGAGCGTAAAATGGCCAAGTTCGCTCAGTATGCTATGGCTGCAACGGAAGAGGCTCTTGAAGATGCGGGTTGGAAACCGACTGAGTTTGAGCAGCGAGAGGCCACTGTAAGTGTTTCGTGTCCATACTATGATGATATAGTTCTTCTGCGTTTAAATTTCAGATATACTAACCTAGAACACAGGGTATTTGTCTTGGCTCGGGGATAGGCAACTTTGATGAGGTCTATGACACAGTCGTCGCCTATGATAGAGGCGTAAGTTTAGTCTGATTGCATTTTTGCATTGTAACAGTTCCGTCGCTGACCGTTCTGAAAGGGATATAAAAAAGTGAGCCCGCTCTTCGTACCAAAGTTGTTAATCAACCTTGGAGCTGGTCATATCTCTATGAAATATGGATTTATGGTAACTCATGCTGAACCCCCCAAACCCGGCGATAGCTTTGCTAACTCTGACCTAGGGACCAAATCACGCAGCAACCACTGCCTGTACCACTGGAGCTCATTCCATCGGCGACGCAGCGAGATTCATTGCATTCGGTGATGCCGACGTGATGGTTGCAGGCGGAGCTGAATCCTGCATCCACCCTCTTGCAATTGGTGGCTTTGCAAGAGCACGCAGTCTAGCCACCGACTTCAACGACAATCCCACTGTTGCATCTCGACCATTTGATGCCGACAGAAAGGGGTTTGTCGTCGGCGAAGGCGCAGCTGTACTTATCCTCGAGGAACTGGAACATGCACGCGCACGAGGTGCACGTATCTACGCCGAAGTCAAAGGATATGCCAACTCAAGTGATGCGCACCATATGACAGCACCGAAAGAAAATGGCGAGGGTGCATACATGGCTATGAAAAAGGCTCTTAAGCAAGCAAAGCTGCCTCCTTCGGCTGTTGACTATGTAAACGCACACGCTACATCGACTATTGTCGGCGATGCGGCTGAAAATGCAGCGATCAAGTCTCTTCTTCTTGGTCCGGACGGTAAGAAAAAGCCTGAAGATGTGAACATTAGTAGCACTAAGGGCGCGGTTGGACATCTTCTCGGCGGCGCTGGCGCTGTGGAGTCAGTTTTCAGTGTTCTTGCTATCCAAGATGTAAGTCCCTTTTCAATATTCCTGGATAACTCTCAAAAATGATGTACTAATTTGCATTAGAATGTTATGCCGCCTACCATCAACCTTGATCGTCTTGCTAATGGCTTTGATTGCAACTATGCACCAAAGCATGCGCAACAGAGGCAAATTGACGTGGTCTTGACCAATAGTTTTGGATTTGGTGGAACAAACAGTAGTCTCTGCTTTGCTAGACATGATTACTAGGCCACGAGCTTTGCGAAAATTGCTTTCCAAAGCTGATATGTACAATAATGTTTTAATTCACAACTATGAATGGCCAATAATTTTAGGCCTACTAGGGATACGCATTTCTGTAACAACTAGCCCCGAACAAATGTCTAGCCTATATTATAATACTACTGATACATATCAAGTTTTTGAATGGTTTAATCGCGTGAGATCACATTTGGATTTTCGTGAAATGGACCCTGAATAGTCTTCAAATACAGTGAGTGATAGCTGCACGTGATCCCATCCAAATGCGGAGCCCCAGCCCGTCTTGCCATCACGAGAGTTGGGATATGAACATGACCCCTTGACCTATTCCTCCACTCAACAGGATTAAAACATACAATACTACATTGCGAATAATTGTGTCCCGGACCCCTCAAATCCGCGCTCATTATGGCCACGAACGGCGACTCCGGTCGAGGTAAGCGCCACCCCGCCCATTCAAAGCGTGACAAAGGGCATGGCCTAGCCTTCACTTCGCTAGTTACAAAGATAAGGAGACTAGTCAAGAAAAATACTAATCGACTCAAATAAACAGCTTCCGGAAGCCTGGTCGATGCATCGGGCTACAAGTTTACGGAAAAAGATACCAAACCCGGAAAGATGAAAGTCAAGAAGACCTCCAAGGCCTCAACGAAGAAGAAAGCAGATGGTACATTCCAGAACAGCGACGGGCACCCGCCCACTTGGATCCCCGCAGAACTGATAGAATCTCTCATTGCAGAATCGAAAGACGGCCCCATCGATTCCTCACCCACATCCCCCCTCCCGAAATTGGACGACAAACTTGCAGCATCTTTCCCCACAGGCAAACCTCGCGAAGAGGACCTCCTCGAGACGGTTATATGCAAGCACTGCAAGCGTCCTGTCCTCAAACCGACGGCCCCGGAACATATTCGTGGATGTCTCAAAGCGAAACAGGAGAAGGCGCGCAAGAAGAAGGAAGCTCGCGATGCGGCTAATCGCGCGAAGGTAGTTGATGGTAAGGAGGAAGATGATACGCGTGATAAGATTGATGGGGAGGACTCGATGAAGGGACAGAAGAGCGCGAAGAAAAGCGCTGTGAAGGGGACTGATGATACGAAGAAGGGCAAGAAGCGGAAGGCTGATGAGGATGATAAGGAGCCTAAGAAGAAAAAGAAGAAGGATGAGCCGAAGGCTAAGGCTGCTAAGCCTAAGGGGCCGGTTGATGTTGAGAAGCAGTGTGGTGTTACCTTGCCTAATGGTGCACAGTGTGCTCGCTCGTTGACTTGTAAGAGTCATTCGATGGGAGCTAAGCGTGCAGTTCCAGGTCGGTCTCTTCCGTATGATATGCTGCTTCAACAGTATCAGAAGAAGAACCAGGCGCGCCAGCAGAGTAAGTGCCCTCTTGAAAGGACAACTTTAACCCGCCTAGGAGCACAGTTTGTTGACGTAATTTGTTGTTTACAGAGGCTGCTATCGATGCCAATGCTCCACTTCAAGAAGATATCGACACAAATGGCCCTGTTGATTCAGACGAAGAGCGAGACACCGTTATGGCTGCCATTGCTCGCTCAAATCCTCAACCTCTCGCTACTCACACCCTCATCACTTCCAAGACTAAATACCGATATGTCCGCATCAAGGAACAAATGCTACATGCTATTGGTGGGCGTGGAGGGGGAGGCATCTTCTCCACGACCGATGATACCCAGTCTCTTTTTGGTGGAAATATTTTCCAACCGTTTGATACTGAGATTGATACATCTTCCTCTCCTATGATTCTATCTGCTGAGCACGGCGACGGTGCTGGCTCTATGGATGGCTCAAGGAAGACACCAATCCAAAATGTCCGGAAGTTGTCCGTTGCTACTGCATCCTAAGCGTCATGGAGCCCGACGCTATGAATTAACGACCATTCATCTATCTCGTCATTGCTTTGTCATTTTCTCCCATCCCTCTTTCATTGGATGGACGCTATACGCTGCTTCGAAGCCGATCCAGGCGTTTTAAGGTGCAACAATATTGTGCATGCCCTTCTTTTTACACATCTAATTGGTCCAAGATGTTTATGCTTCTATAATTTCTAGAGAGAACAGGCTGGTTCTGTCCTTTTCTTTTATTTGGTGATGAATGATACCCCGGCTACTGGCGTAATTTGCAGGTAGTAGCTTACAATGGACCTTTTCTTGTTTTGGTTGATATTAAGTAGATTGAAAATATAATGCTTTATATCTAAATTTTAGGCACAGCCTCGCGGTTCTTTACCAAGTTGCTGTCAATCATACATACATTCGTAGATCCAATCCATATGTACGATCGAGTAGCTGATTATTAATTTTGTGGCCTGAGGTGTCGAGGAAGCATCTATCCCCAGCTCCGTCGATCATTATCTTGGAAACTCTCATTCCATGTGCGAGCTTGACTTCGCTGCTCTGTTTGAGCTTCCCTTCGAATTCATTGCGCTCTATATCTTCTAAATCTCGGGATTTTGCATGGTCGCTCTCTATCAATCTCCCTACCAAGTCGCATTGTGCTTCATTGTGCTCCTACTCTGGCACTACTAGCGGCCCCTCGTCGCAGGCCCTGATAGATTCGCGGACCGATCGCGACTAATCAGCAGACTTATATTCTTCAAAAATCCTCTCTCACCCCCAAAATATATCACACACCTCTCCACTATGAGTCATTCCGTCCCCGACCTTGACCAGATAGGCATCAAAGCCGAACACGACCTGGCAGACCAGTTCCGTCGCGAAGTAGCACACCTCCTCGGCCGCAGTAATCTCAATTTCCCCGGCGCACAACCAGTCAGTTTCTCCGCGAAACATTTGACAGAGCTCCAGAAAGAAGATTACTATGTCTGTGAAAAGACAGACGGCATCAGATGTCTTATGTACTTCGCGCGCGGTGATCCTGAATCCGAAACACCAGAAATCCACTACCTTATCGATCGAAAGAACGACTACCGCTTCGTTCCAGGCCTACACTTCCCCCTACCAGAAGATGACAGCTTCCAATCATACCATGTCGACACGTTGGTGGACGGTGAACTGGTAAACGACATATACGAAGATGGATCACAACAGCTCAAGTACCTAGTCTTTGATTGCCTTGTACTAGACGGACAAAGTCTAATGCACCGCACACTCGACAAACGACTCGCGTATTTCAAGGAAAAAGTCCTAAAACCATATCATACCATGTATCGCAAATTCCCCGAGGAAAAACAACACCGCGCTTTCGCCGTCGAAGACAAGTCCACGCAAGTCAGCTACGGTATCGAGATGATGTTCCGCGAGATCATTCCCCAGGTTAAACAGATCCACGGAAACGACGGCCTAATCTTTACTTGCCGGAGTACACCATACAAAATCGGTACAGATGAGCACATTCTGAAATGGAAGCCCCCATCCGAGAATACCATTGATTTTCGCATGAGGCTTGAGTTTCCAATTCTCGAACCCGACACAGATGATGAGGCTGAGGGTATCTCCGAACCATACCCCGACTACGACGCTATGCCTATATTCCACCTTTTTGTCATGTTAAATGCCGGCGAGTATCGTCATTGGGGAGAAATGCACATGACGCAGACAGAGTGGGAGGACTTGAAAAATATGCATGTCCCGCTAGACGATGCTATTGTTGAATGCTCTAAGAATGAGGATGGGCAATGGCGCTTCCATCGATTGCGCGATGACAAGAATGATGCAAATCACATCTCGACGGTTGAGAAGGTTCTCGAGAGTATCGAGGACCGTGTCACGGAGGATGATCTGATTAAATTGGCGCCGGTCATTAAGACTGCGTGGAAGGCTCGCGCGGCAGGTATGGCTTCGGGTGGTGGTAAACCGCGCAGTATACCTCCCTCGGCTAATGGGGGTGTCAAGCGGAAATTCGAGGAATGAAGAATATAAAAGAGAGAAAAGCAAAAACAAAACATGACACTTTTATGTGATTTTATATTTTCTTTGTTATCTCCTCATCTGCATCTAAATTCATTTGCAAGGTGTCTGGCGTTTGTCATGTTCGTCCCTCTTATTAGTTTACGTTGGTGGCCTTGTCGGTTCAAGTTTATTATCACCTGCTCGCTGTCAAAGGTGGTGTTTGGTGAAAATGGATGGCTCTTTGTGCAAATTACAGGTGAGCTGCGGAGATGGAGTTATGGGTTTCCATTATGGCAATGGACTATATGTTGCGTGGGCGGCATTACATTTTTTATACTACTCGAATTCACTTGAGAATATCTTTGAATATACGCCCCGCGGTGATATCTTCTAGCCATTCGAACTTCCCACGTCCATGAATTTAGGCCTGGTATACCCTCTGGAGTAACACTCTCAAACTCCAAGTCGTAGTCATAAAATATTCTGATCTTTGCCTGTGGGAACTTGAAATCATCAGTGCGAAATGGATATATGGACATGTTGTCCATACGGAACTTTTGACTTAATATTCCAAGGTTGTCTAATACATAGTATAAACTATTTAACACTGGTATCTATGTACTAGTACACACCGTTGACCGAGGTACTATCTCAGGACTAAATACTAGTAGTAGTATGCATCCCAATACTTCGATATCAGCCTGCCAAAACAGCTAGGCCTTCAAACAAAGCAATGCATGTATACATCCTGCACCAAAAGCACCATCTTACCCAATCAAATAAATCACAAGAAAGTTATCAAATTACTCCGAGTCGAAAACAGCGCCGACACCTTTTGACGGGAACAGGAGCATCAATCAAGTTCGTGGATAATCTTCTTTTGAGTATGCTTAAGGTTCGACGACCCAATCTCATAAAGTGTATTTTCTCTTGATGATTCTATCTCATGAACTGCATTGTGCTCTGATGGCATCTTAGAAGGCTGCGTCGTCGAATTGTCGGAGGCTGCTACACGCTTTTTCTGCGACGAGAAAGGCGCCCCGTCCGGACCATGATCTTTACCACGACCGAAGCAGGCGATAATCCTCTTTCGGAAGATGAGGCATACGAGGAACGCGACGCCTGAGATGCATCCGACTACAATTCCGCCGATCGCGCCGCTTGATACGCTGGAGTCTGAGTCTGAGCTTGATTTGGAAATAGCTGATGTGGATTGTGCGTGTTCGGTTATTGTGTGATATCGTGCTTGCTTCCTAGTTTTGAAGGCATTCATATACCCAGGTGGCTTCAACATCACCCGCGCTGACTGTGGGGAAGACCTTGATCTCAGCGCACGAATATGGCGGGTTACTATACATGGTATGGTTGGTCTATTCTTAAGAAGAGACCAGTGTATGGAAGAAGAAAAAATGCATATCAAACAGCGTAGTAGTTATCTTCGTACAGTAATGTGTTACTGGTACAGGTTGTGATCATAACAGAGTCAGCTGTGTCGTAAGAACATGCTCCGTATTCATATCCATATGAGCCAGTGGGAATTTAATGTAGGAGGTTACGAAAACACCTCCATTGCAGGTTATGGGAGACGCTTCTGTAGGTCAGCCTCTTATTCATTTTCACTAGCAGGGGACATACACACGCGTTGCAGCCAAATATTAGCCCATGAAATCGGAGCCAGTATGGTAGTCATCAACCACATAAGTGGAAATTACGGCAACCACTGTGCTTGACGTGATGAGCGTATAAAATGAGGATATCAAGGTCCAAGAGAATATATGACCGTAAACAGTGAGGGCCCTGGAAAAGACAAACAGGCGACTGAAAACACATTATGGAATTGAGCCCCAGGCCAGAGAAGTAGGGGCTGATCATTCACGAATCCAGCAGAATCGAGAAAAAGCAACCTAGTGATTTGTGATTGATATACTTCGGATGGGGCCAAGATATGCGTTCCGTCCAATCAAGAAATCTAGCACGAGTCATTTCTTGATGAAAATAGAAAGGATCCGAAAGGGTCCATGAAGGTCTCGCCCAGCTATAGTTTAGCGTCAAGGGTAGCGCCCGGGTGGAATCCCCCGCAGGAGCATGCGGCTGCGACGTGATTGACGATCAACAATTCTTTTTGGAGATGTTGATGCCATTTTGATACTTTTTGATGGCCTGCCTTGGCACAGAAGCCTTGGCACAGTATCATTGAGACCCCAGCTAAATTGAGACCAGTTCAGCTACCGGCACTTTACTGTATCAATCAAGGTTGACCTGACTTGACCAGTAGGCAGATTAGACAAGGCTTCAGCAAAGCGTACAAAGCTCGCTCCGAGTTGAAGAATGTAAACCAGAGCCATAGTCGGAGATTGTTCATCTTCCCGTTAGTGAGCACTTATGTATTTCCTATTATTTTTGGTCAATCTGCAACATCTGAAATGCTTCATCCAAGCCACCACTGGCATCCACAATTCCATCACCCAGGTCCTCCAATCTCACTAATTTGTCTTGACTCTCATCATTCATATAACTCTCAGGCATCATACGCCTGATAACACCTACTGCCATGCTTCCATTCCAAAGACCATCGCGAGATTCAAGCAAAGAGCCCTCCATTAACGAGAGAGCTGTACGCAATATGCGCCGACTCGTCGTTTTCAAACAGATGAAATATAGCATTGCAACCAGATTTGTAGAGAGTGTGAATTCCCAGTTCGAAGGGGCTTTCTTGTGTTCATTAGATGATGAGGATAATAGCGTTGATATATGGGCGAGAGAATGGTCGAACTTTGAGGCGCATTGTAGGGATATGTCTGGGTCATCGGGAGATTTGAAGGTATTCTCTAGGAGAACAGCATGGAATATCAGAGTCTCGCATTGTAGAAGAGTGAGTCGTTGATGCTGGATGGTCGTATACAAAACAACACCAGGTGGGCTTGTGGATAGTTGCTGTAGTACGTCTTCCAGTTCTTGGAACTGGGATTCTAGATGAAGTCTTTCAATGAGAACATCTGACGGTATTTCGTCAGCAGGTAGTTCCTTGTATTCGAGGAATGTGGCTAGATGCCACAATGTCCAGTTTTGAAGCACAACAAGCGCGTATTCCAGTTCAGATAATTCTGCGGTTTGAGTTGGAATAACAGGTACCGAGCCGGAAATTTGACCGGGCAGCGCGAGTATCAGAATCGGCAGTCTCCCTGGGGAGAAAACGCTTGCATGAATATCGAGCCGGGGAAAAGTGGCTTTGAGTTGTCCATATGTTGATTCAGTGTCATCTGAGAAATTTGTATCATCGGAATAACAGCGTTGAAAAAGGGTCAAGCCCTGATCAAGATGCCATAAGGCCTGCTCGATATTTCCGACCAAACACTCAAATGTATAGAAGATCAGACTGCATATCAAAGCAACCTCGGTTGACGCTTCGCGAATGAGATATGTTCGAAGTTGGGAATGAGACTTGGCGATAATATTAATGTGCTTAGCAGAAACTTGGAGTTTTGAAGACCCAAGAATCATATAATCCCGATGTAGACAGCTAAGCGCAACAACGGCGTTGCGGATTACAGGTTGATTCTGGATTCGCTGTAGGATGACGCGCGTCCACAGTGTTGTTTCCGAGAATCGCGAAAGAGAACTTGCAGCTTCGCAGCAGTAGAAATGGAGGAGTTCACGATCTGTTCGACTGCCCGGTACTTTGAAAGGGATGTTGTAGGACTTTATCTGGGAAGGAGGAGAGGGTGTCTGCTCGTACCCTGGACAAGCTCGTCCGGTGGAAACACATCGATGACATTTCGGTCGCAACTCATCGCATTTCACCCTGCGGATTCTGAAAAGGTTAATATTGAAAGATTTGGGACCTTTAAGGGCACTAAACTTACTTGCAAGTTGCACATCCGGTGCGAACTTTAGGTGTGCTGCGACGTACTTTAGTGATGGTAGTGACCATTATTACGTTTGGTAAAACCTCCTTTCATTTTATTGAATGGAGAAGAGCGAGCACGTTATTTATTAGGTAGAGGGGAGTAGGCATAATAGTTCCACATTGGGGGCTAAACTACATATGTCTAACCCAGGCAGTGTGCATGCGCGAGGCTGAGCTGCAGACGAACACTAACTTTTAGCATCGGAAATTTGGGACAAGACCCGGAATCTTGTATAGCAGCCCTGTCAAGGTGGGGCTGGTCCTATCTTAATTTGGTAAAATTATGATTGGGCCCATTCTGAATTACAGTGATTACCTATGGAAGAGGCAATGTAACTATATCTCCAGAGCTCATAATGCTGCACTTATCAAGAGAATTTGATACTGTATTTGGAGTTCTACTCCCTAACTTGAATATAAACTAGCACACATTCAATAAAAACACAATAGAAACGCAAGTATCTCATAAATGCGCATTTACCGCTTCTTAATGCTGGTATCGATACTACCAACGAACCAAATAGCGACCAAAACAGTGATCAGGCCACCGAAAAGGGTAAGAGGCTTGCGGAGGGCATCAATGAGCGAGTGGTCGTAAGTCACCTGGAACCTTTGTTAGTATAACCGTAAACTGTATTAATACCAAAATAGTCTATAACAACTTACAATGAGCTGCGCATCGCGCGCCTCGTCCGTCAGGCTGTCAACCTCCAGGGTCAATGTAGTCCGACCGAGGGTATCCATGTAAGTCTTGAAGGAGGAAAGACTGGACTGAATCTGGCTTTTACCGGGGAGACCGTTGCTGTTGGCACCCTCGAGAGCCTCGTGGCGAACATTGTGCGCACCCTCGGGGAGAACAATACGAAGAACAAATCGCTCATACTGAATACCCTCGGACATCTTGGGGCCCTGAATGAAAGGCACCTTGAGAACGTAGGAGTCACCGCCGGTAGCCTTGCGCAGGAATCGAGACAGGTCGTTGTTCCAGCCGACCTTGAAGCTGTAGTTCCAGCCACCGAAGATAGGGTAACGGGGCTTCAGCTCCAGGTTAGCGGCAGTCTTGCCGTTTCCGGGACGGTAGCGACTGGTGGAAACGTTTCCAATGTCATCGATAAAGTACGCATCGGTGGATCCGGGAAGCAGTGGGTAGGTGATTTCACGGACGGCAGAAGTTGGGGCCTTCTGGTAGCTAGAGAAGGTCCAGTCGACGCGGGAGAATTGGTTCTCGAGCTCGGAGCCGTTGTTGCGGAGCCAGTATCGCTCCTCAGTAGCCAGGTTGCCACCCCAGTGGGAAACCTCCAGGTCGCGCTCAAGGAGATTGACGGTAATCACTGGGTTGGTGAATTGGTAGCGAACAGTGATAGGCTTCTCGGTACCCGGGGCCACCTTGGATGTCTCGTAAGGTCCATATGTATACGTGGCACCCTTGCGCTCGGGGTCAGAGCCGGACTTGAGGCCCTCAGTCTCTGTGAAGTCGGGCACATCGGTGCTGGGGAACTTCAGCTTGGTCTTCTGGGTGACAGTCTGGTAGGCAGAGGGCACATAGGCGGAGAACGAGTAGGTAAGGTACTGCTTATCGTTTTGCTGGATAGTGGCAGGGCGAGGAGTAAGCGAGGAAAGAACAGAGTAAGAAATGCCAAGGGTGAGCTGGGCTTTCGGAGCGAGAGGTTCATCGAGATGAACGATGAAGTACTGGAGACCACTGTAATTATCACGAGTATGTTAGCATTGAATTGACACGAACGTGCATTGATTCATCAAATATACGCCATTGAGATATCCAATTGGAACCTACCTAGACGGAACTGGCTCAGTCACAACCACCTCAAAGCGTCCCTTGTCAGTTGCCTTCTTGTCCCGAGCTTCGAAGCCTCCAACACGGTCAAACACATCCGCAGGGAAAGGAACATAGTAGTCGCTCTGTGGGCTCTTGTCCACATTCTCTACGACAACATTGATAGTTTCCCGGACATAAGATTTCTCCAGATTGGTGTTGCGCACGAGATTTGTGTTCTTGAAAACCTGCGGGGGCTTGAAGTCGGCAGGTACAGCTTGTTGAGATGTAATGGAAGATGCGGCGGCTAGGCTGGGCACAAACAGGCCGAGCACTGCGGCGGTGAAAAACCTCATCTTGTTTGAGGGTATCACGCCGGAGAACACAATGTCTCCGAGGTCGAATTGGGTATCAAAAAGGGCGAGGTTGAATGTGGAGTAGTTCTGGTCGGACGAAGCTGATGAGGTGTCCCTATCTGTATACGCAATACGGCGGGCGCGGCGGCCACAGCATGCACTCCGCTTTCTTATCGCCGATAACGACTTTCTCCTCTTTTCTGTACTTCCATCGGCATTTTGACATGCTACATTCTTTTTGCTCGCCACAATGTTTGTTTCAAGAGCTTCTGTTTGCTCTAGAAGCTGGAGGGGACTGAATTTACCCCGGGCTCGCTATCTTCATGGCTTGAGTGGCTCCCAGAGCAAATTCTTGAAGGTATCAGAAGAGGTCCGTGATGCTGTTGCGACAGGCAAGCCTGTTGTCGCACTGGAGACAACTATTTACACTCATGGTAGGTGCAGACGAATCTGAATGTATCAGCATAGAGATTTGTGATAGGAGACTAACTAAAATATGACTAGGCTTCCCATACCCTGATAATATTGCCCTAGCTCAGCTTTTGGAGTCCGTGGTTCGAGCAAACGGTGGAGTTCCTGCGACTATTGGTATTCTTGGGGGCATCGCCAAAGTCGGCATGAGTGCAGAGGAAATCGTCGAGCTGGCCTCGACAGCAGAAAACAAATCTGCACTTAAAGTCTCACGGAGAGATTTGGGCTACATCTGCGGCATGGTTTGTGTCCTATAATTTACCCGCCAGTCGATGTCGAGCAAGAACTAAATCAAGTATTCAGGGTCTGGCCGGGAAGCCAATCCATGGTGGCACAACAATCTCTGGTACAATGATTCTCTCTCAGCTTGCTGGGATCAAAATATTTGGAACCGGTGGCCTAGGTAAGTTGGATACTAACGTATCTCGTACTAGTATATCTGAACTAATTATTATTTCTTCAGGTGGTGTTCACCGTGGTGCTGAAATCTCCATGGACATTTCTGGTAGGTTACACTTCCTATATTCCCCGCATGCCCGGGGGCCGTGCAGCTACTGACCGATCTCTTTCCTAAAACAGCTGATCTGACGGAGCTGGGACGGACCCCAGTAACGGTGATTAGTTCCGGGTGCAAGAGCTTCCTGGATATCCCTCGTACACTCGAGTATCTTGAAACAGAAGGTGTCTGCGTGGGTACCTTTGCCGATGGCCGCGAGGGATCTGTCGATTTTCCTGCGTTCTTCACTCGAGATAGCGGAGTTCGCAGCCCACGAGTTATTCAGAATGAAGCCGAAGCTGCCGCCATAGTTTGTATGTGCCCTGATTGCCATTTGTGAACTCAAACACTAACCCGGCTTCTAGATGCGCAATCCCAACTTCCAGTCTCTTCGGGTATTCATTTCGCCAACCCCGTACCATTGGAGGCATCCGTCCCCAAAGCCGAAATGGACCGTGTAATCGAAGAGGCCATTCGACTTGCAGATGTAGAGGGCTATCACGGAAGTGATAACACCCCATTTGTTCTTGCTAAAATCAAGGAGCTGAGCGGCGGGAAGAGTGTGATTGCCAACCGTGCCCTTATTGAATCTAATGTACAGCGCGCAACCCGTGTTGCTGTGGAACTAGCTAAACTCGAGGAACTTGACCGAGGTGGTGCAGCTCGGTGAGTTTGGAATCCTAGGTACAGAATACACATACGCAATTGATACTAAGTCCGGCGATGTTTTTGAAAATAGAGAAATGCCTGCTTTCCCAAGTATCCCTCGCTCAAATGAAGATACCCCCAAGCCACAGATAACCGTACCTGAGCCCACTCTCAAGCAAGAGGTGCCTACTACTTCCAAATCAACCGAGAATTCAGATGTCCTGGTCGCCGGATCTCTTGCCATCGACCTATCCTGTGACTACACCCCATTCGGTGATGAGCGAGTCCAAGTGGCACCTACCCCACATACATCTAATCCCGCTATCATCGGCCAAAGCCTCGGAGGCGTAGGCCACAACGTCGCACTAGCAGCCAACTACGTCGGAAGCGATGTACTCTTCTGCAGCGTTGTCGCAGACGACCTAAGCGGCAAAGCTGCACTCGCATCACTCGAAACAGAAGGACTCAGCACAGCGGGTATCCAGATTCTGCCATCAACATCAGGTAATCGAACAGCGCAGTATATCTGTATTAACGATTCCAAAAAAGATCTCCTAGTTGCAATGGCTGATATGGGTATTGTCGAACTTCCGGCGAAAGAACTCGACTTCGACGGATTCTGGGAGCCATTGATCGAACGCACAAAACCAAAATGGTTTGTTGTCGACGCTAATTGGCGTCCTGAGGTTCTGGATAAATGGGTCAGTCTTGCTAAAAAGCACGGCGCACGCGTGGCTTTTGAACCTGTTTCTACGGCGAAGGCCCGTCGTCTGTTTACGAATGATACTGGTTCTAGCTGTAGTCCCGTTATTGGTCCTGTGCAGACTATCCCCAATCATACCGTTAGTCTTGCTTGTCCGAACCGCTTTGAGTTGTCATCTATGTACATGGCTGCTCGGGAGGCCTCTCTTTTCGAATCACCGGGTTGGTGGGGTGTTATCGATTCTATGGGTCTTTCGGCGAGTGGTTCCCGGGAGCGTCTTGTGGCAATTACCTCCGCTGCCCTTGTGGACGAGGGATTGCCTCAGCAATCTATTCAGCTTCTTCCGTTTATTCCTTGTATTATCACGAAGCTCGGCGAGGCTGGTGCTCTGCTGACACAACTTTTGCCTCCTGGTGATTCCCGTCTTTCGGATCCCGATTACGCTCCATATATTCTGGCTCGTGCATCTCCATCGGCGGACGTGCCTTTTGGCGGCGTGTACATGCGCCTGTTTCCACCTGCTGCTAACTTATCTGCCGATGAGATTGTCAGTGTCAATGGTGCTGGAGATACCTTACTAGGTGTTGTGATTGCCGGTCTAGCTAAGAAAGACTCGTCGCTGCGTATCGAGGATATTCTTTCTGTAGCACAGGAAGCTAGTCGAAGGACCCTTGCGAATGCCGGAGGTGTTAGCAAAGAGCTAACTGGCTTACGAGAACGGCTGGGCCTGTAAATAGTGGGAGCTCAGTGATGTTAATTTCATCAAAAATATTGCATTGAAAGCGTCGATTAATATGTACAAGCCACGCTGAAAAGGATTATTACAAAACATCTAATTTCTTATTTCGTTATTTATTACTCCTGATAACTCAATAAAATCACGCCAACCGACCAATTAGTACAAACTATACAATTGCCTTCATCTTAGGTACAAGGGCTGAATCCAGAATCCCAGCCTGCACCAGCACATCTGCTTGATCCCAATAAAGCTTCTGATTCACAATGCGATCTGCACGGAAAGTGGCCACCACAACGACGACTACCGAAATATCACGGTTCGTAGGTGAAACACCAGGTAAAAGCCACGGAACATCGGCGGTATGGTGGAATGAAAACGATATCTCGTCCACAATACGATCAGTACCCACAGTTCTAGAGAGGAGTCGAATATGCTGATCTGTAGGGCCAGAAGGGATATAGGTATTTTTGAAGAAATCCCTGAGAGACTGGGGATCTGAGCCTGAAAGATCATTAGCTTGATGAAATAGCGTTGCATACTTCAATTCAAACGATAAGGCTTACCTCCTGCTTGCGTAGGAATACACTCGAGAGAAATTCCCTCTTCATCTTGCATATCACGATGACCACCCAGAATTTGCATCACAGACCAAGACGCAGAATTATCCTCGTCTAATCCCTTGGCAATATCCAGATCCGTCAGTAAGTGCTGCCAATATTCTTCCCAAACTGTCTCAATGGCAACAGCAGGCCAGTTACATCCAGCTCCAAATGCGCGTCTCAAGCACCCCAATGTCCGGCTCCACGCGACTGAGGAACTGATATGTGTTCCAGAGTTCTCTTCGCTTTTTCTCTTATTTTTCGGACTCCGAGTTGATGGGTTTTGCTCACTGAACCCATTTGGAGAATCAGGGTAACCAAAAACATGACACCGATGTCGCTTTTTGTACGTCACATCGCCTTCGGAAGCACTTAATGCAATCCATGGCCAGAATGCACAGGCATTGGGCTTTTGGCCAGGTAGATGGATCTGGATAGGAAGTAAATTTGCCGATGGACCTGGTTTGAAGATGTTCTCGGTATCGGAGCAGGCTGGTACGCATGTTTCTTGCCCATCGATATACTTCTTTGGTTTTTGTGGTTTCATCGAAGAGAGAGGATGATATGCGATTAGAGCGCAGAGCCGAGGGAATGGATTGGTATTGCTTGCTATTAGATGATGAGATGCAAGAAGGCAATATGCAGGCCAATTGTATGCTGTGATACCTGTTAGAACTGCCCAGTCATGAAAAATAAATACACTTCTTCTACCATTTAATCACTAAGGAAGTTGAACTTAAGTCTGTGACTTACCCACAATCGCAAACCTTTCCCCTGCTTCCAAATCATCTTCCTTCTCATGTACTGCATATTCTAAATTCTTGCGGTCCCTCTCTAGTTCTCCAGTGGATATGAACGGTAAATACTGCACTTGAAATGCCTCCGCTTGGAACCGCCGAATGATCTCCGGATCGAATTCTGGTGTATCAGATATCAAGATAAGGTGTCGCGGTACTGGGTTTTCAGCGGGAAGATCATGAGGTCGACTTCGTTTTGCAGAGTTGGCACTCGTTGTTCTGTGTAGAGCATGCGACTGTTCATTTTGTGTTCCTGATCCGGCGACAGGTGGTGCACTTGAGCTCGGCGCTCGTTTCAGAAATCGTTGAAAAATGTTCACCATGGCTAATTTTTCGTGATGAGATAAATAACTGAGGATGTTTGATCAAGATAATAATTAAAAAACCTGACTTTTGTGACTTAAATTGGTTGATTGCTCCTTCCATTATCTGTGCCTGTCATACTTTCTCGAGTGACGTCGACGAGTGCGGCGATAAGGACCAGCCGGGTGGATCTATAGAATACCTACCTGCCTCTCTCTGATTGATACTCAATAGAAAAGCATGAAATCAACCCACCAAATCACACCATGACCACGCTCATCTCAAATTTTACTCAAATCTAACGTAGATCTATGTACCATACTCGCTTCCAAATGGTCTATCTAACTAAAAGCTCGACAACCACCTCCGATCATCATTGATATCCTCAACTCCCTGTGTATTATCATCAAGATACCGCTTATAAGCATCCCTCAAAAGACTCTCCCTCGCAACTTCACAATCAAGACGAATATCCTCAATCAGCGCATCAACAGATACATAGTCGAATTCCGGTCGGATATAGCCCAGAATAAGTAGATTGAGGTGTGTATCGTAGAAATCCGGGAGTCGGTTGAACTTAGGTCTTGCGACTGCTGTAGGGGAGGGCTGGGTAAGAGGGGGCATGATGTGGATTTCCTGTATGAATGTTAGATTCAATATAAAGATATGGGTAGAGGTAAGGGAATGAATGGGTACATACCACGGAGCGCACTGTATTCTTGTAGTATGGGTTATACCCGATGCTCAGCACTGCAGGCTGGAGAATAGGCTCGTTGGTGGTTTCGATGTCCCCGGTTAATCCGTTTTCTTGTGCGAATTCCTTGGGATCAAGCGCTACGACGCCGTAGTAGACACCTGTTGACAGCTCGGGATGTTTCTCGGATAGGTCATCGGCGGGGATATTGGCTGTTGGAATTCCTAGCTATAAATTTATGAGTATTTTTCGACACCGAATGCATTGGAATGCATAGCTTGGAAAGGAAAGGAAAGGAAAGGAATGGATATCTAGACATACATCTTTGCTTCCTCGACCAAAACCTTTGATCACCGGGCCGGAGAGTCGGATTGGATAAGGGGCTTCCGGACCAGTGTCTGGACCAGCGACAACATCGCGCGGCTTATCAGGTCGCATTTTGAATATTATGTAGAGCAACGACGGATTTGTAAAGGCACGCGATTGCGGGTTGGCGTGACGGGCTGGGTGGGTGTCGGGGTAACTCCGGAGATCTGCGGAGTCAAAATTCTTCGTGGGTAGTGGTAATTGTTGAAGAGTTTGGAGATCCAGTGAGTCGAGCTGAGAATTATAAGACCTCTGTGTGTCTTTAGCGGGGTATAGGTGGGATGCGACAGTGGCACACTGTTAGCGGGAGAGCCGAAGATTACATATCGGATTACGGAGACAGTGTCATAGTGGGGTTATCGATAAGCAATACGAAGCTATTTAGCCTTAGGCACGAAGGCAATATAGTTCCGCTTGCGTGCATATCGGGTTTCTCGAACAATCTACCTGTTGACTGTGCCGAGGTAGGCATCAATTTACTAGTACTAGTGTACTGAAGATCGCTTTATCGAATATGATCTTTATTCAGAGATAAAATGACTTCTTATACGAGACATGCCGAAAAACATAAAGTAAACATTCACGAATCAATGGCATTAATTTCGTAAAAAACACAATCCCAGTCCAGAGATATCGGTTTTTTTTCCACCCTTTTGAGCGCCGAAAAATAAAAGAAAGGACCCAATAGGTTCGAAACACCAGTCGCGTATGTACGGCCGAGAACAAAACAGGGAATGGGGCCCGGGGGAATCGTACAGTCCGAGAAACATGAGTAAAATCAAAGACAAGAAGTATATGTACTGGGAAATCACCGAAAGCAGACAAAAACAAAGAAAGAGGCTAGTGCACAGACACAGCCATGGGTATGAAGGCAATAACAAGAAGAAACGAAAAAAGTGCGGTACAAGAAAAGATAAAGGGTAATAAATCAACGAGGAAATAGATAATTCGAAACCCGAGAGTATCAAATACATGGTAAGAACTATTTTGCTTTTGGTTAGCCAAGTCTGTCTTGAGTTGAAGGCTGGGACTTTACTCACATTCATCACGATCAGCATTGGAATATCGAACACATCGCGCTTAACTGTCCAGCAGTATGCACATTCGACTTTGCCATCCTTAAAACCCAACTGATTCATTCCGGCTTCTCCGGCAATGCCACCTTTGCGTAGGTGATTGTTCCACTTTCCGTTCTCTTCGGATTGTCCAGACTCCGTGTCTTCCTTGGTTTTATACTTAAGGAGTTTGCAGCGTGTCATAACACTGCCGCGCGAGTCACCGAATGCCAATCGTGCAAAGTCCTCATAGAACTCAACGACACTATCGTCATCAAGAAGTTCGGCTAAAAATACCGGTTGTGGACGACCATTTGTGTTCTCTAATGTCGTACCGCGAGGAGTAAAGCTACCACGTGAGGTTGTTCCAGAGGATGGAATTCCTGTACCCCCCGTGTTAACATTGAGATTGGCCTCTTTTCCTAAGAGCACGTCTTTCTTCCAGCCGGTCAGGATACTGAATTCCTTTCCCACGGCGGCGATTTCTCCTGTACGTCTGCAGACGATAGTCGGGGTACCGCATGCATTAATGAAGTCTTCATATTCCCAGAGTGTCCGTTGAAAACATTTCTCCATAAAGATCAAATCATCTCGATTGAGGGTCTTGGTAGTGGCAATGAAAGAAGGTCGAATAGATGCAAGTGCCTTGGCGATACGCACAGTTTTCTGCGGCGAAAAGCGTCGCTGAATGAAAGCAGTGAGGTTGTGAAACCCACTAGTGTAAGCGTATGGTTCTTTGACACTTTCGTATATTGATGATGGATTCCGATGACGACGTTTGGTTGCGACGTGTAATTGTTGGTGTTTCAAGCTAGGTGTGGTGATCATCGGTCGCTGCCCATTAGGAGCAAGGGTATTATTTGACTTTGCGCCCGCATTATTGAACGTGCCATCTTCAAAAGCCGCGGTAGCCACATGTGGACTACTCGCAGAGCCGGGACTAGTAAAGCTGGCCGGGCCACTTTCTATCGCAAATGCGTGCGGTCCATCTGCTTTCAGATGTCCGGGCAACATGCCATTCTGGCCATACACGCTGCTGACATTCACGTGCTGTTGGCCCGAGGTTTGCCCAGTGGACCAATCATTAAGTAAAGGATCTCCAAACATGAATGGCTGGTTCCCCGGACTTTCTCCAAAGCCTGGAGCTGGCGTGGAGAACTGTGCAGACCCACTGCGGCCGATCGACCCTCGCTGTGTGGCCGAGTCGCTAGGAGAATCTCCGGCTCCGGTCGCCATGTGTCCGAGCATCCCAAATTCAAGAGCACCATATCGATTTTCGAAATTCATACTTGATAAATCGAAGTTGAAAAGTGCGGGGTCGCTGGGATCGAAAAAGGGACCCGCGAATGGATTTGGGGGTTGAGAGGGTTCGGCGGATAGTGCGGTGCTGGGGGTGGGCTGCTGGTTCACCGAAGACAAACTGGGATTGCGACCATTCTGACTAGTTTTCAAATTGAAGGTAGGAGACACTGGTGATTGGGTAGTAAAAGGACTTTGACTCAAAGTTGTATCTTGGTACATATTATAAGATCCTGGCGGCTGAGACTGTGGCTGAGGCGTGGGGTAAAAATTGCTGTTGGCTTGTTGCTGCTGCTGCTGCTGCTGTTGCTGTTGCTGAGGCGGTGCTTGTTGCTGTGATGAACTCGTATTGGTGCCATTCCTCGACATGGGCAAACTATGCCGCATATTGCCGTTGTTATTGTTATTGCCATTATTGTAGAAATTTCCACTGGGTCCAGGAGGAGGGGGAGCAGGAACCCCGGGCATCAGTGCTCCATCCGGAGCATCATGAAGATACTTGGCCTTTTTACGAACACCATCGTGACAAGCATCCTGCAAACCACGCTTAATACACCGCTGACACGGTCGCTCGTCGCCTGAAAGATTTGGATGTCAGCCAAGACATTACTCATTGCAGAATTGGATTGGATCAGCATGCATACCGCATGTTAAATGGGCTCGCTGACAGGCGAAGCAAGCTCGCCGAGCCTTCTTCCGCCGCGGTCGCGATGGATCCTTAGCATTTGTAGCTTTGCGACCGTTTTCTACCTTACCACCATCTCCATTGGCCTTTTCCTTTCCAGAATCCAACGGCTCCGAATATTCGGTGATATCGGCGGAGTCACGATCGTCACCATTTGCTGGGACCGGCGTGCCGTTCTTGACCTCCATATCCATTTTATCATGTATTCCCAGCGCAAGGAATTAACAATACCAAGACCAGCGCGTTCCCAGAACTGATATGTATCTACGGCCCAATATCCGATAACCTCTTTCGGCGTAATATTTCGACAATCTCACGATCGCAAAGCTGTGGCGACGGGACCATCCGCGCACCTCGATCGCTCGGTAAAGAGGGGATCCACGGGTTTGCGCAAATCGGGCTGTGAATTACAAGCCAGATGGGGGCGAGAAGGAACAAGAAGAAAAAAAAAAGAGAAAAGGAAAAGGAATAAAATCCGATCGCGAATCAACAATCGGTTATGTGAAGCTCCTCCTTCCACCCAGAAAGCCACTGAGGCAGTCGCAAGAGTCCGATAGCTATAGTCGCGCGTTCGCGAATTCTGGCGGGGAAACGGAAGGCAGGTGTCGGATTGAGTCACGGGTGTAACGAGGCACAATCGACTGGGAGTAAGACGTAATCGCGAGGATCGGACGCATTGAATGGCACTTTTTTGTAGGTTGGAGGGGGAGTTTCGAGAGCCCACGCGACAGGCGAAGCGATGAAAAATACCGCAACGGTTTCGGACGCAGCTGAATTCGGGAGTGGAGAGTAGAGTAGGCGGCAGACTCGTCGGCTGCGGGGAAGCGGATAATGTACAGTCCACACGAGGTGAGTGAGGAGAAAAATGCTCCAACTGAGGAACTCGGTGAGGAGTGATCAAAGAAAAGCTTTAGGGAAATTTCGAAGCCCGTTCAGCTCTTAGTTTTTTTTTTTCTGCGCGGGGAAAAGAAGAAGCAGACAGTGGAGCGTGGACTTTTGGGAGCGTCCGTAAGTTCGGAATGTTCCCGTGACTTTGAGGTCTAAGCATCAACAGGCAAGACTTCAACTGGGCCGATTGCTTCAAGAACCAGAGAATAGAATGACTAGGATGTTGAATTGTCAGTGCTCTACTTGAGAAATGTATTTATCTAGGTGATGTACAATTTAAAATATTGACAAAAATAATTTATCATATGTTAAAAGAACAGACACTCTCCTTGTTCTCTTTCCAACGCGTTAAGGCTGATATACTTCGAGGTTTCGTAATTTACCTTTTTTTACATAATCGAAAACCAATAAAAACGCTCTGATTTCGCTTTACGAGTCCTCTCCAAGCGAGATAATCTCATTATAATACACGGGCTTTGACTGTCCGGTTTTCAAGAAACAGGAAAACTAAAACCGAGAAACTAAAACTAAATATTGAGTCTTTTATTTCGCTCATTGTCAATGCGTGCATATTTCACTTAGTTTGATATTCAATGTTACCTCCAGGGCCGGTTGATTCGCATCACGATCTTCTCACATGCATCTGAATCGGCGACCGTCCGCTACAGTGCTCCATGTATGTATGAGTTCTTACCCGGACTCAGCGGGAGATCGTATCCCCGCAACGGCGGCAGTTGCGCACGTGTGAAATCCTACTGTATTTCCCCTGTATCCGTATCCATTATCAACCTATATGTACCATACATATTGTAAGAACCAAGAACCTTGGAACATTCCCTGCAAACCGATTCGAAAAGGAAAAAAAGAACTGCAGAAGAACCAAAAAAAGCCGCAATTTCCTTAGATCAACCCCCTCCCCCACTCATAATCCTGCTCTTTTCCACCAGGGTTCCGGAAAATTCCTTATTTCCATCCCGTTTTATCCCGAGGCTTTCGAATGGCCCATGCCTCGGTTAGAAAGAGTAGTTTGTTCCTAGGTTAAAATAGAAAAGTACGTATTGTGATTATGATTATGATGATGAATCTGTGATTTTGTCCTGTTCTACCAGAAAATAATTGTAGATGGATACTGCATCGTAAAGATATCCAAGACCACATGATGCTCGTATTGTTTGCAACTGGGCCGGACGTCGGAGAATTTCATTCTAACCTAACCCCAACCCCAGCAGAAAGAGTGGGCCATCTTGGCTTTGATCTAATCGCCGTAGTTCTTAGTACAGTGAGAGCTAAATACGGAACACGAACTGGGGCCGAAACTATATACCTGTGGCTCTTTGGTCCCTGAATTACTGGAGGAAACGCCACGCCGTGCCTGGCCAAACCTTCCTGCATATACTTTTTTACCTGTCGTCATCTGCATTGTGATTCCAGCTGTGGGACCAAAGCTGAACTGTTGGGGCTAAGGTTGTTTCTGACCTTCGGCCGAGCAGTCTTCCCTTATTTTCTGTAGGTGTATCAATCTTCAGTCCAAATCGTCTTAGTCCAGGATTATGACCTGCTAGACCAGGGACGTTGGGAGAAACGTTGGGCTGCAGCGCTACAATTGAGATATCATGCGGTTATCCCTCTTTGTTCGTGCAGTCAGAGGCAAAATGATACTGGATTAGAATTATGTAAGACATGTTATTGTAGTAACTATGCCCTCGAGGATTCCCAGTAGATACGCAAAGTAATCGGCTTTTTCATTCTGTTCCATAGGTGGTGAACAGCTATTAGAATTGCTGGGCAGCAAATCGGCTCTTCTTTCGGATCCGACTTCCGTATCGAAAGAAAATATACCTATCCATATAATCAGCAACAAAATTCAATGAAAGGCAAACTATGTCATGTGCTAGGTGGGCCAACGCTCATAGCTGGATGCAGCTGGAATATCTGCTGAGAGCGATTGGCAATGAAGAGGGTCATAGCGGAGATGACTCGGGGGATCAAAACGATACTTACGGGAAAGGAAGCATGGCAAGGGTCAGAAAGGCCAGTAGCGAAGTTGCCCAGTGGTACCCAAGGTTGTTATACACTGCACAGCCGTTAGCCACTCCAGTCCTTAATAAAATGCTTGCCGCTCGACGAAACACAATTGTTATTTGATACTCGCCCCACTCTCAAGAAACATGAGACGCAAGAACGGCTTTCTGGGCGCACCATGCACCTGTCCTGCATTGCCGCATGCAGAGCACGGATCCTCCATCCCAGATATAAACCGGGATTGGGAAAGAGAAGGGGTGATAGAGAATGTATTGATTTCAACTGAAAGAAACTTACTTTGGATACCAAAGAGGGGAAAAATCCCTCCAAAGCTGGAACGCATAAAGCTATTCGCGGCGAGAGCACTTGCGGCAAAGGTTGGATAAGCATCGACCAGGAATGTGAAGACGCCCGCAAAGACCAGGATGACCCTAGAAGTAACGCAAAAAAGTATGTTAGCACCCAATAAATTTGCAAGTTCAAGTGTAAAGGTCCAAGACCTTCCACATGAACAATTGTAGAGTGAACTCACCCAGCCCCAAATACCCCACTGCCAATGATAGCAGCAATCCAATGCACATCAGAGTAGATTGTCCACGCGAAAATGAAGAGCCCAACTGTGACGAGCGGCCCACCCAGAATTGCTAGGTCGCGGTTATATTAGAACTCGTTCTTTGTGAAACAGACGTCATAAGTCTTACCTGGAGGCAGACGCCACTCTGGCTGAAAATCATCGGTATCTGTCTGTGCCTGATAATTTCGCTCCAGACGCTCATAGTTGCGACGCCATATAGGATCCGAGAGTATAGCAAGCACCATGCCGACGAATAGACCCATGAAGCACAGGCCACGTTCCCAGAGTTGAAACCCATAAACATTGTCGAAGACCAATTGGAAGGCCCCGAAGAAGAGATATATGATTCCCAGCAAGATTGCAGAGAACAAGCAGAGACTCAAGCACATCGGCTCTAACGTTAAAAGAAGGAGGGGCCGGTACATAGATCGCATCACGGTTTGTGCCACAGAGCGATGAAGCTTCTCGATGGGAGCGATGTATCGGTCATCTCCAGTCTCTTTGCGAAGCTTTTGCGCCTTGTGTCTCAGAAGCCTAGATATTGATGTCAGCGCTTACTTGGTCTCTACATGAAGTAAAGATACATACACTGGATGATATGTCTCTGGGACAAGAAAGACCATCGACACAAGCAACACCCCAGTCCAGATGAGCAAGACATAGAATGTCCATCGCCTGTGGAAGATATTAGCAAAATGCGATCTCATTATAAGGGGAGTATAGTAACTCATACCAGTTAGTAAAATTATTTATAAAACCACCGACCCTAAATTATATCGTCAGAAGCTGAAGAAACAGCATAACGCATGTATGAGACTCACAGAGGACCGACTTCAGGCCCAATGAATGGACTCGCGGTATATAGCATCATGGGAAATGCAAGATCTTGTCGATCAAACATGTCGCCCACCGTTCCACCAGCCACACTCAGAAAAGCACTTCCAGACAAGCCATTCAAAAAGCGACAGACCAGCATTGTTTCGATATTTTTCGCAACAGCACACGGGATAAGCCAAACAAGGAAGAGCGAGAAGGAGACAATATATATATTTCTTCTTCCATAAAACTGTTTCCCGTAAGTGACAATTCCACGCGAATTAAGGGATCGATATAGTGCTTACTTCTGATAAGGGACTGAGAACAAGGGGACCGATGCCTGGAACGTACGAATTAGCCCTAGGTTCTTGCGCGCAAAACTGGAGATAGACAGAACAAACCGAGCCCCCAAATAAAAAACGACAAGCCTAGCGTTGCGACTTCTTGCGAACAGTCGAACTCAGCCATCAGTTGTGTGTATGTTGTTGTGTACATGGATGAAGTACAAGTCCTATCTCGGTCAGAACCACACCACAAAGCATCAATATTGAATAATATACTCACACGCAAAGAGATCCCGACGAGACAATAATGACAATCATCCACCGCCTAGCAAAGCTCATATTTCGCGGATTCATAGGATCATTCTCATCCCAGCGTACGGTATATCCATCACCCACGGTATCTTGACCCGCCTCATCGGCCTCCCCTTCAAATTCATCACCACCAATACTCATACCATCATTCAAAGACCAGCTCCGCTCCAACGATCGCGATCGAGAACGAGAACGTCGTGATAACCGCTTTTCTGCAGCGCTGTCACTGGTGTGTGGGTCCTCGCTCGTACTCGTAGCGGGACGATTAACGCGCGCAAAAGCATTATCCTGCATATCTGACCTAGAGCAAGAATGAGAGTGCGAACGAGAGTGACCCAGTTCATCGCCGCTTTTTTCACCTTTCAAGGCCGATTCCCCGTCCATTGTGGGTAAACTTGAATTGGGGGGTTTGGAGCTGCGATGTTCGGTGGGATGAGCGAATGATGCACGGCAAGAGTTGGGTTGGGGTAAGTGAATGGCGACACTGTTCGGCAACCACGAGCTGGGGTGTCAACATTCAAAGGGAACTTAAATTGGCAGGTAAGAACTTAAGTAGTGTTTTCAAGTTTGAATTGAGATTAGATGGGATTTGGAATTTGAAAATCGGTCGGATTGAGGCCGAGCTGATTAATTCACGATCGTCAGGGCCGCGCGGGCCGCAGATTGTTAGTATTTTTTTGGAGTAGTGTTTGTTGGGTTTTGTTAAATTTCTCCTTTTCCTTTAGTGCGGATGATCTCATCCCATGTGCAGCTTTGTTTAGGTTCGTTGTTGGGTCACTCGAACGGCTACATGGTCGAACAAGGTTGCATTACTGTAGAAACAATTGTAGTGTCCTACCATGCTCTAGGATCTGGGGTAAACTTGATTTTTATATACAGAAATTAATCTTTAATTGTAAAGATAGACAGGAATTAACACCGAAAACAAAATAGAAACAAGAAACAACGTTTATTTAATTGTCCGGCCGTATTCCGATTGGCTTACATCTGTGTGCCACGTGTTGGACATACTTCAGACACGAAATATCAGAATTTGATCATGTATAGAAACTAAATAGATTTAATAGAATTACACAATTGCAGGGATACAATAATATATGCATGGAGGCAGTTTATGGATGCTTGTGTTCTATGGTTACTAATACAAAATACCATAAATGGGGCTGACTGTACTAAATGTCCGACCCCCACTTTTAAACAAAGCGACAAGGCTGGCTGGGATGTACCTTGGTAATCAATCACCAAATGTGTTATACCTGATGTCAATTGGAAAATTTATGTGAGTCACCAATTTCATAAAGAACGATTCATATGCCGTGGCAATATAATGAGAGCCAAAAAAATACATTGATGGAAATACGAGCCGAGACCGCGGATTCTCAATTCCGAGGGGTGACCATCCAGTTATCGTCGCCTCCTTGGGAGTATGTGACTACAAGGAATCCTCTAAAAAATCTCTCAATCCGCATATCTAATAAGGCAGTGCCCCCGCGAGTTTAAGAAGTTTTTCACTCTTGACCGGCTTTGTGATCGGCTCATCCGTCTCTACCGGATCAGGTGTCTCTACTCCATCAACCGTAACCATAGCCTTCCCATGTGAAAACAGATTGGTATGCGGCCAATGAGTCGTAGTTTCATAATGTTTAAACAATTCCTTCTTCGACAGGCGATCTTCTCCAGACATCCACGCCGCAGGCGTATACGTCACATAAGCAATAGTCCGAATGAGATCCGACTCGCCGAATTGAGCCCAGTGCATCTGTCTCGAGTCCCAAAGGATCAAGTCTCCAGGCTCAGCACACACTTTCATCAATTCACACCCCTGTGCATGATACCAGTCAAGGTCTTTTTCTTGGAAAGGATGAAAATCCTCATGTTTGGCTGTTCGCCAGGGCGTGGGACCGGTGACTGGGTTTTCGTCGAAGAACTGGTTGAAGAAGGATGATGATTTCTTCATCACGACTAAACCACCGTCGTTGGGACCGGAGTTGGAGAGATTCACAATTCCTTGGACACAGCGGAGGCCTCTGCGTTCTGGGGCTTGGTCGACATGTGGCCAGGGAGATGAGTCGTAGGGACCGACAATCGATTGAGGGAGAGTGATGTTTACAGTGTCGAAGGAAACTACCAACTCCTCGGTTCCCCAGAGCTCAGAAAATGGATTGATCACGCCGGGTTCACTAGAAAATAAAGTTAGCATCATGATTTACGTTCTATTACTGTAAGATTGTAAGATCACAGGCTGTAAACTTACCATCTAATATCCCACATATAATTCTCATGAGCCGCAGAAAAATGAAGGTACATCCCCCCTTTCCAGTTCTGAGGAAGATTTTCTTTTTTCCAGGTACTATTGTCGTTACGATCAAAGCCCAAGCCAAATGATTTTAGCCAAGTAAGAGAATCACTCCGGTATTGCTGAGCCCGATCCTTTGGTAGGACGTTCTTGATGACAGCGAAGCCATCTCTAAAGAAATCATCCCGCCAGTCACCTGTTTGAGTCCGCTCTTGAACCTTCGATGGATTGTATGTAGTAGTATTGACAGTGTCAACACGTGAAGGTGCCATAATGGATCTCTGAAATAAACTATTCCCAATTTTATGTTTTGGGGAATTGTAGGAAATTAACTTGCCAGAGAGGACAGGCTTTCGCGGAGGCTTTAAAGCTGATGAGAGCACAACCCTCTGCCCACATCTTTTATGAACGATCCGATTTCTCTTCAATATGCGTTATTTTGGACAGAGAGCAATATGGCGATCTTCAGTCTCGTGGAATTGTTGGATGGAGGCTTGCCCCAGCTCACCCGAACTCACCCGTGCTCGATCGAGGTCGGCCGAAGGTAGGCACTGAGCTCCCAGAATGCCCACAAATCATTCTAACTTACCTCCACATTCCGATAATGCGGAAAAGAACGCTTTGAATTCAAATTGTTATCATCGAGCTCATTCTTCCTTGTTATTGAGTCACATCAAGAAACATACACCCCCCACGATGCCATCCCCTGCGCCTGTCGCAACGCGCCCCATAAACAAACCCGATGTGGGTCGAAACAACTACCAACCCTTTGGATTTCGAGAAGAAGTTTTGCAACAAGGATGGAGCCAAAACGGCTCACGTCCATTACCATGCGATATTCATGCTTCACATGACGTCGGAATCAAAGTTCGTGACGGTTGCACTCCCTTCTTTGATAGAAGCAGTGTGAGTACGGATCATGGCGGCGGCTCGAGCCAATTATTCTCTGATATCCAATCTCGGTTGCTGGTAGAGCCCCCATTATAGTGGTGAATGAATCAGGGTTGATGGAGACTGGACGTGACCAAATTGTCATCCTATGAATGAGTTAGAGGATGTTCAACGATTTTATCATGTTTTTAGAATCATACCAATCGCAAATTACGAGAGTCCACCATAGTCTTTGTCGGACAAGTAGCTGGTCCTCGCTCAACGATCTTATTGCTGACCTCGGCATCTCGTCCCCAAAATGATCCATCCCGATAAGCCTCGCGACATTTACGGCCATTCCATGGAGGATATACTCTCGAGTTGACTCTCCCAGATTCTTGTGAAGGAGGTTCAAGATAGCCGCGACCTGCACGGTTGATAGCGCAGGTTTGCGGGTGTAACCCGCCAAGTTCAGTTCTTTCAATGCGGCTTCATACCATACCCGCGCTAAACCGCCGGGGCTTTTGCTTAATGAGGATATAGTGGATGGCGATCGATGAGAGAAACTTTCGTAGAGCAACTGAATATCGTGCAATTCCCCTTCACTCATGGAATATACCCCTACCTATGTTCTATCAGTTTGTAGGTTTCAATGGAGTATTTCAAAGGGGAACATACAGTCAGTAAACTCAGATACACGGCAATCCACCCATGATCTGTTTGGAGATTCTTTGTCGCTTTCGATTAAATTGTCCCAGAATGCATCATGCTCTTTCCTAAACGCATTTTCATCCACAGCATAATGTACCCAGCCCAGTTGCATTAAGGAGAAGTCAATAATCGATTCACTCCATCGGCGGCAAGGAAAAATCAATTTTATACTATGATCCCAGCGCTGAGTATAGTTAGACTTGGATGTGGGCTCCATGGATAACCCGAAAGCCTGTGTTTGAAAATCACTCATGATATTATCTGAAGATTTTGAAGGCGACTTAGGTGCAGGGGAAGAAGCTGTCCCTGATTTCTCTAATTCAACCAACTCCGGATGTGAAAGAGCCAGTTCCAACTGTCTGATGCGAATCTTCAAACTCTGGTTCTCGCGCAAGAGACTTGAGGAATCCGGGTTATTTCCATCGACGCATTGCTCTCCTATCACTGGATCAACGGCACTGGATATGTTCAGCAATCTTCAAGTGCCCAAAGAAACCTGAAGATGTACCTACATTGTTACTTTTCCTCCAACTTTCACAACTTCTCGTATACAAACAGCGGCATCTCCTCGCCGAATACATTGTTCACAGGGAATTTCTTGGAACATTTCACCTTCCTCCGGGAACACGGAATGCAAGATCGAGGTACGCGCTGAGTTTCACGGACCTATTGGGGCATGATGCTTTGGCAGCTGCTTTTATTAGCGCCACAAGAAGGTTCTGGTATATGTTCTGGTGACTCTGAATGATCTGGATTTCCCCGGATTGAAATCTCGGGCGAGCTCGGGCGAGCGTATCTGCCAAGCGGGGAAGGAAGTATTATATGGAGATACATATACCTTTAGCTTGGAATCAGGTCAGCTAGTAAAAGACGTTTCTAATTTGAGAAATTAATGGGTCACTGCAAATGCTAACTATCCGTAACCCGGGAAAGTTTTGTCCAACCAACTTATGTGTGCGCAACTTTCCCCAGCTCCCCCACCCCCACACCGAGATGCGGAGAAGAAAGCCCCACGGAACCAAGACAAAGTTGTCAAAATACAGTGATGGTATTTTCCAGACTTATAATTCTTCTCAAGGAAATTGGTCATACAGTAGAACCCCAATACTTCAACTGACGAGAGTTTCGTCGGTAGCCGAATTTCTATTATGTATGGAAAATACGGCCTAAAGCTGCCAGTGAGGGATCTGCGGGTTTAATTCCTACCGAAAAGGACTGAGTATTCTGATACAAAATCATCTACATTTCAGTTCGATTCACTGCATAGGGTCAACCTGGAGATAGTTCATTCAATGTTTAAGTTGTAGTAGTATATTGTCCGGCTTTCAGACACCTCAGCTAGGTACAAAGGACTAATGGTAGTTACAATCCAATCTCAACAGGCATGGAAAGTCACCCTCCGAAGTATATAAGTCCCATTTTCGATACCAATAACTCATTATGCATCTCCCACTGTCACATAAATTCAACCGACTGCCTATGCAGAGAAGTCACAGGGCAGAGAGCCACAGCAGTAACCGTGTCCAGCAGAGAAAGCGCCATTGAAGTCGATGTTGTGGCAGCCATCGCTGGTACGCCACAGAGCAGCAGTGAAGTCATAGCCTCCAGGGCTAGTCTCAGAGAAGCTGATTAAAAACGTCAGTCATACATTTACATTTCTTCATGTCTTGTTTAAGTCATATGCTAGACTTACCCAGCACTGCACTCAGTGGAAGTGCAGGCGTTGAATCCTCCCCAGAGAGTACCCTGATAAGTTGAACCGGTGTTGTAGTCGGTAAGATAGATGATTTGGTAGTTGCCACCCTCATTCAACTCGTAAGCGGATGCGGCCATCTGACCATAAAATGCATTTGCAGAGCCTGCGAGGGCAGCAACAGTGGCGAGAACAGCAGTGAACTTCATATTGATCTTTGGAAGAAGAGGTTAAAGATTGTTTAGATGTCTTTGAGAAGGATGTCTGGAGAGTTGAATAAGAAGCAGTGAGGGGGAATTGGGCTCCTCTTTATACTTATTTCTCGGTGGACTATTCAATGAGTATGGATATCCGAGGTCCAGATGCCTCGTATCTTGTAACTTCCATGATCGATGGAACTATATGGAATGGCCTCTGGCGCTAGTTTCTCACCTCATGCTTATGAGCGGATTGTATTAGGAGCCCCAGGTGCTTGGCAAGTGGTACCAAGCCAGTCTTGGTTGAGCTTCTTCACATGTGCAGTGACATGGCTTGATATAATGAGAAAGAGGCTGGATGAAAAGTAAGACTTGAAACGAAGTAGGACCCAGAAATGAGACACTTTATCAGCGTTCCTAGCTCCATCAACCCCCTTTCGAGTCTTCTCTTTTGTCTCTTTATGTATGCTCAGGTGAATTTTCGAGGAAATAGATCTCGCACCCATGAATTTTCAATATCCAAGGCCCTGTTCCTAGATTCCTAGTTCGCATATCGAGGCCCACAGCCTACCGGATTAATAACGGGATAAAAATATCTGACAAGGCCCTTGAGATAGCTTTGAGATGCGTATCCCGTAATAGGAACGCTTAACCTAGACAGTCAATGGCTGGCCAACAGGCTATGCAAGCCACCCAGCCCATAATGCTGATTCACTTTAGTGCCATTTTTGAAATTAGTTCTACTACTGATAAATAATCGATAATAGATACGGCGTGAAAGAAAGATTATTCAAATAAATGATACATATAAAGAGAAGGAAAGAAAGCAGTAGTATCTTTTTGAACACTGTACTCGGTTACAGATGAGGATAATTTTGACTTATACGATATACTTTATTGACCATGGTTAATTTCATGACATAACCTTCTTTATGTAACAATTAAAATAAATGTTTTATTATTTATACGAATCATGTGTAAGACCCTTGCTATCGTGGGATCCGGAAGGTTCATGCAGGGGTGTGCTTGCGGGGTCATACTGCATAAGCGATCTGAAGTATTTCGTTTCTTTTTTCTGAGCAGGTGACTCTGACTGCCTTTGTCAAGTTCTCAGCTATTTCAAATTATCTATTCTAATTATAAGATTACTCCCAACTTTCTCGCGAACGACATTTTTCTTAATCTTCATGAAAAAACACTCGATCTCGAGAGCTTGTCGCAAAACACACAGAGCGGGTATCTCCACATGGATGAACAGGGATCGAAGCTTGGCGCATATGTTCTAACCCTATTAAGGCTTAAATGAAATATCGCCTGGTTAGCTGAGTGATAGGGGACCATGCAAGACAGATCTGAGTCAGTGCTGACAATTTAACCGAGAGCCGAGTCCATAATAGTCAACCGGAGTTTGTAAATATTCCCTGCTGGCTGATATAATAGGGGCGTGGGAACGCGTCGGCTGGATTTTCCGATTTATGAATTACCATGCAGACTTGTGGGGTAGTGTATATACATCGTGTTTGCTAGTCCTATTCTTCTTCTCTCCGTCTCGTTTTAGTACAGTAAGCGTCTTGGCGAAGACTATCATGCACGATGTAAATGCTATTTATGCATGAAGAGCGTCTAAATATACTGAAGGAATGTGCTGGTTTGTCTGGACTTTGGTCTTTGATACCATCTGGTTAAGTGGCGATTCTTGGCTGCTACGGTGGCTAAAGTATTTACACCATTTCAAGCACTGATAACACCCAGCCCCTTCTTACTCAATATGTCCAAGCAAATTACTGTCCAACCGTAAATGTGTGGGATCCACCATCGACTTTGAGTACCCTGTATCCGTTCCCAGTTGTTGCAATTGGACCAACAGTTGCTGCGTTGCCAGTTTGTTTCACCTGTTTCCCGTCCATAAGGATCTTGCTGTTCTTGGATGATCCAATAGGAATACAGACAACCCCACTAGTATCCTTCGGCGTCTCAATCTGCATCTTAAAAGTTTCCCCTTCACCTTTGCTCCAAGATACCTGAATAGAGCCCTTTGGGGTACCGACTTCTCCTTTGGCCCACGTAAGATCCGCCCCATCAGTTACAGGGCAAATCTGCCAGGTCTTGAATCCAGACCCTGTGGGCTGAACACCAAGAATATAGTTGCTCATGAGCGGGACAATACCCGTAGACCAACCGTGAGCCATAGAGGTAAAGCCTTGCTCATATGGCGATCCACCGGGGCCAATACCTTCCCAGAATGTAATTTCGGGATCGTGAGTGGACATCCAACCGTAGAGACGTTTGATTTCTTCGATAGCTGAGCCTGCTGCGCCGGGTGTAGACAGGCGTGCTGCAAGCTCGAAGTAGGAAATGAAAGCATACACACGTTCTGAGAACCCTTCGGATAGAAGGTTGTTATCATAGAAGGCATTTCCATATGGCTGAGATGTAGCGTTGCCATAGTAGTCTAGCAAGTTCGTGGCTAATGAGGCATTTACAGCACCAGAAAGTACTGCTAGGCCGTTTCCGTCTTGAGCATGCACATTGCAAATTGTGTCTCCGGCCTGGTTGGGACAGGGCCCTCCATCGAAGAACGCACTGACAGCAGTATCCCAGTTGCGGGTGAGCAATTTCTCGCTGACCTCTGATGCACGAGAAGTCCAAGTGCTACTATCTGCAGGATGTCCTAGGAGATTGGCAATTTGGGCAGCTGATTTCAGGGCGTGAACGTATAACGCGTTATAGTACGTGATAACGCCGGAGCGAGGTAGAAAAGCGTAGTCACCATATCCGTTGGTTTTGTTGAGAAGACCTCCGTTTAACGTGAGGTTCTGACCATAGTAAGTGTCCAGTGTCTTCTTCATCACGCCGTAATATTCAGTAGCAAAATCTGTGTCGCCGGTGTACATCACTAGATCTGCTGTACATACAACCCACCACATAGGATAATCGAATAAGTCTAGGGTATAATTGTTGCTATTTGTTATATTAGTAAACTTGTTTTTAGTCCGAGGTGAAAACACACTCACATGCTGGCAGGTGGGATCCATCCATCGGATCGTTGGTGGTTCGCCAAATCAGCGAGAATATTACGAGTGGCTTCAGGGTTGTCATGGGACAGATAAGATGTCAAAGCTGCAACTGCTAGGTCGCCAACATATGGATCTCTATCTCTCTTAGCCCCGTCGAACACAACCTCCTTGCCTTGCAATGTAGGTGTGGCAGAGTCTCGAGGATCCGTCTCATTTGCTAAGAATAAATCAGTATTCATGTCGGTGGTATAAACACCGTCAAACCACCATTGAGTTAGATCTTCATCTGAGCACTCGAACCATCCAGTAAAAGTATCTGGGGTTCCTAAATACGCGGACCATTCTAGTTCGATGTTTGAAATAGAGACAGATCCATATGGTTGGGTATAAGGAGCATCACTTTCGATGGCATCAAGCCAGATCTTCATGTATCTGAATCCGTGGAGACCATCCGAGCATACCTGGCTACCATGCTGACAGCCAGTCTGATCTTTCCAAGTATAAGGTTCGTTGGAAACTGCGACCTACTGATCATTAATTCGCTGTTTGATTTGGCAAAGACTTCCAAGCACATACCTGGTCGGTTCCATTTGTAAGTTTCTGGCCCTATTATTTGTCAGTTGGTATTCCACAAATATCCCGTTGGCATTATTAACTCACGGCAGCCATGTTGTCGGATCTAGTGAAATCGCTGACATTGGTCAAATATTGCTGAGTCTCGGAAAATGCTATTTTCAATCCTGGGAATCCAGCAGAAGAATTGGATGACCCAGCAAAGTCAATTGAGACAATACCGACAACATTTTGACCGAAGTCAACAACAACCGACGGGATATCGACATCTTCTTCGGTGCGAGTCAAGGTTGTAGGCGAACTGCCCTCCCCGAGTAAACCATTTGGGTTGGTGACATTACCCGTTGTGTTCCCTGATAGAATACTTTGAGGCCTCAATACAGTGTTGTTTGGTGAACGAACATATTTGTGCCATCCGTTATCTCCCAAGATATTTCCTTGTGAATTGGAGACTGCTGCACCGGAGACTCCGTGAACGGACAGGGCGCCCAATAACGCACTTTTCAGGTACAGTGTCATCTTTGATGGTCGAAAGATCTACATTCTGTACCGGGAACATGATGCCCCCTTGCTTTAATCATTGTTCGGACCTCAGGTCAGGTCGGTCCATGCCGCAAGTCAATGCAACGCTGTATACATAGAGTTTGGCAAGACTGTGGGGCCGGGGCAATTCATACCGAAGCCGTTGAAGAATACTTGGATGTTATCTCGAAGCTGAATAATAAACATCATACAGGGGAAAACTATCCAGGGGTGCTGATGGCAGTTGGGTCAATGCTTGAAGGCGGCCCACCTCACCCCGGATTCGACCCCGCAAACTCCTCACGTGGGCTGAACTTGAATTACTCTCGCCTACGATTACACCGAAAATGATAAATGTTCAATGTCATAGATGGCCAAATGGATGGTAATTCCATATTAAACGTTTATCAAGAACTTGAGGCTATGCATACCAAATGGTTGCAGTGGCAGCTTGATCAAAGGATATTCAAAATTCAAAGAAGAATAAAACGTAAGATTTCAATAAATCAAGATGCAAAACAATAGAGGAACATTGTGGTATGTTCGTCAAGGGAAATTCGCAAAATCATCGCGTCATACAGGGCAGATGCACGGGAATATGTACTTCAGCCAACATTGAAAAACAGATATGCAAAATATAGCATCATATGCAGATTAATCAACCCGCTTATAGAGTTTGGCCTTGTTTGATGCGGAAGAACCAGCGCAGCACGCGCTTTGAGCTGCCTCGGGATGTAGGGTAGATTTGTTGAAGGTCTGTGCGGATTGCGGGACATCCAAAGCCGGATTCTTAGTAAAGAAGCCATCCGGCTTCAGCATTACACTGACACGCTCCATGGGCATGACCGGAAAGTCTTCAATGCGAGGGTTATGAGTAAGACCAAAAGCTAGTAATCGTCAGTATTTCGCACAGGCATGAAATGACCAGGTGAGGAATATGCTTACTATGCCAAAGAATGACATCGTCATTCTCAGTGTTATCCTTACGCTGCACCCAAGTCTCCACGCCCTCTGCTCGTCGACTCTGGTTTGTGAATTCACCGGCTGCATATAATTCATCATCTTGGTATTTGGTGACCCAGATCGGCTTGGTAGCAAACTCGGCACGGCGGTAGCCTAGGGAGTTCTTGCCGACCAACAGCATCTGACTTGGAGCTGTTTGCAACTTATATGAGACGGGCTTATAGGTCACTGGGTTAGTGATATTATCATTTCGGATTTTGAAGACTCGATGGCGGTCAACACTGGTGTTGGCCCAGCCCGAGGTGTTCATCACGGTAGGCTCTGTGATATATCCAACTTGCCAAGGATTATTCTCATCTTCGGGCATAGGCACGCTGTCTTCGTAGTACACGGTATTTTTGAATCCATCGATGGCAGGGTCGATACGGAAAGAGAACATGTGTTGATGGAAAGGTGCCATAACTCCAGGGCCCACATTAGTTCCCCATGGTACAGTTTGCCCATTTTCGTTCTCAAATGGAACGGTGGAAAGAATTCCAGTGGCCCGGACCTCCAGTTCAACATTTCCAGCCTGATCGAAGATGTACGCAAAAATGTACTCATAGTTGGCAACAGTACAGATCATCTGTAGAACCAATTGTCGGTTACGCACGACGGTAGCTGCTCCGGAACGATAGTTTGTATGCTTATGTTGCAATCCATTGTCTTGCTCGTGCATACAAATGACGTTTTTCATTTGCACTGGATTTCCTTTGCAGTCATTCCGATAACCATCAAAATATTTAATATGTCCAAGACAGTCACATCCAAGTGAGAGCTGATTGGCATTCATACCGAAGCCGGTGTCGCCAACATCAAATGCCTGCTTGCGGTGATAGGGCGCACGGGGATCTAAGAGAATGTAAGTAAGAGCGCATCGCTTGTTCTGGATGAGTTTCCATTACCTCCATACGGCACTGTCATTTCTGACATGGCCAGTCGGTAGAAGACATTGCGATTATCATAGGTAATATTATATAGCACCAAGCCCTCCCGAATATTGAAACCAACACGGAAGCGCCATTTCTGCCAGTATACAGAATTGCCCTCCGCGGTATAAGACGGGCCTTCCGGCTGTTGAACGATGTATGGCTTGAGATCTGTGCGAACAGGCTCGTCATGAAGATCGTGGGCATATTGAATTGCCTCGACGGGTTTCCAAGGCTGCGTCTGTTGCGTCTCAGCGCCCGCGCGCCCAGGGAGATAATCCATTCGAATAAGCTCATGTGTTAAACCATCAAACACAGGTGAGAATTTGCATGGTAACGAGTAGTGGTTGTGTTGTGGATGATCCACCGAAATCAGATACATAAAGCACTGGAACAGCCGCCGTGTTTCGTTCTCGTTATCGGTGCCGTACATCCAAGGATCATTGCAGACTGTCACACCAGGAGGCAATTGCATCTTCTCAATTTCGGCAATCACGGCAGGGTGCTTCATACACATGGCTTCGATCTCGCCAATCTCATCGGGGTCAATTGGGCCCTGGAAGTTAAATTTCGTCAGAACCAAGGATTCTCCCGCTTGCCTACCGCGTGGGGGTGCAGACTGCAAGGATGGTTGTGCATACCTGGACTTCGCGCGGCAATTCCTTTGCATAAACAATGGTGCGCGTATCGGCATTCAAAATAGCCTTGTAGAATGCGCCACTGTCTAGACGATGAAACAGGGTGTATAGAAGACGTGCTGGCGGCCTGGGCAGCGGTCGGCGCAGCCGCTCAGCCTCAATGTATGATATGACATCTTTCTTTATAGGTTCATTGACGTCGATTCGCTTGTATCGCAGTGGCACGCCAGGGAATGTAGCCTCGAGGATGCGCACGGCGAGCTTAATCTCCTCGGGGGTGATTGGGTCAAACGGATGGGGCGATCCGGCCACCATTATCGTAGAGGGAAGGGTTGGACTTGGAAATCAAGTGGTATGGTATATGAAGAGGAAGATGTTGAAAAGGGAAGAGAACCAAGCTCGGATAAGCAAGCTTAAATAGACATGGGTAATAAAGAGGGGAAGATTCACGATATCGAACGTCGCATATGATCGATCTTCTTATCGGGAGAAAGTGCGGGTGGACCTACCCGATTTGGTAAGCTTCAGGCCGATCAATTGACGATGAAGCGAACTGAGAGGCTTGGCTAAGGACAATGTTGCACAGCAGATGTGGGATAATAGACATAAATATTAATTCTGACTTATATTATACATGTAAGCTGAATATACCATTGACCATCCAAACTTTCAGGTTGGAGGCAAGGTATGGGATATTCATGGATCTAATTGGATTGACTGTGGTATATCCCTAGTAGCAGATGGGAGCGAAAATATACTACTATATCCATTGCATTTTCACATAATGGAGATCTGAATCGTATTCTCTCTTTAATAAATGGACACCAGGCTGAATCTATCAAACAAAAATTTGTATAAGACACAAAACAATAAACAAATAAAATAAAATAAATTGATAAGGGAAGTGACTACCCCCACACGAAAAGTCACGTGTGGCGCAAGTCTGCCCCGATTAGGATTCTCCAGATTTGCTATCAATTCGCGGGGAAAAGTCCATTCTCTACATCAACTCATTCCGCCATGGCAACCTTTACGCCCAAAATAATCGACACTGGCTGGGGTCAACCTACCCCGGCGACTTCCGCGACAATCTCAAAGAAAAAGGTCCGAACTCGGCAAACTGGAACCGCATGGACTCGCTCAGGTTGTTTGACCTGTAAAAAGCGTCGCAAAGGCTGCGATAAGGCTAAACCGAGGTATATGATGTCCCCGGATTTATATCTAGGATATGCGTTTGACCAAGGTTTAGTTGCAATAATTGTATCAAGCAAGGTCGTGTTTGTGAAGGTTATGGATCCCTCTGGGTAGAACCATTGGGACCATCGACACAAACATTTCACTCCGATTCTGTGAAAAGCGGACAAAAAACCGATTATCCCCCGTCGCATCTATTGTCGCCGTCGCTATCTCCACAAATTGGCATATGGCTGAACGTACAACCGTCCCTCGTCTCTACATCCCCAAGCGAGTCCGTGCATTCATCGTCGCCACATAATCTTAGCGACGACAGTACCTTGCCATACCAAAGCGAAGGTACCGAAACTATTGATCCGAACGCTGAGTTGCTACAACAGTCACTAGCTGCCGTCCCCCGCCCACGGAATTTCATTCGGCATTTATCGAACCACGAGTCACATTATATCCAATACCATGTACAACATGGCTCACGACTTCTCGCCAACCTCGAAAGCGAAGATAACCCTCTACGGTCACTTCTAATCCCTCGAGCCATGTCATCTCCACTCCTGATGAAGGCTGTATGTGCAGTATCTGCACTTCACCTTGCAAACCGCACACAAACCTATACCGCTCAAACTGCCTCGGTTAATTACTACGGCCGGGCACTTAATGAACTTCGATCAGTAATTGTTGGGCCATCACCGGAAGCACTGTCAGATGATACCATGATAGCTGTGGGCTTATTGTGCAAATATGAAATTGTCCGAGGTAGTGTGAAACAATGGGTCGTGCATCTCAACGCACTTCAACGCCTAATTGCCAACCGGGGAGGCTTGCGTTCGATGGACGAAGACGCTGCATATTTCTTAAGAGGACTGTATGTTGTCAAAGTGCTTTCTAATTACTCTATGCTGACCAGGTATCAGATATCTATATGCGTATAATATGGCCCGAATCAGCAATCGTAAGCGTATCACTGCTTTCGAGGCCTGTCCTGCGGATACGGAGCTCGGAATGCCCAAATTGGATATTTACATTGGTTACACCGAGGAAATACTCAAAATCTGCTCCCGAATTGCAGAACTGCCATCGCTGGAAGGCGATATGGCATCCATGCGTCTAGCAGTAGCTTCTATGTGAGTCCAAATTGCTACTACCAGCGGTCCTTTCTTTAACACCTTAGAGGAAACCAAGACCAAGTTATTAACATCGCCCTACAGAAACGAATCTCTGCTCACATGGTCTCACGCCTCTTGTCCCTACATAATTCCAAAGGGACACTCGCCTGAATCCCTATCCCGCCTACAGCTGGTTGCGGAATGCTATCGAGACGCGGCTTTCGTCTATCTCCACTCCATTCTCGAGCGTATGAGCATGAAATTGACCAGCCATACCGCTGCCGCGGAACAGGATACTGGAAACAGTTCATATTTGAATGATCTGACCACTCTTATATTCACCCCTAAAGCCACTGCCGTCCATCGCTGTCTAGCGCGAGTGGAAACCTTTTCCTTGGATAACCATGTTGAGTACTCAGCACTGACTTTTCCGCTATTTATCGCGGGGGCTGAAAGTAGTGTACTCGAGCACCGCGATCTGGTTATGCACTCTTTGGGAAACCTCCAGGTTAATTTTGGGATCGGCAATGTCAAGCGCGCAAAAGAATTACTGGAACTTTTGTGGGCAAGAAAAGATGCTAATCTTTTCAATGAGATTGGAAACGCGGACTCAACCTTCATTGTGCAGAATGCGCATTGGCAGGATATCTTAGAAGAGTTGCAGTGGGACGTAATACTTGCCTGACATTTGCATTTCTTAACATGTTTTTATATTGCATACTACTGTACGATATTACGATTTTTGAGCGAAGTATGTATAAATGGTGATACCAGCTTCAATCCAATAAGTGGGGGTATTTGAACTATCAAGTGTCACTCACAGCAAAGCGTAAAAACATAAAATAATAGCAATGAGCAATCACGCTTCCGAGCCAAGGAGAGAAAAAGGAGAAAAGATATTGAAGCACAGCAGATCTTGTAATCTATGATCAACTCAATCCCATATTCACGTCGTCGCTTAATCCAAATTCGCGTTCTACTCGTTCTGTCCCATCTCCTGCCCTTGTAGACCATATATCATGACGATCCTGTGAATTTGCAACGTCTTTCTCTCGCAGACTCGAACTCTCGCTCGTTGCCAGACTACCCTCTCGGACATTATATTGTGAAGACTTGCGCGAGCCTTGGATACTAATTGGACGCGATGGCGTGGTTCGTGTACTTGCCGACCCGTCCACATTTGCTCCAGTAGAGCGGCCACCATCAACAGAGGGTGATACATCAACAGCAGCACGATCTTTATCCTTGCTGCTGCTGAACCAGCGTCGACGCCGGTTTTTGAGCGGAGTAGTAGATGACAGACCGATCCGCTCCATCTCGGCCTCCCTATCGTTTCCCGACTCTTTATTCTGATTTTCCCGTTCGAGCGCCTGGCTAAGGTTGGAAACTGTCTCTTCGGACGAGTTGGTCCCATCCGGGTGTATGTCGACTAGCTGCGCGTCGCGGTACCATTTACGTCGGCGTGTGTATCGGTCCCAGCCGTCTTGTCCGCGGCGTCCATCGTTCCACTACGACGAGTTAGTCCAGTCTTCTCTATGGGAGTTGGCCATACAACATACCTTATTATCATAGTAAATCCAACCATCGGTAGAGGAGGCTTTGACCTCCGACTTGCTATTTCCATCTCCGCCTTCAACTCGCCATTCGCTTCCTTCGACCCATCGCCATTTGGCATCACCTGTTCGTACATCAGGTAATTCGAATGAATCTTTCGCTGGGACAGCATTCAGGTGCTCGTCGGTCCAGGCGCCGCGCTCCGCTGGGAATAGTGAGTAAGTCCACCCGATTCCAAGCCAGCGCCGTTGGTTCTCAAAAACCACAAATGTAAATCGAACACCGCCGGATTCTCCACGGCGTTTTGTCGATATATTCAGCCCCATGCTCTGGGTTTGAGCTTTGGGGGCACTACTCGGCCCATCGACGACAGAGAGTCCGGTAACTACCGCACAGAGTCGACGGACCAAACGAGATCTCCATAGAATGACACGTGAAACTCGTGCAGGTCGCGAGTGGTAGGTGAGTACCACGGTGCCGACAATCATAATTATTCGGCGTGTGGTAATTAGGTAGAAAGGAGGGAGAGTTAAAGCAATCCAGATCGGTGTTACCAAGAGGATGCGAAGAAATAAGGCTGTCAATGCGGGTTTGGTTGTAGCTGATGTCGGCGTCCGCTGGGTAGATAGGAAATCGGTCAGATCGAGTAGGGGCTCCAGAAGGATATTACATCGCGTGGTGAGCTCGCGCAGCGTCTCAACAATATCATCGAGACTCTTTTGATGGCGGGTCGTGGTTTCCAACGAGGGTTTCCGCTGATGTTTCTCGCCCGTTGATATAGTTGATGATAGAGGCGAGTATCGCCTCCCATACATTCCCAGAATGAGCCCGATCACGACAAGTATCGGGCCAGCCCAAAGAATGACGGCATCACTGTATAACACCACCGCCCAGAAGGTGGCTACGAGCAAGAAGCTCTGCCATGGGTCCCCTGTGGACCATGTGATTAGACCGACGAGTTTGTTGAGTGGGAGTAGAAATGGATGTGAGTAGGCTAACGCCCTGGTGATGGATGGTGGCGTAGCCACCAACAAAGGTGACTTGCGATGCACGATGACGCTCGAACGCTGTCGCGAGGTTAAAGCCGAGCCAGCGATGGTGGAGGGGGTGAAGGCAGCGACGGTTGGCGGTTGGGAGTCAGGATTGCCATGTTCCTGGGGGTTGGATGAGGGGGCCATGGAATCTATCCACGGGAGATCTTCTGGATGTCGCATGAGCATGGGGTCGCAAACAAGGTGGTACATATAGCCTTTCAGCCTGAGCTGGGAATGATTAGGCAGATAGAATATTGGGACATACCGAGAGCTGCCATCCAATTACGAGGGCGTCATAGAGGAGATGTATGTGCCGCCGATCGACAGGCAGGCATCCATTGTTCTTATATTTGTTGAGGATCGAAGGTTCGTTCGGTTCAGCTTGATCTGCGGGGAGCTCGGGGACATGTGACTGTGGATTCTGGGTTGAGGATCCTGAGGCCAAAATAAAGTGACTGGAGTTTATTGTTTCTGTAATTTCAGTGTTTATGATGAACTGATAAAATAACCTCCATTTATAATTCTCTTTAAATTCTGTTCTCTGAAGAAAATAATCCCTTCTACCCCATCAAATACCCCATAATGCGGTCGGTGGCTGCATAGATCCAACTTGCTCCGACCTGCCGACGCTAAAACACGCGCCGCCGAAATTTTCCCTTTTTTCCTTTCTTCACCTCCTTGTGATCTTCGCATTTGGTCCCCTTCCATTCTCGACATGGTAAGTCTCAATCAGCCCTGAACGCCCTCAACCTATTTTCTACAACTGGCAATTTTTAAAAAGTCGATTTTTCTAATGCCTTCTCCCTCCAGGCTCATCGTATTGTCTCCCAAGTCGTCGTTACCGGAGCCCGGGTCTTCGGCCGCGCCTTCGCCGAGGCCTACAAGCAAGCCCAGGCCGCTGGCAAACATAACGCCGGCAAGAAAGGTAGCGGTGCCTTTTCTTCTTCCTCCGGAGTCACCCTCGATGAGGCCTGCAAAATCCTGAACATCAAGCAGCCTACGGCCGCTGGTGAGGCCAACCTCGAGCAAGTCATGGAACGATTCAAGAAACTCTTCGACCTGAACGATCCCCAGAATGGCGGCAGTTTCTATCTGCAGAGTAAGATTCTGCGCGCGCGCCAACGGATAGAGATGGAAATTCAACAGGCGGAGCGAAAGGCCGCCACCGAGCAGGAATTGAGTGAAGGCTGGAAACCCAAGGTCTACAAGGACCGGTGAAGCGAGCACGGTTGAAGGCATGATCCTGGTCTCTGCCCATCCTCTTCCTTTCGCATTCCCTCTATGCGATATTCATATTCGCTCTTGTGTCGACGTCCAACTCCTCTTCCTCCTCTCCTCGTCTTGAGGGAGAACTCTGGATTCCGATCGACTTTCTTTATTTGGCATAGCATGGCGTTTTTTGGATTACGACGGGAGACAATTGTTTGCTCTCCCTAATTAGACTGGGAGCTCTCCTCTGTGATCTACGGGGTGCTGTGACTCCATCGCATGGGCAGACACGCCCGATCCCCTCGGCCTCCGGGTCTTTGTGTATACCATCACCCTTTATCTTGTTTCTCCACTCTGACTCAGAAAACATTTATGTATTATACATGTATATTTGCGCATCAGCGCAATGCTATTCCAGTTGTTCCTTACTAAGATATGTCAATTCCAGTAGTGAAATACTCGTACTTTTGTTCTTTTTTTCCTTATACTTTGTACTTTGCCACCGCCGGAGATCGTCGAAGATTCTCAGGAACACGAAAAACCTTGATGCATAAAACCATGCTGCCGCGAGAGTTGTACTAGCGCACACTAGTCAGTCATCCACAAAGACAAACATGGACTGCCAGGACTGGGATCGGCTCCTTGCCTTGGGTGAACAGATCAAACTAGAAGTAACATTTCCGCCCCGCCATGGCGCCATCCCGGTACAGCGGAGCCGCGGAAAGTTCTCACGGATACATAAGAGAACGAAGACCAGTCTTACTTCATTCGCACGAGAAGGAGCTGGCTTTAGGGAGAAATAATTGTTGAATATAAGAACACTTGGTTCGGTCTGCAAGATATCGAAGTGCTTAATGCCGGACTTGTCCCAATCCCCAGCCTCTTTAATCCTCTCCAACAACTCACATAGAGTGGTTTGTTGATGAGAAAGGAGGATTGGGAGAGGGAAGATCGGGGGACACCCGCCAATAAGCAAAACACCAACCGAGTGATACACCAGAGGTGCAAACACCCGAGTGGTGAGCTATTCCATTGAATCACTAATATAGATTTACCTTGATACAAAGTACGACATCGGTCCTATCACGGTCGATCGGATCAGTATGGTCGAGTCGGACTCGAGCGAGTATTCGGATTACATGGTAACTGCTCAGCATCTATGCAGATGAGCCGGGCAGTTGAGAAGCGACAGACTGAGTTGACCGAACCGAGACCGTGGTAAGAGACGATTACCTAGACGTAAGTTCCGCTTGACGGTATTGTCAGCGAATCCAGTTTCCAATGGCAAAAGAAGGTCACGGGTATAAAGACACGTGGATTCTGAAATAGAAGTTAAACTAGGCGCAAGAGGCTATTACCCACCATTAACCCTAAACCCATATAATTACTCCTCTAAGACATATAAAGTGGGTATCATTTCGAACAAATCGAAAGAAACGAATGAAAACATCAAAGTGATTCGTTTCGGTCATGAGCACTATCACGGCTCCAGGATTCTCTCCTTGGGTCGAGTTCGGATAACTCATGGTTGAGGGGGCGGTGGCGGTGGGGAGCCAGCTGGGACAGGCGGCGGCGGTGGTGGGATATCACGATGTTGAGCAAATTGCTCTGCCGTTTCGTACACATCACGCAGCACGTATCGCTGTTCGACATATTCATCGAAATTGGCTGATATTATAACCTCCAGAAGACTTGAGTGCGTGGAGGGTGTCTTCGACAATACATCCAAACGATTTTTCAAAGCACGATAGGCATCTGAGAAAGCACGAAAGATGAGTGGAATTTCTTTTGTCCCGCCAGATATATCATTGGAAGGGTTATTAGGATCCTCGATCATGAGACGCTCCTTTTGGCCAAAGTACTGCGTTCTTTATAAGCACAATTACACGATATATATGAAGTTGGATATTCGACTCACCTTATTTACGAAACCCGGCTCATTCATCCGAAGGCCAACATCTCGGTGATTAAATTCATTCCCATAGAAGTTGAAGAAATTGAGTAATATGTCACCGACATTCTGTCGATGGTTCTGTGGCATATGCTGGAGGAGATGGGTCACTAAGCAAGTGATTGAAAATCCACCAAGACCTCCCGTGGGCACCTCATTCAACCCTCTGATGAGCAGAAATTGTTTTATCACCGAGACGATGACTGGCATGGTTGGATATTGTGCCTTCCATTCTTGGAAGGTTCTGTTGGCGAGAAGGCCGCTATCATTGTCAAAGGACAAATCCACACGAATTCCCGTTAAATTGTCAATGAATTTCAAGATGGGCACTCTAGCATGAGCAATAGTTTCGACAGATCCAGGAGCCGCAATGCCCAAGTCTCGCAAGAATGCAGCAAATGAGTATATTTGGCCCTTCCTTTCTCCGTAGAACTTGTTACCGCTATTTTGAAACGAGGTTGACAAAAGGACCAGATCAATATCTGCCACAGGGAGATACAGTCCGGATGCAAAGGAGCCAAAGGGACGTATTTGCACTTTACCATAGCGGGACTGGAATGCTCTCTCCAGACGGAACACCAAATCCGAACGGACCAGTTGTTCAAAGCGATGCGGCCTGACCCAGTTGTAGAAAGCGATAACTTCATGGTGTAGCCTGAATTAATTGTTAGCTTCATTGCATCAAACATTCCCAAAAAGAGACTAACATGGTGCTAGGATTCAATGAGCGCGGAGTGCTCGCCATCCAGGGCGTAGGGTCTTGACCAGAAAATGGCCGCCAATCACTGAGAATAGAACCATCTGAATTGAATCTTCGTTGTGGCTTTCCAATTTTCGTTTTAATAACTCTGGGTTGCTCCTCGCGTCCACGTTTTGTGCCCGCGGTGCCCCGAATTTCCATGCCTTTAGGACCTCTGGGAGCATTTTCGGGCGCTCTCTGTTCCTCACTAAAATTCTGTCCGTTGCTGGCTGGTGGAACGTCAACCATTCCTAGGGAAATGAAGTCCTGATTATCAACAACCGCATCGTTTTGCTTCTTGTCGCCAGCATTGTCAAGCCGCGCTTTTCGAATCAACTTGACGAAATCGACCCTCTTATGCTGACCCTCATCAGGTGGTGGCAGCGCCGTATACGGATCTGGGTTTGACCATTTGGGGGTGGGCGCTGCAGCTGGTGCAACTGGTGCAGCTGAAGGGCCCTCGCCATCAAGTCCTATGGCGCGCTTTTTGCGCGGGCGCGCCTCTTCATCCGAATCGTCAGAGAAGTCCATTTCTGCTTCCTCGCTATCACTTAGAGCATCGAGCGACGCGAATTTCGGTGCAGCGTGTACGTTATCCTCGGGCTTTAATTGCTCTGGTGTTGTTTCTCTCTTTGTGGTGAGCAAAGGACGTTCCGAAGTCGGTGGTTTCGGGAAGCGAAAGGTGAAATCATGTCGGGGCCGTGGACGACGGTCTCTCGGTGGCCCCCTGCCACGGTCGTTTGAGGGAGCATTCCCTCGGAATTGAAATGGAGGTGCGGGAGGTGCCATAATTGACGCGCACAGTAGGCCTCATATGAAAGCTGCGCCGGTCGATGGAAAAGTCACTCGCTAAGAAAAAAAAAGTCGCCAAGTCGCGTATCGCGTGGTTTTGAAATTATGAGTAGCTCTGCGATATAACGAACAAGCGCAGGCCTAGTGTGGGGGGAACAAGGGAACAAAGGAACAAAGGGGAAGTAATACAACAACTGGCGACCGACGAATGTGTGTCGAGAAAAAAAAAGCGCCTAATCAAGCAACTGCGTGATTGCGGCAGAAAGGAATATATACCCTTAAATAGTAGGCGGTAGAAACCACGGGCAGCATTGTTCTGCGTCACTGGTATTTTGGCTGGAACCAACTTCTAAGTACATACAGTGCTCCGGAGTCGATACGCCAAATCTCTTTGTATCGCCATTTCCGAGAAACTGACTCTTTCCAATGTCCACTCTAACCAGTCTCCAGCCCTGGCGCCAATTCCATGGAACAGCCCTATACTAATATCAATTAAAAGTGGCCGCTCATCACAATGCCAGAAAGCCGTCGCTCCGCACCGCGCACAGAATTCCCGATATACCCCAGGAGAGCTAATATACCGGCGCATGGTACCTCGACTGAATGTCAACGGGGAGCCATCGGGATTCAATATGTTAGATTTTGGCACAAACGCCCACGTCTGAATGGGAAACCCGCTTCCCAGTCGGCAAGACGGACACATACAAGTCCCAGCTAAATATTTAGTGTTTTTGGCTCGAAGCCACCATTTGATATTGTCTGGGTTCTCTGAAGAGCCGGAATGATACGGAACTAACAGGTCAGGCCATGGTGACGAGGTCTGGTGGGACGATTCATCAGGACGACTGAGATAGAACTTGATACCACCACAATGGCATCTGGCCGGCAGTCCATCTTGAAGAGGATTTACAGATTGCGATAATGGTACATCTGATATATTCGCGGCTGTCTTCCTGTTAAAGACCTTTAGCCTGCAGCCAACATCTGTTATCTGGCCGAGAAGGATCGCACTCAGGCCTCCATCACCCGTATCATCTACACCCCAGTGATGTATCGATTGCACAGACGGGGTATCTTTAGCACTCAATACGCCCGATGCGACAAGGAATTGTCCTGCTGACTGGGCAAGTATATGGGCCCCGCAGATAGGACAAAAGAAGCGGCTCAGATTGGGGGATTCCCGATACTGTTGGAGCCGATCTAAGGAAGGGGGCGTATGCTCCATGAGGTAATAGGATGTGCAAAGTAACCCACTCACTGCCCGACAGTTACTACAATGACATAGTTGAAGTTGACTGTGGTCGACCGAAGGGTCTAGCTGCACCGATAAAGCTACGCCTCCGCACAGGCAAGTAACCGAGGTAGCCATGTAGTTGAGCAAGTATATTGTTTTCCGTTTTGTTTTGAAAAAAGAAAAGTTGTGAACTTGATAAGTAAATCCAATGAATAACCACGATATTACCAATATTGTAAATGGCAAGCCTGCTTTGCTAGTGCTTCATTCCTTCGTAAGATCAGTTGGGGCAACCTTTCAGCTTCGTTGTACAAATACACGAACAGCGAGCTGCGTCAAATATGTGCTCAGGCGGGGCCAAGCGTGCAGAAATGTGCTCTCATTCTCTCTTGGAGGAATTCTCCCAATCAGACCATAGGAAAAGATGAGAGGAAGGTCAGATCCGTTCAACGAGTCATATCCCGGAAAGTCACGGGCTCCCGGACGTTATAAAGCAACCAGCTCCGTCTTCTTTCCTCCCCCACCATCCCACACTACCACCGCTCATCTGCTCCAATACAACCAATTTTTCTTTCCCAATCACCACACATCTTCTTCAAAATGGGTGAGTTCTTACTTGTCTAGTCAGACTTGTTTCCGGAGGGTACTGGAAATCTGGATTGATTGATTGCCTCTGCGGTGACCTCGGGCGGGGTCATGGCGGGGTTCAACCACCCTCGTATTTCCACGAATCTTGCGCAGCTCTCATTTCAATACTGACCACGTACACAGGTCCCGACCACACCTGCAGCTGCGGTTCTTCTTGCGCTTGCCCTGCTGGCGCTTGCAACTGCCCCGTATGTGTTAAGAGATCTTTCACAGTTGGAACCACCTTGACTAACCTCACGTCACCCACCACAGAAATAAACAAATCGCTTATGATGCACTCCTTCGGGAATCACTGGGCTTTTTGCACTGAATGCCGGTTCATGGTGGAGATCAGAAGCTGAGAATTGAAATATGATGAAGGAATGACGTTCATTAATTGGAGGTGCGCATGGGGATGAAGGAATGGGATGCGACAGCCTCAAAATTCGGATGGTCCAAATCTCTTAGTCGATTTACGTTTAGTTCAATTTTCGATCTTTGAGTGGTTTCTCAGCTACTTTTATTCAAAATTCTCAAGTACCTTGTGGGCATCCGACCCAATATTCGGGTTATCTAGACTCGGTGGAGGTAATGAGCTTAACTGCAGTGCATCAAAAGATCTGTATCAGACGCAGAAGTTACCACCGCCATCGTAGCTAAGTTGAAGTTCTATCTCAACCTATCTTACCTGGAGAACCGCAGCTTTCTCTTGACGTAACCTTCTCCGAGGTACCCTTCGGGGTTCAACTACCCCGTCGGGGAGCTAACTCAATCAGCGGGCCCCAACTGATTCAAACACCGAAAGCAGGCCCCAGCCCTGCCTACAGGCATCTTGGAACCACCTGTTTTGCAGCTTCTCGTCGATGTGCCCTGATACGGCTAAGACTCCACACTGCAGTAAGTGGATTTCCCTCGCCTTGCGCGGCTGACCGTTGCCGAGTAAGCTCTTTTGCCCATGGACAAACATTGTTACAGCGCAGGCTCCAAGAATACCGTAGTAATGGACCCTCGGGTAATCAGTGTGAGAGCCTGGTCTTTACGATAATCTTGTCGGGACCAATAATAAGGCTACGCAATGCATGTCGGAAGGGTCCGTGGCACCCTACAGATGTGATATGCTCCGCTGTACGAAGCATGTAGCTTCAGGTTTTATGCAGGATGAAACACTCCGCTTTTCCTCTTTTCTCGGCATCCTGCCTTGATCCTTGCCATTTTTATGAAGTCTAGGCTAGTATGGAGTATGATGTGGGCCAAAAAAGCCATCTCGGGCACCATCTTGCGCCTCCAAAAGGGAAGCTGGTAACATAACGAACGAAACACGAGCATGCTGTTTTTGCTATCAGGTCAGTAGCAAATAGCATGATTGCTACCTAGCTAAGAAAGTTCACCTCATTCATTCTTCGGGTTATTTCCGTAAAACTGTATTCCACCGCTGATCCCTTCCACCCGAGACATTCCATCTGATACCCATCTCCCATACAGACGTCTCGTTATGTCCTCTTTTCCCCACCTTTGATATATCGTTTGGAATAGACGACCTTGGAAGACAACGCAGAGTCTCTTTGAAGCCAACTTATTGGTTTTGACTGCATGCACATCAGAAAACAGGTTCGGTGGCCTGCCAATGGGCCCTTGAAGCGCCCCTCCTCCAAGGTCCTCAAAACCGCGCAGAAGCAGCCTTCTCATAGGCCGCCACGCCAGAAATGCGGTCCTGCACCGCTCGTAGCGCCAGAAAATTTATTTCATCGGAATAATCAAGCCCCCACTACGTACTACTGGGCGTAATTCGTTATATACCTATGACTCTATCCATGAGGTAATGGCCCAGAGGCCCGTCCCGAAGGCTGGTGGATCTGGTTCCAAGCAAGTTGCGCAGGCGAAAACCGATCTAAACGAAGACCGAAACATTAACATGATCATGATTATGGTACGATGAAGATCCACATCTGTTGTTAGAGGCAAAGTCGACGTTTTATCATATGGTGTCTGGTTCCACGTCTACATATCGGATCCACCTCGGTCGTCCAGGATGCGGTTTTTTGTAAGTACCTATATGCCTCATAAAGGAGTTTACTTTACTGTCAGCCAGGTAGCTCCATAATCACCAGGCGGCTTTTGTGGGTCCTGGCTTTCATTGCAATTGAAAAGGCATTTTATAAGTGCCCAATATCAAGCCACTATATGGGGCCGAACCAAAGTAAACAGCGCATAGAAGCGGACCCACCTCTCTCTACGGACAAACAGAAAACAGTAAAATAATCAAAGCAAACTATGTGTAGTTTGACCATCTCCGCGTAGCAGGCTAAAAACGGTACGAAGAACAAATAATAGTGTAGTGTACAGAAACCAACCTCCCACACACAACCCACACCATCCGCATGAACTTAGACGGTCCGAGCATTGCCAGCAGCCTGATCGTCAAAGAGTAACCAGATGCAACTACGGATGCAAGATGCCAGAACAAGACAAAAGATCGGAGCACACCCTCCCACTCCAATGAATGGCCATCACTATTGGCGAGATCGTCTGGGAAAAGAAAAAGAGGTCGATCATTGGAGAAAGCGTTAGAGTTACCACGTCCCATAGGCGGGTAGCGCGTGAGTCCAAACTAATGTAGGAAGTGGAGAGTAAGTGGAGAGTGGAGACGTCGTGAGGAGGGGCTTGCGCATTGCCCTACTTTGCATGCTGGGTCCATTTGACTCGACCACGCGATGCTGGGCTTTACCTCCTGCAGGTAGGTGGGTGTGTGTACTCCGATAGGATGACGCGCTATTATTGGATTTGGAGATGGACAGTGAGTCTCCAGGAAACAGTTAACAAATTGGAAATTACTAAACTTTGACCGGAGTACGGAGTACAGTACTTACTCTCTGGGGCAAGCCTTGTGAAAGCCTCAAGTATAAAGCTAGCCTCATATCCCATCCCATCGTTACTTTCTTTTGATTTTCAAGCTCAAATCAAATCAGATACCTTCAACTTCAAAGCCTTTAATAACAATTTTTGTGGTATATCCATCAAACAATCAATCAACATGTCTCCCTGCACCTGCAACTGCTGCTCCGGTGAATGTAACTCCTGCGCATGCTCGAGCTGCACTGTAAGTCTATATTCTCATCTCTATCCCGTTTTCTATGATCATTGGAGTCCTGATCATTCTACCAGCACTAAGCCAGCACTAAGCCAGCTTACACGCCCTCTCCACCGCCGTCCTCCAATACCTCGACAACACACACCAGGCCCGGTCTGCCGCTTCTATCGAACTAGATCTGCTACTCGGTGACACTACGAGATGTTGATGTGCTATGTTTTCATGATCGAGATGTCTTTTCTATAACTGCCTGCTCCAGGATGTATGAGAGTCTTTTGGTTGGGGTGAGCTTCAAGCAGGTCTTGCTGGCCTCGTGTATGCTGTGTTTATAGGTTTTTATATGCTGTGAAATTATCAATAGTACATATTCATATAAATACTGAACTTGAAAGTGCATCTTCATATGTAAGATAGCCGGTAGAGCGTACGGCGCTGTGATCATCGACTTGGAACGTTGAAGTATTTACAGGTTAAACCCCAAGTTCAAGTTAGAAGCAGATTCTCGTTTGTTCTGGAGATATATGAATAATTATTGGTTTAATATATTAGCGTGAGAAATGTTTCTTACGCCAAAGGCGAGAGGGAGGCTGCAACCTGAGTTCACGCAACGTCGGCGAAGGCTCGGCGAAGGCAACGAGTCACTAAATTACTTAATAGGGGTCGAAGTTACTGTATATAGCATGTTTGGAAAGACGAGGGTTCGAAAGAAATTGATTACTGTCCTGTTCTACATGGAATCTACGGCTGCTCAACAAGCCCAACCGCGATCAAAATGACGGATCGTACTTCGACTGAGGCGAATCGTTTCGATTACCATGAAGAGCTGCCAGCCGACAAAGAAAGAGTATGGAGTCTTCTCCAATCATATAGCCACATTCCGCGCGACGAAATTGAGAGCCACCTAAGAGACATTGTAAGGTCCTGTTTCCTTTCTATCACATACGCTGTTGCTAACCGAAATATGTAGCGTGAAACAGGATGCAAGGTTTTTTACCATACGGTTGCATTAGTCATTGAATCTTCCCCGATTGTGTCATTACAACTTGAAGTTCGCCAGAGTATTTCAACATCCTAGAATGCCTCAAATCTGGAGGTGTCTTGCTTGATGCAGGGTGTGCTTTCGGCTATATTCTTCGACAAATTGCCATCGATGACGCTCCTGCAGCGAATCTCATTGGAATTGATCTCCAACGGGGCTTCCTCGATTTAGGCTATGACCTCTTCAAAGATCGTGACACATTTGAAGGCAAATCTCTAGCCAGCGATTTACTGAACCCAGACGACCATTCACTTGATGTAATAAACGACACGGTAGATGTTAGTCATGCCGCGGCATTGTTCCATCTATTTGATTGGGAAGACCAGGTGTCTCTGGGCACACGACAGGTGAAATTCTTTAAGAAAGATGCAAAACAAGCAATGATAGTTGGCAGGCAAATCGGGACCCTGTAGCCCTTTAATCATGCTACCTACAAGGAGCAAGATGGCCCAGGCTGGTACCGCCACAACCTTAAGACATGGCAAGATCTCTGGGATGAAATCGGCGACAAGACGGGAACCAAATGGAAAGTCAACAGAACCATTCGAGAGATGCAACAGTCTGCAGGCAGCAGTTCAGGCAGAGCTGGACTGAAATCTTGTTATTAAAAAGGTTAAGTTTGCATTAAAGATGGTGTCTATTCCCGGCCAGATATATGAGTATACAGGGAAGTGGTTCATGTAGATCCATGTAGATCATTAGGCCGAGGTTCAAGTTGGTAGTATGTATCGTGAACATTATTGAAAGTAGCGTCAGCCATCCCCTCATTATTCCGCAAAGCTTCAGCAATATATCCAATGGAATTCGTATCTGCCATACACACATGAGAGCCCTGAAGTAAGGTATGTAACTTGACTGCGTAAGTATCTGTATTTTTTAAGAAAATAAACAAGGAAAGTTGCTAATTTCATCTTTTGCCTAATCAGATCTAGTGTATCCTGGCATTCAGGGTCCGGGGAACAATGAAGGAGTGCTGGGGTGGACACCGAATTTCGGAAGTAGTTTAAACAATCGTACATGCAATGGTGGGTGGCCAGAAAAGACCCTCGGCAGTATTTACAGCTCATCCTTTGAGGGAGCAGTCTCCTCTTCACCACCAGGGCAAACAGCTGGGGTGGTCACAAGCATCGAGTACACGCACTTCTCATCCTCGGCGATCTTCAAGATTTCATTTTGCTCACCACATTCCAAGATGACTTTGGTCGATCGGTTAGGACCATTCCAGCAGGATTGTCCACGCTCATACTCCAATGCCACCTTTTCAATGTTGATGACATCTCCCGTTTCGCTAAGCTCCTCAACAGTGGTGATGCTGATCTGAGTGAATTTACCCATGGACATATTGGAGCCACCTTTCTTTTGGATCTGCTTTGTTGAGTCCAAGAAGCAATGCTCGTATTTATATTCACCTGCATCTTTTTCGATGCATTGGCCCTTCAGAGCACGGAAAATTCCCGACGAACCATAGTCCTTCTCTAAATCGGACTGTTGGTCGTTAACCTTGTTGTTCAATCTGTTCAGAGAGTCCTCGGCGGACTTGAGTGCATCCCGTGCATCAGTCACTGCCTTCGACTCTGAGGAGGAATCACTGTTAGGCTTGGCCAGAATTCCATTGTCTTCCAGGAAAGATCGAGCAGATAGGACTTTGTCCTCAATAAAATCAACGAGTGATGGTGGAAAGTAGGCCGCCAGTTTGTATACTGTTAGAAAAGACATGTTAGCCGGTTTGAGAGAAATATCACTTTATAAAAGCTGTTCATACCTAGGTCAGACTCGGCGCAGCCATCGTCCTCATTCTCCCAGTGCTCCCAATCGACACCCGAATCTTTGCTATCAACCTTGACAATCTCTTCCAAATCACGTTCTTTGTCTTCGTTAATTCCGTCACCAAGTTCACGAGCAGCATAGTCCTCCCAGCTGCGCACAGCGCGCTTGACACCCTCATCGTTAAAGTTAGGGTTGTACTCGATCTTGAACTTGGAAAGAATCTCCTCGAGCTCCTTCATACGTTCGAGAGTATCGTCTCGCTGCCGACGAAGGTCTAGAGCACCCTCACGCAGTTCCTGCACACGAGCCTTCGCAACTCCCGCAAGAGCATTGACCTTGCCCTTGCCCTTAGTACGAACAACCTTGCGTTCTTGCTCTTCAACGACCTTCAGCGCAGCCTGGAGGCCCGCTACCTTAAGATCCGCTTCCTTAACCTCAGACTGCAATTGATCGATGTTCTTCTGAATATCTGCCTGCTGTCGACGAGCCTCCACGAGAAGCTCCTTCTTCTTTTTCAAGGCCGCGGTCATGGACTTCTGGCGCTGCTCCTCCTCTTTGCGCCACTTCTTACCGATCTCCTTGCATCGGTCCTCGCACTTGGTACCTCCCACACGTGCCCATTCGTCACTACCATCACAGCATAGCTCATGGTCACAAATTCCATCGTTTACACGCTGAAACGGGACATATGAGGGTCGGTGGCCCTTGTTTTTGCAGTAGAACCCAGGCAATGCGAGAGTTAGTTCCATCTCACTGTGCCCTGGACGATCCGCCACGGTAAGCGGGGAGTTTTGCGAAAGATGCGAACAGGCAGCGGTGCCAGGCTCGTCACTGCCATCCGGACAATCGCAGAAGTCATCGTTAACAGCTGAAAATGGGATCTTAACGGCCGGGTTGGAGATACAGGTGAAGGTCTCTGTGTCCTGGTAGAATTTGGCAACTATTTATTCCGATAATTAGTATTCTGTGTGATGAGTGGCATTGGAATTTGTAGGCATATTGCCCCGATAATGGTCCACTGGGGTGTGTGGACACCATGCTCCGGGTGGGGATGCAGGATCAAAACACTCACATTCTGGACCTACACCACGGGGCCGGGCAACCTTGTCGCTGCTAGCATGGGCGATGGACCCAGCCACCGTCAACAGGAAAAGCGACTGAGATAATCTCATGTTTGAGGCATTGAGCTGGGGAAGAAGTGTGGAGAGAGCTTCCGGCCAGCTGTTGATAGTTATCCCCGGGCCAATCTAATCAGTGATTAGTCATCGCGCTATCTGAGGCTTCAATGTTCTTATCTTTATCGCAGTGGCAACCCATTTGCTACTTGAAGTCATTAATTGTGAAGAATCTCACGCAGCTCCATCCAACATGGGTAATGACGGCGGAAGGTAAGCTGCAGATATCTCTACTCTGATTTATTAAACATAATTGCGACCAAGTAGAATGTATCAAACGCTAACAACTGCTCAAGTATCCCCACCCGCCGAGAACTTGTCCGCGAAGCCGCTCGCGCTCCAACTACAACGCAGCTAAAAGAAACCCAGCGTGAGCAACAAGAACATGCCTGGACAACGTGCCCATTATCACACAAATCTCTCGCTCGGCCGATCGTCTCCGACTCAGTAGGCAATCTCTATAACAAAGACGCCGTCATTCAGTTCCTCATCCCCGGTGATGATGGCGAGGGCATTAGCTCCAAATCCGACTGTGAAGAAGTCTTGTGCGGGCGCGTGAAGTCGCTTCGGGATTTAGTTGAGCTGCACTTTGAGATCGATACCGAGCTCTCAGAGCATCCGTCCGATAAAGCCACTGCCCACCGTCATCAGCGTCGTGAAGGCTGGATCTGCCCTATTACCGCGAAGCCACTCGGCCCGAGCGTGAAGTCCGTTTACCTGGTACCATGTGGCCATGTCTTTGCCGAGGAGGCAATTCGTCAGTTGAAGGGGGATAAGTGTCTACAGGTGAGCAGACCGTTTATAAAACCTGCTTAGTAAAGTGGTATCTCAGCTAACTTGATGTTTCCCATCTATCTAGTGCGACGTGCCATATACTGAGGATAATATTATTTCAATCTTGCCGACCAAGGAGGATGATAAACAGCGCCTCATTGCTAGAGGCCACAAGCTTGCAGAGCAGAACCTCACCCACTCCCTTAAGAAAGCTCCTGGCTCGAAGAAACGCAAGAAGCATGCCGCTGGAGAGAACGCTACTGATGCCACTGTCGGAGCGTCTAAACCAGCTTCTGAACTTAATAACCGAAGCAATACCTCGACTCCGACTCCTGGTAGCGGTATCAAGAATGCCGCCGCCGCAAAGATCGCTGCAAAGGTCAAGGACGAACAGGACGAGAGGAATAAGAGACAAAAAGTCACAGGTCGTAATGAAAATCTGGACAGTCTTTTCACCAAGACGGACGACCAAAAGAAGGGCGGTGATTTTATGACGAGAGGCTTCAGTATTCCTGCTGCGGCAAGGAGATAGATTGAATCGATTTTATTTCACGTTTTGATATAGTTTATGCGTGTGATTGTCGAGGAGTTTCATGTGGAGTTCGAGGGCCTTGTATTCACCTCTTTTCTTTACTTTGCACACTGGGGTGCTGAATGCAATGAAAAACATGGGCTGGAGTTCTGATGTACATTTTCAACTACAAAATCCACATGCGCCTGTTAACAAATAAATAGCAAAATGCAATTGAAGTTATTTCTAGTATACACAAAATATGTCCTAATATCACAAGGCTTAGATCTCACGGAGTGCCGGTATTTTCTATCCCATGCACCTCGAATTTCCAAACCCTTGTACCGTGGAAAGCAAACCCCAAGCTTGCAAACCACTAGTCACGACTCGGTTCCTTGCGACGCTATATGAATTATTGAAGCCCAGATGGCTTGCTCTTGTCCTGGGGAACGTACAGACCTCTGTTGTAGAGCTCAGAGATAATAGCCTTCTTGCGACCAACAGCCTCATCTTGATCAGCCTTGGAAATACGCTTAGAGCTGAACTGGAGGTTGGGTGGCAGGACACCGGCACGGGCTCGCTTGGCTAGCTTCTTTGTGACATTGACAGGCTTCTCCTTGAGCCTGGTATCAATACCAGCAACAAATTCGCCAGTAGTGTTGGAGGAACTAATGATCTTGTCGGGAACGCGACGGCCGATGAGTTGAGAGAATCGCTTGGCAAACTGGGAACTGTTGTTAGCATAAAACCTTTCGTTGTACATGGTATATTGAGGACTAACGGCAAATTTGACATTGGGATCGGTCAATGACAGAGTACGAAGCTCGCTAGCAGCCTCTTTGTTCTCAAGGATGAACTTCTCTGGTGACCCAATTTGAATCTCAGTCTTCTCTCCAATCTGGTTGAACACAAAGGAAAGTGTCTCCATGGCCTTCTGGTTCGGGAACCGCAGAGCAGTCTCCCATGACTCGGAGCCCACAACAACACAGTCGTCAATCATTTTCTGGATCACATGGTGGTGTGTAGCAACGTTTGAGATATCAGCCAAGGGCTTGCCCAGCATTTGCATGAGACAGATCTCAACAGCCGTCTGGTGGAACGCGAGTGGCAATTTTCGGACCTTGACATCGGCATCGTATCTAAAGACAAATCAATGTATTAGCAACTGGTTGACCGACAATCGACAATCCTCCTAATCAAACTGCACAAGCTAAACCACCAATTACAGGTGATAAGCAGTGAAACATACCGAGTATACTGATCAGCTTCCGGATCAGAGCCCTTCACAAGCCATTCCTTCTCCTCAGTGAAACCAATCACGTCAAGACCATTCCAAGTATCGGCCTGGACATATTCACTGCCCACTGTCAGGTCTTCTCCGGACTCCTCTCCAGCCTTCAGGCCACCCTCCTCTTGTCCACTTGATTGCTCAGCAGCTTGTTTCATTTGCGATTGACCGGTGTAAGGATCGGCTGCGCCCGGGGGCTTTTCGCTCCAGAGTTGGCGGCGGGTTCGCTCGAGAAAGCCCGGGGATTCATCGGACGAGGCATAGCGGCGGAATTGGCGGGCTAGCGGGGAAATTCGTGGTAGTGTTTCTTGTCTGCAGTTCGAGCAGACATATAATGCCTCCCGGAGGGGAAGACGCATTGCAGGACGCATGATTGTGGTGTAGATGTTTTTGATGTCCTCGATGCTGGGAACTTTTGCGCGGCGTAACAAAATTTGGTCACGTGGAGAATCACGGTCTTGGCATTATAGTACAGATAGATAGAGGAACATCAAGAACACATCTGTTTTTGATTCTTTCCACAATTACAATGATATATTGTAGAAATTTTGCCTAATATAATAGAATTTTTATTTTTTTTTGGATTGAGGCCCCTCGAACACTGTATGCCAAACCTGCCCATAATGATTTTATTCATATCATTTCAGTGGAAACCACGGGCTTATACTAGCCTTTATTCTGCAAAGACTTACGGTCAGCAATTGGAAAATTGAATCCTCAAATCCGTTTTATATTGAAAAAATTGTATATACACATGCTTCGCTGATATCATAATATAACCAATCCGTTTAACCAGAAACGTCCGCACGTCAAAAGGAAATCAAACAGTGATTTTGTACGTGAACTTGTCCATGAAACAGTTTACTTTTTTACTCGCGAACGAACATACCGGCCATACCCATACCGGTACCAATGCACATGCTAACAACACCAATGTCCTTGTTGCTGCGCTCAAGCTCAGGCAGGAGATCGGCGAGCTGGCGAGCACCAGTGGCACCAAGAGGGTGACCGATAGCAATAGCACCACCGTTGGGGTTAACCTTGGCCTCGTCAATGCCCAGCTTGCGGACACTGTAAAGAGCCTGGGAAGCAAAGGCCTCGTTAATTTCCCAAACACCAACATCAGGAACCTTCAGGCCAACCTGCTCCAGCAGCTTGGGGATAGCCACGGCAGGGCCAACACCCATCTCGTCGGGGGCACAGCCCGCAACGGCGGTAGCGACCCAGCGACCCTTGATAGAGCCGGAGAGACCCAGCTCCTCGGCGGTGGAGCGGCGCATCAACAGCGCAGCAGCGGCACCGTCACTGACCTGAGAACTGTTACCGGCGGTACTGGCGCCGTTGGGCTTGAAAGCGGGCTTGAGCGTGCCCATCTTCTCAGCGGAGATGTTGTGTCGAATACCATCATCCTGGGTGACGGTGATTTCCTTGGCGGGAGCATCGGGGTTCTCGGGATCAATAGATCTGGTGGTGACGGGGACGATCTCGCTATCGAAGCGGCCAGCCTTTTGGGCAGCGGAGGCCTTAGCGTGAGACTCAGCAGCGAAGGCATCCTGGTCAGTGCGGGTGATGCCGTAGCGCTCAGCGACGTTCTCGGATGTCAGACCCATGGGCATGATGCAGTCCTGTGCATCTTGGGAGTAAGACTCCTTCAGCTCGGGCCAGAGGACTGTGGGGATAGCGCGCGAGCCGTAGTTGCGAGTCATGTGCTCCATACCACCACCGACACCGACGTTCAAGGCTCCGGCACGGATACCGTAAGCGACGGCTGTGATGGCGGCCAGACCGGAGGAACATTGGCGGTTGATAGTGTTGAAGGGTACGGAGTGAGGGAATCCAGCGTGGATCTGGGCCATGCGGCCAGCCTTAGCACCACCGAGTTCTTGGAGAACGGATCCAATGGTGACGTCGTCAATCAGAGCCGGGTCCAGGTTGGGGTTGGCTTTCAGAGTGGCCTTGAGAACGTTGGCGAGCAGCTCTTCGGGGTAGGCATCCTTGAAACCGCCCTTCTTAGCGCGGGTGACGGGGGTACGCAGGGAGGAGAGGATGACAATGTCGTTAGGAGACTTCTGGAGCACCTGCTTGATGCCGCGGGGAATTGGAGAAGCCATGGTGTGTGGTTTTGGCTTTTTATTTCTATGTGTAATTCAGGCCGGGAGGCTCGTAGATGTGGTCGAAATATGACTTTATGCGACGAGGCCGTGTAGTATATGCAAGTAGCAACACTAAATGGATGCTATCAATGTATTGTGCAAGATTTGCCACGAGTGTGAGGAGGTTAAAAAAGAAAAAAGAAGCAATCCCCAAAGAATTCCCCAACAAACTCCCCAAGGTTAAGGAAAATGCCGGATGAAATTCCGGGGTCGGATGTGTTGCGGTTCACGAGTACCGTTACCCGGCAATGGAGATCGGCTAAGCGCTCTGCCATCCATGTGGGGTTTTCTGCTCTGTGCCGAGCACTGTGAAGACAGAGCTGCAAGTCTTGAAGAAAGAATGTTCAATTTGAATAGACCATAGTACTTCACAATAATAATAATTCAATCTACTGCCTTGAAACCCTTTTTTTTTTTGTTTCAATTATTTCCTACTACTCAATTTTGCCGACTTCTCATACATTTCATTCGGGCCAGCGCCGTCGGATGATTTGTCATCCAGTCGGATCGGATGGCGGCATCTCCAGTCATGTACCAGTTGACATCTACATACATCTTTCGTTGCGTTTGAATTGACATGAAATAGACTCTATATAATATCATAATAAGTCGAATTTACCTTACTTTATTGTTTACTAAATATCTCACGAAATGGACACCTCACCCCATGTGGAGCAGCCAAGCAAGCTGGCGCCGCATGTTAGTGCAGCAGCCACCGATGTATAAAATTAGTGTCAGGGTCACACATTTTTCCTATTGCGCGAACCAGACTTATTTCCAAATCCCAGTGAGTTTCAATTCATGGCAAAAAAGCCTCAATGTAATGGAAACCCCCTAATAGCGATATCTTCCTAGGATGACTCTGATATAACACAAAAGGGAGTACGTATGGAGACTATTTTTGAGGAAATGTTTTCTCCACCAACCGAAACTGAACTACCAATGGTGATCTGGCCGGAGCATATAAGCTCATAATCATTTGTACGGGAGGGCCTCGAAGAGCTTGAGTTCTACCGCCACCGCAAACATGATGCTAGTATCATTTTGAGATATTGGACCGGTGGTACATTTTGTGGAGGAGATCTTCCAAAAACAGAATCTGAGGAGGAGGAGAAAGCTGCGGCGGAGAAGGAGGAGGAGGAAAGGATGGAATCAGAATATGAAGCTTGGAGAACAGTCCGAGCTGAGTATGAGAAGCTAGACTTGAAGCCTAAGATCGGGGAGCAGGGCTAGCGATCCAAGGTGGAAGGGTATCCTTGTTTATAGTCCATACACTCTGTTCAAGTAAAGCAGTGTTCCAAAAGCTCGAGCAAGTTTGAAGAATATCATTGGAATAAAGACAGCTGCAATAAAAGAAAAAATCACAGTGGTACTGACGACTGAGAAGTAGGACCTTGGTAGATAAGTTTTCTGACATCAAGTGTAGTCATTGCATTCGAAGATGAACATAGCCTGTGTCCTTAGAGTCTAGCTGACCCAGATATCCCTCCTAAGCCAGCTGCCGTAATATCAGGCCAAATCGGTAGCCACTAAACCCCGCGTTTGATATACCCGCTCTCTAATATCCGCCCAAGTATGAGCTAGAGCTTGGATATATTAACAACAATACTGTTCTGAAACTCGGCACTCCGCAGCTCCGTAAGAACCTCCCAAAATTCTCTGGGAAACTTGTATTCCTCCTCATTTGGCTGGGACCAGGCCCGAGCGGAAGTTTGGGCCAGCCATGCGTCATGTTCAGCGTCTATGTGGGTCTTAACATGAGCTGTAGTACTGAAATTGGTATCTGTGCTGGCTGCACCGGACTTTGGGCGATTAGCCGGTAGGTCTTGGCTGCTTGCTCCTAGCCTGTAGCGTTGGGCATCGTTGTATGCGAATAAACGTGCCTGCAGTATTGGGTCTTCTGATGGTTCGACTCCGGGCACAAGGTTGGCAGGGGAGAATGCTAATTGTTCAACCTCCGTGAAGAAGTCTTTGGGGCTTTGCGTTAGGGTCAACTTTCCTAATTGCCGAGGTGGGATAACGGGGATATGCCGTGGGTAACTCTGTATGTTCCAATGTTTGGTCGCATCGAGAAGATTGAATGATAGCTTATGGGCATTCTCAGGTGCCACACTTTGCACATGTGCTGTCCAACTAGGATACTCACCCCGTTCAATAGCCTCATATAGATCCCTAGTTGCTGAGTCTATATCTCCAGCACTGGGATTCTTGGCCTTCTCCCCAGTCTGGAAGTCAGGCCCCTGATCAGATGTGAAAAAGAAGTGAACGTAATTCCAAGATCCGTCCCTTTTCACCCATTTAAACGCATTACCTACATACGCGCTCATACTTCGATAATCGAACATATCTCCAGACTCGCTGTATTGGAATATCACCATATGCAGTGCCTCGTGGTTATTGCAGACCCAGTCCCACTAGAGATTTGGATTCACGAGATTTGTCTGCGGGTCCCGTCTTTGAGCGTGCATCATAGCTGGGAATTTCATGGGATCACGTATGAAAAACATGGGCGTGTTAAGGCAGACCCAGTCCTAATTTCCTTGCTCTGTTATGAATTTGAGGGCCATTCCTTTGGGGTCGCACATTGCATCTGCCGAACCACGCTCAAAAGTGATTGTAGAGAATCGGGCGGTGCAAGCAGTTTTCTTCCCTGCACCGAGGAGCATGTCGACGTCACATATATCTGAGATATCGTGCGTTATCTAGAATGTTTAGTTTCTTTCGTTAGATTCTTAGATATTGCATTGTTGGGGGAGATAGAGATGTACCTCAAAGATTCCTTTAGCACTTGCACCCTTTGCATGAACTGCTCGCTCTCTATCGTCTTTCCTCTGTTGAAGGACGCTAGTGTGTCGATAAGTCGGTAGTCGGTATGTGGGGGATGTCTTATTTCCGCTGGTGGCCCATCTGTCTGTATGAAGGGACAGGGTTTGCAACCGGGGTTACTTTTAGAATCCATAGCTATGACACTTCAGGGCTTGACTGCGAAGAGAGAACACTACAATCATGAAATATCTCGAGCTACGAACAATACTACGTATTTAACTTTCGATCCCGTGCAGAGGACGACTTAGAGATAATATATACCTATCACATCATCTACTAGTACGGGCTACTCTAGTATGATCGGGTGATGAACTAGAAACATACTTCAACTGCCAGTCGTAGTCTTAATTTCCTCGGCACTTTAGCACCAGGAGCCTTGAGAGAATCAATAATCTAAGGTATTATTAGATCGCATAATAAGTTCTAACGTAGCCAAGAAGCTTGGCCATGCAAGGCCGGCCCAGCATAAAATATACAAAGCCATTTTTACATAGAACTACTAGTATACCAGAGGATATACCCCACTTACTATAAGCCACCGCTAGGCGAAGGAGAGTTGGAAATTTAAAGCGACAGATTTGCCATATACCCCTCTCTCATGTTACACAGAATGCATTGTTTTTATTTGATTCCAGATCTTTCTAAATTATTATTGGCGCGGGCATTGAGGATTCGACAGAGACTGAGATAAATAGAATGTTTCGCGATGAACTCTTGATGTTTTCCCACCTGAAAGGAAAAATGCAGCAGCGATACCGCGATCTACGCGATTTATTCTTTCTTAAATAATTGGAACTCCTCTTATCCTGCCCACCTGGCAGTAGATACATTTAAAGAGGCCCATCTAAACGGCAATATTATTATATAAGTTTGAACTTGAATGATGTGTTAATTGGAGTAGGTCTTTTCAACCCAACACCCCAAGAGATCAAATCCAACTTTGTAAAAAAAAGCAAAAAGAGAAACAAAATGACGGGCCCCATTCAAAGATCAAAGGTAACCATTTCCGCCCCTTTGACGAGTACCACTGGCATAAATGCCATTCGTGACCATAACAACATTATAGGAGTTACCAGATACTGGAACAGACTGCCTATGGAAGAGCCTAACCCAATGGTATCCAAGTGAAGGAGAAGATTTCTGGGGATCATTAACCGGTCCCCCGCTAGCATTACTCCTCAAAGAAGCAGGATATTCTATTCACCAGCAAGTGGAAATTTTACAATTCCATCACCACTGGGTTGTAAGTAGACTGCACCCATACGCAAAAGCAACAAAAGTAAACCACTAATCCCAGATACTCTAGGTACCAACACTCGGTTCTGCGCCAGATTCCAATAGCGTCTTCAAATGGCAAACAATTCTCAATCCAAATGGATTCCCCCTCGAGTACGCCTGGAATTGGAATACTTCAACCGGCAAGCCCCAAATCCGTACTTCATGGGAACCCATTGGTTCCGAAGCTGGAACAGACCTCGATCCACTAAACCAGTCCCTGTACGGAGAGTACCTCGATCGTCTTGCGAAAGTAGCCCCGAACACAGACCTCAGCTGGTCTAGTTCCCTACTTTCCTCTCTGTTTAGTCCAGATAAAGACGCTTACACCAAATCAGGAGCACTGGATAAGCCATCTACGTCCCTTGTCGCCGGTATGGAATTTACTCATCTCGGCGCCTTTCGCTCAAAGGGCTACTTCGTGTCTAGACTACCTGGTCAGAAATTACCATTACCTCTCTCGCATTGGAGTAAAGCACTTAGGGCCCTGAACCCGAACTTGAATAATAAGATGGCTGTTCTTGAGGAATTTCTCACTACGAGCTCCGAGGGAAAGGAATTACGTCCTTATATGGCTGCGGTGGATCATCATGCAGGTCCCTCTGGTTCGAGGCTAAAATGGTACATGAAGACTGCGAGTACTAGTTTTCGCTCTGTGAGAGAAATCATGACTCTTGGTGGACGGATCTCGGACATAGATCGTGAACTCGATAGTCTCTATGACTTGATAAAGAGACTTGGTCTTTTATCAGCTGATCACCCTGAAGAAAACGAAACAGTGCTTCCAACTAGTGAAAATATGAACTTTTTGGGTATCCCAAGGACAGCACATTACTTTTATTATTTTGATATTGCTGCTTATGCCGAGTTGCCTATTATTAAGATATACATTCCGTTGCAGAATTACCGGAAGAATGATCTTGATATCGCACGTACGATTGTTGGTTGGATGGAGGTTCAGGGGAGAGGTTCATATGGTGAGAATTATCTGCGCGTGTTGCAGGGTTTGGCGGATGGGAAGCTGGATGAGTGTTGGGGATATCATACTTTCTTCAGTTTCGCGGTTAAGGCGAATGGGAAGGTAGATGTTACGTCGTATCTTGCGCCCTCTCTGTCTCTTGGCGTGTGCGGATCTGGACTTTAGCTTTCTTCAATCTTTGTTTCTTATTTGTTTGCAGACATGTATTATTATGTTAATGAGACCTTGAATTCGTGCTCTAGTATAAACTTTATTCATGTATTGTTTCTTTTTTAGCCTCGCTGCTCCATGATCGATAGGTTTACCGTCAATTCAAGTTAACTGCTCAAGATTTCCTATTGTTTTTGGCAACGCAAACTCTATGGAAGGGCTGGGCTACTTCATACTCGGTCCTACATACGATTGGGAACTCCAAAGCATACATAACTCTTAATCATCCTTATTGCACATAGCTACCCAGTAATTCTAGGGATCTGCAGGAACCACGCACGATAATTTCCGAATCAGAAATTCGCCGTAAGCAGCGAATATTCAACCTCCCATGAGCATCGATCCATTCATCCAGAGTCAACGCTAACCAGGGCTCTTTTTCTTGTTCTCATTCGAATCTGCCAGCTTCATAAATCCAGGACTGCTCCCATCCAACTCCTTAGGCCCGTGCATCCCATAAAGAGTAAGGCACCCAGCAGTCATATTCATTGCCTTCGAAACAAGCCAAAACTTAACCATAACCTCCGGTTCCAATTGTCTGATCCACACATCAATAAGCCTCCACATACTCTCATTAGCGACAGGCTGCCCCTTCGCGGTTTTCCACCCATTAAGCTTCCACTTAGTCATCCACTCAGTAACTCCCTGAACAAGATAAGGCGAGTCAGTTCGAATAACCACTGTATGTAGTGGAAAGGCCATCTCATTCCTCCTCTTAGGCTTGGTAACCTGGCAGTTACTAATGACGTGAGTGAGGGCAATGATACAAGCGCGCAGAATAGCAACTTGTTCGGTAAAGGGGGCTTCTTTGATTTCCGACGCGACATTCAGGGGATTGTTGATGCCGTAGTATACTCCTATTGCGCACCGGGGTGGCTCAGAGCTATTAAGGCACTTTGCGCCCACGCTTATGACGATGCAGCCGCAGTGGAAGGGACGGTTCTTGCAGCTTGCGCATTGGACTTGGCTGTCTTGGCAGGCGAGGAGGGTCCATTGATCCCATGACACTGTCATTTCACTGGGTTTGAAGCTTTTTGGATACATCGTTGGGTCAAAGAGGCGGTTCATTGGAAGCTCTTCTCCGTTCTCATCCTTTGATCTTGGGGGATGTGGTGGTGGGGCATGGGCAGTGCCACAGCCTTCGATTTGTTGAGGGCGTGACATTGGCTGTTGGTGCAGTCGTTTGTTAGTTTATTATCAATTGGCTGAATGGGATGTTTGTTCGTGTTCATGGGGTTGGATATGGTTGTTTGTATGTCCTGTCACTCTTTCTTCTTCTCTGCGTACCTGCTGGGATACATCAGCGGGCTTCTTCTTGCGCCCCCTCTGAAATCGAGGAAGCGAGCTCATGATGCTTGATGAATGGAGTGATTGATTCTTTCAGGTTATGGTGATGCTGGCTGGAAATGAGAAGAGGAGAGTAGCCTGGAGGTGAGTGAGAGTTGCGAAGATGGTGGGGGTGGTGATGGTAAATAGAGAGGTGTAAACGGATACTAAAAAACAAAATAGAATGGCCACTCTTCACAGCCAGAAAATAGAAACAGCCCACGTAGAGTTATTCTCTTTGTATTAAGCTGGCCTTACTTTGATTAGGATTAATGTCTGATGAAGGTCAGGTAGACACAGTATTTCAAGACATGTCTTGCCTTTCATGAAGTTTTTCGACAAAGAACTGAGAAAAGTAAACGACAAAGGAATATCGTTTTTCATTGAAGTATCTCGAGCTTCCTAGAAACTGACTGAAGGGATCAATACAAAAAGAAGATGTAGGATGAAAATCGAACGAAACCATAAAACTCCTTGTTATCCATCGGCGCCTTGAAACTGAACACTTGGAGTATCATAATATAGACAGAGAGAAGATATGCTCTGCAACGCCACCAATGTAAACGCCGCTATTGCATAAAAGGAAAACAGCAAAATAGGAAACGTATTATACAGAGCAAGTTCAGAAAAAGATATAACTGAAATGACTGACTAGAAGAGGCAAGTTATATAGCCGATCATTGTATGATATGACTATAATGCCCAGGAACCTGTCGTCGGCACTTATCGCAATCAGCACGATAGCCCATGACAAGTGAAGGCTTCTTTCTTGTTTGTGTAGGGTTGAGGGATGTCGTATTGTCACCGTCTTGTGGAGTTGATGGTTGACGCAAGGCAGGCTTCAGGAATGAAGTACTTTCTGTGCAGCCTATGACTGGGGAGCATTGAGGAGAATGAGAATACAACACCATATCTGCCTCGCTTGGAGCAATGCTCTCCATATTTGTATCATGATCGTCGTCACTAATTGGGCTCGGAAGTCGAGCAGACGAAACAAGACTATCGTTATCTTTCTCATATGCCACATCTTCCATGCTTGATTGTGTGCTCGGACCCTGAGTATGCATTGGAATGGCCCAAGAAACACTATTGTTGCCGAAGGATTGGTCGGATGTACTTTGAGATAGGGAATTTACATTGCTGCCGCTGCAGCTTGGCCGGATCACGTTGCCGCTCGTAGTAAACAGTGGGTTCACGGAATGACTCGTTGAACTGACCGAGTGACACAAGCTTTGCGCCGATTTTGTCGAGCTTCCCGCGGATGCATTCATCCTGCCATGTTTCTTCGGGCTAGATACTTCATCATCAGAATCCACAGGTGTCAATGTGGGGGCTCGAAAGCGAAGGGTCTGGTTGAGGTCGAGGTCGGCGGTTGAATCAGGCCTGAAGCCAGATGATTGCGAGGATGGATCGCGCTTCTGAAGCTTTAGATATTGTTAGTTTAGTTCTTGGTAATGTACCCTTGTGGATGTCATCAAGACAGGTAGGGTAAAGTTAAAAATGTATAGTTGTGGCTGGCGGACGCGTCGACGTACCTTGTGGAGTTTGTGCTGATGGACAAGCTCTGACCCATCGTCCTCTCTCGACCGTTTGACGCCAAACATGGCTGAAGGCAAAAAGCTCACAGTGAGCTGAAAGCTCCAGTGTAAGGAAAGTAAATAATCATGGAAAAGCAAGGAGTGGTAGGGAGAGGCTGACGGTGAGTGGCTGAAGTCGGGCAGTTGCCTTCATTACTGCCCCGAGCGGAGCTGACGGTATTCCCTTGCAAAGGAAGAAGGCTATTGAACACTATTGAAATGTAGCATAGCTGAGAGGAAATTAATTAATGACTGATATTATATGAATATAAATGTAAATATATAAATATATAAATCTATATTTGACATTCACCTTTAAAGATATATCTAATTACTGTATAAAAAGATAATAATGATCAAGCTTGACATTTGGATCTCTAACATCTTTGTTAACTCCGAAAATTGATGACAAGTGCCGAATTACCTAATAATCACGTGGCGATAGTTAACTATTTCCCATCATCACCTGACCTGGACCCAAATCGGACCCTCTTTTAACTCAGGCTCAGTTCTCTCTCTGTGCAGGTGTCCATTGCGCTGATCGCCGACACCGGGTAACAGAGACTAATACCGACTTAGTAACGAATCCACTGTTGATCTCATTTACTCACAGATCTACCTCGGCGAGCAGTTGACAATTTGCGAAAAGAAAAAAGAACCAGTAGCAGCAGTAGCAGCAGTAGTACAACGTGGCACTGATAGAATAGGAAAACATGGTCAATTGTGCAATTGTGCAATAAAAGGCACGGATTCTTCGCCGTGGTACACACTTATGTATCCCGAATGGTGATTGGCTCCGAGCCACGATTCATCAAGGGCGAAAATCACTAGATCTGACGCATGACAGTCAATTATTCCCTCCGACATCCCTTGGACTGATCAGTGTGTCAAATAATATGATATGATATTAGATGATATTATTACTACCTAGACCATAGAATTATCTCATCTGCAGGCGACATGTCATTCCGAAAAATAAAATAGAAGAAAAAAAGCGCATTTGTTCCTGGTCCCCACTTGTCCCATCTTGCCTCTTTTAATGGTGGAGGGGCCACACTTTGGCTCCGGTTCTTTTCTTTTCTTTCCCTTCCAAAGTAAATAACTGTGAGTCAATCTCTGTCCGGTCTATTCTTTTATTCTCCTATTCTCCTACTCTTCCTCTGTCTTCCTTGTTATATCCCATTCCCTCCTGTTCTTTGGTATCACATCCTTTGTGTCGCATCTTCTATATCCTACGCGCAGTGTTCTGACTCGGCTTAATTACCACAGATTCCATTGGTCCATCATGCCTCTCGTCAACACTACCGAAGTCAACGAGGACACTCGTGGTATGTACCAAGCCATTGAGCTGCTATATTCTTAATAAATTGGTCCCGATTTTTCATTCTAATCTTCAATTCTTTAGTCCTGGGTTACGATCCTCTTCTGCCTCCTCATCTCCTGCAAACTGAGATCCCCGCAGTGAGTCATTTTTTTCTTCCTTTCCCCCGCCAATTCAAACCGCGACACAAAAAGAAATTTGCCACGTTGTCAAATCAGTTGCAATTGACTCATGAAATATCCTGGGAACAAATAAACTGACAAATGCAATTTTTAGCCGGATCGTTCTCTCAAGACTGTCCGCGCCGGCCGCAATGAAGCCGTCGAGATCATCGAACAGCGCGACGACCGTCTCCTGGTCGTTGTTGGCCCTTGCTCCATCCATGACCCAGACACTGCCCTCGAATACGCCCGCCGCTTGAAGGAGCTCAGCACCAAGCTCTCCAAGGACCTCTCTATCATCATGCGCGCTTACCTGGAGAAGCCCCGCACCACCGTCGGCTGGAAGGGTCTGATCAACGACCCAGACATGGATGAGTCCTACCAGATCAACAAGGGTCTTCGCGTCTCCCGTAAACTCTACGTTGACCTGACTTCCACTGGCCTCCCCATCGCCAGTGAGATGCTCGACACCATCTCCCCCAGTACCTGGCCGATTTGATCTCCCTCGGCGCTATCGGTGCCCGCACCACCGAGTCCCAGCTCCACCGTGAGCTGGCCTCCGGTCTGTCCTTCCCAATCGGTTACAAGAACGGTACCGACGGTAACCTCACTGTTGCCATTGATGCCATTGGTGCTGCGGCCCACCCTCACCGTTTCCTCGGTGTCACTAAGCAAGGTCTTGCAGCTATTACCAAGACTGCTGGTAACGAGCATGGTTTCGTGATTCTCCGTGGTGGCAACAAGGGTACTAACTACGATCGTGAGAACATTCGTGTTGCTCGCGAGGCTCTGCGCAAGAAGAAGCAGCGTGAGGTTCTCATGGTCGACTGCTCCCACGGTAACTCGCAGAAGAACCACCTTAACCAGCCTAAGGTTGCGAAGGAGGTCGCTGACCAGCTGCGCGAGGGTGAGACTGGTATTGTCGGTGTGATGATTGAGTCCAACATCTACGAGGGTAACCAGAAGGTTCCCCCTGAGGGACCTTCTCACCTCCTTAAGGGTGTCAGTATCACTGATGCCTGTATTAACTGGGAGATGACCGTTGAGGTATTGGAGGATCTGGCTGATGGTGTGCGTGCCCGTCGCGCCATTAACAAGTCCAAGTCCAATGGTGCCAATGGCTCTCACTAAATTTCTTCCTATACTTGACGAGAGAAAGAAAGAGAGAACGAACTTCCTTTCTATATCAAGACTCTGTTTTATTTACTTGGGACGTCTTACAAAATTGTTTTCTGTTTATCTTCATGGGCCTGCTGGGAAGAAAAGTTTTTCATTTACCACGTCTTCCTGTGGGATCAACATAGATACCTTTTCATACTTCGATAATGCAGCGTTTATTCTGGGTTTTCAATCTATGCCTTGCCTTACCACATAAATAATTTCCTCCTAAAAGTAACAGTAATAAGAGTAACAAGTTCTATTAAGTCCATAAGCTAAACTAACAAAGGAAAGCAAGCCAAGTAAGAAAATAATCCGAAAGTCCAAATCCATCCTCCCCAAATCTGCACCTATACTAAGCCCAAGGTTAAGGTGAAGTCTCGAGCTTTCCCCAGACCCACCCCCTCCCCCAGATCAACAATATTAAAGGGACCAGGTTCCAGACTCTAAACAAGGTTTCCACGGGATCTACGAGATCTTATTCTCCACTAGTCCGCAGAGATGTGTTGTGGAGGGGGTGGGAAAAATAGTGGTTGTTTGTCGGGCAAAGCGCTCTGCCGGCGGAGACCGAATAGGGGATCGGGCTTCCCTGTTGTGGAATAGTGGTGGACCTGGATATGGTGGGAAGACGTTTATCCCTCTGTAATGTGGCAATACGGTGTCTCATTAGTTTTAATTAATTATTTTTGAAATAAAAATCATCTGTTGATTGTCAGTGGTTGTTAAGCTGGTGCGGGGGTTATGGAATTTGGTGTCTAGGTACTCTTGTGTTGGGATTGGTTTGAAATAAGTTGATATTCCCTTTTTTTTAATTGGCAGGACTCGGACCGTTAGATTTTTTTTTTCTTTTAATTTTCGGTGTGTTTTGAGATTCAAAGGCTTCTATCTATTATGTATCATGCTTGTCAGGTTGAAAAGGTGGGAATGGAGGGAAAACAAGATCAATTCTCTACGGTCTTGGCGTTCATTGGTGTTGATTTGGGAGTACGGAGTAAAGGAAAGACATGTAGTTGAAATAAGACAAGTTGAGAGTTCTATTCATCTCCATAGTAATATTGTGGGAACCACAGTTTGCCAAGGGTTCTTTAATACCGACTGGCTTCAATGTTCTACCTCTGCGTAATTGGTGGCTGATCAGTGGCTGATCATCACCTTAAATCCCGACAGGTCTCGTCGGCGAATGATCCGAGAAGATATGTGATATCTCTACTAGTGACAGACAGTTCTGTGAGGCATTGTGTTTCCTCTTTAGGACTCGAAAAACGCGGTATAGAGGAGAAAGTGCAGGTTTTCTATGTACTGTACATCAATATACATGGAGGCTTTCCCCTCGAGGATCAGACAAGAAAAAACAGAGCAAGTAAAAAGACAGCCCAAAGAGGAGAAGGGAAATGAAAATGAATAAATGATAACGCCGGGAACCCCCACGATGAAAGCAAGCTGCGAAGAAAATCCATTCGCAACATGCTATGCAAAGAAAAGAAAAGACAATACTTCGTATGTCGATGGAAACCGCAGTATGTCATGCCGCAGACAATATCAGTAGATGCCTATCGTAGCATCCATTCCTCGGCCCAGAGTCTTCTTTTGTTTTGGTCGTTTTGATCACTTCAAATCCACATCTACCGACCGGTAGCCCAGCTAAACCACCCCTTAGACTTCTCCTTCGCGACTTGCTCTGCATTCTCAGCCATAACATCCAACTGGCCTGGCATCGGTGCACCGGTCTTAGCAGCAGCGGCATCGAAGGCCTTCTTAGCCTCAACAGCATCAATTATACTTGATGACTCAACTGTTGAAGTGGTGGCAGTCTGTGCCCCGGTAGCACCGGTATCCTCCGCGTTCATCTTGCCGAATAGGAATCGCTTCGCCTTAGCCCAGGGGCGTTGTGCCTTCTCCTCGTCGCGGTTTCGCTTCACGATATCCTCAATATCCTCCTTCTTTATAAGCTCGATCTGTTCCAGGGTTGCAGAGCCGTTGGCCTGTGCGATGCGGGCTTGGTTGAGAGTCTCGGTCTCCTTCTCGATCCACAGTGTGCGTTGGCGGCGGTTGTAAAGTGTCAATGAGACCATTGAGTAGGCAGTAAGAACAGCGCAGGTACCTAATAACGAGATATAATATATCAGTACAAAGTCCTTAAGGCTCTCATAGTGTAATGAATGTCTCGTCGTGGATACGACAAAACCTCAAAACCTCAAAATATGGCATGATCTTGCTGACCCTCAATAGAGGGATTGCAGATCTTCAACCCTGAACAAGAGACATACCCGACGCAAGAATCAAAGAGTAAACCATTCCCTTGTGTGCCTTATTGGCGAATCGTCGTCCAACATCAATTAATCGATCCACTCCAGACGAAGACTGAGCCATCCGAGCAGCCCGTGCCTGAGCTCGAAGTCGTTCCACCTTCTGCTTAGGAGTCTCGAGGGATCCATCGGGCCCAGATTGAGGCGCCGACTTCTGTGTATTCGTTGTCTTCGACTTCATGGATTCCGGCAAATCATATGGTGTGCCATTGTTCTTCGAGCTGGCGTAGGGCCCCGTGGCCGTGAACCGCGTTGCATCCGCGGCGGATCGGGACATGGTCGCGACTGTCTCTCGGCGGGTGATAGGATGTGGAATTTGTTCGAATTAAAATTAAATCGATTGGGATCTGTATGTCCCCACGATCGATGAGGTGGTGGTGGGTAATGTCGAGGGCGCGGTCTGGAAGGAAAATACCGGAGGTTTGGGAGGGAAAGGTAAGGTAAATTTTCAGTGGACGGATGATGCGCCAAGACCGGATAACAGCTTCATCCTCTTCGATTCCAGTTATGGGGACGGCTCTTCCCGTTGCCACTTGTTTTTCGACATTTCAGTGTTTGATCTAAAAATTTGAATCGAGTGTTTCGAGATACTTCATTTTAGACCTTGTCAGAATTGCTTTATTTGATCCAGTCAGCCTCTTTTTGTACGATGGCAGACCATCCCTACAATACTCCGGATCTCACATCTGTGCTCCAAACGCTATCAAGCCTTGCATCGCAGAATAACTCTTCCCAGACACCGGATAGGTCTATCTCGCATGACCCAAGGCGTCAGAATGCCCGAGCTAGCTCGAATAATACACCAGTTCAGACAGCACCTCGGCCACATCCAAGCTCATCTTCAAAACCAGCAAGCACATCTCTTGGCGATCCATCAACCATTACCACCTGGCCTGCAGCACTGCGCTATGTCATGAAAAGTGTAGGCCAGAATGAAGAAACTCAACTTCGGGTTCGTGGCTTAATCCGAAGTCAACATAGTCATGAACGACAATGGTGGAATGGCCGCGAGGCTCTTCTCCAAAGACAGCAGGCTCGTGGGGAAAAGAAGAAAGAGCTAGATGCAGTCTTGTAAGTATTTATTCTCTCCCAAAACTCAACTTTCCTTCTTTTCCATCCAACAATTCAACATCACTGTCCCTTTTACACTTGTACATTGCTGGAGCATAAGCTGACTATCTATTAGACAATCTATTGGTGCACCCGTCGATTCCAAAGAGATATCCGTATGTGTTCAATCTTCGAATTCGGTTTTTGATTAAAACCGAGCTAACAATATTCTTCAGTCTACCCAAGAGGACCAGGCAGAGCTCACTAATTATGACGCCAAAATTTATAGAGCTTCTGTGAAGATGGCAGATGCTTTAGTTGCAGAGCTACGCGGACTAAAAATCCCCTTTTTCGTTTTTAAAAGGGAAATGGTTCAGAGTCAAGAGTCAACGACGCATACTGGGGAGCAGTCGGAAACCGATCCGTCCAAGCTCTCTCAAAAGGAGCTTGCTAGCTTACAACGACGCATGCTGGAGCTGCTTGAAGATCTATGTAAAGAATGAAGTGTCGAATCGTATAAAATCATCAGAGATCAAAGGTGATTTGGAAATCGATAAATTATCCGAGCTGCCAGAGTCAAAATTGCACATTTTCGGTCAACACAAGAAAAATTTGAGCATTTGATCAACGCCATCATCAAACATCTTCCCTTTCTGCGTCCAAAATCTTATGCTCGACGTTATAGGCCTCCGCAGCTCGTCTCTCAGCCACAGTGACATATCCACGGAACTGACGCGTGGGAACCTTATTCATGAACAACTCATCCAACTCTTCATAAGTGCGCAAGCGAGTCTCGGGAACAAAGAGGAAAGCCAGAAAAATATACCCAAGCATGAATCCACCGAACACGAAACCAATCTTGGCCTTGAGATTGCCATACCCTGGATTGAAGATATAAGGCGAGACGAATGACCACATTGTGTAAATCGCCTGTTCTGAAGATATGGCTATTGCAAGTGTCTTCGTTCGCAGGATTGAAGTTGGGACCTCACCAGCAATTGCGTACACGTTTGATCCTACGCCTGCGTTGAATACAAAGTTGTACATCGTGTAAAAGCCAACAGAGGCAGTTATACCTGTGGTTCATTAGTTAAATCAATTGATCAAGACTTTTTAGGAAGAACCCATACCTGCGGTTGTGTTTACTGATCCTGAAATACCCATGCAAAGTAAAAGAATCGTCAAACTTATACACCCCGCAATAAACATTGGTCGTCGACCCCAGAAATCACTGACCAAGACCGAGAAAATAGCACCGGACATAGACAGGATCTGAGCGCCGATCTGGATGAGAAAAGACTGCCTGTCCCCAATACCAAGATACTGATACATAAGAGAGCCGTAGTTTGACACAAAACCAAGACCAGACATGGGCTCAGCCGAGAATACGAGCATGGCAATCAATGTTCGGCGCAAGTTGGTTCCTCGGAAACATTCGAGATAAGTAGCTGACTTCTGAGTCTCGGCTTCCTCGAGCGTCAACTTGATACGTTCAAAGTGACCATCTGCATCATGACTTTCACTATACAGTCGTCCGAGAACATTCTGAGCAGCCTTGATCTTCCCCTTTCGAACAAGAAATACCGGAGACTCTGGCATGAAGATCTGTCCGATAAATGATATGACAGCAAAGCCCCACTGGGCACACACAATCGACTTCCAAGACCAATCATTGTCCCAGCTAGATGTATAATAGGACATAATAGCCGAGATAAAGGGTCCAATACATTGAGAAAGATTACAAAATCCAATCACCGACGCACGAATAGCCAACGGCGAAATATCAGCAACGTAAGCAGTGCAAAGATTCTGAAAAGCACCAATAGCAATAAAATTGGCCACCTTACCCCCGAAAAACATCTCAATGGAGGTCGTCGCATATTCAATTCCGACAGAGACAATATTGATAGCGCATGCGGTGAGTAGAACAGGCTTTGTACCGAAGATATCGGCAAAGTAAGAGGCAGCCCATGCTCCGAAGATAGCAGCTGCATTCGATCCACCATTTAGTGCAGATTGCCAATTTGTTGCGATGAAGTATGCACCTGATTCATCCTTTGTGCCGAATCTGCGTTTGAATTCTGTGATGCTGATCACGGAACTGGAGGATTGGTTTTCGAATCCGCGCACGATCAGAGTCCAGAGCATTACTCCGATCCAGAAGAGAAGCCGTGAGTCTTTGGTGAGGGTCTCCCAGTATCCGCGGTTATGTTCTTGTTGCTGGATAGCTCGACCGCGGATTTCATTGGCGTTGGGAGGGGTGACTGCGGCATCGTCTGGCGAATGCTCGATATGGTCTGCGTCGTTTGCTTTCGACATGATGCTTGCTGTGAAGAATACAATTGAGGATACGCAGAATAAAAAACCAAGCTCCTAAGCCGAAAGAACCAGTGATCCAGGCTTTGTTCCTTCTCTCTTTTGAGAGGAAATAGCTAGTCGTTCAAGTCCGAGGATTAACCGGACTATTTCCCCGGATTTTAAATCTGGGGATGCCGGGTGGGGCTAGCACCATCACGCGCTATTAGGTCGCGCGCCCAGATCAAAAGCATCCTAGTTTCGGTAGAACTTAGCCCGGGGGCTTGGTTTGTGCCGCTCCCTCGTAAAATCAGAGCATAGTCTTTCAACTTTGTCTCGTTGGCGTTTTGAAATTTGAACTTAAATTATGGCGGCACCCCTTGGCGACGGGAAGGCTTTCGATCAAGGCTCTTGAATAGCCGTTTTGGACTCATGCGCCACCAGACTTATTTGGAGGAGATGAATGGCTCTTTTCGGGAATAGTTAAACCGAGAGGGCTTACAATTCGGATAAACCGAGATTCATGAAGGACAAAGGTTACTCTAGGCAATGATCACAGCAGCCAATTGGCTGGTTGATCCCTTCTATTGAGGGGTGATCTCTGAAGGCTGCTTACTGAGAATGCAGGTGAGTATTTAGACTGTTTTACTGCTTCATTGGCTAAGGCCTCTATTCAATCCATTAGGATCTCTTCCTTCAATTCAACCTGTTTAAATGCGCGGAAAAGGAAATGACATGCGAAGCTAGTTGTTCATGCAAGCTATATAGGTCCCTGCCTAAATATAGATAATGAAGAAATATTAAGACAGCAATCCATTAAACGCGACATATGGGTAGTAAAATCTTTCCTACGAAGCAGGGACTGCTTCTTTGACGTTTCAAGTTCAACCATATCTACTACTAGTAGGTAACCCATCGTCATCCATGATGTGCAGTCAAGATAGTTTGAGCCAATACTCTTCACAAATAAACCCGAAACTTTCAAAGAATCACTTCTTCTCACTTCCAACAAGCCGACAGTCTTCCCAGTTAGTATCTGGCCACTTCCCCTTTCCCAAATTTCTCTTCAGCGAGACCATAAATTCCGTCGCGCGTACAGGCGCCTGTTTGGCTTTCATCGTTTTGACAGCGAAACCTTTCGGCCTAGAGCTCGATTCACCTTGTACCTCATACTCATCCAAGAAGTGAGTGAACCGATAGAACCACCTGAGTTTCTCCTTTTTTGAACAATTAAACGGTGGCTCCATGTCCACCGGGAGCTTTCCCCCTTTAACACAAACATGATAGTCACTTTGAATAATGAGATATCCCTGCTGCGCGTAAAATACTGTCACAACCCCTACCGTTACAAGACTATTCTCCTTGGCACACTGGTGATAGATTAAGGGGCTTGGATGTGCGGAATTTGGACGGAAGAAGTCATTCTCGAAAAAGAATTCCGTTCCGCCGTGTCCTTCGCCCTGCATTGATTGAAGGAGATGTCTCATTTGATCACGGTGGTAATATGTCATGCTGAGGCAGGGACATACATTTACCATGCCAGCCCAGGGGAGACAGTCTCGCTTAGATGGCTGGATGCTTAAAGGTGGAATGGAATGCCAACAGCTAAGGCTGGATTCCCGTTCTTGGTAATCGCGTGTTAGTGCCGCATTGCTAGGACACGTATAGATTTCCGTTTGAGGTATTTGGCCTGAAAAGAATTGCAATTGGTAGCTGCGCTGTCTTTTAGGCCTTCGCCATGTAGAATTGGGGTGTAGTTTTGCACAGCTAGGACAGAATTTCCAATTTGATGTCTCGAGGTAGCGAACTAGTTTTGTGTAGTCGGATTTTTCAATTGCGCGTTTGATGTATGGCTGGTCATTGCGGAGGAGGTGTTTTGGGTATTCAAGTGTTGGATGTTGAAGTATTTGTTGAAAACGAATATAGAATGATCTGCAAGAGATTGCTAGAGAAGCTTGACTTAATACGGGGAGATACCCGACTATCTCGTCCAGTAGTTCTTGTGGGAGATTGAAGATATGAGTTTGAGATTGGGTCTTTTGCAATTGGCATGTTTCCGTGAGTCTTTGGCAGAGTTTTTGTAGTGATTGTGAGGTGGGTTGAAGTTTTTTTCTTGTTATTGTGCTTTGGAGGCTCTTCCGGGATTCTTGCAAGTGGAATTGGGGCGCTTTGAGCCGCATCTTGACGGTGCTTGTCGGTAGCAATTCTTAACTTGTGATTTTATTTTTTTTCGATACAAAAGCTATATTCACCTGGTTAGGGAAATTTGTCGTGTGGAGCATTCTTGTGCGCATAGTCTCGTGGGGCAGCCAATTACCATTAGAGGCGTCATCCATTTCTGGTGAGGTATACTACATATGAGCATATACATTTTATCGAGCGAAAGGCCACGGCTTTTAATAAAAATATCATATAAAAATTTACAAAGTGTTATACAGTGACTACAATTTGATCTCTTCAATTAAAGTTGAATCTCGATTTTTGTGGTTTTTATCAGGTCCTGATTTGGTTGAGGTCCGGCTACCTGAGCACGAAAGGCTCCGCTTTATATCTGGGGTCGGAGAAGCTGTTTCTACTATGTAGTATGTATCGTAGCCGATGAACATGAAGTAATCAACACAAAACAATTATTTGGTAATAATACTTATAGCTTGTAACTCTAGGGCTCCGGTCACATGTTAATGAGGCGCATGATATAATGATCCTGGTCTATAATTGGGCACTCTAAGGGTCAACCCCGCTCGCCTGAACGTATCCTAGACAGCGGGTGGAGAGTGCTAGTAGTTATATGTAATCTCACAAATATTCCAGAAATCTTTCAAGACATTTGTTGCAAGTCATTCCCTTGCTCGTATATATTTCAAACAAATATCTAACACCACCGCCAAAATGAACGAGCTCACTGAGGGGTTGCGAAGCACTCATTTAAGTGACGGATCTGATGCACTTGATCGGCCCGAAGAGACAGATCATCTGGAACAGCTACCATTCTATCCCCCAAGAAGCCTGGGAACAACTCAAAAAAGACTACCCCGTTTCCTCTTTCGGATCGCCACTCCTGAGTCAGATGGAAGTACGAATAAAATTTGGGTGAAATCACAGGCCGCCAAGGATAACAGGCCTTCGTCTACAGAAGATATCTTTTCCAATTTCACCATCAAGAAACGAACAAACATAGCTGAGATACTCAAGGTACATCTCCGATGGTGGCCAAAGTATGACCTAGACGATAATTTCGTCTCATGGACTAGCTCGCTCCTCTTCGCTATCCAGTATATCTACTATCGACACCTAAGCAAAAAGAACCGCTCAAGTCTTGCGAATATCAAGTTGTATGTTATCGATACAACTAAGTTCCCCAAAGGTACTTTCATGCGGGACTTGGATCTAATTAATATCTTCTGCGAATACGACCAGAGTGAGGAATATAAGAGTTTGAGACGGGTGAAGACTTGGCGCGACGGAGACCTCTACTTCGGAGAATACCTTTCACAGGGAGCATTGAAGATTGAAAATAAATGTCAGGTTATTCCAGCGGATCTCATTTTTCAAAATAATCGACTGCGTCGTATACAACCAAATTTTGCTGAGCCCGGAGAAAAGGAAGGAGACTGGGCCAAAGAAGTTATTCGCCTTCGTAAAGATATATGGTCAAGCTCTGACCTCCCGGTGCTTTCTTCGGCGGATATGATAGACCGGTTGAAGGCCATCGAAGAGATTTTGGAAAATGTTGAACCGATCTGGAGATACCCTATCGCCATCTATTTGGCAGGGCTGACTGGCCCGATGTTGTGGGGGAAGCTTGACCAGGAAACACCGGATGATTCGGCGTTCTTTTCATTCTTCCAATCTGGGCTCTTGCAAGATGACCGTGAGTTTTTAAGAACTTGAACTTGCACATGTGGCTACCATGAGAAGCGATTGCTAATTGAAAACATATCACTAGACTTTTCAGGACGAGATGGGTTTCACCCCTCGACATTCAATATAGGTTACAATGATATAGCAGCCAAATTACCTGAGCAAGCGCAGGTCCAAAAGTTGACGCAGGTAATATATCAGCATTCAATGCTAAGAAAAGCACTAGGTGGGTTTAAATTGAGCCATGCGCCTTTTAAGGTTAGCATTTCTTTCCTTTCTATTATTATTAACATAATGGTTCAGAACATATCCAGAACACCAAATATATACTTCGTGAATTTCACGATCAAAATATCATTTCCAACCGTGGAGCCTTCGCTGCTCAATATGAGCCAGGCGGAATTCTGTCTCGTAATAGTTGGGCTTTGGTGTCGAAGGTTACCGCAGTGAAGAAGTTGTGTGAACAAGTTGAGATGAGTATTCTAAGAAATGGCCATAGGAACTAGTCAATCTAGAGAGAGTTGTTGGAGTATTTCATGTCGCTTGTCAAGTGTTTTTCACTGAGGTCGCCTCTTCAAGTTCCGTATGTATGTCACTGTAGTCCACGAGAGGAGGGCTCTCTCTATTAGGCTAGTGTTGAAATCGTTTTACCATCTGTAACAAGGATTTTAGCGCCTTAAACTCCCAATCGTAGCGTATTAACCATAATACGAAGACTATGCTAGTCCATACTTGGGTAGACTTGGGTAGTAGTATATCTCAACACATGTACCAAGCGCCTTTAGGCATTGAAGACCTCCAGAATCCGAAAGTTTGTTGATTGGCAATATAGCCTTTGCTTTCCAAGGTTATTTGTGACTCTGCAGGGTTAGTCTTACTAGATCAAGTTGATTATTATCAAGAAATGGAGACATATATACGATGCTACCATGAGACGAACCGCACAACGGCAGAGTGATCTAGACATAACAAAGTTGAAAAAGGGTATTAGGGTAAGAGAACATGAAGCTCAAATAGACCACGGTCCGAGAACCATGCAAATAATAGTTCTTTGTTCCTCCACTCAATCTGACCTGAATAAAAATGCAATGGAGGGAGCAATGGGTAAATACAACCCAGGACTAATCAACCTCCGATGAGACAAAGGAAAAGGTAAAGAAAAACGACCAGAGGAACCGAAGTGCCGTACTCCGCCCAAGCCAGTAGAGAAAGAAAAAAGTAATACGTATCATAGCTATTGATCAACCCATGCGAAGAACGATGAAAAGAAAACACCTGGTAAATGCTAATTTGAATCAAAAAGTCGGGTTCGCCGATGCATAACGTCCCCCTGAACTGGGAATGCCCATGCAAGAGAAGAAGAAATAAAAGGAGGGGAAAAGACATAGATCATACGCCGACGACCAATGATGAGGTTGGAAAGGAGAAAGAAAATGACAATGAAAAGAAGAAGGTCGATACGTCTATGCGTTGCGGGGATGGTGCATCATTCGTTTCAGTATCAAGTGTTGCCGATTCTTATTGATCGGCTTTTTCGGCTACGGCAACAGCCACAGCGACGGCAGCACCAAGAATAGCACTCTCGGGAGCTGGGTCCAGAGAGATAGCAGACTTGGAGCCTGGATGGGATTGATCGGCAAGCGCATCCAGGTAGGCTTGGCAGTTGTCGCGGAAGCCGGGGTACTTGTTGATGACGGTACCGTCGCACGCAATGGAGACATTAGTGGTAGCCTCGTTGCTCTCGACAACTGTTACTTCAGGAGATTCTTTGAGAGAAGTAGCTTTGGATGATGTGGCTGGGAATTCGGCCTCGTTGCTGAGACACCACATGCTGTGGATACCGGTGGCTAGGTATGCTGCGGCGCGGCGGGAGACAACTTGGCAGACACGGCGGAGGAAGCGAAGATCTTCGACAGAGGGGTAGCTCGGGAAGGTGTGTTCTTTTTGTAAAAGGGCAGCGGATCCAGCTAGAGAAACAGAGGAATCGTCTTCGAGGAATGCGACAATGCTGGTGTCGAAGGAATAGGCCTCGCGCATGGAATGGGGAAGCTCGCCTCCGAAAAGACCGGCTGTCTCTACAGCTTCCATGGCGATTAGGCGAACAATTTCACCCAAGTATCTTCCGGTAATCATATACTCCAAGGGTTGATAGTCGGGGCGTAGATGGGTGCGGTTCAAGACCTCGTCCCAACGAGTCATCGGTAAAATGCCACTACCACCAAACATACTCAACTCGGTGTTGACAATAACGTGCTTAGAGTAGTCGAACCATCCCTCGGGCCGGACTCCAAATTTACTTTTCCCAATATCGTGCACTGGGAAATGAACAGCCATGTTGGTACCTGTACCGAGAATCAAGGACATGCGAGTCTTCTCATCGACATACGCGCGTGAAAGCAGAGCGGCGGAACCGTCATTGACAATGGCGGCCATTTCGACATTCAAACTGCGCTTACGGCACGAATCAATCAACAGTTGACCCAGCTCTTGTCCGACGGTACCATTTGAGCAGTGGAAACCCTTGCCCATATGAATCACCAATCCACTACTAGTCGATGTCTGATCAATCGGGAATGACCAGGAGAGACCCATTGGCAAAGCGACCTCGCCGCGTCCATAGTTCGCCCCCACATCCTTTAACATAGTCTCAATATGTCCCGCCATCCAGTCAAAAAATTGAGTTCCTTCTAATAGCTTCACGGTGTTGTCGATGTAAGAAGACGCTACTTTCAAGATGCGCATTTCCTCCTCTCGACCCGATAATTCAATTAACGCGACTCGGAACGTCGAACCTCCTACATCCAGCGCAAGATATGTTCCTTTTTCGTTTCCAGAAGGTAAAGCGGTTGTGTATGACGGGAGCATGTTGCAAGGTGAATCCTGGAGGCAATGTCGAAATTGGGCGCGGATTCGCTCCGACATGTCGATCATCTTCGAGGTGGTAAGAGGAGTGGTGAATAGTGTCTCGACCTCGCCGGCGAAGTCATCGAGTGTCCGGCGACGCCAGTGTGCGCCGAGGAAGGGCTTGCGGCGTTTGTGGCCGAAGCCTTTGAAGAGGGAGGGAAAGAGGATCATGGTTTCGAGAGCGGAGACGACGTTATGGAAGAGCTCCTGCAGGCGGTGCAAGACTTTCACCAACGGGGCCGACATGGTCGGATGGTTGTTGACGGATATCGATTGGAGGGATGAACGGGGGGAAGATCAGGGCGACATGAGCAAAGATAAGATAGAAAAAAGGGTAATTCTGGGGAGGGGAGTTTATAGGTTGAGTGGGTTGTCTTAGGTGACACTCCCACAGTAGTGTTTAAGGTGGATCGGGGAGGTGAATGTAGCAGAAGAAGTCAGAGAAACCCCCCACCCGCGTGAGCAAAGGAGAGCCGCGCAGGAGAACCGAAAGAAAATAATAATCTAAAATGATTAAATAAAAATGGGAAAAAAATGGAAAGTGGAAAGTGGAAAAAAGGAGAAAAAGGTCAACAAGGCGAAGTATGGATCAACATTGGTCCATTCTTCGTGATCAAGTGTCACTCGGAGTGCAACTTGAAGCCCTTGCGGTGTCGCAATGCGCAAAGTGGGTATTGGTATGGTACGGTAATTTTAAGGGGAAGCACAGTTTATGGGTGGGAGTCACTGTGGCGAGGGTCGTATTGGAGGTAATGAACCCGTTATCTTACTGCGGAGAAAGTTTTGAGTTTAATTTCATGGCATCAAGATAAGGACTTCAATTCATCTAGGCACTACTACTAAGTAATTTCTATTGAGTTTCTGTCAGAAAAAAAGCAATCACAATGTCTGTCTTAGAGCATTGACATCCTTATTGTATACAATTTACATTCCCATTCCTTCGAGCGTGGTATGTCAGTACATAGTCAATGACCCCCTTGAGTGCAACGGTGGTAGCCGGCCCAACTGGTCGGGACCGTTACACCCAGTGGAACCGACCAACTTATAACCTCGTGGAGACCTGGAAAAACCACAACACCCTATTTTTTCTCTATATTCAGCCCTAGTTAGATCTTGTTTCAAAGCACAGGTAACATGTTCACCCTGTCTAATCTATCGTGTTTGACATTTTTCCTTACCTGCGTAGTCCTATATTTTCCTATTTTTTCTTTTTCGGACCCGGTTTAATCTCCAGATTAAGGTAGGATGGTTGCATCGCTGCAACCACGGACCATGCGGAGGGCCATGTTTCGGACCTTTCGGCGGAGTATAGCTACTAGACCTCCATACATACATACATACTACTAGAGTAGATATGGGACCCCGTAGCACTTCATTCTTCATTCTTGTCGTAGATCTATACCCCCTTTTTCATTGTCGTGGTTGTTGTGCATCATCCCGTCCATGTACGGAATACAGTAACCAACCATGCGACTGTGAATCCACTGCAGAATGCCAAGACAACTTCCCCCCCTCCAACATGAACATACAGCATTATCCACTATGCTTCAAACCGTGACATCACCCGTGTGCACAAATGGCATCATCAGGTATCCCCAGTGGTGTAGTTCTGCACAAAGTTTATAAGCATTGAAACCTTGCCATGCCATTGCCGTGTCTTCATGATTCATGTCGGCTAGTTCCATTTTAGACACGATGGGCAACCCCATCACGTCGGAGACTATGTGTTCACTAGGCTTCGAGGAGAAAGTTATCGTTATCGTTATCAAGGCAAGGTACGCCTGAAAATCCTTTTGCTGATATTCTGCTACATTGGGTGTCATTCATGACTAGCACTCGTACTGTAGATTGAAAAGACCGTCACCAACCAGGAAGAAGCTCGGGCTGAGAAGGTGACCTACCCACTAAGGCAGGTTGTACCCAACTTCAGAATTACCTACATGCGCCTACCTGGCACTTACTTCTCAAGTTGCATTGGCACATTGTAATCTGATACATTCTCGGGCACAGGTCTTCACCGATCAGCATAGACATCGGGTTGCGGTTGCGCATAATCCACTATCGGTGGATAAACAGTCGGATCGGGGCTTAATTGACACGTAAAATCCCATCCCGAGAAACAAGATGTAGTGTGTTAACTTTGCCAGTGTGTCAGTGCAACTTCGGGTTCTGGGGAGCATTCTGCAAGACACGCTTCCTGGGTTATCTGTGTGCCGCGCGGAGATCCCGTGTTGATCTGTGGGGGGAAAGGGTCCATGCAATTGAAGTTTTACTTTCCTTGTTTTGGCTGGAGACTTCGGTTTCCTAGTGGTGGACATTCTTTGTGTCATTAGCATCGCGTAAGCTTTTAGAATCTTGATAATTAGCTCGATATGGAGACGGGAGACAGAACGGAAGTATCAATGGCGACCAATGAAGGCCAAATATAGGAATTCCTATGTATGTAGTAGTAGCCTTGGACGTAGAAGAGGTAGCAGTGCGATAGAGGACGGAGTTTATCCAGTCTCCAATAGCTATCTATCCCACTGCCAAGCTTGCTACCAACAGTTCAATATAGTTTATCAATGAATTGACTTCCATCTCTTCGGCAAGTCTCTCATCGCCTGGTACCTAGACCATTAGCTCAAGGTTTCTTGCTTTGTCTTCAAATGTTGTGTCTCCCGACCATGACCCTGTCCAGAACTAAGATGAGCCTCACCCTCACCCTCACCTTTTCATTTATGCCTAAGGCAGAAATTGATCACGCGGGGAATACTACATGCATTCCAAGGCCGTAACATTCTCAATACTACCATGGCTCTCCAAGTGATGATATTTTTTCCAATGGTACCAACGCATTGGCTGTCAGCCCTGTCAGCATAGGAGTATGCGCTGTCAAATGAGCCCGATCGATCGTATCGTGGCGGAGGCTAATACCCAAACGGGTCTTGTTCAGGGTTCAGGGTTCAGGAAGACCCTGTGCTCAGATACCTAATTCTTATTGAGTGATGGTCTGACAGTCGGCTACTACTGTAGTAGACTTTTAGTTCTCGAATGAAAATGGATCTGTCCCAGGGGCGGGGGCGGGGGCGGGGGCTTAAACAGAAGTACACAGGATGGAAGGCTTTGTATTCGGTTCCCAAATCGCGCCTAGATAGCAGGAGGAGGTACTCCGAGTTGGGGCGTACGTATAAAATCTATATACTTTAGCCCTCGTCCCAGTTTAAACGCCAGTAGTGTACCAAAACAAGCCTGCCGAGTTGAGCCCAAGTTGATTCAGTAATACAGAAAGGATATATCATCATGATGAGTAAGATTTCAGATGTTACTTCATAGTTGGTAAGTCAACGCGAAAGCATCGTTTCCCATAGTATAGAATTGAACCATCAAGATGCACAAGAGGATACTGGCCACGGGCGCACGTCACGCAGACCTTCTCACAAGTTGTTTGGTTCCGTCTTCATCAGATTCGCAGGGCTACTCAGACCTGACATGGATGACAATATCATCACTCACCCATTGTAATTCTAGTCAGATCAATTCCCTTATGTACTCGATCCACTGCGTGACGAAGACGTCGCATACGTACACACCTTTGATCTACAGATCGTCAAGAGGACATCCATGCCCAGGTGCTCCATGGGTTGGATCTGTATGACGCATCGGAGCGGAGTAGGGTATCGCAAAGCCCCGAAGTCACGACTAGATTTCAAGTTTTCATGAGCTGGCTCGTAAGCTTTTATATCCATATGCATCATGACATTCATCGCATAGTATGTTGTGCTGTCTTATCCTCCGGACGGAAGATGTTGTACAACCCCTGACACGGCTTGGCAGGGGATACGTAGGTGAGTAGTGGTTGATTGATATCATCAGGGACCCACAATTTATTTTTTTTCCCGACCGTGACCCGGCCAGCCCAGATGTGGAGTAAATACTCCTTGAATATCCATGAATATATGTAGTGTGCCCAGTGTTCGGCGTGGGTAACTAATATGGGCCCTGGTGCTTGTTAGTCGGTCTAAAGTTAGAGGGAATGCTTGTTACCAGTCGCCAATCGTAGCCGCTATTATGATGGCGCGTATTAGTTGGAGCCTCGTGGTGGTTGGCCTCGTGGAATCGGCGGGCGAATCGCTTGTCGAGGGGTACGCGTCTCCCGGCTGGACTAAGAACGCCACGGGTCTAGATGATACCTAGCAGGGACCCCGTTGTTGTTGATTTTTGATTTTTGATTTTTGATTTTTCAATTTTATTTTCTTCTCCGTTTTTCGAACGGAGTCCGAAGCATGGAGAAATGCTTAATTGTGTCTACATATCCCTAGTATAACTTGGAATATAAAAAATACCAGATCTACTGCGCTAAAACGGAGCAAGTTAGGTAGTAAATGTTCCTTCCCCGTGCGCCCGGGGCCAATGCTCCGATAATTTACATGTCTACTCGATAGTGGTCCTAACTTGATTGAACTTGAGTTTCGTGGCCTTTTCGATTGGGTCAAATCGGATGGTAGCCCCCTTTCGGTCTAAAATCAATTGCCGCCACAGGGCTAGACAATGTGGGCCTTTGACAGATCGACATCAGGAACAAAAGGAAGACCGTCGGTCGCAGAATCTGCATGGACTGTTTTGCAGATGTCGCACCATGATTAAGCGTGCTGGCAACGAGATTATCGCGGATGTACTCCGTACATACGAAGTGAAGAAAGTCAAAAAACAGAATGAAAAAAAGATAAAAAAATATCCGATGTATTACGATCTCCGCAGTGGAGGCTTGGGACGCCTGGGAGAGTTGCAAATTGTTCGATTTGTTGATTCTTTTTTACAGAGACTAGGCCAAACACAGCTAGAGTGCCAAGGTTTAATATCCCCCTAGAGTATGTAAGCTAAGTCTTCACCCGTTTTTTGACTCCATTCGACTCCCTGTGGTTGCGGCTCAGCCAGTCAGAGTGCGAGAGGAGAGGCCTAAGCTGTAGCAAAGCCGGAAAAGCCGGCAATCCCCGTGTTTGATGGAGATGATAAACGAGGTGGAAACACTAAAATCAGCAGAAACTACCTAGAAGAGAAAAATTGAATAAAATTGAATCAAATAGACAAGGCCGGTACCTGTTCGGACATATCATCGTAAATAGGACAATGTATATGCCTGATGATGGTTAGAAATGAAATAGAAGTAGAAGTAGAAATAGAAATTAAAATAAGTAATATAATAAAGTTGCCCATCTTAACTATACAAAGCACGAGACAATCCAAACGGGGTTAACTATACGAGAAAAAGAGAGAGAGAGAGAGAGAGGAAACTGCGTAACTCGTACTTGATTCTCCGCCAATCCCGCTCTCTCTCTTCCTTCAGTCCTGTCGTCCCTGCAGTTTGTCACTGGTTCCACTGCAACCAATGCCAAGATCCTGTTTAACCTGGATCGTCAGAGATTCCCTCGTTTCCCCTGTCACTGCCCTCCCCTGAAGCGGAGTCGGGTGTTGGTGTTTGGCCTAACCCTTTTCTCTCCCTAGTTCAGCTCCTCTCAATCCACTCGAACGTCCCAGATTCCCTGGACTGACGACGACTTGGACCCAACGTTCGTTCCGGCACTGGATGTCGCTCCCTTGGACTGTCCCTTTTTTTTTTTTTATTACCCTCTTTTTTCCCCTTCTCTTTTTGAACCCTTCCGCCCCCCATTCTTTGTTTGTTCCTCCACCCCCGTGCTCCCAAGGGAAGTTCTCTTCGTGTCTTCCCGACCACTCGTTCATCATGTTGTACCTGGGCGCATTATTATTATCTTGTCTGCATGGCGTGGTGGCAGAAAGGCTTGATGCAGATCTTATGTCCTTCGTCACGGTTAGTGTTGAGCCTCTTTATCCCCTGATCCCCCCATCTGATGGCGTGATCGCACCTAATACCGAGACTATAAATTTTAGCTCCCCGAAGTACGAGCTTTAAAGTGGGAAGTCACTCATCATGATCGAGAACGTCAAGCCCCCGGATATTGGTTTGTCGCACCATATGGCCAGATTAGCCCCGAGGAAGCCACCAAAAAGTACCAACAGTATCAAGTTGGTCCGTATATCTACGATAATGATGGGGTAGGTCTTTATTTATTTATCTATTTTTTAATCTCAATTTCTCAAATCGCTACTATCGCGAAGCGCAATTGCTGACCTCGTTTTGCACAGATCCTCGTTTGGGCAGGTCCAACCCTTTTCGATAACCGCAACACCTTCGATTTCAAGGCCAACCTGAATATAGATGGCGACCCCCACCTTTCATTTATCGTCATATGGGATCGCGAGAATAGAGAAGACAAGGGAACCGGTGTCATTGTGGATAAGCACTTCCAGGTGGAGCACACCGTTACCCCCCCGGAAAATATGAGCGACTTCAACATGCACGAATTCAACATTTTGGATGGCGGCAAGACCGCCATGGCTTGTGTGTACCATTCGCAAGAGATCAGTCTGGCAGACCAGGGTCGCCCAGATGAAACAAGCTGGGTCGTGACTGGTGGCTTTGCTGAATTCGATCTCGAAACCAATGAGGTTCTCGCGGAGTGGAACAGTGCCGACTGGGTCTCTGTCGCAGAGTCGAAGTTGTTCCTTGCGACGGATAACCCTGCACACGATTCTGGCAGCGCTTGGGACTATGTACATGCCAACTCGGTGGACAAGAACGAGGCTGGTGATTACATCCTTTCGCTGCGATACACCAACACCCTTTACGGTATCTCTCATGATGACGGAAGTATCATGTGGCGACTTGGTGGACATGGGGCACTTAGTGATTTCGCGCAAGACTTCACTTTCTCGAAGCAACACGATGTGAAATTCGTCTCTTCTAATGGCACTACCCATGTTATATCCTTCCTGAACAACGCAGGCGACGAACGTGCCGCTGACGAAACTATGTCTTCCGCTTTGTATGTGGAATTGGACACTGAAGCCATGACTGCTACCGTTCTCAAGCGCTTCAACCGACCTGATAATGGATTGACACTTCTTCGTGGAAACACCCAAACCCTTCCCAACGGTAACACATTTGTCGGATGGAGCGAACGGGGTTATCAATCTGAGCACGCTCCTAACGGTGATGTACTGATGACTGCCCAATTTGCTTCGAGTCGCTACTCCACCTACCGTTCCTACAAGTCCGAGTTCATTGGTCGTCCTAATACCCCGCCTGATGTTGTGGCCTCCGTCTACGGTACCAGCAACATTGACATGACTACCATCATCCACGTCAGCTGGAATGGCGCCACTGACGTTGCTGGATGGAACTTCTATGCCCAGGCCTATGACCGTGGTGGAGCTGTGCTTATTGGCCACGCTAACAAGACCGACTTCGAGACCATGTACATTGTTGATGGCTACATGGATTGGATTGTTGCCGAAGCAGTTGACAAGGATGGCAATTCGATGATGAAGTCTGAAGTTACGCGCAGTGATGCTCCCGCTAACTGGCACTCTGTCGGCTTCCAAGGCGCTAATAACCCATCCCCCGATGACCCGTCCCTCCTCTCGGCGGCCTACGACAAGATTTCGTCTAGTTCCTCCGACGAACACGATGATAGCATGAGTGACGGCATGGATATGGACCACGAGGCTGCATCAGACGATTCATCCTACGCCAATGCTAAGGAGGTCGCACAATCCGTCTACAAGGCCTACGAAGTGATTCGTGGAGTTGGTGGTCTCTTGATTTTCATCTTAGTCTCATGCAGCATCGGTGGTGTGGTCTACGGCATTTACCGAGTCGTCAAGCGCCGCAAGGTGCGCTCCTACCAACACATCGCCTCCGATGACGACCTTCCAATGGAAGAGATGGATCGCCGCTCTCGGGCTGATTAACCTCTTCAAGTCTGTTTTCCTTTCACTTTTTCTGATTTCCCATTGAATATTCCAACTCGCATTATTAGCAGCATCGCATCTGCCGCTTTGCATTTGCATTTACATCCCCCCTCTCGAGTTACTTTCTTCCAGGCGAAGAGAATATTCGGAAGAACTATTTTGGATTTACGCTCCACAACTTACGCAAAACCTGAACGAAAAAGATGGGGTATTTGAGAGGGTATGGGTATATACAATCAGGCCATGATCGCTTCACTCATGACATACCCAATCTGGCGTTATTTATGGCTTTCTTTAAACCTTTCGTGTTCAAATCTTCGACTGCTCATTCCAGTCTTTTTCATCCTTGCACATTTACTTGGATGACAGTGATGCCGATAGGGACTTCTTCATCCCAGGCTCACTTTCGCATTTCTTGCCTTATACCTTTTTTATTTTTCGTTTTTCTTCTTTCCCACTTTTATTCTTGTGTAATATTATTCACCCTTTGGGCTTCTTGTCAATCTTCTTTGTTACTTCATATATGAAAATATTGAAAGAATCAAGTGTACATATACTTACTGCCTTGGCCTGTATAATGAACAATAATCATGAAAATATCATCCACTTTGAATATACGGGTATCATTCGCATCTTCGGAGATAATGGAATATACATGTAATGGCCACTTTTCTACTATTTAGGTTTATTCCCGAAGCCACAATAATGTTTTACAGTGACTCGGACTATCCATCCGAAGCCCTAAGATACCTGTCCTGACTCGTGGGCCAAATCACGGTCTTTATCTTGATTCAAGCATGTACAATACGGAGTAGACCATAAATGGCTAACTTTTCAATTTATTCCTTTGACGTATCATATGTGTGTGGATTGGGTTACAGTGCTTTGCCAGTTGTATCAATCAGTGTTGCAATTTGATACATCTCCATCCCGTCTTCACTATACCCAATTAGTGCATTTCTCCTTGCCAACCTTCAAAACCCTGGCGGAAGGCTAATGCGCTTTGCTCGAGACTGCTCGGGGTTCTCTGATACGACTATTTTCTGCGCGTTCACCGTCCTTACATGAAACACGTAACTGAACTTAAGATAGGAAGGGATCTGAGTTGGGCTCCACATACGCGTGCCCCCTTGACCCGTCTTCTGAATGGTCCCCACTTACGGTACTTTGGTGCGAGTTTTGTAACTTTTGTTTGTGTTTGTGTTTTGAACATCCAAAAATCGAGAGAACGAAATAAAAACGATGACGCTTTATCGTCTTGATTTTACGGTGAACATGCAGTATACTTGTATAGAGAGCCTATAGTATAAAGAGCAGATATAGAAATTCATAGTGTATCTTGAAATCAGACTTATAATATAAAGCGACGCCAACTTTGAAATCTGAAAAGCAAAACGAAACTAGATAAAAGAAAAAGAAATAACAAACACAAACACAAACACAAAAATCCACCGTTTACAAAATCCAAATGAAATCCACAATATAACACTCAATCAAGCCTGAGACTTATTCAGAATAATCTCAGCCAAAGCCATCAACGACCCACTCGACAACAGTTCCAAAACCTGCACATTCGCATTCGCCTCGCGAGCAATCCAATTCCGAATCTCAATAGCAACCAACGAATCAAGCCCAAGCGACGAAACAGTAACAGAAGGATCCATATCCTCCAACGAAATCTGCAAAACCTGCGCCAACTTCGCAGCAAGAGCCTGATAACAAATCTGTAACGCTACCTCCTTCGACTCAGCACTATGCAACTGTACATTAAGCGGAACAGATGGACCACTCGCTGCATTTCCACCGGCACCAAGCTTACTCTTCGCAATCTCGTAAAGACCACTGAACTTCGCATCTTGAGACCAGAAATGATCCAGCGTCGTACTAAGACTTAGACCCGTGATACTTTGACCGGAACAGGACCTCTCAAGGTCCCCTGTTATTGCTGCGCCGAAGAGTGCGAGAACCTCGCCTTCATCCATTGTGTCGCTACCGATGTTCTTGAGGACTTCTTGGAGCCGTTTTGCGTCGACGTCTGCGAGGTATCCTGCGTCGCTGACGGCTGTTAGGTCGATTGCTGTTCCTGGGAGACCGTGGGAGCGACGGTAGGACATGAATTCGTCTAGGAAGACGTTTGCTGCGGCGTATGCTGCTTGGCCTCTGTTTCCGATTACGCCTGCGACGGAGGAGAGAGCGACGAAGAAGTCGAGGGGTGTAGAGGAGAGCACATTGTGGAAGTTCCAGGCTCCCTCGACTTTGCTGGCCGAGACGGAGGTGAAGTCGTCTAGGGTCATGTTCTCGAATAGCATGTCCTGAGGGTGGGTTAGATGAAGAGTTTCAAGGTAAAGGGGGTTTGATAGTACTCACGCGGAGGACCATGGCTCCGTGGACGACACCGCGTACTGGAGGGAGGTCTTTCATGTCTTCGTTGATGAGTGTCTCGACGGATTGTCTGCTGATAACATCACAGGCTTTAACGGTGATGAGGGTTCCGTCGGGGGATAGCTCGTCCATCAACGCTTGCACCTTGTCGTTGACTGTAGCTTTGCGGGAGACGAGTACGATGTTTCTCGCTCCCTTTGATGACATCCATTTGGCCATGCTTCGACCAAGACCACCCGTGCCACCGATTAGGATGTAAGACGCATCTGCCTTGAGAAGGGAAGGGCTTGTCTTAGGTGCAACAGCCTGTAGCATTGGATTTTAGTAAAATATTTTCTTTATTAGCGATGATGGAGAAGTTGGCTTACCTTGACTTGGTCTTCCGGGTTGGCAACGACCACAATCTTACCCATTGCCTTTCCGGTTTGTAGTGTTCGAAAAGCGCTCTCAAGCTCAGAGATACGGTATGTTGTAAGAGGCAAGATAGGATTGAGGGACCCCAGGCTCATCATCTGGGAAACCTGATCCAAGAGACTCTTCATGAGCGCGGGCTTGAACTGTGCAACCTTGGTGAGATCAATGGAAGAGAAAGAAACGTTGTACTCGAATGGAAGCATGTCCAGACGAGTGTTCTTCGTAATATCCGCCTTTCCAATCTCAACAAAGCGACCAAATGGCGCAAGACATTCCCAAGTTTCCCTAAGAAGGTCACCAGCCAGAGAGTTGATCACGACATCGACACCCTGGTTGTTTGTAGCTATCTTGATACCGTGAGCGAAAGAAGAATCACGACTGTAGAGGATATGATCCTCTGGGATATTGTACTGTGTCATTAAAAATTGTTTCTTCTCCACACTGCCCACAGTAACGAAGATCTCTGCTCCGATAATCTGTGCCAGTTGAATGCCTGCTTGTCCGACACCACCAGCGCCGGCATGGATGAGAACCCGCTCACCAGCCTGTAGCTTGCCAAGATCGAAGAGGGCGTAGTATGCCGTGCAGAAGACAACAGGAACAGTAGCTGCAACCTCGAAGGACATAAAGTTCGGTACTGGTGCAGCGCTGGTAGCCTTGCATCGGGCGTAGGTGGAGTAAGCGCCCAAAGGTAGAGCCATGACTCGTTGTCCAACCTGGAGATGCTGTACCTTCTTTCCGACTGACGTTACAATGCCACTGCACTCGATTCCGATGTAAGGCTGTGCAAGCTGGCCCATGGTGACGACGATATCCTTGAAGTTCAGTCCGGTGGCCTTGACTTCGATCTCGATATCATCATCAGCCAGTGGCTCGGGAACATCGTCTGCAAAGTACAAACTGTCGAGCGAGCCAGGGCTGGCAATTTGAAGATTGAAACGTCTGCTGGGCTGCGAGAATGGTTGCGTGGTTATGGTTTGCTCGTGTGTCTCATTGTGAACGAATGCATTCGCGGCATCATCATCCACAACACGCGGGACCAGAAGCTCTGAGCCCTGCGCCTTGAACTCCCAGTCACCCCTTGACTTGGTGCCATCCGTGGGCCATAAAGTCTCAATTGCGGCGAGAATGGGCTTGGAAGAAGTTTCAAGCTCCGCGGTGTTAATTCCGAGGGTAGCGACCTTGGACAGTGCCTCTGATCGGAGACTGCGAGTGACACCGACAATCATGTGGGCGTCAGGGGTGTCTGCGCGATAGACCCAAAGAACATGAGAGGCGTTTAGTAGAGCGTGTTTGAGACTGTCGAAGGCTTCGGATGAAAGGTCGCGGAGAGTCTCATCTCCGGTCTGGAGGACGATGACATGCTTGTTCGTGCAGTCGGCTTCTTCGAAGGCGGAAATGGATGGTAGCCACTCGCTTGTCGCAGTAGAGATGGCGTTGCTCAGCTTCTCGGCAGAACCATCAGACTTGCCGAATTGTTTTATCACCACATCACTCTGGTGAATAATGCCGTTTCCATTGAGGTGGGGCTTTTCTCCAGGAGTGACATGACCGTTAGTAGTCGACCCATAGGGCTCCTTTACTTCACCATTGGGTTCTTGCTCAGCCTCGCTATGGTTCAGAGGTTGCCACTCCAACTTAAAGCAGAGGTCGCGGGGATCTGGGCCACGGAAGCCCGCATCCTTGAGTGGTGTCATTACCAGTCCCTCTATCGAAATCAAAACATCCGTGGAGTTTTCCGGTGTTACCCATAGATCAAACTTCGTTGGTTCCGGGGTCGGCAGGCTGGGTCCTCCACTGCACCATGCTTTCGTGAACTCACCGGGGGTCGAGGGGATGTTGTTGCTGATAGTCAGGTTTTTTATCATGGTTGGCATGTACAAATTGTCCAGTTCCATACTCCCGTTACCAAGAATAGGCCAAACCAGATGCAACAGACCATCCAAAAACGTCGGGTGAATAACCAAGGGCGCTTCGTACTGCTTTGGCATCATGCTTCGTGTATCTCGGACACACAGATCTGCGCGACAGTGACGGGGGCTCGAGAAACAATTTTCCAATCCTTGGAAAGCCGGTCCATACCCAGCTCCAACCTCGGCCAGGACCTGATACATGTTGCTGGTGTCAATGCTGTACGTGGTTGCTGTGTGCACTGTGGCGATTTGATTTTGGAAATGGTTTACCTCTGTCTCAGCGACGTTGGAAACTGCAGTCTGCTGCTTCTTATTCGCGCGAGTCCTTACAAGGCCTGAACAATGATCTGTCCATCCTCGCTTGGTAGACCACGAGCAGATGCGGAACTCATCCCAGACATCTGAGCTACAACGCGTGCCCTCAGCGTATGGCCGAAGCGTGATAGTGGTCTCTGCCTCCGCGTCGTCACTCAAGACAAGAGCTGAACCGACTTTCACTTCTCGGAAATCGAACTGAGAGAATACTACATCGCGTTGTTCGGCACGGCGTTTCGCAGCTTCGACGGCCATGGAAATCTAGGTATAGTGTCAGTATATACTTGGTGAAATAAGATATCGAGTACTTACATAGCCGGCCATGGGGAATACTGCCATGCCCTGCATCTTGTGCTCTCGAAGCCAGGGAATGTCATCAAGACGGACAATGTTTCTCCATGTAGGCTCCAGGTCGTTCGAGTAGAAGGCCTGTGCTCCTAACAGATCATTCCGAACGCCATCTCTGAGAGCATGCTTCTGAGCAATGCGAGACTCGTGCCAGTACTTAGTACCATGCTGCCAGGGGTATCGAGGTAGATCTCGCAAAAAGCTCCGTGTGAGACCACCGCTGACGGGGAAGTTCATCTTGTTGATATCGATATCTGCTCCTCGTACAAATGCAGCACCAGCAGCATCAAGAACAGACTGAGCGGCACTTGCGTTGCGAACAATAGTAGGGGAATAGCCGATCTTGGCGGTTATTGAGCCAATAGTCTTCATGGTGTCTAAAATTGGACCCTTGAGCGCAGAATGGGGACCAATTTCCATTAGAAGGTTGGGGCGGCTTCCTTCGTCAACGCACATCTTGCTGAGAGCATTGGCAAACAAGACTGGTGAGGTCAAGTTTTGCACCCAGTATGCGGCACCCAATTCAAATGGCTCAGCAATTTGACCAGTGACTGAAGAGAAAAATGTAGCTGTTGCAGTGCTAGAAGGCTTGATTGACTCAATTGAAGCCAAGTAAGCTTCAGCAACATTCTTCATGTGATCGGAGTGATATGCGACATCAATCTTCAGCTTGCGGTTGAAGAGCTGCTTGGCCTGCAAGATATTCTCCAATTCATCAATGGCGGGTACGTCACCGGATACGGTCACACTGGAAGGACTGTTGACACAAGCAATGGTTGCATAACCCTTCAGAGTCTTCAACATGGGCCTGATGGCATCAGGGCCAGCCCCGACGGCAATCATAGTACCATGAAGCTCGGGGAATGACCCCTTGAGCAACTGTGTCATTTGGCCACGGTGGTATGAAAGTGCCATGGCTGCTTCCAAGTCATAAATACCCGCGGCGTAGGCAGCACCAATCTCACCAGAGCTATGACCCACGACTGAATCTGGTTTGACTCCCCAAGATCGAAGAAGATCAGTCAGAGCGATCTGAAGCGCTGTGCAAGCGGGCTGGCTGAGATGGGGCGAATTAATCTTGGAGGTTGCTCCATCTTCTCGTAGAGCTTCGATGAGAGAAAAGTCCGCTCCAAGATCTTGCAAATGTTTGTCGGCTCGCTCAAAGGAGTCTGCAAAAACGGAATACTCCTCCATGAGAGGAATGCCCATCTGAGCCCATTGGGCACCCTGTCCAGTGAAAACAAATGCGATTGTCGTGCTTCCGAGTATCCGAGTTGGGTTGGCTTTCAGCTGAGCCAGGCGAATGCTAAGCTCATCGAGCGAAGTGGCTGAGAGAGCAACTCGGTAGGACAGATGAGACAGCTTACTGCCCAGGGTATACGCAAAGTTGCCGAATAGTGACTTTTCGAAAACCTCAGGCCGTTGCTCAAAGTAAACACCGAAATCTCTGATACGGGTCTTCAGAGACTCCTTGTCGTTGGCGGAAATCAAGAACAACTTGTGTGAGGGATCCCCATCGCTTTCTGGATCATCCGTGTTCTCCTTAGGCGGAGGAGGCTTTTCAAAAACCACGTGGGCATTGGTACCTCCAAAGCCATAGTTTGAGACACTAACATATTTCTTGTTTCGAGGCCAGGGTCTTGTTGACGTGACAACCTTCATGTTCCAATCATTCAAGGGAATATTAGGGTTGGGCTTCTTGAAGTCTGCGTTTGGCAATAACAATCCTCTATCAAGCATCATGGCGGCCTTGATGATGGAGACCATACCACTTGTACCTTCAAGATGACCAACATTGGATTTAACAGAGCCGATATAGAGTGGATCTCTTGTTGTTCGGTTCTGTGCCAAGGCGTTGTGAACAGCTTCAGCCTCAATGGGGTCTCCGGCCTTGGTTCCAGTACCGTGCATTTCAGCAAAGCCACACTCGTCTGGGTTCAAGCGACCATCTCGGTATACTTGACGGATAAGATTCTCTTGGGATTGGCCATTGGGCATAGTAATTCCCTGAGTTCTTCCATCTTGGTTGACACCACTATTAGCAATTATAGCCCGAATTGGGTCTTTATCGCGGATGGCGGCGTCGAGCGGCTTGAGAAGCACAACGCCGGCACCCTCTCCTCTTGCAAAGCCAGATTTCGCTCTTTCGTCAAATGCATAGGTCTTCCCTTCGTCATTGAATAATCTGAGTAACTGATGTTAGAAATTGTTCTGAAATTCATTGGTTTTGGATCCGTGACTCTGGATAGAGACCCATGCATCAATAGAATCTCCAGGGTTCCGAGTACTTACTGTGACAAGGACATGGAAACAAAATAGTCCGGGAGAAGGTTCAATCTACATCCAGCAACTAGAGCCTCGCTAGACTCACCGCTACGCAGACTTTGAACTGCCAAATGTAACGCGACGATGGAAGACGAGCACGCCGTGTCGACTGTAAGACTGGGGCCTTGCAAATCGAAGTAGTACGAAATCCGGTTGGATTGAAGTGCAGGAGCACAGCCAGTAGCCTGGAAAGACGGGCACGTCTCGATGTCACGTAGGTTTCTGAGCTCGTAGTCGGCGAAGTTACCACTGCTAAAGACACCCACATTGCGCCCTGCTAATGATTCTTTGGGAATGCCAGCACTCTCCAAAGCTTCATATGAGCACTCCAAAAGAAGTCGTTGTTGGGGATCCATGGAGATGGCTTCTTGTATGGTCACATTAAAAAATGGAGCATCAAATCGGGTCAAGGTATCATCATCCATAAAGTAACCACCTGCCGGGTTGAATGTTCCGGGCTTGGAAGGGTTGGGATGATGATAAGCTCCGGGGGAGAAACGGTCCTTGGGGATGGGCGTCCAGCCACTCCGACCCCGAGTACATAATTCCCATAAATCGCCGGGGGAAGAAACTTGTCCGGACATTCGACAAGCATAGCCAATGAGTGCAATGGGCTGCGGCTTCTGGGTTTCCCCATCACCCAGTGACCCGTTGGTGTCGGCCGAACTATTCATGGTAGGAGGACTTTGTGAGAAAAAGAAATAGAGAGGGTATATGGAAAAGGAACGGATATCACAAGGAGAACAAGGACGCTGGTCACTGGGATTTAAATAGATGTCCCATGAAGCCTATGGAGGGAAAGAATCCAGCGGAAAACGTTGAAACCTTTCTGCACGAGAGTAGGTCGTTCACAATTTTTGGATATCCTCGTTTTGGAAATTTATTTTTTAGAATTTTTGATTTATCTATTAGAGTTGTTCAATTGAATCCTTTGGATCTAAATATGCTTTTTCTCTTTATTAATTTTTGTTTTTTTCTAATTTCTTGTCGCAGGTGTGGGTTCAGGTAATGGTTTTACATGGATCTTGAGTAACTGGCTCGATAAGCTGTCTACTACTCCTCACTGGACGATTATAGATTTGAAAAGAGCGTAACTTTGGTCCCTGCTGTGCAGCCTACTTAGGTTAGACGTGAAATCAGGGCCATTTGGAGTCCCATGCAACCCACGAGAGCTTGAAAGTGTGGATCGCCTCAACTTGGTTCAAGGTGGATCCAGCTCTGCCGATCACATGTATTTCGGAGGAAATGGACCTGATTTCAAGAATTTTGGGGCGTTATTAGGGTCAATTAATTTGGTTGGATGCAATTTAGAGAACTTGCGTCTAGATTATTGGGGTTGTTTGAGACTGAAACTCCATGTATAGCTTCTTCTCAAAGATTCGCCTATTTCTTGCGCGCCGGTCTGCTTTCTTCTTCCGTCATCTCCCACCTTTCTCTTTTTTGAATCTTCTTCACCTTCATAGTTTATAATCTTCTGTTTGTTCTCCGAAGATATTGGTTGTACAACCTTTGCTTGGCTAGATTCAACTTTGCTTTTGGTCTAGACACATCCAGGATGAAGTTCCTTTGCCTTCATGGTGCCATTGGCAACATCGATGTACGTGATCAAAAAAGCCCAAGATAGTCTCGGAGAAAAGGAAGTATGCTAATCTCGTGCAGAACATCACTATTCAGCTATGTATGCTCCGCGCTAGACTCAGCTACCTGTCTTTCTAGCTTTCACTAACGCAGGAAAATAATTCAGCGCCGCTACAGAAAGACCTGGCAGAAGAAAATACTGCATCATTTCACTACATAAATGCGCCTGTGAAAATCATCCCTCCTCCAGGTAAATACCAATGAGGTGATTAGAATGTGATGGTTGGGAATAATCACTAATTATCATACTCCGTTACAGGCTTCGAAGAATACTTCGGTGTTGGTCCCCATTTCCGCTGGGCGGATGATGGAGGCGCTGCCGAGGATTCGATGATCAGCCGTGTACGCACAATTCCCGATGGACAGAATCCCGAAGATGTAATGCGGGATTTAGTTGGAGATCGGAAGGTAAAATGGATCAACTTCGACGAGGTGATGAAGTATCTATTTGATACGATGGAAAGCGATCCCGAGATCCAGGGAATCATTGGCTATAGCGAGGGAGCCTCAATTGCAGCCACCCTTATTCTGGAGGAGGCGAAACGTTTGCGGGCAACTGGTCGTCCCCGTCAAATCAAATGTGCCATGTTTGTTACAGGGTGGCCGCCAATGCATCCGATTGACGGTGCGCTCCTCGCAGACGAAAGTGACGTTGTGCTAGATGTTCCCACCTTGCATGTTGTTGGCGCAAATGGTATGATATCTGATCTTTCAAGCCTTTTTACCTTTTCCACTCAAACCTAATTACATCTAATTGCACAGACCCCTTCCGACATGGCGCATACGCCCTATACAATGTCTGCGATCCAGACACTGCGGTATTTTTCGATACAGGGAAGGGACACACCATTCCACGGTCTGGCCTTGTTATCCATGAGCTAGGAGATGCTGTTCGGGGTCTGATGGACAGAGCGTTTGAAGTTGAGGATTTTTAAGCAGCATGAACTTGAACCTAGACGCATCCATATTAGCGCCTGGTCTCCATGTAGGGTAGCTTTCCACAAAAACGTGGCCCAGGGTTGCTAGTCTAGAGTTCCGGTTATACAACATGAAGATATGGCGTTTGTTTAAGCCTTTTTTACAGCCAAATCAAAGCTTTACATTCGTACAAGGAGCCTATGTTCGTAGGTGTAACATTTACAACCGTTGCGCATCATGATCTCGAAATGCGTTTCTAAATGGCGCTCGCCGAGTGAATTTGTACCGAACCATGGGAGATTCCCGTCCCATTATTCAGGTCACCACACCTTGGGTAAAAATAGTTCGTGTGCCATTGTCTTAAATTTCGCTAAATATGGTAATTTCACATGTCCTAAAAATTTCCCCTTTCATTCTACAAAGTAGTTAATGATATGCCCTCGCTTGGACGCCGAAATGGATTGGTGGGTCCACGAGCCGCGAGATATGCCGACGCCAGAACTAACTTATGAGACCTTTATCCTCAGAGAGGGAAGATATGTTGATCCCAATGCGCGCGATATGCTAGATACCCGGTCTGTGGTACCAAGGTTGGGATGGCACTCTCCCGCGCATACCCTCCTTTCTAGTATAAGATTGGTGGCGGTTTTGCTTGGTTTATTCTTTTTTTTCTCCCTGATAGCAACGTTGTGGGACAATATCATAGAAGGGGAATAAAACCAAATATAGTTGAACATAAGGCCCGATCATGTATGCAATATCCCATTTCTTTAAATACATGGCGACGCTAGAGAAGAGTGCTCTCCGTAAAAACCACAAACTCCGATTGTCAATCCTGTCTTATCAAGTTTTTTAAACTGCGAAAATTGACCATCCGATCAATCTTCACATCATGTTCGTCCTGATAGTTGTCTTGCTGCTTTCCTATTTTGCATTTCCTCCGTCCAACGCCCAAACAACCCCACCGGAACTCTGCGCCGGAGGAGTTCATGCGATTCTCATTCGGGGGCAAGGACCCGGCGATCACTTGAACGTAATGGTTTCAATGCAGAACCTCGTTTTACAACTCATTCCGAATTCCAGCTCTGTGGCTTTGCCGTTTCATCATGGAGGCAGTGATCATAGAATTGTCGCTGCTGAAGGTGCACTTATGATGCAGAATTACATCCGACAGTATGTTGCTTCGTGTCCGCAATCAAAAATATTTCTCATGGGGTACTCGTTAGTATGTGTAATATTTCGTAACTATACTAACCCTTATGGGTTGTACCCACAACCTTTTTGAGCGAATGCCGATCTTGTTCTCCCCGTCTTTGATTTTTCAGATTTCTATTTCGCCATGTACCAATGTCTTTCTCCTTTCAAGATCCTCGGTATTTTCTCTGCATGTAGTTATGGCTAAGCAGTTCTTCGCATAGGGCGGGATCGTCATGATGGACGGGCTCTGTGGGACTAGTTCACTCTGGCTGAATCCAGTTCCTGGGCTTGAACCTCAGTATAACCGAAACGGTCCGCATATATCAAAATTTCCTATCACCTGGTCTACAGCAGTGGAAATTGACAAGGGAAGGGAGAGAAGTATGTTCTAATGTTTGGTCGTAGTGATTGCGGCTGCCGCATATGGTGAAGAGACCTTCATTCCGGGCATGCCTTGGAACGTTGGAACGTGCAACAATGGAGTTGGAGTGAGTATGGTATACAATGATTATCACATTTCGATCCTTGTCGCAGTCGCAGTCCCCGAAACACGAATCTCTAACCTGCGAAATTGAATTCATATAGTTATATCCCCGAATCCACCCAGAGTGGTGCGATCCTTTCAGTGCCTCTATTCGTGAGTACTGCGACACAGGAGATAGCTCCTGTTGCATGCAGTACCCACCAATAGATGACGGAGCGCATTTTTATTATATTTTTCGCTACAACATGGACCTATTGCATTTTGTTCAGCGTCGACTGGCGGAAACGCCCGTACTCTGATTGATCTCGCCTAAGCGATGGAGGGGTAAAAAGCAGGGACAAACATAAAATACGAATGGCAAGAATCTTCGATGGGAATACTGGGGGTTCAATGGCCGCAACGCGCTTCCAGCTAGGCTTCTTTTTGAGGAGAGAATCTCGCCACGTTTGAAAATTAGGGTTTTTACATGGTTGGCGGTTTAAGTGGGGTGGAGTGGAGAACGCGAACATGGATGTGGACACTTCCAAGAAACGGTCATATTTTAGGGACTTTCGCTTCAAAAGCTTAAATCTATGTACGATTCTGCAGCGGCACATCTTGAAAACCACGCGATTATATGGGGATCCACGGATCTAGGGTCGATGCGTATCAGTTTCCCCCTGTAACTTGGTCATTTTCGTATATGGCGCTCAACAATGCAGATGAAGATCAAATGATTTGCCCCATCAAACCTTATACTCAAGGACCATGCAGCCAGCCAGCGGCATATGGTTAAACCCTGACCTCACAAGTGACCTCGGGCTTAAAGGCGAGAATAGCTGGGGTAATCTCACATTCAAATGTCTCTTGTATACGCATCATGCCATTCCATCTAGACGCACAGATGTATCACGATTAAATGCCGGGATCATGAGACTGTTTCGGGTATGACTCAAAAATGAGGTTGCTTCAGAATTCAGTAATACATCCAAGCTCCCAACGACCCAACTTTCCCCGGTGGATGGTGGATCAAAAAGCCGAATCGAGGCCCTCCACCTTCTCGAATTCAGGACATGCGGCTACCCTTGATGAAAGGGAAAGGATTAAGCTTATCAATCCCGGAGACGTAGCCTATTCGGAATAGGCTTTGGATCCCTTTCATGTCATCCAGCGAATCACAAATCGAAGTAGAGAAGTCGAATCTACATGAAACCTAACCTACAGCGTAGATCATCAAAATGACGTACTTAAAATCGGTAGCTCCGTAAATTCCACTATAATGGCTCTACAGTTCCTCGACATTGTCTCAAAATTCGGATCCTTTCGAAACAAACTACTGTACTCCATATTCACAAAGGATTCCATGTCGCGGGACAATTGTTGAGACTCCAGAAGTAGCATGTCTATGTGTAATGCCAAGAGAGTAAGTGCTCTCCTCGAGGATCCACCCACAAACGGTCCTCACATGCAGACGTCAGGTGTAGGGTACAGGAATGTTGGAAGTGGTGTGGTCGGATTTTCCCTTGGCTGGTCTGCTCGACGATCCTTCCGAGCCGCATCCTCCACAAAACATGTAGAGCCGAGATCTACTAGATAACGGCTGACGTACAGCGAGGCCTAGATCTTCGTTTGAGCTAGTAAATGACTCCTTCCAATTTTAATGAGATCTCGAATAGTCATAGAATCCAACGAAGAAGAGCATCATCTTGAATCTTTTTAAGTCTCAATAATATAAACGATGAGCATGTAAATCAGAAACCTCTGTGATTTATTTGCATTGTCTCAGACAACCTGACTAAATAACGAATATCAAAATCTACTCACAGAAGATGAGGACTTGTATCGTGATCTTGACTCTCCCAATATGCATAATTCAGAGTCAAAGGTAAAAAGCAAAAACAAGTTAAAATAAAAATTGTCCTATGGCTACAAAATAAGTGCTGTCGCATGATGAGCATTGTCAAAGCCAAGGAGTTCTTTAAAAAGCAGAAGATCGATCGTTCTGGAATGGAAAATTAGAGAAAGAAGACACAAACTAACGAGAAAGAACCTTCCATAACCAGACTAAACCGAGCCAGCATAGCATTACCTCGTAGAGCCACATTGGCTTTTACTGTAGCGAAGTTGGTCAAAGTACACGAAAGAACATGCAAAGGCATGCTTTCCGTCAGGTTGACACTTCACACCAGGCTTCAGAAATAATTGCCAATCTAGCTCGCGTGGTTGAGCTTGATTGATTGTCATTGTGTTTTCTCGGCTTCCTTTCCCACTTCTTTTGCTCTGCTACCTGCCATACTCGTCTCAGCTCCTTCTTTGTCGTTGAATTTGCATCTGGGGAGAGTATCTGAGATTTACATCGGTTATTTTCCAATAGAGGAAGGACTGAATACGAATATGATCTCATCCAATAGCAATCCCAACGAGTGGCCGAGAGCATCATGTTCCAATGGAGAGCTTTGAGAGACGTGAAGTCTCTTTGAGCTCGTTTGCGGACTTTGATTCAGGCTTTCTCGCTCTTGCTTCTTCACGGCATAAACTCATTATCGCGCGGCACGTTGTACCTGGTATGGTTTAATTCGATGTGATGAACCGCAGATTTGGCAGTAGGGCTTGTCGTCACTAGAATTCGTCGCAGACTATTTGTGGTGTTGAACACAAATTGTGTTCGGGAATACAACAGAAATAAAACCTCGTCATGGATGCTTCTGCATACCAACAACAAGTTGATGGGAAACGACGGGCTTGTATTTAGGTTCAATTCATCTTCGAGAATCTCTGCAGGAATCATGAGTAGCGGAGAATCTTCCTCGGCAACGTGCTATTTGTCACTTACCTCAATGCAACGGGGGTCCACTCCCAGAGAGCGTTTACTCGGTTAATTTTTGGAACACGGATACTGAAACGGATGAGGGTACCAACGGGGTGTAGAACGTGGTGAGAAGTGCGATAAGAGGCGTGATGAGGAGCTTGATGAGGAGCGCGATTGAAACCATCATCGATACCGTAGTGGAAATGGTAGACGAGAAAGTAATGGGAAAGAGGGCTTTGAGAAACTTGAATGCCTGGAAGGTGAAAAGAAAAAGACAGTGCCAGTGAATGATACTATATTGCATGATGGCACTATTTATAGTATATTGACGTCGATGCCGGTGTCAACTATCACGTATGAATACTAGAGATTTAAGTCCCGTCTCTACTGAAGCAGCCTTCGAGAAGCTTGCCAATAATCTAGTTGAACCAGAGTAAGCTTACAGTAGAACCGAGGGTCCGCAGGCAATTGTACTGAATCTGATGGGTCTATCCAGGTAAATCAAGCCTGATATAACTCTGACTTTGAAGCCTCAAGACGTTCAAGTGCAGGGCCGTCACTGAGAGTACTGCTTCTTGTAGAAATGATGACAGTTCCAAAACTTCATTTTGCAGTCTTCGGGGTGGTTTGGGTATTCAAATTCCTCTTGAAGGGGACTATTGCCGGATCAATGGGAATGAAATATCAGAATAAGGCCCCTAGGGAAGGGAATATGGATATCTCAATGTTAAGTACATCCACGTAGGTACATCATGATGATCCATATGTAGTATATTCAACGCTATTACTAGTAGTAATAACGGTAATACTACTCATGAGGTCATGTATGTTCCGTCAGTGGTTCAACGCTACTACCTGCCCAACCATTAAAGTTCAGTTATTGGTACTACTAGTACAACTTAAACTTGAAGTACCCAGGTATCACTCAAAGAATACTAGTACTATATAGTATGGATGTCAGTGCGACTCGGAGATGGGTGTATATATACAGACTACATAGTAGCAGTATGAAGGTATTAATATTCGTTACCAAATCTAACTCAACTTAGTAGAATAATTCTAATCTAAACATTGGGTGTGTATCAACCCATGTAGAGAGCTCCAAAGACTCCAGAGATCCATGGATGAAGCTATACAGAAAATCCCCAAGCAGAAAAGCGTGGCAACTAAACCCTTTCCGGCCGATCCCAACTCCCTTCTTTCCCAGTGCTTCATCTTTTTCTGCTTCAACTCTCTCCAATCCCAACCAACTCCATGTCTCCATTCTCCGCAACCCGTCAAGCCACCGGCGTCCTCTCCAAGCCTCAATTCCTCTCACTTGTACGATCGTCGCCCCACCGCCCCTACTCAACTCCGAGACCGCCACCCAACGCCCCTCACAATCAGCAACGATCGCATTTCAAGATCCTCCCCATCATCGCCATTCTCGCCATTGGCTCCGGTTCTTACGTCTTGCTCGTCAAATCTCGTACTGGCCAACCTACCCGACCCAACTAAGCAAATCCCAACCCTCAAGCCTCAATTCCAGTCCGGATCCGGCTACCCCTCCTATCTCCTAATTCGAAACCTAAATAAACCGTCCCACACAATCTAATCCTCCCTACTTCTCTACTTTCAACCCACCACACCACAATACACCAAACAACAATTTTAATCCAATCCAATCATCACAATGGCCGAATCTACTAGCCCCCGCTTCTCTACAAACGACGTCACTGTCGTCTTCTTCCTCGGAGGCCCTGGTAGCGGAAAGGGTACCCAATCCGCCAACCTAGTTAAGGACTATGGCTTCGTCCACCTTTCCGCCGGTGACCTTCTGCGCGCCGAACAAATCCGCGAGGGCAGCCAATACGGCAGCTTGATCAAGGAATATATCCGTGAAGGCAAGATCGTGCCTATGGAAGTTACCGTCGCTCTTCTCTCGAACGCAATGGCTGATTCGCTGGCCTCATCTCCCCCGCCCGCTGGTACTAAGGCGCGATTCCTGATCGATGGATTCCCGCGTAAGCTGGACCAGGCTGTTTTCTTTGAGGCTACCGTTTGCCCTTCGGAGGTTGTGCTGTTCCTTGATTGTCCTGAGGCTGTTATGGAGACTCGTCTGCTGAAGCGTGGAGAGACGAGTGGTCGGGATGATGATAATGCCGAGTCTATTCGCAAGCGCTTCCGTACTTTTGTTGAGACTTCTATGCCTGTTGTGGATGATTTTGAGAAGAAGGGGAAGGTTGTTAAGGTTCAGGCTACTGGATCAGTTGAGGATGTTTATGCTCAGGTTAAGACTGGAATTGAGGCTCGCAATGTTCACCCTCGTTGAGCTTGAGTGTTTGTTGCAGGTTGCATAGGATGATTGACCAAGAGCTGGTGGTTGTGAAAAGTGCGTTGTTAAATACTTGTCGTGGAGCCTTTTAGACCGTTCATCATCCCCCCTTTTTCTTATTTCATGGGGGATATCATATTGATAGATTGCACATTCTGTTTCCTACTTAATAATCTCCACACCATTTATATTCATCATAATGCGCCTGCCTATAGTGCTGTGTGGCTATTCTGTTACCCAGCAAGGCGCCCCCTTCTACATTGTATCATAGCATAAAAAACTCGACAGCGCTTTGCTCAAGCGCATCACAAAGGCCTAATTATGCCTCGAATAATTTTTGGAAATGTTTTTATTCCTGATCAGGAGTTGTTCCTCCAGATAACATAAAATTGAAACAAGTAAAGTAAACCAGACATGACATGACTCGTGGGGATCCCTAAATCAGCGGGAAGGCCAGTTGATCCATCCTTACAACTGGCCAAGAGACAAAAGAGATATAAATGCATAAAAAAGACAATAGAAAAAAAGAGAAATAGGATGGCTCCCCTCTATTAGCGGAAAGGATTTTTTTTGTGTTCTGTGAGTTATCCACTCAACCTCATCAAACACCAGAATCCATGCACTCCCAAACAACCAACGAGCGACTCTAAACTTATTCAGCAGTAGGCTCAACCTCGCGGGTTTGCGCGGGCTGGGACTGCTGGTTACGGCGAGGGCCTCCAGAGCGGGCCTTGTCGTTGTTCTTGGCCGCCTCCTGGTCGGCAGCAGCCTGAATACCTTCACGGACGAAGCGCTCACGCTCAGAGCGGATGACAGTGAGGACACCCTCGAGGGAGCGGCGCCAGACCATCAGACGGCCCTGGACCTCAGCCCACTGCTTCTCACCAAACACACGGTAGGTGGCACGGTGGACAAGGAACTCAGCGCGCTGCTGGGAGAGCTTACCCTCAACAAGACCAGCACGAATGGTGTCAATAACCCACATCTCGACATCGGTAGCGGGGACGCGCAGAGCGGAGACGATGGTGGCGTAGGGAAGCGAGCGCGAGGGGGTGGAAGAGGCAAGCGAAGTCAGAGTCAGCAGACGCATCTTGGTCTGGAGAGCATCGGCGGCCTCGGCGAGAACGCCGCCAGAGATGGAGGCGAGGGGAGAGGCAGCGATGAACTCCTCGTAGGCATCGAGAGTGTCCGAGGTGAAGATTTCAAGGAGCTCGAAAAGAGTGCTGTCGCTGGAGCGGAGGGACTGGACGGCGTCTGAGCCGGTCAGAGGGGTGAAGTCGAAAACGGTAGGGCGACGGAGGGCAGAGGCGAGAGCGCGAACAGCGAGATCGCGGGCAGCGGGCTTGCTGGCATCAGCGGCGGGGATGGTCTGAAGGGCCTGAACAACGTGGGACTGAGCCAGGTCATCGTCGCCGGCGGCAGTAGAGGCATCAGCAATAGCCAGGTGCAGCTTCTGTGCCTCCTCGTCGTCCAACTCCCAGGCAGTCAGCCATGTGGGCAGCTGGTTGGCCAATTGTGGCTTCAGAGCCTCGAAAGCGTATCCGGACCCAGATTGGCGGATGACGGCAACAATGGCCAGGAGAATGTGGTAGCGGCTGGAGTCGTTACCGGACAGGGTGTTGAAGATGGTGGTAAGGATAGAGATGGCCAGAGTTGGGCCGAATTGAGGGGAGGTGGTGATGGGCTTCGCAAGGTAAGCGCAGATGCGAGGCAAGAAGGCGTCGGGATCGGAAGCCTGGTGAACGAGGTGCACAAGGAGGTTGTAAGAAGGAGTGATTTCTATTTTTTTCAATCCCATGTCAGTTCCATAGGTCCATATCTTCTCGAAGAAAAAAAAAGTTGCTATGCCGCCGCATCATCGAATATCGATTTTCTTGGCGGTCGCAACTTCGAGATACAATGACTCACCCTTCTCGGGGGCACCGTTCAGGACGGCAGCGGCGGCCACGATCTTCTTCAGGACCTCATCGTGTTGCTTGAGGTCGGGTTCGCCCTCGGACTGTTCCTGCTCGCGGATCGGCTGGAGGAGCGGGGCGATCTCGGACTGCAGGCTGCCCTCTTTGCGGAGAGCGTCGACGTACTGGGCGAATTCCTCAGCGAGCTCGGCGAAAGAACCCTCAATGAGGAGGGTGTTGGACGGAGCGGGCATGATTGGGGGGTGGTGGTGTGGTGGGAGGAGGAGAGGGAGAGAGGAGGTTCTTTGATGGTGGAGTCTATCGATAAGTTGAGAAATTTCAGTGTGTGCCAAAAAAGTCTTGGCGAAGGGAACAACTGATTTGACTGCGACAACAACCACATTAACCTGACACCCTCGTCACTGCATTCAACCACGTCAAATAATGCAGAACCTAACGAAACTACGATACGGATTTTTGAAAGACGAAATAATCTAGAAGAATTGCCAGAATGAGCGATGTTATTATGAGTTATTCGCGATTCGCACACTCCAGACTCCGGACTCCAGAAAAAGGTTCCACCAAACACAAAAAGTCCGATGCCGCCTTCATAGATAAGCGGAATAACAACCATACAAGCTGGGCAAGCTCCAGGGAAAAAGAGCCACGAAGGGTTCTCGAACAATAACCGGAAACAAAAATCACAATCGCGCTAAAATAAAATGATAAAGGAAACACACGTTGACCCTTACACTAACGCGCTCTCCAAATATTATGTTTCAGGCAGAATACGCCTTACAGGACCAAACGCATGGCAAGGAACATGAGAGATGCAAGCACACCAGTGGAGTAGGTCTCAATCATGCCTCCAAGGGGAGCTGCAGCACTGGAAGTAGTAGCACTCGCAGCGGCGGCGGATGAAGAAGTGGAGGACTCGTCGGAATCAGTGGTGGAGGCCATGTGCAGGGTGTGAGATGGAGCAGCCGAAGAAGAAGTGGAAGAAGCGCTGGAAGTGGCATTCTTTGTTCCACACTTAGCGGCCTTCTTGCAAGCCTCTTGACCCATGACATCGTTAGGGTGGGCATCAATGCATTGACCGTAGTTGGCTTCGCAGACGTAGAAGGGAACGGTCTGGAGGAATGGGCTGACATCGGGAGTAGTGCCGTCGTTGCAGACACAGTCGAACTTCAAAGTGGACTAGAGCGAGTGCTATGGTTAGATTGAATCGTATTGTATCGAGGTGAGATGAATTGTAGGTGTCACATACGGGATCACAGCTGTTTTGTTTGGTTCCATCGCTGCAAATGGCCGGGCACTGGTTGCGCTGGCCCTGGCACCACGAGTCTATTGCATATTAGTTGATTTTTCCTCTCAGCAGAAGAAAAAGGATGTAAACATACTCAGTTCATCCGGCTTTACGAGCCCAATGTTGAAACCAGCGGGAAGGTTGTATGGTGCGGAGGACGGCGCAGAGGAGTTCTGGCCAAGTGCTGAAACCATCAAGGTGGAGAAAAGGACAATAGAGGAGAGCATGATGATGATTTATTGTGAATGCAAATTAGAAGGTGATAGAGTATGAAGACAATAGTTCCAAGAGAAAGAGAAAGACAGTGAGAGAGTTGGAGGTGAAGTGAAGAAGAAGAAGAAGAAGAAGAAGAAAACAAACAAACTTGGAAGAAATGGCAGGCACAACCCGGTATGGACGACCCTGTGAAGGGAGACCGTTTCCTAAGTATTATTTAGGAATAATAGTATACAGTAAATAAACAAGATTAAATCAATTAAAAACACTCATAACCAGGGTAACTGTCAACAAGGCAGCAGCCTACCCCCAGCTGCCAGTCACATAACTTCTCACTTTCCCCCAATCCTCGAATGCCATACCTTAACAGTGTGTTTTAGACTTCACATTATTCAATTGACTCGATAACAGCCCCCTGCAGTATTCTGTACTACTCGTGTTGATCCTATACGGCTATCTAGTAACACAACCTTTCCGCCTCTCTAGTTGAAAGGACGTAAGGTGTTATTGAGGACTTCAAGGTTGTACAACAACCCAAATCTACATAAAGAATAAACAGTTAAACAGTGGGCTTGGTGTGTCCTTGGTCCCTCTGGAGGTTGTTGATTCCTGCATTCCAAGCCGGATTCCTCATCGGCTGGGGACATGCCTCCTTGCAGCTGTCACCTGGCGATCGCATACCCGAGTAAGACCATGCCAATGCTCCTTTAGGTTTTCAATTGCCGAGATCTAAGACACATTGGACTAGCTAAGTAATCAATTCTTGTCCCTTGAGTGGTCAGCGTGCAGGGTATTTCGTTTTTAATATCGATCTACACTACACCTATGTATGCGGCATCAATCAACTGAAAGGCCCAGTAACTTGAAGTTCTTCTTAAGCTTCTATTGAAGAGGTTAAATTATGTAGGAATCAATCTTTAATCCAGCTTTGCACTGTATATGTAAAGATCCGGTAAAATGACTTCATGTCCTATACAGTCTCGACTTGCTCTTGTCCTTCTTTTGAGATATCCTTGAATGGGATCCATTTAGTCCACACAACGAAAAGGAATGAGACGACAGGGCTAACGGCGGTTATGTGCTGTCCATAAGGACGTTAGTATAACTCCCTATGAAAGAGGGCATTGCTCAAATTTCTTACAAAGACTTGCCTAAATGCTTCGCTATAGGCAGAATAACAACCGAAAGATATTCGTTGGGGATAACTGATCTCACTTGGGTTGCCCCGGTTGATATCATCTTCTCGACCAAAGATGATGAAATCCCTCCCTGCAGCTCGCTTCTAAGCCTGGACTCAAATATTGCATCACCCATGGCTAGAAAGATGGCACAGCTTGCCGAGATCACAAAGAGAAGGCTAGTTGCACCTAACGGAACAAGGCCAGGTGGCAAGACGCCTGAGCTCCTAAATGAGCCCTGGAAATTTAGTTAACAGCCTGTACCACCTATTTGGAGAGCCAGAAGTAAACAGGCTATTTCACCAGCGAAAAAGATAAAAACGGCTATATCCAAACGTCGGAGCTTAGATTTCAGAGAAACTTGTTCAGAGGTGGCTTTCCTAACATGAAAAAGATAACCACTCCTAGTGCAGAGAACCCACCAATTGGCAGATTAATCTAGAAACACCATCTCTCTGTAGATATTGATTATCAAAATTGGAATGGTTGAATGTGAAGGTAGAAAGTTCAAGTTTTCGATTGAAAACGATTTGAAAGATTGTTGATACTAATTTGAAGGTGATGCAGAACTTTTGAACATTTCAAGATTGAACTTTACGAGCGTTAAAGAATTAAGTATCTTCCAATAACCACTCCATTACATGTCTAGGCGTGTAGAATGGACGCCTGGACATAAATTTATATAAAGTACTCAACATCTATAGTTCCAATGTAAGCCGCTTACCCGATCCGGTCAGCCGAGGTTCACCGGGGCTCCGGGGTAAACTGATGAACACGAACTTCCATCTGCATCACACTTTAAATATCTCTCCTCCTTGGATTTTAGGGTTGCTCGCCGAGAAGGTCATTGAGATAACCTTAACTACTCTGCCATTAACAGCTCATTCTAAGAAACGAGCTTCAAACATAAAAAATGGCTGACCCGGAACCCGAGATCGCCCACTTCCGCTCCCATCAATGGGCCAATTCTCTAATATCCTCGGAGGACTTCATCCCAATCCCTACGGATTCCCGGAAAATCAAGCCCTCAACCGGAGAAGACGGTTATTTTGCCAACACGCTAGGGACTCCATCTACCATTCCACATGTACTCACTTTAATGCGTCGCGACATTCCCGGCGCGCCCGCCGAGACTCCGACCTGGCTCCCCGCAACAAAACAAGATGCAGCGGCCACGGCAAAACCCACTCCAGCCGTGAACCCGGCGGATGTCCTCATGATTTTTGATCTTGGGAATCCTGGTCTCTCGGGTCATCCGTACACTGTGCACGGCGGCCTTGTAGCAACGCTTATAGATGAGGCCATGTCTCTTGCTGTTGCGGCGCATACCCGTGGACCGGGTGCAAAGATGACTGTGGAAGAGAACCCCCGCGGAAAGGTCTTTACAGTGCAGCTTGATGTCCGATATAAACAGCGGGTGGTCACGCCTGCTTTGCTAGTTATACGGGCTAGAGTTATCGGGCGTGTTGGCAAGAAGTTCTGGGTAAGGGCTCAGGCTATACAAGAGGATGAAGAGGGTGCTGGTGGCCATTTAGAGTGGGCGAAGAGAAAGGTTGTCAAGGCCGATGCTATGGCTTTCTGGATTGTGGTGCCTGATGAGAAGCTTTGAAGAGGAATGATCGTCATATACACCCGTGTACATATAGACTGAGACTGGACTTGTAGATATACTGCTATGCAGCAAAGCGTCCGCCTATAGATATCTCATTATTGTCTACTCGCTTTTTTGGAATAAAATTTGCATACATTTTTTGTTTGTCGGATATTTTGTTTTTTTCGAATCCACCGATTCAAGTCGATCCACTCTCTGTAAACATAGGCAATCGTTTTATATTAAGAACGGCCGATAAATACATGTATGCAAAATCCAACCCTCGCTCTACAGCATTATATAAGTCTAAGTACCCGAAATCAAACATGCACCATTTACAGCTTGGTTGCCTTCCGATTTCCTGTATTCCGGCTCGCGCTAACAACCAAGCCAACCTGTGCGCCAGCCGCAACAACCTCTCCATCTTGATCCAAAACCGTAACATTCAAATCGGTTCTTCCATCCTTGACCACCTTTGTCTCAATCCGACTATACAGCCACTCAACCCCACCAGGAGGCAACCGCTTCTTCAAATCAAGACTCAGCGTCACAGTGGGGTACCAACTTTTCGCCTTACCCGGGGCCGCGTTCTCTGTATCTCCAGCAGCCCCAGATGAAGCGACAACATCTAGCCCATCCAAAGCCATAGGAAACATATCAAGCAGATATACAACCGCCGGGTCAGTCCATCTCCCTTCTTTATCTCCGTTCGGCTGAAATCGCACCCACTGATCAATAGCCATGCGCCCATGGCGCTTCTGCTGCACACCTCCATTTCCAGGCCCATAAATCTCGATCTGGCCCTCTGCGAGTCGGAATTCGGGATACCGCGACTTAAGCCTAATCCACTCACCGTCTTTTCCTGTACTGGCTAACTTGGCGAAATCAATACCTCCACCTGGGAGGGTTCCGGGCGCAGGCGCAGGGAGCGGAGTCCATCTTGTCTCGGCAGTGAGGCCTACCTCTGCATCTGGCGGGCTGACAGTTATGTATCCCGCTACTTTTATCTCGAGGCGATCTTTTTGTTTCTCCGAGGGCTGGAGGAGCTTGATGTGGATTGTGCTTGTGCGGGCGCCTAGCTTGATATCTTCGACTTCGAACGTCACAGGCCCAACAGCCGTGCGTCTAAGGAAGGAGAGTTGAATGGAGATAGGAGCTGCAGGCGTTGAGTATTGGGTTGGGTGGGCATGGGCGAAATGCGTGGTGGCTAATTTATACAGGACTGATGTTGTATAGCCGCCATGGGGAACTGTGGGGTTTATTTGCATTAGTTTCATTCCTGATTTCCCTTCTGGTTTCAGATTTTCTTTTCAGCCTTGCTAGCGCTAGCAGGGCAAATTGGGATTCGAACTAGACTGTACCTGTTCCGATGCACCATTCCGGGCGGAGAGTGGCGCTGTATTTATTGTTTCCTTGGGGCTGGACGTGGATTGCCTCTTGAAAGGATGCGTTGAGAACCATTGTGCATTAATGTAAAGTAATGATTGGCGAGGGTCCTTGAAATGTGCCATGTGGGGGGACGAAAGAACCCCTGTTGATTTTATGTGCTAACGAACTTGGTCTCCACTCTCCAGCTGCGGGGAGTGAACCTCGGCTGGATTTCCACGTCATAGCCGACGCTGAGTAATCTTGCATAAAGCTGCAGATGCCTGTTAATTAAGCGAATTATACTGGTTGGTGAAAGAGGTGATAAGAGGTTTGGATTGAATATTACGAATCTAGATGGCCACTGTTTAAAAATGGTTGCATGTTTGGTGATAGCTGCACGATCCAGGTTAATATTAGATTCGGGTATTGCAGATTTGCACCATTGTTCATGACAAATCCAACAATACAGCAGCAGCTAAGGCCAACCAAGATGCTTCCAAGTTCGGCCACTTTTATTCAAAACTTCTGTCACCTGCCTTCAAATTGTTACAATGCATTACTGACGCTCATAGTAAAGTCAACTGGTGTATTAAAAGTATTGATCTAGTAGTAAATGTTCGAGAGTGCTGCAGGCACACAATAAGTTCCCTTGTATATCACGTACTAACCCTCAATATATCTAAACTTTAGCCGAATTTACTCAGTAAACCTGTTTATAGGCGTCTCCATGAAACGTACCAGCTCAAACAAGACCACTTCATCCAGCAGAGGGAATAAACTACATAGAACTATCTATCTACCAAGCCCGAAATAAACCAAATTGTATGACCGTGTAAAAGGCAAAAAGTGAAAAGAAATGAAAGAAATGAAAACGCCGATCACCGCTTCGTATCATGGATTCGTCTGACCGTGTTCAGGTTAGGGGAAATTAAGTGACCTGTCAGATAACTAAGCTTTTCGGGGGGCTTTACTGTACCGCGGGCTTCGATGTAGTAGGAAGTTGCTGTAAACAAGCAAGGACACCTAGAGAGAGATTAGCAAACTGAGTAAAGAACAGGAAGAAGAAGAAAAAGGTTTTTGGGGGTATTCACCTGTCACTCCCTGCGTTAAAGTCGCCTTGGCCTCGGTGCTTCGTGATCCCAAGGTGACCGTCATGGAGTAATCAACATCATTGTTGTTCTGCAACTCATTGGCCCAGCGGAAGACGGGCTCGTCTTCTCGGTTGTCTCCCATAACAAGCAAGAAATCAGGCTTCACAGTTTCTTCTAATTCTTCAGCAGCTTTCAAGCACCATTTCCAGACCTGCTCTGTGGCTGATGCTTTGGTAACGCTCATAGTCTCCACAATGAGAGCACCTTCGACTGGGACGGCATGTACACCGTAACTAGAGCAAGCATCATTGATATGATCTGCACATTCAGCAGCAAGACGTCCTGCGCCGGGATGGTTTTCTGCAGACCCATAGTGGAAGACAAGCGAGCAATGAAGCTCCTCGACCCAGCTGCCCTCAGTTCGGTCTTTGAAATAGGCCAGAATATTGGATACAGACTTCTTCCACGTCTGGATATGAGCCTTGCTTACAATGCGAGCCCATTCATCGGACTGGGGATCACGAACAAAGCAGCCGTTCTCAGCGATAAGCCCGAGATTATTGACTTGACGGAAGAGCCGTTCCATTTCTTCCGGCATGCGGGAGCTCATCACGTACACCACATTGTCTGGGTCGTCGGTCAACTCCGTGAGTACCGTGATAGCACGTTGAGGGGTGGTGAGAATAATACTACGAGGGGACCCCCATGAGGCCAGTGTGCCCTCGTAATCGACAATCATCAACCGGCGCTTTGACTGTCGGTACTGATCAACGAGCCGTGGTATAGAGAGTCGAGGAACAGCCATTATTTCTCGTGCAGACTGTTCATTCCAGACGCGTGTTAAGGTTTCATTGAATGATTTCACCCAGTTGGCAGTGGAGTTTTGCAAAACTGCCTTATGGAGTTGATCCCATACTTCTTTCCGCTCCTTCTCACCACGAGTCAACGCGGTATGAATCGCTTCTGAACATTGTCGGTAGTCCCATGGGTTTACCAGTAGAGCATGGTTTCCAAAGACTGATGCACTGCCGGTGAACTCACTGAGAATCAGTGAGCCATACTTTTTGTCCCCATAACTACCGTCTTGACAATACACAAATTCATGGCTGGTTAGATTCATGCCTTCACGAAGACTGGTTATCATCAAAGCATCCGCCACCGTAATAAGAGCGAGATACTGAGAAAATGCAAGGTCTTGTTTCAAAAACACCAATGGCTGATGAGCCAAAGTCGAGTGGGAGGAGTTGATTCGCATAGCAATGTCAGATATGGTGGCTTCTAGCTCTAACTGTTCCGTAGTGCTAGTGGCAACCTGAATCAGAACTACCTTCTCTGCCCATTCCGGATAGGTGTTGAGGAATAGTTCATAGCTCAGTAGCTTTTGACGAATGCCCCGAACAGAGTCGATCTTGTCGCGAGAGACGATCAGTCGCTTACCCTGGTATCGCTCAGAGATAATATCGACCCATTGCTCTACATCTTCCGTTCGGCGCCGCTTGTCCCAAGAAGTCGGATCAATACCAATCGGGAATGTCCCTACGTTGATAAAACGATCCTCCATCTGGATCCCCTCATTGGTAGCCTCTACGCATAAAATGCGACTGCAGGTTTGCAAGAAGTGTCGACAATATTCAGAAGTCTGGAAGCCGATTAAGTTGGCACCCAAGACGCCCTCAAGCAGCTCCTTGCGCGGAGCCAAGCACTTGAACACCTCGGATGATGGGAAAGCAATATGCAAGAAAAATCCAATCTGGGCATCAGGAAGCAGCTTCCGCAACATAGCTGGAACAAGCAGCAAATGATAGTCTTCAATCCATATGGAATCACCTCGCTTCCAACTCGCTGCAATTCGATCCGCAAATGCCTGGTTGAGCTTCACATAGTAGATCCAGGAGTGGTCTTCATAAGCTTTGCTCTTCGGGTTGTCTGGAATTTGGTAATGAAAGACAGGCCATAGAATGGTCTTACAAAAATGGGTGTAATGGCCATCGAAGTCTCCGTCATCCACAAACACAGTCAATGAGCCGTACTCATCCTCTAGTCTCTCTGCAATCTCACGACGTGTGTGATCCGCCAACGCATCAGTAGGCATACCCAAGGTGCCAACCCATATCATCTCGTCGAGATATCCAGCATCTTTGGCAGAGCGAACTGCATTGCGCAGTCCGCCATTACCTTGCTCTGCTGTTTGGACAGTCCAATCCGCCCGGGAAAAGGACATTTTCCGATAGACGGACATTTTTCGACTAACTGAGCCATGTTTTTTGATTCCAAAATATGGTGCAGGCTGTTCTGTCTCCGGGATCTTCGGTAAGGTCGTTCCCTTGGCCAGTACAACGGGATCTGCGTGCTTAAGAATTGACGGAGACGGCGATGCGAGGGGTTTGGCCTTCGGTTGTGTGAGCGCATTAGTTGAGCCCCAAGCTGGTGAATGGGCCTCGCTCTCTGTAAGAAGGGGGTTTTCCGTTGGAGGGGTGGATGTTGGTGGAAATGGGTAGCCTGACTGTTTGTCGTCGGCCTTGGCCATCGCATGGGCAAAGATACTCTCATGGTCAGTGGTCGCACCTGGCGTGAGCGCCGAGTTGAGATTACCATTGCTACTCTCGAAAAGACTGGCAGGTGCGCTTGGAGAAGAGGTTGCTGTATCCGCTACAGCACTGGAGGCTGCTGGTGCCGGAGGGGTCACTTGAGAGGCGACGCTGTTGCGACCTTTGTTCACATGAAAGTTCACTGTGAAGGGCAGAAAGCTAAACAAGTCATGAATAAGTCATTAATTATCATTTGCATTCAATACTCTCATTGAACTTTCTTTCTTGGTTTTCCTGAGGTGACGGTAGTCTTCAACCAAGTATACTTACAGCGAGGCAATGATCACGGTCATAGTGGACAGAACCTCCCTTGTGAAAGAGGGGGTTCAAGGGATAGAATGTAGGTGTATCACAGCCGAAGCTCCCCGTACAGCGATTGGACCCAGAGATCAGGGCGTTACCTTCGTAGCGATCGAAATGGTTGAAATTCACCGAAGTTAAAGGTGTTGTGGAGCTTGGATACTAATCAGATGAAGATCTGTTTTTCTCTCATGGCTACGTCATGTGAAAGGTCGATCAAGAATCAAGAGTGGACACTTCAGTGAGGTGTGCAAAGAACGCAAAGAACGCAAAGAATGGGCAGTTCCAAGATTACTGTCAATCTGCCATAAGCCTAGAACTTCAACCCAAACTTCGGAATAGAAACTGGGAACTGTCTAAACTTGAAATCTGTCAGAAACGCGGGGAGGGACGAGACCAAATTGGCTATTCTGCTATTCTGCCGTTGAAAACAATGCGTATTGACTCTGACGTCCCATACCAAATGCCGACGACTCCGTCTCCACATATGGCCAAAAGAATGTAATATTACAGTATTACAAATACCATTGTATGGATGCCCGGTTCTGATTGGTGGAATGTCTTGGTGGATCACCTGACGACGGATGAGGTAATCCGCCTAGTCATGATGTCCCTCACTGAGCTTTTGCTGGTCTCGGTGGTTACTTCTTTTCGTCGCAATCAAGTTTGCTCACGCCCGTGCCAGGTATGACATTGCGCCTCACGTCGGCTCCAGTATCCGGTATCCAGAAACGCAAATCTGCCAAGTCGGTTCCTGCAAAATCCCGCGTCTCGCCCTTCGCCGCTCATGCGCGCCGCAAACCAAATGTCGTTGCAGCCGGTGTGAAAACAGCGGCTGCAGACTTCGGTCTAGACGAACCCCTTCCCGATGAAGGTATCTCATTATATATCTCGGAAACCGCTTCAGTCCAAAATGTCGAACAGGCAGTTGAGGATGTTGGAAGTCGAATGTTCGACGAACTGCCAGCACGAGCGGGGATGAACAGCACACGGATTGCGGAGGTTCTGAATTTACGCCGATCGCTACCCCCACTTGCTTCCGTGGCCCATATACATACCCTGCTAAACGCACCCACAAGAGTGGAGCGAGAAGTAGTTGAGTTGGTCAAATCAGGTCGGGTTCGTCGTTTGATAATCCCTGGGCGCGGGAATGATGCAGCTGGATTGGGCGACTGCCTAGTTCTTGCAGAGGAGTGGGAACACTTGGTCCGCAGGAGCACAGCTCTTGATACCGCTATCAAAGGTGAGCGCTTACGATACCTTTCCACATCCTTTCAGAAGAGAAACGAAGAGAGTTAACTAGTCGCAGATAGATTTATAGATATCCTCAATCGCATGGGAACCCACTCGGCTCTCTCACAAGGAGTTTTTGCGCCCGAGGAGTATAGAGCATTAATGCGTGCTGGCTTTCTTGTCTCATCGTCGTCATTTACACAGGGATCTTTGAGTATTGCATCACTCCCTAATTTGCCCACCGCTGCTATATCATCAGCCAGTCGGAGTACATCAGCCCATTCTCAGCCCGACCAGCCTGTACAGAGTGACTCCCAGGCTCGGGCTGCAACCTTGTTTTTGTCGCTTCCAAACATTGGAACGTTTCTACGATTGCTTGGAGCAGGACGTGCCCACTTATTGTCTCTTCTCAAACGGTCGCCTTCCGGTGAGGTACCATTGGGTCTGCTTAAAGATCGTTGGGATGGAGCAGTCGAAACAAACAAAAGCTTCCATTTGGCCAAAAGGGCTAGAGGCGAGTTTGCAGGGATTCTCCCCGGTAAAACCAAGAAGTGGAAAGATTTATATGGCATGCAATTCCGCTGGGTGCTGGAAGAGGCACTGGGGGCTGGGCTTGTAGAAATATTCGAGACAGGCAGTGTTGGACCCGGAATCCGCTGCTTATAGAACCACATTTATAGGGCACTTGGCTCTTTATAAGAATAAAATTTAATGAATGATGACTGAAATTATAGGGCAACCCCCACTACAGAAAGTTAACCACGATAGCAACTGCGCCTCTGCCTGTGGTTGAGGGAAAGTGCCGGCCGATCTCTCCACCCATAAATAAATGTAAACAACAACGATTGAACTCTCTAAATCCCCTCCTGTCATCAACTTTGCTACCAAAAAATCAAAATGCCTCTCTTACGTTTACAGCCACACTTGTTCGCGTCCCTCCCCGCGCATTCCTCTCTCACAGCCAACGAGGCGCGCCCGCAACTCCAATCATTTGCGGGGGATGCCCTCCATGAAGCTCTGGAGTTTCTCCACACGATCCCGTCAACATTCACAACAGACCCCAAATTACGCGCGTCGCCACCATCTGAAGCCAAAGTCAAGCTCCTACGGAAGTGGCGCGATCCTTCAACAAACAATACAGTTGATAAAGCTCCCGGGGCTGAGTTCTGGGTGTGCCGACAAAGTGAACATGTGAATGCCAATACCCAAGGAACAGCATCATGGGAAGAGTTTGAGAATGGACTAAGGTCGAACCACGCAGAGAATGAAATGGACTACACGCCTAGTGTGACAAGTGTAGAGCAACTTATGCAATGGTCGCGATCGGACATTGGAAATATTGAGACTCAGGGAGTAGCCTTCAAGGATGTCGATATGGAGAGTACGTATCGATTAATTGAAACCCTTGCACTATCGCCTATGTATCGCATGATCGAGAACTAATATATAGCACAGTCAATTTGATCACCCACACCTTCCACCCTGGTGCGCTTATTGCGCCTCGCAGCTTCATCTCCCTAACCATATCTGCTGCATATGACAACACGCAAGCCCCAACTCATGAGAATGCCCAAAGCCGCCCCCTAAAGGGATTCATTACAGCGCAAATACCGCTTCGATCAACTGCATCGTCTACCCCACCAGGTCTCCATCAAAAGATCGTCGCTTCTGTACCCAAACGTGCCATCTTTGCTAGTTACGCGAGTGTTGAACACGTTACGCTTCTTCCGCCTACTGGCGAGAATAATCTCAGCCTCATCGAGTGGACTATGGCAACAACTTCGGATGCAGGTGGCTCTATTCCGCAGTGGGTTCAACGAAACTGGACCATGGGAGGTGTGCCACGAGCTGTTGTAGCAGATGTGGGGTTATTCCTGGGGTGGACTATGCGTCGACGATCATCTTAATCTCGGAATTACTGAGTTTAGGAGCTGTACGATGAAATGTGTCATTTGTGTGCTCTCAAAGCAAGAAACATGATATGCCAGAATTACTCTGGTGCGAACTTTCATCAATGATATGACCTTTATGACTTGAAGGCTGCGTATGCTTGCAATGCGGCAGAGAGCCCAACAGCCCACGCATTTTCGTTGATACCATGTTTAGCATACCATGCCGAACTGGTCCAGAGCAGGATGTTGATGATGCCCGCCATAGCTTTTGTGAGTGGGTCGTTGAGAGCAGCTGGGTCGCGGGACCATTGATAATGAAGGATTGCTTGACGTGGATTAGTTGAAATGTCTGGTAGATTCAATGGAAACTGAGTACCCACCCGATACTAAGAAGAATGCGCTACCCTGCATGACGTAAAAAACAAATTAGCAGCGATTATCTATACCCAAGAGCTCCCAGGATCCCCGAAGGATCAAGCTGGTAACCGCAGGATCGAAAACATACCTGATACCAACCTACAGTTCCACAAGCCCATGGTCTGGAGTTGGTGATTGCCTTGAAAACTTTCTCCGATGTCCATTGTCTGCCGCCAATCTAAAATAAAGTATGAGCACCTTGAGAGCCTTGAGTCCAATATTTGGAGCCCAACGTACCGTGTGTCCAACAGCAAGCAACACAAAAGACAGAGCAGATGCTCGGAGAGATCCAGAGGGTGCTACAGACATTCTGATGTGATAATCAATTGTTTTCTTGTATATAGCGAGATAACGGAGAGTGAACAACTTGAAGACGCAAATGATTAGAAATTCCAAACTCCGCATTGAAAACTGGGATGGACGGACCCCTAGATAAACAGCACCTCGGTTCAGTAATTGTGCAATTGTGGAGACGCCGAGGTCCCCACTTTTGGCTTGCAGGAGGAATCCTGCCTTGAGCTTATTTATTTTCATCGCGATCTATAAACCACTTGTGCGGGGTTTTCAGTTTAGTGGGATTATTCAACATCCCTCACTTATGGCAATCAATTTCAAATCTTTATATATTTATATGCCCCGGGTTTGATACATTATGGTACTACAAGTTTTATAAAACATTGTGTTTCAACTTTCTACATTTATCACTAGTAGTAAGTAGATATATTCTGTAGTCGAGCAATGCTGGGTAGGTTTAATTAGGTTTCCACGTAGTATGGATCGTACTACAAGAGGTTGTAGCATAGTACTAGGGACTAGTACTACTCAACAAGAGAATCAAGACAGTAGTATCAATCACCAATGTAAAAAGCAGCTCTGACTCCAGGGCTAGCATAGGGCCAATATCGGGGTCCAAGCCTTGAATATTTCGATTTTGAGCCAGGGTCACTGTGAATTAGTCCAGAAGTTCAAAGCTCATCAAGTAGAAGGCCCAGTACAAGCAATTACAATGACAACTCCCGACCACAAAGGTTTGATTCACAAGTTCCTAAATTGGATACATGCGGCCTTGCATACGCAGGTTTATGAAATGCAGTATATAAGCGATAAAAAAGCGAGCCTATGTGACCCTTGGGTCGTGTGGCTCAATGGGAATGCCCGAGGCTTACCAAAAACAAGTCGGAGTCGTTCCCCCCAATTTTTTTTAAATCTTTTTTTCACCTTGACTGGAGGTCGACTCATACATGTAGTGTTTTTCTTTTGCACGATGTTAAGGAATGGAATAGAGAAAAGACATAAAGTATAGGAAGATAGTGTGTATCTGGTTTATTACAAAGGGGCCCACCTGTGTCTAAAGGGTGTAGTTCATCAAATGAAATATATCCTACTTTCAGATGTCAAAATAGGCTACATCTAGACCTATGGGCTTAATTATTAAGAAAACGATCGGAGAAGAGATATATTCATTATTTCAAAGCTCTATTAATATAATATTATCATCACAAACGCCACTGAAGCTAATGGCTGGCATTCAGGCCTGATTCTCGATAACCTGTTCTTGCTTTTTCTTATTCGCATCCTTCTTGACGCTCTTCCATTCGAAGAAGAAAGCCGGAAACAAAGCCAAGCACGACATAGTGATCGCAAGAATAACTGTTCTCGTAATAGCATCACTGTATCCATCCAAGACAGCATCTAACTTCGATTCAGGAACATATTCTCGCAATGTAGTAGCTCCAGCCGCGATAATCTTCGCAGCATCGACACCAGGTACACTTGCTAGATTCTCATTGAGAAAATTGGTGAATAGTGTCTGCGCAATAGCAAGGAAAACAGCACCATTCAGCTGCTGCGAGAACATGAGCAGTGAGGCTCCAACTGCGACATCTGCAGGTGGAAGACATGTCTGCACGGCAACATTGGCCTGTTGGAAACCGAATCCGAGACCCAATCCGTAGATAAACTGGTAACCGATCCACTTAGAATGTCCTGTAATAGGTGTGAATGTGTAGATCAAACCTGCGCCAACTGAGAGCAGAACCACGCCCGCGTACAAGAATGGATTGTAGTATCCGAATTTTGTAACTGCCACACCTGCACTGATTCCCCCTACCACCATGGCCAGGACGAGAGGCAGATTCATGATACCCGATTTCTCGGCATCGACGTTTTTGATGGCCTGGAACCAGATGGGAAGGTAGTAGAGCATAACCATCATACCAGCACTGAGACACATGGTCCAAGCAACACCAGCGAGAACGGAACGTTGCTTGAAAATGCGAGGTGGGACAAGCGCTCTCTCTCCGCGCCGAATTTGCGAAGCAACGAATATGGTAGCGAGAACACCGAAAAGGACGAATAGGAGGATAATCCGCCAGCTGCCCCATGCGTATGTAACACCGCCCCATTCCAGAGCAAGTAATAGACATACGACGGAGGGCATGAGGAAAAGATTCCCAACTGGGTCAAGTTGGAGAAGCTTCTCTTTCATGGTGAAATTTCCAGCTTTCGGAGGTGGCACATCCAGCAGGAAGAAGATGGCTATCATTGCTAGACCTCCGAAGGGAAGATTGATGTAGAAACACCAGCGCCAGGAAACATTTGTCGTGAAGACACCACCTAGAATGGGACCAAGGACTGAGGCAATACCGAAAACAGCACCGTTGAGTCCTTGGAAAATGGGTCGTTGTTCGAGAGGAACGGTCAAGACGATGATGAGGACCAGGCCTGCTGCGATACCACCGGTTCCTAAACCAGCTACTGCTCTACCGATGATCAAGGCGACTGATGAAGGGGCTGCACCGCAGACAGCGGAACCAATTTCGAAAACCAGGATTGAAATCAAGAAAACCCATTTCGCGGGGTAGATGGTGTAGATTCGGCCGTAGACGAGTTGAGATGCCGATGAGGTTAACATGTATGCACTGCCGTACCAGCCAATGTCGTTAATACTGTGAAAGTCATCTGTAATTTTGGGCGTTGCTGTTGCGACAATTAAACGGTCCTAACCAAATGTTAATTTTCTTCGAAATTCTTTTCTTTTCCTTTCCTTTTATTGTTTCCAATAGGAAAAATGTGTATTTGAGCTAGTTTGCTCTAGGACATGTACTTACTAGTGCAACGAGGAAGATGGCGATATATAATGACAGCATAATTGGAATGATCTTCTTCATAGGAGGATATTTTATTGACTCTGTTGTAACGGTGCGCTGAACGACATCGGTGTCGTCTTTCGGAGATGCCGACTCCTCAAAAATCTTTTCATGATCAGATTGGGAAGAGCTACAGTCGTGTAATGACCTCTCATACGTTTCTGGTTGTGTAGCCCCCATAGTGAGATAGGGTATTTGATTGTGTGTCAAATATTAAGAGTGGCCAAGCGTTGATATGATGGATGTAGACCAAAGGTGCCCAGATGCGGCAAGGTTGGAAAGTAGATTATTGTTGTTGATGTTTGAGGATGTTTGGGGACCGAACGCCTCTTATTTATTAAGTTATTCGGGTGAGAGATGGAAATTTTCTTAAAGGATAGTCAAAGCACTTGAGTCATTCGGATTTAGGGTATTAGTATAAGCTGCTCCGTTTTGCATCCAGATCCAAGGATGGAGCATCGGGAACGGACTCCTCCGTAGAGGTGTATCAACCACTTATGCCCAGTAGTGTTTTCAACATAGTCCTCTAAAATTGTCTTTTTTTGCCGAAAAGGGCAAAAATCTATAAAAAATGAATACTCAATATCTGTCGTGAATCCAAAGAATCTACACACTCTAAAAATCCACCATTCGCCATGGAACAGCTGCTTGAAGGTGCCCAGCATCAGAACTGTGCTATGTGCATCAAAATTTTCCATGTAAATGGTATCCACTGCATAATCTTATTGAGAATAACTTTTGCATGGAAACAGGCTCGAGCACAGTGGATTTTCACCCTGAGAACCCTGGACCCTCCATGTTCATGCGCCGCCGCTCCATATGAATCTCGGCCAGAGCCCGACGATTTCAAAGAACGGACAAGTTCAATGCATACATGGAACAGAATAGAATACTGATTAGAAAAATGCTTTTCTAGTAATGATGATCCGATAAAATTTCCTTCAGCTTAAGCCTTGAGACTGCATTGTTGTTTTTCATCAGGCCATTCATACTCTGTATCCATCACCGTTCAAAGCGGACGCGGACTCCGTTCCTCCGTCCGTCCGTCGACGTGACCCACCTATGCTCCGTATAGGTAAAAGGGGTTATAATTGTCACACGCTTTGACCCCCCGGGTGTACTGACCAAGCCTACGTCTTGGTCAGCCACCCTTTTTGTCAAACCCACATTGAATTGTCAATATTTCACCTTTTAATCCCATCTCTCAACCAGAACAGGCTAAATATGTCTTCTGACCTCGAGACTCGAATTCAACGTGCCTTAGCAACCGTATCCGATCAACAAACGCCCAATTTAAGCACTTTAGCCCGGTCGTCTAACCTTCTATATCGAACGCTTGTCCGCCGGTTCCACGAACGTAGAAACTTCGAGAACAAGCGATCGGGTCAACGTACCCTAAATTTAGTACAAGAGACTACTTTAATCCGATATATTAAGCAACTTGACGATCTATAGGCACCTTATACGCTCTAAGAGATCGAACGTTGCGCGAATTCTATTCTAGTCCGATCAGGTTAACCTCTAATAAGCAAGATATAGGTAAGTCGGTTTATACAACACCTTCCGGAAAGCTTCTTTTAGATTAAATAAAAGCCTATTAATAAGAAAAAACTCGAATCTAAGGATATCTTATATTTAATCATATGGTTTGAGTACGTTAGAGGTTGGTTAGAAGGGATTAATCCGAAGAATATATATAATTTCGACAAAACGGGGTTCCAATTAGGTCAAGGACAGGCTCAAAAGATTATTATACACTACTAATATAGCTCTAAGAAGCTTACCTCGACTGATTGAGGTCAGATTGTTACCTTAATTAAGTATATTACTGTAGACAAGTAGTTAATAGTCCTATATCTTATCTTTAAAGATCAGATATATATAGAAGATTAGTTTTAAGATAACCCTACCCTCAACCAATACTATAATATTTAAGTCTCTCCGACTAAATGGTTATCCGATCTAATTGCTCTCAAATGGTTATATATCTTCTACGAGAATACCAAAAACCGCATTAAGACTAATAGTAAATATATACTCTTCTTCAATAGGTATAGGTCCTACCTAACCTTTAAATTCCTTGATTTCTACGACCAAAATCGGATTATTCTAATAAGCTTTCGACCCTATATGTCCTATTTTGCACAACCTTTAGACCAAAAGCTATTTTTAAGCCTAAAACAGCATTTCCGGAAGGAAAATTCGCTTATAAACGTATAGTTCCAGCCTGATTCAGTAAAGCGTCAATTCCTTAAGAATATAACCTTAATTCAAAAGAAAGCAATCATACCACATATTATTTAAAGTGCGTTTCGAGATATTGGTATATAGCCTTTTAACCCTAATATTATGATCAGACCAATACAAAAAAGATAGGATAAAAGGCATACAAACGACCCAATTCTCGAGTTATTAGGCTATACACCTGAACCACAGTCTTCGCCTATTATATCCCCACCACAAACAGTTAAAAAGCTTAATCGGATGGGAAATAAACTCAAGAAACATATTGCAAAAATATCAGGCCAAATAGAAGATCAGACCGAAGAGCTAAATCGATTAAAATGTGATTTCAAGCACTACCAAACGGGTCAATTAATCAACGTGGAGTATACACATAAGCTTAAAAGCAAATTAATATCAATTCAAGCTCGTCAACGTCCAATTCAGACCAAAAGGACTCGAAAGCAGTTATTAAGCCTTACTGCATTAGCTCCTTTAGACGCTAATCGCCGAATTTGGAAGCGTGACGAAGAAGAGAAAAAATCAGACCATATGCGCATGCTCCGGGCTGCTGCGCAGGATTCGGTCTCAATTCCGCAAAGATCGGACGAAAACAAAGATCTCGAGGATCTCGAGGGATGGGTCATAGGAGATGATGGAAAACCACTTTATATAGTTGATACAGAAGGGGTGTCGCTGGAAAAGCTCAAAAAGTGTAAATATTGACAATTCAATGTGGGTTTGACAAAAAGGGTGGCTGACCAAGACGTAGGCTTGGTCAGTACACCCGAGGGGTCAAAGCGTGTGACAATTATTCTCCAGTCCTATCAACAAACATGCATATCGGAGTTTACTGCAGATTTATGCGGGGGGTCAATAGCTAACTCGGGATTTGGTACAGCCGGGCGTTTAACTCTAGAATCCATAGTTAAAGCTCTTCGGACCACCCGATGACCCACCGAGGATGTAAGGATTTAAGGATGTAAGGTCGCCTTATTCCCGTAATAGATCTAGCCATTATCCAATAGAAAGACCTGTTGGTTTAAACAGAGGGTATATTATCACTACCTAGGTACCTAAGTTGGAAAATCTCAGCCACAGAAGAAGTAAAAAGGATGAAAATAAGTAACTCCAATCCGGGTCATTCCATGCATCAATCAAATGCAATAAAAGGTCTGTTGAAAGAAAAAGAAGACAGTAGAAGAAAGATAAAAAAAAAAAAGACCAACTAGACTTGAGCCTCCAAATCATAAAAGTCATTCAATGTGTTCTTTGGATATCGGGCCAAAACAACCTTGATTGGTTAAGATAAGTCTAGACGGGTCAGCCGCGTCTGCTGAAATGCTGTCCAGTTGTTGATACGCCGAACTCCTTCAGCTGGACCAGAAAGAAATGAACACCCCTCCAGTCCCCTGAAGAACGAAAGCGTTATAAGAAAGAAGAGGAACAAAATTGAAAGAAAAAAGCCGAGCCAGGTGACGCTGTACTAAGGCTGCGTTGGAAGAAAAGTAGCACAGCCGGTGGAAGTAGGAGGTAAGAAATTAGTGCAAAGACAATTTACACCAACGCCGGCGATTGTCGGGGCGGTGGTCATGAAGGACATCAAAATTCGACTTGCGCCAACCTCGAAAGGAAGACATGGTCGAAACGTATCAACAGAATTGGAGAAGAGGGATAAAGAAACACCAATCCAGAAAGAGGAAAAAAGAGCCATATCGTACACATGCGAAGGGCCGAAGAGCAACAAGTCACTCCTCCGCCGTTACCGTGGAATAGAATTATTTTGAGTTAATTCTCCCGGGGGCGCTGTTGACGTATTTGTGGAAGCAATGTGTGCACGTAATGAGGCGACCTCATTTCGCAATCCTGCTAGTTCATCGTGAATTGAGCGAACATATGTCCAAATCCTATCAATTTGACTGGCATCCCCAGATCCATCAGGACCGTCAAGTCCAATCTTAGGCGCAGGTAACCCATGACTGCTAGAGTGACTATGCGATGAGTTATGCTTATTGGGTGCAGGCCCATAACGAGGGTCTGGAGAGCTAATGACGGGAGGGGGAAGCTGAGCCCCCGGTTGTGGGAGGGGTAGACCCAATGGGTGATTAGGTCCCGACAGACTTCCGCGTCCATATGGTGCCTGAGGGTGGGGTAATGATTGACCCATGCTGGGGGAATGACCGCGATGTGAAGAGGCGCCGGAGTCATGATGTGATAGAGCATTGGGAGACAACGGTTTCGAGCTCTCGCTGATAGTACTGGGGATGAAGAGAGACGTTCCAGAGTGATGTCCTGCTGGTGGGAAGGTCAGATTGCCCACTTGTGAAGTTCCTGATGGCGTTCCAGGTCCACCATGTGTACCAGGCGGGGGGAAGATACCTCCACGACTTGCTGCAATGGGCGGGTATGTACTGGGCTGACGAGAATTCAGCGAATCAGACCGTGAGATACTATCATCATGCTTGCGCATCCCCTGTGGGTTGAGTCGAGGCTCCTCATCTCCATCCATTGACTCTGGTTCCGCGTACACCAACCCATCCATGCCATCGTCGGGGTGTTGTCCATCACCGTATTCATCATCAGCCGCAAAGCTTCCCATACTTGCGCGACGACCCGCACACCCTCCCTGGCCTTTATTATGTCTCGCAAGCGCATCGCCGCGAGCAAAGCGTCGTCCACACTTGGGGCAAATATGAGGTCGTTCGCCTGTATGTAGTTTTGTGTGTCGCTTCAAGTCATGTAATCGGCGGAACCGAGATTGACATGTTTGGCAAACGAATGGTTTCTCTTGGCTGTGTGTAAGGAGATGGCTCTTGAGGTTGTGTTGTCGGGTGAATTCGGTAGCGCAATAGGGGCACCGATGTTTCTTTGTAGATGGTGAACGAGGGCTGCCTCGGTTGAAGCCGGCATTGGGCAGACTTAGTCCGCGACGGGGATCGTTGATACCGCCGGTAGGCATAGGGTATGAGAAGGCTTTGTTACTGTCCTGGTCGATCTCTGAGTCATCTTGTGGGCGATGACGGTCTCCATCTTGCGAAGTCGACTCTTCGATAGGGCCAGGGCTTGCGACTGTGGATGCATGCATAAGGGATTGTTGGTGATCGGTCGATCCGTACGGGTCTGAAGTGTCGTTTGTATGGGTGTCTACTTGCATTTGCTCTGGAGATGCATGAATGTGTGGATCTTGGATTGAGGGAGCCGGTGATTTCTCGCTAGCACCCAATGCCTCGCGAGCCACTTGAGAACTATTTCGCTCAGCATCCCTGTCGTGATCCAAGTGCACCGGTCGATCCGGCGCCGACGAAGGGCTTGCCATTTGAGGAGGTTGAGATCGGGAGACGTGCAGACCCGCGCTAGCGATAGAGCTCAAGTTGGATTCCGGTTTGGACGGAGGCTTAAGGAAGGAGATGGTATCGGAGCTAGTGAGTGTGGATGAACTAGGTATAGTGGTGGACACAGCAACGGAGTCGTTGGTGGACTGCATCAATGCCGCCATGGAGGCAGAAGGGTTTGCGCCAGCCTCGAAGGGTGGACGAACCAAGGCAACGGCTATTTTCGAGCTCATGTTAGAATCACGGTGTAGGTTACGCTGAGGGAATTCATAAAGGGGGAGGGGAAAGGGAAAAGAAAGGAAACACGAGACTGACTTCACCCAGAGACTTTTAGATATCTAGACAAGGGAGCGGGAATGGTTGTTAGGCTGGGGTTTGGGGGGGTTGTTACGGAGGAAGTCCAGGGCGTGTGGGGCGGATACTGTTCTCTCAGGAAACCAGTGTGGCGCAAGCTGACGAGGTTTGGTTTCAGCTGTACACTTTGCCCGGGAAGAGATCCACCACCCTAGAGGGGGGCTTAGGCCTTTGCGTTAAAATACCAATCGGTCGTGGGAATCAACAAGATTGGTTGACAGGTAAATGGAGCCCGGGAAGTTTGGGACCGTGGCGGGTGCAAAATAAGAGGCGCAGGAACGTAGCAATCAGGATTCAGGCCCGAACCGATGAACAGAACAACTCTGAGAGAGAGAAAATTCAAGATAAACAGGTCAAAATGACTGCGACTACGACATAAAACTGAAGACAAAACACCGGGGCAACCAAAAAAAGTGGTCAACGTACGGTAATTTGGTAAAGGTAATTCTTGTCCGTTACGGTCGAGGCTCTTGATGAACCCTGAGCCGGGGGTATTTAGTACTGAGTACTTAATTCAACGTGGCAAATTACACGGTGGCGGAAGTCACTTGTACCTAAATAAGATTGAGGCTGTGTAGGAGTCCACTAATGCGTGTGGCTGGTCGTGGGTCCAACACGTTCGCTCCTTTCTTGCGGCTGATGAATGCGCTTCTATTTGACTGGGATCATGTCCCGCCTGAAAGATCACTTGCCACCACACAGATTATACCTGTACATATATATACGCTGCTTCGATCGAGTATATGAAACGAGGCGTAAAAAAGAGGGGGTAAAAGACCAGAGTTCAATAATGATGTCATGCTCATCAATTAAACCTGGAAGAACAGCCCAACAGTATCATGATGGCGATCCGGGCAGATCTACTGACATCCGAGGTGTCTCATGTCGCAAGCCAAGGATTTTTATAGCCGGCCGTGGCCTCGGAGTGTGGTTGATTTCTGGTTTTATGTACAGCATGCAGTACGGGATACTACGAACTAGTAGAGGTTTAGACGGTTTTACCTCCAAATGCAGTGGGCTAAGTCATTGGTACACGTAACAGCATCTAGCAGTAGATAAGGCTGAGAAGCTTGCCATTAGGCAAAAGAACATTGCTCGTATTAAAATGAAACGCTGTTGAACATGCGATTGGTTGGGAAACAAATGCCAACAAATGATGTAACAGGGCGTATATTACCTACACAGCTCAAGGCAACAAGGCAGGCCGGTTCGTACATGATCTACAGTATTCCATTCCTAGTTGCCTCAGGATTATGGAGGCTCTTACAACACAACATCTCATCGTAAGAAAATATGCCTTCTTATTCGTCCATCCGTTGGGCAATGCCAGATCCTGTGGTCCCGGCGTTTTAGCCCCAGATGCGTGGTGGCTGTGTGAGTATAAGCCTCCAGGGCTTGAAGCCATTAGACGAACGCCAATCACCACTACCTTATACAATTCTAAATTGGGAGAGAAATGTTATGAGTTCCAATATTCAAAATGGTGCATTATGACACTAGCAAATACTATCCGCTGTACTTATGAATCCTGTAACAATGCGTCGCTCAACATAACGAGTATATAGCAAGAAGCGAACATTGGCCTATTAGTTCTGTCTTCCAGATTTGGCCTCATATTCGAAAGAGCGAGTATTAGGATCGGCGCCATTATGTTCAAATTTGCAACCGTTAGACTGCTCTTGCATTGTGTAGTACATGCACCTCTACTCAAAAGAACATCGGGGAGGGTAAGTTGGTTAGCGTGTTGATCTTATTTAAAAGCCCGTCTTCGAAAAGCCCGTCTTCAGGTATGATCACCAGCTTCGTCAAAACGTCTACATATAGTCTTCCCATACTTTTCCTTATCTTTGAGCTTGGCAGATATAGCTTCTTCAGTATCTGTAGCCCAGTATTCTGATAGCCCCCGCGACAGTTTCGAGTCAACATCATGAGATAGCGCAAAAATGGTATGGATATGTTGATGGGAAAGATTAAACAACCCTTTCGGGCTACCTAACGCCCGGAAGTGCCAGAAGCTGCCAGTCTGCCAAATTTTCCTCAAAGGATTTGTCCTGTACGAATAAATGCCGTTAATTGGAGGAACCGATCTCTCTTCTTTCAAAAATGTCCACAAACTCTCTATAGGCATGGTCGAAAGTGTCGAGATAATTATCTGTCAGTCAGTCTACAGAGCGACCTGTCAACCAGTATGTAGCACGTAGGGTTTCTGCCGGTAGTGAACAAGCCCACTCAAGATCAATGACCCATTTGATATTCCAATCGTTGAAAAAAGATCAAGGTAATATGCATCCGTTGACGAATAAGTTAAGCTTCGAGGAATACCGGTCGGGATACGCCCGTTTTCCAATTGATGAAGTCGAAGAGTTATTGGACGATTGGAAGATCGTAAGAAGCCATTCGAGTCTAGTGTCCATGATCCTATAGAATGAAGTGGTATTCGGCTCAAGGAGAGCATGATATGAGATAGACACTCAAAGAGATTGGTTCTTTTAAGTTGATGATGACGATCTTCATCCCAGGTCTCCGACAGAATTTGCACCTCTGGGTTGCCAACGTGTTCCATGACTAGATATCCAAAATCTAGCGTAGCCGATGATGGCGGACGTACCGGCAAGGTAGGCTGGATCCCATGAGCCATGATAAGCACGTTTAAGATCCAGACAACTCTGGTATTCAGAGGAGCATTCTCAGGCGTCGTGAACCGAATTAATTTCATTAGCTTCAAAGTGGCTCGTTGGTATTAATAAATTAGGCTCATATAAGCTGTGTGCATCAGCAAGGCCAAATCCATGCAGCTGGGGGATTGGGACTTCAGGGCAGTGTTCTTGCATCCAAATGAAAGTTGCCGCTTCACATTGAATCTTTTCGTCCATATTTTCGGGGTTCTCCAATTCTCCAATCTTGTATGGCAAAGGAAGCCTAATGAGAGCACACTTCCCCGGGGGTTGATTTGGTCTGCGGATATAGACTGGAATGCAGACATTAAAGCTGCCGTGTATCCATTCCTTTACCTCGCCGAGCCAGCAAGTGTCAGATGGTCTTAGACCAAGGTGATATGACACAATGTTCACAATTCTTTCACGGTTACCATATAAGGACACAAAGAAGTATATCCGCTGCTGGGGATAATCTAGGTCTAAAGGCATGTCCTCCTCTTGCTCTAGGGCATCCTGTAAGGTCATGGTATCCCGAATCAACGGTAGTGTGGCTGCTTGAGACGTCGTCGCACCATCGGTAGTATGGTCTGTCAATTCAGACGACTCATCTTGTTCCGTCGACATCTTGAACTTGCAGTGTGGACAATCTGACTTCATTGTTTTGTCGGCAGAACCCGCTGTTAAAAAGGCGGTATAGTCATTTCCCGTTTACCGCCTGCTTGATTAATCCAAGAAGACGCAGACAAGGATTGAGAAATTGATTGGATGAGAAGCTCTCTAGAGCAATCTCAAATTAAGTGCTGAGAAAGCGTAAAAAGTACATGACACCGCAAAAAACTGGATTAGATCCCGGTCAAATGAGCTACTAGTCAATGTGCTGCTGTGTGCGTACATTAGACCCGCGGGTGGCAGTAGATGGGATGTGATATCTACTTACTTCCTACATAATTTAGTATAGTGGGCATAGACAACAACCTTGACATAAGTCACCTCGCTTGCCACTAGTTTACTAGTTTACGTAGGCTCCTTGCACATACGTAGGTTCCTTGCACATACGTAGTTCTGTGGTACGAAGTACGAAGTGTACCAGTAGGATTGATTGGCAATGGATTTATCCAAGCGCTGGGCAGCGATCAACAATGCGACAACTGTTTCAGTGGGATTCTGACAGGGGGGGGGGATGGTTGGTGTTAATAGGCCTCGATAACCGACAGATTATCACTCATTTACACATGTACCTAGTAGCGATGTAGTATATTCATATATTTTGAAGGTAGTGAGTCCAATGAGATCTCGGTTCCCCATAAATTCCGAATTCAGCGTTGATCGAGGATTTATTTATGTATACAAATAATAAATGGCTCTTCCAACGCCTTATCTCAGCTTAATTTCAACGAAGTTCAAACTCTTCGGAGGAGAAAACCACGCACAGACCGCTTCTTGTTGACTCCTTCGAGAGTGTGACGAGAGATGCACAAGTTCAGCGGGTAGCGTTGACTAGTGATAGGAGGACCGAAAAATCAAGCAGGAACGGATCCCCCGCCCTCTAGTGGACAATCCCACCTACCAAACACTCAAGCGGTTCGGCCATCTGTGTGGTTGGCCAGACGATCGGCGAGTTAGCGCCCGGACGAGGTGATGGGCGTGCAGAATGGAGAGTATCGGGAGGGTCCATGTCACATCTTACTGGTTGCTCCACTGTGACAAGCTCGACCGATCATCCCTCTCCCACCAGTCACACCTCATCTCGTGCAGTGCGAATATGCACTCGAGCTCGCTGAGGACCTAGGACCCATCCAATCACTTCCCATAATTTGCTGGTGCTGTCCCCTCGGCGCTTACTCTAGTCATGGCACCAACGTGATGGGATACCTTGGCTTGCAGTCCCCGCCCGTCCAGAGGCCATGGGTATTCGGCCATGATTGATATTCAAGGCGGCTGCCGGATCTGCCGTTTTGATTCTCTTTCTCTTTTTCTGATCACCATCGTCGCCAAGTCTGGCTTTTTTGTGTTTTATCTGTTGACACGGATTTTCTGCATTACAGTGTTCAAGGTGACTTTGCCAACGCTTGATATAGCTTCAGCCGTTGTCACACCCACTCGGAATCTTACCCAGCCATCAATCGACTCCTCTGGTGTTTAAGTTTTCTTCTATTTCTGGGACTTGTCTTCTCCCAAGCACCGTCAAAAGCTGGTTCTTTTGACCCGAATCTATTTGTCGATTTCAATTATCAACCTCGCTCGTCGTTCATCGCCATCATGTCGGTTTCCGGTGACAGTTCCAATGGTTCCCCTCGCACATATGAGCCCGTCGTCTCTCACGACTTCACTCGGGCTTCATATCACAGTGGTATGGGTCCCATTAAAGACCACACAGTGACACAGACAAAGGAAACCCGAAGCTCAGAGAGCAGCGGTGCATCACTTAAGAGCCCTCGCACTGCCCGATTCGCCGAGGCAACGACCATCTACTCACCAGTCGAGCGTTCTGGTCCAAACCCATTTGCCGGTCCCGATAAGGTCTCGCAAGGTGTTGCCGATACTGGATTTGGCTATGTAGCCGTGAACACCCCCGCAAGACCTACCGACGACTCAATGCCCCCAATGTCACCATGGAGGGCCGACCTGAAGGTCCCCAAGTCCGCCATGTCATTGAACCCGCTCAGCCCAACCTTCCGCGAAGAATATTACCTCGAGAAGGGCGAGAAGCATGCGGAGAAGGAGAATGCTCGGGATGTGAGAATCAAGCTTCGTGTGCGCATTGCCAAGATCTTCCTGCGTTTCGTCAACTTTGGCTGCAGTCTGATCGTCCTGGCCATGCTGGGATTGACCCTTCACACCTTTATGGCAACAAAAGACCTCGCAGACCGTAATACCGCTACAGTTTGGGCTCCCAACACCAACCCCTGGGCACAGTGGCTACTTCTTGGTTTGGCCTGCTTTTCTCTCCTTGCCTGTATGGTCGTGTTCTGGGGCTACTTTAAAGGTGGTCACCACCGCGCCGAAAAGCTCACCATCTATTACACTACTATCTCGGTCGTCTACTTCACTTTCAGCTTCATCATGTGGCTGGTTTGTGCTGCCATCTACGAGCACTCCAAGTCTAGTGGAAACACCAAAGATCTGTGGGGATGGGCATGTGCGAAGAATACTCGCGAGCAAGTCTACTCGGATGCCGTCGACTACGCTTTACTGTGCCGTTTGCAGGTAAGTCTTTATAATGCCCATCATTTGTGTCTATATTTTACGAACCACGCGAACTAATAACATTTCTCATAGGACTGGGGTCTCGTCTGTGCCGTCATTGAAGTTGTCATTGAACTCCTCGTAATCCTCATCTACGTCGTCGTCTTCTACCGTATGTGGTCTAAGCGCCGTCTTATGAAATCTATGAACAAGCGCGACCAGGCCCGTTCAGACATGTACCTCGCCCAGTTGCACTGCCAAGCCGCTCCCAATACCCCCGGCTTCCCAGGCTTCTCATCATATCCACCCAAGTCCCCATTCACAGGGGCCCAGGGCATCGACCTTGAGAAGGGCGAGGGTGGTCCCCCACCCCAGATTGCTACTGCTGCCCCAACTCAGTATGCCGCACCACTGTCTCCAACCCGCCCAACACCGTCATTCCAGCTCCAAGCTCCTCCTATTCGGGTTCAGCAACCCACCCCTCGTGCTGCGCAGGAGGAATTCGCTCCTCCTCCACATGCCTCACACGCTCAAACACCATCCCCTCCCCCGCAGCCTCAGGGACATGTGTCAGCAGCCCCTGGCGAACAGAGCTTCGGCTCCGTCCCCATTCCCGGTGCCTACTAAAGTAAATAACGCGATTTTAAGACGGCGATCATGCAGTTACTTTGTCACGGGTTAGATATCTAGCTCGAGACAAGTAAAATGAAATGATGAAAAGAAACAAATCACAAAAGGAAAAAAATCACCAAAAAAAAGAGAAAATTTTGAAAATAACATCTTTGAAAGTTCTACATACTGGGAAAATTGGACATACACTAGGTTTTCCTACCCTTTAATCATCTTGGCACTGCAGCTTGAAGCACAAAGTGGGCGTGTACGGCGTTTTTTTGGATGACACAGATACCTATTTCGTTTTCTTATGGTGGGGTCATTTGACTCTTATGTGTATTTACACCTTTTCTCTCCTTCATGATCATAGTCAATGGTTATCCTCGTCACTATATATCTGACCTAAAGAGCTTTCTATCGAGCTTGTTAGCATGATCCTATTTAGTAGTTATTCCAATGTTCAGGTCAATTTCAAGTTGTAGGGCGATTGGGGGTTAATTTCTAGGATGTAGCTGAGTGTAGTTTGTTGTATCTGGATGTAGAGGACCCGTGTTTCCAGTAGTAGATATTTAAAATAATCTATGCCAGGACAATATAATAATGTAGAATGTGAAATTCAAGGTTGGAATTTAGTAAGATGGTAACTTCCGACCAGACAAGAAACCCCAGCGCCACTGTGCAAATAATAACAAGACAAAAATCCCGACAAACGCCGTGAGAATCTACCAATTCATCCCATCGCTCATGACTAACACAATTCAATGCTGCGAAGATGGTGGACCATACAAGCAAAGAACAAAATTACATGCCTCCCTCTTCAAGGACAGCATTGACGTCTCGACTCACGAAGATCTCTTCTAAAGTACAAGCGCCGCTGGCAATCTTGCTTATATCACTCTCCAAAACAAGACCTTGTTCGTTGGCCAAATGAAGTAGACAAATGAAGCCGAAAGACGTGCTGATATCACGTAATGTTTCGGCAGGGTAAACGGCCTTCAGCGAGTTCATAATCTGGGTGAACCGCAGCCTATCATCATTCTTGGACTGCTCAGGCTGCTCAGACTGCTCCGGTTTCTCGTCCGTCGGTGTCGGTGGTTCAGGGACTTCGGCTTCACTCTCTGGCTCGGCAGGAGCATCACTGGACACGGCTCCGGGCTGTGAGGCGGAGCTGAAGTCGGTGGCAGCGATCAGACGCTCGCCCATTCCCTTCCACATCTCGGTCTTGAGTCGTCGTACGTCTACCTTCTTGGCGACACGAGCATAGTTGACATAATCGGGGCGGGCGCGTCGGCCACCTTGAGTAACTAGTTGGGAACCGTACCCACCAGCGCCAGGTCGGCCTGGTGTAGCACCAACCATATTTAGTAACGCAGTGAGACCAGTTTGTGAGCCGTCTCCAGCAGATGTGCCAGGGGGTCCATCGGTTGGCGGCGACAACATTTCTCGTGCATCGGCAAATGGTAGGTTATCGTCTTCATCATCAAGATCCATGCCATTGGGGAAGGCAAGGCCGTCGTCGTCAGCAAAGAAATTAGCATCGTAAGCACCGGCGACACCTTCATCGTCGGCATTTTCTTCCACCTTGTGATTCGCCCAGAAGGCTTCGTCCATTTCACCAGTCCCTGATGCTTGTTCTGGTTGACGAGCTGTTCGTCTGCCCCAAAGCTTCTTCGAACCTATGTGCGCCTTGGGCTTAAGGAAAAGACGAAGCAAGTTGCGCGAGTTGAAGTGTTTGTCATCGGGTAGTAGATTACGGCCCTTGGTCTTCCACTGCGTTTTTGGTAAACAAATTGCCGAGTTGGAGCTAGCCGGGGTATAGATCAACTCAGCAATAGAGTGATCAAGAGGCGCCCCGAAATCAATCTCGAAAGGTTCCTTTTCTTTCCGTTGCTTGGGAGCTGAGTTTGCCGTGCTTGCTGCCGTGTGGTCCTTGATTCTCCGGATTTTCCAGTGCTCAGGACCAGCCCAGTTCTTCTGGAGTGCGTTATCAAAATAGCTGAGTATATTTTCGTGATCCTGCTTGGTTGGCTGGTGCGACATCGAGACGGCATATGAAGCGTCATGGTCCATATCCTCGTCACCATCTGCGTCTTCGCCATCCTCGAGTCGGTGAACCTTAAGCATTGGCTCCAAAGCAGCTTCTCTGGCCCACACCTCTCCGCCGTCACCGAAACCAGTGTCACCGCTAAGATCAAAGCCGGCCAACGAAGCATCATCATCGTCGAAGCCAACGGCATTATCGTCATCGAGCATGATCCCGGATGGGTCGTCGCCTCCACCTTCCATATTTTTGTCTTGCCGCCAATCCTCGGGCGCTTTAAGAAGGGGCATATCCAGTGATCCAGTGGGATCACCCAGATCGAAGTTTTTGAGGGATGGGCAAACGTCTTGCTCAGTAAGGCGATCCAGATCAGGGAAAAACTGGGTGGCCAGGGTGGCCAAGTCGATATCCTCGTTATCGAAAGTATCACTTGCTGCCTGAGGAGCAGGCTGTCTTACATTCTGACCATCTTCAGCTTGCGACTCAGGCTCAACCGACTCCCGTTGATCATCGCCGTCTGCTGTCTTAGCAGAGTCATCCACAGCATCATCGCTGCTGTCGAAAACAATACGGCCAAGTCCATCGATAGCCAAGTGATTTAGCAACAGGCCCTTGGCGCCTCCTTCGTCAAAATCTGCCGACGCCTTCTTAAAAAGCGGATCCACCGCAAATTCGAGCTCGAACTTCTTCAGTTGTAAAGATGAAAAGGATGCAGCCAGTGTAGCCTCGTGTGATCGTGTCTATTTAGATCGATCCATGATTAGCCGATGAACGAATTGTCAATTTAACCATGGCCACTGTACCTTCTTTCGCGATTTGCGCGGCGCACCATCCTCACCCTCTTCGTCTTCCTCCCCATCTTCACCCTCTGCATCAGCATCACGCGATCTCTTGTCGCGACTATCAGCCAAGCCACTCAGCAACTTTCCTGTTTCGGTTGCGACACTGTCCACTCGACTTGTATAAATCTTTACACACCCGTCAAGGGTGCAACTAGCTTTCTGGAAGTTGACACCGTCGCCCTCTTTCAAGAGCGACATGTCGTGGAAGTAATCGATAAGGGCGAAGTTCCAGGAGTTGTTTGCGTTGATCTTGTTATCGGTAGCCATCTTCATCCACTCTTCAAAATTGGCCAAAATAGGTACTCGCTTCATTGGTGTTACAGCACGGCCATTAACATCACTTTCGCGACCGCGATGACTTGATCCGCGGGGAGTTCCCGGACTTTCGCTCCCATCACGGTTATGTGTGTATCGTCGCGGGGGCATCGGCGTTTTTACTGCAGCTTTGATCTGGCTCATTTGACGATCATATTGAGCTTGACGGGCCTCCATACGGGCCGCCTTCTCTCCCATATCATCGTTGAGGGGAATTCTAGTAGGCGCGTTAGTGTTGATCTCACCATCGCATCATGATCTGGAGGGTATCGTACTTGACGGGAGTGTTTTTGTGGGGGGTGGAGTTGCCGTTGGAACGGCGATGGATCTTGTTCGCTACTCGAGGCATGATTGCGGTCGCCCCCAGTCGGGGATGGCAGGCGCGATGGTCGAGATGTAGTTTGGTTGTTGCGGGCGTAGGAGGGGCGGCAAAACACAGCATGGAGACGTCAACAAACATACGGCAACCCAAACCACCCAGTAACGAACAAATATCACGTGAGAAGAACAACTTTAATGATTCTTAAATATCAGGCAGAAACAAATTTCAGGCACCAAGGCAGCAATCGCTTTGTCTCATCCAAACAAATACGTTCCCTTCCAGCTCCTACTACTCCAGATGTCCCATCCTTGTTGTCCAAGTATCTAGGCATTTAATTTCTTTTCTCTCTATATCCTTTACATGCATCTTCATACTGTCAAAATTCTTATCACCAAACGATACATGCTGTCTGCAGGCTGACGCACTGGCCCACTTCTGCAGCTCCGCTCTACTCTAGGCTGACATCACCGCACTCACCGCATTAACAGGTCAGGTCAACGCCAGGGGCTGTGTCTTGTGATCGTCCCAAGTTTACTGCTCCAAGGCTATGATTATACGCTAAGATCTCAAAGACCTTCTTGATACATCCTCAGCCCACGATGTTGTTGCTGCCAACGCGATCATGAACCAGCTTCCATCTATTCTGCAGCCTGCCATTCGCAAAGGGCCTCGGTATTCGGTCCGCCCGTTTTACACCACGCTACTTGTGTTCACAGGGCTTGTGGTACTGAGCTGGGCCTTGCGAAGCATTTCAATTGGAGGATCGCCTAAATATGCATCCAAAAATTTGTTCCTGGCTAAGAGGGAAGACGAACCAGAGGTACAGTACCCCCGCGATCACACCCGATCCACCTATGTTTAGCTTCGTGAAACCAAATGGAAAACTAAATCTCTCGTTGTGCGACTTCATGTAGTGTCGGCTAGTTCGCGAAGTCGAAGACAAATGTGCATATGTCCAAAACAACTGCCCGGACCACCAAGATGGTCTATTTTCGTACCTGCAACTCTACTACTGCGCCCTATCCGATGCAAAGCCATTAGCTTTCACTATACTGATACTTTGGTTGTCGCTCCTTTTCAGTACCATCGGGATAGCAGCGAGCGATTTCCTCTGCATCGATTTGAGTACATTGGCAAGCATTCTGGGGTTGAGCGAAAGTTTGACTGGCGTTACCTTCCTGGCCTTTGGTAACGGAAGTCCCGATGTGTTTTCCACATTTGCCGCAATGCGCTCAAACAGCGGCAGCTTAGCGATTGGTGAGCTGATAGGGGCAGCCAGCTTTATCACTACTGTAGTCGCCGGTTCTATGGCATTGGTACGGCCTTTCAGGGTCGCACGGCGGAGTTTTGTCCGAGATGTCGGCTACTTCATCGTTGCCATCAGCTTTAGCATCTTTTTGCTAGCTGACGGCCGACTTCATGTTTGGGAGTCGGCTGCCATGGTGGGCTTATATCTGTTCTACGTTGTGATGGTAGTGAGCTGGCATTGGTATCTTGTTCGACGCCGTCGCAAGTACGAGAGAGATCTTGCTGCGCGAACTCATTTTCACATCCCCGATAACCAAGAACTGGATGTTGAAGAGGCCGAGGAAGATGACGATCCAGGAGTAGCTTCAGAATCTCGAAGCCTTCTTCGTGGCGCATCAACAGAGGATTTTGATCTATTAGAAAGAGCCGGAGTACCCACATGGAAGGAAGAAGAGGACGAAAATGACGAGACGCGCAATCGCTATCTCGCAGAAATCAGTGATAACATGCATGTCTATCGACCACAGAATAGATCCCGGCGGAATACCATGAATCCAATTCGACCGAGTCTGGTTGGAGCACTGGAATTCCAATCTGTGCTGCACTCACTGCAGAAATCAAGGAACACAAATCGAGATTCAAGGATCAACATTGCGAGCTACACAGACGATGGAGATGACACTCGGTCTATTGCTTCCCATCCTCGCGCCAGTCGACCCTCTGCTCCTAATGACCGCCTATCGCCGTCGAGTGTAAACGGATCATCGCGGATTCGTGCTGTATCGGCCAATGATGCTTATGGGCTGCAGCTTGACCCTAGCCTACTAGGGCATCAGCAAGACCAGGGACCACGCTTGACTGTGAGACGGCCCTCCAATGAGACACCCCGGGGAGCACCTCTAGAAACTCCTCAGGTACCGCGTATTGATACAAATGCTGCGTTAACGGCATCTCCATCGTCTTCTGCTCTGTCCTCGCCAACCGCAAGCTCGGTGGGCACGCCGGCTCCACGCACTCCAGATCTACTAGCTCCTCCGAATCCTTTCCACTCTCCAAATTACCAAACGACGGCAACGCATGAGCGATCGCCTGTTTCGGTGTCTCCACGAGGTGCGGGCTCTAGCCGCCAACCCAGCATTATGCCTGAGAGCCCATCTGCACCATTTCCCGCTTTCATTGATGTTTCCGGCTCTCCATCTTCTCGTCCACCCAGCAGTCGACTTCCCAATCCAGTAGTCAGTCCATCACAACAACTACTCATGCATGACGGTCTTGGAATTATAGGCGATGATAATTCCTCGTTCCAAAACCACATTACGCAATGGTGGCCCTATTCAATCCTTACTTCGCCCACGCAAATTATGTGCACACTGTTTCCAACTTTAGCCGGATGGAAATCCAAGAGTATTATGGGTCGGCTTTTAGGGATTGTAGCAGCACCCAGTGTTTTTCTCCTCACCATAACTGTCCCAGTGATCGAGCCTGAAGCTCCTGAATCTAACCAGGAGCTGAATTCAATCCCTGAGGTAGTTATTGACCAAGCTGATGGAAACAATGATCGTGGCCCGAGAGTGAGACTACCGGCCGATAGTCCCACTCTCTCCCCTATGGTGCAGGATCTGCACGATCCTATTTCTCACTTATCGGTTTCACATTCCCACCGCAAGTCAACTATTCAAGATCATACTGGCCGCCCCCGGTGGGATTCTGAACTCCCAGCGGCACCGCCGCCTGTCCCCGCTCCTTCTGCGCCGTCAAGGGACTGGAACCGCTGGCTCGTTATCACCCAACTTTTTACCGGTCCGTTCTTCTTCGTCCTAGTCGCATGGACTACTTTAGATGAAGATCTAAATCCCCGAAATCTTCTTCTTCCGTCTTTAATTTCCCTTCTTTTCTCTTTTACATTTCTTTCCCTTCTTCTCATATCGACTCGGCGTCGCCCTTGGCATCGACAGAGAATGACAGACCAGAGCATATACGGATCTCAAGAGTCGTCTGATTCCCCTGCTCATTCACTACCATACTCATGGAGGCCATTCCTGTCCCTCCTGGGATTCCTGGTTGCAATATCCTGGATCGCCACTATTGCCACAGAAGTAGTGTCTTTGCTGAAGACAATCGGTGTCATCCTGGACATCTCAGATTCGCTTTTAGGCTTGACTGTTTTTGCCATTGGTAACTCTCTTGGCGATCTTGTCGCAAACGTCACTGTTGCACGACTTGGGTATCCGGTCATGGCTCTCAGTGCATGCTTTGGTGGACCAATGCTCAATATCCTGCTCGGCATAGGCTTAGGGGGGTTATATATGACATTAAACAGTGGAAACGTTAAAAGACACGACGAGATTTTGAGTTTGAGAGCTACCTCACCTCAACCAGTGCCTTACGAAATCGCAATATCGAAGGTGCTGGTGATCAGCGGTGCTACTCTGCTGTTAGTTCTTGTTGGGCTTCTTATCGTTGTTCCCATGAATAATTGGCGGATGGACCGCAGGATTGGATGGGGTCTCGTTGCAGTCTGGTGCGTGAGTACATTGGGAAATGTAATCGCAGAGCTCGCATCGTGATTTTGAAGTCATTTATTTTTTCGGGATGTACTTATTCCAAGGTTTCGGGATGTACAATATACGATTTTTGAAGCGCCATTGTTGGACATTGAATATATCTACGGTCTGAATACTACTACATTAGAAATTTGCATCTAAGCTTACTCATAATAATGCGCCTGCCTCTTCCACGTAACCAGTGCTCGTTATTGGGAACATTCCAAGGTTGGACCATCTACGTGATTCCAATACGACCTAATGGTATATTATCCAATACTCTTGAATCATTGTTCGAAGGCGAGATAGGCCAACCCGGTAAGTGGGCCTTGGAGAATGATGTGGAACGGTCCGCGGAAGGATGCTAGAGACCGGCGGGGCGATGACAACTTTGACATGTCGCTAGAAGAAGCTCTAGGAGTGGTACTAGACAAATAATGGGACCTCTTCTTTTTCTTAGACAAGAGCAACTGGTCATTCGTTGCTTTTCTGGATATTTATTGTTCCGTCTTGAAATTTAGTAGGAGAAAACAACAAAGAACTAATCCCCAGGCCATCATATAGTCAACTATGTAGTAGCAGCTAATACTAATCAATGGCGAGTATCTTAGAGGGCAAAGAGGTGAATCTGGTGATCTTGAGCATACGCAATCCTCTACCCTAGAGTGTATCATGCGAGTCCGGTCTTCCAATAACCGACATTCTAGTCAGCCCAGGCTTTGTAGCCCAGGCGCAATAATATAAACAAACCGGAAACTCCATTTATATCCCAAGCAGCAACCGGCAAAACTCCTGCGGGGGATTTTTATACCCCAGGCTTGTCCGTATAAATTTCCTCCAATAGGAGCATCGCAACTACGGCACTCGGCACTTGGGCCCCAAGAAGCTAAAGAATCAACAATAATTGAAACGACAGGTCTTTTCTGTATGGAAAATATATTATACTTTGGTTCCCGCTGTATAAGCATTTTGGTTGTGTCTATTGGGCGTTTTTCAAAAACCAAGCTTCAAGCCTCTCAGCCATGGCACTTCCTCCCCGATGGTACCAGGTATGTACCTCAGCGCCCATTTTGGCTTGCTTACTACCTATGTAATAGGCGTCTTTGTGATTAACTCTAATAATATCTCACATTTGCAGTTTCTGGTCTGTGTCTTTGCCTCGTTTGGGGCTATTCTCTACGGATACGATTTGGGTGTCATCGCCGAGGCCATCGCCAGTCCTTCACTGGTCAATGAGTTCAATGTCAACAGTACTAAGAGTGGTGCTATCACTGCAGTTTTCACTGGAGGTGCATTCTTCGGCGCTATTTTTGCTGGTCCTTTCGGTGACTATGCTGGACGTAAATATACAATTCTTGTGGGATCCGTCATCTTTTTAGTGGGAGGGTACGTACTGGATAATCATTTTATGCTACGTAAATCTACTAACAGAACTTTCAAGTGGTCTACAAACTGGGGCTCAGACGATCTCTTATCTTTATGCTGGTCGAGCTATTGCAGGCCTTGGGTGAGTCAAAGAATTTCCCACGTCTCCTTTGTCGGATCACGAACTAATATTTCGTCATGTATTCACAGAGTCGGCATCCTAATGATGATTGTTCCCATCTATCAAGCTGAGCTAGCCCATCCAGATATTCGAGGCCGTGTCACTGCTCTGCAGCAGCTGATGCTTGGAGTTGGCTCCTTAGTAGCTACCTGGATTTCCTGGGGTACTTATATCAGCTTTGGCCCGACAGATTCGCGTCAGTGGCGCATCTCTCTTGGTATCCAGATGATCCCCGCTGTCTTCCTAGCCGCTCTTATTTTGCTATTCCCCGAGTCCCCTCGTTGGTTGATTGACAATGGGAGACTGGATGAGGGTCTCCGAACTCTTGCCAGGCTACACGCTCGCGGCAACGTGAATGACCCATGGGTTCAAACTGAGTACGACCAGATCTGTACCTCAATTACTCATGAACATGAGGCAGAGGCCAAGTCTTATACAGAGCTTTTTACAGATCGATCTTGCTTCCGACGTCTCTTTCTGGCTTGCTCGATTCAGGCAGCTGCACAGATGACCGGTGTCAGCGCTATTCAGTACTTCAGTCCTACTATTTTCAAGCAGATGGGAATTGCTACCAATAACACACTTAAGTATCAAGGTATCAGCTCTATCATCGCCATTATTGCACAGTTTCTTTGCATGTTGTTCATCGATAAGACGGGTCGTCGATGGCCTCAGATCATCGGAAATTTGGGCAACTGTCTTTTCTTCGTATGTATCCTGGACCTTGTCGCTACTTCTCTCATCATATCTTCCATACTTATAATCGATAGATCATTCCCACAATCTTGATCTCCAAGTTTCCACCCAGCACCACGCACAATGACTCAGCCGGATGGGCTTTCATCGTAATGACCTGGTGTTACAATTTCTCCTACAGTGCTACGATCGGTCCCCTTACTTGGATTATCTGTGCGGAAATATTCGACACAAAAACTCGGTCTAAGGGTGTATCCATCGCAACAATGGTCTCTTTTGCCTTTAACACAATGATCGGTCAGATAACCGATATAGCCATTGACAATATTGGTGGCGTGCGCTTCTACATAATCTTCTGTGTCTGCAATTTCACCAATGCCGTTTTCTTCTGGCTTATATTGCCTGAGACGACGAAGCTTCCACTCGAAGATATGGGTACACTGTTTAAGAATGAGCCTTGGCTCGTACCTGGAACTCAGACTCGGAGATTTATCGAGCGAAGCAAGATGCCTTTGCCGATTAGTGAGGGCAAGCATGACCAGTTCAGTGTTCATGAGGAGGTTACGAAGGTCTAACGTGCCGGGTGGTAGAATGTTTATATCCAATTGGATAGAGATCGGGGTATATTTTAAGTTGTTTCTTTATCAAAGTTTGAATGATAGCATCCATGAATCACAAACACGATCATTTGATAGTATGCATTGAGAAACTCGGGTATTTACTCATAATCCGTAGTGCAGTGTATTGTACATTCATTTTGATTAAATAGACCTTCGCCTCTTCAAGTTGTAGAAAGGTCCTCCAAGGCTGATTAAATTTATTGTCTCGGTAGGAACCAGAAGTTTGAAGTGGCATTCTTCTCATACAACGTCTGAGTCTATCTAAGGACAATCAATCGGGTAAATATCGGAAAATAAAATCAGAGATACTATTCAACGCAAATACTCACTGCAACTTGATCTTCAACTTTCTTCCTAATCGGGCACTAGACGCGGGGTCAACCAACATCATTTGTCCAATTATTTCCTAAGACTACCGAGGATATAGCCACCGAAATGCAACACTCCGCATTGTGTGGAGCCTATGTCTCCCAGCCTGCGGGGAGAATGAGGTCGTTGTGCTTGCAGAGCTTCGGGTGAATACCCATAACAATGGTTGGTGATAAGAGTACCAGCTCTCCCCAAAAAACTCCTTTTCTTCAATTACCACCCCTTGACTACAACAGCCCCCCTATTGTCAATATCTCTGGAAAATCAACACGTCATGACCCGGTTTTCATACCTCAAACATCTGATCATTGCATCTGGCCTCCTCTCATTGACTCAAGCATGCAACTCAGATGATCAATGCAGTCTAAACGGCATGTGCAAAGACAACGCTTGCATCTGTGACCCAGGCTGGACAGGACAAGACTGCGGCAAACTAGACCTCCGCCCCGGTCCCCGTCTAAACGGCTACAACCGCACAGCAGAAGGAACCTCATCATGGTGCAATGGCATAATCCGAGATCCAAAGGAAAAACATAAATACCACCTTTTCATATCGGAGTTCACGCACGGCTGCGGACTAGACTATTGGACTCCATACAGCCATATTATCAGAGCAGAGTCCAACAATCCCATGGGCCCTTATACCTATAAGCAGGAGATCGTTCCTACGTTCGCGCATAATCCAACCGTTATATGGAGCAAGAAGGACAAGAAGTACCTCATGTACAATATTGGGTGTTTACAGAATGTACCTTCTACATGCCAAGATGTGAATTTCACTTGCGGACCTGGTAACTCTCTTAATGGAGAGAGTGGAATTAGCGTTTGGTCTTCGGAGGATCTGTTAAATTGGTCATCGAGTGATCAGGTATTCCCAGGTCTTGACAATAAGGCCTGGGACGCTGATACAACCAATCCGGGTCCATTACATATTCGCTCTCAGGCTGGACAGGCACATCTGGATGAAACAATCCTCTCGTATCGCGGGTGTCCATATAATTGCAATGGCACTGAACTTATCAATATCGCCACTGCTACCGATTATGATAATTCCTATACACCCATCCACCCTCGCAAACCCATTTTCTCGGAAGCTAGCGAAGATCCCTTCTTTTGGGTGGATAAGCGGGAGAACTTCCATATCTTGGTTCATTCTTTATTGCCTGATGCAGGATTTGGGGATGGACCTAATGTTGGACGACATGCATATTCGCGGTCTTGGGATGGACCGTGGACGTTCAATAGGGAGACTGTGGCTTTCAATACGACGGTTGAGTTTAGTGATGGGTCGAGTATTGATTATTATCGAAGGGAACGACCTAATCTGTTTTTCAGCGAGGATGGTGAAATGACGCCTTTGTATCTTTCGACGGGTGTTCAGCAGGTAAATTCTCCAGCGAGTTACTCTTTGATTCAGCCTGTTGGGAACTCCGATTGAGGTAGCTGGATATGGGGCTTATAGAGTTGAGTGCTCAATAACAGAGACATTCTCAGTAGAAATGTAATCCTCAAGTCATAATGTCAAACATTTAAGGAGCCTACTAGTTAGAAAATTGAACGATTCATAACAAAATACTAGTGAATATTTGTAAATGACAATTAACAGAGCTGCTTTCTTCTTCATCCCTCCTTCGTCATCTCCGAATCTCATATCTTAAATAAACCTCCACGAATCCTTCCAAAAAGACGAACAAAGAAAAAATAATAAATAAAAAGAACGGTGAGAAACCATGGCTAATCATGTTCGAAATGCTCATCTCAACCCAATTCTGTACAATATATTCTTCTAACCGATTATTTCCTTACAGCACACGTCCAGCCGAGGAACTTGTGCTGCGATCGTTGGTCTGTGTTTTGCGGAGACCTCTGCCAGCTTGGATGGAGGCAAGCAGAGCAGAGTGGCCGCCACCACCACCACCGCCACCACCGCCAGCCGCAGGGGGAGGTGGAGGTGGAGCAGCAGGTGCACCAGGAGCAGGCGGTGGAGGAGGGGGAGCAGCCATGGGAGCACCAGGAGGTGGTGGGGGAGGAGGAGCACCCATAGGGGCGCCAGGGGGAGGTGGTGGTGGAGGTGGAGGTGCGCCACCTGGAGGAGCAGGAGAATCGACGGATGGCACAGGGGGAGGAGAGAAAGCAGCATTTGAAGGGGGAGGGGGAGCAACGGGACTATCTTGTACAGGAGTAGCAGAGTTGGAGCCAGCCTTCTCTTCATCCATCGCGCTCAAAGGACGGGGAGGTGCCATGGTACCGAACAGAATGCTAGCAAGTTGCTTAGCACTGCCACCACCTGCGCGTTCTTCCTCTTCATCAGATGAATCAGCGTCAGAGCCGGCGTTAGACCAGTCATCGTCCTCTTCAGGACGGGCACGGATCTTGCGTTCAAGCGGCGCTGCACCCGTGAAGGTGGGCTTTGCGGGCTCTGGCTGTTGCGATTGTTGCGTGAAGCGGTGAAAGGGATTGGTAGACTGTGCTGCTGGCGGCGAAGTAGCTTGCGCGGCTTGTGCAGCTTCCGCTTCCGTGGAATGGCCGAGGGACTTGAAGTAAGGATTCTTTGACTCGGCATCAGGTGTGACGGCAGGGAATGCACGGCTGCTATCAGGGGAGCTAACAGCAGGACTGACAACCGTCTCGGGCTCCGGGACAGCATGCTCGGGTTCGGGGTCGGGCTCAGACACAACTGGAATTGGAATAGGTGGAGGAGTGCTGAATCTGGGAGAGGCACTCTCGGGACCTTCATCGTCAGATGAGCTATCATCAATGCCTTCGAGCTGACGTTGCAATTCAAGCTCTCTCTCTTTAGCGATCTTAAGCTCAGCACGCTGGGTTTCAAGTCTAGCCTCTTGTTCCTTGGCCTGTCGAGCGGCCTCTTCCTTACGTCGCTTCTCTTCCTGCTTCTTGACCTTGCCTTGACGAACTTGGTCTTCGAGAGCACGCAGTCTAGCTGCTTGGGCCTCCTTCTCCTTTTCAAATTCTGCTTCACGTTGCTTCGACTCGTCCTCAAGACGATGAGTCTCGATTTCCTGTGCTGCTTGTTCCTCCTTAATAGCTTGCTCACGGGCAGCATGCTCGGCCTTACCGGCTTCTTCGGCCTTCTTTGCATCAGCCTGGCCGGCACTATCGGTTCGTGCTCTGCGAGTCGGAGGCGCAGGTGGAGGTTTCTTGCCTGCAGGCTTTGGGGCGGCAGCGGTGCTGCTTGGGGCAGGGACCCCACGCTCCTCGGCCAAACGACGTTGTCTTTCTTGTTCTCGCTGGGAATCCTCCTCCTCGGCGCGCTTGACACGCTCCTCACGCTCCTTCCTCTCGCGATCCTGTCGTTGCTGAAGAGTTTCACCAGCATCGGCAGGCTTCAGGCCAGCAGCGGCCATGCGCTCGGCAATGCGCTTCTGGGCGCGCTCCCTAGCAGCAGCGACACGATCTTCATGCGTATTGCCGGTGCTGGCGGGGACGGAGCCTGAGGAACCAGTAGGCGTTGGCATGGAAGGACGGGAGGCAGGAGACTCAGCAGCTGGTGATGAATACTGTGAACGTTCCTCCTGGGTGGATCTTTCGCGGCTGTAAAAGTTTGTTAGCTCGGTTTCTAATTTGATCTTATCTTTTGGGACATACTCATCCTTGCGGACGTGCGCAGTCCGGCTGGTGCGACTTAGGTCATAAATAAAGTCACGGATGATATCCTCAACACCCAAGGCATCCTCCCAACGACGTCGCTCGTGCGAACGAGTAGAGTTGTCTCCTTCGTCACGCATACTATCCGCCAAGCTTCGAGTGAAATCACGGACACTTTCCTCAACGTCACGGGTCATGGTGTCGTTACGCTCTTTCTCGGCGTTGGCATCGGCTCTCTCTGACTCCATACGGCGAGCAGAGTCGCCATTGTCCTCCTCGGTCGCTGGGGCAGGGCGTCCCGCCAATTCGGCAGCACGGGCCTGCATACGGGCACGAGCGCGAGCCTTGATACGGTCTGCCTCGGTGACGGCGCCACCAGGGCCAGTTCCGACAATATTAGAAGCACCGCTCGGGTTAGATTTAGCCTCCTTCAGACGGAAAAGCTCGAGCTTCGCATCGGCAATCTCTCGCTCAACGCGACGAACATCAGACGCGGCCTGGGGGACTTGATCTTCGAAGGCTTGCAGCTGGCGGCGGAGTGATCGTCGCTCTGCTCCACTGTCCAGGTTACGGAATGAGGCGTGAGGGTGCGTATCAATGTCATCCTGCACACGGCGAATCCGCTCCATGAGGTGCTCTGCTTCCCGGCGGTCGCGACGATCGAGAACGTCGTCATCTTCAGCCTTGTTTTCATCCTGGAAATCAACTGCATCCAGCATGATCTTGGTCTCCCGAATCTTCTTCTTTAGCTGATCGACAGTAAACTCATCGCTTTGCGAAGCTTCAGAGGCACCAGGTGAGGGTGTTCGGGTGTCGTTGCCAACGCGGCGACGTGCACTCGAACGGTAACCACCAGCAGAGTCATTATTCTTGAACATAGTTGCATCCTTGCGGTTAGCTCCAGATTGTGCCCCGCCACCTCCACGGAAGGAGTGGTCCTTCAGGTAGCTGACTCCTGTTTTCTGCGGCTGCAAGAACGCCCCGGTGGCTTTACGGCTCTCCGCATCTTGGGACAAAAGTGATTTCACCGTACCAATGGAGTCGTTAAGATGTCTTGTAGAGGGGGGAATCAGCTCTGGCGGCAAACGACTAGGCACTGGATATCCGTTCAAAGCACGGTAGATCAAATGCATTCCCACGGCAAACTCATCCATGTTAAGACGACCACGGTTGTGAGGGTCCGCTAGTGTCCATATACGTTCCAAATCTTGGCGGTTCAATCCACTTTGTCCCATAATTTCGATGGCGGTTTCACCGCCAATGAAACCCTTACGCATACCGTCCCATGCGCGGAATAGATCATCGTAGATCTTCTTTTCTTCCTTTGTAATCGCCCAGGCCACAGTAGCATTACCTGAGAGGGCGGACATGTTAAAGCCCCCCTCACGGCCAGGTTGAGGCATAAGTTGTTGCTTCATGGCCTCAATGTTAGGCAGACCCTGTGCAGGAGTGTTGATGAAACCCCATTGTCCAGGTATGCCGGTAGGCTGCGCAACCAGTCCGCCAGTTTGTGCAGGGCTTAGGCCCGAGGCAAAACCAGTGGGCATTGGAGGCATTGGAGGCCGGGGGCCCGAGTATCCAGTTGGCTGAGGGTTGGTCAGGAAGCCAGTCTGCTGTGGCTGAAGGAACTGTGATTGATTCTGTCCTGGCATGCCGGTCTGCTGGGGTTGCATACCAGTCTGCTGAGGGAAGAATCCGGTGGGTTGTGCAGTCAGTTGATTCAAGAGTTGCGCGTTGCTAGGCTGCTGAGGCTGAGGTTGTTGGACAATTGGCGGCGTAGACTTGTTCTCCAGGAGGTGAGCCTCGAAGTTGGGGACATTGGTTCGCGGGGGCGGTGCCGGCGCTGAGTCGGGAACATCAAAGGAGATGATATCAACCATGCTGGAAACCTCATTCTTGATGGTTTCAGGTAGCGTAGATGGAACTTCGCGACCAGTGATTCGCAAATTGCACAGGTACATGGCCAATGCGAATTCTGGGAAGAACAGCTGGCCTGACTTGGTTGAATCACACAGAACCCAAATCTTAGCCAGATCACCTCCCGAAAGCTTGGAGCGCATCAACAGGTCCCTCGCTTTCTCGCCGTCCATTGTCTTGCTGTCACCGACCGCCGACTTGAAAAGCTGCTCAAATCTAGCTTGATCCTGAGCGGTAATGAACGAAAGTCGGATACTGGGGATCTTTGATCCACTCTTAGGCGGGACTTGTGGAGGTGGTCCAGAGGCACCGGTATCTTGGAAGGAGTTTGCCATTTCGCTCGAGGTTTTGTATCGCGCAGGGAGCCCGGTGGCCTGAGAGACTTGCAATTGCGGCGCTTGCGCTTGAGGTTGCGCCGTAGGCTGAGGTTGCTGGGGCTGGGCAGGGAACCCAGTAAATTGGGGCTGCTGGAATCCCGGCTGTTGTGTTGGCTGCGGCTGCAGGTGTGGCTGCTGCTGTTGCTGTGGTTGCTGGCCAGGGAAACCAGTATACTGAGGCTGCAGCTGCTGTCCCGCGGGGAACCCGGTAGCTTGGGGTTGGAGACGGTTTCCGAACGGCGACGGTTGCCCAGCGAATCCAGTCGGTTGCGGCGCCATAAATCCTGTTGGCTGGGGCTGTTGCGCTGATGGCTGCTGTTGACCTTGTGGGAATTGCGAGTATGAGGGCTGTTGCTGCTGTTGCTGCATGAATGGGGCCTGGCCCGGACGGCCAGCACCACCACCGCCGCCGAGGAAGGAATTCGACGAGGAGTACATTATTAACACAGCGCTCGCATGGACAGAACAAGATGCACAAGAACTAAAAAGCGATTGATGAAGGAAAGTAAACAAATGCAGAGAGGGGGTAGAGGGATCAGGAGCTACGCAAATGACGCTGTTGCAGGGACGCGGAGGCACACTAACCTGATTGGTGTGCTTAGTCATAATTATGTGGGTGCCTTGGACTATTATTATCTTTTTATACGGATGTCATTATGGGGTTGATGGGGTTGATGGGGTTTATGTGTATTTGTTATTTGGAGATTTCGAATATCATGAAATTAATCAAACACTACGAGTGTTGCCTACGAGATGATGCAAATTTAAGCCATTGGCTTTTGCATTGAATGTGGTATCTGGTAACGCGCTAGATACATTGATTTTTCCGCCAGATGCAAATCATAGCCATCATTGAGTCCTCGCCGGGGCAGCTAAGCAAAGCATCCAAGATCAGATATCAATGGATATCCCGGGTCATGATCTCGAATTAGAAAAAGAGGTTATGGCGGACAACGCAAAAAAAGAAAAACTCCAGCACCGCTCCTTGCGCCAGATGAAACGAAAATGAGAAACGGTCGAAGAAAAGGATCTGGCTCACCCCAAGAGAATAAATCGGGGTTTTGCGATTTAGAAAGGTAGTCGGAGGAAAGGATCTGGCTCAACGCAGGAGAATGAATTGCATTTTGGCGATTTACTCGGTTTGCTGCTGGTTGGCGGCATTGGCCATCTTGCGAAGTTCATACTCTTTGGTGAATTCGCGGGAAAGTTGACCAAGCTCCTTAATCAGCTTGTTGCAAACCTGGATGACAGCTGCACGAGGGGTGATCTGGCCATCAGTCTGCACGCGGAGCTCGATGTTTGGAGTCAGAGGGTGGGCAACCTAAGCCGTAGTCAGTGTCACTGGCCAATTTTCATCAAGGACATAATCATTAACATACTCGGTAAGCGGAGAAGATGACATTTTCATGCTTGTGGAGGCGAGAGCAAAGGAGATTGCCGAGGGTGTGGTCCTCCTTGTGGAAGGTGAAGATGCTGGCAGATGGCATGCCTAAAAATGTCACGTCAGAAAACGGCATCATGATGCCTTTACGGATGCAGGATCAATGACTTACGAGTATCGACCTCGACGTCGATTTTGTTCTCGCCGGGGCCAAGAAGAATAGATTCGTATCTAGAGATTCAAGTCAGCCGGTGGATCATGAAGTGAGAAAGCAAAGGGCATGATGGGGGTTATCGGCGCGAGAGGAAGACGGGAAACATGAAATACGTGATACATGGATACCCTCCCATCGAACTAACGCTTCAGGACGATCATCGACAGCACGGTAGTACTCCCGACGCGAAGTGAGTGAACTCTTGCGCCCTGCGCGATATCTCGCGATGGCATTGGTTGCAGTATCAAAAGGTACCTCATCGAGACCAGTAAACACGCGCGGATTAACCATTTCAAGTTGTTTCGTCCTGAGTTGAAAGGAAAGATGGGGGTGGGACAACAATAGAGGGAATCAAAATCAGAGAAAAACGAACGAGCTGGGAAAAATGGAGAAAGTGGCCAAAATGATCCAATAAACAAATTCCTGCCAAAATTCGGCAAAATAGACGAAACCGTTGAGCGGAACAAAGCTGATCATGTGAACGGTGTCGTCACGACCTCATCAATGCCCTCGGGTCAGTCAGAAGACATGAATGGCCTTGAAATTTGTAGCAGGACCAGATAGCATTTTGAGGGAAGCAAGGTGTAGGATTCAAGATGAGATGGAGCATGTTGGTCCAAGCGTACTCGTCTTGACCTTTAAGCCCTTGGGGGCCTTTTGAAGCTTTTTGGGCTGTCGTAGTGTCCATTGCTGATGGCATTTGAATAGATGGTAGATTAAGAATGAAGACGCGGAAAGATAAAGTCTTAAATAATAGATGGTGAAAGATAAGGCAAACGCGAAGGATTAGGCAAACGCAAAGGTCAAGGCACACGCGACAAGATCAAGAAAGCCTGACAAAAGCAGCAGCCCTTACCTATCTGGGGCGTTCATGGTGATCAGAATTATGCAAGTGGTAGATTTCCAAAGGATGCGAAGTCTGATAGACTGTTCAAGGATTCAAAATTCAAAACCAAAAGAATCGAGTCCAAAAGGTGACAGTAAGAATTCAAAATGGTTGCAAGATGCAAGCTTGAAAATGAGTCGTGTTGGTGTAATAATATGGAGGACAAAGGAGTGAGTGAGGCGAAAGTGTGTCAGGCAACCAACGCCAATTTTATCCCGTGACTATGGTAACTGAGGCTAAAGCAGCATGTACTTTTACCACTCCGTTGGTGTGAGGATTAGTGCTCAGTTACTTGATGATATACTGTCGGCGTGAAAGTCTGGAAGTTGAAGATCCAGATATCGCGAAATCGTGATATCGATATCAATGTCACATGACCTTAAAGGTCCCGTGACTCGTCACACGTGATAATGCTTAAACCTATGTAGCGGATTTCCTATGCGAAGTCTTGGCTTTCCCCTTCTGTTTTAGTGCTCAATGAGCGCCGCTTTTGCTCACTGAGTAGATCTGAGCATGTCTCTGAGCGCGCTGAGTGGATGAGTGGTCATTATGTGACTGCTCTGAGCAGCTCTCTGATCACTCTGATCTGCTCAGTGAGCCTGATCTGAGAGCTCTGATTTGCTCTCTGAGCATTTCTTATAGAAGAGCTAGTGGCCTGGCTCAAGCACCCTAATAAAATGCAGCATGATATATAGCCCTTACAAAAATCTCCCTATTTTTAGAACTCTCAAATGCCCTATCAAGAAAAGTTATGTATCATGAACAGCTGCAAAATTGTGTGGCAATACTACCTCCTAGGAGTAAACACACTGAGCAATTCACCTCATTATCCTATGAAATTCTGACTGAAGTCCACAAGCTCCTGGGAACAACAAGTCTAGTTTGTCTTAGTATGCTGCTTCTTGTAGAGGTCAAAGGCCAGAGAGTATAGAAAGCTAGTTGTAACAGGCCAGGTCCCGATGTATGGCCCAGGCTTGGCCTGTGCGATGTGATCTATCAATTCCCCTGGATATCGAGTCGCCCCTTTTTCTTACACTTCTCTAAGCTTTAGCTAAACAGTATGCAGGCACCGCTCAATTGAAACAATTCGGCCGTAGCCCTTCACAATAGTATAGACTTGTTACCAGGACTATTAGTTCGAATTTATAATTAACTATATTCCTGAGCATATAACCCATAGATATTTAAGCCCATAAGCTAAAATCATAAGCAAAACACAGAAGCAAGACACAGGAGCGAGACACACAAGTCTTTCTGCAGCTCCCGAACTGGGGTATCTTTAAATGTGCGATAAATAGATTAGTATACAAAGTCTTCGGCATATTCCTCATATTACTTCATAAAATCGACCAGGTTGAACTTTTTATTAAGTTTCCTGGCAGATAGTATGGCAGTGCCAGCATCGATGTATCCTTTCTTGAAAGCTTCGAACAATGGCGGGCTAGTGGATGCACGTGGAACGAACAGTTGATTATCACCCAATACCATAGCGCCTTTTAATGCTTGGTACACGGTATCACAATCCTGCTTTAAGTCAACCTCTTCACATTGACCAAAGTCGAGAAGATAGAGTCCGATGGTACGGTGATGAAGGTCTGGAGACTCAATGAGCGTTCCATAATTCCTTGTCGCCGATGTTCCAAGTACAAACTCCACATCGTCGCCATTTATGGCAGCACCCCAGTGCAAAGTTGCATACGCCTTACCCATTTCCTGAGAAAGCATAACGGTATCGATGCCCAGTTCCTCCATCCAGTCGAGATAGAGCGGGAAGTTTCGCAACGGGGCTGGATTCTCTCGCCGGATTGAACCATTGACTTTACCCAAATAAACTCGGGCAAGACAATGTTTGTTTTGGGGGTTGTTGAGAAGATACTCGACTTCGGTGTCGTTGAGATTCCAGGAACGACCACAGAAAAAGGTGATTATCGCTTTCCGTACAACCTTTGGTAACGGCAGGATCCGTTCCATTGTGACAACATTCCCACGAGTGCAGTAGTCCTGGGGGATTTTGGGTAATATTTTAGTCCAGAAAGCTTCATCTTGAGTTTTGAGGATGAAATCATGGGGTTTGGGAACATGGACGATGCTCTGAGTCGAGGTTTGGTGAAGTTCAAAAGCCGCAGAAACATCACAATGCATCTTGTACTCGGACTGGAGATTCGATGGTCGTAATTCGTTTCCTGGACTTTCTTTCTTGAGGACATAGGTCTTTCCAACGATTTCAAAGACGGCACCTTGGAGGCCACTGCCGATTTGGTTCACTAGCTGAAGATGGGGTCGAAAACGCGCACTCTGAAAGCGGCGGGCGAAAGAGGACCGAGTTGATATAACTGAGGTCAAACTGAGAGATCTTTTGAGAGCGACTGAGTCTGCAGCTGATTCAAGATCTGCGGCATCGAGGAACAGAAGAGCGACTTGGGCACGTCTCGCGATAGATGATGCGTCAGAGCGGGCTGACCTCGTCACTTTTACCGACTTTTCGTCGGGAAGCCATAGCTACTCCGGGATAAGTAGGAAACTCGATGACAGAAGAAGGAGGATGTGAAGATGGTCGATGGATGATGAATGTGAGGGTGCCTAATAATGTTTATAGTTGGGCTTCTGTAAACAGAAAGCGGTCTGCCCATTCTGCTGGCATCGCGTTTGAAATTTGAAAATGGTGGTGGATCGAAGTGAGCCTCAGAGGGTGTGAGCGATCACTGACTCTGACCGCCCATCACGTAATCTACTTCTACAGCTCACTGATTCTGAGCCCGGACTGAGTTTGACTCAGTGAGCCTAAGTCTGAGCGCCCTCACTAAAGCGGCGGCAGTTCAAAGGGGAAAGCCCCACCCGTCATAGGAAATCCCCTACGTAGAGCTACCTATGTAGTTGGCTTATACAAGTATATAAAGTCTAGACTTAAACTGATGGAGCGAGAAAAGGAACAAGATTATAGAAAGGACTAGGCTTGAGTATCCCACTCTATAGAGGGGTTCCGAAAGTATTTGGACCTTTTTTGCGGAATATCAATGCATATCAATGAATGTTTGAAATTCCAGCCAAGTATGCAGTGTCTCTTTCTTTTTTTTTGCCATCTCCCTAAATCCCTGCATTCACACCTCAACTTCTTGCTTTATTCTTTGTCTAGTTCGACAATACTTGCAGAATAATGTAGTTTGTCATTATCGATTGCTAACTTCTCCCGCTCTCAATTACCTGGACATGAGTGATATTCTACTAACAAGTCCTAGACTTCTATCCTTTTTGCGAAGAAAATCTCTATCTCAACATCCTGTCATTACTCGTTCTCTCCGTACGTTTGGGATCTTCCTTTGGCGTGTACGATTGGCCATGAAGTCCGCTTCATGAAGAGCGTTGGCTCTGCATCCTTCCCATATGTACAATATTTCCCGGACCCACTCACTATCTTCGGCTCTCCGCATATTTGGTATGCTAGTGCCGATCTGCAGGACATTTCAACTCTAACTGCGTCCACATTCGTCAATCCAAGGTTCGTTTCAAATCAGGCCCAGGGGCTGGAAAAGGCGTTCAGCATCAAGCTTGTTTCCAGGATGCGTAAAAAGACTGCTGCAGCTGCAATAAAGTCTGCCTTATCCAGGCCTCCTTCAAGCTGAATAAGCTTTATTGCGGGCAGTTGCATATGATATGTTCATATCAGAAGGAGGGTTGCAAAGCGTGAAAGTTTTGCAAAATACCTCTTTGGTCGCTGCATGTGCTGTGTGGCTGTTCGCGCCGACTTGGAGATACTTTATTTACTAACACTTCAGGTAAATGATACTCAAGTTCTAAATACAAACATGAGCATCAAGATGGCGCATAATGGATTCATCAACCGGATGAAAAGAGTTTTTGAGGGAGTTAGCGACCTCGGGAGAGTATCATAGGTGATTGATATTGATGCTGGTGATATTTGGTTCTTGGTTGAATACCCACGTTTATCCATTACTATTAAGACTTGGAAGAAAATATGTATATATAGGAGAATGATATGGCCATTTGACCAGATGGAATTAATCGAGTAGACAATATCGCTGTCAGAGGCAACAAATCGAAAAGAAACAAACCCACAAAAGATGCTAGCAGTCGAAAAACGCGAAGAAAATGAAAGAAAATGAGAAAATGAGAAAATGGTGAAAATAACGCCATGCCACCCGACGCCAATGCCAGGAAAGGGAGCAAAAGAAAAACGAAAAAAACGAAGAAAATGAGAGAATGTATCCATATTTTCAAATGCTGCTTCTGTTTCTGCTTCTCCCGGAACATCAAGATGATACAAAATAAAGAGAGATGAGAACCATATAAAGAAAGCGAGCGGCGAGAAGCGGAGAGATAAATGACCCCGAGACATGCCCAAAGCAGACGAGGCGAAAGCAAAGTAAAATAAGCGTGGCACAAAAGGCCTTTATCGATATATGTGCGTGGTCTTCGTTTCATGACGGGGCGACAATGAAAAAGTTTTTAATAAGGACAGAGAGTTCGAAAGAAAGAGATTGAAAAAATGGATTTTCTATACTGCGAAATGCTGGGATGCTCATTGCAGGTCCCAGATGCACGCTTTGGTAAGATCAGAAGAGAAGGGGGGGATGTACCGCTTAATGTACGGCATTTAGCAGATCCCCGAAGGAGGAAGTTCCTCGCTTGAGCTTCCAGCTACTCTTCTTCTTGTCTCGCTTTTTCATCATGTCGGCCCAAGCTTCGTCGTCATTCTCATCGTCCGAGCCGTTATGTGGCTTTCGAACAGCTGATGCAGCTTGACTAGCCTGTGAGACGGGCCTGACGGTGACGGTAGCAAGTGTGGTCGATTTTGGAATGTTTCCTTGGGTTTGAGAAATGGATAGGTGTGAATGGGGGCGATTTTCATCGGTGTAAGCCCTGTTCATTGGGGAGAGATGCTGGGCGGGGTCACCCTGTACAGAAACTGGGCGGTATCGAGGCGCCATGCCTGCGTTGCTGCGCTCAGACGGGGCAATAGACGGGGCATAACCAGGGGAATTATGAGAATAGGAACCACCAGGCAGATTAGGCATCGGTGAACCTGTGCGACGGACGGCAATATTAGGGTCAAGCATGCTCAATGGTCGTTGGTCGTAATTATTTGGGGTTGATGGAGCCAGGCCCGGCATGGAGACTGGTCTCATATTAGAATTGCCGGAAACCGATCCAGGGCCTGCCATATGAGAAGGACCTGCCATGGAGGGAGGACCCATGGGGGCTCCTGGCATAGGTGGTGCTCCCATCATGTGCGGCGGCATTGGCATACCGCCTTGCATCATTGGCGGAGGTCCCTGCATGCCCTGCATGCGCATCATTTGCTGCATCCATTCCATCTGCATATGTATCATAGTTGACATTTGATTGTTCAATTGAACCTGCGACTGCTCCGATGGAGAAATTCCCTGCTGCTGCAGTGGTGGTGACATCATGGAGTATGGGCGGGGTACACCTCCCATATCGTACATTGCCTGTGTATTCGGACTGCCTCTTCTCATAGCACGTGCCTGCTCCTCCTGGGCAATAACGCCCACAAGCCCTCCCGTTGGCACTGGAGGTGTGGCAGCAGGACCACCATATACTGAGCCACCGCCCATGGCTAATGACTCTCGGTTGGCGGGGTTGACTAAACTGGCTCCGAAATAAGGATCCCGTGGAAGATTCCGGGCGAAAACAGGCAGATTTCCCCGATGATCCTGCTGCTGCTCAACACCTGCTAGGGAAGTAGAAGATGATGCATATGGATGAATAGATGCTCGAAGATTAGGATTGGAGCTTGCGTTGGCCAAGCGGGTTGGGGGACGGTTACGGTTGGGGAAACCATGCGCTGCGAGAATACCCAAGGGAACTTCATCGTCGTCATCATCGTTGCTTTTACCGCTCGATGACTTGTCACCCATGCTCGACACATGGATGGGGAGGTTCGGGGTACTGCTGCTCGCGCCACTCATAATCGGTCGCAAAGAGGGTGACGGGGCTTGCTGTCCCGTTACTTTCATCATTTGTTGACGATATACAGATAAATGAGCTTCTTGCTTCCGCCGCTGACGCTCAGCTTCACGCTGCTTCTCGGCCTCATCTTCTTCATCGAACTCTTCATGATCTGATTCATCATCACTCTTAGAGGAGTTGCTGTTCGAGCGCCGTAGTTCTTGTTGCTGGCGATAATGCTCAAATTGGGACGGAGTCATCACTTTGTTGCCAGGAGAAGGAGTCTTGCGCAGGTTCTCCGCAAATTGAACAGCGAGCCGTGCATGGTCGGCAATTGAAGGATCCACGTGTTCTTGAGTATGTGAGTGGATATTTGAGAACATTGAATCGGGCTCGGGGCTCGAAAGCTCGCCAGGGCTATGCACCTGGGCCTTCTCGAGAAGCGGTGTACCACCAGAGGGAGAAATGCTTTCTCTACTCCACATCAGAGATTTTCTGACCAATAAAGCATCTTCGTCATCGATGGGGTTGGAGTCTCGGTCCCCGGGGTAGATAACGCTTCTCCGCAGTCCCATTTCTGACTGTCGTCTTGGCCGGTCCAAAGCCCGGTGAGAAGTCGTAGCGCCGGCCATTGGTTGGGTTGCCGGGGACTGTTGACGGGAACCCATGGTTTCAGGAGTCGGTTGCGAGTATGAGTTTCGATCACCCAACGGTACCTCATCAGGATCATGAAGTAACCCCTCTTCAGAATGACGGCTATTCCAAGAGTAAGGGGAAGGCTCAACGACTGCCGATCGGTCTGTGTTAATTGGCAGAGGCCGAGCTGCCCTACCACTCGTTGCGAACTCGGGTAGTGCTTGCGTCGGCGGAGATGATGAAAACTATATGATCGTCAGCAAAAAGACGATCCCTTGCATGGTATTGTGGAGTCCCGTCATACCTGATTAGGTCGCCGTGGGGAGGGATCTCGCAACAAAGCGCTCTCTCGCTTTCCAAGGTGGTCAAACATCTTTCCAAAATCATCACTTCCGGTACCCAGACCGAAGTCTTCATCCGTTAGTTTTGGTGGAGTGGCCGTTTCGTCCGTACTGTTGGTCATAGCACGTTGTCTCGTATATTCATCCGGTGTAGTATTTCGTGGAGGAACAGAGGAATTGGATGATTTATGTCGGCCGCCGAATGAGAATGTCCTTGCAGCAGCAAAAGCGTCCCTGATCGCATTTGTGCTTGTGTGTGGAGCGGGTATGTCGTGGTTCCGAGAATGCGGGGAGACATCTTCAGGAGAAGAAACCTCCATAGAAGAAGGTTGGGTAGAGGAGGAACTGAGTCGAGTAGATGTTGAGCTCTCGTATACTATCGTACCACTGATAAAATGTCTGGTCAGTCGCTTTCTAAGGGAACCGGACTCCTTGGGTCGGAGGTTCTCATACCGATTCTTGCCCAGGGGTTTCTCTGTCCCCGCAAATATATTATCGTTGTCTTCCAACATTGCAGGTACCGCATGGCCTGCACTCAGGGGTTTGGTCAGCGGAGCGCCGTCTGTCATCGCTCGGTGAGGTCCAGGGCGTTCAAAAACACGAAAAGATGACTGCGGTTGGGATTCCACATCCTCCAGAATGTTGCCAGATGACTTTCGCCGAGCAAAGCTCTTTGGTAGCTTGATAGGCATCAGGGATAATTGCTAAGACCGGTGAATGGCACAAGAGTATGGGTGTTGAATACCTCCTTTAGTCGCGAGAAACTCCCATAAAGGTTCCGTGGGTCCTGGGGATGGTCGGATTGGCTCTCGGGTAATGTTGATGTGTCAAATGCAGAGCAGCGGCAAAATCAGCCGGGGCAGAGACAGGGGAAGGAAATAATTCACGATCGACGGAGAGGTGCAAGGGGAGTTGATTTGATGGAGGGATCAGGAGTCGATCAGGAGACTGAGCAACTTGGGAAGAGAAACAAGTCAGCTCAGCGATACAGAGAAGATTCTGGCACGGAGTTAACGACAATAGCAACACACTTCTCTTAGCGGCCGATCAAGGTCCAGCAGGAATCCACCATGTGGGTTGACAGCGATCTGCTGTTTAATTCGTGTAATCCACCCACCCCAAATCCACAGAGAAATGCACCGATGCCTTTTGTTGTTGTTTTCGCTGGTTTTGTCTATCGCTGCACACACCTCGGGTATAAAGGGACTTTGGGTTTCCAAGGTTTGTTGATGAAGGGATCCAGCAGAGGGGCAGAGAAAGGACGGAAGACGCTAGCGAAGCGCCGGAGAAGAAAAAATAAAATAAAAGCAAAATCGATAAAAAAAGAACGGAAGCGAAGAGGGAAAAAAAAAAACTAGAAAGGCTACCCACCCAAGTGAGACTTTCAGATGAATCTGGCTGTTCCACAGTACTCAAAGTGATTCTTAGAGTCGGGTCTGGAGAGTTAAAAGTGGGGAGTGGAGAAGGAAAGCAAAGAAGGGTCGGGTACGGAGTTGAACCCTGGAAGATGTCGATTGACTGAATCCTAGGAAAGAATGAAAGAAGAATGAGGTGGACGAAAAATTGACGAGTTCGGAGTGAACAGAACAGATCAGAGGAACGAAAGAGTGAAGAGGCAGAAGCAGAAACCGCAAAGGTCTAGTCCCTGCATTATGGTCTTTGTCCGTCATGTACAGTTAGACGCCGTACGAGTCTGTACAGTGAGTGGCCAGGTGCCCAGTGCCCAGTGTGCGTGTACAGTGTTATTATGGTATGTTTAATATTATATTACATCTATTATTATTGCGATAGTTTAATTATTTAATTATATTTAAGTAGCAAATAACAAAATGGCCATGAAAATCTCTGTTTTCTCAGGTGAAACCTCTTTACTATGTATAGCCACTAAAAATAACCTTGGCGACCACCGGATAACGCTAGCAGGCCACCACCACTGGATACTCCCCTCACGCGGGAATGCGGCCCATCTTGGGTTCCATCTTATTCCAGTTAATTAATTCTATACGGAATGTGGTGGCGTTGGAATTAAACGCTTCCAGTTATTGTTTTGGACCTCTTATTCCTGATTCCTTATGATCTCTATTATAGTTTTATTTATTATGTTTTGCCCCCTTTCGATCCTCCAGAATCCACAAAAACAAGACATAGAAATGTTCCAGACTCCAACCTTCCAAATGTGCATTCCCCAGTACGATCTGACAATCTGACACTGACACATGTACGCACTAGATGCAGAAAGCAGATTTCAGCTGTCCCTACCTAGCTTCTCCTCTCGGCGTCCCCGGGTACATCCTTTAACCCACCTGGGCCTCGGATGCACCTAGCGTAACAATGACCATTGAAGATGCGGGCTTTATAAAACTGCACCTTGTACAGAAATATATAAACGTTCATAGACAACCTTGCCCAAATGGAAATATGTAAACATGTAAACATGTACGATTACAGATTACAGATGTACTGGGGCCGTATCACGTGATATCGAGATACATGGACCATCTGGTCGCCTGACGCCTCTGTACAACAACACCCAGTCACACAGGACTCGACCCGACTTACAAATGGATTCGACCAGGAACTCAATCGGAACATGTGGGAGAGGGAGAAGAAGAAAAAAACACAACACAAATGCAAAATAGTTGAAGATGATCGGTATACACAGCATATGTCAAACAAATCCAGCTGAATCGTCCCTAAAACAACACCTCCCATTGCCTTCCCAAATTCAATTCTAGTTCACACATATGATACATGGTCTACTGATCATGCTAACAAAATAAAAAAATGAGACTTCCAAAATTCTTCATCAGCCTCCCCCAGATCCATGCATCAAATCTAAAGGGCGCCTAAGTGGAAGGAAGGTTTTATTTGGCAAAGTGGAGATCGTAGTTCAGCCACTTGCGGGCCATAACGCCGTCCACGTCTAGACCGGGGGTGCCGTACGTCAACGGCGCATAGAAGATGAAACCAGCAACGGTAGCCCCCAAAATAACAATGGTGGCTCCCCAGGCGGCAAGCACCGAGTTGAGACCCATGCGCTCTTTGGCCGTCACGAAGCGACGGACACTGCGGCTTGCTCGGGTACCCTTGGCCTTACCGGAGGGATCATCCACGGGCGGTGCGGCAGTGGCGGGGTCGAGCGGCGATACATTAAAGATGAATTCGACCAGTGCACCAGTCACCATCGTCGATGCCAGGTGGGACGGCAAGTAGTGGTGTAGGAATCGCTGACGACCCATCAGCCAGAAGGGGAAATAGTGCGCAGCCCAGCACAGGAACAGGAATCCAGTACTGTTGTACAGACGCGAACGAGTACCAGGGCCCCAGACTATTAAAAAGAGAAGAGAAAGAAAATTAGCCATCGAACCATTAAGATAATTTGAACGGAAGCGCCTCCCTGGGGGGGGGGATGGAGGAAAGGGGGGATCTGTCAACTTACTTTCTTCCAATGCATCAACACCACGGCGAAGGGAGAGTTGGTCTGCTCCGACAATGCCGGCGAACACAGCCAGCAAACTGCTAGCAATCCACCAGCCAATGGGGTTACCCAAGAAATAGATCTGTTCCCGGGTCTCATTCTTGGTCCAGAAGCTTACACCCCGCAGCAGGAAAGGCCACTGGAAGGGTTCGGTGGCATACGGATGACTGCTAGTCAGTGCATTGTTGTGGTGGAACATAGCACCTTGCAATTCAAAGTACTTGCGCAGGAAGGATAGTGACTTGACCTGGCGCTCCTGCTTTTGCAGACGCGGGCTGTCGGGCTCAATTCCCTCAATGGTCTCTGCAAACCAAATGTTGCTGGATTGCAAGATGTTCTTGTTTCCGTTAATTTCGGCCTGCTTGTATCCCCATTCCGGAAGCGGGGTGGTGTGAGTCCACATGGCCACCCGAGTGGGAACGTGAATGAGTTTAATCAAGCTAGCAAAGGTACGAAACTCCTGGAAAGGTTTGCCGTTGTCAATCTTCAGCTCGAACAGGGTGTCATTGTGTCGCTCGCCATCCGCCAATTCACGCGAGACGGTGGTGAATTCTTGGTTGGTAGGATAGAACGGAGATGCCACATCGTGGGTCAAGAGGACAGAGTCAGTTCCAACGTGGCGAAGCTGGATGATATCGCCATTGCGAACACTCTTGGGTTGATCATCAGTCAAAGGAACAGTGGGCAAAACCTGCCACAGGTTGTTGGTGTCGTTGTGGGGATATCCGGTAACCTGCTGGCCTTGACTGGAGATACGTCCATCATCGTATCGGAGAGGGTATGTCTCCCAGTGGCTGTGAAGAAGAACCTTGGTGTCCTTGTGGCGCATAGTGATCTGGTCGAAATATTGAATTCCAACAGACTGGGCAGTCATCGCGTTGTCACTCAATGTCTCCTGGAATTCGGGGGACATGAACTCATCACCGGGTCCAGATCGGTTCAGAATAGTGAAGTGAACCTGGAACCAGAACAGGTAGAAGAAGAATGGAATGATGATCAAAGCCACACCCCGAGCTACAAGATGCTTGACCCAGGTCACCATGTCAAGAGCGCCCTGGCGGCGGTTGATATCCAAGAGATTCCACAGATCGATCGCAACCGCCGCACCGATAGTGACAAAAGTGAAAACACCAACGTATTTGGTAGAAATGACACAGCTCATAGAGAAACCAGTCAGCAGCAACCACTTCCACCACTTCCTACCGAACGGCTGGTGGCGCAGCTTATAGAAGCGAACATAGCACAAGATACTCAGTGCCATGGTGATAACCAAGGTGGAATCTAAGAGAATGAGTCGGTCCTCACCCACATGAGCATTGTCGAAAACCATGAGACCGGCAGCCAGCACACAGGCTGGCAGAGAGTAACCGGATTCCCACATGGTCAAGAACACCACAGGGATGGTCAATGCACCGAGGGTAGCCGGCATAGCACGTAGTGACAGGTAGGGGACGTTGTTTTCGATATACGAGTCGCCGATGTTCTCGAACAAAAAGTGGCCATCGTATCCAATCAGCCAGCCCATGAAGGCGAACAACAGCTTTCCGAAAGGTGGGTGGACATCGAAGAAATAGGTACGTTGGAGATAGTATGAGGCGAACTAGTATGGATATTGCGTGTCAGCTTATAACCTCCTTTTCTTTGATTTCAACTCAAGGATAATTGTGGTTGTCGGGTTGTATTTGTAGAATCCATACCTTCCCAAAGTGCACCTCATCGAAAACGACCTCATTAGGGTAATCAATTCGCCAGAAGCGAGTTGCAAAGGCCAGTACGGTCAGGATGGATATGGCCAGCCAATAGTCCCATTCTGACTTTGGCTTGCCCGGAGCTGCCACGGGTCTCAATGAGCCATCATCGGATGGAAGGGCAGTGTAAGCCTCCTTCTTCCCACCTCTCTTACGCAGAGAGGGCGAAGGGGATGACATGATGAAAGGAAGAAAATAAAAAATAAAAAATAAAAAGAGAGCGACCGCGAAACTACCTATAGTAAATAGACTTCCCAAAACGCGAAACGTCAGCAATAGCTCATCAAATCATTGGGGAATAATCCCAGGACGTGTCTATGGAAATAGAAGGAGTACATTGACTTACCAGGATCACCAAAGGGCATCACACCCAGAAAAAAGACCAGGGAAAGCTGGAGAAAGGGAAAAATGACCTCAAGTTTAGGAGGGGGCCGCATTAGGGACACGCAACCTTCTTAGTTTCCGGCAAGGCAAGGCGGTGGGGCCAGGCCAATCGTGGACGGGGATCAGTCCCTTTTTTCTTAGTCATCCTTGTCACATCCACATGCAGATGTCCCCGTCTGAATTCAGCATTTTGAAAATATTGAAAGACTTTGATCGAAAGAAATTGCACAATGTAGGATTTCTTTGAAGATATACACCATAGCATGTACACCTTGTTGCCCTTGCCTCTTTGTTGGATTATTTTAAGACTTTTCGTGGCTTAACCTCTCCTCTTCTGAAAAACCGCTATTACCTAACTTCAACGTCCGTACTAGATCAATCAAATTTCAGATGACGTAAAGGGCAGTATACTACCTCGTTCAATTCATGTTCTATGCACCATTTCAAGCTAAGATTGGACACTAAATAACTTCAAACGAGCACTCTACCTATGCTTAAACGGGCACTTAAACCTCGCCACTGGCGAGAGTGGTGCCAGGGGGCAGCTTGAACTTGACCACCGAACCGGCACCAGATGTCATATAGGCATATCCGTCGCTTGCAATCTGAACAGACGTAGGACTGGAGATCTTGCTACCATCACCACCAACATAAACCTTACGGGATCCGTCCGGCTGGATCTGCGCAATCTTATTGGTAGGCTGAGAGACGTATGCAACCCCATTCGAGTCGACGATGAAGTCGTCGAAGTCGTCAGTCGTGGAGTCCAGGGTGTTAATGATTTTCACATCCCCAAAGGTTTCGGCATCATCGCTAATGAGGATCTTGGCGTAAATGTTGCGAGCGCTGTTGGTGAAGTATACATTGTTTCCGACAACCTTGAGCCCGTTCACACCGATTGGGATTGAGGCGTTCGATGGGGCATTCAATAGCTCGTCCTTGAAAGCGACCTTGTAAGCACCAGTTGTGGTGTCGATGCGGAAGATAAGACCCCGGCGAGCGTCGCCGGCCAAGACAACATGGGGAAGCTTCGGGAGTGCCGCCATACCATTTGACATGATGGCGTCGGGGAGGTGAGCGGCTTTCAGGATGACCGGATTGGCGGAATCCTTGCTGAAATCCACAGTGTAGATAGTCTCGTTGTAATAGTGATAACTACCCCTGACACCACCAATAACAGCATACTTGTCCTCGGCAATAGTCGTGATGCCGCAAAGAGCAGTTGCGCCAGGGAGGGCAGCCACTAACTCGGCCTGTGGATCTTCCGCATTGAGGTCAAGGGTATAAAGTTGACCCTCTTCAAAAGTAGTAAGTAGAAGGTGGCCATTAGTGCGCAGCTCACTGTTCTCAATATCGATGGCACTGGTGAAATTGAATACTGTGGTGACTTGCACTGCAAGGGCGGATGAGGCTGCCAAGGCTAACAAAATGGTGGAACGCATGTTGGGGAAATTTGAAAGTGCTGATCCGGAACTCCACCGGGGGACACTGTCGACTTTAATGTCCCATGAGGGGTCTAGTAGTTGCCATCATCCTTCAGGCGTAGTCGCCTAACGGTAATGGTTTTGCCGAAGGAGCTCTCCTGCAGAAGACTGTCGGGGGTAGAAAGGGATCAGCGGTGGGCTAAGGAGAATTTGGCAACAAGCACCGAGATGTGGAGTGACATGTACCATGGATTGAGGTGCCAAGCGAACCAAATCTCCCGAGGCCTCCAGATGACAAGGCAAGCGGTTTGCATCTTCCGAAGTCATGTCATACTACAGGCAGGCACTCATCGGAGCTCGGACCGAGCGCACATGTGTTTGGCTAGTTGAATAATTTGTTATGCATAGATTTTTGATTAGTGAAATTATTGACTTCGCTGTCGCCATCTTCACCACATGGACATAGGGCTTGTTAGGTAGGTTTTACATTCAAAATACTATGTAAATCATTGGTCGTAGAAGGTCCGCAGTATTCGAGCTCACATGATGTCTGTTTGATACAACCACCTACCCTCCATTTTTCAGGCAGATCGATCATGCTTCATCTCTACTCTCAATACTGTTTGAAGTCGATCAAAAAAGGTAGTGCCCATTTCTTTCCTCTTTAGTCATGACTCTCTCCCTCTCTTTCAAAAGTTCTCGACTCTCTCTTTTAAAGGTCCTTGAAGTAGACATGCAACACCTTTCAATACCTACAACCATGGCATAAGGCAAAATCCCTCCAATAAAGCGCTGTCAATTTTGATAGACTGAATCTATTTAAATTTCCTCTTTTAAGAACCTTTGACTCGGATCTTGATGGCTTAGGGCAAAATATACTAGCTTTGTCAGGCTCTTTGCCAGCTTTTGTGTTCCTTCTATAACCACTACTAGTAGGTGCCTCCTACAGCTATAAATAAGACCACCAAGCCCCTTGATAGAGCTTAAGTTGATATCTTAAAAATATCATTCGTCCCCGTGTTCCGTTCTCCTTTATTTCCGAAAATTCATGTCGACATTTCTATAGTTGAGTATGGATACCTGTATGGATGTATGTAGCACAGCCCTGCTATCAGAAAGGATTATCACCGATGGCCAAGAGATCCATAGCCCGCTACTCTAGATCTCATATCATTAAAACCAGCGTGGTGGAGACGGCATCCTTGTTGGTATGGATGCCTGTTGGCCATACAGAGCTTATTATTGCGTGGTGTTTTTAGGGGTGGGAAGCGGGTATGGGATAATTTAAGCTGCTCGACGTTGTGTTCTAATGGAGCCCTATCGTCATGACTTTCTATGGACTCTTGGATTCTACTGCGTAAACATCCATAGGCCTGTTCCCAGTATAACGCATAAACATACCCGTATACCTACTTTCAAGCTCCACTTTCAAGCTCCACAGCCGCAACTGTAGAAAATTCTCTTTTTTTACTTTTATTTATTTGGAAGTTCTTTCATATCCAGGATACTCCATTGAAAATTTCATTGATGATCAAGATAATAGCAAAAGAAAATGATATGATGCATGAAATGAGAATATGAAACTGGGATGCCCCACGCCAAAATACAAGACCTCAATGCATCTATGAAAATGATGGTTTTGTTTCGCAAATATACACCAGCGGCTCAAAAGCAAAGCAAATGTCACGGTTCATGGGTATCAGTCAAAATGCACAATGCAAACTCAGTCATCATCCGTTATGTTCAGTAACTCCAGTTCAATCTGGACCATACTCTGGAATTCGGCCCGGCTCACGCCAGTCGCCTTGGCCAACCTAAAAAGGCTCTTTATACTGGTTCCAATGTGCTGCTTCACTCCAACCTCATAATTGGACTGACTAGCTGCCTCCTGTTCCAGTCTAGCAACAGTATCGGAGTGGGTGGAGGAAATGGAACCAGATGCAGGTCGCGGGTGGCTGAGAGATCTACCATGGTTATTTGGTACATCTTCCGCTGCATAGCCATTTGTGCGCGGTCTTTCATCGTTTCCTGGGCCGTTCACTTGTCTGCGCAGGAGATTCGCAAGCATATCTCCATTCAGAGAGGTAGGACCGACTTCGCTCTCCTGCTCTTCGGGATCATGGCTATCCATTGCGGGCTGAACGTCGCCGTATTGAGAGAAATATGAGTCCTCGGATGGACCTGGTGCTTGGAAGTTGGAGGAGTTGCCCGCTGGCGCAGGGGTTTTGGGACCAGGCGTGCGGCCGGGTGTAGCATCATATTGAGCCCAGTAATCGGCATCATCATCCTCGTCCTCAGCCTCTTGGCTAGTCTGCTGGTTCGACGATTGCCTGTGGTCTGGAACATCCAGCGTATCTGAGAAAAGCTTCTCTCTCGCTTGGACATTTGCCTCTCCAATCGAAGACGACCAGGTGTGCTCGTCGGCCGCGGGGTTTTCGCGCGGAAGTAGTTCCGCCACTCGCCAGCCGCGACCACCGCCTTGTTCATCGTCAGGACACCAAAGGTAGAGAACCGCCAGGTTATATTCGGGGAGTAAGAATTGCGCGCGCAGAGTTTCGTCGTCAATCCGCTTGTAGGACACGGGGATATCATCGGCTAGCTCGATCTCGCCGGAGACAGGATGCGGCTCGAAAGTGGTGTTGCCGACGACGTTTTGCAGGCGCTCTGCGTTATCGGTAGACCAACATAATAGCTGAATCCATTTCTCGTTGGGGGATGTGGGAACTTCGCTCAGAATTTGGACACGTTGGCGGAGGATTGGTGAGAGAAGTGGGAGGAGAGCTGGTGGCGGACGTGGGGAGACAAAGGCTGTGGGAAGACAGGCGAGGAGAGGAGGGAGCAAGTCTCGAGGGTCGGGGGGAGTAATGAGTTCGACCATAGTGTCGTAAGTGATATTATATTATGAGAAGAGAGTTTATTTTAAAAGGTAGAGAGAAGAAAGAGAAAAGGGGAGAAGGGAAAAGGAAAAGAGGTGAACCATGTATCAGCAGCTTTGAAAGTGGAGAGGCTCCCTTCGCCCGAATTGGCGTGGGGCAAGGTACAGCTCTGTCGGCAGTTTCATCCTAGAGTTACCAGAGATGTTACTACTTCCGGGGGGTCATACCACTTAGACCCAGGACTAAAGTAGTAATTGGGAAGCAAAAAGGATTTACATGATTGGGGGCGATGGCGGTCTTGGAAGAATTCTTGAGGGACATCGGAGCCAGGATCCAAAGGTAAATATTATGCTTATCGGTGGAGTCGGACAGAGCGATTGGGACTCCAGACCCCATGCAAAATGGCCCCTGTTTCTATGTATATGTGAGATGCGGATCCCACTTCTGAGACCGAGACATATACAGTCAGCAGAGTGTATATAAAAAGATGTCTGAATATACACAACCTTGGTATACATATTAAGGCTCTAATTAACTATTGTTGACGGAGTACAGTATAACTGTCGAACAACCCGACAATAACCGAGGCCGAAAGAGTAATACTGTATATTTCATGCATTGATCCGTCAGTCCGTACAAAGAACTAATGTAAACCCATAGAACAATCCATGCAAACATCTTTGTCGATGTCTGCAGTGCAAAAGGTCCGAAACTCAACTCCGAGTGGGGAACAACACCACTTGATGCCTGAGGTACAAATCCCCACCGATGATGTCGGCTAATAAGAAATCACTGTTTCATGGTTGGAGGGGCACCTGGGCGGTTTCTTCAGTGACTATATAGACCTGAAATAAAGGGTTTCAGAAGATCATTAAATTAGTTAGCAATATAATAGATAACAATCAATATGCATTGTGTTTATCACCTCGTCCTACCTTCCGCAGCAAATATCGGAGATTCGGCACGTTTCCAGCGTGTTCGCCCCTAAATCCTCACATGCATGAGTGATTGCCAATCAACGGAAAATCCCACGTTTTTCTCAGCGACAAACAAACATCACTTCTAAAGGTTCCCAGTCAATTGAATCGAATCAAACCATTCATTTCTTCACGGACGGGGCTATTTGGTTCCCAGCTCAGTTGGAGTGCCTTCTTAACGTGAGAAACTTCCAGAGCCAGGCCAAATGACAGACAAATACCCAACCCCCACCGTTGCTGATCGGCCACGCATGGAGGTCTACGAGCATAACCATGATAGTAACAATGACCGCCATACCCTCGAATTGGCCGAGCTGGAGAGAAAAGTCCGGTGGAAGGTAGACCTGCGTCTCTGTAGCATTGCCGGCCTACTATGCAGTCTGAACCTGATCGATTCGGGCATTTTATCCTCCGCAGCTGTAACAACAATGTTAAGTGATCTCCAACTAGACCAGGGATCCCGGTACTCGGTATCAATCTTCATTTTCACCATTGCCAGCGTCGTCTTCCAACTCCCCTGTACCATAGCCGTACGATTCGTCGGTCCACGACTCTGGTTTTCAACAATCACCTTCGCCTTCGGAGTGATAACCCTCTGTACAGCTTTCGTTCATACATGGCGCCAAATGATTGCCCTGCGCGTGTTACTCGGTATCGCAATGTCGGGTATATACCCTGGACTGACTTATCTAATCAGCGCCTGGTATCCTCGACATGAGCAACAGTTGCGTTTCGCGTTCTTGCAATCTGGTGAAGTCATTGTGTTGGCAACTGGGAATATTGTCAATTTTGGTTTGAATCATTTGAATGGTTCTGCTGGGTTGGCGGGGTGGCGCTGGATGTATCTTGTTCAGGGACTGGTTGCTTGTGTGTTGGGTTTTGTCACTTATTGGTGGATGGTTGATTTTCCGGAAAACTCGGCTCGAAGCTTTTATTTCTTGTCTGAAGCTGAAGCGCAGGTGGCGTCGCAGAGGATCCAGAAGGATCGAGATGATCTTGTCCCTGAGCCGTTTTCATGGGCGAAACTACTTTCTAGTTTTCGAGATATCAAGATCTATGGATTTGCTTGCATGTTCTTTCTTTTGAATCTGGTTTCGACTTCCTTGTCTTATTTCCTACCTATGATTCTGGAGAATGGAATGGGATTCAATTCAGACCAGTCGATTTTACTTTCGACTCCGGTGAGTTTTGAACAGATTTCGAGATTCCCAGCAATCAGTACTGACTGTCTGACTATTCTAGCCTTATTATTATGCCGTGATCCCTGTTCTTCTCACTTCGCTAGCAGGTGATCATTTTCGCAAACGCGGTCCATTTATCGTCTTTAATGCGCTTTGCTTGGTAGTCGGGTTCCTGATGCTTGGTCTACCAAATTCGACGCAGGTGACAGTGCGATATATTGGGACATTTCTGGCTACCGGCGCTTACATTTCGAATTGGGCAGCTCTCAATGCTTTTCAAGCGAATAATGTTGCTGGTCAATGGAAACGTGCGGCTACCTCGGCTGCTGTTACTGCTTTCAATGGACTCGGTGGTATAGCGGGTAGCTATATTGTTCGTTCTCAAGAGGCTCCGCATTACCAGACAGCGGTTTGGGTATCAATTGGGTAAGTATTCCTTCCTTTCTGTCGTGGAGTTCTATTACTGATTTTATAAGATCTCATCTTCTTATGATTGCTCTTGTAGGAGCGTTTACTATCTACTTCTACATTATGAACCGACAACAGGCAAGGAGCTTGAAAATAATAGAGGGCACGGTGAGTCTAATAAATTCTTTCTATCAAATTGAATCTCTTTACTAACATTGGTATAGCCTGGATTCCGATACACATACTAGAATAATCATCTGGAGATTCCATCGCACGAATCAAACGACGTTTACGAACAAAATATAGATAGAGGATTTATTTAATCAGAAGCATAATACTTTTCCATTATCTAGACTACTTTTCTCACACGAATCGTTTCATTAATTAAACTTTTGCATCACCAGCCGTGATATGCACTTCATACAAAACCAATGGGTGCTGTCGAAGATCAACATCATTGCCGAATAATCGCTGATCTTCTAATTCCGCCAAAGAAGAAGGCCGACTGCCCCAGCTTTCTTCAAGAGAGCTCGTTATGGAAGGCGCAAGTTGATCTCTGCTGGTTTTCGGTTGCTCTCTAACGGAATGCACGTACCATTGCTGGTGGTGGTAGATGTGGTGATTGCGTTTTGCGCAGCAGGAGAGTTTTGAGAGGAGAGTGTTGGGGATGCATTTGATCACTAGGGGCCAGATGCTGACGAGACAGGTAGCGATTATTATTATTGCGCCCTCGACGACGGTGAGGACTCCTAGTTTGATTGAGAACCCTGATTTGTATTAGTATTGGTCTGGTACTTTTTGGGTGGGGGTCTATCAGTCACTTACAGGTTACGTCGCTGAGCTGAGATCTGATGCTTGTGAAGTAGATGGCCACTCTGAGAATACTGACAACAGTTCCCCTTGAGATTGTATTAAATTCATGGTCTTCCTTTTGTAGGTTGAGAACTTACAATCCAGATAAAAGAAAAACACAAGTAAGAGCGATCTTTTGTGATCTCGGCGCATGTAGTTTCCAGATGAAAGGAATTGGCAGGGCCATGATCATTAATCCGGTTGCAATATTGACGGGAGACACGGCGCGGTAGAAGGTAGTTTGGTCGATACATGTTCCCGGGACATCATGAGACCACCCATGTTGAATTGGTGTACATTGGAAGATAGTCTCGAAGAAGACAGTGATACCCAGTCCGAGCACTAGAGCTCCGATAGAATAGGCAATGATGTGGAATTTCTTTGTGTCGAAGATGCGCATGTAGAAGAGTAAGAGAGAGATTTTGGCTGGGGTGACTGTGAAGGGGAAGTCGAGTATTTCAAGAATGACAAAGCCCTGGATTTCAGCTGTCAGCTAGGGGTCCTTTTGTGTCTTTGCGACCGGTAGTGAATACCTTTCTTATGAGAGTCATGTCTTGGTTGGGGCGAGTGAGCTCGTCCATATGGTAACCAAGACCTGCTTCCTCAGCCACTGTGCAGCGTTAGTGTCAATGTTGATCTCGGGACACGTCGGTGATCACTTACAGACGATGTACATGACCGCCCTTGTCAGGCTTCCAGTCTGTTATAATCAAGCGGTCAGTATACATGGTTGTGAAGTGATATAATACATATAGCCTGGGAAGATAATGACATGAAACAAAGATACATACCAAGGCGACGAGCATCACGTAGTCATCAGCTCCACAACGGGCTTTTTGCATGAAGCGAGTATAGAATCGTGCGGCGACAAACAATATCTGAATGACAGATAGAATGATACAGGCGGCAATTAAGCCAGAACCACTTCCTGATGGGTGTTGGGCTTCTTGCCAGTCGGTGCCTCCCATAACGGAGCAAGTTGGCAGATTCTCTGCGATGAAGGAGCAGGTTCCGTCATTGGAGAAAGCTCAAAGAACTTCAAGCTCATGTGAGGTGAGGTGAATGAATTAATTTGTTAAAACATGGATGCGAATATTTCAAACGTGAACAATAGGCACCAGCTGTAACAGCTCTAACTTCAAGTTCTCCTCAGCTATGCAAAAGCCTTTTCCAAGTTGATCATGATCAGCGACTACTGCACGTTAAAATACATTTGATCTACTCTACCCTTGCGCCGATCCCGCACAAAAAGTGGGTTAGATTTTAGCGATAAATGGAACTTCCCCGTCTAAATGTATATTTCAGCCACAGTCCATGGCCTCGGGTTTCGTCGGTCAGTCTTTACGGCGCGGCCACTTTTTGCCTGGTTGAAGGGTATTAAAGAAACATTAGACCCCAAGAGAAGTATCCACCGTGACTCCATAGCTGGACAAACAGGGAAATATAACTGGTTAAGCACAGTTAAGGTTACCTCCATCCTCGGATCGGGTGGATCCTATCCAGATAATGATCATGAGCATTAGCTTTGTCCATGGAAGTTTCCGTCAGCGTCTGACGACTAATTGAGGATGATATTGCCGCGGATTGTTGGATTGTTGGTACTGGTATTGACATCATGTTCCGGATGAGGAAATTGGCCGGTATTCTAGAATGATTTGAGTTCTTATTTTTATTCTTATGTATCTATTATCTGCTCGCTTTCTTTCCTTTCTGGGCATCTTCGGTTGTCTTCCGAGGCGATTTACGTTTAGAGAAGAATTTGATATTAACTTTCCTCTCTAACACGATAGTTTAACGTAGAACTTTGTTTTATTTTATTATCTGCTGTAAGACGGCTAATATGAAAATCAAAGCACGGTCTTCTTCATATTGTTCCGACTCTCGGCGAATTTGAGCTTGGTATTCATGATTAGTCGCGATATTTGGAACTGATTTGCTACCCCGACCGGTATACAGGCTGTTTCCTAGTGCAGTAACTACCCTTAAATATTTGAATGCTTTCCATTCCAAGATTATTCGACTTGTCTAATCCGATATCGGTCTTGATCTTTTCTTTTCGTCTCTTCGTCATCATGCTGCGAGCCTTGTCTCGTTCTTAAAATGGGGCGGAGAGCGAGGGGCCAAACCTTCTTCATCTGGATGTCGGTCGAGACCTCTGTCAGGTTGGAGCTTAAAATATCGAATCCACACAAACCTGCGCGAGATTCACTACCTAGTTCACTCTAGGCAGTTGATAAAACCTGAATTTCTATAGCCTTGTAATGTAACTTTTCAATTCTTAGATTGTACTCAATGTCACTTTCCCACGTCTAAACCAAGTAGAGACTTTTGAAAAGCCCCTTCTATGACGTCGAGGAGGGTGAGTTGTTTGTTGCGCAGTTGTTGTACTCGTACTCGTACTTGCACTTTGATTTGAGCCTGACGAAGTCAATTGAACGTGCGAAACAGCTGTGATAGATGATGGATGCAGTCGCTGCGAATGAACCCTTGACTGTACAGCCGCAAATTTCAGATCCCAATCGGCGCGTCTTTGTTCTTCGGTCATTTCTGCGACTGATCTGGCGGTTTCTGGAAGAGCGGATATGCGATCATCATCTTCTCCACGACGAACGACTTCTAGGTATTGTATGTCGGCTAGTGACATAGATATTGCTGTCATTAGGAAGAAGAATCCATTAGTTAGGTATGAAGAGCTATAACGATGAGCTTACTTACTGGTCGCTTGCTTCTCCTTTTTGTCAATTGCGAAAATATAGATCTGTGGCATGCCTTCGTCTTCAAATTCTTCGAAGTCATCATCATAATCATCATTGTCGATGAGAAACGGCTGATATCGTGAAAAAGCCTGAGTATCAAATAGTAGGGTATCATTTAGAATGACATTTGCAGGGGCATTTTTCAGAATATGGAAATTCAGAAGATGAGCCGGACTCAATATATCGTCTCGACCAAAACGCCATTCGACGTTATAAGCCATCCCGACTGTACTGGCAACCGAATTATCAGCGAACGTCAATATTGTTCGATCCTGATACCCAGCATGGATCTTCAGTCCAATGCTCCGGGCATAATCTTCATCCATGACGAGCACCTTTGAGCCGGAATCAGCAAGAGCAGTTTGACTCTGGCCATTGACAGTCCCCTCAAACATGGGTTTAGATGTCCCCAGATATAAGAGATTGAAGTGCGATGTCCCTTTCACTATTATTTCTTTCACGCGGCGGAGGAAGTTTGTTGTATTTGAGAACGTCTTGGTTAGTTTTAAGAATGCTTTCCCGAGTATTACGTTGTGGACGCAATTTGGTAAGAGATGGAATTTGAGATGGTGGACGTCTTTTTCGCCAGTGAATTTGAATGGGACGGTGGTTGTTCCTACACACTTAATCTGTTTCCCATTGCCGATGGTTGTTTTGGGAGTGTTGTCTCGATTGATTGACAATCCGAGATAAATAGCGTAGTCTTCTCGCATGAAGTTTCTGCTTGCACCGTAATCGCCGAGTGCGTGGGTGAATTTGTCTGCGAGCTGGCATGGTATTTCGAAGACGCGCACATCATTATTGTCGGATGGTGTGTTTTCTGGTTCGGGACCGGGCTTCTTGTAGTGTGCATATCCCGTGAATCTCTCGTATAAGGCTGTTGATAGTATACCCGGCCGGCTTGAAAGTCGATTGGACTTGGCAATGTTATTTGCGAATATGTCGGGTGGTTCAACATTATCATCTTCGATAGCCATGCGGCACCGGGCGAGATCCCCCAAACATTCGATCCATGTTTCTTTGCATTGCGGAAGAACCTCGAGTAACACTGTAATCATTGAATAGGCGATATGGATAAAACTCAACATTTGCTCCAGAGATCCTGGGCACTTTTGTCGTGCTAGCTCAAGAAAGGAGTGAATGTCGTATCGCCACATTCTTGCGGGAATTTGATACTTTGTTGCCAGTTGATGTAGCGCTGGGCTTACCGATGGGTGTTGCGACGCTAGAAAAAAATCGTGATACTCATAAAGTAGGGTGCGATGTAGGGAGATAAAAGCCTCCCATTGTGATGGAGAAAGGTCGGATTCTGAATCCATTTGTTGCTTGTCAATTTCGATGCACTTTTTTTCTACCATAGCCAACCCTGAATAGATGCCCCTCACCTCCTCTATCAACTCTTCTATTGTGAGGATATCGGGGGGAGTGACACCATCGGGATCGCCATCGGTGTTAGTTGAATGAGTACCAGATGCCAGTGAATGGATATCGACGGAATCGGCTTCGACGTGGGGGCTTTTATAAGTGCTAGAAGAACGTCTTTCATCCTTCCCTGGCTTTGTTGTGCACTTACCCTCTACTATAGCTAACCCTGCATAAATTTCCCTCGCTTCATTTACCAACTGTTCTCTTGTGATGACATTGGCGGGTGTAAAATCATCGGGAGTAAAATCGGTGTTAGTTGAGCCAGTGGCCAGTGAGTAGAAATCGATGGAATCGGCTTCAACATAGGGGGCTTTGTAGGTCCTAGAGGGATCCGTTTGATTATTCCCTAGATTTTTTATAGTAGTTCCCCTCTCATGGCAGCCAGTATGCGTTGCACCGAAAGAGCTCATTGGCAACCCTGCTGGCTCACCACGAACGGGTCGCTCGAGGGGTTCCCTGTAAGACGTAAGACAAGAGCTCAAACACAAGTTAGCCCGGAGTGGATAACATGCCTCGGGGGTTCGCCAAGCTTGGCCAACATTTAGAGAGATACCCTGCGAGCTATAGGAAGAGTGGGATAAACCGTGAGATCGAGTCCTCTCATATATACTCTGCCTTCTTTGTCATTTCATGCGGAGAAGAGGCAACCGCATGCATCCGATCATTTCAGCTCAGCCACCCTACGCTGACGTGGTGGAAAGCTACTGGTTGGCGCTTACGGCTTCTCATGGGATATCATCCCAACACGAGCGATCGCTGGCACACTGGCACGAGCTCGTAGTAGTGCTTGCTTTGAAATATTACAACCACTAGATATGAGAATCAAATTTTTACTCGTATGGCAGCGACTCAGAACTTGAATCGCGTGGAACTTGGCCAGGTACGGGATGGCTACCCGGCGCTTGCTAGCTGGATAGGCCGAGACCCAGATGGCGAAACTCTCGTATTCCGCAGGTTCAGGCGTCTGAGTGCGCGAAACCTCCTTCACTTGCAGAGCGGTCTCATTCAGTTAGAGCAGGAGATCGATGAACTCGATGAAGAAGCGCGAAAGAGTTCAGATCTAGAATCTCGACAGGCATCACGTCGATGGGAAACACTCATACAGCTAGGTGCTGACTCGACAAGACTAGAGAAAAAGCGACTTGAAAAAGCAGCCGAGTTATCGTCGAAGATGAAAGAATATGGTTGGATCACCATTTCCAGTCCATCGACTACTTGATCATCAGCTGACTTTTGAACCTAGAAGAAGCGCTTCTTCGACAATCTCAAATCTCCGAATTAAGCGGACCTGGCGATCGTGTTCTCTCTACCTACCGCGATTATATCGAAGGAAATGCTTGGAAAAGCGCTTACTTACCATCGGTTCCTATAATAAGCGGAAACGCGAAGGACATGCTGAAAGAAGCTGACGACTTGGTTTCCTTAAAAAAGGTCGACGACGAAGATATTCTCTCAAAATTCCTGCAAGATCACTGGGTCTTTCAGAGGCACAAGGGGAGTGACCCCCTGGATCAAACGACGATCTATAAGGGACAGCATATAACGCGCATTGTTGCTGCGATGAGTATCCTGTTCTCCGCGGTTCTCCTGGTTGTTGCGATTATAAGTCTCTATGTTATTGATAACCCGACTACGAAGTTGGGTCTAGTGGTCGCCTATACATTTATTTTTGCTTTGAGTATCGCGTTATTGACGAGCGCAAAAAGGGCAGAAATATTTGGCGCTGCAGCTGCATATGCTGCAGTATTAGTTGTATTTATATCGGGGAATTTAGGGTCATAACGATTCATATTATAGACTGTGGACGGGGGAAAATATTAATTGATGAAACATTGAGTTGGCCATTAAAACATCATGATTTTGCAGCTAAATTAGTTGAGTCTCTTTTTGTAACTTTCTGATAAATACAGGGAAGAAGAGGTAGATACAACAATCCACATGTCATCGAAGAGAAAGAAAGGGGTATATGGCAAAAGACTGGATACAGGAGAAGAAAAGAGACTCAGTGAACCAGAAGCACAAGAAAGAAAGCAATGGAAAGCCTTAAGCTACCCGATCTTTCTGTTCCAATTTTCCAACCAGTCGCTTCATTCCCGTCCACTCATCTGAAGGTACCTCCTCCGCGGGGCCACCGAGACCCTTGCCTACCTCAAAAACGGTCACGACTCCGTTAAGTCCACCAGTGGCCAGACGTCTGCCTTCACGTTCCTCCCATGCAACCTTGTTCAGACTGCGAGATATAACAGCACCGGGACCACGCGAGGGAGTTGTCTTGACAACGGGAACCTCAGTATCTGCATAGAGATCCCAAACTTCGAGGTTGCCAGCACCATCGACAAGGGAGAATACACCTGGCCTGTGCGGGGACCAGCGTGCATCGTAGACCACATCCTCTCTGTTTATGTCCAAGATAGGGGAAACAACTTGAGCAGAAGCCACTGTAGAGGTGACGGAAGCAGTTGTGGCAGGGGGTCGCACACGCCAAAGCTTAACGCTCCAGTCCAGGCTAGAGCTAAGCATGAGGTCACCCAAGTCAACGGGGCCTCGGGCTGGGTGGAATGCCGTAGACATAATTGGTGCTGCGTGGCCACGGTAGGCGAGACGGTGATCGGTGCCAGCCTTAGCACCAGCTCGATCATATCGATGGCAAGGATAGATGCCACCTTCCTCAGTACCAACGATGAAGAAAGTTGGGTCTGATTGCGGGAAGGACATGGTAGTGGGTGCAAGATCTTCAGTCTTGGAGGGAGGGGGAGTAGTCAGCTCCAGGTACTCCTGAGGCTGAGAGAGCATATCTACGGTCCATCCACAGACCACTCCATCTGTAGAGGCAGTCAAGATGTTATGAGCGTTCTGAGTTCCAACAATCGAAATGCTGTAGACAGGATGGGTGTGTCCAGATCCGGTCAATGGTGTTTTCTGCACAGGAGCACCTCCGCCCATGCGCGAGGAACGAGTATCCCATAAGAGCACCTGTCCTGAATACGAGCCACCGACGATCAAGTTAGGATGAAAGGGAGAGAATTTGGCGGTAAGAATGTCAGACGTCGCGTGGAAAACGTATTCTGGGCGGGATTGTAAATGTTGGTTCCAAACTTGAACCAGTCCATCCGGTTCATGGGGGGCTGAGGGGTTCTTTGTGTAAGATGCAAGCACCAATTCTGGGAACTGTTTCTGGATTAGCGTGATTGGCCTTCATTTATTGAGGACTGCCTCGTCTCTTACCTTTGGAGAAAAGCTAATATCAGTGATCGTGCGCTTCTTGCTCCATCGCTCGTCCCAGAATTGGCAAACTTCCCGAATGCCTCTTCGCTTTTTGCCGGTCTCTTCGTCTTCCTCCAGATCTCCATGAGTACCGCCAAGTTCATAATCTGCAAGAACATCATAATCCTCATCAAGCGCCCTCTCAATAACCTTAGATGATCGTTCCACAAAGTCCAAGAAGTCATTTGAAGATGTCACGGCTTTCAACTCGTCATCGTCAAGTGTGCGTAATGGGTACCGTAGTTTGGCTTGAGCGGCCGAAGCATTCTCTGCATCCTGGTCTGTCGCTTGTAGTTCATCTTCAATCTCTTTGCGAATCTTTTGTCTGATCTCCTCATCCCGCTCTCGGCCTCGTCGACTTAAACGTTTGCTCGATCGTGTCGCATCCGGTGGATCCTCATTGTCCGAAGCTACAGAGCCATCCTGGGATTCGGTTTGTGTACCCAGATCATCTGTTTGCACGGCTTTGCTATATGTAACAACTTCTGGCCTGTGTTCAGGGGGAGGCGGGGCTTCGGGTTCAGAAGAGATGTAGGTCGCCTCTCCAACAGTTTGTACAGCAATGGACTGTAGCTGCGGGCGGGATGAAGGCGGATATGTCTCAGCGTTCTCTCCACTCAGTTGGCTGGCACTTAGGACTGAATTTGGGCGACTTCCTTTCCCCGACTGGCCTTCCGCTGCTTGGCTGATGGTGGCTGACCCGGGGCGATCTACCAGGCGAGAAATTAAATCGTCAAGCTCGGCTCTACTATCAGAGCGACTGGGGACTGGAGAAACGATCTATAAAAGCACTGTTAGATATTCCATCAAAACTATAATAGCTCCATGGGGTGCGTGTGTTTACCTCTGAAGCATCTCCAACACTGTTCCGAGTATTTGTGAATTCTTTTTGTCGAAGCTCGCGTTGCTTCTTCAGCTCCGCCAGCTTAGCCTTTTTGGCCAAGATCTCATTCTTGCGTTGCTGTATGGAAGACATCCTGCTTGACTGGCCTAGCTTGTGTTTTGTAGATGTAGTTACATCGTGTTGCGCTTTCTTTACGGGGGATGACATAAGCCTCTCCGAACGGCGCCGGAAAAACTCGCGCAGACAGGGACAGAGAACTCGCCTTGCCCCATCCCGAGCCTTTACCTGCCATTGCCAGCCCACGCCTGTGAAACGGTTTCCCGCTTCTTAATATATTGTTCATTCATTATCTCTCGGAGACTTTTAATAATGGCTAGCTCACAGGGTGTTAACGTGAGTCCTTGACACCAGTGTCGCCGTCCCATATCCCCCTCAAATGCGACATCGGATGTTGACTATTCTTCGCAATCATACAGGTTCTCCGCTACTCGGCTCTCGTTGCCGGTCTCGTTTACGGAGTCTACCACCAGTCGTCTATCAGCTCTGCGGCCAAGCGCGCAGACATTGACCATGAATACACACGCAAGGAGCGCCTGATCGAGCAGGCTAAGGCCGAGTGGAAGAAGCGCAGCCAGCCCCAGGAGATCAACACACAAGCCTCTGGCTGTACGTGATAATTCCCCGTTCACATCCATCGACATACTCAATTTCATCCGATAATGCCGAATACCCACCCAATGCTCAATGCTAACATATCCCCTTGTCTAGTGATCACCGATCCCGAGAACCCCAAATTCGACCTCGAGGCATTCTTGCAGGCCAAGGCCACGGAGTCCTCCTAAATATGACAAGAATGGGATAGAGGAGGAATGATACGCATCTCTTTGCGGAATTCGCACCTCCCCCCAGGGTATTAGAAATTATTTGTTAGGAACCATTTACTTGTACGATTGTTTTGGGGCCGATTCCCCTCGAGTTGCAACATTGCCAGCGAAAGATGGAATGGTGTCTTTTTGAGTCGTTTTATTTCCTTTTGTCATCGTTTTAGACGTTATCATTTGGGTCCTGTACATACCCTGGGCTGTCGTGCGTCTGTACACTACAGTTTGGACCACAAGAAAGAGCAAAAGATCGTTATGCATTCCGGCGTTATTATTGAGTCCTCCATTGGAGTCAGTCTACATAAGTATTTGGTTCTGGGCTTCCGGCTTAATCTTCCTTGTGCCCTTAGTAACCCAGGGCGATGTAGACGCGTCATTCAGCATCACGAATCATCCTCCCAGCAACCTATTATAGCTCTAATATTCATTCATTGTACCGTTGATCATCCACGATTTCCCAGCATTGCCATTGCATCTCGAATTCCGTTGGAGGGTTGTGGTTCAACGGATGGTACAATGATCGGAACTGGATGTAGCAGCTTAGTCTCAGAATCCCATTTCCATCCGCAATCTGTGAACTTTTGTACTATTGTTGGATCTCCTCGTTCTGCGGCAGCTGTATCAAGTCCCAGATACATCGCTGCTGTTGGAAGCCGGATAGCCTCATATGAAGTACTGACGGCAATCAAGGTCTGGTCTTGAAAGAAGCCTAAACAAAAAAAGGAATCAGCATTTGATAAAGAGCTCCGCTTGGTGGAAGCCAGAGAAAAGAAACCATACATTCATATCTCTGCACTAACGGCTGTAGAGACTTGGGCCAAGGTAGGTTTCGAATAGCTTGGTAAACCTGAGAATGTTCTGCTTGCCAAATCGCCCGTAAAAGAGTGAGGCAGTTCTGTAAGGAAGGGTCTTGGTGGCGTATGCTCGATGGTATTCGTTCAGTTAAGGCTCGGGCTTCGGGTCTGTATTGCATTTAGGTCGATTAGTGGGATTTCTAGGAAATGGAAGCAAAGAGACAAACATTTGTTTGGTGAGAAGGTGGGCGAAGAAGAAGTTGGCATAGAAAAGGCTTAGTAGCTCTGGGTCGGCACTTCCTGTCTCTGGACTACCACTGCCTACACCTACTAGTCTAGCATCTGTCTCATACTCAGAAAGGATGCCATAGAGCTGTGACGGGGACACGTTTGACACGGCGAGCTTTGAGAGCTGCTCGATAGATAGAGGAGGCAGCTCCATCTCGGAGTGTCCAGAGGACATTTGTTGGTCCAAATGTGCAGAAGATTATCTTCAGATAATGAATATCGACGGTGAATGAAATATGAACCCAAAAGGTTCGACAAATCGAAGAGAAAAAAAGGTAGGGAATGAAGAGTTAACAAGTGATGATGCGGGGAGATTAGTCGGAGGTGGCGCCTTTCTCCGATGCCAAGACCCTCAAGAAGTGACCACCTTGCGCAGCTCCCTCCCTCTTCCAACACCTCCGAGCATCCATTGCAATTGCCAATTACAGGCCACTCATTCCTTTATTTTCATGTTTCACTGTTAATTTCGTTTTTTGGACTTTGCTCCTTCTTCCTGGCCATCATGGCCGAGTCTTCTCTTGATGTTCTGCTTAAAGGCAGCTCCGGCCAACGCACACGCGGTCTATTGCGGATCATCATTATCTTGACGATTGCAGCCGCCGCCGTCGCCAGTCGATTGTTCAGTGTTATTCGTATGTTCTGGCCCAATTATGCTTCAGCTCTTGACAATTGACACGTAACTGATCTTATTACAGGCTTTGAAAGTATTATTCACGAATGTACGATCTCTCCTTGACGTTTCATGCAGTATACAACGTGGCCACGGGCCAGATTGTCGCAATTAAGATATTAACCTCTTCAAATTTACAGTCGACCCTTGGTTCAACTTCCGAGCCACAAAATACTTGGTTGAGAATGGTTTCTATAGTTTCTGGGATTGGTTTGATGACCGTATGTTCATCCTTATATCGGCTTGCGTGGCCTTCAAGTTCCCTATGGTATCACAGGGCAGTGCTGATAAAATCGCTCGTCAATGCAGGAACATGGCACCCTCTAGGTCGTGTCACTGGTGGCACATTGTACCCCGGTCTGATGGTGACTAGCGGCGTGATCTACCACATTCTACGCCTCCTGACGATCCCTGTCGATATTCGGAACATCTGCGTTCTGCTCGCCCCCGGTTTCTCTGGCCTCACGGCTTTGGCCATGTATCTTCTGACATGTGAAATGTCAACCTCCCCATCAGCTGGTCTCTTGGCTGCAGCATTCATGGGAATTACTCCTGGTTATATCTCACGTTCCGTGGCTGGCAGTTATGATAACGAGGCCATTGCCATCTTCCTCCTGGTATTCACCTTCTACTTGTGGATCAAGGCTGTTAAGAATGGCTCAATCATGTGGGGTGCCTTGGCAGCTCTCTTCTACGGATACATGGTGTCCGCTTGGGGTGGTTATGTCTTCATCACCAACCTCATTCCTCTCCATGTCTTCGTCCTCCTGTGCATGGGCCGCTACAGCTCTCGCACCTACATTGCCTACACCACATGGTACGCTCTGGGTACGCTCGGAAGTATGCAGATTCCTTTCGTGGGATTCTTGCCCATCCGCAACAGTGACCACATGGCTGCCCTGGGGGTGTTTGGACTCCTTCAGCTCGTAGCATTCGCCGAATTCGTCCGGGGCTTCCTGCCCGGCAAGCAGTTCCAGAAGCTGCTGACCTCTATGGTTCTGTTGACTTTCGGTCTTGGATTTGCTGGTCTGGTTCTGCTCACTGTCTCTGGTGTCATTGCTCCATGGAGTGGCCGTTTCTATTCTTTGTGGGATACCGGCTATGCCAAGATTCACATTCCCATTATTGCGTCTGTCTCTGAGCACCAGCCCACTGCTTGGCCCGCTTTCTTCTTTGATCTGAACTTCTTGATTTGGCTCTTCCCTGCTGGTGTGTTCTTGTGCTTCCAGAAGCTCAACGATGAGCACGTGTTCGTTATCATTTATGCTGTGCTCTCCAGCTACTTCGCTGGCGTCATGGTTCGTTTGATGCTGACACTCACTCCAATTGTCTGTGTTGCTGCGGCTCTTGCTTTGTCTAGCGTTCTTGACAACTTCCTGGTTATGTCGAAACCTACTGCTGAGACTCAAGCCAAGGCCAATGCTAAAGATGCTAAGATTTTTGGCAAGATGAAGAATCCCGTCGTCGGCATTTATTCGTACTTCTCGAAGGCCTTCGTGACCGGCTCGTTGACCCTCTATCTGCTCATCTTCGTTGCACACTGCACTTGGGTTACTTCCAACGCCTACTCCTCACCTTCAGTTGTTCTGGCCAGTCGTCTGCCGGATGGAAGCCAAATGATCATCGACGATTACCGTGAAGCATACTACTGGCTCCGTCAAAACACTCCCGACAACGCTAAGATCATGTCTTGGTGGGACTATGGTTACCAGATTGGTGGCATGGCTGACCGCCCCACTCTGGTAGACAACAACACCTGGAACAACACACACATTGCCACCGTTGGTAAGGCTATGAGCTCCCGCGAGGAGGTCAGCTACCCTATCCTCCGTCAACATGATGTTGACTATGTTCTGGTTGTGTTCGGTGGTTTGCTGGGCTACTCCGGTGATGACCTCAACAAGTTCCTGTGGATGGTCCGTATCGCTGAGGGTATCTGGCCGGATGAGATCAAGGAGCGTGACTTCTTCACTGCTCGTGGCGAGTACCGTGTTGACGAGGAGGCTACTCCCACCATGAAGAACAGTTTGATGTAAGCATTTCCCTTTCTTTCAATACTTCAGAACTAAAACTAAAATTAATAGGTACAAAATGTCTTACTACAACTACCAGTCGCTCTTCCCCGCCGGTCAGGCTGTTGACCGTGTCCGTGGCGTGAAACTGCCGGCCGAAAGCCCACAACTCAACACCCTTGAGGAGGCATTCACCAGTGAAAACTGGATTATTCGCATCTTCAAGGTCAAGGACCTCGACAACCTTGATCGTGACCACAGCAACGCCGTTGCCTTTGAGAAGGGTATCAAGCGTAAGCGTGCCACTAAGAAGAAAGGCCCTCGCGTTCTGAGAACCGAGTGATCTGGCTATGTTGTTTTTTTTGTCTTTTTTTTTTGCAATCTTTCTTTATCCTGGATTCCCTGCCATTGCACACTACCTATGGCATAGCAGGCTTATCTTGTCATGTACGATCTCACTTTGTTGGATGTAGTCCTAGTGCAAGCAACTCAGGATAGTATACAATAAATGCCTTTAGAGTGAACATACCGTTTCTGAGTTTTACAACTCCCCATGTAGCCTTAAAACAACCACATGAACCACACGTACGGCAGGTCATAGCCCAATATAGAGTGAGGCTGGTTCCAAAGACAGCCATCTGATAACCGGTTAAAATAGAGACGAGTGATAATTGTAGCTAGGCTATGCGGAATAAAACATTCCAGCCAACTTATTATGTACAGTACAGCGTCTGTGTGCTGTAAATAAATCCATTGTGCTTGAAGACCAAAGTAAGACATGGTCTGCCCCAGAAACTCCTTAAATTCCAAAATTGCTTCGGTGGCTCCCTGGCCCGAGAAGCGCTGGCTATGCTGGGCACCCGATATCACCACACACATGCCGCGGATATATGATACATGCAGAAGAGCTGGATCGAGAGGAGCCCAGCTGGTGCTTATCGAAAAGTCATACGGATCTCATCCTCGTTGGTGTTGGTTCGCATCGAGTATGGCTTTATTTCTGCTCCGCTAAAGGCTTCGCGGGGGCATCGGGGACCTTGACGTCGGAGAACTCCTCTTGGCCGACAGCGCGGATAGTGTAGGAGTCTAGAAATTCAAAGAAAACGTACAGTCAGCACTTTATTCACGAATGGTGAGTCATAACAAAAGCCATTGCAGGCGGGAGTGGCGTGGTTCAGTGGACGAGCGAAAGCAGCGTGTATGCTAGCTTGACGACACTCATGATGAGGTATGGAGACTTTGAATGGATCGGTGGTACGCACAGACGCCAATTGAGAAGACAGCGAGAGCGAGACCGGTCAGGGAGTTCTTGAACAGATATGGGCGGCGGGCACGCAGGAGGGCAGCGCCGGCCCGATAATCCTTGCCGTAATACGTGGAGTTGAAGCTATGATGGGTAGACATGTTAGTTGAGTCGCAGAGGTTTTCTGATTGTCTGGGAGATGTTCAGAACGTACATTCCAGAAGCCATGGTAAGTAGTGGTGGAATCTTTCAAGATGCAGAAGGCAAATCCGAAGTGCAAAAGACCCGAATCCCCGATATCTGGAGAGTCTTGGCGGTGATGACCGATGTACAGTATACCTTTGAAGGTTAATAGGCCATATAGTCAGCCAGTCTCAGTATCATTTAAACATGAAAATAGTGCAATCAATTTATTTAATTCTACTTTTAAATTTGAATTTGGACCCCCTGGTCTGCCTTATTCTTTTCTTTACTAGTAACATGATGATAAAATTCATTTGCACCGTAATGCTTCAGTCCCTTTTTAAAAAAAATTAAAATTAAAAATTAAATAAAAATAAAAATAAAAAGAAACAAAGAGAATATATCTGAAGTCGTATGTCATTGTGCATCTATCTTATATCCCTCTTCTGATTTCATAACTGCTTAGTTTGACGCTCAACTGCAGCATCGTACATCACATCTGGATCACATCCGCGCCGGCGTTGTTCCTCACCTTTTCTCGGCCCCTGCGGACTTTCTCTCTAATTTCCCTCATACTCTTTGTTTCCCACCACCAACCTCGATCCCTCCACCCCCTGGTCTAAACCTCCTCATTCACCCTCTCACGAGTCACGTATCTTTAACCCGATTGCTCTACTTCGGGACTCATGCGCGTCGCCGCTGCCAAGAACGCAGCTCCATTCGCGCGCCGGTCCCAGTAGGAAACATCTCAACACCCACGAATTGCACACCCAACAACCTCATCGCTCCCGATTTACCTGTCGCGTATCTTCCCTTCCCATCCCCCGAGCGACGCGATGGCTCAAGCGACAGTCGACATCGCCAACCAGGTGGTTCAACTGAACTCTGCCCGTAAACTTGTCCTCGGTGACGCAGCCTTCTACCCGCAGATCATAAGCGGCATCCTACCGATCGTTGGAGCTCACGCAAGACTTGAATTACGGAGATGGGGTGCAGACTTCCTTGCGGAGACATTTTCTAGTCCGATGCTAGAGACAGACCAGAAGCAACAGTTGGCACAAAATGTCTTACAGTCTATTCAAGAGACTCTGCAGTTGCCTGAGACAGACTCGGCAGTTTTGCAAAGCTTGGTGCAAACTGTAGCGAGCTTATATCCGCTCATATTCCGCCATACGTAGGTCTATTCCAGCGCATTTTTGTAGTAGAGGGGATTACATGTTGAACTCTTGGTCGTGAATACTAACATACTATCCTATAAGTGTGAACCACCCGGAAGATGCACACTCATGGGAGAAAATGAATTCGATCAAACAAGAGATTCTCAAACGAATGGACTCTTTTTCATGCCCTGTCAAAATTTGCTGTGTCAAGTTTTTACAACGAGTGGTACAGGTCCAGACACCGGGTCCGATTGATCCTAGAGTATGTTGTTCGAAATATATGTTGCCCAGTCTTTTTTTTTACTGATCTCCTTCCAGCGCCCCGAACAAAATGAGACATCATTGGCCATTGTCCCTCGGGGACATACTGTTCTCATGATTCCACATCTGGAGGCCGAAGCATCAGGCTTGCTCGATAGGCTTTTGGCTGTATTTCAAGAAGAGACCAGGTATTTGTCGTCGCAAAAGGAACTAACCACTGGCTCTAGCTAATCAAAAAAACTAGCGATGCTCTTCTTGTCAATGCTACTTTGAACTGCCTTGCGCCTCTCATTCGCACACGTCAGTCCATCGCGAATAAGATAATCAACGCCGTTTTAGATTTCTACCCAGCGAAGCACGTCCAACCACCATTCACACCAACTGTTCGAGTTAACGTCAAATCAATGGAGCGCACAGCCCGGGCATTGCTCATTAACATTATCAAGAAGTTTGTTCATCGTTTTCCTGTTACGTTGCCAGAATCCATACTAATTGGCCTTCCATAGAAACCAAAGCCATCCTATGGTTGGGAAGATGCATGCGTATATCGAGCGTCTTATGCAATCTCGACTGGAGGTGACCGAAGATGCTTCACGAAAACGTGGCCTGCCCACGGAACCAACAGATGGTCTAGACACGGCCAAGCGAGCCCGTCTAGATGCCATGACTCCCCCTGTGCTCCAGATTCCTCCGCTACCACCGGGCCCCGCCAGCTTTGATAAGCTTTTCACATTGACACAGGACATCGGGCTATCTTCATTCGATGTGAAGCAACTACCGCCTGATCTTGTCGTAAAGATCGCGGTGCCTCTCTTGGCTCAAGTTAACCAGTCAATGCTTACGCAAGCTGTTGATGTAAGATAGTACACTGGGATTTTTGTTTTTTCAGTACTGACGAGATTATAGGCTGTTCGAAATCGATACGAGACCATTACAAAGGAACAGAACTTGGCTCGCATAAAGCAGCAGCCTGCGGCTACGGCACACGAAGATGATGATTATGAACCTGAATATCAACCGATGGACGTAGAGGAGAAAGATTCCGAGGAAGTCGATGCGTTTGAGCCGGAGGTGCCCGACATTCAAGCCGAGCTAGTATCTTTGGGTCCATTTGTTCTACCTCAACCACCCCCTCTCAGCGAAGAGGAGGCCGGAGAAGTCGGGCGTAGTGCGGTTTCGCGTGTCTTTTCGATGATTAATATCGCGGAAACAAGCCCTACGCCAGCCAAAGCCAAAACCCAACAACTTGGCTTTACCCGCTTGGCCGGCAGCAACTTTGACCGAGATGCATGGGTTTTGCTCCTCACTCGCCTGGCCACCCGTGCTCCAGCTGGCCTGGAAGGCGGTGATAAGCTGGCTAAAGGGCAATCAAGTCGCAGACAACCCATCTCTGACTCAATCCGAGAGACTCTGTACAGGTACATCTTGGAAGACTTCCGCGGTCGTCTCAACATCGCCGTCACTTGGCTTAATGAGGAGTGGTACAACGATCGTATTCAAATGAGAGCAGCCGCATCTGCGCGGGACGAAGAAAACAATGATGATGACGAAGCAACAGTGTCAATTCATTATGACACATGGGTCCTCCGTCTTTTAGATGGAATTCTCCCTTATCTCGATTCTCGCGATATTAAAGTACTCGTTCGTTTCCTTAGTGAGATCCCGGAGATCACTGTGGATATCACGCAACGAGTCGCCAGTCTCGCCAAGGATCCTGAGCGTGTCAATCTCTGCGTCCAAGCCTTAATGTGAGTCTTTTATCTATTCATCGTCATCGAATGTGCTTCTAACCTGTATCCTATAGGTATCTCATCATGTTCCGACCTCCGGCCCGTGAGATGTGCTTAAACACATTAGAAGACGTCCATCAAACTTGTAAGTTGTCTTCCCCTGATGATGCCTGTTTAGGAAGTACTCAAAGCTAACACTTCATCCCCAGACGAGGAATCACGTCCAGCTGCAGGTAAGGTTTTGGCCAAATGGCGCCCACAGCAGACGCAACCCGCTGAAGCAGCTACCAATGGTGTAGCGGATGCGGCGCCTCCGGCCGCGCAAACCGAAGTACAGACCAGTGCTGCTACAGAGTGATTGGTCTCTAGCTCGGTCATATCTTACACTCGGCGTCCAATACATAAAATAGGAACCTGAGTTTTCTCATGCATTATTCATTTAAGCATTAACTTCTTGTGTCTTACCTTGTCGTCATTTGAATACCAGATTATGCGTCATCTATTTGTTTGGCCAGACGAACATATCTTTAACTACGAGAAATAAATACGGTCAATAATTTCTATGTTGCTTCCGCGCTATGCAGTATTGATAATAGGAGTCCAGGCAAACTCGGAAGAGAGCATGAGTAGTAACCTGTAGACGATAATACTAGACGAATTGCATAAGTCTTTTCCAGTCTATGATAGTGAATAAACTGGGGGGAGGGACTACTATACCCTCATCGATCAAATATTGAAGCTTACAAGACACTCTGCAGCAATGAAAATATGATCATAAAAGTGGAAGCAAGGCAACCAGTATCAATAAGGTCGCTTTATATAAGAGTGCTATGTACATGAACACAGGACCGACAAACGTCGAAGCAGTAATAATGGGAAGACGGAGAATCCAGTTCATCCAATCCCAGAAAATGAAGAAAGAAAAACTCCAAATCTCGAACTCCAAATGCAAGAGAAAAGTCTTCCGTACCTAGATATCGCATTCGAACCATTGAAAGTCATATAAAGATAGGAAAACACGACACAAAATCCATGACCCAGACACCGTTCCATATGATAATAGAAGAGAAAAGAAGGACACAGGTCCATTTCCCTTTCATGCAGCTGTAATAAACGAAAAACGCACATGTTTCCCATATGTAAAAACCAATTAGGTAGTTGGAAGCACCGTGAATCCCCAAGCATTGGCTCGTCAACAACACATACACCACGTTTTCTCTGCTCTCTCTCTCTCTCTCTCTCTCTCTCTCTAACTCGAACGCTAATCATAACAAATTGCTATTCCTTCGAAGGCATAATCGAAACAACAAAGAAGAAAAAGAAGAAAAAGAAGAAAAAGGGCGGAAGTCACGTGGAAGGCGATAAATATTCATTAAGGAGGGGGGAATAGAGGAAGACAGTAGTTCCGACGCAGTTTGAGACTGTTTTCATGCACAAAGATTTAAATTGTGGTCAAGGGCGGCAACAGTTCATCGTGTCGACATGTGACTTGGACCAGGCCCTGTTGATAGTTCAGAGTGCGGTCGGTAGTGTAAAGAGTCGACTGGTTTGGTTGAAAGAGTTGGGGAGGTATCAGGATTGTGCGCAGGTGGCTGGAACAAGCCCGCGCGAGCTGGAGGTGGGGAGAAATCAGGGTGGCGGGAGAGAGAATTATGCATTGGGGAACGGCGCTCTAGGACAGAGTGCGGGTGTGCTTTTCGCACGTCGAGTGGTGAAGAACTTTGAGACCGGAAGCCCGATTTGCGCTCAATATCGTAGTCTGGATTGTGGAAAGAAGTTTGAGTCTGATGTCGTGGGTCTTGCTCAGTTCCATACGGAGTGTTGTTCGCGGAGGAGTTTGCAGCTGAGGCATTCTCCGGGATTGTAGAGGCCGACCCGTTTGGCGCATTGATATCTACCACCCGCCGTTGTGCTGCTGGGGTAGCGTATGATGAGCTTTGAGGTACTTCATAGGGATTCGCTTGAGCTTGAGGTCTATGATGCTGAGAGTACTGATGCTGCGGTTGTTGCTGGTGAATTGGATGTTGTGGATTTGCCCATGGCGTTTGTTCTAAGAAAGCCTCTTCGGCTGCTGTTCGGTAAATGTTGGATGACATGGCTGGCATGGTACCACGAGGAGGCAATACTGATGAACGCCGTTGAATTGGAACCTGGGTCTCAATGGTGATCTTTTTGGAGATGATTGTCAGCAAGGAAACGGATAGTTACAAGAGTGATTGGTCAGCTTACCCCCATCTTTTCGAGATCATCATCCAGTTCAGACGGCCGCGCGCCTGCCAAGTTGGGAGCAGCTGGGAAGCCCACATATTTTGCGACGCCAGCCATAACCGAAACTTCTTGGTTGTAGGCAGCTTGATGCGCGATTTGTTGGGAGCGGCGGGTAGGAAAGGGGATGATATGATGCGGGCTCATTTCATCCGTCTTGAAGCGGTCATGCTGAATAGCATAGAACTGTTTGCTGATCGAACTGGAGTGACGTTCCCTCACATCTCGGATGTGCTGGAAGTATGTGCTGTGTGCCTGTGCTCGCTCTGCCAAGCTCCTGTTTACCAAAGCCCTTATGCGGTATCGGTACAATGTACGCTCGTAATTGATCTTGGCATCACGGTAACGTTCCACACATTCAATTTGGCGTAGGTATTCGGGATGTGTTGGATTCGATCCGCTAAGCATTTCAAGCTCACGATTGAGTTTCGTGATTCGCTCATCATAAATCCTAGGTTGAGGTTAGTATGTGACCTCTAAGACGACTGGTTTGAATAGTTGAAGAGGCGCTTACTTATCGCGCAAAGTCGCAAACTCTTTTTCTAGAGTCGCCAGTGATTCCATGGCTGAAGTTTTCTTCGCGGCTAAAGATACTGTCAGATCATTTGAGTCTTACGCGATCATATAAAAGCTGACACTTACATTCTTCCTCCAACCTAGCAGTGGTTTCAGCATCGTTGGCTTCGTCGCCAGGTCCTGTGGGCTCTTCATCTTCTCCAAGGTTTTCATCAGCCGCGTCCTCGATCGCAGTCTCACCACCAAGGCCTCGTCTCCCTCTGCGCTTACCCTTCTTGCCTCTGTTGCTTTTGGCTATGGGGGCCGGGAGGTCAGATTCGGGGACTTCGTCGGCTGGCAATCCGTCTTCAACCGTAGCGCTCGGATCTTCAATCGGTTCCGGGGAAAGAGGAGTATCGTCGTCAATGGCGTCGCTCAGATCGCTCTTGATCGAACTTCGACGCTTCTTTAGAGGCTCTTCGTCGCCAGGCTCCGTTCCGGTGTCATCTCCATCACCAGCCTCGACACGCTTTCGCTTCTTTCCAATACTATCGGGAAGCTCGACTTCATCCAAATTAGGAATGTCATCGGTTAGTCCATTGTTATTTGAAGACCGCCGGGGCTTGCTTGGTGAATCGTCCACAATATGATCATCTTCTTCATCTTCATCTTCCTCCTCCTCCTCTTCATCATCATCATCGTCGACATCGGCTAGCGTTGTTGACTGATGAAGCTTGCTTGGGCTCGGACCGGCGCTACCTACACCTGCACTGAGAACAATGTCTCCGCGCTTACGAATGTTGTGAGGGGAGTCTTCAAGGCGCTCGGTCTCCGCCTCCGAGTCATTCTCGAGCTGTTTTTCTGGTTGGATCAAATCTTCCTCAAAGTCGGAAGGTTCGTTATCGGATACGTCGTCAATTTCACTCAAGCTACTCGAGCGACCATCATCCATGAGGGGATCATCCAAAAATGGATGACGTTCGCCGTTGGCCATTGTGAAATCTGCTCCAGTGGGGCCACTAGAGGTCTGCTCTGCACTTTCGGCCACTTCCATCGCGGATTATGAAAGCCCTGGCGGAATTAAATATGAGATCGATGTGAATACAGAGAAAAGTGGTTGAAAAGTGGGTGTGTGCCTTGTGCCGAAGGGTTGCTTCCAGCGGAGTGGAGGCTGTGGGGGGAAAGAGGAGGGCGGCAAGGTCACCGATCGACAACACCGGGGTTTGTTTGGGACTCTGTATAAACCACGCAATGTATTAGCTCAATTGCCATAATAGCTACAGCAAAAAGCTTGGGTGAGGTAGGTGGAGGCAGAATGGGTGGGTGGGTTGCAAAAAAGAAGGTAAACGCCTCCAGAAGGCGGTGCGGAGATTGATCATCGCCGGAACGCCCCCAGAGTCGGCAATCGTCGCTCGCCAGAGCACCGGAGAGCGCGCAACTCCGGTAGACGAACCAAAATACCTCACAGGGATGTGTATAGCAGAGTAACAGAGGGTATGTTTCCGGCAAATCAATAGACGAATATAAATATGCAAGCGACGTACCGTCTCAACAATGCGCCTGGAGCGACGCTGGTAATGAGCTCAGCTGCTCGCGATCGAGCAGTTTTCTCAAAGCCACCGCGTTCCAGGTATATCAGCAAGTAGCTTAAGCTACAGCTACGCGCCCTGATCGTGTAAAATTATACCAGAAGCTATCGGACCGCCGATGCGCCAGCACTGGGATGGCGAGGGGAGGTCGGCTAGGAAGCGTGTAGCAGCGCAGAGGAAGGGGAGGTATATGGAGAGGCGGTCGGCATGAAGATTTATCGGAAGGGTATGAATAGATCGAACAATGTCGTAAGACTGGTGTGAAGTAAAATCCAACAAATCCAGCGGGGAAGAGGAAAGGAGGAATCCCAAGACCGCTATGATGGGGTGCAAAGCAACAGAAGCGAGTGGGTTCTGCCGCATCCCGAAGTCACCGCCTGCAAAAAACCTCCCAGATCACGTGGGGCTGACGTCGCCGGAGACGGTCATTCATGTCTGTTTTATGTTGAATGAAGAACATTGTTTCCCTTCAACATTCATATAGAGCAAAATTGGATATAGCAAAAGTTGTTTCAATAGTGTTCTGATCGGTACTGAAATAATGTTTGTCTGTCATCCTCGATTTATGAGTTTGGGAGTCCTGAGGCTTAACACTTGAGTAAACACGGGATGTACAATAAAAAAAGACAAGAGAAACAAAAGCGCCTATTCTATAGTAAACCCCTAGTTTATGATCTGGTCGATTTTAACAAGGCCCTTCTAGTGTTCCCCAAAGATTGAACTTGCTAATATTTTTGTACTTTAATGATCCGGGACCACGTGATATACAATTTGGCCGCGCCAAGCCCGATAAGGCCTCAGAAGAAAAAAAAAGTTCGGAGCTATGCGAAGTCCGACCTCGACTCCACCAATTGAACAACTTTGAGAAGACAAGGACTTTTCGAAGCCCTCGCATTCATATACACAATGGGCAAGAAGTCTAAATCTCAGTCTAAGGCTGTTAGCGCAGCCGCCGCCTCTGAAGGTGTTTCCCTTCTGAGCGGTAAAAGCACTTCTACTCTGGACCCAACCTTGTCCTCCCTCTTCGACAAGAGCGTATGTTTTGATGGTCTATTTTCTTGAGAACGGCTTTTAATAACAGTTTGAAATCTAGTCAGGACCTGTGAAAGCCCCCACTGTGCAATATGTTAATGTTCCTCCCAAATCTACCAAAAAAACAGAGGCAGAGGAGGAAGATGAGGATGTACTCTCGTCGGCAGATGGCTCTCTGGACTCCGAAGATGAAGCAATGGAGGATGCTCCTGATGCCAGCGAACCTGCTTCCGCTGAGGAACAAGTACCGGAGTCCCAGGGTCGCAAACGTAAGCGGGGTGCCGCCGGAGAAGACTTAGAGGAGACATATATGCGCCGCATCGCCAAGGAAGAAGAGAAAGCAGAGGAAAAGCGAAAGTCGGAGCAATCTAAGCGTCAGAAGCCTTCTGGGGAAGAAGCCGACAACGATTTGTCTGGGTCAAAGGATTCAGAGGCTGAAGACAGCGACGAGGATGAGGAGAAATCGGCAGTCCCAGTCCACGAGAGCGTGTCAGGCACCCAAAAAGCGGATGAGGTTGAGAAGTCTAATCGTACAGTATTCTTGGGCAATGTTGCGACCACGGCCATTAAATCAAAGTCGGCTAAAAAGGCCCTTCTCCGACACCTAGCGACCTTCTGCTCTTCTCTCCCTGAAGAGAGTGGCCCACACAAGGTTGAATCTATTCGTTTCCGCTCCATCCCATTTGCCAGCGGTGGTGGACTCCCCAAGCGAGCCTCATTTGCTCGACGTGAAATTTTGGATGAGACTACAACTAGTACCAACGCCTACGCTGTCTACAGCACTCTCCTGGCTGCTCGTAAAGCCCCCGCTGCATTGAATGGAACTATTGTCCTCGATCGACACCTTCGTGTCGACAGCGTTGCTCACCCGGCTTCGATTGACAACAAGCGCTGTGTTTTTGTAGGCAACTTGGACTTCGTTGACCAAGAAGGCGCTGTGGAGGATGAGTCCGGAAAGAAGAAGAAGGTTAGAGCCCCAGCTGATGTTGAGGAGGGTCTCTGGCGAACCTTCAATGAGCACACTGGCGACAAAGATAAGAAGACAGGCAAGAAGAGTGTTGAGTTTGTTCGCGTCATCCGTGATCGATCAACTCGCGTTGGAAAGGGCTTTGCTTATGTCCAGTTCTACGACGGCACTGGTGTCGAACAGGCTTTACTCCTCAATGAGAAGAAGTTCCCACCTATGCTGCCCCGCAAACTGCGCGTCACCCGCGCCAGAAAAATCGCTAAAAAGCGCGAAGATACTGGTGCGAAAGATTCAAAGTTGGCTGAAGCTCAGAAGACACTTCAAGGACGTGCTGGTAAATTGCTTGGCCGTGCTGGTGCTGCCAAGGTCAAGGAAAATGCCAACAAGACCATTGCCGGAAACTCATTTGTGTTTGAAGGTCATCGTGCTACTGAAGGCAGTAATCAGTTGAAGATCAAGACAAAGAGCCGTGGCTCCAAGGGCTCCAAGGCCAAGAAGAATGCTCGTAGCAGCAAGCGGGCGGCAGCTTACAAGGCTGCTGGTGGACAGAAACCATAAATATGGAAAGCGGCTATTTTTGTATGAATTATCGGTGTTAGGTTCGGCATCTGGCATGTTATGCAGATATAAAATTATGATCTCTACGTATCTAGATCAATTTTCTTTGTGTTTAAATTAAAGCTATCTACACATTCACTCCAGATGATATGTCTGTCATGCATTGACGTCATAGCTAATTCTGATTTCAACTATGTTAGTCCAGATCTTTATATCTAATATTTAGTAAGGTCGTCGTTAACAAGCGGGTTAAACTCAGCTCTTTCGGATCAGTAGATCTTCCGAATGCGCTGTTAGAAACCAAGTAAGAATAATGATTTTGTGGCTGATCTACAGACTGGGGCTTCAATGATGCGGGGTGATAAGAGATAACCTTTTTTCTCAGGGCAATTACCCAGGTGAGGGACGTCAATGCTGGTGGCAAAATTAAAAAGGTACATGGCAGCTTCCTTGATAATAGGTGACAAGTCTGATATCATAGCATGAAGAAGGTTTCCAAATGATCACATCCACGGTCTATCTTCGTGAAAATAGTTGCTGGAACTAGGCTCCAGCTGTTACTAGCTTCAGTGGGTCTTAACCTCAATCAACCCGCCCCAGATCGATTCACTGAACCGACTCACTTTCCAATATTCAACCCTGGTTCTTTTTTACCTTGGACGCTACTTCAAGTCAATCCAAACATCTGTCCATTACAGAAACCTTCCGATCAGGTTATTTGCGGAATTGCATCGCCATCATGCTGCCCCGTCATCCCCGTGGAAGAGGGGGGTTTGCTACAAGAGGCCCTCCGAGAAAAAGCCCAAGTCCAAGTCCGAGCCCTCTAGAAACAAACGAGTTCTTCCCTAGTCTCTTAGATGTGCTCAAAGTGCGATACACGCTACAATGGAAACTCAGAGAAGGATTTCCTGTGGAGTTGATTGATGAAATCATCGATGATGCTGAGTACTGGCCCTCGACAGAGCATCACATGGAGGAAGGAGACCAACACACAGTGATTGGGACCGATCGGGATCAGGTTCTATTGAAAACCGTTCCTCTTTGCTATGATCGCAAGGTGAGTTCATTGGTTTAATGCATAAAGCCCATGACATCTCCGCTGACTAGGGCTGTTTCCATCTTCTAGAACCTCGAACAACCATCACCCAAGCAGCTCCCTCACCGTGGATCTCATCCATGCCGTAAAATCGTTTTTCATTTGTCCTCGCATGACCAGGGCTCCTCGGGCTCATTCAATGAGGAGATGTATTCGGCGTCATGGACTTGGTTCGATATTGAAGTCATCCGTGGCGCACACAAGCGCAATATGTATGTGAATGGTGAAGAGCAAGAGTTATTGGAGGACGAGCGAGGTCACGTCCGTCGACACTTTGAGCCAAATGATGAACTTCTGCTTCCGCGACAAACTAAGCTGCAAGTAAATGGCAAGCATGTCAGGAAGTTGCAAAACAACACCATTGTCTGGCACTATTTGGATGATATCCAGTATGACTCACATGAAGCTCATGAGATTGAACGGACCAAAGGCCGAGGACAATCCACTCTAGATGGACAATATGTGCGGGATTTGGAGGTTGGGGATTCCATTGCTCTCTGGGCACGAGCCAGATTCCCAGGCTGGACTAATCACGTTTATCGAGCCCGCGTTCGGGTATTTTGGGCGGTTTGATATGAAACTTCAGATAGTAATGGATATTCCTCGGGGGGCTAGCGGATAGAACATTTAGTCTTAGGGATTTAAGATCGTTATTAGTAAAATGACTACACACATGGTGTACAGTACCTGTCTACAGCTCTTATTTACATCGTATTATATTCTATTATTTATGAAAGTAATTGATCTATAACATGACCTCCACCACTGTGTGCAGCATTTTATGTCCTTTAATCTGAATTAGTATAATACGATACACAAATCACATCTAAATATGAACATACATCAGTAGTAGGTCATATCTACTATGCATGGCGACACTACTATATTGTCAGCCTGAGGCATCAAGGTTCAACTCGATCACGCAATTGCGCCAAGACGCAGGCGGGATGGATCGACACTAGAACATCGAGAGTATAAGACCAAACGACCGCCTCAATTGCTTTCATCTCTTCTTTCCACCTACAAAATGGATATTTTCGACTGCTACATATGAATAATGTTACTAACTAGTCTTACAAACCCCATCATGATGCCCCCATGACGAAACAAAGAGCCTCCCCTTCGCCCCCAAAAGAATATCTTTGCACACCACACAGCCCTCACATGCTGCTATACCCGACCCAGCCGACAAGCCGATAACAATCAGTTCAGGCGGTGGGGCACCTGCGTCGGTCCCGACTTGCGCTCTCTTCTCTCGGCCGGCTAGTGTCGCTCGACTCGAGGCAAGCGACGCCCTTCCTATCGCACAGAGACCGATCTACTGGATGACGACTCAGTTTGCGCAATACTATCTACGGTGTCATATATTTTTCTTATTAACGTCGAAGGTTACTTGTGAGCAACAAGAATATATCTCGATTGAGAAGACTTTGGTTCTGTCGTGATCTGTCGTTACTGTGCAACAATAAGGCGCAAAAGGCGGTGTTTGAGGACCGGGAGAGAGGTCAGACTCATCCCCCCAAAAACTTTGTTGTGATTGGACACTCCAAGTGCCAGGTGGATTTTGCTTGCGTTATCAGAATCCAAACTGCCAATCGTGATCCGCAAAGCCTGCGCATTTCCATCATTTCCCTCAAGAGTCTCTTGGCTCTGCAACATTACCCCCCTTTCTAGAGTTTCGACTTTAGCCCCCTCATCCTTGATTGTTGAGATCAGCGCGGCAAGCCATCCTTTTTATCTAGAATTCAAAATGAATCCAATTATGCCGTCACGCGCTCGCTTCCTACTTAAACCCCGCCCTCTCCTCTTTTCTCCGGCCCCCGCCCATCATTCTCACTTCAATTTGTCTCCCGTCTATTCTTTACCCTCAAAACGTCCATTATCAAATATGACTACACCGAAATGTGGGGCCCTGGTCGTGGGCGCTGGTCCAGGCGGCACAGCGGTCTTGGGAGGCTTGCTGGAACAGCAGCTAGGCAAGATTGCCTGGGTTGACCCCAGCTTTGAGTCAGGACGAGTTAATAGGAAATACCGAGAAGTTCCTAGGTGGGTAAACCGTCTACACGTAGTTTTAAGGTCTCTCGCAGCGCCACTAATTCAGATATCAACAGCAACACAACGGTAAAACTATTCCAGACCTACAGCACTGTTTGGGAATCGTTTAGAACCGTGGTCGAGAACGCGCCAAAGCCCAATGCATTCACGGTCCTGGACAAGCTGGATCCAAATAAAACCTGTCGTTTGCATTATGCAGCCGATATGGTCCGCGGTCTTACAGATGGCCTTATGAAAAGAGACGATGTTTTGCCTTGTCGTGGATTCGTCACAGCAGCTAGCTTGATTGATAAGGTTCGCACAGACCTAGCGCTATTACATGCATATTTACCCTCAGACGCTTACAATGACATAATTGCAGACACCCGAGGCTCCAAAATGGATGGTCCGTGTCAAGCAAGATGATTCGTCCGACGAGCTCGAGATCGAGGCTTCTCGCATAGTGCTTTGCACTGGCTCCCATCCTACAAAGACTCCTCTTCCTGTTTCGGGATTAGATATCGAAACTTTGGATCTTGATCTCGTTCTTAAGCCTTCTTTGCTTGCAGAGTCTCTTCCATCAGACGAACCCATTACCATCGCCGTTGTAGGCGCCTCTCACAGTGCTATCCTCGCCCTCCTCAACTTCGTTGAACTCGCCAACACTTCTCACCCACAACTACGTGTCAAGTGGTTCACCCGTCATCCTCTCCGCTATGCAGAATACATGGATGGTTGGATCCTGCGTGATAACACTGGTCTCAAGGGCCACGCAGCAGAATTCGCTCGTGCTGAGCTAGAAGATAATAAGCTTGCGACCTCACCTGCGGGTAAAATTATTACCAAGATTGACTGCTCTGGCGGTCCAGAGCGCGAGACTGCTCAATATCATGCTCAGCTCCCTGATTGTTCGTACTTCTGTGCTGCAGTTGGCTTTACCAAAGATCCTCTGCCACATCTGACCAAGGATGGTGCTCCCCTTAACATGGAGTTTGATCATGAGACGGGTCGTTTCCATGAGCGTGGGAGTGACTCAGTAGTGCCTGGCCTATTCGGTGCCGGTATTGCTTTCCCAGAGCGTGTCATCGATCCTTATGGCAATGTCGAGCTTGCAGTCGGCTTCTTCAAGTTTATGAAGTTTCTGAAAAGGGTCATCCCTTCCTGGACCGGTGCTTGAACCAAATAGTTTTGCTCCTAATTTCTATCGCATACTCAGGTCTGCCTGGGTCTTACCGTCATAGTACCCCTTTTGTCTCTTGTTTTTTTTTTTTTTTTTTTTTTGGCGATATTCAGCACATCATTTTGGAGCTTTTGGCGCAGTGGGGTCGTCCGAGGCTCAAGACTAGAATATGCTATCTCTGGTTCATTCTAGATTAGATCTTTTTTCTTTGCTTTATTTCGGTGGGTTTCAATCATTCTACCATGGCACATAAGACAACAAATGAGCATATAGATTCAATTCATGACTGGTTTCATGAAGAAACGGTCTTAACATTTATATCTTTTTGCTTGATCTTACTCATGAGCGTATCATAGCGTGCGATTTGACATTCTAGATCATCAACTTGAAATCATCACGATACATCCAATGGAACCAATCAGGCTATAAAAACGGTGCCATATAGTAACAATTATGATCATGTACGTAAATTGGACATGACTTTGTCCCTCATCACTCGTCGCATCATGTCTACTAAAAGTAGAAACATTCCATCTACCGCAACAACGCAATACCCAAGATTCCAACCAACCCCAAACCCCCAACAGGCTTCACCAAATAACCCGCATTAGAACTAGTACCAGAAGACGTCTGCGTCGCAAATGCATCCGTCCCAGTCGCCGTAGCTCGATACCCACTCTGGCTTGCAACGGCCTTCTCGTCATACCCAGTTGCAGTGACTGTCCATGTTGTGGAAGATTGCGACCAAGTAATCACCGTCCCACTAGGTGGAGCACTCAACGTACCATCAACATTCGTTAACTTTGAAGTACCGTTGGACGGAAACTCGCCAGGCTTATAGAAATTATCAGATGGGTTCACGAAACCGATGTCTTTGCATTTCCCTGTATCGAAGTCGCTGTCACAGGTGTCCCAGACAAAGTTCGGGATTGAGTTATACAAATTTGGATAGTCGGATGGGAAGAAGATGCCCCATAGATCGGCGCCGGCGAGGGTTGGGATGGTATGTGGGCAGACTTCCCATGCACTAGACTCATGTCAGCTTTTCTCTTCATTCTAACTCTCTGCTTTTTTATTTTAGGCGTGGTTGCTCCACTTACGCTGAGATACTTGCACTAGCTCCGCAGCATGCACACTCTGTAGCTGTTTCAGCGATAGAAGCAACATTGTTTCCTATGTCGCTGCCTATATTTGATATATCGCTTAGGCTGCCTGACACTGAGCTTGTCACCGTGTTGACGGTCTGATCTGTCACGTTCAAGATGCAGGAGACTTGTTCTTTGCGCGCGCTTAGTGTGTTCTTGAGTACTTTGCCTAGATCACAGGAGCAGCGACCTGGCGCATTATCCGGAGCAGGCCAGAAGGGAATAGGTTCGATGGCACTAGGACAGATGGAGAAGTACTGCTGAACGAAAAGTTGATATTCGCATGAGTACACCTGTTATAGAAATCCTAGAGTTAGTAGATAGACTTGTAAGACAACCCTTCTCATAGGTTCTTCTAGTGGCAAAGGTTACAAGTAGGTGCTAGTACATCCTCATTTCTCATCAAGTACCAGTAGTCAAACATACCTGATTCCAGCACGAATGTGCCATGCAATTGATATACTCTTGATGAGCGGTACAGCCACAGTCAACACTGCAATCGCCATTCCCATTACATCCATTCACGCATGAGCTCCACTTATCGGCGACATCACGATTACAAGACAAGAAGACCGAGGACGCTGCACAAGCGCTAGCCGTGATGTTAGTCTGCGCGTGCGCTAAATGCGAGAATCCGACAAAAAGCACAGCGGCAAAGGTGATCGACGTGATCGACGGCATGCTGTTTCTTTTTCTGTTTCGTGCCCCTCAATTTGAAAAAGCAAATAATATAATTGGATCCAATTATGAAATTTGCTTTTGTAGATTCGATTCAAAGCCTAAGGCTAGGTCTGGAGTTGTTACACGGAGACTGGTAATTGTACGGAGGACTCGAATGGAATCAGACTTAAGGGATGAAAGCCAGGTTATATACACCTCTTTTTCAAAGGGAATACTACATGAATAGTACGTAAGAATGAATGACAGATATTGAATTATTATTAGATGGTAATACCTGGGAACAGGTTCATCCGGGGCTTATGCACACCGCATCTACCGGGCGGGATTGTCATTGCAGACTGGACTAGTTCAAGCCATCACTGGCACTTCTGCTGGGCATGTCACACGAAGTCCCTCAGAGAAGAAATAGAAAATGATGTGGAATCATCAAGTCCATTGATGGTTGGGTAATGCGGTCTGGTAGTTGTCCAATGTCCAGATTAAAATAGTACATTGTGCATATCTCATATGTGCTCTCCGCGTGTTTACCTATTCCAGGGTTAACAGATCGACTCATCAGATTGAAAATATCTTTTGCTTTCCAGACTTAATCATCCTCACTGTTTAGAACTCGGTTGGGCTCGAATTCCTGTAGCAACATGCAGGGTGTCAATCCCTTGCTGCTGTCAACAAGTGGTGGGTTTTCACCCTACTGGACATATAATAAATTCGGTGAGCCTTGCATGCGCATTGAAGTTTTCGAGTCTTGCGTTTCTAGGCAAGGTAAGTAAGCTGGATTTGATTCTTTGGCCTGTACGAAAGGCTGGTGAGATATTTTATCTCATCATCTGGGGGTCTGCTATACCGTGACCCCGTAGTCGTGTGCTTTGATTACGGCCAGATCGAGCTAGCTCTGAAGCTGATCAGTCGGAGCTGAAACGATGACTTGAAACACCGCATATAGGCAAGGTTGATCCAGATACTATTGAATGTGGCTACGGTCAGGCACCAAGATAGGTTTTGAGTCTCAGGCTGGCTTAGTGTGGTTTGTAGTGGTTCAGTGCTTTTTTTGTCCGCTGTACAGTGTGCGGAGTATAAGTCTGGGGACCGTAGTTTATACTAGAACTGTAAGGGTGGGATGAGAGATCAGATCAGACCAGATCAAATATGCATTACACTGTTTGATTCATGGATTTCATTACAAATAGATATGTCCATATGGGGTAATTTTGCAAGGTTGTTAGAATCACGGCGTAAAGTCGGACCTCGGAGAACCTCCAAGGCTTGAAGCTTCAAGGTTCATAACACGATGGACTGGCCAGGTAGCTCGGTACAGTGTTCACTATCCGTACTCCGTAGTCCGTAAAAAAAAGTCTGAGGCATCCTGGCATCCTGGTAATCTCAAAAATATGTTCATGCACCATATATAAAAGTTCTCCATAATAAATCCTTTTTCTTAACTACTTCCCCTTTAGTTCTAGCGTAGTGGGCATCGCAGTCCACCCACACAAATCGCCCTAGTGTTGTTATCTTACGATCTAATAGGATCAGATTCAAGACTACGCAGATCCACCACATCCCAATCAAGCCATTTCCCCTGAGGCTATTGAACGGAATATGGACACCGTTGTAGTCCCCACTAACAGCGAAGCCAGCCGATCCTCATTCCAAGAGTTGAAATCCGGAATTTGCTCGGCTAATCTGTTTGCCGTATTCGATTTTTTTGGTTTGCCTGTTTTTCTTTTCTTTCATCCTTGATGTATCCTCTTACTAGGGATACACGAACGATATTTGCTTTGGCTGTAACTTACATGATGTGTGTTTTTCTTTTGTCTTATATTGTCTCGGGTAGATACATTTGTTGTTGTTCGTACTCGTTTATCTGTTTATCTGTTTATCTCGTACCGGTAGTGGGCCGATTGAACAGTGTTATCTACCGAGTGAATATCCTACGGTTATTACAAAGGATTAGACCCACACGCTGATCAGCGGAACGGAATTGGGCCCTCTACTCCGAATACAGTAAGAACTACATAGTTGGGGCTGAAGTATCAAGACACGACCGGGGGCCGGAACTGGGAACGGGAAAAAAAAGAAAAAAAAGGGTCCAGGGACTTCAGACTTTTTTGTACATCAACTTCCATAAGGAGAATACATGAAATACATTCGTGAGCCGCTTGATATAGGTAAAATTAGGTAGGCATGAGATATGAACGATGAAAGTAGAAATGTAGAGGGGAAAATGATATCTTAAGAAACCTTGGAACCGAAGTATCGTAAACAGAGGGCCAAGGAAGGGGACGTTAATGTTGACATAGAGGACGGAGAACCAATGCCAGACCGGAGATTATATGGAACCAAATCCATACGGAGACCGAAACGGTTCTGATAATCTTCGAGTACCACAAGAAATGAAAATAGATCACATAGCGCTGTACAAGACCCTACTGTAGGTCATAACCAAAAAGTGATCTGTCGAGATCTTACAGCAGCATAGCGGCACCGGCAGCCACGGCCAGCAAACCACCGGAGACGCGGTTGATACCGGCGGCGTTGGTGGGGACAGCGGTGGAGGAAGAAGAAGCGGAAGCGCTGGTGCTAGACACGGCTGAGCTGGAAGTGGTAGCGATGGGGGTAGCAGAGCTAGAGCCGCTGGTGCTGGAGGTGCTGGAGCTGGAGCTGGAGCTGGTAGAGCTCATGGTGGTCATGGTGGTGGGGGTAGAGCTGGTGGAAGAGCTAGAGGTGGAAGAGCTGCTGCTGGTGGAGCTGGTGGAAGCCTCAGTGCTGCTGGCGGAAGTCGAGCTGGCGGAAGTGGCGGAGGCAGTAGCCGAGGCAGTCTCAGTGGCACCAGCGACAGTGAAGTAAGGCAGGAAGTTGTAGTCATCAGCGTCGGAGTCATCGATGATCTCAATGGAGTACTCGCGGTCCTTCACCAGGTCAGTGGGGACGTCCCAGGTGTAGGAGCCACTGTTGTCAATGCTGGCTGGGAGGTTGTTAGTATGGTGGTACTGATATTGGTGCACATGGTCTAGACTTGTGTTTCCAAGATAATGGGGAAATTAAAATTTCTCTTGGCGTTGAGGGAACGCGGGAAGGAAATGCAGGTACGGGTTATACATACAGGCAATGGCATCACCGGACTCGGCGGTGGTCACGGAGCCCCACTGCAGACGCAGGGAGACAGTGCCGCTGGTGCTAGGGTCCCAGGACAGAGTGGTGGAATCACCAGCAGTGAAGACGTAGCCACCCTTGGGGTTGTTGAAGGCGTTAGCCTCACTTCCGGCGGAGACGAGAGCCGAGAAGGCAGCAGCAGCGATGATAGCGGAACGCATGGTGATTATAGATGCGATTAAAGAATATGAATTGGTATGAAAATATAAAAGGTTGGAAGGTTGAAGTGGTGGGAGGAATAAAAAAGACCGTGGGTTATATATAGATAATAATTCTCTGCGGAATGGGAATTCAAAGGAGTGAATACGCAGAAGCGAACGAATGGATGGCAAAAAAGAAAAGGGTAAAAAGAAGCTAAAGAGGAGCGGAGGTTCTCCCCGGGTTCTTATAAAAAGAGCGAGAGAGATCAAATCCCCCAAATACACCAAGAGTCCATGGTCGCGCTCTCAGCCTGAGAGGGACTAGTACATGGCACACGGACTGAATGGACAAATAACAAGGCCCGGACAAGAGTAGGGGTAATGGGGCTAGCAACAAGCCATAAATCCCGCTCGTGGCGGCGATCCACGAGGACTAGTTGGATTGGTTCAAGGCTGGTAATTTGGACAACACTTGGTGCTGATTCCCACCAGTGACCATCCTCGCTTCCAGTACCTTAAATGACAACTCCACTGGATCTTCTGTTCTGGGCTTAGTGAAAGTCTGTCGATAGCAGAGATGCACTTCCTGGGTCTCGTGGCCCCCACAACCCTGGAGCCCTGGAGCCTTGAGCTGGTTTTTTTTTTCCCTGTTATGATTTACTATCACAAGATAATTACACGCTTGATTCTTTAGTGAATTTAGTGAATTTAATTAATTTAGGGCTGTTCGAACTTTGGTCCATTTATCCTGACTTGGTACATCCAGACATAGCCTCGCAAGGGTATCTAGGTGTACGGGTTCACCGGACTCCCCTAGCTTTTATTTCGTATTTATTTTATTTTACTTTATTTTCCCTTCTGATATGTATTTCATTTTCAAGGTTTACACAGAGAGGGGTGGAAATGAGGATGCGCGTGTTGATCATCTTCCAGGCACCACGCGACGGACATCGGGTTCAAAATCCGACTACGGAGTATGTGGACCTGTCCTAAATACTGGTGATTTGCTTAATTCTACGCCTTCAATCTGGATTGATTTGATTTTGCAATTGTGGAAGATTTGATTTTGTATTATTATTTTGGGACTCAATAAATAGATTTATATTTTACCATTCAAATTTGGTTTGTCAGTGCGGAACTCCCGGGCATACGTATGCTGTGCCTCTTAGCGGCTAAGAAGGGGCCGATTGCGGGGCGTCATTGGCTTGACTGTTCGCTTCCAGCATCCCATGTTGCCCCAACCAGCTAATCACCTCCATCGCTCGCTTATCCTCTTCGGTCTTTTGTTGCTCAATTAACTATATAGATAAGATAGATGTTAGTATAAAATAATACCAAAGATAAAAAATAACTTCTACCCCATGTATAATTATGTCATTATATCATGGTCCTAAATTTGGGTTGATTTAGGATCAGAAGGAGGGGGCAAGGGAGAGACGGGTATAGAGACAAAATGAATCAAAGAAACTCATAGAAAGTCAAAAGAAAAACAAGAGGGGGTGGGGGGGCAGAAAAAAACCTACAGCTTGGAAAAGTCCCTTACGCCCCTTCTTCTCAATAGCAGGAGGTGGAGGCTTGGACTTGGCTCCTCGCTCGGTAACTTCATGGCTGAATTTACACTTGTCGCCACGATTGCACTGCCCGTTGCGAGCAAAGTGCCGGCAAACAGTCTTCTTACCCTCGCGAGGTGGCGGGGCCACCCTTTCGGGTCCCTCCCGCCGAGAACTTACCTCCTCTGGGGCAGAACCATCACTACCAGAGTCCGATTCTGATTCCGAACCACTGGAGGAAGTCCAGTCACTTTCGGAGCCATCGGACATAGTGTCCATAGCATCCTTCAAGCCATTTGGCGCCACAGACGCCACAGTAATGTCTCCCATGCCAGAATTAGTAACCGAAAAAGACGCTGGGTCCCTCGGTACGTCCGTGACACCTGCCATCACGAGGTCATCTCCTCGATCTAATGAGGCTGAAAGTTCAGCTGGAGGTTGAGTAGGTACACCATCACCATCACCATCCCCATTCGGCTCATCATCCTTTAGTCCCAACACTTGTTTTTGAAGCGCCTGAACCTTAAGACGAGCGGCTTCAGCCTCAGCTTCAGCTTTGGCAAAGCGCTTCTGTTCTCGGTCCAAGGTACGCCGGATCTTATCCGCTTTGCGCTGGGCCTTTATAGCCGCATCAAGAGCTGGATCGCCGTGGGCCTGTGAGTCGCTAAGCTTTGGCCCAGGTTCGGTAAAGGCTTTCTGTTTTTCTTTCTCGTCATTTTTCTCTTTCTCTTTCTCCCGGCGGACTGCCTCTCGAGCGGCTTTAGCCTCTTCCGCCGCCGATTTCTTCTCGTCAATTCGGGCTTGAGTGGGGAACTTTTTCCTTCTTTCTTCAATCCAGGAAGCAATGTCCGAAGCAGATTGTAGAACGGCTGTGCGTCCTCTATAGGTAAATTGCAGTGGACCATTATCTGTGCCCGCTGCCAACTTTACTTCTTCATCCACATCCTCCTCTTCTTCACTAGATTCATGTTCTTCGGTTTTGGGGGTCAAGCCTAGCTGGTTATGCTTTCGCTTCCTTTTCTTCGGTTTGCGAGAGGCATCTGCAGCCGGGGGTGGTTTGCAGGGCAGAGGGTTTCCGAAACTGGGGACTGAAGGTGCTGCTGGGACCTTGGGTGCTGTGGACGTTGGCTTATTGAATGCAGATCCATGATCCCTCTTATTAGGGTGCCGTGGCTTCGATCCATGATTTCCATGAGGGTGGGAGCCTCGGTGTCCGCGTCCTGCGTGTCCATGTTGTCCATGTCCCTGCCCATACCCAGACGGGGGCGCGTACGATGAATGCGCCTCTGCGGTCCAGTACATAGAGTCCATGATCACGCCATTATTTGCCGGTGCAGAATGTTGGGGGTTGGGAACTTGAGGTGGGGGGTATGCTGGTGCAGTTTGTGTAGTGTAGGGTGTAGGGTGTGCAAGGTTCGTTGGACCATTGTAACCAGGTAGTGGTTGGAAGGATGCCGAGCCAGCGGGCTGAGAGAAAGGTTGCGTAGAAGGGTAAGCAGGAGGGTTCGGAGAGGGCTGATAGTTCGTTTGCGAGTGCGTATAAGGTGAGGGAGTCATGTACGACGTTGCAGGTATGGGTTGAGCGGGAAAGCCAAAATTTCCTGGTGTAGAATTGTAACCGGACAAATTTTGGTATGGGGGTCTACTGGTATCTGAATAGTGACCTCCTCTGCCTCGGTTTCCATGTCCTCGACCTCGACCACGGCTACCTCCAGCTCCCCGTCCAGACCAGTGTCCGTTCCCATGCTGCGCAGAGTAGCCCGAATGTTGTTGCTGGGACACAGGCGGAGGAGGTGGAGGTGGAGGGAAAGAAAAGCCCTGGGCACTCATGGTTTCCTCCCTCAGAGAGGTGCCAGGCGGGGCCTAAGGACCATAATAATAATTAAGAAAATTAGAAAGGACAAAAGATCAGAACAAAAAATTAGACAAGCAAAGTTACTAAACCGCCTCCGGCATGAAGTTTTCAAGCTTGACTTTCTGACAGTTGAAGTCACGTGCGATACCGATCCGCTGCATTGATTGGTGCAAATCTGACAGGCTTTTTGATTCACAGAGAACCACTTCAAAATCACCTCGAACTTCCAGGAAAAGGGCCCAGGAGGTTGTAAATTGGTGTTTCTCTGTATCCAGCCCTTCCGATTCACTTCCCGCTACTTCCTTTCCGCCCATAATGTTCATTTTAGTATGTGTCCCTTCCATGGCTCGCAACAAGAAGCTATCCTAACTAACTGCTGCAGACTACCATCTCCGATCTGATCCAGATTGCGCCCCAGGACTTCTCCAAGTTCAGTGCGGTAGCGATAGAGGACAACATTAATGAAAAATATGCCAATAAAGTATGCGCATGCTTGATAGCCATATTTCTTCCTGAATGTTCTCGCTAACAAACATCCCACCAGGTAATCCAAAAGATTGGCCTTTGCATCAGCTTTTATGATTTGCTTGAATCTTCAGATGGTCTGATTGGTCATGGGACTGGTCTTGTCAATGTTAATGGTTCGTCTTGATCTCTGAGTCAATCTCAAATCGAAACTCAAACACTAAGTTCTTATACTAGTCAAATTCCGGATAATCGTGTTTCGTCCGTTCAAGGGTGAGATCATGCTGGGTAAGATTGCCAGTGGTACTGAGCTCGGAATCAAAAGTACGTACTTTTTAACATCCAGAATTTCGTCAGACATCCAATATTAACTTTATACAGTTGGGGTAGAATTCTTCAACGACATCCTCATCCCACCTGAGCTGCTTCTTCCCGGCGCAAAATTGTGAGCTCCCCATCCAAGTGTACTCTAAGCACTTATCCAAAAATCGATATGCTAACAAGAATGACAGTGACTACTCGGACCAAGTTTGGACTTGGGATAATGACGACGGCACCACATTGTACTTTGATGTGGGAGAACTTGTCCGCTTCCGTGTCGAGGTAGAAGAATGGCACGATCAGATCCCCAATGGACCGGACAATGACCAGACTGTCACAGAACGAAAGGCCCCCTACTCGATCATCGTACGTTATCCGCCCTGCTTTCTATGGATATGTTGCTGACTAGTTCTCTTAGGGATCGATGCAAATGGGTGGCCTGGGTCCGATTACTTGGTGGTGACCTAAATCAAAAGTTTGCGCTGACGCTTTTTTCCTATTCCATACTCAGATCAGATACCCGTGCCGACTGGTACATAGACCATTCAAAATTTATCATATTCAAAGCGGTTCGTTTGTTGTCTCGGTGGCCGAAATGGCCCATAAGCTTGTAAGCGCCAACCAGCGGCATAATTAAAGGCACGGTTGCAATTTATAGAGTAGACTGCCTTAGCTGTCTAGATACCTATGCATACTGTAGATCACCACCTGGGCGATATTGTACACAGAAGCTCTACATGGATAGTATGTAGTTCATTATATATTACCGGCTGTCATTGACAGAACATCCCTATACAGTAGGTAGTAGATTATCCGTCATTTACTTAAATTGCCGGCGAAAGGATCTATGTGCCCCTCCGGGGTGTAAGTGACTAGTGTGCGGGGATTCTCCTTAAATGAAAGTACGGAGTCCGAGCCTAATCCGGCGGGGCCTCTTTCCCTTGATCATCCTGGGATCGGCGAGATCTTAACGACATTGACGGAACACATGAGGTCAAATACACCGTCAGTTGCGCCATCACTCCGATCGCTCCGATCAGTCGGGATAATCCACGTTTTCTCCGAAAACAAACGGCGGCTCCATCCGGCAAATTGGTCAAAAGTGGAGCCTGAAGAGTTAACTCGGCCACTCATCGCACGTCAATCCATCGCCCTATGCCCCAGAACGCCGCAGACAACGTAAAAGAAACTAAGGTTTGGAGTTTTTCCTCCCATTTTTCACTGTTTTTGACTGGTTTGGTGATATATAATATTTATTTATTATAACCTTGGTCGCCTCTCCCTTGTTTATCTTGACCCTTACAGTCATCAATCCTGGAACCTTCTGCTTGATAATCAATCTTTTTTTTCTTTTCTCAACTCCGAGGATTCCAAAAGCGGCGGTCTACCCTTCTCGTATTTAATCACATCATATCCTTACGCCTCCTCTCCCTTCTTCTACTTCCTTTCTTTCAACCTCTCAACTACCTATATTCACAATGGGATCTATCGAGAACGGTCACACTGCCGAGCGCCGGTTCGGAACTCTCGCAGTTCATGCCGGTGCTCATCACGACCCCACCACTGGTGCTGTTATTGCTCCGGTATGTTGAATTGGTTGCTCTTTGATACAGATCACCAACTAACAGTCATAGATTTCTCTGTCTACCACATATGCTCAGACCAGTGTCGGCAGCCCCGTCGGTCAGTATGAGTACACTCGCAGCTCAAATCCCAACCGGTCAGTCCCATTTTAACTCCGCAATTATCGCGCCGTACTAACGTTTGACATCTAGTGACAATTTCGAGGAGGCAATTGCTGCTTTGGAGCACGCCAAATATGCGCTTGCTTTCTCCTCCGGTTCGGCCACCACTGCGGTCGTTCTGCAGTCCCTGGCTGCTGGTTCCCACGTAGTCTCAGTCTCTGACGTCTATGGCGGTACCCACCGCTACTTCACTAAGGTCGCCAACACCCAAGGCGTTGAGGTGACCTTCACTCCTACTATCCAGGATGATCTGGAGAAATTGATTCGTCCCGAGACTAAGCTCATCTGGGTTGAGACCCCCTCTAACCCCACTCTGGGTCTCGTTAACATTCGTGCTGTGGCTGATATCGCCCACCGCCATGGTGTCCTGGTTGTCGTCGACAACACTTTCATGAGCCCCTACGTCCAGAACCCAATTACACACGGTGCCGATATCGTTGTGCACTCCGTCACCAAGTACATCAACGGTCACTCTGATGTGCTGATGGGTGTTGCTGCTTTCAACTCCGACGCCCTAAAGGAGCGTCTCGGTTTCCTACAAAATGCCATCGGCGCTGTTCCCTCCGCATTTGACTGCTGGCTCGCTCACCGTGGTCTCAAGACCCTTCATCTGCGTGCTCGTGAGGCTTCCAAGAACGCCACCGTCGTTGCTCAGATCCTCGAGGCTTCTCCTAATGTCATCTCCGTCAACTACCCCGGCCTTGATTCTCACCCCCAGCGTACCATTGCTCTCAAGCAGCACCGCGACGGTATGGGTGGCGGCATGCTGAGCTTCCGTATCAAGGGCGGCAAGGCTGCCGCCCATGACTTTTGCCAGCACACCAAGATTTTCACGCTGGCTGAGAGTCTGGGCGGTGTTGAGAGTCTCTGCGAGGTGCCTGCTAGCATGACCCACGCCGGTATTCCCAAGGAAGACCGTGAGATTGCTGGCGTCTACGATGACCTTGTGCGCATGAGCTGTGGTGTTGAGGATGCCGAGGATCTCAAGGCCGATGTCCTTCAGGCTCTTGAATTGGCTGTTGCTACTTCCAAGGCTTAGAGACGCATTTGGCCTTTTATTTTGGAACATTTAGCATATGGCATGACTTTTGCATCATCATGAAATTAGATGATAGACGATTTTCCTTTTTCCTGTCCTTGTGTTGCACTTGGCTATTTGGAGTGGTTACTTTAATGGCTCTTTATGTGGCAATTTTCTCTTTTATCTCTCTGAGCTATCAATCATCTAGATATCAATCACATATGACGAATACTAGCCATCTTTCGAATTCACAAGCAAGCAACTTCTCTTTTGACAATTACCATTCCATATTCACTCGCATACTAGCTAGTCCCTTCTCATTTCCACAGATTGATCACCACTCGCACCAGGTCTTCTTAACTCTCAAATCATCCTGGACCTCCGTCGCGGTTGATGACCGTACATCATCTGGTATCTCAAGCATTGATTCATCTTCTCCAGCTTCCTTCTCGTTTTCTGCATAAACCTCATAGTCAAACTCCCCAGAATCCACACTTGGATCCCGGCTATCTCCCCGTCCTCCTTCTGAAGTAGGCAGCCAACTCACATCATCTCCTACACCTTGATCCTCTAGAATGTTCAATCTCTCAAGAAGATCATGTATTTGGGTCTCGATGAACGGGATAGAATTTATCTTGTTCTCCATGACCTCAATGTTCCGGTTGCACTCAACCAGCCGCTGATTGAATCCATGGCACAGACTCTCAAGATAGCTTAATGTGCCCAAGACGTTTGAGTCAGTCTCTTTTTTGGGAGCTTCAGCATTGAGCCTAAGGACGAGATCATCGAATCTTGCATCAAGAGCATCAAATTGCTGTTTCATGAAACGATGACACAAATTCGAAGACGTATTGTCATTCACCGAGAGTCTTTCTGCTGAACGTATATCTTCAAGGATGTCCTCAACTTTGTCCTTGAATTCCGCAAATCTTCCATCTCTCGCGTTCTCTGAGTCCCCCCAATTCGTACGGTCTGCCATTGCAAGTTATGGAACGAAGTATGTATATATGCCTTGTCAGGTAGTGTCTGTGTGAAGGAAAAGTTTGCTAAAAGAACGTATGATGGCGAAGGGGAAATTTTTCACAAAGTAAAATATAACACTGGTTACCCACCCAATCCATCCAAAGTCGATGACACTAAATTTACAACGTCGAACAATATGATTCCATGGATCTTGTACACCTAACTTTAAAGTTAGCTCTATGTATACATAGTTCAAGCAGGCGGGGCATTGATTAGTCATGCGCGGCGACCCACCTTTAAGCGCTCTGCACTGCAATTTTTGGTATGCTTCAATGGCAAAATTCGAGAAACCCATGAATACAGGCGAATACCCCCCGAATTGAGACTGGACGTGAAAAAACACTGTCGCAGTCATCCGTCATAATAGCTATTAGCAGCTGTAACTTAGGACCCAGCGCCAAAACACAAAGTGGACTTTGCAGACTTTGGCGATCAAGCACTCTACATTTGGACCGATAACAGTCATGGCGTTCAGTTTTGGCTTCTCTGGTGATGATATCGACATCGATGACTCTGAGATTAATAATGATGCCCAAGATGTGTTTGTGCCCAATGGAAAGACCAATTCGCTCCCTGAGTTGGTAAAGGCCTCCAAACATAATATGGACGAATGGGTGAGTCTGAACAAAATACATTTTTCTCTCTCGTTATTTGCAAATGTTTCTTATTGCCTTGTCTTTATCTTGAAATGTCCATATATTGCTGTTGCTGTTTTATTTCTCGTATACTCTAATGCATTGATTCTAATCAATCGCAGCTTTCGATTCTTCCATCGCAAATATTCTACAACCGGCTCGCCATCGCTGGTACACCTATTACCGTTGGGCGCCGAGAAGTCATCGACATTCGCACGCAGTTAATGGCAGAAGATACTGCAGACCATGAAAATGAGGAATTGATCGCTGGCATCGAAGAAGGCGATCTCAAACCAAACTTTTATGAGGGCGGTTTTAAAACATGGGAATGTTCCCTGGACTTGGCTAAGCTCGTGGCTAGCGAGAATACCATCACCGAATCAATGGGAGTCTCGCAGACAAATAATCACATCATTGAGGTTCGTTGGATCCATTCCATTCTGATGAAACCTGAAGCCTCGTAAAGATCTCGAATCTGACATATAATTATAGTTGGGAGCAGGCACTGCAGTGCCATCATTGACTCTGTTCGCTCATATTCTCCGTCAAACGGAGTCGGTTGAGGGGACAGAACCTTCCCAAAGGATTCTTTTCACCTTTGCAGACTATAACGATGCTGTGCTGAGACTTGTCACGCTGCCAAACCTCCTGTTGACTTGGCATATCAATCGTCAGCAGGCGGTGGCAGAGGCAGATCAGGATCCCACTCAAGTTCCGCAAGAAGAAGAACTTGATATCACGCCCGAGTTAATTAGCGAGTTTAAAGCTGATTTGACCCGACGCGGTATCACACTCGACTTTATCTCGGGTGCCTGGTCGCCCGAATTCGTTGAGATGGTTTTCTCTGCTAGAGATACCGGCGATGTTAAGACTTTGCTGCTTGCGAGTGAAACTATCTATTCCCCTTCGTCATTGAGGGCGTTCTCCGAAACGCTACTTCAGTTGGTACGTCGCTCTAGTACGCCGGCATCAAAGAGCCGGGCCATGATTGCTGCCAAAAAGGTCTATTTTGGCGTTGGAGGTGGCGTGGACGAGTTTCTCGCTGTATTGCAGGATGTCGCGGCGAACGAATTAGAAGTTCAGCAGAGAGTGGATGTGCAGTCGGAGGGTGTTGGCAGGGTGGTTTTAGAGGTCACCCCCACAGCCAATTGATACCAATTGGGCAGACAATGTAGTTATCAACCAAAATATATCCAATACAAGCTTTTACTGTTAGGTCCATGCAGAGCTTTTTGTCTTAAACAAATGGAAATTCAAATGATCAGGTGCCGGATAAACTTCCCAGTCCCAACATACGGTATATGTACATGTTTTGCTCCTCCCAACGTATGCATGTCTAGTAAAGACTGCAGACTAACAAATAAGAATAAATATTGTTCTTCAGATAGCCTCGTCGTAAAGAGAAACGACCTTTCCATCCTTCATACGAGCAACACGAACCGCCTCCTTCTCCGCATTCACCTTCTCGTAGTGGGCCACAACCTTGCTGAGGTCGGCTTGCGAACCGGGAGAAATGTTGTAAGGAGAGCCACCGTTCATGAGACTACCATAGACGTTAGTACCTACTGCCATTCCAGGACATAAAAAAGGGCATTTCCACATACTCGGGCTGCATTAACTCGTAGGCCTCGCGGGGTCCTTGACTCTGGAGCAGGTGGCGGTCCTCGGCGGCCTTCTCAAGAATAGCAGTGTGAATGGCATTGCGCTGCTCAAGTACCTCTGAGGGAGTGGTGTACTTGTTGATCAGGCTGGCGATCCAGGACTCGGAACCAGATTCCTGGGAGGACTTGCTGATGCGGTAGAGGATGTAGGCGGAGGCGAAACTGCCAATGGTAACGTAGAAACTGCGCTATTGAGTGTGCGATACACGTTAGCAAAGAATACTCGTGCAATTGGGTGGTGCGAAGATCTCGTCGAATCTCCGAGTTCGACCGGCGGGGGTTGAAGGAGCTTACGCCGAAGCTTTCGTTCACGGGTTCAGCGTGGGCGTGGGAGGAACCGAAGCGACGGGGTGGCTGCGAGCGCAGCACCTGCCGCGATGAGACAGCACAGCATCTGGCGGCGAACATGGCTGAAGTACAATGAACAAAACGTCGGTTGGTGATGACCCTTTCGGCATCCGTGATAGGATGAAGTTGCGCGAACAGACGAGGTCATGTGACACCTGCCATATTGGAACTAGCGTCTTGCCTCACTTCGGTCACTTCAATCTGCTGACTTCATCAAGGTGAACAACATCAGATCTGGACATCATCCAACCTCACTTGCTTACTATTTTCAGCAGACTACATGAATTCCCATTCCTTGAACCCTGGAAAGTGCGGAGACCATGCAGCCAATGCATGGGCATGAAGGGCTAGGGGGGAAATATCCAGGATTTACCGGGGTTGTGTGGCTGCAAAATGGATTGCCTCATTTTTTTATTCAATTTTGGCCCTTTTCTACATTTGAAAACCTAACATCCAGGAAGTGGATCCTGGATAGATGCCAAATCTCCCTAGTCCATTCCGTTACACTTTGGACTTACCTGAATGATACCTAACGCACAAGCAAGTGTCTGGCTATCAATCGAACAAGTCAGCTTTTCGGGCCCACTGTGCCCTATAGTTTCAATCCTCGCCCGAACCGGGTTGATGCCCAATTGCCTTCATGGCGCTCTACAATTGGGTCTCGCTTCGGTTGAATATTGAATATTCTGTCCTTGGTAGTGCGTTTTTTCTGGAATATGGATTCGCTCATCATTGTAGTGCTAACTGTACATTCAAAATGTTGTCAACCCGGTCGGCCTTGATGGGTACTAATCCCCACTAAGGTTCGGTCCGCCATGCGACACTGGAGTTTTGCGAGTTTGGATTCGTCGTCTTTTCTTTTTCTCTTTTTCTCTCTTTCTCGTTTATATATATTCTTGTGATACTTTCGGTATTGGTACTTTCTTCCTTAATTCAATTGCCTTGATTTTTTTCCCCAATAATTTTCCCAAACTATCGAATCCTAGGATCAACCCCGTGAGTGGACTAAGTGGACTACACTCCATCCCGCTAGACATTGCGATTTGGACTTACCTAAATTGTCTACGGGCAGCCTTGACTTCGTGTATCGCACTCATTTGTGCCCACTTGTCGTGTGCTATTGATTCTCTGCCCGATTATCATCCTACGCGCCTTGATACCATACACCGCACTCTGGGCCCCAATTTATTTTCCCTTCTGTGTGCGGTCTTTTTGGGCTATATCTTGAGCCACAAGGCACCTTGCAAATGTACAGTGCAGAGAAGCCCCCATGAATCACCAAAGCTGGATCTATACTCATCGCATCTTATTATCCTCGCCTTGGAAACAGACTTTCTATTGGAAACACGTCTAATCAGCCCACCACTAAAACAGAAAACTTGGGCACGCATCACTCTACCACAATGGGAGCTGGTGGCAAGAAGGCGAAAGCCAAAGACAAGAGTAGCAAGGCTGCTGCAAAGCAGAAAATTAAAAAGCCAAAGGGCCCAGAGACCACAGAGACTCCAGAGACTACAGAAATTACAAAGCAGCAGACCACAGTTGAATCTTCTATGCCCGGTAGCCCAAACCTGGTAGTACAAGATCAAGATCCTGTCGGCCAATATCTGGAACTAGAGTTTGAACAACCGTCTGAGCCACTACCTGACCTGCCCTCTGAACAACAATTGGAGCAACTTTCAGCATCTGTCGAATCAATCAAGTCAAACATAGAAGACTATCTAGATACAGAAGATACAGAAACACCCGGCGATGCAGAGCCTACTGTCAGACAACCACTTGACCCTGAGACAGACCAACAACCTCCCGTGAAGGACGACGATATTTCTGTGATTGCATTATCTGTATCAAATAACGAATATATCGACGCCCAAGAGCCTGCTATAGAGGCCGAGGAGAAAAGTCCACCCAAAGAAGAGAGCGAGCCTCTTGAGGAGCACTTTGAGCCTGGTGAGAAAACACCCATCGCCACCACTCCGACTCCAGCTGCTTCGCTTCCCTCATACTCTCCAGCCTTGGTACCCTTACCGTCGCCTTCTCTAACTGAGGCACGGTATATGCAAAGTGCTTCGCCCGTGAACAACTACTATTATCCCGGATCACCAGCCTATATCCCTTACGCCTCACCGTACACATCTCCCTACGCCTCACCGTACGCTTCACCGTACGCTTCACCTTACGCCTCGCCGGTACCCAAAGTGAGCAGCCCTCTTGCTCGTTCACATTACCCATATATGCCTCCAGTCATGTCTCCCACCGCAACCCCTCCACCACCTCCTGTTCCAGCACCTCCAAGGGCCCCTATGCCTCAAATGCCTTCAATGGCCCCACCACCACCTGCACCCCCTTCCACTACTCAAAGCTTTGCAACGGCCGTTCGCTCCCCTGCCATGAGCTCAGTGGGTATGGCTCCTCCCTATAACCAGCCACCATATCCCTACTACCCTCCCGATGGCCACTCTATGCAGAGAAGCTACAGTATCGCCGAATCATCACCATATGCTGCATCGTTTCAAGCTATTCGTGATATGGGGTTCGGCAATAGCCAACCACGCGAGAATGGCAACCCTTCTCCTCCAGATAGTGAGGCGGAGCACGCAGAACTACTGCACCGAATCCAAACTGCCATTCCTGACATCAATCGCCTTCTTCACGGGTTTAAAAACACCCACAGCAAACTCTCCAATCGGGAGGCCGAAATGAAGCAGATCGGGAACCAGCATGAGCAGGCGTTATTGCACAAGGACTTCTATATCGAAGCGCTTCAGTCACAGATGAAGAAGACGGCCACTGAAAGTGCCGAAGAATGCGCAAAGCTGAAGAACACCATCAATGAGCTGCGAATGGAGCTTGGAAATTTGCAAGAAAAGCAGAAAGACCTCGAGGATGGTTTGGCCGTTCACCAAAAGTCAAACGAAGAACTTTCGCAGTCGAAATCTAACCTTGAATCGGAGATCTCTAAACTCAACACAACTATTCAGGAGACTCAGGATGCACATGAGAAAGAGAAGGAGGAGCAGAATGAGTCTCATACCACTGCGCTCACGACTCAGAAGCAAGAGCTTACTGAGTTGTTCGAAGAGATCAGGGGTGAAGACGAGAAGACAGCCAACGAGGCATTGGAAACGCGTGAGAAGGAACTACGTGATCAACACGATACCCACAAGGGAGAGTGGGAGGCCGAGAAAGGGCAGCTACATGGGTCACTTGAGATTCATCGCACTGATCTTGAAACCAGTAAAGCTGAGCTGGCGTCAAAGATCACTGAACTGGAGTCCAAGGAAACCGAGCTGCAGAGCAAGTTGGGTGAACTCACCTCGGTACGCGACGAGGTAGCCGCCAAATTGACTGAACTGGAATCGAAAGAGAAGGAACTGGAGGAAACACGCGCAAAGAATGCCGAGAACTTGGAAACGATTCAGAAAGATCACGCCGGTGAACTGGACAATCTACGCAACACACATGCAGATGAGTTGTCGGCTGCAGCAAAGGAATTAGATGACAGGATTGCCGCAATCGAAGCTCACTTCAGCGAGAAGGAGCAGGTCTGGTTTAAAGAGCGGGCTGAATTGGAGAAGTTGCTTGCAGAGAAAGATGATGATATTGAGAGCTCGGAACGAGAGAAGGAGAGACTGGAAGGAGATGGTCTGGTCAAGGAACAGCAACTCCAGCGAGCAGTTGAGGAAATGCGATCCACCATTGACCATTTGGATGGTGACTGCGACCGTTTGAGAAAGACGCTGCACAGCCTTGGTGAAGCCACCGATCTCAAGACTACCAAGGGCGACCAGTTCTTGTAAGTGAGCCTACTGCCTCTACGATTCTATGAACCTCTTCTTTGCTTTTGATTGTTTTTTTGATTGTTTTTTTTTCACCTTATGCTCTATGATGATGAAATCTTCATGTCTCTCATTGTATCTTTTTTGCAATTTCTTTTGTTTTTAATTTTGTTGAGACCAACTCTATACTTTCTTTCTTTCATTATTTTTCTATAGAACCTCATGTTGATAACGAACCGTCATAAAATGTACATGATTCTAATAAACATTTCGATATTCTAGTCTTGACTGTTTCACCCACCTATCGCAACTGATTCACGATCTCTCCAAGCAACACTTCGGTTACCTGCCCATTGACCCGCCCAAGGATATTCTCTCCAAGATCCCCGCCGAACTCCCATCGTTCCTCGACAACACTACCGCATCCCGTGAGCTCCGCTGCGCCTACGTCGAGCACGTTATATCCAAAACTTTGACCTACCGCGTTTTCCAGCCTTTCCTATTCACTCTCGGCCGCCGATACGATAAAGCCGACACATTCTTCCAAATGCTCTCCATGGATATTCGTCGGAAATCCGTCCGCCGTGAGGCATTCTGGCGCCAGCAGACTCTCAAAGCAGCCTACACCACCTCCGACGCAAAGCAGTCTATCAATGTTGCTGCCGCTGTGATCGTTGACGAGATAGTCGATCACATCAAGCATTTTGCTGATCCAAAGCACCTTGATTCCCTTCTGACAGGCGTTCGCAAGATCGTAAAACTAGCCGCTGAGACCTGGCGCCATGCTCGCGTCGAGAGAGAGCTTGTTCTAGCCTCATTCCCTGCCCCGGACGCTGAAGGCATCACAAATGACGGATGGGAAGAGTACGGCGTCCCCAATGAACAGAATCCAGGACCGAAGGGCGAATCTGCGCGTCATGTCGTCCTTCGTACTTTCCCTGGTATCTTGCGCGAGGCTGCTCATGAGGACTTTGCAAGTGGAGAACGAGCTAGTACTTGCATTTACTCTAATGGTGTGCTCCTCTACTCGGACTCTCCTGTTGTCATGGCGCGATTGCAGGAGTTAGCGAAGAACTCCACTGAGACCTTGGTCGCTGCCGATGAAGGGCAGTTGTCGCTGCCCAAGACCCCTCGAACTTCTAATGAGAGCTTGACATTGAAGGGTCTTGAGAAGTTGGCTACTATTACTGTTCAGTCGGCGCCTACTAGTCCTACTACGAAGGGACCACTCTTGAGGGCATAGATAGATTTATCTATGCTAGTATTTCACCCTCTTATCTCATCCCATGTTTAGGTGTGCATACGCTCATTATATTTTCCTTTGTTTTGAAGTTTTTCTAGCATGTTTTTATTTGCAGTTTCTTTTCTTTTCTTGTTCTTCTTTTTTGTGATATCAATTAATGAACTTTGATGTATGATCTAGGACAATGTATTGAGCGATTCAAATGTTTGGAGCAATGATGGTGTTCAAGTTGGGCATGTATAAGCGTGATGACATAGTATATATATACTGAGAATGGCATTGTTTTTGATTACTAGTATAACCTGGACCCATTGAATAATTTTGACTAACATCGATTTGATTCATTGATTTAATTCATAAATTAAAATCTTCACTAATATTCACCATATTCTAACTAAGCCCCCAGCCCCCAGTACTAGTATGAGTTCCTTCCACTTTCTAGTTCGCGGGACTTTTGACGGCAATTCATAAAATATCAAAGTACCTCGGGGAAATCAGGAAATGGAAAGAACACGGATTCTGTGCAAAATCAAAACAATCAAGTACTAGTATGTGGACTCAGCAGGACCCAATATATACTATAGGCGGGGAAAATAAGTGACTGCTGCCTGAGGCATGTAGCCCTAGTAGCCAAAAGATTCGTGACAGAAGATTCCATGGTTGTTGAATATAAGTGAAAGGTACGTGTAAACCTTAGAATGGGGAACATGAGGTTAGTTGCCCAGGTGAGATATATCTAGTCTACGTACCTAGGTTGTTCTTCGCCGAGTCCGGGGCATTGACCCTCCAGATGTCATTTCCAGGGCCCACGGTTCAGAAAAGGGGGGTATCCTATGGGTGGGGCCTCTTATTCAATTTGTGGTATAAAGTGGTTCTTTTGACATTGAATTTATTTTAAGACCAACAGGGTTTTTCATATCTCTGCAGAATAGTTAACTCAAGTGCATTATAGTCTGAAAAATACGGGACCTTGGGGGCTAAAGGGATAAGAATAGAAAGCCCAGGAATTGGGGGGCTGCAATGCCTCCCATTACCTGCAGCACACCTCTAGGGTTGGGAAATGAGAAGAATGCCTTGTCTTGAGCTAGAGAAAATCCTTTCGTCATCATACATAGAACTCGAACCTGGTTACCAACCCTAAAAGAGGCACAGAGTAAATCTATCACAAAATGATAGGCATTTAGAGCATCTTGAACGGCAAGAACAGAATGTGACGATGGGATCTGCCAAGCCATGCACCGGCGCTAAGTGAGGCTCATCTCAGCGGAGCCAACTCACAAGGCTGACCCCCCCCTCTTCTTCAAATGTTCTCTTCGTTTCTAATCTTAAACTCCACCTCGTTGGGCTTCTCGCCTATGTCACTTTTTTGGTTTTTTTTTTCTGTGCTCACTGAGAACTTCATATTCCCCATTCTTACTCTCCAAGACGCTTCGTCGCTTAGCTTCCCAGTTCCGCAAAGTCAGCCCCCACCTTGGATCTGTCCGCATTGTCACTCCCCAGTCCGATTCCATTTAATTCCAGCGCTGCGGCACTGAGCCTGTCAGCAGCCTTTTTTTACCCTTGGCCTCCACTATCTTAAGCAAGAATAAACATCAAAATCAAGGTTTCGAGTTTCGGCACGCCCGATGACAGCCAATCTATATCATAAAACCGCCAACCTCACACCAAACAGTCTCATTTCATTCAATGATTTCCCCTCTTCTGGTCCACTCTCGCCTCCCTCTGAAGGCAGCTCTTCCAATTCGCCCTTCTCTGCATGGGCTAAAGAGTCCGCGCACCATTCTTTGAACATGGAGAGTGCATCGAATTCGGGCTACTCACCCGCCTTGCACGAACTCAACCCCCAGGATCCGTACCTGTCGGTTTCGTCTGATCCCGAGGAACTTGATTTCCAGGCGAGCGCGATCCGATTGACGCCGCTAGGGGGTAGCCCGAGCTATCACAGTTCCTCTCCGAACGGTGAAAATGAAACAGTGGACGCTGACCCCACCATCCAAACGAACCTCTGGGCCCCACAGGGGAATTACTCTTATCAGGGACCCGTTTCTAGTCCTTCTTCTCATGCGGGCGGGTATCTCGCCCCGTCGGACATTGACCTGCGGGTATCTAAATGGCAGGATCGAACCGACTCGCCAAATGCTGACATAGCTGTACCAACCGTCCAGGAGCAATTATGGCCAGAATCCACAACCAATTCCTCATCATGGCTCAATCAAGAGCAATCGATTCCAAGTCCATCCTCAATGCAAGGACATCCGCTGATACATAACAACTTGCTTAACCAAAGCTCAGCAATGAACACTGCCCCGGGCTACGGATCAGCTCAACTTACTGTCTCGACGGAGCATGCCATAAAGAACGAACCTTTGTCGGCCTCTACCGCCAGAGGTCGAAGTCCTCTTAGGAGCCCCATTGGGATTACGGTGTCAAGTGTGTCGCGGGGAGACTCACCGGTTGTGGATTATGGACATAGCAGACGACCAAGCCGGTCGTCTATGCATCTTTCTCCGGGCGATGCGTCCAGCGACGAAGACGAAGGTCATGTTGACGATGACCATCGGTCGGTCTCATCTATCTCGGTCGCACGAACCAACAATGGGAAATGGATTCGAAGTTCCACAACGGGCCATGGAGGCCTTGAGCCCTCTTCCCGCGGCAATGAATATGTACCAAGTCCGAATGAGCTCAAAAGCCAGCGGGAACTAGATATAAAAAAACAAGATATCACTCTTTGGTCGGTTGATGTGAGCGCTGCCAACAGTGAAGCTGGCGATGATGAAGCACCGGTTCCAGATCGGCCCAACTATCATAAGAAGAATAACAGACTACGAGCGAGAAGCACAGGAGATCGTCCTCTCGAGCGAGTCGATTATTTCAATTTGAAATCCACGGCCCCTGGACCTGGTGTTCTGGTACATGAAAGCGAGGAGGAAGATGAGGAAGATGAGGAAGATGAAGACGACGATGATGCCAGTGTTAGATCTGGCGCCACTGGATCTGACTCTCTACCTGCTGACGCCAATGAGCCTGGTCGTTATGATCAATCAACTCCTGACGTGTTTCCCTCGCTCGAATCGGCTGGCTCTACCGAGGACTTTCGGCTCCACCCCTGGCAGGATCCTCTACGTGACCCAACGCCCAGGATGGAAGCAGTGCAGCCAGGAAGCTCCACTGCAGCAATGGTGGCTTTTGAGAAGCGAGCCAGGGACATCGAGACTGCGTCGCTAGCAGCGACTATAGACAATAACAGTATCATCAATGTCAGATCAAACTTTGAGAGGATGAGCCTTTCTGGTGAGCCAAAAACCAAGGAAGGCCGCGGGAGCAGCCTTTTGAAGTATCCGTTCTTTCATACCCCATCAATCTTGAAACGCCAAGCATCCAACCTTTCAACATCAAGCGTCAATGCGAGTGCCCAACAGGCTAAGCCGGAGCCACAACCCCAGCGCAAAGAGAGCCATTCACATCGACATAGATTGAGTTTATCAACAAAACAACATAGTCGGTCTCCCAGTTTGACGAGCGCCCTGATGTCTATGACGGGACAAATGGCAGCTATTGGAGGTAACAATGCAGTCCATGCCGTCTCTCCAAATACGGAGGTGAGCCCCAAGGGCCAACCAGTAAAAGCCCGTGGCCGGAGTAGAAGTGAGCTCCCAAGACCAACGACAACCACCCCTGGACTGATGGATCTCATGACCTCTCACGGCGGCCCACCGGTGGCCAATTTATTGTTGTCACCTAGAAATTCGACTGACAACGACCCATTACCAGCCAACAATGGGCCATATTTCGATAAGATTGTTGCTAAGGATGAGGAGGAAGACGAAGACCAATTGGATGCAGCCGAAGACAAAGCACTTGTGATGGAATTTCCGCCGGTATCAAGCCTGCCAGTGCCCACATTTGAAGGATTTAGGGCGCAGATCATGCTTCTCAACCCGAGGCTCCAACCGGCTCTGATCCAGCGGTTTGCAAATGAGCAAGTGCGACGGTATAAGAAGCTAGTCGAGCTACAGCAGAAGCATGCAGCTGCAATCTCTAATGGAAAATGCAAGACGGGCCAATTCTGTTTTGCTTTGGGGGGTGAGGCCACATTGCTGGAACCACGGAAAACTTCAGCCTCGTCTGAGACTGGCCAAACCCAATTCAGAATCTCTAACATGGGCCACGACCAATCATACCCAGGGGTGGATGGATCCTTTACCCCAGCTCAGTTCCCTCCCGGAGTGCCCATTCCTCCCGTCAATCGCCTTCCAGCTCAGTTTGAGTGCTGTATTTGCTATGATGTGAAGAAGTTTCAAAAGCCTTCCGATTGGTCCAAGCATGTTCAAGAAGATGTCCAGCCATTTACGTGCAGCTTTCCTCAGTGTAATGAGGTAAGGTCCTTCAAGCGTAAAGCCGACTGGGTTCGACATGAGAATGAGCTTCATCGACATCTGGAGTGGTGGACCTGCTCGTTCCATGAATGTAACCATACCTGTTATCGCAAGGACAATTTTGTTCAACACTTGGTTCGTGAGCATAAGATGCCAGACCCTAAGGTGAAAAAAGGAAAGGGAACTGCAGCTGAAGGACACTCTGGCAACCGCGAACGAGACTTGGCCCAACTGTGGAAGCTGCTCGAGGACTGCAGGTTTGAGACGGATAAAACTGCCCAGTCAGAGCCCTGCCGTTTTTGCGGAAACATTCTTGGCAACTGGAAAAAGCTCACAGTGCATTTGGGGAAACACATGGAGCAGCTGGCTATGCCTGTTCTGGAACTTGCGAAACAGCACAGCACAGCCCCTCTCCCTCCCAGTCAAGTGCCCCTGACAGGGGTCTCCAGTGGGGCTGCAGGAACATACCCCCCTCTCTCGGCACCGTTTCACGGGCATCTGGAAACGACAGGGGCGGCGACAATGCCACCCCGAACGCAATACACTGCTAGCAACTCTACTACGCCTGTCAATCCTAACATGTCTTACGATATGCCACTTCTTGGATACCCTTCTATCTCCGGTAGTGTGCTATCTACAGAACCAGAGCCCATGGCCGAATCATTCAATGGCAATGGTAATGGTCATGAGCAGTACAATCCCGGGTACAACAATGGCATGGGCCAGTTTGATCAAGCCACGCTCCACCCGCCATCGGTCCAGACCCACCTGGCACATCATCAGAATTCTGTGACGTACCCACCACCCTACAATGCGGTCCACCGATCAAGAACACCTGAGAACAATGCTCCCCTCATGCAATCATCGTACTCCCAGCTTCAACCTCAAAATTCGGCTCTCTATCCCGCCCAGGCAAGCTATCCAGGATATCAAAATGTTGCATCCACATCTCCGTATGGTTCCAGCCCTTATACGAACGACTATTCGCAAATGTGATTGATGATTGCCACGTTTGCAATTTCTTGTTGATTTCTTTTTTTTCTCTTTTTTTCTCTTCTTCTTCTTCGTTAGTTCATTTAGTGGCATGCATTTCAGGGCGTGTGTGTACGGGTATACCCCTTCTGTTCAATTTTTCACTTGTTGCCGACGGTCAACTGCCACGTTATACGTCACGCCAATGGATGTACATGAAAGGGATGAGATTTTATTCTCTTTTCTTTTTCATTCCTTTTTTATTAATCTTCACATGCTGTCTATTGTGCCGCTATCGTGGTACTTTCTTTTCCCCTTCTTTTCTTCTTCGTCGCTACCCTTGGCCCTTGATTACCTGCTTCTAAAGTTGTCCATTGGGATTTTTTTTCTATAGTTCCCTCTATAGTCGATTTTCTTTACCTTTACTTTTTCTTCTGTTTTGCTTTTTTTCTTGGTGTTTACCATTTTTGTGTTCATTTTTCAATTTTTGTTTTTTTGGGAAATAACCCCCCATTTGGCACAATTATGAGCGTTGAACTATTTTCTGCATGTGTGGAATGACAACTACGGCCGCCGTAGACGAGCTGTGATCACTGATGATCGCTCGGATTTTGTGTACATATTTTTGGGCGCTGGGGAATTCTGTCTCAGACCGGGTGGCGCATTGAGCCATGTGCATAAAATATGAGGGATCATATTTCTTCGAGTTTACCTTTTTTTTTTCTTTTCTTCTATCGGATCTTGACCGATGCAAGTGACGCATCCCCTTCTCGGTTCCGGAGTCTGTCTGTATTCCGTGTAGGTCTTTAGTCTTCAAAGGGGGGATTTTGAATCCCTATCAAGGGGGGTTTATAGTGTAGCTCCAGCAACAACGAGGACCGGGTGTCAGAATGACAGGCTTGTTTCAAATCGAAACCTTCTTGTCTTTGCCATGCGTGGTTTGTCTTTCTATCCCTTGCAACACGCACACACGCACACACGCCATTCCGGCATGGCAATCATGGCAATGGCAGTTTTTGGATCCACAGAGGGTTTGCCGATCAGCCCTGTCACAACCTGATCGGGCGTCCTTGCTTTCCGCCAGCCACACGGTGGATGAACTGGTTTAGCGGCAGTAGTTCTGGATCTAAAGGGACTAGTTTAATCTTGGATGGTCGATGTTGTCGAAACAGAAAGAAGAAAAGAAGAAACACATCGAGGGAATGTAACGGTGGATACTCTATCCACTATTGAGAACCATAGAGAGAGACCTGGGAGAAGAAACCTGAGAAGAAACCTGAGAAGAAACTAGGAAAAAGAAAAACCCACAGAATCCGAACGTTGGGAACGTGTGCAGGATCGATAATTTACTGAATCTCGCTAGTGCGAATCTGTGGACGAAGAGGATCATGGATCTTCGTGTCTACTGTCTAGCCCTGTCAGGCATTGATGATCGTCCACCCGGGTGAACTCCCCACAACTCATAGCGGGGGCTGTGCAATCAAGGGATGTCATGCACATTCCACACGGGTTTTTGTCTCACCTCGGTCTTTCCTGCGTAAACCACTGCTAATATTGCTTCATTCTTGTGTTCTCGGGGTTCCCCTTGATTGCTAAGGGCCGCGTGGTCTAGGAATTAAAGACGAAAAAACCGTGGTTAAATCGGCTCGGGGCGAAAAGTGGGCCATATCGTGGTGCGTGTTTTTTGACCCTTTCGCGTGTGCATGGTGCATGCACCTCGTTTTTATTTTTCTTGGGAAAAGAGGGGGGGGGGGGGGGGCAGAGAGATTCTTGCATTTTACATTTAACCTGGCTCATCCCGGCTGATTCTTTGAGGCTTAGTTCCTTGAAAAGTCTCTGGAATACTAGTATTGGATTGGTTGACATTGCACCTCCACCTGGTTCTTTTCTATACTCCGTTCTTTACCCGGGTATCTATGGGCCGAAAAACCCACTCCTCCAACTAAGATCCGCTCGCTCTCTATTGGATGTATCGATTTAATCACTCACACATTCACTTTCACATTCACCGACACACACTATGGAAGTTAGTTTGTCCCTCATTTTCAAGGCGTGCGGCTCGTTCGTATCCCGCCTCTTATGCTGGATTGCATCCCATCCCATACTATCTTCCTTGCACACTAGGACTAACCCAATATTCCTTCTTTCTTTCTTCTACAATAGGATTTATGTTGGAATGATTCTAGTGACGTCCTTCAAGACATCATGGCTGGATCTATTGGAGCAAACCCTCAAGACTTGTCGAATTTTCGATCATCAAATATAGCTCTAGACACAGCCTCAAATCCATTACTCGATTTGCACCTAAATACCGACCTAGCATCGCTCGATCCACAAAGCCATCCGGATTTCCTGAATCAGTGGCCTTCAACTACCGCACCTCAGGATTTCTATTACCCAAACTACCCCGCCTCCAGGCTGGCAGCGGACCAAGATGCTTGGAACCCGTTGCTGGCTGCCGGTGTGCCTAACACCACATCGGTCTCACATATGCACATCTCCTCCATGCCCGATGCCGAGCGGGCATTTCAAAAACCACATTACCGAACCCCGTCAGAAGCCGGGAGCCAGTATATGGGGAGTTTGCACTCTGGACACTCTGGGGACTCGGGATATGCGAGTACAAATGGGCCAGCGCATTCAGTGGTACCCTCTTCATATGGCTCGTTTTCGAGTCCTCATATCGGGGCAAATGAGCCTGCTTATATAGAGTCTATGTCATTTTTTGATCAGTCTCGCATGGGTACTATGTCAATATTCTCCCAGGACTTTAGTGAGACTTCGGTCAAATGTGATCATTCTTCTTGCTCTTGGGTTGGGAAGTGTCCGTCTGATAAGAGGTGTGTATATCTTTACTTTCTCTTTTAAGGTTGATGGACACCAGCATACTAATATGGCTGGATAATTATAGGAAACACGAGGCTCGCCATCGAAAGCTTTTCAAATGTGATGAGCCTAACTGTCCTCGGAAAGAGGGGTTTGGTACAATCAATGACCTTGCTCGCCATAAGAAATGTGTGCATAACAAGGAACCGGAGCGAGGACCTAAGATGATGTTCCTTTGCTTTGGAAAGAATTGTCCTCGTCCCAATAAGAAGTGGCCCCGTTTGGATAACTTTAAGCAACATCTTAGTCGGATGCACCCCGACGAAGATGCTGAGAAGCTTCGTAGCAAGTGGGTTCTCCCTCCATTAGCTTGTTATCCTACTCGCATGAACTAACATCGGCCTCTCCTTCATTAGATCAATGGAGTGGTACGAAAGTGTTACCGGCCATCGTCCCAATACCAAGATGGAGGACACTGGCTCTGTTGACGACTCCTATATGGATGCACAAGACCATATGTCAAGCTATTCCGGAGAGATGGAAATGGATTCGTATGATTCATTCCAACATCCATCAGCACACGTCGACTCTCTCGTCTCCGCGCCAGTTACTCCTCAGCCAGTCCCAAGCACCGCAGCTCCCAAGGTCACTCCAGATATCAAGCTATCACACTTTCCGTCTATCAGTCCTATCGGTCTCCTGCCATCATCTACCCACGAGGAACTCGATGCTACTGTTGAGCGCGGAAACTTGAAATCGGAAACATTTGTTACCGACGCTGCTGATAATCTTCTCAATGCCATGACCAAGATGGTGAACAATCGCACTCGAAGATCTAGTCAACATAGCGACGAAGGTATTGACGTTGAGTCTGAGAACTCCCAACTCTCTCAGCCTCAGCGACAGATGCTACGACAAGTTCTGTCCGTTGCCTTAGAGCGGCTTTCCGATGATAGCCCCGCCGTTCAAGTACCAACAGACGAGAAGCAGGATTGGTTTCAGTGTGATATCTGCTCCAAGCGAACGCGATTGCGTTGTGAGATGAAGTAAGTCATACATCCACCCTAGTTTATCCATGGCTCTATTCTAACATTGTCGACTAGGAAGCATCAGAAACGCCATGAACGGCCATACGGTTGCACATTCCCGCACTGTGCCAAGTCCTTCGGAAGCAAAGCTGACTGGAAACGCCACGAGACATCCCAACATCTCCACCTTCCAAGCTGGCTTTGTGGTCTTCACGATTCCTCCAAAAATGCCTCATGCGGTCGCATCTTCTACCGCGAAGACTCATATACACAGCACCTGACCCAACAACACAACACCCCCAAGAATCGCTTTAAGCTTCTGCTCCCATCTACCCGTCTCGACCTAGCTGATCAATCCCATTTCTGGTGCGGCCTATGCAGCCGATCAATTCCACTGCAAAGTCATGGGGCTGCTGCATTAGATGAGCGTTTCAATCACATCGATACCGAGCATTTCAAGAAAGGCGAACGGGGATGTGATTGGGCGTTCCTAGAGTTAAACGAAGCAATTCTTCTGCCTGGTGCGGGGGCTGGTCCTGTGAGAAATGCTGGTTTGCCTTCTGAATCGGAGCTAAATACCCGGAAACGTAAATATACGGGCGCACATTCGCTTGATGATAGGAGGAAGTAGATTGCTTCTTACTGTGTTTTGTTTTATGATTATAGACGTGCTTTTTTTTGATGAGATTCTGTTTTGTATAATGTGATATATCCCGGTCGGTCATGTCTGCTGGTTCGGAGGGTCGGTTTCCACGTGCATTGGTTAATGGTTTAGAATTTGCTGCTGAATATATATAATAACTTGAGCATTTGAACAATATTGGGTCTATTTTAGAATTAATAAGATAATAATAATAATATAATCAGGTAGTATTGTACAGATCAATCATGGCGCTCTTGCGGTGTTCATTTTTGAGCAGCTGCCAGCTCACGAGCTTTCTTTTCTAAGCTGGCTAATTGTCCTAGAGATAAACTTAGTATCAGTCATTCGAACATGTATATTCAAAACCAACAAGTCCACTAGATAAAGAACTTAACACCTAAAAGGAGGTGAAAGCGACTCACCATTCTTTTCAAGCTTGGTATCATCCGTCTCAAGCTTCACCCATGTCCAATAAATGATTTGATAAGTGAGCACAGCCCCCAAGAAAACCTTGCCAAAGGGACGAGCAAAAGCCCCATACGCCGAGAGCTCAAGCAAGAATTAGCACATTTTCTTGAAAGCTGAATGCCTTCAAAGATAAGATAAAATCGTATCAAAGCAATGCTAATGTTAGGATGGAATGGAATACATACCCCTTCCCGGTAGGCACTCTTCTTCTCTGTAAGCTTTGAGGCTGTGCTGCTCAATGTCCGAGTACTAGGGATACATCGGATAGGAGCCGAGATGTTTGATACAAGGCGGGTGGATTGTCGGAGCAACATTATGGATTTGGATGGATGTGTACGGTGTATGGGTTGGTGGATTTGCGTGCAGTTTTGTTGCGCGGTTTGGGGGAGACGAAAATGGTTTGGCGCGATTACTTCTTTGGGGATGGTGGATGCTTGGCGTTATGAGTGTTTTTGGGGGTGATCAACACGCTGAGTTGTGCTTTGAGGTGGTATATGGTGTTGTAGATATGAGAATTGTGGAAGGTGTCTTTTTGGTATTGTTATAGGATCCTATCTCTAGTTTTCTGAGAGTAAGGGTTGTTGCTAGTAGAAATAGCTGTTCAATGTTGCTGTGGCGGTGATGGTATCCAGATATCCAGATGCTGGGCGGGTATACTGAATTTCCAACCAATTTCCAAGCAGATAGTAAGTCAGTACAGCGCCCTGGAATGGTGAGAGTGAATAAATCATTCTAGTAAGGATAATAACAATGTTATTCTATTTGAGTCTCTTCAGATTCTATCTATTTTGTAGGTGCGTAGTATAAACCCCAATCATGAATGCCTCTCTCTATATACTTAGTCATCAATCACATGATATCAGTTCCGTTTCAATTCTGGTGGGCAGCAAAGGAAGGGAGCCACCACCCAAAATAATAGAATGCTTTTCGGGTGCGCTTCTCCACGTCCCTGACTGCTCTCTGACAACCTTCTTTCACCATCATGTCCGGCCCAAACCCCATCCTCGTCCGGGCGCGAGAACCCTTCAAATCGGGCTGCGGATGAGATAAACGATACTCTTCAAGATTTTGAAATATTCTGAATCTCCTGATCTCTACGATTCACTGGGGTTATCATGGCATTAGAATTGTCTCGCAATGCCATCTGGGTAGGGCGAGTATTCACTTCAGGTGGAGCGTGCACGTGATGACTCAGCTTGCGCCACAGCCGTGGCTGATGCGGTGGGAATGTGCTGAGAGCGAGTCCCTTCCGCCCTGGGCATTCACTCAGTTGTTGATCACGAATTTTAAAGAAAACTGGCAAAGCAATACCTTTTTCTTTCACCAAAACTACGCTTTCTCTCGACTGTTAATTCCGTCACACTCTCTTTGTTTCAACTTCAACGCGTTGGTGCCGAGTCCGTGAGGCCTTGCGCCCTTGGCCCCGACTTGCGCTCCACCACCCACTCTGTGATCAGCTATCCTAAGTCTGCCGGTCAGCAATTGTACTCATAGACTGTCAGTGAATCCCTTTTGATTGCCCTAACAGAGGGCGACGCGTCGCAACTTCCCTTGTCATCCCTGGTGAAAGACTTATTTGTCTTGAGTCAGCTTTCATTGGGTGTATTTGAAGCACACTGTTGATCTACAGACTGCGTTCGATGCCATCTGATATACCTTGGATTGCCAAGCTCTGTCGTGAAAATTGAAATTTGTGTGTCCTGACTCTAGATGCTGATGAAATTATCCTTCAGTGACCACCACGTCTTGTTTTCTGCCATAACACCATGCGCCCCGGCTCGAAACGCTCCCTGGAGGAGCTTGCCATCAAGTCCGACTCAGATGACGAGGACTGGACCGGAGAATCGAAACGTCCCACTTCGCGAAAAGGATCCGGAAAGTCCAAGTCAAGTCCTCGAAAGCGGGCAAAAACATCCAAGAAGCGCCGCCGCAACTCCAACGACGACCTTGGTTCCGACGATGAGGATTTCACCAGCGACGATGATATCTCAATAGAGGAATCCGAGGAATCAGATGATCCCAATGTGGAGCGAAATGTTCGCGGGACGGCGCGTCGGCGAATAACTCAGATCAAGCCCGCGTATGAGGAATCTGATCCGGATGAGGAAAAATCCCTGATTGACGAGGAAGAGGAAGAAAAAGACGAGGTGGAGCTCGTTGTTGGATCTCCTATCAAATCGCCAGTGAAGAAGACGAGAAGCAGTGTCGTCACTTTGAAGCTGCCTCCCGAAGTCCTGGCAAATCCCGAGCTCATAGGAACCCGACGAACCACTCGTCGCACACGAGGCGCGTCGGAAGACATTTACGCCTTAACAAACTCAGGCCGGCACATGGAAACCGTCGAGAGAGGCACGAAAAGCCCCTCACCCTTTGTGGCTCACCGTGGATCCCGAGCAGGCAAACATCCTGCTGTCATCGAAGAAGCCGTAGAGACTTCTGCGGAGATTCAAGCTTCGTTAGAAGTGTTGGAAAGTGACGCACCCGCTGAAGGTGATACCACGATGGCTCCAGATGCGACCCAAGAACAAGCCGATATCGATATGACTGCCGATGAGGGCTTCGTTCCTGAATCCGAACATGGCGAAGCCAAGAATGAGGACGGAGATGAAGATGAAGATGAAGACTTCCCCACCACCCGGCGACGAAGCAGACTGAATCGCCCTGGCCTGAAAGATGAGGCCGACAATGAAGAGCAGGATGCACCTGCGGAGGGCGAAGATGAGCATCAGCCACGTCGGTCTAGTCGCAAGAAGCCGTCTAAAAGCTCACAGCGTAAAGCTGGTGATGATGAGAGCGACTTCGAACCTGAGCCTGAAGATTCCAATGATGACGAGGCGTCAGAATCTGGCAAGTCAGCTGCTTCTCCGCAGAAGAGCCAGCCGCAAGATGAGGAAGAAGACAGCATCACTGGTCGCCGCGCTGGTCTGCGCAAGCGCCCTTCACGGTCTCGGGGAGAGTCAGAAGTTGCCGACGAACTTGCCGAGGAGCTCCAAGACTTGCGTGGTTCACGCGCCCGGAGACGTACTCGTCATACTCAGAATGATGATGTATACGAGAAGCCACGCCGCAATCGCAAAGATGTTGACTACCGGATCATCCGTCCTGATCTGTTACTGCCAATGGAAGACGCTGATCATGACGCTATTACTGAATCTCCCTCTCGTCGTGGACGCGGTGGAGGGGGTGGAGGTTGGCAACGATCCCTCTTTGCGACCTCCGGTCCCTTTGGTGGCGGTGGCCCATTAGCTGTCCTTGCACCCCCGGGTGCTCCTGCTGCCGTTGGAGGTGCCGATAGCGACAGTAGTGATGATGAGTTTGCTCAACAACCAAAAAACGCTACTGGTCTTGTTCCTCAGGCCCATTCGGGCGATGCCGCTCAACACCTTGCTGGTACGCCAGCTAACTTTGGCAAGGTCAAAGACAAGCAGACATTAGCAGATGCGGATCCACTCGGTGTCGATATGACTGTTAATTTTGACAGTGTGGGTGGTCTTCAAGGACATATTGATCAACTCAAAGAAATGGTCTCTCTTCCACTGCTGTATCCAGAGATCTTTCAACGGTTCCATATTGTTCCTCCACGAGGTGTACTCTTCCATGGACCGCCCGGAACTGGTAAAACACTACTTGCCCGCGCTTTGGCGAACAGTGTCAGTTCGGAAGGCCGAAAGGTCAGTTTTTATATGAGGAAGGGTGCAGACACGTTAAGCAAATGGGTTGGTGAGGCTGAGCGCCAGTTACGACTTCTCTTCGAAGAAGCTCGTAAGAACCAGCCCAGTATTATCTTTTTTGATGAAATCGATGGTAAGGAGTCTCCTCGTTAACTGCATTTTTGAATTACATATACTAACGTTTGCATTAGGTTTGGCTCCTGTACGATCTAGCAAGCAAGAACAAATCCATGCCTCCATTGTCTCAACTCTCCTTGCATTGATGGATGGCATGGATGGTCGAGGCCAAGTTATTGTCATCGGTGCTACTAATAGACCCGACTCCGTTGATCCTGCACTGCGCCGCCCTGGTCGTTTTGATCGCGAGTTTTATTTCCCTCTCCCCAATATCGAGGGTCGACGCGCTATTTTGGATATTCATACAAAGGGCTGGGATCCTGCTCTCCCAGGCGACATCAAAGATGAACTTGCTAAAATTACGAAGGGATACGGTGGTGCTGATTTGCGCGCTCTTTGCACCGAGGCCGCGCTGAATGCTGTACAACGCAAATACCCCCAGATCTATAAATCAGACAAAAAGCTCATTATAGATCCAAAAAATATCGATATTCTCCCCAAGGATTTCATGATTGCCGCCAAGAAGATGGTCCCTTCTTCCGAGCGCTCTACATCTTCGGGAGCATCAGCATTGCCACAGAATGTTGAGCCTTTGCTGCGACAGTCGTTGGCAGACATTGAAAAGGCACTGTCAGAGGTTCTTCCGCAACGGAAGAGACTTACTGCTTTGGAAGAAGCACAGTATGAGGAGCCTGCAGATGGTAATGGGTTCCGCCGCGAGCAGATGATGCAGGAGTTTGACCGCGGTCGCGTTTTCCGACCACGAATGCTCCTTCGGGGTTCCCAAGGAATGGGTCAGCAATACTTAGCCGCTGCCTTGCTGCATCATTTCGAGGGTCTGCATGTTCAAGCCTTTGATCTTCCCACATTGCTAAGCGACTCCACCCGTTCACCGGAAGCTACTGTCATCCAACTTTTTGCCGAAGTTAAGCGACATAGGCCAAGTGTGATCTATATACCCAATATCCAGTCTTGGTTCGAGACAGTTGGACCAACTGTCATCTCTACATTTATTGGTCTGTTGCGGTCGATACCACCATCCGACCCTGTTCTGTTACTTGGTGTTTTAGAGTCTGGCGGCGAAGAAATGGATGTTGCATTACTCAGACAGCTGTTTGGATTCTCAAAGAAGAATTTGTTCGATCTCCCGGCTCCTAGCAGGCTTGCGCGCCATGAATTCTTCGGAAAACTCATCGAATACGTCCAAACGGCTCCGGCCGATTTTCCTGATCCCGAAAACCGCAAGAAGCGCCAACTTGAGGAGTTAGAAGTTGCGCCTCCGCCTCCTCCGGTGAGCGAGACGCAGCTTAGCAAAGAACAACGCAAAGCTCAGAAGAAGAAAGATCGTCAAACCCTAAACCTTCTGAAGATTCGCATTCAACCAATCATGGACCAAATTAAGAAGTATAAGCGATTCCGCGCTGGTGTCGTTGATGAGACTCAGATTCGATATCTATGGGATGAAGCAGATCCAAACATGGTCACTAGCGATCTCCCTCCCGAGGAGCAAGGGATTTATCGGCCGTATGAGAAGGGGGTTGACAAACATGGTGTTCCTGGTCTTCGGGAAGTTGCCACCGAAAAGTTCTTTTACAACATGGAGATCGTGACAATCGAAAAGCGTCTTTCAAATGGCTATTACAAGCGCCCCAGCGACTTCCTGGCAGATATCAAGCGGATCGCGAAGGATGCGCGTCAATTGGGAGATCAGGAACGACTGTTGCGAGCCAATGAGCTGTTGTCCAACGTTGAAGTTGATATTTCCGCTATTGAACAAGCCGAACCGGCCCTTGTTTCAGAATGCGAGAATGTCTATTTGCGGGAGGTTGCTCGTGAGAAGGAAGCTATTGAACGCGTCCGCAAAGCGGAAGAAGAAGAGACAGAAAAGCTGCGACAGGAAGAAGAAGCGGCGGGTAATGTCCCACACGGTAATACCGAGTCAGACCTGTCCAGTGGCCCGGTTCGTTTGGGCGAGTCGTTTCCAGGACTTGGGGACACAACCGCTCGTCCTGTGACGCCTACTCGACAGTCCAATGTGAGCTTTACAAATGGTTATCACAATGGCGGCGGATCTGACTTGAACGAGCTTGGTCCCAACGGACAGAGCAATGGCTCACACGGAGATGGAGATGGAGATGTTTTCATGTCCAACTCTGACGAGCACTCTGGCCTCAAAGATACCCAGAACAGCTCGTTTGGGCCTTCTGCTCAGCCCAAGCCTCCTTACTCACACACTGCGCCATCTCAGCAAATCCGACGTGAATCTGGAATGTCTAGCTTATCTCAAAAGGGGCCCATGACACCAATGGCCCCCGGATCTCAGCCTGGAGATTACACCAACGAAGCGTCTACAACTCAGACTACTTCCTACAAAAAGTCTTCCAACCAATCTTCAAACCAGCACGACCACACCCAAAGCCCTCACGTCTCCCGCCATGAATACCCCGATCTCACTCCATACCCCGACCGTGTGTCTCAGGAGGAATACCTTCCCGATACCCAACAAGGAGGTAGCAGTCAGCCCTCCCCTCGACCCCGTGATTCGCTTGATCATGGCGCCACTGGAAGTCAATCACAGTCAAAGCCTCACCCTCCGCTGTTTGATGGTACCTCCAAGGCCCCAAATTACGCCCCAACCAATTTGCAATCTTTGCTTATTGACGAGCCGGTTCCTGAACTGGAAATTGATCTTGCATACGTTGAACACCTGCATGGTCTGTTGACCGAGCAGACAAGTGGTCATTCCGTTGAACAGCTAGAGCAAATCAACACATACTTGATGGACTATGTGTGGCACATGCGCGGCGAGTGGAACCGCACTATTGTGGCCAAGGGTGTTGCCCAGACCTTCAACGAAGTCTTAGATGACATGCAGGCCGTGCAAGAGGTCGGATTGACTAGCCACGAAGCCGAGGCAGAGGCCAATTACCCATCTCACAACCGCGTAGTCTTCTAGAGGGCTTTATCTACGATTGTGATGCATATTTCTTTTTCAATTCGAACTCATTTTTCCTGTTAATAGTTTCGACTTTACACAGGGCAATTACTCAGATAACATGGCCCTGATTCTTTCACTTTTACTCGTTTCACATCATTCATCATTTCACCCTTTTTTCTTTCTTAATTCACTGCGTTGCGATGGGCAGGTGTTCACTAGCCAGATCTCTTTTCCTGAATATGAAACGAATTTTCCTTCAAGCGGGATGAGACAGGATATAATGGAAAGGTACATCTAGAGATCAATGGAAATGTTATTTAATAATATTTATGAATACTGTGTAGACCGTAGAATGTGTTTTACCTTCTATACCTCTAGGGCCGCCAGGGTTGTAGATCGACGGCGTTCTATAGAGACCATGTGACGCGTGACCCACTAAAACACCTGGCCTTTGCATTACATGTCTTTGATACTCTCACTCCCACCACAACTCCTTGTTTTGCACACTGACAATTATTGGACCATGATTGGAACCTTTTCCAAGTCCTAACACCCCGAATCTATATCCTAAAGCCCTAGGATCCCACATAAGTGGTCTTTTCCGACCTTAAATACCCATAAGACCACATCCGCCCTCACAATGGTGAACTGGCTCAGTCTCGCCGTTCCCTTCGCCTATCTAGGCATCCTGATCGGCTCTCTCGCAACATTCTCCTCATTATACCGCAAGCGCAAGGCCCGTACGTACTTACCAATTCCAAGCGCACACCCTAATAGCTCCATCATCCCTCTCCCTTCCTGAGCTTATTGCCCGCCACACTACGCGATATCAGAAACTAACAGCTTCCTCTTCGTGTCAATATAGACAAGGCGGCCTCCCTGGAACCATGGTTCCCTGCACATCTCCAGCGCGATATATATTTCTCTCTTCTTCACCTTGACCCCTCCGCACAATCAGAGAAAAAGACCCCCGCTGTCCCCGAATCAGTACTGAAGGCTGCTCTCCTCCGCAGAGCCTCGGAAGATATTCGTCGTATTCTCGCTCTCCGAAGCCAAAAGCAGGCTCTTTCCATGCTGCTTCAGCGTGGAAGTGTCGGTGATGACCTCTGGCAACGATTCTCGCGCGCAGAGAAGGAGATGGAAGAAGAGGTTAAGGACGTTGTTGCTGAGGTGAGTTAAAGAAACCTGCTACATAGAGTTTTCTATTCTCCATGATCGAATTGATGAACCCGTACTAACATGTTATGTCTACAGGCAAACGCATACGTTCAAGGCTGGGGTCAAACCATCTTCCAATCCGCAAACGAGATGATGCAGAATGATATTTACCGTCAACGCATGGCTGAGCAGCAGAGCAAGGTCGCCGAGGAGAAGGAGGCCTGGAGCCAGAAGAAGGCTACTACCAAGGAACAGTTTATGAAGGAGTTGGAGGAGGGCTCGGAGACACCGCAGACACCTGCCCAGAAGACTTCTGCGCCTGCTACACCTGCGGCTACCGTGCAAGGAAGTGATGATGAAGCGGTGTTGGTTGAGGCAGAGACGCCAGGGAATAGTGCTGCTGCGTCGCCTGGTGGAGGTGGTGGAAAGAAGAAGAAGGGTAAGGGCAAGAAATAGACTTATGGCATTGTAAAATACTTTTCTCTTCTTTTTCTTTAGGGATTTTCAATTGTCAAATTAAAGATTTTTATTTTTCCCTCATAAAAAAACTGCTTCAAGGTATCTGCGTAAGAATTCGAAAAGTAATGGACTAGCATCGCTCTTTGAAGAGTGGTTGGTACTTGGTAGCTTGCAGTCTTGCAATGGATACATTGACAGAAACGACTTGGGGTCTGGAAGCATCAATATTGAAGTCATTTTTATTGGAGGGTAGGATATGGTACAGTACAGTCCTATATGATTAGGAAGAATATAATATGCAGGCTCTATTTAACAAGGCCACGAATTCAAAATATCAGGAACGCCGATGCATGCAATGCAGATTCAGAGTGGACAGCCAAGTGTCAAGTTACAGCAATTGACTGTCATCCACCCCCAAGGGCGGTCCAATATCAATATCCCGCAATCCCATCTCCGCTATGGCCCGGTCCAATTTTTCTTCAACTTGCGCCGGGTCCAGACGGTCTGCTCGGCTCATTACGATGCGCAACAAATGGCCCATGATCTCAAGCTGATACTGCTGCGTTTCGTAGGGATCAAGCTGCTCGAGACTCAAGCCTTGAGCTTTAAGAGCCATTGACTTCCGCTCACCAAGCAGCTCAAGGAGACGCGTGACCTGTGCGATGTTCTCTTTGCTACGAGGTGTCGATGACAGCCGACGGAGGCGATGTTTGGGCGTACCAGCCGGTACACCGGCCAAGCGAGCAACCTGAAGCACAATCATACGGGCAGTTGTATCATCTGGGGTGAATTTAAAAGTCTCTCGCATTGAATTCAATGCCACAAGTGTACCGGGAATGTCCTTGGAGAGGCAGAAACAACGTATGATTTGATCGTACAACTCCTTGGAGAACGCGAGTTTTGTGTCTTTGTGAGCGCGTGGAGGCAGCTGTGAATACCATTGCATCATTCCAGCAAACAGACGTCGAGCAGATGGAAATTCCACATCGAAGGAGGTACGCCCGCGATCATACTGGAGTTTCGCACAGTCCCATAAGCATGCATAAGTTTCTAAATCGGGTCGGACAGAGGTTGACATCTTTTGGAACTTGGTCCAAAGGGAACGAATATCTTGTTTGCGGAGTTCGGCGAAGAGGAGATGGTTCATAAAATACGAATTTGGTTGAATGTACGCATCGCCAAGGCACTTGACTAAGTACTTGACCATGTCATCGTCGCCTCGGCGAGTGTAGTGAAGAAGAAGAATGGAAAATGTCTCAATGGTCGCCGGTGGTATATCCCGCTTCAAAAACTGTGGGATTAGACTGGGATCAACCTTCTGGTGCTGAACCTCCAATTTTGGCGTTGGGTTGATTGGCTGGTATCGCTTCCATACAGCATTGATGCGGTGTTGTACCATAGACCATGCCAGTCGTTCTGCCTTGTCTCGTGAATTTGGGTTACCTTCACGTAGCCATCCGGCAACCAATCCATTAAGATGCTTGGAGTCCGGTCGGACACCTCGTTCGTACATCAGTTCAATGACAAGTGCAGCTGAGTCGACTTGGCCCATTCCAATAAGCTTCTTCATCCAACTGGCAAAGAAGAATCTGTTCTGGAATTCGCGAGGCAGCATGGTAAGCACTGATAAGGAGACTGTGTTCACGGCTTCCTCACTGATACTTGACGCCTGAAGGTTGCCAGCTAGGCCAAGGGCTGCTTTGTACACGGCCGTGGAATCATTCGTAGGCGTCTTTCCTGTCACCATCATATCTTTGAATACCGCCACAGCCGTATCCAATCTACCAGCTGTGAGAAGACCAATGCTGATTACATCATAATCTTCCATGGTCATGTTCGTACCCAAGAACGTCTTCAACTGTAAGTACAACGACCACGCTTTGACCTCGGGTTCCTTTCCTGGTAAATTTGCCCATGCTATGATCACAGGGATCAACACTCTTGGTTGACGGGATTTGTCATTTACCAAAAATGCCAATGCTATGTCTTGTGCCCGTTGAGGGTTACTCTCAGCCGCAAAGAGCTGAACGCCGAGCATCCAGTATTTCTCGAGATCCTGCTTTTTCTGTGAAAGTTCCGTTTGGTATGCCTCCCACTCTTCTAGCGCCAATTTTGTTGCGCCGCCATGGTGTAGAGCTTGAATATAGGACAGAATCTGTGGCGTGGCGAGTGACTTGCCAACGGATCTGGCATCTTTAACCAAAGTTTCTAGGTGTGTAGACCGCACAGTTTTGGATAATTGTGGGATGTTTTGCGATTGCCAAACTGATTCCATGGCTTCGGTAGGGAGCGCGTCAAGAAAACCCGGGATAGCCTGTTTGCAGCGTCGATACGATTTCCATAGATCCTGACAGGCGCGTTCGTCTGATGTATTTTCATTGTAGTGGCGGATGGATTTTCTGAACCGATCGGCGTAGGGATGGGAATCAGTGCCTGCTAGCTTCCTGGCCTCAGAGGCTTGTCTCGCTGCTATTCTGCGCTGTTGTCGAGCACTATCCTGCCAATTCTCCTGCTCCAAGGCCATACCCTCGAACTCTTCCCTCATCATCGCATCCATTTCTTCGTCAAACACATCGTCCAGAGAGGGCTTGGGGTCCTGTTTCCCTTGATCCTCTTCATATTTGCGGAGAGCTTCGAGAGCAATCTTTCGGTCGTTTTCCGGCAAACTTTGTATGAAAGGACTGTCGGGGGCGAATGGACCTCTCTCTAGAACCTTGAGCTCTTCCTGAAGCTTCGTGAGCTCCTCCTCAACCTCTTTTCGTTCTTCAATTTCTTCGAATTCGGGGTCAACTTTTCGTTTTTTCTTGCCGGGGCCGTCTTGCTCATAGAAGTTGACCTTATCGTTCGGTCCGCCGAAGTCAAGCCCACGCGGCGTTAAGGCGCTGAAGGCGCGCTGGGGACCCAACGGGTTGCGCGCTGCATGGTACAATCGGGCTCCTCGAACAGCCTGGCGGAGCATATGGGGAATTATTCGATCATTTGGTGGTGAAGAAATAAGAAAATAGAAAGCGGATCGGAGTACGCGAACTTCGAAGTTCTGCAGATCGGAAGCCCATTTAATCCTGCCTATTCGGGTTTAGCGCCTCCCCGTTGAAGTCATTATCTCTCCTTCCCCGAAGAACGCGACTCTCAATTGTACACAGCAATGGATCCCGTTGGGTTGGAGGATGCGATGGACTTGTCCAAGGACAGGTCCCAGAATCAGGTATGTTTGCGCTCTTTCGTGTAAAATTGAGGCCCAGGAACGAAAGACTAACGTGAAAAACAAGGGCGTCTATATTTACCAGCCCGCAAAGTCCGGGAAAGCTGCTGGCGAACGACCCTCGAAGCGCAGAAAGGTCTCCTCGACGAACATGAAGAAGGAACTGTCGGAATCCCAAGTCTTTATGCCTTTGCTGAACGGCGACGAAAGCCACGAATGCGTGAAGTTGAGGTTCGACACCTATAAGCGACTTTGGTCGGACCAGGAAAACAAGATCCAGGTATGATGTGGAATGATTGCACGCAAGTCATTCCTTTGCTAATAATGATGTATTGAAAAGAATATTCTTCAAGATGTCGATGCGGGTGTATTGACAGATGTACTTTCTTTTGTGAGGGAGACATCACCACAGACGTACGATTAGTTTCCTCTCTCCATAAATAACGACTCTATACTAATGAGAAGAACCTGATTAGGTCCAATGGCTGTATTCCAACAGGCTTAGTTACTGTCGGATCCAATGTTTCCTCGCTCAGCAGATTGCTCACCCGCCTTAACGATCAACTTAAATCGACCAACGAGGGTGGTGTGGTTGTTCTCGAGTCTGGCGATGCGCCAAATTTGAAGACGTCGTTGAAGAACATTATTCGAGCAGCGGTCACCAATACGGAGGGAAACGATGGGTACCAGCGATTTTTGACAGATCGTTCCGTATGTGAAACTATCCCGAAATCCTCTTGAATCCAGCTCATGATATTAGGGACCTCGAGTGCTCGGATACGATCTAGATCTGCTCTGCGATTACACCCAAAGAAGAGGGACAAAAAAGCTAGTTCTCGCTCTACGGGATAGTGAGGCATTTGATCCTGCCTTGCTGACAGATTTGTTTTCATTATTCAAGTGAGTCTCCGATTTCATGTTGGGCCTAGCTCGCTACTAACGCCTGAACAGGTCCTGGCTTGATCGCATACCTTTCACAGTAATACTCGGTATCTCAACATCAGTTGAGCTTTTTGAGGGACGACTTCCTCGTTCATGTGTTTCTTTGCTCCAGGGCCAACATTTTGAGGTTCAAGAGGCGGGCAACTGCGTGGATCGTATTTATGAAGCCCTTCAGACTAGGTCGGATGGGCAGATTTGGATTGGCCGTAACATTACAAGCACATTATTTGAAAAAGCAAGCGACTACTTTCAAACACCGGAGGCCTTCAGTCGTATTGTTAAGGTAAACGGGCTTTTTCATCTCATCGAGGGCTATTCGCTAACTTCAACACAGTATGCATACATGTCGCATTTCTTCGCAAACCCCTTAAGTGTGCTTCTGGGAAACCCCGACCCCTCAATATTGCCACAGAGCCGTTTCTGCGAAGCCATCAGAAATTTGCCGTCCTTCCAAATGTTCGTTTCTTTTCTGTATTTGTTTGTTGAGACTTGGTGCTGATACTCATAACTATCTAGGTTCTGTGAGGATCTGCTAGAAGCAGGATCTGTCAATGAATCCCGTAGTATGATACAAGATGATGAATATCTGCTTCGCGCAGCTTTCGACCATGTCGAAGCAGGACAGCAGGTAATGCGTCACATCTTCAGCGCGGTGCTTCTAATTCATACTTGCCTTCAGCACACACAGGCTACCAAAAAAACGACTATCTCAGACCTATCTGTTCGCGCACTTGCCGGCGAGCTTGGCGAGTCGCCTCTTGTGGAAGACATGCTGGCCACAGTGAGGACCATGGGCTCTGGAAAGCTGACCGAAGTGTTGAACAATCTTCCGACACTCGCGGACGATTCTCCTCTCACTGTCATCCAAGCTGATTTGCAAGCCTTGCTGGAAAAATATGCAGACAGCTTGCCGCTGAGCAGCGAATACAATATCAACAGCTCCGTGGTGAAAACTACTGTCGTCCAACAACGAGTCTTACTTACCAAAGGCAAGGCTAATTTACCGCCACAAGATATTGAATACACCAGGGTCGTTGATCGGCTGGTCGCTGCGCTGCAGGAATATTTTATCGAAACTTTGATACGACCGCAAGACCTATTTATGCATGAGGCCTTCCTCTTCGACTTGCGCAATCCTTTAAAAGAAACTTTCACTCCTCGGCCACGCTTTGCCATTGAAAGAGCATTGACTAGCCCATTTGACTATCTTATATCTACCGTTGAAACTCGTGCTAGGATATCCGCAAAACAACCCGCTGGAGCCATCTTGTATCAACTCTATCTTGAATCAGGTGCTTTGATCAATGTTCACGACTTGTGGCAAGCTTTCTATGGCGTCTATGAAAGTGATCAAGGCAAAAAGGTTGACGAACGGGAAGTCATGGCGTTGTTTTATGGTGCCTTATCTGATTTGAAGATGTTCGGCATGGTTAAAAATAGCAGGAAGAAGACCGATCACCTAGCTAAGGCGGCATGGATGGGACTGTAAGATCACATAATGAACACTGCAACGAATGGAATTTGCATTTCAATCATATTTGCCATTCCTGGCCTGGGTATCATACAAAAGATGCTATCAGAGTAACACGAAGCTTCGCGGTTGGGATGCTTTCTTAGCTTCCCAAACTTCAAGCACAAACAAAACAATCGTAAACAGGAAATCGAATCAATCCTCTTGGAGCGGTCGCTGGATGATGTCATCTCTTCCAAGTGGTCGTCCTCCTTCACTTAGTACCATGGCTTCTCTCCGTCGTCGACGAAGAGCTTGTTCTTCGGCGCTACCTTCTGCAGGCCTCCGTGATGGCGATCCTCTGTAGGAACCAGCTGTATCTTCGCCATCCACCATCCATACATCACTGTCCTCGTCCTCGTCGTCACCCTCGTCCTCATCCTCATCCTCATCCTCATCCTCGTCGTCTTGATCGTTCTCTTCTTCAATCATGCTTCCCATCAGCCCATGCTTGCGTAATTGCTTTCTCCCATCTGGATGCGAATCCAATGTACTGACTATGGAGCTCATGACTGCATCGTCGAACAACCAAGTCTTTAGTAGAATCACCACATCCTGTCGTCGAGATGGCTCGGCCAATGCGCACGGAAAAGGATAATTCGTCAGCCACCGGCTTACAATCCCCGCTTCTAATGCTGCGGGGACATTTTCTGGAAGAAGATTGTTGAGGATTTGAAGCGCTTTCTTCTCTCCGAGTGGCCGTGCCCTGGCGAGTACTGGCGATGTTGTCGGATATGTGACTTCTGTGTGCTCCTCTAGAAAATTGCACAGGCAATTGATCAAGGCCGTGTATGTCGCACGATCTCGGAGTTTAGTGCAGACTGATGTTCGAGAGACTATAAAGAATGAGCAAGGTTTCAGGCTGCTGGATCCAAAGTCATACATACGAGCTCGGTTGGTGGCAAGGAAGTGAAGCGCCGTCAGCGCTTTACCCTGGCGTGCTTTATTTTTGCTCGATAAATCCTCCAATAAAAGTTCGCGTGTTTCTCCCTTAGTTGAGCGTTCGGAAATGATACGGAGGGCTCTGAAGATGTGTCAGTAGATATTCATTTCAACAAATGTGGGGCTTTTCGTACGCGGCTCGAAGGTCATGGCTCGTGCTCCCGGAGAGCTTTAGAAGGGTATCTAGCTTGAGCGCTGGTCCATATTTAGCCAGTTCATTCATCAATATAATTTTTAGAGGTTTGACTCACCTTCCTCAGTGCCATCACTTATGATCTTGTCCTCCCGCTCAACATGCTTGATCTCGGTCAGATCAACCACTTGCCTAAGGTCTGTAGCGATGCCGCGTACGGCGAAGAAAAGTGATATTCCTGAAGATGATTAGCTTCTTGCTTCGTCTCCGCAGATTCTCGCCAGGACCTACCTAGACAAAGCCACAAGACTCCATCTCCAGAGAACGGAGCCATGGCGGATGTTAAAGTTGGGAGATGCGGAGAGGCGCGCGGCAGAATGTCGGCGGAGTCGGAGAGCGGTGAACAAATTATTTTTTCTCTCTCTAGCGGCTTTGCAGTACTTCGAGAAAACTATACGCAGTACCGTTCAATCACACCACAATGCCGCCTTCTCAGCTGAAACAGCTGAAAGCGTCGCTCCGTGACAGCGGGGTTGTCGGCCCCCAGCAGTCGAAGAAACAAAAACGCCAGAATGCGAAATCCGGTGCCACAACGCAAAATCGGAACCAGCGCAATGCAGCTTTGCAAGCGATTCGAGATCGATTCAATCCCTTTGAGATCAAAGTGCCTTCGAACCGAAGCAAGTTCGAGGCGACAACTCGTGATGGTAGCTCAACTGCTGCAGGACACTCACGTCCTGGTGTCACTAAGTCACTGGGCGAGGAAAGGGTATGTGAATGTTGAGATGCGCTTTCTGCGACAGGAAACTGACACCTAATTCCAAATTTAGCGCCGCGCCACACTTTTGCAAGAAATGAACACTCGGAACAAAGTTGGTGGGCTTGTTGATCGACGATTCGGCGAAAACGATCCGACTATGACACCCGAAGAGCGAGCCGCCGAACGATTTGCGAGAGAAAGCCAGAAGAAGATGCGCAAAGAATCGATGTTCAACCTTGAGGAGGAGGAAGATGAGTTCCAGCTTACTCATTTGGGTCAAGGATTGTCATTCGACGAGAAGGACCGCGACGACTTCGAGATGGGAGGTTCGGACAACGGGGAATCAGATGACGAGACATCTCGGAAACGCAAGCGCTTTGTCGAGGCCGAGGAGGAAGCGGAGGAAGGAGAGGAAGACTTCATCGACAACCCGGAGGGTGCCGATTTGCATGAGCGGAAAAAGTCCAAGGCTGAAGTTATGAAGGAAGTTATTGCCAAATCCAAATTTTACAAGCATGAACGTCAACAGGCCAAAGAGGATGACGACGATCTTCGGGACGAATTAGACAAGGAGCTCCCTGATCTTTTTGAGGCCCTGCGAGGCATGAAGGCCCCTGCTAAGCCAGAACCTCCCAAGCAAGATCTCGATACAATGAACCCAGAGCGTGCGGCTATGCTTCAGGGTCCCGAAAAGACAGACGCCGAAAAGGAATACGACCAAAGGTTGAAGCAATTGACATTCGACAAGCGTTCTCAACCTACTGATCGTACAATGACTGAAGAAGAGAAGATCGAAAAAGAAGCTGAACGACTAAAGAAGCTGGAGGAAGACCGGATCAAACGAATGCGCGGTGAACAAGTGAGCGACGAGGAGGACGAAGAAGAGGATGATAAAGATTCATTTTTCAATGGTGAGGAGGAGGAATCTGATATTGACGATGCAACGGCTTTTGGTCTTCCCAGTGCCTCTTATGAACCACGCCCGGACATGGGAGTGGAGGACGAGGATGATTTCCTCATTGATGATGATCTGGTTGAGACAAGATCTAATGTCAGCCTTTCGGTGGACGAAAATGATATGGAAGAGAGCGATCTGTCAGACGAAGACGACGAATCTGAGCAGTCGGAGCAGGAAGACGAGCTTATTAACGGCATGTCATTACCGGCGGCCGGTGCTGCTTCAACAGCTGTTGCAGCTAGTCAGACAGCTGATGGTAAGCTGTCCTTTACCTATCCTTGTCCAGATAGCCATGATGAGTTCACTGCTTTAATAAAGGGTGTGTCGAATGAGGATGTCCCAACAATCATCCAGCGCATTCGTGCCCTACACCACCCTCGTCTCCACCCTGACAACAAGGCCAAGCTGGGTCGATTCTCCGAGATTCTCGTTGAGCATGTCTCATATATGGCGAACCAACCCGAGCCATCTTTCGTCCTCGCGGAAAGCATCTTACGACACGTCCATTCATTGGCTAAAACGCACCCCATCAACGTGGCCATGGCTTTCCGTGCTCGCCTGCGTGAGATTTCCAAGGAGCGTCCGTTGAACTTGCACCCTGGTGATCTTGCCATTTTGACTGGCATCTCAACTGTGTTCCCTACATCAGATCACTTCCATGCCGTTTCCACGCCTGCCCATCTGTGTCTCGCTCGATTCTTGGGTCAGTGCTCAGCTAATACACTGTCTGATTTTGCAACTGGCGCTTTTGCCACGAGCCTCTGTCTTCAATACCAGGCAGTTGCTAAGAGGTACATGCCAGAGCTGATCAACTATGCTCTAAACGCTCTTTGCAATCTTGCTCCCACAGAGCCTACAACTGGTCTTGGTTCTTTCCCATACCGAAAGTCCGAAGAATCTGTCCGCCTGGCTCCATCCAAAAAGGTTACTCCACGCAAGCTACAATTCCGTGACTTGGCTGCTTCTCCATCTGAAGGCCAGGCTAAAGAGGAATTGAAGATCTCGCTTGTTACCACCTTTATCTCCCTTCTTGATACTTCCTCGGATCTGTGGGCTGAGAAGTCTGCCTTCACCGAGATCTTTACACCTGTCCGTGAAATGCTGAGCCATCTCCAGCAATCTTTCAAGAGTAAAGTGTACACAGCAGTCCGAGACTTGGTACAATCAACGCTGGATAAGATCAATTCCCACCTAGACCAAGCCCGGCTCACTCGTCGCCCACTCCTTCTCCACGACCACCGTCCACTGGCCATCAAAGCTGCCATTCCCAAGTTCGAGGAGAACTTCAACCCAGACAAGCACTACGATCCGGACCGCGAGCGTGCCGAGTCCAACCGCCTCAAGGCCGATATCAAGCGCGAGCGCAAGGGTGCTATGCGCGAACTGCGCAAGGATGCCAGCTTTGTGGCTCGTGAGAAGCTGCGCGAGAAGAAGGAGCGCGACTCCGAATACGAGAAGAAGTACAAGCGACTTGTTGCCGAGATTCAGAACGAGGAGGGGCGTGCTGCGAACGATTACGAGAAGGAGAGGCGCGGCCGTCAGGGCAAGCGCTAAGTTTTGTCAGATTAGACCTCCTTGTCTTGAGTTACTGGATATTATTTGGCATCTTTTCATACCATACCATGTTTTGTTTTGTTTTCATTTTTCATTTGCGCATATTCAAATGGATTGGTACATAGTTCTTTTTTTTTCAAATCCCTTATGCCCTTTGTCTTATATAGGGCTGGTGCATGGTTCGGAAATAAAAAGTCGATTTTATATAAGTCAAAAGATTTCAATAATAAAAACAAATCCATCATCCGGGGATTGTACATGTAATTCAGTAATGGCCATGTCAATATGCCAGCTTGAAGACTAATTATCACAGGTCATAATATGTGTATGGATTGCTAACTATTACTGTCTCAGTTCAACGCCGATACTAATCAAGTATTCACAATGTTCTTTCTGACTTGTCGGCACGGTTTCCATTCTTGTCTCATTTGTCCGGAGGAAGATCCGCTTATAAGCATCGTCACCTTCACCCCAGGTCTCCCATTCTGGGCTGGAAGAGTCTCGATGGATATTCGGATTCAGAGACCGAACAAAACTCGTCCAGTATCCTTGAATCACCGGGACAATATTGGCATTGGTGGTATAATAAGAGGCCGGTGGAACTGTACTGACATACTCAGGACCCCAGATAGCATTGATCTCGACTGTATGGGGAGTACCGTATCCTTCTGCTTCTTGTGTAGGATCCAAGACAGCGTAGTGGTAGTTCCAGCTTGGAAGACCTGCTGCGGCATATATGGAAGACAGATGAATCCCAGGGCAGTTGTAGCGCAATTCTCCATATGCATTGCTAGCGGGCCGCCAGTAAGGTTGCGCATTGGGAAAATCGTGCGTTTGATCTTCATCAAGATAAATGCTATTGATCTGAGCCAGTTGTTCGGTTGTTATGCTGGGGAACTGGTCTTTGATAAAATCATCTGCTTGAGAAACACTGGACGTGCTCAGAGGAACGAACATCGTGCCTTCATTGGTGTCATCACCAAATATCACAGGGACCTGGATAAATTTTCCTTGTTCGAAGAGATTATAGGTGAGGTCTTGAACTAGGTCTCCATCAATCGTTGTGCTGTAGAGATATAGAGGATTTCCCAGGGCACCCGGTAAGGGAGTCACGATGTTCTGGCTTTGGAGCAAGTTGATATCAAGGTTGCGAAGACACGCTAAAGTGTCGCTGCTGTTACTACAGCCTGTGCGGACAGCCAGTCTATCATATGAAAATTGGCTCTCAGTGACATTGAGTACGGTTCCAAAGCTTTGAGACTCGGCTGCCGCTCCAATGAATAATCCATCATCTCGTCCGCCATATGCAGAGAGAAGAAGAGTGACTGATGCGCCTCCGGCACTGTCCCCACCAATAACAACATGGTCAGGATCTCCTCCAAACTAGAAGAGGTTCAGTTAGCTTTGGTAACATCGATATTGGGGTAATCTTCTATACCTCGCTAATATGATTCTGTACCCACTCAAGCGCCTTGAGCTGATCTTTCAATCCATTATTCAGACTTGCACCCTCTTCGATTTCTTCCGAAGCCAGAAATCCAAAGGGACCGACACGGTAATTGAACGTAACCACGACAATTTTATTTCCAGATGCTTGAACCAACCCGGATCCATTATAATTGGGGTTTGTCAAGGCTGCAAAGCCACCTCCTTGGATGAAGAAATAGACAGGTAGTTTCTCATCGGAAGAGGAAGCCCCTTCCGGAGCATAAACATCTATGAATAGACAATCCTCTGCAGTATTAGATGGCACAGCAGTGTTTAAGCTGCCAGCAACCGGGATACAGAGTGGACCATGCTGTGATAATTGTGAGTTTTTTATAAAAAAAAATAAAAAAAGGTCGTACCAGTTGTTGTACGTACCTGCGTAGCCTGTTGTGTTCCCGAAACCACAGATGGGTCTTGGGGAGCTTCAAACCGTAGATCACCCACTGGTGCAGCAGCATAGCGCATTCCAAGCCACTGTGAGATGCCCATTGGGGTTGAACTGCCCTGGTAGCTAGCATATCCTAGATCGACGACCGGAGACTGGGCCACTGCCAGGGAGAACCAGGAGAAAAACCAGTAACTTGCCATTATGAATTGGTCTGGTCTGTTCCTTGAGAAGATACACCTCTTCTAACCAGGACACCATACGAAATAAATAAATAAAATAAACAAAACAAAAGAACCCCCTGACGCGGAGAAAAGGAACTAAACCACTTGAGCCATCATGTTTTCTTCTTTAACACCATCTTGCAAGGCATCCGAGACCCTAACAGGCCTAAAAGGGTCTAAAAGGGGGGAACCCTACTCATCTGAGCGAGTCATGGGTCCCTAGATACCGAATAAAATGAAAGAGACTCCCTTGCGTTTGGGCCCAAATAACAAGACTCCGGTATTAGGACGGGTACGGGTGTATGCGGTCGACATTGCTAGTCGCTGGCGCAGATCCACTTTGGCCATTTTCCCCGCAAAAACTTAATCTGCGCTTTGTTCTTTAGACCGGCTGTTTGCTTTCTGTCGTCATCCCACCATGGCAAGTGACGAGGAAGAGGACGACTATATGTCCATGGTGATTGAGGAACCCACCCTGAAGGAGACTTTTACCCAGAAGAAACGCAGAGAACAGAGAGAGGTAGGTGGCCCCAGCCACATTCCGAGATTTGCGCCCCTTCCGGCCGTTGCGGATCACTGAACTTTTTCCTTTCTTTTCTAGGCCGAAGCCCGTGGGAGAGTCCCTTCCAAAGCTGAACGAGCTGCCCAGGAAGCTAGTCGTCGCGATGAAGCCTTAGCGACCAGTACGCTGGACCCCTCCAATAAGGGGTTCAAGATGATGGCTAAGTTGGGCTTCAAGGCTGGCGAATCCCTGGGAAAACGCGATACCGATCAGCCATCTGAAAGTAACTCGGAGTCGACACCTCGTCCGGACCAAGCGCGCTCGGAGCCGCTTCATCCTATCTTTAAGGAGAATCGTGGTGGAATCGGGTTGGACACGGAAAAGAAACGCAAAATTCGTGAGGAAGCCGAGGAAGCTACGAAAAAGATTAAGCGCGATGAAGGTGACTATCGCGATCGCGTACGCGAGGAGCGTGAGCTGCGACGCACTGAAGCGCAAATACGCTCTGCGCAAAAGGTTGCTGAGCGGTTGGATACTGAGACTGAGGAAGGTGTCGGTGGGGAAGGCGACAAAAGCGCTTCTGATGGGCATGAAGACAACGAGGATAAGTCGCGACCAGCAGAGGAGAAACCGAAATCCGCGAATACCTCCAAAAAACCGATTCATGTCAAACCGACATCGCAGATCAACATCCTCTACCGTGGGCTGGTCCGGGAACGAGAAGACCGGGAACGAGAGAAACAAGCCCGCCACGTTCTACAACACTCACTACCCTCATCCTTTTTTCCAAGTCCCACATTGCCAGGTTGCGACGACGGCGACTTAGAACGGGAGGACAGAAAAGCTCTTGGCAGTGGACCGGGTCCTTATATAAATGCTGTAGAAGAGGAGCTTGACGAAGAGGACCCTGAGTTGGAGGAATTTAACGCCTTAGAAGCTCCTGAGCGCCTTCAAAAGCTAGTGGTGCATTTGCGCGACATGTACCGGTATTGTTTCTGGTGCAAGTACCGCTACGAAACCGATCTGGATTTGGAGGGTTGCCCAGGACTTACAGAGGAAGATCACGATTAGTAGGTATTCAACCAGTTAAGAAATCAGAATTCTCTTGAAAGAAATGAACACAGCTCTAGAACAGCTCCATATATTCCATGTGCATTGATGTTGCTGCTCATCTCCGGCAGAACCCAATCTCAATATGCAGATTTGTCCGACCCAGGTAATCCATAGTATACACAAAAAGCCCTTGGTATCATAAAAGAAAAATGTAAAGCAAAAGAAAAGAGAGGGAAAGGTCCACAAATCTAACAGGCCGCTGCTCTATATAATAGAGGCAGAGCTTTTTTCACGGCCTCGACTCGGCGCACTGCGCCTTCATGCAGGAGAATAAAGAACATAGGAAAGAGGAAAGTTCACAACAAAGAAGGAATGTTTCCATATACAGGTGGGGGAAATCAAGGAAGTTTGTCCATGAGTTCCGGTAGTGATCGATGTTGACATTTTTGCAGCATTTGGTAGCAGCTCTCGCAAATGCGCAAGCAGCAAAATACACATCGGTGTCGAATTTCACGATCAAATTTGTGACATGTTTGGCAAGGCAGAGGACACCATACATTCTGGGCCACGGGCATGTTTCGGTGCTCCTGGAAGCAATTGTAATGGACCCTGTTCAAGGGCGCAGCGACGGGCTCCATATCAGGCGGCTGAAAAGATGCTTGTTGCCCTGAGCCTAAAATCGGATCGATGGGGCTTGCGGACTCTTCGGGAGTGGGAATAAAGTCTTCGAGGGGTGTAAGGGACTCGGTGTCTCGATCTGGAGGAGAAGGTAGCGCGGCAGGTGGTGTGAGTGCCGGCGAAGGTTGTTGTATCTGCGGCGCAACAAAAGCAGGTCGCTCTGTTGGTCTAACGGGTTTGGGAGAAGCTGGCTCCGATGGCGGTGATGGCAATGGTACTCGCTTTTGTGTTTGCGGCGAAGCTACCGGGGGTGAAGCTCTTGGGGGTGAAGCGGCCAAATATGAAGCTGTTGGGGCTGGGAATGCGGAGAATGAGGCAGGTTGAACTTGCGCTTGTGGTGAAGTCACCGGGGTTTGCGCCGAGGCTGGGGATTTCGCAGTTGATGACGCATTCTTTCCCACCTCCCGACGTGCTGGTACTTTCGTCAATACCCGCGGCGGAGGAGGAACTTGATCTTTCGGAGGAGGTGGGAGCTCCTTGGTCGGTGGAGGTGCTCGCTGTGGTGGCGGGGCAGGAACGGCCGACGGAAGCGCCGGGACAACTTCGCTCTCGGGAGTTTTGCCTTCATTCGATTTCTTGCTATGGAATGAGAGCTGTGATTTGCTTGCGGCGGCCCCGTTCTTCATTGCGGTCAGAGAAGGGACGCGCAAGCCTCGCGGGCGCTTGTCGGTATCGAAGATGGCCATATCTATATGGATTTCAAGCAATATGCGCAAAGCTCAATAGGCCTTCTCGGGATCGGTATCGTATATAGTATAAGATGGGAATTCACAGGTGGAGATAAATGGTTATCAGCGCCACTCCGGTATAGAGGTCTAGTGACGATCTTCAGTGTCGATGGGTCTCCGTGCGCAGGCCCAGTTTTATCAGGGTCTTTCTGGGGGGAAGATTGTAGTCGCAAAACAGTCAAGATGTATATAAAAATGCGATGACAGGCTCAGAGAAAAGGGAATGGTCCAGAATTCAATGAGAGAATCCCTTTATCCTGCAGAGAGAGTTGGAAAAAGAGAAAGAGAAAAATCTATTGCAGATGAGAAGCCCCAGTGTAATCTTAATTTGGGGGGGGGAGTGGAAAAGTGTAGCAGGTTTTCATCGTCTCTGGGAATATCCACTTTTCGCGGATCTCTTCTTACCATGTCTCCCCTTTTAAATCCTTCTGCACTTCAGTCCAAAGTCACTACCGCAAACTGACTGGGATCTAATCCGTCATCGCACTTTCATGCCCGATGATTCAATCAAGCTGATCGCAGCCCTGGAATGTTGGATATCTGAACAATTGATCACGATCGCCGCGCGCAGCGATTGGCTGATAGGAAGGAATGCGCTGGTACCAGATTGAAAGTGGGGTCGAATTTGGTCAAATTTGGGCTAATTTCAGTCTAATTTCTCCATCGAATATGATTGTTTCATCTCTTGAACGGACCCGAAAGCCCCGTGGGATCAATTGGACCCATCACAACTCGTTCGTATGGCGATCCAGCGCTAAAATCCAATAGATCCAAAACTGGTGCCTCAACTACTTGTTTATAGTCTATGCAATTATACAATCATGTCCTTCCATTTCTCCATTTCCCCCCTGAACCAAAGCTCGGAGGTGCCTCTATCTTCCGACATTCCATGGGTCATGGATTGCACGTCGTGATATCATTGGCGATTCTGACTGCTCGGCCAAGTCCGCTGTTTGCCAGTCCATTGGCGTCATATTTACTTTTTTCTTGCCTTTCTTAGCAGATATTAGTAGGGAACTTTTGAATCAATCAAACCAAGTATTCAAAAAGTAATGTTCATTCAATTTAGCTATCGGGTTCCGCAACGGGCATGTACGATCGGCGTTCCCGTGCAGCCTATATACATAAGCACCGTTAGCCGTTGCCTTGCAACATATTCCGGATGCAATTATAATTGAGGCGGGAACTGCGCCACAGTATGTGCTTACCTCGAGATATCGCTCGATCCAGGGCTTGGCCAGCGCCCATGCAAGAAGTCCACCCGTGGCAAAGATAAAAATGAACACTACAGCTTCATCTTTTCGGGAATCCCGTTCTGTCAATCCGTTGTCAGTCTTCCGAACCTTAATCCACACTCCTCCCCGCGGCTTTCACTATCCCCAATGGCTTTCCCGCCCGGTTGTTCTCGATCGGAGCTCACTTACGGAAGCAAGTTGTGAAAACATCGTCCTCCTTCGCCCCTTTACATATTGGGAGTTCGTAGTTCAGGCAGAATTTGCGATTACAGTCATTGCAACTTAGCGTACGGTATTTCGTTGCTCGTGATTCGATTCCATTCTCATCCTGCTCGTCCTCTGGGTCGAGTTCCACGCCGTCGAAAACGCGCTCGGCAAGTTTCAGGACATTGTCAATGGCGGAAGATCCAGAGCCCGATTTGGCTGGATCGAGAGGTATAATGGTACTATTGGAGAAGCAAGTGCATTTGCAGAAGGATGTCGGTGCTGTACAGAGTTTAAAAAAAAAGCAAACGGTCAGCATTAATTCGTGATGGCAGCTGTCGATCTGGAAGAGCACCAAGCTGGTTTGTTTCCACTTACTTGAGGCTAGCGTCAAGGATGTGAGGGAAAGGAATGAAATCAGCAACAGCAGCAGGTTTGCCATGCTTGTTCGAGGGCCCCTGACCAAATACATGGTCACACTGAGCAGCGTTCAAGATCAGTATTCTCTTCCCATCGTTTCGTGTTGGATGACGCGGTTATCAGTTATCGGTGGTCACGTGGATGATCCACTCACTGATCTATAGATCTGGAGATGCGATTCGGTTGACAAGATGGAGCAGCATATATGTATGGAAGATTTGTTTTTTTGCTAGTTCAGAAAAGTAATGATTCTTGTTCCAATACGTTGTTGATCTTCTGTGAGAAATTCCGAGAATGTCAAACTTGAGATGAATTATAAGAACAACAACTGAGGAGGCGTAACGCAACGGATATAAAAGTTTATACCACTTCCACAACTTAATCTTAGGATTTCCAAGGATGGCTGCTTGGTAACTTTCAAGGTTGTAATAACATTTCAACTGAATATATCCCATAAATTTGGACATCATGATCAATCTCTCACTCGCGGCCACTGAATTGGGACACACAACCCCGGTCAATCCACCAACCAAATACAAAAAAAGGTGCAACAAAAAGGGAAATGCTCAAAAACATCAAAAGAGCAAAGTAGCTATGTACAAATTCTTTTCTCTCAGAAATATCGAGGGAGCCCCGCTCAAGCTGTGCCTGGCCCTCGCGAGGGGTATCCCCTTTCACCGGATGGATCCCACAACTGTATCAAGCAACATCGGCCGTTCAGGATATGTCACCCCAGTAGGAACCGAGTAGTGCCATGCAATCATCCTTGGTGGATTCATCACTGAGAAAAGTAAGCGTATCAATAATCCCCCAGAGCCCACCACCACAGTCAGGAATGCTTTCGCTCAAACTCCCATTTGTCCGTGTCGCAGACATGCACCCAGGCCACAAAAGATGCATGGCCATTGTGTCGCTGAGCAGCGCTACAGCGGTCCATCTTCCTATGGTGCCCTCAACACAAGCTCACGCTTGGCAGGGATCCTCCTCAGAAAGAAACTTTTCCCTCACCGTTGAATCTGGCTGTCGAAGCCCACTGAAGTATCTGTTGGTATCTGTTGATCATGTTCTTGTCGAGAATCGTATGGTGTTGTGTGGTGTCAAGTGTTGAGTGCTGAGTGCTGAGAGAATGTTTTGGGGTCGGGTGTGGTGAGTGGAGGAGAGAGAGAGTTTAAATGGAGTGAGGGAACCTTTTTATATGTGAAGGAATTCACATTAACTCACTTCCTATTGGACCAACTTCATAAAGATGCCTAAGTAACAACACCTCAATGTACTCTTTTTACATTCACCATGGAAATGCCTATTTGCCTATTTGCCACCTTGCGTCTTTCATTATTTGGATATTTGTCTTTCCATATGCCAATACAAGGATTAGTCCGAATACTTCATTGATGTCAAACAAGGAAGGCGCAGTCCACCATGATTCCCAAACTGCTAGCCCCTGCCTTACGTCTGGGATTATTTGTATGTGAAGGTGGGTATCTTCTTGGTCTTATCCAATATTCTTATATCATTCATAATGCTGTCCCTCCGGTCATTTTCTCTTTCATTGTGCTTTCCAGGTAAGTTTAATGCTTCAAGCCTCGAATGATCCATGATATGACTGCTAACCGAGATTTACAGGGAAAATCACTCAACGCAAGATCAGCTGCCCTCCTCAGCTTCCTCAAATTGATGCTGCCAAACCAAGCGCTGCAGAAAGTGCCGAGCATGTTCAACATATTGATAACCATCTGAAGAGTCGTGGAATTGTCAAAATCGGCCTACAATTCGATGACGATGAATGTACCTATCTCGATAAGCTGATTCGACAACTACACAGATTCCACGGCCATGGGATTCCCATCACGCATAGTGCCTCTCGCGGCTGGTTCTGGGATGTCTGTCCACAGCCAGCCGACCCAACCCAGGCCCATATCGCCCGCTCAGAGACAATGAACGTGTTTCCCTGGCACACCGATTGCTCATACGAGGCAAAGCCGCCGAACTACTTTGCTTTGCAGGTAATTCAGCCTGATCAATGCGGCAGTGGAACGTTTTCTGTCTTGGACATTTCTCGTCTCGTGTCTTTCCTGTCACCGACTGCACGCAAAGCGCTCCGCGAGCTTGAATTTCGTATTGCCGTTCCGCCCGAGTTCATGAAACACGAGGATGCAAAGTACATTACCGAACAACTCCTCCAGGCGGACGATGGTTGTGGAATCGCTCGACTTCGATTCCGAGAGGACATCATCACACCATTGACTCCGGCAGCCTCGATTGCATTTCAGGAACTACAACGAACGCTGACTAGTTCCAAGATGCAGTCTGAGGAGATACACCTTCCTTCTAGTATGCTTCCACGTGGCTTAATAATCGCAATGGATAACCGTCGCTGGCTACATGGACGGAGTCAAGTTCTTGACCCTAATCGACACCTTCGTCGAGTTCGATCACGGCCTTTTGCGAAGCTGTAACTAGCTTATCCGTGCTTGAGAGAACAGGTTGCTCATGACTAAAAAGCTCTATAGTTGATTTGTACGCGAAAGATTTGCTCCTCGAGTTTTATTTTAATTATTTTCAAGTTCTGCAATACTGTTTAATAAATAATGAAAGATGAATGCAAAGCCGCTTGTCATTTTTATCTGCACTTCATAGGTAACCCCAATTCCACCTAATTCCCAGAAGATTAAGCATGGTCACACTTGAATTGGCACATAGCCTCTTTTCCAAAGCGACACAAAACATTGAAGATTTTGTGTGCGAGCGACAGTGCGGGTTCATAAATGTCGCTCTTTCCTCTGCGTTTCCCTGAATCTTGCAGCCGTTTCAACAACTTTGTTTGCTCTTAATTCTGGAATGACTTCCGGTCTTCAGGTCTTCAGATCTTCAAATAAAAGTCTATTTTATTTTCACCAAGCTGAGACTGAAGCTATATTCATCTTGAAACATGGACGCGAAACGACCATCATCTTGGCTTCTCACGCCCCATCGCGGGAGAAAGCGGAGAGAAAGGCTTATTCTGTTTTCCGTTACCATTGTGTCTCTTCTGGTATACTGGAGATTCTACAGAAAAGCATCCCTTGATTTACTACAACTACTTCTGCCTATTCTATCGGGAAAATATCTTCGCGATTCCAGTTTCTTCTACACGTCGAGTCCACACTTCGCAGGCCAGGGCCTCAAACAAGCCCAGTGGACTCTGAAAAAGTGGAAAGAATTTGGCATTCCAGACTCTCACATTGCCTCATATGATGCACAGCTGCCAGCACCGACCGAACAGCAGCGACTCGCTCTCCTTCGTGGTTCGGAAGTACTCTATGAGGCGCCTTTGAAGGACAACGATCATGGATTTCTTCCCGCCTTCTACAGCTTCGTCTCTAACGCGAACATCACCGCCTCCTATGTGTTTGCCAACTTTGGTGCCGACGAGGACTATGACGATCTAGTGGAGAATAATGTTAGTCTGGCTGGCAAAATCGCCGTGTTAAAGTCAGCCGATGCATCATCCTATCTCCAGTCACGACAACTGGAAACCTCTTGAGAGGTTCAGATTAGGGTTGCTCAGAACTGGGGTCTCGTCGGTGTTCTCCTGTATCCTGACCCTCAAAATGATTATCCAATTACCGAGTTGAACGGTTATAGCCCATATCCCAAAGGACCAGCACGACCCGCAAAGATGATTGAGAGAGGCGACATCGGACCATTTGGTGCGTTAGAAATTTTGTGCTTGTGCTTTTTGGGACTCCCTAATATTCATCTTCAGATTCATATTAGAATGGGCCAATACCTACCATTCATTGTATGCCAGTGTCATATGCAGATGCTATCCCCATTCTCACTGCCTTAAACGGATATGGCCCATCAGCATCTGAACTGGGCACGCGATGGCAGGGTGGAGAACTTGCAATACACGGTGTGCGCTATAACGTCGGCCCTTCACCAGAAACATACCTTCATATTGTCACTGATGCATACATTCAATCTGGTCAAGTACATAATGTGATTGGCAAGATCCCTAGAGTCCTTGAAAACGAGTAAGTTATTCTTGGAAACCATCGAGACGCCTGGGGACCAGGTGCTGGTGATCCCAATGGTGGATCGGCGGTATTGAATGGTTAAATGCCACAACGATTTCGTATCTAAAAGTTGTGGTAGCTGGCGCAGGAAGGAATTTTCATGTCAAGGCTAGTTCGCTCCTTTATCGAACAGTGTTAGATGCCATGCGACATGTGAAATCTCCAAACCAAACTGTTAGTGGACAGTCAGTGCTTGATGTTTGGAATGCGACAGGAACAGGCATCATTGGTACCCCAGGTGGTGGAGATGTAATTCGATTCCAAGGTCTCCTGTGTGCATCGACGATCGACTTTGGATTTTCCCAAGGCCTAGGAGACAATGTGTTCCCTTACCACTCAGGGTTCGACAGTTTTGAGTGGATAATTCAATATGGAGACCCAGGCTGGGAGTACCATTTGACCACCACCAAGTTGTGGTTGGTGATGGCGGCGCATCTGTCAGAACTGCCCATCCTCGATATGAAGACTACGGACTATGCCGATGCCATAGAAAGGTAGATTAATGATTTGTTTTCCAATCGGTCATGGTCCAAATTGTGTGATCCAGCAACCCTTTACAGTGCACTAGCACGCCTTACCCAAGCCGCCAAAAAATTCGACGACCGTGTGACGATGCTGAAATCAAGGCAAGATCATTGGTGGAATTTCCAGTCTACCAACAAACTGATATTAGCGATAAATGAATTGAATGAAGGGTACGTACGGTTCGAGCTTTCTTTCTTTCACGAACGGGGCCTGGACAATCGCCCATCAACTCACCATGTTCTATACGAGGCCACCCCTTGGCATACAGACAAGCCGCCCCTGCCAGGGCTAAGCAATAGCCTACGAGCAGGAAATTGGTCGAGCGCAGAGGTGAGATTCACATCTGAACGGGCTCATGTGGTAATGCAATAGTTTGATTTCTTTGCTGACCACAGAATGGAGTATACTATAGACATGGAGAGATATTGTTGCGGCAAAAATCATTGATGCGGCCATTTTACTGGAGAAGCACGATCAATTGAGGGGAGCAATAGATGATATCAACCGCAAATCACAATCAAAGAAGTCGATGTAACCTCACAAACCGAGAAAGGCAATAGGACCAGGATCATTGGCACTGATAACCTTGGAAATGTCTTAGAGTTCCTTCCTGCTTGTCTTGGGGGAAAAGGGTATTCTTTCTTATGTTTCCCCTTGGAATAATAGGAAATAAAAACAGAGTACCATCGTATTATCTTGGCGCCATGGCAATGTGGAGGTTTCCAAGACTTTCAAGTGGTACGGAGCTGATATCTAGATTTGAGCGTAGTCTGTAGTACTGTACTAATTGAAAAGAGGTAGGAGATCAATGATTCTCCCGCAATTGCCCCTCAGCCCTATCCAAGGCACCGCTGTCAGCAATGGAGACTAATATTTTGGTCCTGGAGATTCATTGATTCTGAGATTCTTCTAAAATGCCACAATACCACAATGCCACGTGTGATCGAAATTGAAGTCGCGCCTAGGGACGGATATCTCGCGTGATCCTAAGCCGGTGTCCGTCGGGAAGACGAATCGGCACCCAGCCATGTTTTTTCCTTCTGAACGCGGGAAATTCAAAATTCCAGGATTGCCAAGTTAGAAGGATGGAGGGGGGACTCAAGCCACACGACCACATCTATACCCATGCCGCGCTAGTTACAACTTCTCCCGGTGTCAACCTCAATCTCAACCCGGTTATTGGCCCTGATATGCATGTACACCGTGCGTACGTAGTCCAATTACACGGCAATGTTTTAATTTGCCCTTTGCCCCCCAAGGTCTCTATGTATCTCGGCTCTGAAGGTGACACGCCAGTTGGCCAACATATGAGAAATTGTCCAAGCACCTTGTTAGCGTCGAATTCGTCATATGAGAAGGGGAGATTGCCACGGTGGGATAGAGATACCGTTGGCCTTATGATAGTCGGAACGTGGATACTACCAATCACAAGAATTCGCTTAGAGAGGGAAATGCACTAACAACACTAACAACCCGATCAATATTCTACGGTCGCTAGCGAACGCCCCAAGGTGATTTCCCCGCCTTCTATGGCCAATCCGACTAAGTGGGGGGGACTTTTTGTCTGACGCGTTAGTCCGAAGCCTCTATCATTCAGAGACGAAGCCCCTCTTTTTCGCCATCCCGTCCTGCACGGTTGTTTATTTTTCCCCGACCGTAAAATATGATTTGGTATGTTATGCAGGGTTAACAATTGTTTCAGGAAGAAATGGAGGGGAAAACTTGAAAGGACGTGGAAGCCGAGAGGCAAAAGATGCATTATCTCTTTGATCGATGATAATGATAATCATGTAGTATATCGGGAGATAATCAACATTGGAAAGACTAAGACCCAAACTCTAATCGCCACAATCAAATTGAGCTAAAAACGAGTCTAAAATGGTCCTCTTTGAACCGGCCTTAGCGCCATCCTACTAATGGGGACTGTCAGCCAATCATCATTGAAGGAACAATCTAGGATATTTCAAGAATGTCGTGGCTGTCGGAGCTCCGTAGTCGTGCCGGATACTCTGTCCGCGTGAGATCCCTTGAGGGATTGAGCGCATTAGACTGCTCTTGCCGCATTATGGCTGTTTGGTATTTATATGCGTCGCTCATTCCCAAAAAGAAAATCGTTTCTCCTTTGGTCATTGTGTTCTATTTCTCTTTCTCTCTGTGCTTTGGAAGTGCAACGGCACTGTCCTGTTTGTCAACACCATGGCTACCGAGGAAACTGTTGTCTATCGATATGAAGACAAGAAGACTGGTATCGAGGAGCAGGCCCTCCCCACCGAAGGGGAGGTGACTGATGTCGAGTTGCATGAATTGATGGAACTGGTCAAAGAGACCATCGCCGAGCACGAGATGGATGGTAATTTCCCTCAAGAGATGTTGGACGATGCGCGAGAGTTTCTGGCCAAGGATCCAAAGCAAATCACCGCTTTGGAGGCTCAGGCATTGCTCCATGATATTCGCCTGCAGCGCGAACTCATGGTCAACGACTCGCCTTATCCCGAGGTCCGCGCCGTTGTCGATCCAACTGACGACCCTTCGATGTCGGCGAATACCTTCCGTGCCTGGTTCTTGGGAATCTTGCTCACCATTGTCTTCACCGGTGTGAACCAACTGTTCACCCTTCGATATCCCACCATTTTCCTCACTTCCTATGTCTCCCAGGTTGTCGGATATCCCATGGGTACATTCCTCGCAAAAGTGCTGCCAACTCGTGTGTTCTCGGTGTTTGGTTTCCGCTTCACTTTGAACCCCGGTCCATTCAACCAGAAAGAGCACATGCTTATTACTATCATGGCCAATGTTGGTTATGGTGGTGCCCTCGGTACTGCGTATACCACCAACATTTTCACCGTGCTCAAGGTGAAGAAGTGGTACGACGACCAGACGCTGTACAACAAGGCTGGTTTCCAGATCTTGTTGACCCTCTCAACACAGTTCCTGGGATTCGGTTGCGCCGGTCTTGTGCGACGCTTCCTGGTTCTTCCTCCGTCTATGATTTACCCCAAGGCCTTGGCAACTATTGCCCTGAACAGGGCTTTGCACAATGATCAGAAAGGTGAATCGGTTCACGGATGGACTATCACCCGTTACCGTTTCTTCTTATATACCTTCGGTGGAATGTTCTGCTGGTACTGGTTCCCAGGGTATATCTTCCAGGCTATTTCTTACTTCAACTGGATGACCTGGATCGCCCCGAAAAATGTCAACTTAGCCGCAATCACTGGCAGTATCACGGGCCTCGGATTCAACCCTTTCCCAACCTTCGACTGGAACGTGGCCTCTGTCATTTATGATCCCATTGTCACACCATTCTATGCCTTGGTTACCATCTTTGCTGGTACGGTGTTCTTCTGTATTTGTGTTATTATTCCAATCTGGTGGACAAACACATGGCAAGCTGGATACTTCCCAATCATGAGCAACTCGCTGTTTGCTAATGATGGTAACACATATGATGTTTCGAAGATCATGATCAACGGTGTCTTCAGCCAGGAGGCCTATGAAGCCTATAGTCCTCCTTACATGACCGCTTCGTATGCTGTTATGTTCTTCTGTTTCTTCGGAGCGTACATGGCTGGTGTCGTTCACATTCTCCTGTACAACCGCAGCGAGTTGAAGAAGGGATTCACTGCCATGATAAAATGGAGAAAAGCCAGTGACGAGCATGGAGATGTTCACAATCGACTGATGAACAAGTACAAGGATGCCCCCGATTGGTGGTTCTTTATTATCCTGGTACTTTGCTTCGTCATTGGTTGCGTTGTTTCTCGTGTCTATGTACCCAGCTTCCCTATTTGGGGCATGGTAGTCGGTGTCTTGCTGTGTCTTTTCTTGCAAGTCCCCTACGGCATGATCTACGCCATTACCAACTCCGAGGTAACCAACAATGTCGTCGCTGAGTTGATTGCCGGTTATGCTATCCCCAACCAGCCTACTGCCAACATGATCTTCAAGACCTACGGTGTTGTTTCTTGTATGCAGGCTATTCAATTCGTCTGTGATCTAAAGATGGGTCATTACATGAAAATTGCACCGCGTGTTACCTTCAGTGCTCAGATTGTCGCAACCTTCATTGCTGCCTTTGTGAGTATTGGCGTGAACGCATGGGCATTAGCAAATGTTCCCAACATCTGTGATGAATCACAAGCCGCTGGATTCAACTGTGAGGGTATCACCACTTTCTTCACCTCCTCGGTCATTTGGGGTGCCATTGGACCCAAGGAGCTCTTTGCCAATGGCAAGATCTACAACGCCACTTTGTACGGATTCCTGGCTGGTTCCCTCTTGCCTGTCCCATTCTACTTGATGTCTAAGTTTTTCCCCAAGTCGGGATTCCGTTACATTTATTCGCCACTCCTGCTGTATGGAATGATGAACTTTGCCCCTTACAACCTGACATATATCACTGCTCCTCTGATTGTGGGCTTTGTGTTCAACTTTTATATCAAGCGTCACTACCTTGCTTGGTGGGAGAAGTATGCTTACGTTCTTACTTCGTCCTTCGGTGCTGCGTTAGCTATTTCTGCTATCATTATCTTCTTCGCGGTTGAATATCACACGGTCTCTATCAACTGGTGGGGCAATACGGTCGCATTCGCTGGATGCGACGATCTTGGATGCACGAGGATGGCTGTGCCTTCTGGAGGTGTTCCGGCTTGAGACTATCTATTTATGATAATGAGAGGATGAGGGAGAACCAAACTAGTCAAGTATATCTATTTATTTAATCAATCAGATGCATATACTCTGTTCAAATGTTGGCCTTATTCATATGCTCCACGCTTTAAATTTGCAATATACTTCAGTAGATGTACATAGAAGGGCCTAAATATCCTAGACGAGTAGTCTTTAAGTAGAGACTGAACATAATTATTTTCCTCATGATCGGCCCTTCATCCCCTTCTTGCGGTTGTCTCTCTGTCTTTGTTCCTTAGCCGCATCACGCCGCCTCTTCTTCCATGCACGGTTGTTGTCACCACGATTCTCCCAGAACCACTTCGCGAATTGAGTTTCGTCCTTCTTGCCATCTGCTTCACGGGATTTGGAAACCGGGGTATCAAATGCGACATCCTCCTCTTCCTCCTCTTCATCATCATCCTCCATATACTTCATGTGTCTGCTAGCGAGGGCAGTGTCTGGAGTCGGAGCTGCACTCCGGAGACCCCGGTCTTGCAACTCTCTCTTATTGTAAGGAGTGAAGGGAGTCTGTGGCTCAGTAAACCGTTGCTCATCCTCGGATTCAATATCATCGGCATTGCCGAAAAAACTGAACCCAGCATCGGCCGCTGGTGCAGTCTTCTCTTCAGCTTCTGCTGGGGCAGCAGGACGTTTGAAGAGAGCTTCTAGGGGATGGACTTCTTTCAGGGAACTCTCATCAACATTTTGTGCAGGCTTGTCGGCTACCTCTGACTTGGAGTCATCATCTAAAGCCATGGTGTCGTCATTTGTGGTCTTTGTAGATACTTTTGGAGTTTCTGGTTTATCCGATTCCTCCTCATCGGCGGACGAATCAGAGTCATCAGAGGAGTTGTTGCCCTCGTTCTCTTTCTCGTTCTCGTCTTCGCTTTCGCTCTTCGAGTCTGAGCTCTCATCGGAGGAACCGCTCGATGAGGTGTAGTCATCCGACTCGGCAGACGATTCTGGGTTCTCTACTTGACTCTTTGTCTTTGAAGCTCGTACTTTGACGACGGGACGCTTTTCTTTGAATCCAGCGACTGCACCGGGGCGATAATCCTTCTTTCGAGCCTTTTCGCTAGGAGGTTCCTTCACGGTGCCCGTTGAGTCGACCCATCCCTTCTCCTCGTCGAATTCGGTTGTTGGTACTGAATCGTCACCCTTTTCGCGAAGAAAGCTGGGGTGCGAATAGGTTTTCGCAAACTCATGCACCACATTGTCGGGAGTCTTTTTGTTCTTCTTGGCCTTCTTATCATCCTCGGTTTGGGAAGCACGATTGGCAGGAATGGATGTGCGGAATAGACACTCGGGATTCTCGGAGTATTTGGACTTTGGCTGGGGTTTATCCTTCTTATCCTCTTTGTTCTTTTTCTTGTCCTTGTCGTAATTGTGCTTGTCCCTTTTTCCACTGTTGGGATCGGTCCAGCCTCTCTTCACCTTACGATCTGAGGGGAGTTCGTAGCCTTCCAAAGATTGTTTTTCTTTTTTGTCTTTCTTGTCTTCGGACTTGTGCTTCTTGGACTTCCGCTTCTCCTTGGTAGGCGCGGGATCGGCCTCTTCCTCCTCAATTTGTCTTTTCTGAGGACGGGCGGTCTCAATTTGAAACTTTTTGCCCTTTAGGATCTTGCCGTTGAGCTTCTTTTTGATTTTCTCGGCCTCCATGGTTGGTAAGGTGACGTATCCGTAGTTGTTCTCTGGAAAGGTAGGAATGGTGTGGAAAGAGATGTCGGTGGCCGCTGATAGGACGGATGGAGGTAGGACTGAGGGGAGTAGATCCGGAGTCAAGGGAATAATATGAAGCCTGGTGGGGTCCGTCATTGCAGAATCTCCTTAAACTGCAATAAATCCCAACTCCCAAGAATTAGAGATCATGAAGATCATGATCTTTGCTGGTTTATCTTTTTTTTTTTTTTTTTAGCAAATCTAACTTTGCTCCACAGGCTGACCGACTTGGTTCTTCACCGCCTACTAGATATGGGATGGACCCACTGTACACAACAAGAACCCACTTGGGCAGCATCAAGTATTAGGTTGGTGCAATGTGACTGGATATGGGAAAATCCAGATGCAGGATAGGATTCAGGATGTGTTCATTTGACGTATGAGTTACCTGCTGGGCGGGTCTGTATAATTTTGTAGCTTCCCCGCTGTTGTGTCCACTGTTGGTTCTCCATACTGAGATACTGTAGATACTAGTAGGTGGGATCTTCGTGGTGATAGTTGTATGTATAGGAAAAGTCTATAGTAGTTCCTTATCGAACAGGGTCACTCAGGTGCATTCGAGTCCTCCTGACTCGAGTACAACAAGTATATATACTTGATTGATCGACAGATGGGCTCCAGGATTTCCGAGGCACAAGGCTGATGTAATCTCCACGATGACGACGGTCGTGTGCCATGGAATTAGGCCTGGCCCATGTGGGATGGGGCTGTGTTGGGTCATGATTATTATGTTTCTTCTTCTACGTGGATTGCACTGTATACTGGGACATCTCTGGAACATCTACTTTTGAATTTCCTTGGGAAATTTTGTTCAAGTTGACAACTTCCGCCACTTCCGGGACAAGCTAGTCCTGACGTTCCTCCCAACGCTCTAACTCTTCGATCGATCCGAACTTCCCCAGTTACTCCGCCGTCCCCGCTCCCATCTTTCCCTCCACTCTCTCTTCTTTTGCCCCCCTCCCCTGGTCTCATCGCGCTCTCTACCCAAATGGGTACTAAGCTTTAGCTCGGTCCTTTCCTTCTTTTTCTTTCTTTTTTTCTTTCTCTCTCTTTTTGTTCATTTGCCCGCTTATTCGCTTTCCCCCTATCTCTACTCCACCCCTTTGGGGGCCATATCGGAGTTTAGCCCTGCGTCTATCCCGGTTGACCCGACGCCTTCCTCGAGGCCCTCTCCTACAACCCTCCCACGATGGGAAATTCTCAAACAAAAGAGTCCCGGCCCCCGGCGCCGCGATCCCGGAGTCAACAGTTGTCGACAGGTGGTTCGGATACCCCGGGTCGCGCTGTGTATCAAAGTTCTCGGTCGGGAAGAGGTAGCAGCAGGCCTGATCTATCGCTTCTTGGAATTGGTAGCAGTCATCATGATCGCGAGGTCGCAACTTTGGAACACCGCCGCGAAACCAAACAGGAACGGGAGGCCCGTCGGTTGGAGAAAGAACGGGCTGCTCGAATCAAAGAGCGAGAACGCAGTATGAAAGATGAACATGTCGACGGAGGCTATCTAGTGACACAGGGCGTGTACGTGGGAACCGAGGACTTTGACAAGGGTCAAGTCCGGCAACTGATGGTAGGTTTACATTTGTGGTATTAATGCCACCATTTATGCGCAAATATTGACTGTGGAAGTAGATTGAACGTCGGTTGGCTCCGTTCTGGAAGGGATTAGACGACGTCTCCGAGTCATGGGCAGAACATCAGCTTATGGCCGCGGCTCGTGGCATGGAAATTCCGCCAGCAGACGAGATTCCACCTGAGTTACAATATACCCCACCCAAAGCAACAGCAATCAAGGAGTCCGCGGATGCCACGAATATCCAAAACCTCACAGTCCCAATTACTTCTCGCTCTCAATCCTTCAACTCGGACGTATCGCACAGTTCCAATCCCGCCCAGTCATTACCCTCAGCATCTCCACTCGGTACATCGGCTTCGCGAAATCTTCGGCACCGTGCAAAAACTTTATCAACAGTCATGTCGTCTAAGAATTCCTCACGGGCTGAAACTCCACCAAGAGAGTACCAACTTCCCAAAGATCCATTCGTTAACGGCCAACCCATCGAGGTCTACCTATACAAAGATGCAAGCGAATGCCCCATTTGCTTTCTATACTATCCTCCATACCTAAATCGCACTCGTTGCTGCGACCAACCCATCTGTTCTGAATGCTTTGTGCAAATCAAGCGCCCCGACCCACACCCCCCAGAGCATGGAGAGCCAGATGCCAATGCCTCAGCTCCAGCTGAGGGAGTGCAGGGAGCGCAGGGAGCGCAAGAAGAACAAGAGTCGCAGCTTGTCTCTGAACCATCTGCATGCCCCTTCTGCGTTCAGCCAGAGTTTGGAGTTACATACGCTCAACCTCCTTTCCGTCGGGGCCTTACCTATACTGTTGCTCCCCACTCCAGCGCCCGTCTATCTCCAAATATCACTTCTCCCGTATCCTCTAATTCCTCCTTATCTTCTGCAAATATCGGCGTCATTCCAGGTCGTCGCCGCGCCACGTCCTTATCCGCTACCGACCCCTCGGTGGTCACTACTGATAGGATTCGGCCGGATTGGTTCCACAAGCTGACCTCCGCCCGATCTCATGCAGCACGCCGATCCGCTGCTGCGACCGCTTTGCACACTGCAGCATACCTGATGAATTCCGGCAATGGGGAGTCTCGTGGCCTTTCAAGCTTAGGGCGAAGAGGCATGCGTAGGGCGACCCAGGGAGATACTAGTGGCCGAACTAGCTCGCCGGCACTCAACGCGCTTGCATTTTTGACCGAACGACCCGACCGAACACCTCCGCGTGCACCCGAGACCGATTCTGCAGAGGAAGGTGCAGGGAATATTGCGCCGCCACGGGACAGCTCAAGGCGAACCCGAATCGACGATTTGGAGGAAATGATGATGATGGAGGCTATTCGACTAAGTCTGGCTAGTGAGGAGGATCGCTTGAGGAGAGAAGAGAAAGAGGCACGAAAAGATGCTAAGAAGCGGGAGAAGGAAGCAAAGAAGGCAGATAAGGTCGCTCGCAAGACTGGACTCTATAGTAACAATGCCAGTACAAGTGCTTTGGAAACTTTTGGCGAGACGTCTCTCTCGAAGGTTGGCAGCGGTTCTACCATCGGTGAAGAAGCTTCTGTACCGGGCAAGGGCAAAGGCGTTGAACGTGTTTCCCCAGCGAACCCGACTGCTCCTTCAGCCTCCAGTGCGTCTACCCATGCGGAACAAACGCCGGTTATTGCCGAAGAAGTCATCGCCGAAGAGACTACCGCTGGAGAGCCTACTGTCGTTGAACCATCACAGTCATCAAGTCTTCGTCGTGAGCCAAGCGCCTCTTCATCTCTATCTTCCAAGATGGAACACACGCCAGAGGAACGCTCGACAGGTCATTCTTCCCCAGATGGAACCAATGCTTCTCTTGAGCCCATGTTCAACTTTCGCAGCTTGGCCGCGGTGATCGGTGATGAAGAGAAGAACCATGAATCCGAGCATGTAGAGCATGCCGCTCAAAACCAACCAGAAGGCTCTTCAAGTGCTACCCCCAGTGCTACTCCATCGGTCCACCAGCCGACGACAGATTCTGCGACGTCTGAGACCACCCCCGTCGTGGATCCTGAGGCAGACTCTGAAGGAACTAGCGTCCTACCGAAGGAGCTTGAAACTCGCTCAGTAGAAATCACCAATGCTGAAACTCACACTGAGACCACTTCATAAGATATTATGTTTTCATCGCACCTTTTCTGTCCACCATCAGGGATATCTTCTTTTGTCTTCATTCCTCTCGATCCTGGAGATTCTTGTTTTTGTTTTGTCACAGCATGAGGTTAGCCGGCGCAGTAGGAGGGCACTTTCTCTTCTTTTTTTCTTTTTTTCTTTTTTTCTCTCTCTCATTGAACCTGGACTTAGGGTCATTGGCTCTTTTTCTGTTCTGTCCGCATTCTGTTTCATTTATTCATTGACAATCGTTTTCGTGGCTGGCTGTCTCGATTCGCTGCATCCTGTTTTCCTCCTTTCCATAGAAATCCAACTAAGACTATATTTATCATTATCTTGTTCTTTTAGCCTATTTCTGTAGTCAGTTATCCTCGTGAAATGTCAATCTTATATGATAGTATACCGATAGTTACTACATACAGCATGTAAGATGTAAGATGCACCTTTATGCACTGAGAACTGCGGGGGTCACACTGAGGCACTAATGGCGCCCGATGATTGGTCCGGGTCGGATTTAAGGAACAGGCCAACGGCCGCTAAGCGGGATTGGCTGTGGAGCCTGGCAATTATTGGTGGATTCAGTATACAATCTAATATCTTCTGTAGATTTAAATACGATGAAAGGAAAGTTAAAAGGTAGATTGCAGTTCTCTTCGAAACTGGAAGTATATTCGGAGTATTATCCTTGAACCTGCAGGCAGCTGTATAGAAGATGGGAGCTCGGGCACTCGGCACGCCCGATACACCCGATCTCCTACTAGATACAGTATAGTAGTTAGTCGCCACTTTGCAAATTTTGCCTGGGTCCAGGGGCCGGGACCCGCCAACACGTTATAGAACCCACAACTAATTTCAATAACAATCGTAAAAAATATAATCCCTTTGCAGAACAATGAATATGAATTAATTGTTGTCAAGAATCAAGTTCTCATTGTAGTTTGAATCGCATCCGGTCATAGTCTATAACCATCTCCCCCCCTACATTCCCCGCGGCGGGCTAGTGCGGTCGCTCCCGGACAGTCTCTAGCAGGTCTTGTGAGTAATGGAAACGCAAACTCTTATCTTTCTTACTTTCTTACTTTCCCCTCTTTTTTCTTCCTTTCCCCTTCCATCTTCACCGTCTTTTTGCTTTCCCACTGGTCTTGAGTTCTCAGAGTCGGAATAATCAGAACGTTCTTAAATTTTGTGCTGCTGCTACCTCCTCACGAGTTGAGGATCACACTGCTAAGGCCACTGGGCAAGAAGGATTTTACTTGCGCGGGGACGGATAGCCGTAAGGTCTTAATTACTTCTTCAGGACAATGGCATTAACACCACAGGCAAGATCTCATGCGTCGCTCGATGACAGCTTCCCTACACTCCAACTCTTCCTTCTCGGTAGGTGATTCCCATTCCTTAGCCTAAGGCTTGTGGTGCGACGAATCCACTGACTCCATTCTTCCGTCAGCAATATGTCGTGTCGCAGAGCCTATCGCTCTCACGTCCATCTTCCCCTATTCATGGGTGATGGTTAAGGACTTCCACATGGACAGCGGCAATGATGCATCCTTTTACGCTGGCATTTTAATATCTGCCTTTTCCCTTGCTGAGGCTCTTACGGGCATGTTTTGGGGAAGTCTCTCGGATCGCTTGGGGCGAAAGCCAGTGCTTCTCTCTGGGTGCTTTGGGACTATGCTTTCTCTCCTCCTGGTGGGATTGGCTCCAAACTTCTGGGTTGCCCTGGTAGGCCGTGCCCTCGGTGGAGCTCTGAATGGTAATATTGGAGTCATCCAGACTATGGTTGGAGAATTGGTCAAAAGGCCCGAACATGAACGTGAGTTACTCTACCATTGTCATATTTCCTTGGTCTGTAATCCACATTATTAAATAATTATAGCCCGTGCATATGCTGTGATGCCTTTTGTTTGGTCTATTGGAACTATCATCGGGCCGGGTAAGTCTTCCTAGTTCCTTAAAATCTATTGTGCGAAATTGGCTAATCTTTTACAGCAATTGGTGGACTGCTTGCAAGACCGGCGGATAGCTTCCCTTCACTCTTCCCTTCAGATGGACTTTTCGGTCGTTTCCCCTATCTCCTGCCAAATATAGTCTGTTCTTTTCTACTCCTTTTGAGTATGATTGGCAGCTGGCTGTTCCTTCAGGAAACTCACCCAGATATGCAGCCAGGGAATGACCACCAATTCTTTGAGCATACCTCGGTTGAACAGCCTCTCTTAGCAACTTCAGGCGCAACTGCCAATGCTGCAGTTGATCTTCGTGCTGAGTCATATGGCACGTTCAATCAAGTTAGCCTGAGTGAAGATGAATGTTGGAATGTCCAAGCAGATGGTAGCTCGCCTGTTTGGAAGGAAACCTCCAAACCGAAGGCGTTTACATGGCGAGTCACTATGTTGATAGTAGCTCTAGCTATCTTTACTTATCACTCGATGACCTACGATCATTTGTTGCCTATTTTCTTGCAGGACAAGAACACTAGGGACATCTCGGTTGGCCCTTCTTCTCCCTTCGACATTCCTGGTGGTGTGGGTCTTTCTACTCGTACCGTCGGTGTCATCATGTCGACTGATGGTATAATTGCGCTTGTAATTCAAAGCGTGATCTTCCCTGCACTGGCACAATGGCTTGGCGTATGGCGTCTCTTCATCGTCGTGACCATCCTTCACCCCATCGCATACTTCATGGTTCCCTTCCTCTCGTTTCTCCCCCACAGTTTCGTCTTCGTTGGTATATACGCATGCTTGATTGTCCGCAATATTCTGTCAATCATCGATTACCCTGTCCTATTGATTCTCATCAAGCAAGCTAGTCCTTCAGACTCGGTTATGGGAAAAATCAATGGCCTCGCTGCCTCTGCTGGTGCTGCATCTCGCACCCTGGCACCTCCAATGGCGGGTTTCTTGTACAGCGCTGGCGCAGGAATCGGCTGCACTGCTATTGCCTGGTGGGGAAGCAGTGTTGTTGCCCTGCTGGGAGCGTTGCAGATTTGGTTTATTCAGCGAAAGCCACATTCTTCTGTGACGGTGAAACCAAACTCGCTGTGTCACCCGGATCCATTTGGCGATCAGCCATCTAAAGAAACTGTGCATATCATTGTGGATGATACCGAGGACAGTGGGACACACGCAGAGGAAGGCTCATCCGCTTCGCCATCGCAATGATCACATGTGAATGGGTGTGTATCAGAAAGCCAAAGTGCGTGTTTATCTAACGACTTATGTCTTTTTTCAATCCAAATGTCGAAAGAATTACTATTTTAATTTTCTCGCAAGATTTGGATTGTTTTGGTTTCTTTCAACACAATCATCGGGTTAGCGTTTTGGAGCGCTTACATTTCACGGAGTTCAGGGTTGATTTTATGTACATTTAGCATATTCCCAAAAGTGAATTGAATATACGAATATATTATTTTTTAAGAAATCGTCACAACAGTAGTAATATTTGAATGTTTGTCTTGATGTCGTAGTTTTGATCACTGCGTTGCTGTCGATCTAGTATATGAAGTTACGCTAACCCGATATGGCTTAGCTCTGTTTACACGGCAACCGCCACGAGCAACTCAAAACATTGACAATCGAGACGGATCTTGCAATCTCCACACGCCAAAGGGTCACTGCAAAATTTTCGCGCTTTGCCTTCCCTTCATACAGCTATGGCGAACCCTTTATCCCCCCTATCTTCCTCGTTCCAGAATGCGCGAGCTCGATCCCCAAAGGTTGGCTCGTCGCCCTTCCTCGCCAAAACAGTCGACGAGCAACCCGATGAGCACCGCGCCCAACCAAGCCCGTTGAAGAATTCATGGGCAGATTATGAGCTTCCAAGCTCCCCTTCCTATCACGAAAATGAAAACTATCCCTCTAATGACTATGACGACCGTGACGAGATCAACGAGATCAACGATAACAATGACTTCCAAGAATCCGGCAGCTCACCATTCCGTTATGATGGGCGCGACGATACTGTTGATTTCAAGGCAATGAAAGAATATCAACAACATACCCCTTCACACTTGAGCACTCGATTTGAAATGCAACAAGAGGACGACCCAATGAGTTCACCTTTCCGACCCGATACAAGAGAGGAAACGGTAGATTTTCAGAGACTCCGCGAAGAACAGCCCTTATCGCCAGGTTTGAGCAAACGGTTGGCTTTCGATAAACCTCCAAGCTCTCCGTTCCGCCCAGAAGCGCAAGATGATGAAGATTATGATGAAGTGGACGACCATTCATATGAGGTGCAACCCACCTCTCCCGGACCCACCTCTTTCGGTTTAGATGGGCAGCCAGAGGAACCCATGAGCTCTCCATTTCGCGCTGGTACAAGAGAGGAAACTGTCAATTTTCAGAGACTAGAAGAATTTGAATCAAAGCGAGAGTCATTGAGCAAGTTTCAGTCTCGATCTCCATCCCCTATGATTCACAGCCCACCTATTCGACAGACGACTGGTGATGACACGCTTGAAATGAAAAAGCTCCGCTCCTCGCACCGTGCATCGCTAAGCACAGGACATAATCAGTTGAATGCCGCTACACCCCGCAAGCGATCATTTGATCAGACCCCACAAGACTATGATGATGATGCTATACAACCCAATGATCGTGCTAAGAAGGGCATGCTCACTCGTGCCGAGGAGCCTGAGATTCACATACATCTAAATGAGGAGTCCAGTGTCGTTCACGAACAAAGCCTACTCTCAACTACGAGTGCAACTCAAGATCGGTCAACAATCGCAAATAGCATGATGGAAGACAAACGCAATGAAGGCATGAGTACTGTTCTTCATGATGATGAGGCCGACCACAATTCTCAAGAAGAGGATGACATTGATCCTATGGATGAGACAGGTCTCAGTACATTCTCTGTTCTGCCAGACATGACCTCCTTCGCGAAGCTCCGTGCAGAGTCTCCTATGAAATCTATGCGCGGCAGTGTTGATCCTAGCTCAGCCCATGCCGCAGACATGTATCGTCGTAGTATTGATCCAGGAACTCCCGGGACTGCACGCAGGTCTCACAGAGTGAGTGCATTGCTTGAAGCCGGGTCGCCCATTGGATCTCCTACTCCCAGGCGCCGGGTGTCTCGAGATGTCTGTAACCCGAATGACGGTTCCAATCTACTCGATTTCACAGATCAAGTGAGTTTCTTCCCTCGTTCAACTCAACAGACCCCTCGTTATTCTCCTCAGCGGTCCCCCATGCGAAACATGCGCCAGTCAATGCGCTCTCCTTCAAAATTGTCTCTCTTAGACTTCGATATTCCAGCTGCACCAACGCCTCGATCAATTCCAACAGTTACGCCCCGTGAGTTGGAGTCGCTCAAATCTGGTTTCATGTCAGAGATTTCTTCTCTCAAGGCTACCTTGAGCGGCAAAGAAGCTGAGGTTGCCAGCTTGAAGACGGCTGTTGGAGATGCAGAGAGACGAGTTGGAGAAGCTCTGGAAGAGATCCGCAACGAGGCTGCTCGAAGAGAGGCAATGGAGATTGAGCAGGCTGAATGGGATCTTCGGGGCAAAGAAATGGAGAGAGTCTTGCAATCGGTCCGGGATGAATTAGACGATGGTGAACGAGAGAGAGATCGGCTTACCCGCAAGGCCGAGGATGCGGAGAAGGGCAAGGAGAAACTGGAAGGCAAAATTGTTGAGCTTGAGACCCAATTGTCCACCGCTCGTTCTTCGGCATCATCAGCTTCCAGGGCTACATCAAGCTCCGGCCAAAGTTCACAGTCAGCCGAGGACACTGCACGAGAAGTGCAGGATGCCGTTGAAAAAGTTGCTCGAGAGCTTCACACTTTGTACAAGGGCAAACATGAAACCAAGGTCGCTGCGTTGAAGAAAAGCTACGAGTCTCGCTGGGAAAAGCGTCTTCGTGAAGCAGATGGCAAGTTGACCGCTGCCCGTAAGGAAAACGAAAAACTCAAGGCTGAGCGCGATGCTTCCAACTCTGACTCCATGGCTGCGGCCAATGTCAGCATGATCGCTCGCGAAAATGACGAACACGAGGCTGAAAAACACGTTTTCGAGGCGCAGATTAAGGGCCTGCAGCACGAGATGGCAGCATTGAAGCAAGACAGTGAACAACTGCGCGCCGATCTTAAATCTGAACGTGCAGAGAAAGGAGAATTGGTCGCCGCCGTCGATGAGTGGTTGGCTATTCAGCAAGGACAGCCTGCTCCTGTTGAACAAGAACGGCAAGCTTCAGTCTCCTCAGCTGGAAATCCCGAAGATGGCTTTCGTGCACCAAGTGAACCTCCAGCTGAGACCTTCCATCGAAGTGTCAGTCGCTCTGGATCTAGCGGTATCCGCCCTCCTTCAACGGCCGAAAAGAAACAGTCACGCATTGGGGCACCCGGTGGTCATTCACGAGGAAACAGCGGAGGCAAATCTGGAATTGCTGTCTTCACTCCTGGTCGAGGTGGAATCCTGAGCTCTATTGAGCGGATGGGGCGTGGAGGAGTCTAGAGATATTGGTTTAAATGAGGTTTCGGTTAGACTTTGAGTCTCGGCGTTGGGTTTTCTTTTGTTTTATGCGTCCAAGTCTTGATTCCCCTTCCATCGCTTTGGAAATGTGCCTATGTGCTCTCTGTATTATGACATTACATGCTTGAACGTACTATGAACCTTTCGATATGGCTTGTGCCGATCGTAGCATCGTTGTACTGTAGTAGAAGGAGGACAGTAAGATAAGTGGAGAATTTACATAGATTACGTTGCAGCTTTCTAAGGTTTCTTGATTTAAAATCCATGAAGGCCATCTAACGTCCAGGGAACACGGAAGACATGGCTTCTTCCACTGGATGTTTGCCCCTTCCCAGTTCCCAACACAGAAAGGTAGTATGTATACCACCTCAACCAAGAAAAAAAGATCCAATACTATGCATATGTTGCACATATGCACCAACATTTCAATGCGTCTTGTTATTGACCAACCTCCCAATCTCTCAAAGCGGCAATTCGCCGGAAGAAGCCCGAATGAAATCCGAAGGCAACTCATTTTTCAGAAAAGACATGTCTTGCACCTAGTGGAGTAAGGCCACATCAATTGATGTAGATCCTACTAATCCTACCAACTTCCGGCTGCCTCCGGTCTCCTAGGTCTCCTTTAATCGCGGGGTGCCGAGCTGCATAAACAAGTTTGCCTAATTCGGACCGATTCCCCTCGTCCGGTCCGTTTTATGCACCACACGTATGGACACCCGTCCGTGCGTAAAATACCAGGCGATGACCAGATACATAAACCATCATGATCCAGAGTGGAATTACAACCAATAACCTTCATGCTAGTGATAGTTTTTACTGCAGTTTCCTCTTCTGTTCTTCCAAGCTCTTTCGTGGGTTAGCGTGACAATGCGCTATGACGCCACTGACCCGTCTATTCTACAAAACCCCTCCACGATGCATGGATTTGGGATCGGCGTCTTTTCGAGGGGCCCAGTCTAAGTCTAGCTGTACATACCATTCTAACTCTAAGCCGGAGGTACATGCACCGAGAACAGGTGACGGCTACAATGATAGGTTGGAATGTTTGATCTTGGCGAGTTGTATCGGCGTGTCTCCGATAAAACGCGGGGTGATGAGGGGACAGTGCATTGTTTTATCCAAGCTACTGTGCTTTGGATTTCCGGGGAAAGGCTGGGCTTTTGATTCGTTCCTTCCTTTTGGGCTCGGACGCTCTTTTGATTGCCAAGGCGTGGGGTTAGAACCGGCGAGATGACCGATAGTGGGACGTGGGACTTGACACGTCGACGCTTTTGGCATTCTACTATACAGCCCACTTCGTATAGGGTGACTCTCCGGTTTGGTTTGATACGTAACTTCTATATTTAAGTGTATTCATCTTGCCCTAGCTTGGAATAGATAGCAGCGCTTGTGTTGTGGTTTTCTGGTTTCTTACTATAGTAGTTGAGACTCTAAAAGCATGCTTCCCACTTTCGAAGATATAAACAAAAACAAGATAGGTAAAGAGGATTTTCAATATTGATATTGGGGCTCCTAAGAAGAAGGTGAAACCACCTAAGTGAAATAATCATATAAGTATGGAAAAGAGGCTTCGAAATTCCTGCAATCTTCCGAGAGAAACGTACTTAATGCAGTGATTTCATATTACTCCAGCCTAGGTTCTTTACAGATTCCCAAATTACTGCACACCAAGTACGCGGTGACTATTCTTCCAATGCTGTATGTTGAGAAGACTCTAATGCTATCCGGTATGTATCAATTGGCCCGTGACGTCCTATGTGAAGATCAACGTCATGACTGGAGCACAGGATGACTGTAACAACTCGAAAGGAGTAAGTAATTATGGAAGAAGGGGGCTAGGGTCCTCTAGACCCTCTTTTGCAATTGTAGAGCTCCGTCTCCAATGACTTTCCAGTTCTTGAAACGTCGTAGGGAAGCTTAGCCATTTTTAGCATGCTGATCTTAGGTTCATGGGGCTGAAACACCTACAAATATCCTATTTTGTCTGTGAAGGGCTTTAGTGCACGAGAATGTAGTCAGCTGAGGTTGCATTGGGATGGACTTCAATGGCATTGCTGGATGTAATTCTTATACAGCAACTCGGAGTGTCTGCAAGAATGAATCATGGATACTCCGTTTGACAGTTATCTTGCCCCAGGCCGGTTATGACTATGTAGAAAGCTCGCCAATTCAATGTTGATCCGACGAATGGACGGTCAAATAATCATATATTGATTGATTATCTTTTGCGAGGTGAACCACTCAACAGTATCAAGGACTTCGTTCTATGAATTGTAAGTTACCCTGGGCAGATTCAAGTTTGTATAAGGAAAAAGTTGACTCTTCCTTGTCCAATTTCCGTCTTTCTCAACTTTCAGAGGTTGTAAATTGGTAGCTAATACCATGTGTAGTTGTAGTAGTAATTAAGGAGCAAGGCCGTATTATATCTGGCCTCACCTCCAGTGACTAGCCTAAACTGAATCGGGAGTTCATCTCGGCAAGTATCAGGAATGGGTTAGCTCCCGGCTCGGCTCCTGCGAAACACAAGCTGAGTCCTATATTTCGTGATTTATAACACTCTGTGATTTTCGTTTCTTCAGGATTTCCCATTTATTTCAATTACTTCCTTTATATGAAGTCAATACTGGACTTTGTACATATACAACGCTTATCCGCGGGAGGCCGGAGGGTAGGGGTCGAGGACCCATATCCCGAGAACACATCGCTTGGGCTGTATCTTACCGGCCCCGGACTCCTTGTTTCTCGGCGGGATTTTCTGGGGGAGGTCAAGACATGAAACGGGCCCCTTGGTTGACCCAAGGATCGTGCAGGCGGGCATAACAGGATTCGGGAAGTGACCTTTGCCAGATACATGGTTGGAGTCCCACTTGGATCCGCTTGGGACCTCGTGAGAGTCCAGAATTTCATGTCGATTACATGTATAGACCTAGTCTGGCTGGACAGAAGGCTTGAAAATGTTTCAATGGCCCCGCTATTTCCCGTGGACCTCCTCGTGATTCTTCTCCCTGCTCCACATTGTATCTGTCGATTTCGTCACTTTTTGTTTGGTTCGAAATTTCTAGTTGAATGGATCTGATTTCTGACTTTTCTCGGAATTAGTTCGATGTTCATTATTTTCATGTTTTTTGTTACCTTGTACTGCCTGGAGGTCTAAAAAATAAATTACTGTCTAACAAGGTTGACGATAGTTTGTTCAATGCTTGTCCTTGTCTTGGTCAACTTGTTTCTCATTCTTCCGAGAATCGGCAGTACGATGCACGGACAATTTGGAGCAATCAGAGTGGTGCAGCATAGGGTTCCGCACGGTGCGCTATATAACCAACAAACCAACCCATCCAGGCGGTTCTCGTGAAGGAACGGCATCATTCCTACCAATTCGTCTCTGGTCATTCTGGACCGTCGGACCGGTTCTAATTAAAGTTTGCTTTTCCTTAAAAAATCTGATTTTTCCCTTGCCTTTTCCATCCGGGAGACTAGGATGCTATGTATGCTATTATGCGATATAGGCTCCGAATATCGGTAGTATCTTGGTTTTGACTTTGTGGGGGAGACGTTGGTGTTCGTGTCTGGGGCAGAGAGTCGAGACCCCCCCGCTCTAATAAATCAGGATTTGATGGGATTTATTTATTATTATCATGATTATGATCATTGGAGTGAGATTCCATTGATGTTTTAGGTTTTTGAAATCCTTTTCTTCATTTAATATTAAATTATTTGGCTTGGTTTACCTCCCAGGTACCAACTGGTGGCCCTGTATACTGTATAGAACAGCCCGGAATGAATTCCATTATGTACAGATATTTCCCACTGTATCCGGAATACCTTCCGGGACATCTATAGATGTACATCTGCCCAGGTGTACATTCTCCCTCGGATTCTGTCATGTTCCTAGGATCAAGAATGAGGCATTTGTTGATCTCGGGTGTTTAGAGCAAACTCTAAGGCTAGATAGATAATTATGCGGGGAATTTGGGCACCTATTACTGAAGTGACTCAATGCGAGTACTACTGCAGAACCGACATCGTGAAGTACATCCAAATCTCATAAAGACTTCCCTGTACGGAGTAGTTACAGCCAACAGAAAGCCTCACAGGACCGGCGGAATTGAAAGGCGCTGATCAATGAGAAACCCGCCAAAAAGGTAAGCTTGCGACAAATATCCACTACCAACTACTGGCAGGTCCCACTTATTCTCCGCCATCGGCGACTGGAGACGGGTTCTCCAGTCGGTTGTTTTCGGTTTTTCCCTTTTCCGTTGTATTTTTTTCAATTTGGTTTTACAGTATTTTCCCCTTGTCTTCTTTTCGTCTAGCGCCATCCACACTGTCTGGACCAGAATGTCCCATCTCCTGAAAATAAGTTCCATTTCACCGTCCATCCAAGCCCCAGGTTCCGCTCCACGAGGACTAGCGGCTCCGATCGTTCCTAATCACCCGTGGATTGGTGGGCGAGGACTGAGGCGTGGAACCTACAGGACGGTACCAGGTCCCCTTCGGCGTAATCCGGGGATTTTGCCAGGAGAAGTATCCGTGCAGAGGATTGCGTGCGATTTTATTTCTTCTTCTTCAGAACTTCCAGAGGGTTATACTTATTCCAGATGAGCAACATCAGATAAGGGATTTGTCGGGTTTGTTCTGAATGGTCGAGCCAGGTCAGTATGGATAGTGTATGTACATACTATCTATGTACATCACTTATAGTATGTGGAACTTGGCAGAGTCAACGGCGCATGTGAAAATTATCAGATACATGCAGGATAAGTGATATTGAAAAGTCATTTCAAATGGGTACCTGGCATTATTTCGAGCAGAGGCTAGTGACCTCGAGACCTGTGGCTCCGGTCATTTTATGACACACGAATCCAGACTGGGACTCCACTTAGTGAGATGGGGTTGTAGTCTTGGAGTGGCTTGGTTGTTCTCTTTTACACAATATTTTTTTGTCTTTGAATCAACCCCAATTCTTCAATGGATTCCCCATACACATTCTTCAATTAAATCTCTCCTCTCTCCCCTTACCTCTAGTTTATCCTTAAGTATTTCATGTCTCCTGTATACATATAGACTTTCTCCACGGCAATCCGGCACCGCATCGGTCCCGTCGGGGTCCCGTGACCGGGCCGAGCGTCAGGTGTGCTAACCCGTAAGAAGGAATAGTGACGACATGTGTATTTTTGAGGTTTTTATGGTAATTTTTAGGACTTTTATTCTTTATTTTATTATTATTTTAATTTCATTTCAGGTTTAGTGGTTTCATGGACCTAAGTGGATCGCGGATTTCAACAGAAAGTGGAAATGCCTCTCGTGTGGGGAATTCTTGCCTACTTCGTCCTGGTTGAACGAATCGTGGCCGCTCGAATTAAGTAGTTGGGGGCACCTGGGGGGAATTTTACACGGGTCCAACCTGGGTTCGTCCTGCTTTCTTGGATTATGGGGGTGGCACATCTTTTTGATTCCAAAATAATAATAAAATATAATTTACTTTATAAAGTATCCATACCCCCCGGTCCCAGCGCGCCTCTCCCCAGTTCTACTTTAAAACATACCAAAAAAAAACCATCTCCACTCTTCCCCCCCCCCCCCCTTTCCTTTCCCCCTCTTCATTCTGAGGAATTTGTGCTATTCTGTTCTTCGAATGTACAGCCAACGCCCCCGATCATTATAAAGTAGTGTGTCGCCGAAGTCATGTCCGAAACTGAGTCAGGAAAACGCAAGGCCTCGACTGCAGGCCTTGCCGCTCATAACCGCCCCGTCAAGCGCCGAGCATCGAAGGCATGCTGTTGCTGCCGTGCTCGCAAAGTCCGGTGCGATGTGGTAGAAAATGGATCGCCATGTACCAATTGTCGTCTAGACCAGGTCGAGTGTATTGTCACTGAAAGCAAACGGAGAAAGTTCGTCAATCGCAGAAAATACCAGAAAAAACAACTGTCAATATTGCAACATTTGAAATGATCACTCTTTTTAGCTAACGTAGATTCTTTGCAATTCAGGAAGTCTCGCGTTGAGACTGAAAATAACAACTATGCCGACTCTCCTGGAGAAGTTTCCGAGGAGAATCCTTTGCATGGGATACACGGGTTTGGTGATATTCCACCTACCTCGCCCTCACAGGCATCGGTGGATGTGGATCATGGCCAACATATGCCACATTTGCTATGTTAGTTGCCAATTTCCCTCTCAAAAAGCAAAATAGACAGCTTGCAAAAAATATATTCTGAGTGAACATCCCCAAGCTGACTTGACCGCAGATCAAACGCAGGCACAACGCATAGGCTCCGACGCCCGATACCGTCGCCGCATGGCCCCCACACCCGCTGTGCCCGCATCCATGCCTTTGGATAATGCGACTCTGCAGATTCAACAGCTACTCGATCCGTCATTCGGTAACCAACGAAACACCAATGATTTTCTTCCCGACTATATTCGAGGTCTCCCCGCACGATTCCAAAAAGAGGATATCGACTACTTGGGCGCCAAGGGAGCATTGACGATTCCCGATGTCACCTTGCGAAATGAACTTTTGAAGGCCTATATTCACTATGTGCATTCATATATGCCATTGCTGGATCTGGAGGAGTTTCTGCAGACCATTGTTCAAAATGATGGTATTCACCGTATCAGTCTTCTACTGTTCCAAGCTGTCATGTTCGCTGGAATGGCCTTCGTTGATATGAAACATTTACAAGCTGCTGGTTATCAAACCCGCAAGATAGCTCGCAAGATTTTCTTCCAGCGAGCTCGTTTGCTGTATGACTTTGACTATGAAGTGGATCGCATCTCACTGGTTCAGTCGCTGTTGCTCATGACATACTGGTACGAGACTCCCGACGATCAAAAGGACACTTGGCACTGGATGGGCGTCAGTTTGTCTCTGGCCCATACCATTGGCCTTCATCGGGATCCGGGTAATTCGCGCATGGATCTACGCCGCCAACGAATGTGGAAACGCATTTGGTGGAGCACGTATACTCGCGATCGTCTGATCGCCTTGGGCATGCGACGACCGATGCGCGTTAAGGATGATGATTGTGATGTGCCCATGTTAACTCTTGATGACTTTGAATTCCAGTCCTTCTCACCGGAAATTGTGAAGATGGTCGGGGATTCAGAGATCCTGCATAATATAAGCCACCAGCGAGAGTTGGCGTTGATGTTCATTGAAAAAGCTAAGCTCTGTCTCTGTGTGAGCCATGTCCTTTCAGCTCAATATTCCGTACTTAGCCATAAATTTGGCGGCACTATGGAGACTACGATGATGTTGGTTCCTAAGAAATCAACTGCGGAGTCTTTTGAAGTACGACGATGTGATCAGGAGCTGGAAGACTGGCTGGCCAACCTCCCGGTGGAAACTCAATATACGCCTTCGGGGGTATCGAAGCTTCCTGAGGCCCACGAAGTTCTTCACTCACACCGTGCTTTACTGAAGATGGTTTATCTTACCACATCTAGCGCTCTTCATCGTCCTCAGGTTCTACCTGCCGTTCCTTACCCGTCTATGGATTCAGAGCTCCAGGACATGTCTCGCCAGAAAGTCCGATATGCCGCCTTGGAAATCACCAATATCGCCCAGGATCTTCACATCTTGGACTTAACTCGTTATTACCCTACAACTGGAGTGACAGTTCTTCTCCCAGCAGTCATTATTCATTTACTCGATATCAAATCTAGTGACCCCAGTGTGCGGATGACCAGCCTCCAACGTTTCTACCAATGTATGCGGATCTTACAACGCCTGCGTGAGATTTACGCTTCAGCCGACTTCGCTACCTCATTCTTAGAGGCAGCAATTCGAAAGGCCGGTATCCAGCTTACAGTCGCTCCACAAGACGTCCAATCCAAGCGATCTCGCAAGGCCGCTGCTGCCGCCACCGCCACCACCAACCAGACTAGCAGCGATCCATTTGATTCGCTGTCTCGCAACAATACATTGACTCCCCCACCGGATTCACTAGCCCAGAAAATCCCCGACCTCACTTATCCCCCAAAACCCCCCGCAGGCGGGCGGTCCATTGGTGGTTTATTCGCCTCAACCCCACCACAATCCGACGGCAGCGAGAACGGCAGCACCAACAACGTCAACCCCACCCACGACGCCTTTGCAATTCCCGAGCTAAACTCGGAATTGAGCCTCACGGAGTTGATGGACTTGGCCAATGACGCCGAGGTTACCCAAAACGACTTCGATGCTCTCATTAATTTCGATGATGCCGGTAACGAACTATTCGGCGACGAGTCCGATCAGCCTACAGCCTCGGCTCCAGCTCCGCAAGAAAAGGGCTTCGACTTCGGTCTTGACGACATGAACGTGATGGGCTTTGACATGGAGCCAAAGTCAACTGACTTTGCCGATCGCTCTTCTTCAAACCCTGAGTTTTCACTCGATACCAAGCAACCATCTGCTCTAACGGCTGATCTAGATACGGACCTTGGACTCAGCCCCAACCCTGATGACCAGACATGTGCATTTCCTCTTTAGTTAATGCTTTGGGGATATCTTTTTTTACTTCTATTATCCTATTCTTCTTAGCGCAGTATTTAATTTCTGTCTTGTTACAGACCTTTTGCACATTGAGCCTGATTCGATGGAAAGATCGGCAGGAAGGTTTTCATATCTGGCGCATTTGGGATTTAATATGGACATGGTTTCTCTGTGACGACGATGACGATCTTTGTATTTTCGATAGAGGGATTTCACAAAAAAGCATGACCAATATAACGACTATTCCCTTTTCAGTCTTGTTTTACTCTTTCATACTTTATTTTCTAGATGCACACGCTAGATACCTCGGTAACTGGGGCTGTCGTGGATCGGTTCGATCCACCGATGCCGATACTATCGGCATCACATGTCTGGACCTAGTTCCTCCCGATGTCATTGCGCAGCAGATGGGTCGGCCTCCATAATCCTAGTCCTATTCTAGATATTTGGCGGTTCCAGGGTTCAGCGGGATCGACAGGGGCTCATCTTATGCTGAAGTTATGTACACTGTGCACTGTATGCAAATGTATCAAGTGTGGCTGATACAAGTACACTCCAACGGACCGAGGTCCAAATTTGGCATCTAGTGCCAGTGCCATGGTTGTCGGTGTGTCCATACTTAGACATAGCCGGTTTTACGTTTACGATGTAATTCATTTATTCTGGTAGACGGGCTTCGGGGTTAGAGCTGTCCGTTTGGTAGAATTCAACGGTTTTTTTATTTTCAAAAAGAATGGATTTGTAGCATATCTTCTTATACCACGCATGTGCTTGCATCTAATCTCACGTACATGTGTTGCACCCTGCTTTCAGCGGTATGCGGCACTTACACAAAGAATTCGTAAAAAGTAACTAAAAAGAGAAAATCCAGTCGTCCACTGGCAGCCTATCAAATTGATAAGACTATCGGCTAGCATTTTAGGACTTCATCAATACTATAGCCATTCTAGCTGGCTTGTATCAATGAGTTGCTACTATTTTGGGATCCTGGATACCCCTGTTGATCTCAATAAGGCTTCTAATAACCAGATCAATATCAGATATATTAAGACTCAATACAAGATTCCAAGGTTGTGGCACGCGACATTGTATACACAAACATCGTGCTGGATTTTAGGCTTCTGGAAGCCCCTGGTAAAGTCGGAATGGCTAGTATATTGATTCATATTTGAGCTGCTCGTTATATACTGCTTGTAAGGGTTTATGATAGAAGATTAAGCGTGTTTCGCATCGCAGCATTATAAGATGCGAAGGCTAGTCTGGGAACGTCGGAATCACACAAATATCGCTTCATTGGAATATGGAAATTGCGCCAGCGCAGGGCCAAAGAATGCATGAATATGTATGTTCCCTCTTTCAGGCGAGAAATTAATTTATCTTCCTTTTTTTAAACTAGAAAGATTTCCCGATGCAATGGGACTGGGTCTTCTCCGATCTTGCATCTCAAGCTCTTCCAGCAATTGATTGGCCCTTAAAAAGCAGGGACTAGATTCCAATGCGAATGGATCGATAAAGTTTATCTTTAATAGAAGCTTTCCCCGGAAGTAAACCGGCTTTACTCCGGGGGATAATGGTAGATATCAGTTCCAAGGTTCTTGATAAACTATCAATGCTACCTACATGATGGTTCAGGCAACAGCTTTGAGTAAAGATTGGGGAGACTTATCGCCACAAAATTGATCAAATATTGGCGTCGATGATATAATTCGCTTTGATGCTGACAGAGACTATTGATGGCTTGTAGAGTGCGTCTCTATCAGGAGGGCAGGATTGTACATAACAATTATGTCGGAATAGTTCTAGATAAGCTTCAAGTTTCTCCCTCGATCCCTAGAGCTTTTGCTTACTCAGTTTGCCCGCCTCACCTCTTTATGAAGTACTCCGGAATTCCTCGTTCTCTACCATTCTGAAACAAAAGCTCCAAAACTTGGTCTTACTTGGCTGCCTGTGGCCAAATAATTGGTACATGCAGAGTACTGCGTCGGGCACCTCCACTCAACGATAAGATTGGTCCCCAGGTCTCCACTGCGCCTCAGCTAGCGCCGCCGATCTTTCCCCTCACCAAGGCCCTGAGAGCTCCGGATTGACCCAATTGCGCCTTTGATGCCTTTGCACCATGCTTAAAAGACGTACGCCAAGAAAAAAAATTGCTTTCACGTCGTTGAGGGGACGCTTTTCCCTCGTATCATAATACTACCTTCCCCGGAGCTCCTGCGGGGATGACTGCAGGCGACCCCACGGCCATAATGGTCATGCTTCTGACTGGCTTTTCTGCTAGGCATTGCCTCTTGGCTGTCCCGCTGCTATGCTCAGGAAGGAAATTAGGGGTGACGATTGCTTCAAGCACGCTTTCCGTCTCACCAGCCTCGCGAGTCAGGGCTATCCCCCCAATAAAGTTCGTATTAGCCTATTTACGATGGAGCCTGTTTATCGATCTTCCCCCTATTTAAGCTCTGATTCAGTCACTTTCAGACTTCGTCTCTTGAACGCATAGGCAGTTTACTGCTTAATACGTTCTATAATCATCTGCGATATCATGCGTACTAGTGCCTTAATCCCACTGTTGCTGCCACTGGCAGCAGCTAGTTCTATACCCTTTGGCACCGAATTCGCTCGTCGTCAACTGCCCAATCATCCAACCGGCGTTAAGACCATCAAGACTGCCAATAATGTGACTATTCGTTACAAAGAGCCTGGCAAAGAGGGAGTCTGCGAAACCACCCCAGGTGTTAACTCGTACTCCGGCTACGTGGATCTTGCACCTAATGTGCATACTTTCTTCTGGTTCTTCGAGGCCCGTCACAACCCGGAAACAGCACCAATTACTCTATGGCTCAACGGTGGCCCTGGTAGTGACTCGTTGATTGGACTTTTTGAGGGTAAGAAGGGATATTTCTGAATGGTGATATGTGTGCGGAATGTTAACTGATGGATATAGAACTGGGTCCTTGCCGTGTCAACGAGTCTTATCAAACTTATCTCAATCCTCATTCGTGGAATGAGGTATCCAACATGTTGTTTATCTCTCAGCCCCTGGGCACTGGTACGTGAAATTACTGGGAGAGGAAAATGAACATAATACTAACACTTCTACCTCAGGCTTCTCCTACTCCGAGGAAGAAGCAGGCTCACTCGATCCATTCACCGGCTCGTTTGTCCCCGCTGATATCGCTGGAGTCCAGGGCCGATACCCAGTGATCAATGCCACTATGATTGGTGAGTAAATGGAGGTCAAAGCTCTAGATTGCCAAACTAACGATCGAAGATACGACCAACCTTGCTGCTGAGGCTACTTGGGAAGTTCTGCAAGGATTTCTCGGTGCATTGCCCAAACTTGACTCCAAGATCAAGTCAAAGAGCTTCAACCTCTGGACTGAAAGCTACGGAGGGTATGTTCCCCGAATCATCCAATTTAAATAACGATACTAATTCCTCTTAGACACTACGGACCTGCTGTAAGTTGTGAACAGAGATTGCTCTCTTACTTGTACTGACTTGAGCAGTTCTTCGATCATTTCTATAAAGAAAACAAGAAAATTGCGAATGGCTCCGTTGATGGTATTGAGCTTGAGTTCAACACCCTGGGTATCATAAACGGAATCATCGATGAAGCCATCCAAGCCCCGCATTACCCTGAGTTCGCAGTGCATAACACTTATGGAATCGAGACTGTATGTTATATGCCATGTTGTTCCGGTCCAGAATAAGATACTAATTAATTATTTAGGTTAACAAAACTGTCTACGATTATATGAAGTTTGCCAATAGCATGCCCAACGGGTGTCAAGATCAGGTCGCAAACTGCAAGGCGACTAACCGTACCTCCCTATCAGACTTGTCCATCTGTACAGAGGCGGCTAATATGTGTCGTGACAATGTTGGTACGTTAAACCTTTAAATTTACTTCTTTCTTCTTCGTGATGAATTAACTTTGTTCCCAGAGAGCCCATACTATACATTCAGCGGTCGTGGCACCTACGACATCCGTCACCCATCCGATGATCCCACGCCTCCCAGCTACTTCGAGAAGTATCTCGCCAAAGACTCGGTCATGAATGCACTAGGCGTTGACCTCAATTATACTTCATCCAACGGCGAAATCTACTACGCTTTCCAGCAAACGGGTGATTTCGTATGGCCCAACTTTATCGAGGATCTAGAGGATATCCTTACTCGACCTGTCCGTGTTGCTCTCATATACGGTGACGCAGACTATATCTGCAACTGGTTTGGTGGTCAGGCAATTTCCCTTGCTGCTAAGCACCCGCACAGTAAGAAGTTTAAGGAAGCTGGATATGCGCCGTTCGTCGTTGATGGCACTGAGTACGGCGAGACCCGCGAGTATGGTAACTTTTCCTTCACTCGTGTTTATGAGGCTGGTCATGAAGTTCCTTATTATCAACCTATCGCGGCTTTGCAGCTCTTCAACCGTACTTTGAATGGTTGGGAGTTGCCGAATGGGTTGAAGAAATTGTCTTCCGGGTTTGGATCCGATGGTCCTGCTACTGCGACGCATACTGAATCTTCAGTTGCATTGCCAACTGCTTCTGCTTCGGGGGTTGTTGGTATGAAGAGACAGTATTGATTATGACTTTGTGAAAAGATTTATGAATGTACAGTTGTGGGTATTAGATCACCACGAATATTAGTTCCAAATCTATACAGATAAGAAGCGATGCTCTTCTTATATTACTCCATCATAATATATCAAGGCTTATGTTAGACCATGTTCCATTTGAATCTATTGAAGCTATGTGACAAGTTCACCCGGTCCTGTTTGAGGGATTATGGTGTCCAAACTGGCATACCACACCTCCATTGAGACCCAATCAAGTAATCTGACTCTTTCAAAAAACGACTTTATAATCATTATAAGGGTGGTTGTCGATTGGCGGTACACAGGAGTAAAAGAAGAAAGGAAGGTGTGTAAAGGGGAAGATCCGAAGTCAATCTTTGGTCGACGTAAAGAAAAGTTAGAACCTCCAAGGGATGAGGGCTGTCGTTCAATAAAAGCAGAAAACACGCCTCATAAATGCAGCCGATGATTCATAACATCTAAGAATGCAGACAGGGTTGAAAAACAAAATGATGGTACAAGAAATTGGGTCATAGCCTTCTCTTAGTGTCGCTAATTCTTCTGGGACGAGGTCTCTTCATGAGACTCGGGTTTCTCAGAATCGTCGTGCACAGTGGTACCTCCCAGCACATCGGTAGCAGTTTCATCCGAGAAACGCAGATCGTCCTCCACAGAAGTGCTCTCTGTGACTTTGAAGAAGATGATGGGTGAGGCGATGAGCATGCTGCCAACAAGGAGGCCCCAGCAGGAAGCAAATTCAACCATATAGGGGGTTTTCACAGCATCGAGGCTACAGCGGCTATTAGCATCATGTTTTAGGGAATTTAACGGAATAACAATAGAGTATTACATACCGCCACATTCCAGCTGCGCCTGCAGATTGGATACCCTTATAGAAACCAGCGAAATTTGCCAATTTGCGGCTGTTGTTTGAAAGGGATCCCATATACCTGTAGAGATGGTACCGTTTTGGTTAGAAAACAAATTGTATGAGTGAATTGTAGCAAATCATTCCCACTTACCAGTATGTGCAAGTTTGGAATGCCGCGTCATAGAATCCGTAGAACATATAAAGAAACATAGGGCCGATATAGCCACTGTCCATGAAATCCATATCGGGCTTCACAGTCTCACGAGTATATTGTTTCTGGAAGTCATAACCACCACCCCAAATTGCCATAGTGATGGCGAGGAGGACTCCAAAATTGATCTTGGCACGTGTGGGACGAGAGAAACACTTCATATCGAGCAGTTGGCCGAAGATCAAGGCTCCGACCATCTGCATCGTCCAATATAGAAGACTGTTCAGGGCGCGTGTACGGATAGTGAAGTAGGCGAGGTTGACCGAGTTGAAGTGATAGCCATAAAACCAATTACTTGCCAGGAACATGGGGAACATCAGCACAATGTATGAGTCGCTCCGTAGTGTCTCCCACAAGCCCAAAAACTCCGATTTCCAGGTAGGGTTCTTGATAACGATGACACGCGAGCCATCCTTTCGCTTGATATACTTGGAGTCGGCGATCATCCAGCAAAGGACAAATCCCACAGCCATCAAGACCAGAAAAGCAATATAAGTTGTATTGTCGACCTTGTCGGATTTGCTGTGCATGTTCCGACCCAGCGGGATCAGACTGCCAATGACTCCACCCAGATTAAAAATGACCCAAAAAATGGCGATGTATTTGCCTTTCTCGTGCTCATGTGGGTAGCTCATCATCACCGCGCCTTGTGCACACCATAATAAACCGGCACAGACACCGAGAAAAGCACCCGCGAAGATAAGAAATCCGGCATTTTGGTTGATATTATACGAGAGGAGTGCCGCCACATAAAGGAAGTATCCTAAGCCTCCAAGGGAGAGGGTCAATTGTAGACCGACGCGGTTGGCGATGGAGCCGGCGAAAAAACCGACAACGGCAAAGGTACTGTATAAGGCTGTGTTTGAATTATTCACATCGGTCGCGTTCACTTGACCTCCACCTCCGAGGCCGGAGACCGCGTTATACATGCCGGGACAAAGGAAGCAGACGAATGAGACGAGCACCAATTGTGTTTCCGGGGATGCGAACCAGGGCGCTTGCCATTTGCCTATCTTGAACATCGGTTTATACATCCATGGCGGGCCGAGTATCTCCTGGTCCGCGCCAGACTCGGGGTCATGAACCTCCATTGGTTGAAAGGACTTCTCCGGGGTCGACGCTGCTGATGTGGAGGTCTCCGGAGCCTGAAGGTGTTGCTCAGGCCCTGGGGTAGCCATAATGGGAGGAATAATTTGTGAAGCAAGAGACTTGCGGACTTTGGAGGCGTGTTCAGGTTTCCCCAAAAAAACAGAAATCAACAAGCCAGGCTTAGGAATGAGATCTCGGAATCTGAGAAGCCGAAAATCTGAGAATCTTGGAAAGAAGGAATGCTACGTCCCACGTGAGAAAATCGAAACCCGCAAGGATGCCAGGAATACGTCTGCCTCTTTTTTTTTTCTCCCTCTACCTTTCTCTAAGTATTGTTGGTGTATGGGTGGTAAAAGTGGGAAGGAAGAAGAACCGGGGAATATAAGAATCTTTTTGAATGGAATTTCTTGGGTCTAATTGACTCTATAGCCGCGCTAGCTTATCAATGGTTTCACAGATTAACAGGAAAAGGGAAAGGAAAAACCCAATTATCGATGACACGCTGGGTCGCGAGAAGTGGAGATGTCTCTTCCCCTATCTCCTTTTTTTTGCAGGTCTTGTGGTCTTGGAGTGGGCATTGCGGGGATGGAGAAGATGGAGATATGGAGACTCTGGAGAAATTGAACAAATGGAGATCAGAGCAGCGGATTGAACCAAGTAATGAAAAGTGGCGACAACTCGAGGATGAAATAAGAATAGATGCGACTCTGCATGCGGTCGCAACCGCGCACAATATTGTAACACTCCACATCATTTCTTATGACTAAGGCGTACTAAGGCGGCACTCAGCATGATCCACTTTGGCGGTTGGCGGTAGTTCCCCCATGTTACTAGGGACCTAGGTATACTACTACCTGCCTATAGGAGCAGGATTCATTATCTATAACTTGGTCTTGCGTCATGCATCATGATTCATGAAGTGAAGTCATTAAGAACGTGTGTACAATATGCACCTGGGCCAAAGTGGATAAACACATGTTAACCCCCTCCATTATTGTACATTCACGGATATGTATGCAATTCCCATCAGGGCAATAATTTACCTGGGAATCAGGGCAAATGTTCCTGGTGCCTATTAGCAACCACAAGATAGGATGGATTATAGTTCTAACTCCAAGAAAACAGGCACCACTTGCTTTCGAATACATACTATTATGGGGCCCTGGAGTAGGTATAGGTCATGATTGTAACATGATAAGATCAAGCGCAGGAAGAAAGATAAGACGCGTTCACTGGCAAGAGAAAGAGGGATGTCATCCATTTATACAATGGTCCTATTTGATAAGGCTTTCCTCAGCGCTATACTAAAGCGTTCTAAGTATATCAGCAGTTGCCGCATCCGGAGATCTAATCCTCAAGCCATCTAAGTATACTTTGTCTTCGAGTTCACCCCGTCTAATCTAGAACTATATTCAGTTTGGAGACGAGGAACTATCTTATCTCTTCCATGGACGGATCCAATCATTGCTCTCTCTGTATTAGGATCTTCTCCATCCAGACCCCGTGTGGCATGTATTGTAAACGGCTGTTTGCATCGTATGAAATCAGCAGGCGGTCTGTGTATCAATGCTCAAACCAGAAAGCGGTCGGCCCAAGACGGTGAAGAGACCCTTACCTAAGCCTGCCATTTGCTGCCATTTGCGGCCCCACGAGCTTTAAATGTGGCTACGACGCTGTGAGGTTGCACTGTTCGGTGCTGGTTTCTTTTTTGCCCCCGGATTTCATTGTTTCTTCTGCTTCCAATGCATGGTATCATTATCATTATCATTGATTATCTTATTATTTTTTGGCCCGTTTTAGCTGATTTCACCGGATGCAACTCATAACCGATGGCACCTTCATCCCAACTTGACATCAGGTTCCCCACCCCACGCTCCACTGCGTCATCTATACTATTGTTGTCTACCACATGGATATCCAGACTTGGGAAGATAATAAATAAAATAAAAAAGGGTACCTGCTTCGATTATTCGACGGTCAATGCATATCCATGCTTATACTTTTTTTTTCTTTTCTTTTTCTAGATGGAGAAAGAAGAATATCATGAACGAAAACTATAAGGATCTTCATGTGGGGGGGGGGGGGACAAAGTAGATCGAAATCCGGTCTTCCGCCCTCATGGCGCATGCGACGATACATTCTTTGAAGATCCCATAGTGGAGGATCGTAGTAGTCGTAGCCAGCAGTAAGAAACCCCAGCATTTTAGTGAGAATGAACGAGGGGGCGTGTTACGATCCGCTTTGGCGTGGTACATCTGGGTGGTCTGGCTCCTCCCCTCCCGACGTAACCAACTTCTGCCACTGATTGAAACCTTGAACGTCCTGGGCTCTACTTTATCGATCTTTCTCTTCTTCCTTTCTTGTTCTTCGTCCTTTCCATCTCTTCTCTCCCCAATCAACCTCAACCTAAATTTTTATTCTTCTCTTTTCTCACTGACGTAACCAACATGTATGTGACCTTGACTTCTTTGCATCTCACTTATCTTCATGCTAACCAGAGTTTTTCTACTTTTTGACAGGCGCGTGATTATTAGAGAGGACCCTCAGACTGCTTCGGTGTACATTGCCGAGTACATCGTCAGTAAGTGAATGAATAACCTCAGTTGGGTAGAATCGTCCAAGTCACAGACCTGACCGATTATAGGCCGCATCAAGGAATTCAACCCAACAGAGACTCAGCCATTCGTGCTCGGTCTTCCTACAGGAAGCAGCCCGGAGATCATCTACAAGATTCTAGTTCAGCGTCATCGCGCAGGCGAGATCTCTTTCAGAAATGTCGTGACCTTCAACATGGTACGTATCGAACAATTGAGAACTTCTCTTTGCGCTCTGCTAATAAGATTGAATGTGACAGGATGAATATGTTGGCCTCCCACGCGATCACCCCGAGTCCTATCACAGCTTCATGTACAAGCACTTCTTCTCGCATGTCGACATCCTCCCTCAGAACATCAACATCCTTGACGGCAATGCACCAGACCCTGCTGCCGAATGCGCCGCGTTCGATGCGCGCATTGCGCGCTACGGAGGTATCGAGCTTTTCTTGGGTGGAGTTGGCCCCGATGGTCACATTGCTTTCAATGAGCCTGGTTCCTCGCTGAGCAGTCGCACTCGCGTGAAGACCTTGGCCTACGACACTATCCTAGCAAACTCGCGCTTCTTCGACAACGACGTGAGCAGGGTGCCACGCATGGCCATGACCGTTGGTATTCAAACCATCATGGATGCGCGTGAGGTTGTCATTGTCGCAACCGGAGCTCACAAAGCATTTGCCATCCAAAAGGGTCTTGAAGATGGTATTAACCACATGTGGACTCTTTCCGCATTGCAACTGCACCCTCACCCACTGATTGTTTGTGATCGCGACGCTACCCTCGAGCTCAAGGTTAAGACCGTGCGTTATTTCGAGTCTATCGAACAGGCTGGTACCGATGCTCGTACCCAGGGTCCCCCTTTGGTTTACCGTCCACGTACCTACGTGCCTGCCCCAGTGCCGGTTAAGAAAAGTCCTCAGCGCCAACAACCAACTCCTGATACCACACCGCAGAAGGTGCCTATGGACCTGCGCATAAATACAGAGCTTACAAGGGCCATGGAGGATGAGGAGTTGACTCCTGACAGCATGTCTTCGCGTATGGTTGACTCAGCCATCGGCGGACTTGATGGAGCTCTGAAGAACGACCTTGTCTTCGATCGTATGGGTGCGCGACTGGCTGGGACTGCTCTGTGAAGAATTCTCAGTTTATCACTATGGCATGATTTCTTTTCGGTCATTTTCTTTTCTGGCTTTGGATAAGGAGTGGATGGTGCCTGGGTCTTATTATTTTCCTTTTTACACAACTCATCGCTGCAGCTTTTCTCAGTTTATCAAGTGGAGGAGTTATCTTTTTCTTTCTGCTTTTTCCCCTCGGTTGTTTTGAGCCGATAGATAGGTCATGCTGGATATCCTTTTGAATCTGCGTTCAATAAGTCATTCAGACGACGTGCTAGTATGCTGTAACTTGCATCTCCCGGTAGAGGTATGCAATGTGTATATCCTCTTCAGTTATCAATATGAAAATATATTATCTAATGTTTTTGATGTTTCGTGTGCTTTGTTTTGCCAAGTTAGATGTATATATGTATTTTGCGTTATACTTTGTTTAATATGTGTTACATACTAGTATCGTAAGTTCAAGGTAAGGTTAATCTCACTAAGATGAGGCCTTACGATATTAAAGCCGCTTATGCGCCGAGGGCGTTCTTAGAACCTTGCAATATACTACAGGCCCTCAGCTTCGGTCCGATTTAAAACCGGAAGTTGTACAGCATAGAGTCCAATTGGATACCCGCCGATTTACATATAGGTACACATAGATAAAATTTAGATAGAACATTCACTAAGAAACTTCGTAAATCTTAATTGATGATTGAATTAAATTGAGGAGGCGTTGAAGATGGGTCTCATTTCTAAATACATTTTATGCGCAAATCATGAAGTATAGTCATTACTGTTTACAGCTTGGCAAAAACAGTCGCAACAGCCCCGCTCATATCAACCAAAGTGCTCTTGTTCTGCAGCCAAGCCTCAATGCCGCGACGGCCATTCTCAACACCCAAACCACTCTTCTTCCAGCCACCAACGGCCATCTCAGCCGGACTCTCACCCCAGGTGTTGATCCAGGTGATACCAGCTTGAAGCTGGTCAATGACGCGGTGTGCCTGGTTCAGATCCTTAGTGAAAACACCGGCGGCGAGACCAAGCTCTGTGGCGTTGGCGCGCTGCACCGCCTCCTCAACGGTATCATAGTATAGCACGGACATGACGGGTCCGAAGATCTCTTCCTTGACAATACTCATGGAATCAGTGCAGTCGGTGAAAATAGTGGGCTTGACCCAGTATCCGGCTTGCAGATCTTGAGGCACATTGGGTTTCTCGGGTCCACCACAGAGAAGAGTAGCACGGTCCTTTTCAATACCGTTACGGATGTATGAGATGACCTTCTCGTGGTGAACGGCTGAGCTCAGGGGCCCAAAGTTTGTCTGTTCGTCGAAGAGGGGTCCAGCCCGCACGAATGGGATCTTCTCCAACAGACGCTTCTCAAAGACAGCCTTCATAGATCGGGGAACGAAGACTCGGGTGCCATTTGTGCAGACCTGGCCTGTGCTGTAGAAGTTGGCCATCATAGCTCCGTCGACTGCGCTCTCGAGATCGGCGTCTGGGCAGACGATCAATGGACTCTTGCCGCCCAGTTCCATGGTGATGTATTTCATGTTGCCGGAAGCTGAGCCTGCTACCTTCATACCGGTTGCTACTTGGCCGGTGAAGGAGACCTTGGCAATGGTTGGGTGGCTGGTCAGATGAGCACCAACGTCGCCAGCGCCGTTGATGACATTGAAAACACCAGCAGGTAAACCGGCTTCGGTATAGACCTCGGCAAGAGTCAGGCCGTGGAGGGGTGTGAATTCACTAGGCTTGTACACCATAGTGTTACCAGCGGCAAGACAGGCGGCGGATTTCCAGAGGGCACTAAACGAAACGTTTCATTAGAATAAGATTGAGTGGGGGGAAACCGAAAACTTACATTTGAATGGGATAGTTCCAAGCACCAATTCCCGCACAGACACCCAGGGGCGCCTTCTTCGTATACACCCAAGCATCCTCCCGCAATTGGGTGGTCTCACCATTCAAACCACCACCACCAATGAAATTGGCATAGTACTCCAAGACATCGGCACCAGTTACCACATCGACGGTGCTGGTCTCTGTATAGGCTTTGCCGGAGTCCAAGGTCTCCACGCGAGCGATCTCATCATTGCGTTCCCGAAGGATGTTTGCGGCTTTCTGCAGGATGCGCGCACGGGCAATCGGGGGAGTCTGTGACCAAGAGGGGAATGCCTTCTCAGCCGCCCCAATGGCGGCATCGATGTCAGAGGTCGAGGCTACTTGGATATCAGCCAGCGGGGTTGCGGTGGCGGGATTGAGTGTTTGGAAAGTTTTGCCAGAGGATGCGGGTTGCACCTGGCCACCGTAGTAGAGTTGACGAGGAGGGAAGGAGAGGGCCATGGTGGATATGGTGTTCTCTTTTTTTAATTTTTATGAAGGGGGTATTAAGGAAGAGAAAAAGAGGGAAAGAGAGAGAGAGAAAAGATTGGGGAGGGAAGAAAAGAGAGGAATGACGATTCATCCAGACTGAGAGTCTAATCCAGACATACATTAATTGCTACACCGCCCGAGGTCGGTGGAGTCGACGCCAATCACGTAACAGTTTAGAGGAAGAGGAGTGCACATTTGGCTTTATTTGCGGGGACAAAATGCAAAATGTTATTCAGAAATGCTCGTGGTTGGGAGTGTGACGTAGATGAGTACGATCAGATTTGAGCTGTGTTACGTGTGATATGATCTCGATTAGCATCTATATACACCTACTTTCTCTCTGTTATTATACCTACTATCTCTCCGTATCCTATCTCTATCTATTTCATTTATTCTCTTATCACTGTGTTTTATCCATCACTATTCACTCTTTTCTTCTCTTCCCCGTTAGGAAAATCAGTGGATCCTGCTTATGCTTATCCAAAAGTCTCCATTTTAATATCCTTATCTTAGCCAATCACGTCTGTTCTTTCTCTCCAAGACTTCAAACTTTTACGTGAGACTATTCCCAATTAGGCAACTTGATTGAGATTTCGGATCGGGTCTTGCTCTCCGATCATTTCTTTTCCTTCTCCACTTTCTCTTTCCCAGCTTCTTGCCTCTCTATATAATAAATGACGGTGAAAAAAAAAAAAAAACCTATATTATGTCCCATGCTTCCAACCTCTCCCCATAATCTCTCTCCTTCTTTTGTGTCTCCTTTCATATATCCAATCTTGAACATAATTATATCTGCATCATGGCCACTACCAACGATTTCTCTGCCTCAGAGGTTGACAGCTACGACTACATTGTTGTAGGTGGTGGCACTGCTGGCTGTGTCATCGCTGCTCGTCTGGCCCAGTACTTGCCCAACAAGCGCGTGCTGGTCATTGAGGGTGGTCCCAGTGACTTCTCTGATGATCGTGTCTTGAACCTCAAGGAGTGGCTCAACCTCCTGGGTGGTGAGCTGGACTACGACTACCCTACTACCGAACAGCCCAACGGTATGTCCGATCTGCTTGTAGCCTATTCTTCCCTTGCGCGACAATTCCCATTGCAACCGTGACCATGCTACGATTTATCGCCTCTCCCATGAGAGGCATCTGGATTAATAGCGCCACCATGATTTTTTTACCCTTCTATCCATCCGTATAAGAAAACAATTTACTTACTTTTTTATTCCCTTCCAAAAAGGCAACAGTCACATTCGCCATTCTCGTGCGAAGGTTCTGGGTGGTTGCTCTAGCCACAACACCCTCATCTCTTTCCGTCCCTTTGAGTATGACTGCCGTAACTGGGTCGCCAAGGGTTGCAACGGTTGGGACTTCGAGACCTTCACCCGTCTGATCGATGGCCTGCGTAACACCTTCCAGCCTGTCCACGGCCGCCACCGCAACCAGCTGTGCAAGGACTGGATCCAAGCCTGCTCTTCTGCCATGAACATCCCCATTATTCCTAACTTCAACGCGGACATCCGCAAGAACGGCGAGCTCACCGAGGGTGTTGGCTTCTTCAACGTCTCCTACAACCCCGATGATGGCCGCCGAAGCAGTGCCAGTGTGGCTTATATCCACCCCATTCTGAACGGCGAGGAGAAGCGCCCTAACCTGACCATTCTTACCAATGCTTGGGTCTCTAAGATCAACGTCGAGGGTGACTCCGTGACCGGTGTCAACGTGACTCTCCAGTCTGGTGCTAAGCACACCCTGCGTGCCCGCAAGGAAACCGTCATCTGTGCTGGTGCTGTCGATACCCCCCGTCTCATGCTGCTCTCTGGTCTGGGTCCTAAGGAGCAACTGTCCAACCTCGGAATTCCTGTCGTCAAGGACATCCCCGGTGTTGGTGAGAACCTGGTTGATCACCCCGAGAGTATCATTATGTGGGAGTTGAACAAACCCGTCGATCACACCATGACCACCATGGACTCTGACGCTGGTATCTTCCTGCGTCGCCAGGCTCCCGATGCTGCTGGTTTCGATGGCCGTGCCGCTGATGTGATGATGCACTGCTACCAAATTCCTTTCACCCTCAACACCACTCGCCTGGGCTACGACGAGCCTTTGCAAGCCTTCTGCATGACCCCCAACATTCCTCGTCCCCGCTCTCGCGGTCGTCTCTACCTCACTTCTTCCGACCCCTCCGTGAAGCCTGCGTTGGACTTCCGCTACTTCACTGACCCCGAGGGCTACGATGCCGCTACCATCGTTGAGGGCTTCAAGGCTGCTCGTAAGATCGCCGAGCAAGCTCCTTTCAAGGACTGGATCAAGCGCGAGGTGGCTCCCGGCCTCAGTGTTCAGTCGGATGAGGCTCTGTCCGAGTACGGTCGTCGTGTTGCTCACACTGTGTACCACCCAGCCGGTACTACCAAGATGGGTGACCCTATCCGCGATCCCCTGGCTGTCGTTGACTCCAAGCTGAAGATCCGTGGCTTGAAGAATGTCCGTATTGCCGACGCCGGTGTCTTCCCCGATATGCCTAGCATCAACCCCATGTTGACTGTGCTGGCTATTGGTGAGCGTGCCGCTGAGATGATTGCTGAGGAAGCCGGCTGGTCCAGCTCCCAGCCTCGTCTGTAAATTATGACAGGAACGGATGAGTCAAGCCAGTCTTGATATGTTTACGAAAAAAAAAGTAACACGTTCTTTGTTGTTCTTTTTTATTTTGCCAAGTTTTAACGGTCTAGCATATAAGCGAGCGGCGTGGACCCCCATCAAGATTGACATTGGGTGTATCCCTAATCTATGCACTGCATAAGATACGTACGTTGATAACATATCAACTTTATCTTCGACATGGAGGTTGATCAAACAATTTATACCACCAAATACTAAATGCATTTTTAAATTTTGAATGAACATATTTATTTCAAACTATTCGTCTTGTATCCTGAGTAGATTTAGTACTCGCGAATGTAGCTCTGAGAACGAGGAAATATCTATGAATGCGCTGCATGGTATTTGTCTATGATTGATAAATGCAATACATGCCTGAACTCCTGCAGCACCGATACTAGAAGACAAAATGAAGCCGAAATGCGCAATAAGCTGCCAAGAACACCGAAGGAACCAAACCCGAAAGACAGCAAGATGGAACGAGGTAGGAAAAGCGGCAGGCAACCCGCCCAATGGAATGAATGTAAGAGCGTTAGACCCCGACAGTCTTCTCGGCATCATGAATCTTCACACCGAACTTCCACACTTGATCAACTGTCAAGGTCGATCCAGAGTAGGCGTCCTCCTTCTCTCCCAGAACAACTAGATCCGCATCCGCACCACTCTCCAGGGATCCCTTCACTCCCTCGAGGCCGAGAAGTCGAGCAGGAACAGCAGTGACGGTATTGAGGGCATCCGCTGTAGAGGCTCCTGACCAGCGACGGAAATTGTTAACACACTCGATCAGAGTTGCAGAGCTTCCAGCAATCTTATCAGAACCCTCCAGAGTCAAACGAGCGCCAGTCTTCACAATGCGCTCGCCGTTAGTCCACTCGTAAACACCGTCGGGCAAACCACACAAGCGCATAGCATCAGTAACGAGAATCAAACCCTCGGGGTGGGCGTTGTATGCAATCTTGATGGAGGTCGGGTGCAAGTGAATTCCATCAGCAATTACACCGTAGTAGGGACGGCGACGCTCGCTTTGACCGAGCAGACCGAAGATACCGGGGTTACGGTGGTAGAAGGGGCGCATAGCGTTAAACAGGTGGGTGATCATTCGCGCACCCTGGTGAGTAGCCGAGACAGCCTGTTCGTAGGTAGCGTCCGAGTGTCCGATTGAGTAGATGATGTTGCGCTTGGTGATTTCAGGGATCTGAGCCATCATGTTGCCGACTTCCGGAGCGGCAGTGATCATCTTGATAGGGCATTCGGTGCCCAAGTTATCAGCACCGTAACAGTGAAGTAGATCCTCGAAGTTCTGCGCGGCAAGTAGCACCTCAGACTTGTGGATGCCGTTTCGACCGTGCGAAATGAATGGACCCTCGACGTGGGCTCCCAGCGACTCTGCGCCATCTTGAGCGATATGGGTAGCGGCGGTTGGGCCAAGGGAGGGGAGAACCTTTATTCATAGAGTTAGAGTTAGCTGGTAAGATATAATAGCTTCCCTCTTTTGCCGCATGGATTGCATACCTTCCAGTAAACCTCGGGTGTCGAGCTCACGATAGTAGGTAGATATGAAGTGACACCAGTGCGAGCTAGTCCGTGATTCGTCATTCGCAGACCCTCATCATACTTCTCCTTCGTTTCACATGGTACGGAGAAGTCAAAGCCATGCGCTCCGTTGAGTTGCACGTCGATCAGACCTGGGGCCAGAATACGGCCACCAAGGTCGATAATCTCATCGGGGGAGAGATGTAGTTCGTAAAACGCCTCTTGGTCTTTGAGGACTTTCCCGGACAGCGAGTCAATCCAGAGATCCTGCTCCACCAAGGATGAACCTCGCAAGATGCGACAGTTCGTAAACTTGGTGATGCGAGGGGTGGTGGCTGTTTTGCCTGGCATGATGAATGATTAATGTCGAGTCTGATGATTTAATTCATCCCAAGTCCCTGAAGACGAAGAGGTTGAGGTGTAGAGGGAAAAGGAAATGATAAAAGGCATTTGACAAACAAATCCAAAGTGGTAGTTTATTGAGAACGGACTCGGGAGTATGATGTAACCGTTGTGACTATGGGGATTGTGTTCTGCAGGTGACATTTTTGCCGGCATTGAAAACGGGGTTCATTGTACATAGATCCATATTGTGGATGTAGCGCATGTAACCCTTGGGACTAACGACCAACCCGCACTTGGGCAGTGTGACATCGGGAGTGGACCGAGCTGTCAATACGGGTAAAGGTAATACGGAAGCGGATAGAATATACTGCCGTATTTTAGATCCATACACGGCTATACAGGCGGAAACACCATAGTGGGGAGCTGCTTCAAAGTGCATTTTTCTGCCGGTTGTAATCGTATTTCACGAAATAATTAAGATCTTGCCCAGTTCTCACCCATGGATCCAATCAAAACCCGGATAATTATACACTCAGCGCTTAGACGATGTGGGAGGATGGGATACCCTCGACCAGATGACTCAGTTCGAGTCTCAATTCTCAGGTTTATAATGTTTGACGTGATTAGGTAAGAAAACTCCCGCAGATCATCAAGCACCTATTGTTTCCTTGTCGCGATCTAAGTCTTATCTCCCTGTCTGCTCCAATTCCCCCCGATTTCCCCGATTTCCCCGATTTTCCCGATTGCGGCTCTGGGGCCGTGCAGCTTATTCTAGCCTGACATAGGCCTGACCTTCCCTCCTTCTCCTCCGTCACCTGACTGCGACCTCGGAGCTTCCCAACTTATTCTAAACCTCACATCTCTATCAAAAAAAGGACTTGAATGCTCGGGGCTGGATCCTCGCCTGCTTGCAACGCTCTTTTCTTTCTTCCCGGTCTCCACCCCTGGCATTCTTCATTCTCCCTCCCCCTCCCCCCAGGGCCATGGCCCCGAAAGAGGACATGCTGCCCCCGGGCTGGGAGGATTTAGACAGGTATGTCAATCTCCTGTTCCGGAGAGTGATACTTTGCCAGCCCTACCCTACCTTATTTTGTCCATCTCCACGCGTTGTGGAACCCAAACACGTCCCCTTCCTTCCCCACCACTATCCTCCTACCCATCGGACTTATTTAATCATTTCCCCTTGCGGCGATATATTGCCTAATATGATGGAGTGGGAGGGTATGACTACAGAAATCATGCTTACCGTACTAACCCATGGATTGGATTAGGCAAATGGGCCAGCTCTTTATGATGGGCTTCGATGGTACCTCGGTCAGCCCGGAGATTCGCTCACTCATTGAAGATTACCATCTAGGCTCTGTCCTCTTATCAGCGAAGAATCTAAAATGTAATCTTTCTTCATTCTTGTTTTCGTTTCTTTCCTTCCTTTTTGTCTGTTTTTTGTTTTAGATCTTTGTCTTTGCTATACTGTTGACTAACCCCATCATTAGCCGCTGAAGAAGCCACGCGTCTGGTCCTTGAGCTGCAAACAATTGCTCGTAATGCGGGTCACCCAGCACCTTTGTTGATCGCGTTGGATCAAGAGAATGGCGGGGTAAATAGTCTATATGACGAAGTATACGTACGACAATTCCCAAGCACCATGGGTATGGCCGCAACGGGGTCTAAGGAGCTAGTCCATGAAGTCGCCGTGGCTACTGCCCAAGAGCTCAAAGCGGTTGGTGTGAATTGGATCCTTGGTCCAGTGCTTGACGTTTTGACCAACATACGAAACCAACCACTTGGTGTGCGCACAAGCGGAGACGACCCTCAAGAGGCTTCTCAGTATGGGGTCCAGTTTATGAAAGGATATCAAAAAGCAGGACTCGCGACGTGCGGCAAGCATTTCCCTTCATATGGCAATATAGAGTTTTTGGGTTCTCATGCAGATGTACCGGTCATCACGGAATCCTTGGAACAACTCAGTCTCACTGCGTTGGTGCCTTTTCGTAATGCTATCACGCACGGCCTGGACGCCATGATGGTAGGTGGCGTATCCATGTCATCAGCTGGTATGAATGTTATGCACGCCTGTTTGAGTGATCAAGTGGTTGATGAACTCTTGCGGAAAGACTTGAAGTTTAAAGGCGTCGTCGTATCGGAATGTTTGGAGATGGAGGCTTTAACACACAACATTGGCGTGGGTGGTGGCACTGTGATGGCCAAGAATGCCGGTTGCGATGTTGTCTTACTTTGTCGTTCATTCCCAGTACAGCAAGAGGCAATCAATGGGCTGAAGCTGGGCGTTGAGAATGGGATAATCGGTCGTCCTCGCATCGAAGAATCGCTTCGACGTGTTTTGAGCCTGAAAACCCGCTGCACGTCCTGGGATCAGGCACTAAATCCCCCTGGCCTCCTTTCTCTCACGCAAATGCAGCCTTCACATACGAACCTCTCAACGCGTGCCTATGACAACTCAATCACCGTCATGCGCGACAAGAATAACTTTCTACCTCTTTCCAATATTCTCGATGCTAGTGAGGAGCTTCTGCTCTTGACTCCTTTGGTGAAGCCTCTTGCAGCTTCTGCAGTCACTCTTTCCGCTAATGAATCTACTCATGGGTCTCTTGATCCGGCAGCTGTACTCGATCGCACGGCCTCGGTGGTCAGCGGAGAGACAGTATTCAAAGAATTAGGGAAATCCCTCTCACGACAAAGGAATGGCCGAGTTTTGCATACTTCTTATACAGCAAATGGAGTGCGTCCCATCCATGAAGATCTCATTAAACGAGCGAGTGCTGTGATAGTTGTCACGGCAGATGCCAACCGCAATTTGTACCAACAAGCCTTCTCCAAACATGTTTCATTGCTTTGTCAGTCACAATACTCCCCATCGGGTGAACGCTCAGAGAGACCTTTGGTTGTGGTTGCGGTCAGTTCACCATATGATTTTGCTATGGATTCTTCTATCGGAACATATGTATGCACATATGACTTCACAGAAACTGCATTGCAGGCTTTAGTCAAGGTTCTGTACGGCGACCTAGTCCCCAAGGGATCTTTACCAGGATCCATTACTCGCAGTCAAAAAATCCACCAGTCTCGTCAACATTGGCTTGTAGAGAATTGGAATGAAGAGCGGGACGCCCGTGCCCTGGATGCACTGCTAGACGTGGTCAGGGAGGATTGTACACAAGGGCAGCGATCTGAGCTCCTTGGTGCAACATCCAATAGCTTCCTTCTTCGGAAGGAAGACATTGATGAAACGCACTTTGTGGTTCGTAACAGCAGTACACAGGCCCTATATGGGTTCTGTGCTACCTACTTCTTTCGGTCCACCTGCACAGGTGTCATTGGATGCCTAGTCGTCGATCCGTCCCGGCGAAAGCTCTCTATAGGCCATTCTCTCCATAGCCGTGCAATTCGGTCACTTCTTCAACGGAAGGGAGTGAAGCGATTTCAGCTTGGGTCACGACTCCCAGGTATCTACCTTGGTATTCCTACTGCCCTTTCTGTTGAGCGCAAACGACTACGACAATGGTTTGCCAATCTTGGGTGGAACACGGCGCTCTCTCGTCCTGTCTGCAGTGTGGTACTGCGCAACTTAGGAACATGGGCACCACCTGAGGGGCTCACCGTGGCGCTACAGAATACCGAAGTTAGCTACGATCTGGTCTACGGATTAGACTACGCCCGTGAGATTCTTGACCATATCAAAACCAACGCCCGGCAAGGGGTAACTGATATCTACCGGATTGCACTGGGTGGCGCTCCCAATTGTGGTATCATCCGAGCCAAACGTCCGTCGGACGATATGATTCTCGGTAGTATAGTGATATACAATGAGCGATCTGCGTTGGCGGAGCACATGCCGGCATTACGCGCCACTTCGAATCCTGTCGGGGGAATATCATCACCTGTGATTTCTCCTTGTGCCGATGAATATTCCATTATCATGCAGGGACTGATCCTTCTGGCTATCAAACAAATCCGAAAACTAAATGCGCATGCTGTCGTGATGGATTGTGTAAGGACCCTGTTTTTTTTAAGAAAAAATTCCCCGCTTTTATTTACAATTTCCGAATCCTTTCAAAACTGACGAGATACGCAGGTGGATGGCGACGGCAATTTTGATTGCCTCTCCTCGTTGGGCTTTGATATGCTCCACAGTTATGAAGAAGTCAACTGTGATGCAGCCACCTGGACTATGATGCATCCAGCCTAGGAATAAGAACACTAGGTCTTTGTTTACGGTTAAGTCTTTTTTTTTATTTCCCTTCCTCTTGACTCCGGATTGTCTCATTCTCTGGAGAGTTCTGTTTTACTTTTTTCGCATCTATGATATCCCTCTGGCACTTTGGTTATGGTAATATTACTCGGAAGGCTGGGATTTGCAATGCAGGTACATGAGCCCCAATCAAGCCTCTCTGATTGGGTATGAAATTTACATGAGAAATTTCGTTTCGTTTTTTTTTTACTATTATTATCCTTTGTTTCAACTTTTCGCCTCTCGCACTCTGTAGTGTCATGACCATACATTCCGGTGATTACTCTCTTTGTCTGTCTCTATCCCTTCTCGTATCATGGGGGCGACTCAGAAACGCCTGGTGGGTAGGACAAAGGCATCCGTACAGCGTCATTCCGACCAATCTGACATCATTCCATCCAAGTTACAGGCTCTTTTCTTTGTTTCAATGTGCTTTTTTCTTTCTTCGTGACTAGTTTAAGGTTTTTATCTTTTTATCTTTTTTTTTTTTTACCTGGTTATCTATTTTTTCTTTTCCAGGATAAAAGTACTCATGCGACGATCACGGGAGATCCGCATCCTGCGTGTGCCCTGAATGGAGCTTCGCCAATTTCATTTGTCTTGGTTCAACCCAGCCATACGGAAGCTTGGGGCCGCCGTGCCATGATTGCACCTAATATGACCCTTTCTGGGGCTTGCGAGACCCATAGTGGAGCAATTGGGCGAGGCACCAGTTTAACGGCTGTTGCTGACTGGACCGGACGTCCAACGGACCTTGGGAAACTAACTTCGCTTTGTACGGATTTATATGGGGAGCAGTGGGTTTCTTTTCCTATCTTATCGAACCTCAATATAATTCTGGACTTGACTTGGCGCCAGAGGCGAACCAAAGAGAAAAGACCGACCGAGAGGAGAACGGAGAGAGATAAAACTTTCGCATCCACTCGGCCTCCCGTGCGAAGAAGGCGAGGAGGCTCGAGGGGCGAAAAGAAAAATACTGTACACCTATGGGCAGTGTACCTACAGTGTACCTACAGTGTACAGGCGGATAAGTCGGAGAAGCGAACCTCCTCCCTTAGGCGAGCCATGAGATGAAATGATCCGCTTTTGCTTCTTTTGGTGAAGATTTTCCTGTGCTTGAATCGTGCAGATGAAAAGTACTTTAATTTCTACGATAATATATGATTTAATTAAAGCCAAAGTACCGGTTCGAGTCGATTTTGTGCAGAAAAGACGTTTGGACCTCGGGGCGTCGGGGCCACAATTACATCCGTTGCTCAGATCTCTTGGAGGCAATTTAGTAAGGTTTTTCTGACCAATTGCCGTTTGGACTCGGGTAAAGAGAGGGAAAATATGAAGATTTTATTGAGAGTCTTTTGTCATGATTCTATATTTTGGCTGTTTCTTGCAAGGGTGTGTATAGTAGGCAACTAGAACGGTCATGCAGGTGGCCTGGAATCCAGCAACAGCCCTGAACATGCAGTAGGTACAGTTTAGCTGACATCGATCCGATCCACATTCCTGATCGTCAAGGGATTCGATATCTGTTCTGTTCTGTCCTGCGCTTTTCGTCGTTTTTATCTGTGCCGAAAGAAGAGAGGGGAAAAAAGGAAGCATAAAATCAAATGCGTACGATGTATTGCATAACCCCCATAAAAACCCCTGCTGAGTTAGGGGAATGGCCCATCCCGGCATATTCAAAGGTGTTCTTTAATTCTCTAGTGCTCGGTAGTCCGAAATCCTCTTTACCAAAGCGTCTACTGTAGATCGATCTCGGTGATCACCGGGTTGAGAACATCTTTTCTTGTTCTGTTCATTCTTGCATTGCTTCTGTTTCGTTTCTTTTCGTTTCTTTTTCTTCTTTTTCTTTTTTTCCCTTTATTTTTCCGGCGGTTCGGGAAGTAAATGGAAGCTTCGGGAGATCAGGGGCCGCAACACAAAGTTCACGGCCTCGCCGCATTGGGTAACGTGCACGCCTGCAATGATCCTAACCGGCCAACAGAAGATATGTGTAGCAGGATGGGAAGAATGCCCATGCATGATTCGGTGGGGAGTGGATACACTCCACTTGGTGCAATCGAGCAGAGAGGAGAAAGGGGGGAAGGTTAGTAGGGGCGAATCCACCACGATTGGATCCCCCGGGCTCACACTCGCCCAGCTTCACTGGGTCCTGAGGGCCCTTAGGCCCTGAGACCCGTGCAGGAATCGCAGCACAGTCGGAGATAATCAAATCGGGTAAATGCACAGGAGATGAAGGAGGGCACGTCCAGTCGATCAGGTTTGAAGCAACAGACTTCACATGGGTCTTTTAAGGTTTTGGTGCTTTTGCTGCTGCTGTTTCGATCTCGCTTGTCCACCTTCATGACCGAGTTTGGAAAGTCGAGCAAAGACGGTTTTAACGGTCTAGACAAATCATGTCTTCATGTTCCACATGCTCGTGATGCCGCGCCAGAATTACACGGGTATGACCTGGATGCATCACCCGACGCGCGACTATGAACCTGCAGAAGATCATGAATTAATGAATAGAAAATAGAAAATAATAATACAATAATTGCCCGTCAACGGACATCGCCGGTCCCACCCCTCTTCCTCTCTCTGTCTTTTGCCTTTTGCCTATTTTTTTGGGTCTCTCTGTCTCTCTGTCTCTTTTTTTTTTTTTTTTTTTTTGTTATTGCGTTATTATTATCTAGGGTGAATAGGTGGATAAGTGGATAGCTGGGTTTTCTTGCCTGTTTTTGTCCTCGCCTAGCTTGATGGATTCCTCTTTGGGATCCGGAGTTCTGCTTTCTTCCAGATAATTCGGCCCCCACAAGATAGAAATTCAACACCAACTGCAATCAGAGAGAGTTTTTCTTTCCCTGTACTGAACCAGGTTCGGTTCCTGGCTCCGACTGGATGCGGACGCCAAAGTGGATTTTGCCCGTTCGCAGTGGGACCCGGTCGGCATCACCAATCATGATGGTTGCCCCAGCTCATCGAGCGGAGAAAGAGGATCGTAGTCCAGATGCCCCGTGCTTTTTCTTTTTTCTGAAGCGTAACTCGTGTCCTGCTGGATGGATGCATATGGTGGCGTTGATTGGGCTGGGGCACTTCCAGGACGATGGCGCTGCATGTCAGACGGAGCCCATGTTGATCATCAATCCTTCAGAGAAGGGATCGAGAAGAATGAGTTTGTATCGAATTGAATATACTTTGACCAAGGAGGGGGAAGAAAGTAGAAGATGGTGGTGCAATAAGGTACCGAGTCTAGAAAGTCTAGATGGAAGAAAATTACGAGACAAAAACGGGACACCGAAAACGAAAAGCCTGTATACTGTATACACTCATCCTGGTGCACAATGGAAATTATCTATGAGACAGGATCCATGGAAATCCCCCGGTACATGATGAATGAGTAGTACGTCTTATACGAAGTACCTCAGGTATCTACCACATGTAATTTAGCCTCTATATACTTTTCTATAATTCTATTATAATTTATACTACATAGAGGGGGGTACCGCAGCCCTGTCTTGCATGATTGGCGTTTTTCCTAGGCCTGGATCTCTCTGTACGCAGTGGGTTCCGAGTTTGTGCACTGTAGAATGATCTTCAGGGCCCAGTTTGGGGCCGTGAGACTGCGAGAGTCTTGGAGGGAGAGAGAGAGAGAGACAGAGAGAGAGAGAGAGAGGGGGAGAGAGAGAGAATGTCAGTATTTAGATTTCATGTTTCAGTACGGGAAATATTCATATGCTTGCCGACAGCCGATCGTCCTGAAGAGAGAAAAGGATTTGTCCAGTGTAATCATCACTTGGATTGTAAAAAAAGATTAACAAAATGAAGTGGAGATCATATATCAGTCGACACCCTCTAATGTACCTGACATATGTACTTAATTTATTTAACATAATGACCCCCCTCCTCTTGCCTTCCTCCTCTCTCCTAATATTGATCATCTGCTTTCCACCCTGCTACTTTAATACCGGCTGTATCGAGTGTACCGAGTGTACCGACCTCCTCCCGGGGCCGTATTGTCTGATACTGTCCATTACGGGTCTGTACAGATACCAAACCGTCTTCGTTCTCCGCAAAAACCGCGGCTCCACTTTTCCCCGAATCCGCCGTTCGCATCGCTCTTACCCTCTAACCCAAACCCTCCTCTCTCTCCTCGAGAAAAGCCGCATTCCAAGACTTTCTTCCCCCTTTTCTATTCCTTCGTTTCCTCTTTTCTCCGTGTGTGTTCATCCAACCTTCTGCCCTCGCCATGGAGGGCTTCGATACCATGGCTATGCCGCCTTATCTGGCGAGCCCGCTCTCCCTCGGCAATCTCCAGGGCTCCGACTATCTGAATGCCATGCCGGGCCTTGACCTCCCCGATCATCGTTCCAACTTCGACTCCGAAACTTTTGTCAGGTAATACTCCGATCCGCTCCTAATTTGATTGAGACGAAGAAAAAGAAAACAAGAAGAATCCCTCCCATATCAAAAAAAAGCAAAGAAAGAGAATGGAGGGGGGGAAAGGAAGAGGAACAAAACAACCAAAACAAGAGGAGGGGGCGCAATTGCACAGAGACTCAAGAACTAACAACCATATAGCGACGATCTCTCCTTTCATCCAAATGGACTGCCGCAGTCCTTAAAACGCTTTCCCTCGGGATATGACGACCCTTTCACCGATATGGTCGCCCCGTTCGACCCAGTCCCACCAGAACAACCACCCCAGGACTCCTCGATTGACCACAATAATAAATTGCTGAGCTTCTCACTGCCAGCATATCACTTCACCTTGCTCGATTACTCCATGCGACGAACTTCATTATCAGTATCTGCCCAGTTGCATGGAATGTTCTTCTTGGCCGAATCGCCCTATACCACATCGCCCTCGGACAATGCTCCGCCGCAGCAGGGCGCCGAGCTGACCTGCTATCGTCGCAACTTATTCCAGATCACCGGATCCGTCACATTACCCCGAGGCATGCGCTACATAATGACCGACAACGGCGACCGTATCCCAATATTAGCTCAAGAACTCACTGTGTCAGCCACGGAATCAGTGGAGGGGAACCCGGTGAAGATCATTTCAGTGCCATGGAAAACTCCCTCGGCTGCCGCGGCTAACGCCAGCTCTGCCATCGATGACCACAGTAACGGCGGTGCCATCAAAATCGAGAAGGAACCCACGCCAATCCCATTGGATATTATGGCGGGCCAGGATCTCGATACGGACTATGCCACTTTCCCCATTGCCTGGAAGCGTCTGCAGTTTCGTGTAGCCACCGCTAATAATGGTCGCCGAAAGGAGCTCCAGCAACATTTTGTTGTCCGTTTGAAAGTGGTTGCCACTCTGTCCACGGGGGCCAAAATCTCTATATCGGAAGTCCAGTCGGGTCCCGTCATTGTTCGTGGTCGTAGCCCGCGCAACTTCCAGTCTCGAAAGGACCTTCCCCTCAGTGGTAGTGCTGCAGCCTCTCGAAAGAATCAGGCCAACTCAGCTGCGCTGAATCGCACTCCAACCAGCGAGTCGGTCCCTCGTCGTGCCAGCGTGACTCCAGCTAAAAATAAAGCCCCATCAGCTACTGTTCAGAGCAGCTCACCCGAAACTACATCCGTGCCACCTCCCAGCATCATACAACAACCTCAGGCCCCACCTGATTGGACCCCTATGCCTCACGCCGCATCTAACAACGTAATGTCTCACCACCAGCCTCTCTATCCTCATTCCAGCGAGCAACTCTCACAGGCTGTCGATCAACAACGCAGGGTCAGCAGTACGACAGCTGCCTCAGCTGCGCCTATTAATTTGTCTCTTTTGGACGCAGAGGACGGTGGCGATACAAGCCTCCAACTAGACCAAAAGATGATGACATCTTACGCCAACGAAATCCCTCAACAACATTCAGTGAACCTCGACCATTCTGCTCCACCAGCCAAGATGCGCAAAATCTCCCACAACATTTCTCAGACCCCGTCTCGCAGTGCCACTTCATCTATTCCACTCCTGGAGACTGCCAATCTACCTCAGCAGTTTGTATCATCACTACCCTTTCCAAATGAGAGTACCGATTTCCTATATGAGTACTTTCCACTAGGGTTGGATGATTGGCAAGCACCGGTAGACGCTGTCTATCGTCCGCATGTGGTGCATCATACCAACATGCCTGAGATGAAGTTTGTGGCATCTAGAGGGCGCAGCAAACGTTATTTTGCGGCAGAAGATGTATTTTAACACTCAATCTCCTGACTTGGGGATGGAGTTTATTTTCCTTTTTCATCTCTCTGCCTTGTGCTTTATTCTTGGGCTTACAACATGGGTTGCATTTGCATATGCCGGGATTGGGGGGATTGGGGAGGATTAGTCCGTTCGATTTCAACACCTACGCTTTGTCCCCTTTTAGAGTTATGTTCATCTTTTTTCATTCTCTCTTTTCAGCGAAAACGGGTCGTTGTGAGCCCATTCTTTGTCGATTTGTCCGAATCTAAGACGGTTGAGCCGGATTTGACTATCGGTATCGTCTTGGGGCTTAGTCGCGCGGTCTTTCTTTTGTCTATTGTTGGAAACTACTGGATTTCCTGGTGCAAAACTGGCGATTAGGCGTACCGAGGAGTTCTTTGCTTTTATTTCTGTTTTCTTTACTTTTCTTTTTTTCCCGTGCAATTCTTGTGTTTTGCGATTCCCGAAAAGAGGGAGCAAGGACGTCTGGCGCTCTATGATTTCTGGATGATATCCTCTGGAGTTACGAGCTATCTCCCTCGGGTTTCTCAGATGACATAATAAAGAAGGAAACCCCTATATAGCCATGTTTGTGATTTGGGATTGGATTTCTGTGTGGGTTTTACTGGCACTTGGTCTTGGTATTCTACGGATATGTTTGGTCTGTGGTTCTGGTTATATCCCCTCGTGTTATGATGTTACGCTGCTATTTATTTGCCGCTTAACCTGCGAAATTTGTCACTATATACTTGTGGCTCGTCAGGTTCAATTTATTATTATTATTATTATTATTTTTAAAAAAAAACAACCAAACAAACAAACAAACAAACAGACGTATTTCTATCTAAACGATTTCTATCTCAACCATACGTTAGGACATTCAACTACACCAAAGGCGCATCTAGGACGTGCGTGTTTCAGGATACCCTGTGAATCAGAAGAAGGGTGTCATCTTATAGAAAAAATTTCAGATTACCCATGGAGTGTCAACCATGTCGCTTGGATGCTAGTGATTAAGTATAATATTGTATGTATATAGGTGGTGGGTATGAACTTTAGGATCTATGGAAGGTCACTTGTGGACATTTCGGGCCTTTCTTTGATGACCACAATTTTGTTCCGCTAAGAGCATTCAAAGTCTCCTAAAGATACCCTAGTCCATCTCCACTAATGGCTTCGAGATCGGCACGGATCTCCCACTCCGTCGCGCCAACACGACCTGCAATATCCACCTGGCGCTGCTTTCCTAAACTCAACCACTGCCGAAGCAAAGTTCCATCCACCATTCCTCGGCCGGAAGCCCCGTCGCTTTCAACGGCTCGGAACGCACGAGGATTCAAGCCACCGGGGTGCTCAGCTGTGTTGATCATTTGAGATTGTAAAGCAGATAGTCTACGGTAGGACTCCTCCGCGACGGTCGTCACCAAGGCTAAGGAGCCGTTCTGTGAGGCGATCAGAACATTGTATGTCGAGATCGTTTGGTCAACATCCATTTCATCTTCTGTGGTAGGTTCGATGAGTTCAGACGAAACAGCTGTGCGGGGCAATAATGTGACCGTTGAAGCGAAGTTTCCTGCATAGAACTTGCTTCTATTGAGTAGCCGGTCTCCATTTGAGGACTTGGGGTCTAAATAACGGTAAGCATCCATGCGATGATAGTGTTTTACCATGCATTGACATACCTTCTGGGTCATATTGCAGTACATGCAGAGTACAGTCACTGTCTGCGACTAGAATGTACAGCTTATTTCCATCTGGAAGAAAATCTGCAGCCACGACTTCTAAATACTCCGGGTCTTTGCCGAAGAGAGTCATTCTGTAGGGTTCCTCCTATAAACGACGTTAGTATTCATAGAGGAGAGAACGATATGCAAAGGGGCCAAGTTTCTTACCGAATAGCCTGCGAACCAAAGTCCCTTGACTGCATCTCCCAGGATACACATGCCCGTGCCCTTGAGCTCTTTCGCGACATTAACATAGGTTTGCAGGTCCATAAAGGCCACAGGAAGAAGGCTTCCGTCCTCTTTAAGACCTCTCACCATGCATTTTTGTCCTTGGGCCACAATCACAAATCCTTGGCCACCAATGCCGGACAAGGCGGTCACTGCACCTTTGACAGATTCCTTGCCGACAAGTTTGAGTCTGCGGCCTGTTTCCGGTCTTCCTGGTTCCGGGACGACTTCAATCACATCAAAAACGTAGATGCAACCTCGGGCTGGAATATCTTCACCCCTGGTGATTGATGTGCCCACGACGATCAAATCCTTACGTTCGTGTGTGTTTTCTGACACCTCCAAATTCACATTCTTTACCGCTGTCACATGTTCGGCAGCCTCAAGTGGATAACTATTTACGGTTAGCATTTGAACAAGGCATAATTATACATACCGCAATTCTTACCTGTCGATAACCTCCCAGGTCTGTGGGCTGACGACTTTAATGAAACTCTGAGGAACTTCAGGAAGGAATGATATCGCTGAAAAAGTATGTCAGCTAGAAAAATCACGGTAGACTGGTTAGGGATCAGAACAAACCTTCATTGCGCCATTCGGCATGCAGTTCATCGTTCTCAGGTAGCTTAAAGCCTACAGGAGAGCTGGTGGCAACGACATAGGTTTCAGATGCAGTGGCATAAGTTAAGAAGTCGACCTGCTCATCTAATGGAATTTTTCGTAGGATCCAGGGGTAATCAAGCTGGGTATCTGGAGGTAGTTGGCAAGCTCGAATCGTGTGCTGGTCAATGTTTGTTAGCATAGGCAGAAATTCCTAAGTGGAAGCAATTTTACCTCAGAGTCCACATAGATAAAGCCGCGTTCACAACCGAGGGCTGGTGAGTCAAAGCCACTGAGCCATCGTGTGAATTCACCTCGGAGGCGAACCACATGCGGCGGGCTCTTTGCTGTCCTTACGAGAAATCTTCCCGAGTAACCTGGCATGAACACTGTGCTGAGGCCTGAAATATTTGACAGAGCCCGCAAAGGCCTTGCGCGACTGTGACTCTGATCGTCACGCTCGGGCGATGAAGGGGAAGTAATCTTAGCGAGAGTATGGTGGGGTTCTCGGAAGAACTGGAGCTTTGATTGTCCATCTTCTGCATCCGGTGGGGTTAATACTGGCTTGTAAACAGCCAGGTCATCGTTGACAGTTCGTATCTAAGCATATATGTTAGCGTGAAGTTCTATTTTATTGACTTTGGAAGGTGGTCATACAATCAAAAATGGCTCAGTAACGGAGGCATCGCCAAGATCAGCCACTAGAATCTCTTTCAAAGTCTCTCGCACATTCGACTTTCGAGGTGGATCTCTCGACAAGACTGGCTGTAAGCAGTCGACGCCTTCGATAACGGATAAAAGTTTCATATTCGGTACGTCAAATAACTGCAGAGTAAAAGTTAGATAGTTTGGACAAATGTCCCCTGGTAACATTGACTCACCGAGAGCTTGTATTCTGGACTCAGTAGAAACAGAAGGGCGTTTCCTTGAGCCTGGGCTGTGTTTGACCCTTGTAGGGGGTTGAAAAATTGATACCTGTCTTGGTAGAGAGAGGCGGAATGCCATGCAATATTGGATAATTCTTCTGGGAGTGACACTTCATCAAGATCCCCGCTGGCATCCATTTGAAGCAATAGCAGGGAACAGTCATCTCGTAGAATAGCCAAGAAGGGATCGGCAAAGCTCGCGCTCACAGCATGGCGCTCTTCATCAGTCTCTTCATCCCAAATGAGATATATCTGTGCTAGTTCCAAGTCTACAAGATGTGTTAATGCGCAGTTGATCTCCGCCTAAAAAGGAGTGGAAACATACCTTTGTCATAAATTCTAACCTCGTTGCGAAGAACCTGCACAAGACGAGTTTCATCTGCCAGTAGACCAATGTCGATGGTAATGTCATCATTTGGGTTGAAATCGGCGGCTTTTATGGGCTTCAAATATTGTCCCTCCACCGCCAAGATTTCTGATGCTTCTCTGTCTGCGTCGACCAGTCGTGAGGTGATCACATATTGACGAGGGGCGTCTATATCCGAATCTACTACGAGCGAAGGGTCTTTTTTGCCGGTGGCCATTGAGACTGACCACACTCCATCAACGTCATTACTTTCAAAGGAACTTCTTGTCAAGGGATCAAGCTCCCTGTTGATAACGACAAGCCCACCGGCTCCGCCAGAGCCTTGCGATGCAACCAGCTCCAACCCGGTAGACGCATCTTCGTCGCCGGACTGACTGGTAGCAGTATCCGAGGCTCGATTAGCTTGGCCTAGGGTGATATCACGCAGAGGGCCGATACTGCAGAGCCGATCGTTCAATTGAAGGCGATAGTATTCAGGTGTCGAAGCCTCTGTTTCTGTGCGTGCGTCAGATTGAACACATTCTGGGAGTGAGGAATATAGATCGTCCTCATATCCATCGTCATCCATTTGATCATCTTCAGATAGATCATCAGCTCCATTGGATATCTGCTTAATTTCCGATCGGGATTTTTTGCCTGAAGCCGAGTGAGTCCACCCAATTAGCACTGAGTCCCCGTCTTCGCTACCAATGAAAACATTGCCATCGTTGAAGCAGGTTGAACAGGAGGCAGGCGATTTAATAATATCTCCACCTGCTTGAGCCGGCAATGAGTGAATAGACATGCCCGACACAGACCGACCATCTAATTTGAATTTAATTAGCGCCGCGTCGCCCGAAGCAAGCGCAATAAGAATATCGCCGCTATTTCCACCTAATCGTTCCACTATACATCCTTCTAGGCGGAAACCCAAGTCGGATTGATTACTCATGGAAAAGGATGAGACTTGGCGAGAGAATTCATTCACCCCAACGGCGTTTGTTTTGCCAGCCTGGTCCACGTGTACAATTTCATTAGTTCCAATGAGCAGAGCACCTCCCACGGGGGGTGGTAGTGCCACGATCTTGAACAAATCACTGGGAAGTCGAGAGACAGAAAGGAGCGTCGTTGAAGCCCGCTGCTCGAGGTCTAGCGTGAAAACTGTGTAGAACATAATATCCTTTCTCTCATGAACAAGAGATGTGGAGGTTGCAACCTGGGAGTACAGAATGCCGAATGTCGGTTCTCTGTATTCGTAGAGAAACTCTAGGCTGACAGGATGCAACAACGAAGGATCCAAAGCTGTCAGAGGTAGGACGAAAGAGGCAGCATAAGGGGTGGCATGGGCGTTGCCGTCCTTGTTTTTAACAATTTGGGCCTCTTCTATCTTCTTTGTTTGGCCAGGGCGTTCGCCATCCAAGTCTGGGTCGTAATCATCCATCACTAGATCATCCCCTGCTTGATGAAAAGGCAGGATAGCTAGGTTGCGGACACCAAAGTTGAAAACCGCACATCGGCTACTAGGGTCCACGCTAAGTATGCTACCGCAAGAACTGAGATCTGGCACCCAGGGACTGCGGGTCAAGTCATCTCGCTCATAGTAATGGATTGAGACTGTGGAAATATTCTGACGCTGGGGATCCCACTCAATCAGACTGAGTTTGGCATTTCGAACAGCCAGTAAAATCGCCTCTCCTCCACTCTTTGAATTCAGGATTTTAACTCGATTCAGGTCCGTTACAGTTCCTGGCAAAGAATACTCCTTCTCTAGAACGAGTTTGGGCTCGGATAAATGGGAGAGGGATGAGTGGGTCCCAATGTTTTCCGATGAAGGTTTGCGTAGTGAAAACACCTGAAGCAACGATGAGCGAACCACAACCAGGTTGGCAGCCGTAGATGATAAAAAAGGAAGTGCAAGAGCATGGGTGACCCCCATCGGGGGTAAAAGCTCTGTATAGCACTGCATTTCGAAGAACTAGCACGATGTCAAAGTTGTTTGGATGCTCCGATCATCAGTTTATAGGAGTTGTGATCCCAAAGTGAACATGACAGTCCTAGGCCCGAATCAACCCTGAGCCAGAAGAATTGGAAGATTAAAACGGGAATCCCTCAATGACTCGGAGACTGTAGTCGAGTGATGTGCCTATCCAGGGTGGACTTCAGAAACAAAGCTTCGTGTCACGTGTCGCTTTCCCAATCGGGTTAGCCCATGACGACAAGGCAACGAACTGTAAGTCCAACTTCCTGCTTTCTCTCTTGCATCTTCTTCCGTGTGTATCTTGACTTGTTTATTTTATTTATTTTGTTCCAAGACAAGAGAGTTTCTTCTTCACCTTTATCTAACTGTGGCCTCATGTGGGAACATCGTTCTTCGTGATGGCACTCCTTCAGACTTCTCTGATCTGGACTGTGTATGCAGCCGTGATAGCAATCCTACTGGCAGTAGCCTCAGTGTTTATCTATATCTACCAAACCCCTCGGGAACGTCCTCCATCTGTAACTCTGACATGCATTGTTGCCATTGCTAGCCTCCTGGCGACTGTGCTTCTCCTTCCCGTGGATGTTGCGCTCGTGTCATCCACCACCTCGTCTCGACTGGGCCAAAGAAAAGACTGGGCCACCCAGGATACAGTTGACAGAATCACTTACTCCCTGACTATCATCTACTATCTTTTGTATTCGCTGGATGCTTTGCTGTGCCTTCTAGTGATTCCTTTCACCTACTTCTGGTATGAGGAGTACGATGAGGTTGCCACGGAGGAAGGAGAACAGTCATTGGGGCAACGGCTCTGGGGATCTCTCAAATACACCTTATCTTTTGTGGCGATCGTGGTCATTCTTTTTCTGGTTGGATTCTTTGTCCCAGTTTCCCAAGACAAGAATGACCTAGACTTGGATTATTTCAAGCGATTGCTAACAGAGAACCGTAAGTTCAATACGCGCATTTTCTTCAAGATTCTCCTTTGTGTGTGTTTCATGATGCTGACTTTGAGATAGATGGCGAGCGCGCTTTAACTTTTGCCTTGGGTCTTTTGATGACACTCGGGATTTGTCTGTATGTCTTGTATACTTCAGTGGGGCTCGCTTTGTTCCCCATTGGCTTAATCAAGACTGCTCCTTCAATCTCCAGTCCCGCTCTACGGGCATCTACAACCCATCAATTGGAAATTAACCAGGAGCGTCAGAGACAACTCGAAGGTCGCTGTGGGGGGAACCCAGAGCTTCTTTCATCGAAAGATCGTAGAGAACTAGACACTCTCACAAGAGATGAGCGAACGTTGATCCGACGACAGCGCTTAGTTGAAGAAGCGCAAGGTGAAGGTCGAAGCTGGTTGATGCGCGCATGGTTCAAGATCGAAGCAGTATTTCGTCCCTTCAAACTGCTAGGAGGCCTACTACTACTGTTGATGGCTTTTGTAACATGGGTGTCTATGTTGTTGACATCCATTGACAAGGCAAAGAACTCGGTCTGCAAACATCGCTGTGGATATATTCTGGGACATATCAACATTTTTAATCCGCTCAACTGGGCACTTGTCCAATCTGCCAAGGTTTTCCCAGTTGATTATGCGGTATTCACTGTGCTTGTTCTACTTTTGTTCTGCAGCTCCGTTGTTGGTATCACGACTGTTGGGATTAGGTTTCTTTGGATTCGAATTTTTCAGATTCGGAAGGGCCACACATCACCTCAGGCTCTGCTTTTGGCAACTACAATGTTGATGCTCATAATTCTTGCATTGAATTATTCCATTTCCATGGTGGCCGCGCCTCAATATGCTACATTCGGCCCACAGACATTTTGTGATCGTACCCCGATACTGCCACTGGAGCAACCGGACTGTTCTAGCCACAAAGATCTCATAAAGCCATGCTCCGAATTGGCCGAGAATCCTGCGGCGAAGAGCGTGTGCACGCCCAGCATTGCCAGTACCTTCTTGAACCGCGTGACCTTTAATTTCCCATTCTTTGGCGTCGTGTTCTTCTGGGCCCAATTCTTCTTCCTCGGTAAGAAGCCTCTTCAAAATATTCGATCCTACTTTCCTTTATAGACAGAACCTATTTGACTGACCATTCACTCACAGGCCTTTATCTGATTGTCTTTGTGACGTCCTTGTTCCGCTCACCAAAACTGAACGAAACGCAGCTCGACGAAGATGCTGAAGAGGCTGAAGAAGAGGGTCTTCTTGCTAACACAGGGAGACGCTTCAATGCAACTTGGCAAGATATCACCGGCAGGGCAGACCGCAGTGTTTCCAGTAACCAAGGGTAAAGGATTCATTGAATTGTCAACCGTTAAATGGATTAGCCCAGATATTGACAGCTATCCCGAGGAGGGTCTCGGTTGTATGTTTGATATTATCATCTGATGGAGGCAAATATTGGATTCATCATAATCGTGTGCATGCGGTATCTTAAATTAGGGAATACAGAGCCATTCAACGCATGATCCTCCCATTCGGTCAGCTTCAGATTAAATCATATTGGGTATTCCATAAGCCTGCTGGAGTTTGCATGGCAAAGCAAAATCCTAAAATATTTGTCGTAAATCATCAAACCCTCAACGTACATTCAGCAGGGCAAGCGCACTCTGAAATGCCTCGACTACTTCCATGTCTTGATGAGAACTCATGAGTTAGCTTTTGAGTGTATAAAAAACGGGGATGAGGTCTGAATCGGTGATTTTCTTGTCTTACAATGCTTTTTCTTATTTTCCACGCTCACTTCAGAATTCTGGACATGCTGCATTTGTGTCTTGAATCTTCGGGTTTGTTAGAAATGAAACATATTGGCATTTGAGGTGGGCATTCTCACCGTTTTAAGGCCCGCTGCTCATCTTGCAACACGGCTGTCTGAGACCATGCTGTAAAAGCCTTCACACATAATGTTTAATGATCAAATAGATTGTGAACAACAAATACAGAATGTCCCTTCTTACCTCCAGTAACCTGGCCGTCTCAGAACGAATGTTTTCTTCAGCTCGACTATGCTCATCCATGGCGTCGGTGTATTTCTCTTGCAACTGAATCCAGTCATATTGTTGAAGATCCTGAGTCAAATGGCTCACTAGAGCGTCTTCTGTGTCAATAACTGGTTCGATTGGCTCGGGGCTGCGCGTCTGCTGGGACTCCTTCAATACAGGAGGACGCGATGCATTGTCTTGGGTGTCAACAGACGACATCATTCTTTCCGAAGCTTCAGCGATAGGGTAATATGACAAAAATGCTGGGCCGTGGCAATTAACACGATTCAATTATCATGGAATCTGGAGAAAATCAACATGGGGAGCTTATCAGTAACTCAAGCGAGCCCGGTGATCAGACCTAGTTAACTAACTTGTTAACTTAAGTTAACGTATTCGGTAAGCGAGTGACGCATGTAAGCGAGTGACGCACCCCGCCCAAAACGCGTCTATGAATTAGCACTTAATTAATTCGACCACCCATTATGCTACCAATTCGCCTCCAAACCTCGAGAAACTCAATCAAGCAAGAGGGTAGGATCTTATTAGCTATTCAGGCTATAAAGAACCAAGAAATCAGCACTATTCGTGAAGCAGCACGTCGTTTTAATGTGTCGGAGCCGACACTTCGCCGCCGCCTCCGCGGTGTTCAAAACCGCGCGAATTCACGCGCCAACTCACATAAATTAACAGAAATCGAAGAGGAAACGCTTCGAAAATGGATCCTATCGCTTAATGATCGTAGAGCAGCGCCCCGGCCGACTACTGTACAAGAAACTGCGAATATTCTTCTTAAGGCTCGCGGAACAACCCCTATTCAAACAGTCGGGGAAAAATAGGTTTATAACTTCGTGAAAAGGCATCCTGAACTATCAAACCGGTTCTCGAGGCACTATAATTACAAACGTGTGAAGTACGAAGACCTAAAAATTATTGGTGAATGGTTTAATCTTATTCAAAAAACTATACTTCAATACGGCATCGATCCCGACGACGTTTATAACTTTGACGAGACTGGTTTTACGATAGGATTAACAGCGACTACGAAAGTTATTATAAAAGCTAAATACTACGGTCGGCGATCACTTTTACAACCCGGAAATCGTAAGTGGGTAACTACAATTAAATATACAAATACTTTAGGTTAGGTCTTACCTCCGTGCATAATTTTTAAAGGCAAGGTTTTCATTGAATCTTAGTTCGATAATTTCCCGGATAATTAGCGATTCGAAGTAAGCCTAAATAGCTGGATTTCTAATAAAATCGGTCTTCATTGGCTTAAAAAGCTCTTTATTCCGTCGACTTCTTCGCAGTTAAAGGGTTAGTATCGACTTTTAATACTCGACGGCCACAGAAGTTATTTAATCCCGAGGTTTAACAAAATCTATAAAAAAAACGATATTATACTAATTTATATACCCACACATTTATCACATCTTTTACAATCTCTCGATATTAGCTGTTTTATAGTATTAAAGCGCTTATATAGTCAGCTTATCGAAATAAAGATACATCTCAGGATTAACTATATCAATAAACTTAATTTCCTTAAGATATATCTATACGCTTAAATTAAGACTTTTAAACCTAATACTATTAAAAATAGCTTCGGGGCAACTAGTTTAATACCTTTTTCACCCGATTAAATACTCTTAAAGCTTAATATTTGTCTTTAAACCCCGATATCCCCGACAAGCTAAGATAGCGAATCAAGCCGAAATTTTACACCAAAAACTCCCTATACAGAGAAAGAACTACGTCGACAGGCTTTATTGATTAAAGCTTTACTTCGTATATAGTCTTATAGTCCGCCTAGCCCGTCAGATCATGTATTAAACTAGCTTATAAAAGGCTTCTAACTCTAGATACAAAGTCATATTCTACAAGTACAAGAAATTAAGGAATTACGCGCCGCCAATAAGAAGTAGAAGCAAAAGCAGACTCAGTCGACTAGGCAGATAGCTTACGAAGGCAATATCTCAGTTCAAGAAGTTCATGAGCTACATACGGAGCCATTTGAGGCCCAAGTAGCCCGTATCAATACCTATCGTGAGCAGGTTTCAGAGGGTTTACAGCCACCTACGCAGGGCCAGCAAGGATGTGGAATATGTAGGAAGCCAGGACATAGAAGAGAAACATGCCCAGATAGAGAAGCTAGCTAGTTAAATTAATTTAATGGCGTTTTGGTTAAGAAAAATGCATTTAAAATAGATAATGTATGGTAGGTGCGTCACTCGCTTACATGCGTCACTCGCTTACCGAATACGTTAGTTAGTTAAACAGTCCCGAGTGGACACCTGAGCAATTAGGTGGCGTCAGGTGACGGCATACCCACATGTGCACCACCATCTGAGTACTGGAAGCTGGATACCTCCATCCTCCTTCACTCTCTTTCTTGAGCGCCATCCATATAAGGGGTTTCGGCGGTAGCGCTGGTAGCTTCCACGACACACCATGGAATACGATTATTGGCCATTCAACTGAATATCCTCAACCATCTGCGATGAGCTGTCAAACATGCACTTCTACTCACTCCCGCTTGCCAATCCTTTGTCCGACATGTGCCCGCAATCGTCTTTACCAGTTACGTCTCGAATATACCCAAATACTTCTGGAAAAAGAAGCGTTGGGACAACATATCGAGTCTGCTGTCTCCTCAGATCGCTCCAGGACCCCGCGATCTAAAATAGAGACCGGGTCCTCAGAAGCCGATCATGACGGCTCCCGGCGGTGGGTCCACCAGACCATCTCCAGTCGAGAGAATAGTTCAGCATCCAGGTTGGAGACTGTGAGACAGCATACAAAGACGTTGAAAGAAGAAATCGAGGCTAGAAAAGCCGATATCTTGGAACGCAGGAGACGGTTGGCTCGCAGACGCTCCGACTCAGAGTCGGCCCATTATCAGCTTGGGGAGCGGGAGGCTGCAATTTTGATAAGCATCCAAAACACCACTAAGAGAACCGAGCATCTCTGGCATACTTTGCATAGTAAAACAGCTGAAGCCCGGATCTTCCTGTGTCGGGAAGTCGCCCATTTATATGGCTTACGGCTGAAAACAGCAAGAAAAGCTGACGCTCGTCAAAATTACGTCCTTGGGGGCCTAGCAATCTTGGACTTGCTCGATATGAATGGAAAGCTTACCATATTCTACATTTTTATATATTCCGGTGTACTAACGGCCACTTAGGTTCCACGCCAGCTCACATTTCGACATCTCTATCCAATATTGCTCATCTCCTCGTCCTCGTTTCACACTATCTTTCTCTAAGACTCCCCGCTGAAATAATTTTACCTCATCGAAATTACCCCAATCCAACGATTTTTACACCTGCTGCCTCATACAACTCTTCTGAGGCTACTGGCGGAATTCGTATCCCTCGGCCATCATCTGCCCTAGCAGTCCATCGATCATTAGATACACACGCGCAACCACGCCCAAGACCACTGTTCATCGATAAAGCCCTCCCACGTCTAGCAAAAGAGGACCCTGCGACATACTCGCTCTTCCTGGAGGGAGCCACTCTCCTCGCATGGGATGTCGCATGGCTGTGTCGGACCCAAGGAATCAACCGGGTGTTCGATAAATGGGAAGATGTCTGCGACATCGGGAAAAATATGTTTACATTATTAATTGCCCCGCCAGCTCCAGCATCCAACTTAATGCGCGCGTTCGCTGGTCGAGACACCCAGGCTAAGATAAAACCCACCAAAGATACTCCTCAAACTACGATTAACCGCACGAAGTCGTTCCCCATGCTTGGCCACTATTCACACGGCACTGTACATTCATTTCTGGCTGCATCTGAGGGATCAGATTTTATGCGGACGTGGAAACTAGCCACCCCAACCAAGATTGCAGATCAACTCAAGGCCAGTCTTCTTGGTGAAATGGCCAGCGCGGAATGGGAGCTTCTAGAAGAACAGGAGTGGGATGATGGGACTCCGAAGACTGATCAACAACCATCAGCCCAGGGGAGTAGCACGCCCAATTCATCAAAGCCATCCGATCTCAAGGAAGAGCAACCTCCCAATCAGCCGTCTAATACCGTGCGGCTGGAGAAGGGGAAAAGCGGCTGGACCAAACTGCACAGCAGATAGAATATATTTTTGCTTCTTTTTTATTGAACATATTAAATGAACATACACTCCATTCCAAACCATTTTCTACTGTTTTATTCAGCTCTGTACATCCGTATTTGTACATGGGTCTATTCGAAGTCACTTGAGGGCCTTCTGCAGGTCATGCATGTACGGGGGACCATAACGGCCAGCTGGAAAAAACCCACTTGGTCCTATTGTATTAACCTCTACCACCTAGTACACCGCTATCGGTACTGCTTGAAGCCCTACATGGATAGAAAAACAAGTGGAAAGACCACATGTGCAATGAAAAGATACAGAGAGAAATATCTTACGTACATAGGTTATATTATACTAGGAAGCTGATTTCAAAAGAAGAAGAAAGATTATATCTTCTTAAGATAGTACATATGTAGGCTTGAAGCTTACTTTATGATATCCGGCCTATATAATCCAGGGTCTATAGGATTGTTACTGTATTTCCTGTGGCCGCTACATATGGTTCCCCGGTGGCCATGGGATTGCGGAGTTACTCAGGCTCCGAGATAAGATTGTAACCGTCGGGTGGCCCGAGTTCCTTCATCGGAACCTCGACTTTACAATGCTTCCCCGGCCCCGAGATCTACCAATGTTCTAAACAACATTCGAGGGCATCTGGAACTTTCCTCACTTAGTTCAATTGCATAGGGAAATTTTAAGCATATACTCTGAATCTCACGGCCCCGGAAGTCGATTCTGAATCTTCCATTAATCGTTAGGAGATGTGGCCGTAACCTGGCCGCATCTAGTCCTCAATCATGCACGATGCCCATACATGGCAGATTACCGATGAAAGATCCCTAGGTAAGTATTCGCCAACCCTTTTTGCTGGCAGCTTGGTAAGAACTAACTCTGTTCCTAATTTTGCGCTCATAGATTTCAAACGTGCTCTTTCTCTCGTCTCCGAAATCCCCGAGTCTCTCCTGAGGGCCGAGCTTCAACGACGAGATGGTGCAGGAGCTTCAGCACAAGAAGACACACCCTCCTGTGGCTCCCAGGAGCGGGGGTCTTACAATACATCTTTGCATGTCATGGCACTCTTCCTCATATTGGGACTTAGTACATTGGGTATGCCCGTCTTGATCTCCCTAGTATAATGCTGGATCATTAACAATCTCCCTCTCCTCAAGCATGCTCGTTCCCGGTTCTTGCCCGTCGATTTCCCCGCCTTCCGATCCCACGGCATTTCCTATTCATCTCCAGGCATTTTGGCACAGGTGTTTTGATCGCGACAGCATTTGTACACTTGCTTCCCACCGCATTTGTGTCCTTAACAGACCCCTGTCTCCCCCGGTTCTGGAGTCACACGTATCGCGCCATGGCTGGATTCGTGGCCATGATATCAGTATTCGCTGTTGTTTTGGTGGAAATGTTCTTCGCCATGAAAGGTGCAAAGCATGTGCACAGCAATGACTACGACACCTTGCTTGGTAATCTCGGTCACGAATTCATGAGCGAATTTGAGGACGATGCCGCGGATTACTCTCAATTAGAAGCACAAGGGACCCCTACCAACATTCTTTTAAGCGGTCTTCCTCAAACTGATCAGACCGAGATTGACGAGCAAGCTTCTAGCTCTGTCTATAGGTCAAGGCCCCGACGCTCGGCTGAGTCTCAACCCGACAAGGAAGAAGACGACGATGATGCGGAAATCGATGGCCTCGATGTATCTTCGAGTGAAGTACCACGACCAGATTCTCAACATCTCCATCCACGGCCACATATTCAAGGCCACTTTCGACAACCGTCCGCGACGGAGATCCCGCTACAGAACCCTCAGCGCCAGCTTCTACAGTGTCTACTTTTGGAGGCTGGTATTCTTTTTCACAGTATCTTCATTGGCATGGCTCTCAGTGTCGCGACCGGGACCTCCTTCGTTGTCCTTCTTATTGCTATCAGTTTCCATCAAACCTTTGAAGGTTTTGCCCTTGGGTCACGCATTGCCTCGCTAATTCCTGATCTCTTCTCTCCTTCCTCTGCAAAGCCTTGGCTAATGTCATTGGCATACGGAGCAACAACTCCAATCGGCCAGGCAATTGGCCTAGTCTTACACAACCTCTATGACCCAGCAAGTACCACGGGCTTGCTCATGGTTGGCATTACCAACGCAATCAGCAGTGGTCTTCTGCTTTTCGCCGGTCTTGTAGAGCTTCTAGCAGAAGACTTCTTGAGCGAACCAAGCTACGAAACTCTTAAAGGAAAACGACGGGTAGAGGCGTGTATATCAGTTGCCTGTGGGGCTCTGCTGATGGCATTTGTTGGGGCGTTTGCCTAAAAAGGAGAGGAGACTTACATCTCTAATTGCCTACTGTTTCCATTATTTCACTCCATTAGACATTGAGCGATCAAATTATCGGTATCCTTATCTGGTACAATTATAGACAGTATGATACGATTACAAAATTCGTTTCAATCATGATTTGGTAGTAAATAAATAAATTCCTTGTTGCCAAAATATATCTTCAATGGCCCTTTTATCGGTATTTTGCTATGTCAAATAGTCATGTCATATCCGTACATCATTAAGTAAAAAGAGAGTGTCTTAGAGCAGAGACTCGATCACCAGAGCACTGGCACCACCGCCACCATTGCAAATGCCAATGCAGCCAAGCTTGCCCTGCTTAGCCTTCAGGACACCAATCAGGGTAGCCAGGATACGGGCACCACTGGCACCCAGAGGGTGGCCAATAGCGACGGCACCACCGTGGATGTTGACCTTATCCTCGGAGAGACCGAGAATCTTCATGTTAGCAAGGGCAACAACACTGAAGGCCTCGTTGATCTCGAAGGCATCAATAGACTCCTGGGTCACGCCAGCGTGCTTGAGAGCCTTGGGAATGGCCAAAGCGGGAGCAGTAGTGAACTTGCTAGGCTGCTGCTCAGCATCACCCCATCCGCAGATCTTGGCAATGGGCTTGAGGCCGAGCTCCTTGACCTTGGCCTCGGAAACTAGGACAACAGCGGCGGCACCATCGTTGAGAGGGGACGAGTTGGGAGCAGTCACGGTACCGCTTCCGGGAATGAAGGCAGGTTTCATGTTGCGAAGCTTATCAGGGTTGAGCTATTCCCACCATATCATATTAGCATCCGAGCACTTGCATCCGAAATTCGAATCAGGAATGACTTACGTTCTTGGGCTCGTCGTCCTGTGACACGGTGACGCCGGGCTTGCCACGGAAGCCGGGGATCTCAATGGGAGCAATTTCATAATCGAACACACCGGCCTTCTGGGCAGCCTGAGCCTTCTCGTAGGTGCGAATGGCATACTCATCCTGCTGCTGGCGGTTGAACTCATGGTCCTGAGCACACTCCTCAGCCTGGAGACCCATGAGCTCCTGCTTGCCGTAGGCATCCTGAAGACCATCCTTCATGATTCCATCAACGAGGCTCTGGTTTCCATACTTGGCACCGGTACGGAGGTTGGGGAGGTAGTGAGGAGTGTTGGACATGGACTCGGTACCACCGGCGACAACGATATCGGCGTTACCAGTCATAATGGTCTGGGCACCAAGAATGACGGCCTTCAAGCCGGAAGCACAGACTTTGTTCACGGTAGTGCAGACCGTCGAGTCGGGGAGACCAGCACCAATGGAGCACTGTCTAGCAGGGTTCTGGCCAACACTAGGGAGAAAGTCAACATAAATGATTAATCAAGGAACATAGCTCAAGTAGAGGTCCGTACCCAGCAGACAGGACATTTCCGAAGAAGACCTCCTCAATATCGGAGGCATTGACACCCTCGGCACGCTCGACGGCGGCTGTTATTGTTGCTGGTTAGCATTTTCAAGACCAGAGAAAGTTCGTGGTCTATAGTATGTAGATTTTCTTTTGAAGTCTAGGGGGGCGGGCTTACCCTTAATGGCATGGGAACCAAGCTGAGGAGCAGTGAGGCTGGAAAGAGAACTATTTAAAGCCAATGACATTAGCAAAAACTGCACCAATTGAGGGCTTTGGGTGTAGGGGAAGTGTACATACCCAAGGAATGAGCCCACGGGGGTACGGGCGGTGGAAACGATGTAAACGGGGGGAAGGGAAGACATTTTGATGGACGGTAAAGGACGAAATGACTGTAATCTCAAAAAGAAGAATGAAGAAAAGGAGAAAAGGAGGTAGAGTCAAAGAGGCGAGTTAAAGAACATGGAGGGGCTAACATAAAGAGTGGGGAATGAGGAGCTGTACGGTGTAGGCGGGAGTATTGCGACGCTCGGACCAAGTGAAAGTTGATGATTCAAAGTTCAACTCTTTCTCCGGCGTCACGCCAGCATTAGCTCGGGCGCTGCGGATCTAGTTTGCGCGTCAATCCCGTTTCCAATTATTTCTGACCATCATGGATGACCTCTATGACGAGTATGTTTATCCTGGCCTTTATTTTAATTTTATTTTCCATCTTCTCCTTCCTCCTTTATGTTCTTGGTTAACTCGCAAACTGCAGGTTCGGTAACTACATCGGCGAGGCCGAGTCGGATGAGGAACAGCAGGACCAGGTCCCTCATGCATTCAAGTTCGATGATGCTTTCGATGACGAGGAGGAACAAGATGATGTGGAGATCAATGATCAGCAATTAATGGAGGTCGATGGTAGGTTTCCACGCGCAACGATGCTGGTTTTCAATTGAAATAAAAAATCTCCCTTTTTTGGTCGCAATCGCTCATGGATGCTTCGCTTCGCTATAGATGGACCCTCAAACGCCGTTATTCTACACGAAGACAAGCAATATTACCCAAGCGCTCAGCAAGTATACGGTACAGATGTCGAAACTATGGTCCAGGAGGAGGATGCGCAGCCTTTATCCCAGCCGATTATCGCGCCCGTCCAACAGAAGAAATTTGCCCTTTCGGAGACTGAGCTTCCATCCGTCTATTTCTCCCGGGAGTTTATGTCTGATCTCCTCAATTTCCCAGAGCAAATCAGAAATGTCGCGATCGTGGGCCATTTGCACCATGGCAAGACCGCTTTTATGGACATGCTGGTGAAACAGACTCATGATCTATCAGAGAGGTTGCAAAAGCGGATCGGCAAGCGCAAGGAGGAACAGCTCCGATATACAGATGTGCATTTTCTGGAAAGAGAGCGAGGACTCTCGATCAAGGCGGCACCGATGAGCTTGGTTCTTCCAGGAACCAAGGGCAAGTCTCATCTCCTCAACATCATTGATACTCCAGGTCATGTGAACTTTGTAGATGAGGTTGCTGCCTCGATCCGCCTTGCCGATGGTGTGGTTCTGGTCGTCGACATTGTGGAGGGAGTTCAGGCAAACACGGAGCAAATTATCAAGCATGCCGTGTTGGAGGACCTTCCCCTAACCTTGATTGTCAATAAAATGGATCGCCTCATCCTAGAGCTCAAGCTGCCGCCAAATGATGCCTACTTCAAATTAAAACATGTCATTGAAGAGGTCAATACTGTCATTGAGAACGTTTTACCAGGTCAAGGGGAGAAACGCCGTGTAAGTCCTGAAAAGGGCAATGTTGCTTTTGCTTCCAGCTCAATGAACTGGTGCTTCACTCTCCAATCATTTGCCCGCATGTACGCGGATACCTATCCTCGTCTTGACTCCACTGAGTTTGCTGCTCGACTTTGGGGAGACATCTTCTACAATCCTCGCAGCCGAAAGTTCACTCGCAAAGGCGTGGAGGAGAACGCCAGACGATCTTTCGTCAAGTTTGTCTTGGAGCCAATTTACAAGCTCTACTCTCATACACTTAGCGAGAGTCCCGAAGATCTTAAGGAAACTCTTTCCAGTGTGGGCGTCAGTCTAAAGCCATCGCAATTGAAGACCGATGCGAAGGAGCTGCTGAGCCTTGTTTGCGAGCAGTTCTTTGGTCCCCCTACCGGCTTTGTGGACATGGTCGTACAGCATGTTCCTTCTCCCGTAGATGGAGCTACAAGGTCATTGCAGCGGTATTACACTGGTCCGCTAGACTCGAAGATTGCCTCCTCCATAGCTACTTGTGATCAGGATGGCCCTCTGGTGATTCACGTCACAAAGCTCTTCGGTACCACTGATGCTACAGGGTTCTTCTCCTTTGGAAGGATTTTGAGTGGTACTGCCCGGCCCGGTCAACAAGTTCGTGTCCTTGGCGAGGGCTACACCCCCGAGGATGAAGAAGACATGGTTGTTGCTACCATCTCAGACACTTTTATTGCAGAAACCGCCTACCAAATCTCTACGGATGGCGTCCCTGCTGGTAACTGGGTTCTTCTTGGTGGCGTAGATAACTCCATTGTGAAAACCGCAACATTGGTCCCTCTCAAACTGGAAGATGACGAAGAAGCCCACATTTTCCGGCCCATCAGGCATATGACAGAATCGGTTTTCAAGGTTGCGGTAGAGCCAGTCAACCCGTCTGAATTACCGAAGATGCTGGATGGATTGCGCAAGGTCAACAAGAGTTACCCCTTAATCTCTACTAAGGTTGAGGAATCCGGTGAACACGTTATTCTTGGTACAGGAGAGCTTTACATGGATTGTGTGCTTCATGATCTCCGACGATTGTACTCGGAGATGGAGATTAAGGTCTCTGATCCGGTCACACGTTTCTGTGAGACGGTAGTTGAAACATCTGCCATGATGTGTTACTCGATTACCCCTAACAAGAAGAACAAGATCACTATGATCGCAGAGCCCTTGGATGATGGAATTGCCGAAGATATCGAAAGCGGCAAGGTTAATATCAAGGACCCCATTCGCAAGGTTGCTCGCTACTTTGAGGATCATTATGATTGGGATAAGCTCGCAGCTCGCAGCATCTGGGCTTTTGGGCCTGATGAGATGGGACCCAATATTCTCCAGGATGACACCTTGCCTTCACAAGTGGACAAGAAGCTTCTAGGGACCGTCCGGGACTCTATCACACAAGGTTTTAGCTGGGGTACAAGAGAGGGTCCACTGTGTGAAGAACGTAAGTTATTCCTATGCTCCATTTATCCCTTTATGAAATTAAATGAAACGAAAATACTAATGCTATTATTCATCAGCCATCCGAAATACAAAATTCAAGCTCACGGATGTGTCGCTTGCGGATCAAGCCATCTATCGCGGTGGTGGCCAAATCATCCCCACTGCTCGTCGGGCAGTGTACTCATCATTCTTGATGGCTTCACCCCGACTCATGGAACCGATATACTCTTGCACTATGACCGGCCCTGCCGATGCAGTGGCTTCGGTGTATACTGTTTTATCTCGTCGACGAGGCCACGTCTTGTCCGATGGGCCCATTGCCGGAACCCCCCTCTACTCTGTTCGAGGACTTATCCCCGTGATTGACTCATTTGGCTTTGAGACTGATCTTCGTATCCATACCCAAGGTCAAGCCTCTGTTAATCTCGCATTCGATAAATGGAGTGTGGTTCCCGGTGATCCACTTGATCGTGATGTCAAGTTGAAACCACTGGAGATGGCAGGCGCTATGGCTACTGCGCGAGACTTCGTTCTGAAGACGAGGCGGCGCAAGGGACTGGCGGAAGACGTGACCGTCAGCAAGTTCTTGGAGCCGGAGCTTTGGAAGGGGCTAAAGGAGAGTGGCGTTCTGGATTCATAATCGTTAACTTTCGCCCTATGAAGAGTCAATATTATTGAACGAAGATAAATAAATGTACTTTGGGGCGCGAGGTTCTGGGCCTACGGAGTCATCAATTGATTATTTGGCGAGCTGTGTCTTTGTAACTTTAATACGCTGATGTTGTTGTGTTTCTGTTGTTTTTTAAAAAAAGAAATATACAAGTCATTATGATATTGGCAAGCTATCTCATTGGGTATAGATGCGTATAGCCTTGTAGGGTGATACGACAGGGTTTCTCGGGAGCTCGTTTCTGCCCCCCATTTTGTAGCCGTAGTATAGTGTTATACAGTAGTCATGCGCAGGTGCGTTCGTACGTTGAGGAGAAACCCCAAGGCAAAAGATTCTCATTGGCAAGTTTCCATCATCTTAGCAATGACCTGCATAAGCGCACCATTTTCCAAGGCAGCAGCAACTCTTTCTTTATCGCCAAGCTGCTTGTTCACCTCGTCTCCCGTACTATGTGTTCCTTCCTTAATACGCACATCAATCCGGAAGCGGGGCGGGAGAGACTGCTCTAACCGAACCCGCACCCCAAGGCCAATGACAGTGGCGAGACTGCAATGGGTGATTGTTGGTGTGATGAGGACTGTAACTGTTTGAAGAGGCGATTCTGGGACATTGGCCAGGGTCGGCTTGATGAATATGTCTGGCAGGGATACCACAGCCAACTCTCCCAACGATAACGGGTGTTCAGGATCCGAAATTGACTTGATCAAATCTACAGAGGCGAATGACACATGTATTAGATATTCGGTCTATTTACAATCAAAAGGCGTAGGTATTGTAAGAGGGGGCTTACCGTAGATTTCCTGTTCGTCAATCGGCTCTTCAAGAAGATCGTCGTCTTCTGAATCGGACGAGAGAAAGTCGGCGGGGTTGGGTACTGCGGCAAATATGCCGGAGGGTTGATCGTTTGTTTTCACAGCAGAACGACTCCTTGTGGGGAGATCTGCGAGGTTGAGGATCGTAGGGTTTTCATTCTGCATTTCCGCCATGGCTAATATGTGTATTGTGATGTTTATGAATCAAGAGTAAATGAAGCATAACCATTGCAGGTTTCCATGACGAGATAAGGATAAAGATCTTATCGTGGGAAAGAAGGTCCTCACGTGCGCCGGTAGATCCTCGGTGTATTTCCTATCTGGGAAGAGACGCTTTTCCCTTCTTGGACGGTAATTTTCAGGGTGTAATTTATAATCGGTAATTCTGCTGTACGGGATAATCTGCAGCTGCCCAGCTGTGGACATAACACCTGCAGCCCTGGAGGTTATGCCCTCTCTCTACTCCGTACCCTGTAGGGTTCTCCACTGGTTGATTATACCTCGGTCAATTCCCAACAGGCCATCTTTAGGTTCTATGAATTCATTCAACCTTGGGGTTTTTGCTTTAAATCAAACTCTCGGACCACCGTTCATAGGATTTCGGAGAAGTGGGTGGGATCGACACTCAAAGGGTTTGAAAATCACGTATGAATGATTTGGCCTTCCCACAACAAAGTTGCCAAGTCGATCAGTTCCGCAAGAAACGAATCTCTGGTTTGCATGGCCTTTTTTTTTTCAGGAATAGACTCCACCCAACAAAACCTATTTTGTAACCATGGCGGTTCCAGCGTGGTCTTCCAGAACTCTCACGGGTTATGGTCCCACTCCTTAGCTTGTTTGACCACTGTATTTTTGTCCGTCTAGTGTTTGAAGGGGGGATAGCAGGGGAAAAGAAAGAAATTTCTTCGGGCCTACAAGTCTCCTCCGGGACGTCAGGCTAGAGAGGAAAAGTAAAACACGGCGGTTTCAGGTTCAAATGTGGATAGGAAAAAAGCATCATAGCTTTTTGATAGCCTCGGAAGTTCACCGCTTGTGTCTAGAGACAAAGCAATCCGATTGCTCCCCTAGTGAAATCAGGACATTTCGGAGTAAAAGAAGGCCCTGCATGTCTACGGAGTACATGGTAATTGATTATAGGTCTTGATTCTCTTGGAGAATGGGCTACAAACGGATCTACTGTATTGTAGGTTTTCCGGAGTTGCGGGGCTATCACTGGAAGAAGGTTAAAAAGGCTGGGTAATATCTTGATTCTTTGAGTTTCTGGATAAATTGAACCACGCGAGAATAATGGATACTATAGGTTCATTATGGGGCTTTGGGGGAGCTCGAGCACTCCCGAGGACGGTGTAGGTGGGACTATTGTATAATATATGGAGTAGATGATCGATATATATAGACGTGCCCAGGCGTATAATTTATAGATTAAAAGTAAAACTAGAACTTGAAGCAGGATACTTACATGGATCATAATGGATTCTATTATTGCTTATAGATCATTACATACATTCCGGTGTTAAGGTGCATCGACCAAACAGTAAATAAAATAAAATAATAAAATAATTAATTATTCTAGAAGCCCCATAGGATGATCGTCTTGCAAGAAAAACTCCCCGAGGTTTACACCTTCTATTCCCCCGAGTGTCTTCTTCTTCTTTTTGCATAAATCCCACAGAACTGGGGATTTCAGAGGTTTCTAACATGGTCATAATCAAAGTCAAAATAAAAAAAAAACCTAATTCTCTCACTTTTGTATTACACATTTCCACACCAATACCAAAAATTCAATTACGTCGTAACTTCAGGAGACAATCCGGATCGCCCGCCTCCTCCACCGACCGAACCCACTGTGCGGGCGCTATTGGATGCTCATCACCACCTTGGCACCCCTCTCAGCTTCTCTCTCCGCCCTTTTTCAATCTGTTTTCCCCCTCCCTCGTTCGAATGCGCCCCTGATGTCTCCACCTTAATGCTTCATGATGCCCTGCGCATGTCCGTTGTGAGCTTGATTCTGTTCTAATCTCCCCATCTGGACGCCCGAATCCGGAACAATACAACCTCGGCGGGTCTCCATGATGCGATCGCATGACTCGGTATCTAATTTGAACAATTATTCCTAGCTCTCCGCATCCCTGTTCCAAGTATACATCCCATTTACCTTAGGCGACGTGTCTGGGTTCTGACAAGCGCCCTCATCTCCTGTTGGGCCCCGAATTTGGCTGTGTGGAAGCCGTCGCAACTTGCGGGTAGTCTTTGGGAAACTCGGCTTTGGGGTCGACATCTGCAGCATCGCCGACCACCTCGTTTTTAAGAACACTCTTATATACTTGGATCGGAATCTAAACGAGAGGATATCGTCACCTCCAGTCAGCGGCTTTGTTCTTAAATCGCCGCTTAACCTCCCTCCCGAATTCCGTGGCCGGTCCTTACGGATAATCACAACCACCGCTCTCTTATTCTTTTCTTTTCTCCCCCATTTGTTCGGGTCGCCACAAAATCCTACAACCCAAGGCGAGGAAAACAGAAAAAACTGGAGTACGCGCATATTGAAGGCCAAATATAAGGCTAAGGGATTAAACTCAAACCTACACATTCACGATGCAGGGTTATTCATTTGCGCCTCCATCGGGCCCTCCACGAGAAGGCCAAAAAAGTATGTGCTATCTTGAAATTCCCAATCCTCAAAAATCTCACCGAATGGATATTGACCCGAGCCTTTTCTAGATTATGTATTCGTTGACGAGCATAACCGGCACAAGAGACTAAAAGGTAAGCGCATTGTCTTTGGGTGGAATATCTCTTTATATTAACCCAAGTCAGTAATGCGGGCATGTAATGGCTGTCGAAAACGAAAAATTAAATGCGATGCGGCCACCACAAACACCTGGCCATGTTCAGCATGCACGCGCCTGAAATTGGTCTGTGTCCCTCCGACAATTGGACAAGACGGGGAATTTGGCCCAGAGGGGTCCATGGACCCCATTGAGACAGGAAGTAACTCTGTTCCGGAGGCTTCTCACCATTCATTTCCGGTATCTCCAACATATAGAGAAGGCACCCAAGCTTCCGTGGGATCTTTGCCTTCATACGATGGGATGGGGATGTACCCCCAGTTTGTTCATACCCCCCAAAGTCAATCGGGGATGTATAACGACATGCGACCGTCCCCCATGGTCATTCCTCCTCAATCCTACCAACAATCACCAATATATCCCGATCACCAGACTTCATCCCTTGGCACCGTAAATCGAGGAACCTATGTGGATCAGGAGTCATCCACGGCAGATAATCTCAGCGAGGTATTAGGCGAACTCAAGATTGACGAATCAGGCATCGGTATCTTGTCATATCCCTTGGATGACCCTAAGACGAAAACGCTAACCCAGATCTATTCGTAGCTCCCTATATCCGGCGACAAAGAACGGATCGCACGGAGCCAGATGCTCCTGTTCAGGATGACATAGAAGAAAGATTACCACCACTCAGTACGGGCGCTGGTGCCAAGATCCGCATTCCACCGGAACTGATGCCCGCGGAAGAAGATGTGATGGAATATTTCAGAATTTATTTCGATGAAATTCATCCTTATTTGCCTATTATACCACGCGCTCATCTATACTATCAATGGCAAAATGATCGCCGTTCTATTTCGCCACTTCTACTGGAAGCACTATTTGCTTGTGCTGGGCGGTTATCAAACGAACCTGCGGAGGGCGCTCAGTGGCTTGCTCTAGCCAACAGTCAGTTGCATTATGAGCCTAATTAAATATCATTGTTTGGCTTGCTGACAATTCAATCCCGCTATTTAACAGGGCATGAATCAAGCTTTATGGATGTTCCGCGTGTGAGCACAATCCAAGCTATGCTTCTTCTTCTCAAGGCTAGAGAATCTTTACCGAAAAAGGGATATTACTATCGCTCCTGGCAGACTGTGAAGACAATTGTCTCAATGGCCAAAGACTTGGACATTCACGAGCATTATGGTAGTCATGCGGAAGGAAGACCATGTGATCTGAGTCCGATCGAATGTCTGCTTCAAACTCGAATCTGGCAGGCTCTCATGGTAGTCGAAGTTATGATTGGCGGACCTCAAGGTGAGACTGAACCCCTTTGCATTCATTATCTCCTTCCAGTGGGGCAGAGCAGGACTTCTGACTTTCTTCAGGCCGCTCCGACTATGGCGTCGACCCCCAAACGGTCGATATGCGTCCAACTTTAGACATCAGAGGCTTGGATGCCTACGAAACGGAACGCTCACGTCAATATGCTTACTTTGTTCGAAATGCACACCATATTCGAATGGTTGCGGATGTCTATCACAAAGTTAAGAAACAAAAGGACTGGGGAGCAGATCCTCGCTTTGTACAGAAGAACCCACTTTTTGCAGATTGGCTTCGTAGTTTACCGCCAGACCTTCAGGTGAACTATCCTCCCGATGGATCTCCTCCATGGCTTCCCTCCCATTTTGTGGGCAACATGCATTCTCATTGCCACCTTGCAATCATTCTGCTTCATCGACCACAACTCTTGGCATCTCAAGTTGTTGTGGCCAGCGGTGACTGGAGAGTGCATTTCTCCCTGTGCTATTCATCAGCCAAAAACATGTGTCGCCTACAAGAGGCCATTCTCGAAAAATTTGGATTATCTGGATTGTTGTACATGCAGCGAGGGATAAACTTCGCTATTTATTGCATTCTCACATGTACAATGCTTCACCTGGTAGGTGCTCATGAAAATGACCTTGAGCGTCTCAGCTTTCTCTAACAATTGCAGGTTGCTATCACTTCTCCGCTCCCTGAATTTAACTCGGATGCCCGAGAGTTCTTCACCCGCCACATGCGCATTCTCGAGCGATGCTCCACAGCGTGGCCCATGCCGGAGATTCAAGCTCAAATCACATCGTTAAGAATGGCTTTCTCCGCCGATACTAACAGGCCCTTTGAGCTCAAGCCAAGCTTCCCGTACGGGAGTCCTTCAGATGACTATCAGCCCAGTCCTCCCATGGATGCGCATTACCATCCGCAACTTAATCAAGTGCCAAGCCATCTTCAATCCAAAGTGGGTTCCAATACGCATCCAGTTACCCCTCCGATTTCCGCTGGTGCTGAAGATTCGAAGTCCGACACCTCCTCTCATTTACAGTCTCTTGGAATGATTCCCCATAACCCACCGACCACCCATCCGTTGGACCAGCCTCTGGTTGATGAGAGCAGCTGGGACCCGAGCCGAATCATTAAGTATGTTCATCATTATTCGGGTTTTTGCTTTGATATCATTTTGCTGATACGATATCTACTATAGTCAATGGGAGATGGCCTTCTCCGTCAACCCATCTACCGTCAGCACCAGTTCTCCCCCATTACCCATTAGCAACCCAGCGCAACCAATGTCAAACATGGTAAATCCCCAGTATTCTATGCAGTATGATTCCAAGGTCACAGCGCCCCCGAATCAGTCGGTTTCTCCACCACAGTTCCAGGCACCTCCAGTTGTGTTCAGCGCTCGAGACTGGCAGCAAAGTGTGGCAAGTGTATACGATCCACAAGGCCTGAAGCGGCCTTGGAACTATTCCGTTGATCTTGGTTCCGACAACATGGCTAAACGTCAACGAGGATAAACCGATGCCTCTTCTCTTGATTGTGCTTATGACTCGAAATGGCTGGAGCTCTCTTGCCTCATACCCTCTACCCTCGCCTCTCCGTCTTACATTCTTAATACTTTTACATCCCCAATCACTCCTGGTACAAGTGATGATACGTTCAGATTTATCTGATCCGGCTTCTTGATTCCCCCTTGTTATAGCATCCCGAGGTCATCTCTTTGCTATTTACTGGCACCGCAGCGCAGGGCACACGCCAGGTGCCTAAAAATTACGACTATTGAATTGGAAATGAATATTTTGATCAGATAAGGTCTATGATGAAGGCATTGCTGATTGAAATCACGATTGAATATATGACATATTTTGTACATCATGGCAATCCTGAACTTCCAATATCTGTTTCTTTAGAGAAATAAGACCCATAACCAAAGCTGGGAGTGTGGTTCTTTTTGATAAATCCAATTTCTTTCCAGGTAAAATGTGTGAATACATCTTCATCGTTCTCTCCCTTCTTCGATAATCATCAAATTCGATGTTCAGAGCATTCGCCAGTCCATTTGAGAAGTTCAGATTTCGACTCTGGGACGGAAGCATGTAAATTACTAGTAGATAACGAAATTTGGTTGGTCGACACCCAATATTGATGCAGACAAGGTGTAAAATTGTCTTGTGATGTAGTAGTTTAGGTTCCGTGTTGGATTTCATTTGAGATGACTCTTTCCCACCCACGGGGTAGGCTAGTTTCGGAAAGACAGACAGCAAGAAAGAGACTACCATAAATTAGGAGCAGCCAAGATGAGAGCTATCTTATGTTTGTGTTGTAGCTGAAGGCACAAAGGAGGGAGTTGGATATCAACCCCGACGACCAATTCCAATTCTTTCTTCGCGGGATCGAACGATTCTGGCCTTGTCACCAGGAAGCGGTTTTAGTTCATCGCTTGGGTCAAACTTGGAATTGGAGTTGGTTTTGCGATGCTCAGGGTGTTTGTTTTCCTCCATCTGGCGGAGCCTTGCTTCTTCAAAAGCAGCGATATCTTCTGAGGTAATTGTGATAGCGGTTGGCTTCCGGCGCAACATATTTGCAATAATTATTTCAGACTTTAGGTAGGCGGAAGAGGACGCAGATGCAAAAGAAGGAGAGAGAATGACTCCGACAAGGGAAAAGATGGCATGGCATAGCATAACGAGGGGGCCCGGAATGAACCCAGTGCACGTGACCATTGAAAGTTCCAATCCCATCTTGCTTCCGCCAGCTTCGGCCTTTCTTTCCCAACCATAACGGATCCAACCAGAGCATAATGATTTCTTTCCGGCAGGTCGCCCGCCATGGTGATCGGGTGCGACTGGGATTGTCATTTACTACACGCCAATTCTCCGCTTCCCACACAATTGCCGCAGAAGGTGACGGTCAACCACCCAGTACGTTTTCCATTGCCAATCAACCAGCAGCCAAGAAACCTGCGATTGCAATTGCAATTGCGATCGCGAGGGCTAAAGGACTCTCGTGGCAAAAGAACACCCCGTAACTTTCTTCCAATTTGAATTGAATTGAATTAACTGGAATTAAATGGATAGGGAGGCCTGCCTCGAAGATAAGCTCGACTGCTACTATCCCACGCAAACCCCGTCCCTCAAACCCACCTGGATCTGCACATCAAGGTCGCCCTCGTCCTGCCAAAGCCTTAGATGCGAGAGCATTCGCAGCACCCAGAGCCGGCGGTGAACAGCCTAAAATTCTTCGTAGCCCCCGCCTACGTTCTGCGGGAGGCAATGCAGGAGGCAATCGAGGTGGAAAGCCAAGCTACGGCAAGGGCAAATCCGCTAGCCAAAAGAATTCACGAAAGCCTCGACGAAAAGGCCCGAGAAGAGCAGATGTGGACGATAGCGAGGACTTGACAGCTGCGGCCATTGAACAGCTTGAGCGAGACCAAATCTTAAAGTCCCGTCCGGTTCCCGTCCGTTATGAACCTCGAGATATTGATATCTCTACGCTGCAAGAAACATGGCCCTCCATTCCAACCGATATCAATGCCCGATCCACTGCAGTTTTGGAGAAGCTGACCAACCTGAGCGGTCGCTTCGCCAATGGATATGTCCCTCCATACGAATTAGGGCGACGTATCTGGAAGGGTCAGAGCGTTTTGTTCCATAGCGAGGAGGAAAGATCGGAGGCTATGGAAGAGGTGAATCGGCTTGCTCAGGCTCGTGCGGACAAAATGTCTCAAAAGAAAGGTGACCTTGTGGAGCCTCGTAAAGTCGAGTTTAGAAGTATCGACACGCAAGACTCGAAGGCATTGCTTGAAACTTACGCCCAGGGAAAATATCCCTCTGTGGAAGTTGCCGAGGGCCAGTCCGCTGTTCTCGGTGAAGTGGTGAAGAATCTCCGCAACAACGGTACATACCAAACCGCGGGCAAGAGGCCGCAATTCTTGGCTAAGGTTGAGTCACTGCTAGCTTCGAGCCGTGTTAAGCGCACTTAATCTCGAAATTTGCAAGTGTACTGTATTATATGGGTTGTGAGAGGGTCGGTTGGCTGGATTACCTCCCTAGGCGCTCTTGATTCACCTTTTTTCTCTATTCCTCCAGGGTCGATCATACCTGCCCTGGTCCCTGTACTTAAAAAAATTACATTTGTGGCTATTTTACACAATTTGCATACTTATGCCTGCTCCAAGGTCTTTTTAGCTGCATCAAAGAGGTCCTTGACTTCTTTCTGCCCTTTGTCGGTAGTTTTCTCCATCTGGTCATGGGCTTTGCGAACATCATCTGGTCGTGCCAATTTCTTCTTCTGCATTTCTTGTAGACGCTTATGCATTGCCCCTCTAGAATCACGGACGGTGCTGGCCGCCTTCTCAAAAGCTTGCTTGGCGACTTGAACGCTTTGGGCTCGGGACTCCTTCGTTGGTGGCGGGATTGGTATATTAAGCTGGAGTGCGTTATGTGGATCGGGCTGAGGCGTTAAGGATAGATTCGACGAGACAATGGCTGATTTGACTGGCTTGACAAGCTAGGGAGAAGGATATAGTTTAGCAAGGTTCATGAGCAAGCTCCTGGGGTGATAACATTTACCTCTTCTTCGGACACTAAAATAGTCACCATCCGGCCACCCTTAGGTAGAACCTGCGCCAGATCACTTAATCTAAACGAGTCCTGGCTTTCCTTACCCACCTGGACCTTTAAAGCTTCAATTGAGGTGGTATTGAATCGACCTCCTGCGCGGAGCTTCGACAGGTCATCTTTCAGGCGGGAAACAGCACCAGAGATACCAGAGTCAAGTTGAGACAAGTCAAATGGGTCCTCTATTGCAACTGGGCTTGGATCCGACTCTTCTGGAGCAGAAGATTTCTTTCCCTTGTCTTTCTTTTTATACAAGGCGGTTGAACTGGCAAAGCTACAGGTTTGTCCGGAACCCGAGAGGCTAGGAGATCTGAGTGGACTCGAAAATGAAGAATATTGGAAAGACGAGACCGAGGGAGAAGTCCAGCATCGTGTCAGACCGCGAGACGGTAGCCGTAAAACACTGCGGTACATGGTGGGCAATCGTGAAGACAGGGAAGCGGAAGAAGAATTTGATGAGGTAAAGAGTCCTTACCCCGACGAAGTGTTACCGCCATCCGATAGGTAGGACGCAACAAGCGTGAAACCTCTCCATGTATCTACTACCAAAATGCCAGCATGTATAACAAACAGTTCAAGGTAGAATCAGGATACTCAGGATATTCTCAAAACATTACAAACTACGCTGAATCCAAATTGAAAATTCCAGAATACTGGTTCGTCACACATTAAATTTGCAACGTCAATCTTCGTCTACATAAAAACATACTTTTTTCAAGATGAAAAAAAAGACAAGGAAATAATAAAAATGAAAATACTGCGCCCAAGGTTTCCCGGCTTCAAACACAAAAACATGAGCCAACTGTGCCATCCCATGATCTATCGAGGCGCAGATTTTTGGGGAGTTATGGAGGTGAGTCATAGGTTGGCCATAATATGTTCAACTCTTAATTTAGCGGGTGGCCATAGCCTTGGTGATCAGACGCTTGAGGGCGAGCTCCTTCTTCTTGAGGTCCTCAGGAGTGGAGTCCTCAACCTCAAGCTGGGCCATAGCGTCGCTGAGAGCGGACTCGATCTTCTCCTTGTTGCCACGCTTCAGCTTCATGGACATGCCGGGGTCAGAGACGATCTCCTCAACACGGGAGATGTAAGACTCCAGCTGCTGGCGGGACTCGAACTTCTTGGTGAAAGCCTCGTCGCTGGACTTGAACTTGGCGGCATCTACAAAAAAAAATAACGAATTAGTACGGTTCAAAACGAAGGGTTCAAAAGATAGATTAACATACCCTCAACCATCTGGTCGATCTCACCGCTGGACAGCTTGCCGACAGCGTTAGAGATGGTGATGTTGGCGGTGCGGCCAGAGGACTTCTCGGTGGCGGTGACCTTCAGGATACCGTTGACATCGACCTCGAAAACACACTCAAGAGCGGCCTCACCGGCACGCATAGGAGGAAGAGGAGCAAGAGTGAACTCTCCCAGAGAGGTGTTATCGGCACAGTTGGTACGCTCACCCTGGTAGACGGGGAACTGGACAGTGGTCTGGTTGTCAACAACGGTGGTGAAGGTACGCTTCTTGATGGTGGGAACGGTCTGGCCACGGTTGACAACGGGAGCGAAGATGTTACCCTCCATGGCAACACCGAGAGAGAGGGGAACGACATCCAGAAGGAGGAGGTCCTGGGTCTCAGCAGAGGTAGCCTTGCCGGAAAGGATACCGGCCTGGACGGCGGCACCGTAGGCAACAGCCTCATCGGGGTTGATGCTCTTAAATCGATAGTTAGTACTTAAATCCTGAACTACAAGGGGAATATGTAGATAAGAGTCTTACCTTCTCGAGCTTCTTGCCGTCGAAGAAGTCGCTCAGCAGCTTCTGGATACGGGGAATACGGGTGGAACCACCAACAAGGACAATCTCGTCAACCTTACTCTTCTGCATACCAGAGTCCTTCAGGACCTGCTGGACGGGGTCCAGAGTGCCGGAGAAGGACTTGGCGTTCAGGTCCTCGAAACGGGCACGGGTGATAGAGGAGTTGAAGTCCTCACCATCGAAGAGAGAGTCGATCTCAACGGTGGTCTGGGTAGCGTTGGACAGAGTACGCTTAGCACGCTCGCAAGCAGTACGCAGACGACGGAGGGCACGGGCATCACCTGAGAGGTCCTTGCCAGTCTTACGCTGGAACTCCTTCTTGAAGAAGTCAAGCAGGTTAGTATCGAAATCCTGACCACCAAGGTGAGTGTCACCAGCGGTAGCCTTGACGGTGAAGACACCACCCTGGATGTTCAGCAGGGAGACATCGAAAGTACCACCACCCAGATCGTAGATCAGGACGTTACGCTCCTTGTCAGACTTGCCGGAGCCCAGACCGTAGGCAATAGCAGCAGCAGTAGGCTCGTTGATGATACGGAGAACGTTAAGACCAGCAATGGCACCAGCATCCTTGGTGGCCTGACGCTGGTTGTCGTTGAAGTAGGCAGGGACAGTGATGACAGCCTTCTCAACCTTCATACCGAGCTTAGTCTCAGCAACTTCCTTCATCTGTTCTTCATTGTAAGCAAAAAATATTATTTTTGGATATAAAAAATAACACTGACCTTCATAAGGACCATGGAGGAGATCTCCTGGGGAGTGAAGGTCTTGCTCTCGCCGAGGTACTCAACCTCGACAGCAGGGCTGGTACCCTGGTCAACAACCTTGAAAGGCCAGGACTCAACATCCTTCTTGACAATGGGGTCATCGAAACGGCGACCGATCAGACGCCTAGATTTTACAACAAGTCAGATAAGAAACAACGAGATACGACAAAAGACGAATAGACTCACTTGATATCGAAGACGGTGTTCTCGGGGTTCATAGCAGCCTGGTTCTTGGCGGCCTCACCGATCAGACGCTCCTTGTCGGTGAAAGAAACGAAAGAGGGAGTGGTGTAGCTACCCTGGTCGTTGGCGACTGATCTACAGTCAGTATAATTGTCATTTAGATTATCGATTCGGAAACGTACTGATCTCGACATTGGTGCCCTCATAGTTGGCAACGCAAGAGTAGGTGGTGCCTGAACATCACAAAGTCAGTAACATGTAAAAATTGACAAAGAAGAGTAATTTTGCAACAATCATACCAAGATCGATACCGATCGCCCCGTCGTACACCGGAAGATCCGCCATTGTGATATTTAGTGATAAAGTGGGAGGAATAAAAAAAGGTGGGAAAGAGGGGTTTGAACGGGTCGAAATTTTTTTTTATAAATTCAATGCCACACATGGGCAGGGCAGAAAACTTTGCGGGAGCGGTATGTCACGTGCCGAGATGGGAGCCGAGCGCTGACTGATCGCCCGCAAAAGTCACATGACTGTACTGTATTCTCAGCTTTGAAAGAAACCTTGAAGGATCCACGGCTGGAGGTAGGCGGAAGAAGAATTCAACTTATACTCTGGATTCCATGCCAACATGTAGATATATTAAGATAAAGACTCTTCGGTAGTAATAAAAATGCTGGTTCACCGGCTGGTTTCTAACACAAAGCCCTTTGAGAATACATCCGAATTGGTAAAACAAAATGGAAACAAGCATGCGGACAACGTGGGAATCCAGATTCTCCAATTATCGCAGCAGATTGAAGAATATAGTGAGACGCTCATAATCAACTTCTGAGCCGGGAGGTCCAGATTTCGGGGCTCCTCTGCCGGGGCCCGCAATAACCTCTAAGTCCACTTTTGTAGTGCCTGGGTGGAGCTGAATATCGTACGCCAGCGTAGATGCGTCTCTAGATGGATGGAGCCGCTGCATACCCGTCTGAGCAATCATTTTCACCTGCCGTTGAGCAGTGCTAGCCGTCAAGGTAGGTTTGATTGTCAACAGATGATATGAGGGGGGTAGGGGAATAGTAATTGTCTGCTGAGACAATGTGGATGACGGGGGAACATCTAAGCGAAAATTCCTATTTAGCGACAATGAAGAATGCGTGAGGATTTGGACGTTGCGAATCAGAGCAGTATCGGAATCTTGATCAAAGATTTGTCAGAATGCGTTGCAATTTCATGGGTCTGGTCGGTGCCATAGAGGGGAGTAATGAGTATAGGACGATACCTTGACCTGGTCGTCTCCATATGGAATCCATCGGCGAGGTTTCCGGTGGTGGGTTCATTGATGCTGATTTAGTTACCAAATGTCAGTCTGATACGGTGCAAACCCCGCGTCCATTATCATTAGGGAAGCCTGTCTTACCATCGTGGGCAAAATTCCCGCCGCCCCTAGAGTCCAAATTCGATCCGGGCTGACTGCTCGAAGGAAAAGGTAGCTCAGCTCGCTGAGATGATGACGTCTGTGATTCATCTTTAATGGCACCTGACGACTCTCGACCTCCGGTTTGCAGAGGCTCGGAATTTGATGGGGTAGTTCCTGTACTTGATTTGGGACTATCAATATGCCTTCGAAGGGATCTTGTTCGGGGTGACATTTGATGTGTATCAACTTCTTGGCTCGTCGATCCGGTGCGGACCAGCTCTTGTTGTCGTTTAAGTGAATCATCATCGACAGCGACCCCGGACGGTGGTCTGTCATCTTTTGAAATCTCGAGAGCCTGTCCAGCCACCTTCAATGTTAATTTCTGTGCCCCCAGTGTCGAATGGCTTGAGCCCATTTTCAACTTGATTCGAGGTAATTCGGGGTGACCATCTACCTGAATGGGATCTGGAACAAACTTCTTGGCCTCTTCCACGCGCTCTTTGAAGTATTTCTATTTTGACGTTAGCACTGGCCGCGAGTGATGAAAAAACATCCATTCTCGGTTTCAGGGAAAGCTTGCCTCCATAACGCCTGCAAGAATCGAGATGTCGCTGTCATCCTCATTGTATTCCCGCGCATTTCGCCAAAGATAGCTGACTTCCTCCTCAAAAGATCGCCATGTGGGAAAGGCTGTCATTTTTGTTCCTTTCTTTCGGCCATCCGTCCCCCGAACTTTCTTTTGAATACTTCTCAGTGAGACTGGATGCTGGATAACTTCATAATAATCCCGATATAGATTGCGGTCCGGTTTTCCGACAAATGGGTATGCTACCTCTTCACCACTGTGACGTGAAAGTAAATGTAAGCGCAAAAGATTCAGAGCAGAGTCATTATACATCGCTGCGAAGGATCTTACTCATCATCCTTTAATCGGAAGAGTTCTGTCAAGATCTTATCTTGGACCATTTGCATACTGTCGCCCTCGAACTCCACCTCTGGTTCATCCTCTTTATCTTCAGATGCAAAGCTCTCATCAGCTTCGGCGGGGTCGTCTGGTTCGGAAGATGCACGGTCGGCAGCCTCAAGCTCCACGAGATCTTCATCCTAATGCATGCCCACGAGGGTTAGTCAACCCATTGCGACACTGTGCATGGCTAGTTGCGGAAATAGTCGCGCAATGCAAATGATTTGGCAGGAGGCCACCTCACAGCCCCAAAACATTAGGCGGGGTAAATTTTGTATTATACACCGATCCTTGTGGCTGTATAGCAGGGGGTTCAAGGGGAGCACATGCGTAAACATTGCGGTAACTTACAGACACCTTGCGACGCTTCTGGCTTCGCAGCTTCACTTCAGGGGAAGCCGCGGCGGCCGCTCCACGCCTTTTGGTACTCATATTTGAGGACAGCAAATGAATAGACTGTGATAAATTCAGAGTAAGGAGAAGTTCACAACTGGCAAGCGAACGACTCAAATGACTTTCCCGGGGACTCATACCTCGACGTGTGCAGACGCGCTGTGATCGTCAGAGTGGGTCTAGTGTATTAGGTAAGTGGTTTTTTGGGGCGCGTTACCGGATTGGCAGGAATTTACACTTGAGTCTATAATAGACACATTACTACTAAATAATGGGATGTATACAGTTGTTATGGGCTCAATTACTAACAATGGTATAATCATCCTACTTTTTATGTATCAAAAGCCATATGTGCTGCTGAGCAGTACTAGGACTTAACTACATGTTGTATGCCCACATGTAGTGAACTGATCCCGCTAGTCCGAATACGGCCACAATTCACTCGAGCCTCTGACACCTCAGGCACCAAGATTTCCCCCTCCATCTCTTGTTTGTCTCTTCCGCGTCCCGCAAAACAAACTGGCTCGTTTCTCGAAACATCCCCCCCCAGGAAATCCAAACCCCCTCCTGCCCGACATCACAGCCTCAAGGACTTCTTCATTTCCTTTGCTTCGCTCAAGCTTGACTCGGTAAGTCAGAATTTATCATGGTGGGAACTATTTAAACCAACCCGCGATCGTCACCCAAGCAGCCCCTCCCTACAGAAAGAATGCATGCTGCGAACTTCAGATTGACTAACCCACGTGCCATAGAAACAGATCGTCGCCAAATCCTCCGTGTCACTCTTCTTGTCCGAATCCCCCTTCTCGCTACCTCCAATGGATATCGACCCCATCAGAAGAAATAAGAAACCCCGCCTCCTGTTGGAGTCCGAGCGAGAACGTCTAGATGAGTTTATCGACTCTATCCACTACTCTTCGCGGTTCGATCTCATCCCCTCTCAATTCCATTCTCAACATTCCAAAGCGGACTATCCAAAATTTCGAATGGTGGCTGACTTCGCAACAGATACTCGGACGACAAATACGAATATCGCCATGTGCAACTGCCGAAGAACATGCTTAAGAAGATCCCCGCAGATTATTTTGACAGCGCGAAAGGAACTTTGAAACTCCTATGGGAAGAGGAATGGCGAGCTTTGGGGATTACGCAGGTATCTTAGGCCGACGCTGTTGAGTCTGGGGAATCAAATTACTGACGTTGGAATTGGACAGAGCTTAGGGTGGGAACACTACGAGGTGCATGAGCCTGAGCCCCATATTCTTCTATTCAAGTAGGCATTCTCTCGATTTCGTCTCGTTTCTTTCCTTGTGTTACGCTCAACTCACTTACATATTCCTAGGCGACCTTTGAATTACCAGCCACCAATGGCACAATAGAAGTGATGAAATCGGTGGCGGAGCAGATGGACATTATCGCCTCTCCTCTTCCTGAGAAGCAATAAGTGTGAATCGCTTTTCTTTTATTTGTTCTATTACATGGACATGCATCAAACCAGTATGTTCACTAGGGTCCACAACAGCTTCATAATGGAAGTTCTGGAATGAGATATGATTCAAATTATCACATTGCCCATGGGCTTGGTAGGGGCTTAATAAGGGCCTCATATACTCGCGGGTGTGAACTCCCCAGCTTGTCATAGATATGCGGATTATTCCTGTTCAAACCACATTCTGGGACAGCCATTCCTCCCATTGGGCTGCTGTGAAGCCGCTGCTAATGCCTCGCTCCTCCACTCCCTGAAAAAAAAAAGTCAATTTCCCATGCGAATTGATTGGGTGGGGTCACCTTACATTGAAAAAAACGGTTGGCGAGACATGGACTCCAATCACTCGATCCGTCTGTTTATCATTAGACGATATCCAGACGCTTGGGGGAGGGGATATTTACCTTGATTATCCATTTGAGGTCATTAGTGACCTTGTTACCTACATTCAGTTGCCCATCTGCCCCGGGGGTCTCTGGAATCTTCAATAAATCCAAAAATTTCCCTTCGTCCACCCCAACTGTTCCAGCAAGTTTGGCTAGTCGTTCGTATGTGGCATTCCGCGCTTCGTTCACCACGCTCACGTCGAAGAATTCGGTCTGGTGCTTGAACAAGGCCGCACTAAAGTCCCAGTATCTCTCTGGGGCCAAACGAAGAACCGCCACGCCAGCTTCGTGTGTAAGTGTTGAGGACGGATGCCATGGTTGAATGTGCTGCCGAAGGATAATCTGAAGCTGAGAACCATACTGCTCAACAATTTTGGGGCTCAATGCATAAACAGTATTGAACATCTTAGCGGAAAACTGGAGGGTATATTAGTCTCAAACTCAGAATTTCTCCGTCTTAGAAAGTGCACGCACTGGGCAGACATAGTCGAGGTCTGGATACAGTCAGCTATGCTATATTCTTGCAACCTTGTAAACGTATTGTATGAGGCGTACACAATTCTAGCGTGTGCTGGCTCTCCTGTGGAGTAGCAGCAGAAAGCTTGAGACCCGCGAATTTCGGAGGGATCGACATGGCTGGTGACAAACGGCAATGGCAATGGCAATGGTAATGGTAATAGATGGTTGAAAGAGTGAAGGGGGGAAAGGAATATCTACTGTCTTTTATTTGAGGAGGGGAGAACTAGTTACATCACACTACCCCGCCTTCAAATGACGAGCTCGAGGTCCCAACAATGAACGTTCGAAAGCTGATATTAACAAAATAAGGTATTTGTGACGATTACAAACAATTCAGGTTTCGACATATGTATGTAATTATATCATATCATATGAAGTAAAAAGAAGAAATACAATCGATACATCGAAGTTGTACGGGAAACTGGAGGTTCCGGGCCACTACTACTATATGTACATACGTGGGTACCGGTACCTACATGTAGGAGAGGGAGGAGGGTAGACGTGATATACCTATATAGAACCCAAAACTTCCTTTTTTGCATTTCATTTTGTGACCCAAAACCCATTGAATATATCAGACAACTCTTGGGAAGAACTTAAGTAGACGGTCCAAACTACCGAGTACCATTCTAGAGCTTGAATTTACTCAAGTAATCGGAAGCAAGCGAGATGGCCTCGTCGACCTTATCTGCGTTGACGCCATTACCAAGTGAAGTGGGTCCTTTCCCTCCAGCCTTGCCACCGATCGCGCTCGAGACAGCTGCAGCCCAGTCGTTGGCAGAAGCTCCCTGGTCGCCAAGTCCCTGGAGAACGTTCATGTTAGATAAAGAGATAGCCTAAATAGACTGCAGCCCCGTTAAATGATATATAGGTTAGTCACATACCTTTGATACGTGGCAACCATGTGCAACTCTGGTTTGTTCGGCGTCCACAGCCAGGACATACACGTTCTTGTCCTGCATTTTCGTTTTCACGTGATTGATAGATTCACTGACGGCCTTCGCACTTGCCGGCGTTGGGAGCTTCACCACAAGCCATGATGATTTCTCATTCTCGGGCGCCTGGAAGTAGGTGGTAATGGCCTCGACGGCTTTCTTGGTTTCTAATTTTTGCTGAGCCTTTTGGCCGTCGATGACCTGCTTGTTGATTGCATTGAATCGCTCCCGGAACTTAGCCTTCTGAACGGCAGAGATTACCAGTTGGTTGAGATCAACTTGCACTTGCTTGGCTTCACGTTCCTTCTCAGGGCCGAGAGGCATCGATTCCAAATGATCAAGGCGTTTCAAGAACTCCTGGGCGACTTGTTGAACTCTGTGGGCATCCTCACCAGTGACCGCAATGATACGGCGAATCCCTTTCGCAATGCCACTCTCCTCCAGGATGATCAAATCTTTGATATCGCCAGTCTTCAATACGTGAGTGCCACCGCAAAACTCGATACTAATATCTGTCCACCTGGGGTCCTTGACATTGTTCAAGATCTCCTCTAGCTCAACTCCAACAGAGACAACACGAACTGGATCAGGGTAGGTCTCTCCAAAGACGGCTCTGACGCCGGAGATCTGCTGAGCAATAGCAAGAGGAACTTCCTGAGAATAGACAGCACAGTTCTGGCGAATATATTCAGTGGACTTCGCCTCCACTTTCTCGAGGTCGGCATCTGAAATGGCGGACTTGTGAGAGAAATCAAAACGAAGCTTCTCAGCTGCCACAAGGGAACCCTTTTGTTCAACCCCATCGCCGATGATTTCGCGCAGAGCAAAGTTGAGAATGTGAGTACCAGTGTGGTTGTTACGAATAGGCCAGCGACGGAGCTCATCGTATTCACAAATAACTGAATCACCCACGGAGAAATTTCCATACTTCATGAAGCCGGTATGTAAGACATATCCAGCATAGACTTGGACATCACCAACTTCAAGCTCAGTCTGTCCGTCAATGATGATCCTACCAGTGTCACTTTCTTGGCCACCCTGTTCAGCATAGAAATTGGTACAATCCAAAATCACACCGAGCTGTTCTCCGCTAGGGACGGATTCAGTAGAATCATAGAAAGCCTTCCCATGGTAGATTGCTTTGATGTGAGCTGTGATATTGCCACGTCCAAACTTGGCAGAGTCGTCTGTCTTTTGAACATCATTCATTTGTTCCAACTTGCCAAGATCATGTACGTCAAGTTTGACGACATTCGCGGCAGCCTTTTTCTGACCTTTACTGGCCTCCTTGGCCTTCAGACGCGCCTCTTCGAACTCAGCATCATCGATACGCAGGCCGCGTTCTTCGGCCATGATTTGAGTCAAGTCAACAGGGAAGCCGAAAGTATCGTAAAGTCTCCACACATCGGCACCATGAAGCTTATCAGCACCTTGTGCCTTCACCTGCTGGGCATATTGTTCAAATTGACGCTCTCCCCTGTCCAATGTTTTGGCAAAGGAGATTTCCTCTTCATCTAGGACCTCCATCACATCCTGTTGCTTTCTTTTCAACTCTGGGAACATGTCACCAAGTTGACCAACGACAGTCGGTACCAGTTTGGAGAAAAAGTTTCCAATATCAACTTGGAAATACTTGCGAGCAAAACGGGCACCTCGGCGAAGGACACGGCGAATCACGTAACCACGGCCCTCGTTGTTAGGTAAGACACCATCTGAGATAGCAAACATCAAGGTTCGCACATGATCTGCGATCACACGATAGGCGGTATCAATTCCATCACTATCTTCGGCACCGAACCGCCCACGATATTCCCTGGCACCGGTAACATCTTGAATGGCCTGGAAAATCGGGGTGAAGATATCTGTATCGTAGTTCGATGACTTATCTTGAAGAATCGAAACAAGTCGCTCGAATCCCAGTCCCGTGTCGACGTGCTTGTTGGGGAGAGACCGCAATGACCGATCCGCCTCGCGGTTATATTGGATGAAGACGTTGTTCCAAATCTCCAACACATTTGGGTCATCCTGGTTGACTAGATGGGCAGCATTGCGGCCACCGATACGATCGTAGTGTACTTCACTGCAGGGTCCACATGGGCCTTGATCACCCATCTCCCAGAAATTATCTTGCATATTGCCTGGGAGGATATGGGATTCCGGAACTCCTACAGACTTCCAGAGTTCCTTTGCCTCCAGGTCCGGGTCTAGGCCCCCTGCCTCGTTACCTTCAAAATATGTGACATAAAGGCGATCGGGGTTAAGGCCGTAAACTTTAGTCAAGAGCTCCCAAGAATATGAGATGGCCTCTTTTTTGAAGTAATCGCCGAAACTCCAGTTGCCGAGCATCTCAAAAAAGGTCTGGTTGTGGAGTGATCAGTATTACTGGCCACATTGAGCTTCTAGCCATTTAATCCGATGAGCGTACTCACGTGGTGGTAGCTGTCCTTGCCCACATCATCGAGGTCCTGTGTAGGGAGAGTTCGTTAATGAGGCTCAAGTCGTGGAGCAGAAGCGATGAAGGCGCACTTACATTGTGTTTTCCACCAGCACGCAGACACTATAGTCGGCAAAGAAAAAGGATCAAATGGTCAGTCAGGAACTCTTTCAAAAAGAAAAATAGAATAGAATAGAATAAAATATGAAAATTGGGAGAGGTCCAACTCTATACCTTCTGGGAATTGACGGCGCGTCGCAGCTTCGCAAAGTCTGATTGTGGATCCACGGTGCCCAGAAAGATGGACTTGAACTGGTTCATTCCAGCATTGGTGAAGAGCAAGGTTGGATCGGACAAAGGAACGACAGGGGAGGAAGGCACTAAAATTCAAAGCCATGACGAGGATGGCAGTGGTTAGCGATCCTGGACGATGGAGGGGTATAGGAAGTACGAGATGGTGGGGGGTGAATCGATAACGAAGCACTCACCAAAAGTGTGGCCATTTTGTTTGAAAAAGTCAAGAAAAGTCTCCCGCACCCGCGGGGCGGTCCAGGTGGTATTGGACGCCATCGTGAGAATGAGCGGAGTCAAGATTGTCGGACGAAGACGAACAAAGCGTGGAGGGGAGAAAAGTGGAAGCGGCGCGCAGAGATGAGTCAAAGGCCGTCCCCCCCTCCTCATGAGAGGAACCCGCATTGGTAAGAGATAAAGAGAACACCAATCTAGCCCTACTACAGTCTCTCTCTCTCTCTCTCTCTCTTTCTTTCTTTCTTTCTTTCTCTCTTCTCCTTCTCCCTCTCCCCCTCCTCCTCCTCGGTCCAATAAAAATGGGATTGGGAATGATCTCCCTTGCTTGGTGCTTGATTTAATACCCAGAAAAGAAGAACAGAAAATCCCTGGATCGAGTACGAAAGGGGGGTTTTGTGGATGGCGCGGAGTGATGAAAACGCCCCAGGCAGAAAGCGACCGGCGGACGGTGACCCGGATGGAGCGCAACCACTAACGAAGAGATTTGGCTATCTCCAGATCGGTAGGATCACCTCGTCGTTCCCTTTTCTCTTTTCTTGTTGATGTTGTTTCTCCCGGGAGAGCAGTCAAAAGTGGGTAATGAACAAAGAAGGCTAATGACATTCTTGGGACAGATCAAGACTCCCGTGCTCGGACCAAATACGTCGCAACGCCCTCCTCACACGAGCCCGATTCGATGCTGTTAGATGATACCAAACACACCACCTTTATCTATGATCTAGATCAAGAATTGGCAGAGCCCGAATCTACAGGAGATGCGCTGGTTCTACTGCCCCTTGCGGCGAAGATGATCTCCGTACCCAATGCCGTGCTATCGTCCAACTCCGCACAAGGCAAAGAACTAGTCCTCTATAAAGAACCCTCATCTTTGACGCTACCCAAGGAACAGGATAGCATACGCAAGGCGATTATCGAATCAAGAGCTCGTGCACGTGCTTCCCGATCGTCAACTCCTCCCTCTACAAACGATATAACCCGTGCTCCACATACTCCGCATACTGAAACAGACCACGACGATGATCCAATGGACATTGACTTGGATTAGTAGAACCAATCCTTTTAATAATTGTTGGCCGTGCTGATCAAAGGGATTTCATATATTGCTATTGTTGATTTATCCCTGGCGGTTGACCATTAGAGAGAAGGTGGGAGGAAAGCGACAGGGATCAATCAGCATGGAGATCTGTTCCTCTCAATTTAGAAGTCATCTACTTATCTGGCTCTATATATACATACATGCAGTGTGATCAATGATATGCAATCCTAATAAATAAAACTTTTCACCCTTCCAAGATTCTCCTTGACTACATTTCTCCACATTGGACGATCGTGACATCCTGGTTTGGCTTGTCTCTGGTAGTGCGAGTGTGTTCAATCATATGAACAATGTCCATACCGTCGATCACCTGTCCGAACACAACATGCTTATTGTTCAAAAAGGGTGTCGCCGTTGTTGTGATAAAAAACTGGCAACCATTGGTGTTCGGACCCGAGTTCTGATAATCACTTAGCTTCAAGAGGGACGGGGGAAGAGAGAGAGAGAGAGAGAGAGAGATCCACTAGTAGGGACGTACCGCCAGACTCAAGAGACCTTCGCGATCATGAGTTAAAGCAAAGTTTTCATCTGCGAACTTGGTCGTGCCATAGATAGTGCAGGATCCTGTGCCGTCTCCGTTGACAAAGTCTCCGCCTTGAATCATAAAGTCTTTGATCTATAGGGATAGTGGTCAGACGCTTTCAAACTCCTTTCTATGTTCCTTAGAATCGGAGGAAGAGCTTACAACACGGTGAAATTTGCTCCCTTTATAGCCTTGAGGCTGTCCCTTGGGGTTCTTGCTCTCTCCTGTACAGAACTGTCGGAAATTCTCTGCGGTGCGCGGAGTCACATTGGCGAAGAGCTCCATTTTTACACGTCCCAAAGGTTCGCCTAGACAGTTGGTTAATTTTCAAGTCTGCGTGGGGGGGTTGGAACCATGCATGTAGACAGACCTGCAAGAGCCACATCAAAGAATACTACAGGGTTGGCTGGGCCAGGTGCAGCTGATTCGACCATGATGCAATAATGCAATAATAAATCGATAGGGTGATGAAGAGAGGAGAGAGTCTTGGAGAGTTTATATATATGTATAATGTTGAGGTGAATCTGCTGTTGTGGTTGGTGAGGAGATACGGAAGTTTGATGCGAAGGTCGCATGAAAAAGCTTGTACCTATCGTAGTGAGATACTTATCGTAGGTACTCCCGTTGCTATGTCCAGTCTTCTAGGGATAAAAGTATATGATGAACAACATCTTTTCTCTCTCTCTCTCTTTGATTTTTAAATACTAATTTAAATTATGTTATTATCTTCTCCTCAACTAATTAGTAATATCTATCACGTTTCCCTCCTCCCCGGACGATCCTGGATTTGCACTGTACATGCACATATGTACAAGTCATCACATCAAGCTTTGTGGTTGGCTCAGTTCCCGTGACTCCCCCTCTCACCATCCCCAGCCTCAGGATTCCTTGAGATCCCGCGCTTCAGCCCCTCTTGAAAGCCTCCTTGGCTCTTAAACCCTTTTTGGATCATGATTAGCCTAGACAACTGGTTCCTTTTTTTCCCTCCCTCTTTCGATTTTCTTCTCCCCATCAACCCAGTTTCAAACATCTCCTTTGAAAAGAAATCCAGTCCCCAGGGTGAACCTCCATCTGTGATGTGAGACCCTTGCCTGGCCAGTCCAGCGAGAGAAAGCCAGTGACCCTAACGTGGTCGATCCCCCGTACTTCGTACCCATCAGCCTTTTGTCAAATGGTCTACGATTCACTATATGTCTCTCGGTGTGCCCTCTTGAGCGACGGCTCATTCACCCGCTGTCCTCATCCACTAGAGATCTCCCGGATGATCGGGATACCAGATTGATCTGTTCGACTTTCTCCCAAATCTCAGGCTGCTATCGAAGCAACCCGTCCTCACTTCATCTCCCCTTCCTACCACTCCACTTTCCCCGCTTGTTCACCTCTACAAAATGAGCGCGTCTACAACCTCGGCTGCCAGCAGCGCAGCCACTACTACAGGAAGTAGTGGCGGCAATAATTCGGGCTCAGCGACAAGCTCGCCTCTTTTGTTCTTTGTTGCACTTGGATTCGGCGTTGTCTTCACTAACTTATGGTAAGCTCCATTGATTATGACCTCTTAACATATTCTCGTCCTAAATGACACCGTTCGTAATTGTGAAAAGTATGCGCCTTATATTAACAGCGATCTAGGATCATCGTTGGGGTGAAATATTGTTTCAGATACAACCAGCGGAATCGTCAGCTGCGCAGCGAGGAAACTGGAGAGCCTATTGACCTTGTGGCTATGCCTCGACCCCATCGAAGGCGACGCGAAAAGAAACTCATGACGATGGACGAAGTCAATGCACGCTTCCCTTTGATGAAATACAAAGTCTGGAGGTCATCGCGCGCCAATCAAGGCCTGCCTACGGAGGGTGGCATCACTGCCCCTAACAGCAGACCACAAAGCTTGAATAATGAGGGGGGCGTTATCTCTGTACCCGATGATGCTCCCGTAAATGCAATAACCTCTGCAGAAGTGGAGCATGAGGTTGTAGACCCCAACACACCCCATACGACACCCCATGCTCAAATTGAGCCACATAATCAGAATCTGGAAGAAAAAGCAACTCGATCTGCAGCTGTTTCCCGACAGGATACGGACCCACCTGTGTCCCATGAGAAATGGCAGCAAGCTGTAATCAGCGAAAATATGGATTTAGAAGACGATGAGGGAGACCATATTCGCAATGCTGTTCCACCTGAACTGCTTCCAAACCCTGGTGATTCCTGTGCGATCTGCCTCGACATAATCGAGGATGACGATGATATACGTGGACTAACCTGTGGTCATGCGTTCCATGCTTCGTGTGTCGACCCCTGGTTGACCAGCCGGCGAGCTTGCTGTCCTTTATGCAAGGCAGATTACTATGTCCCCAAGCCTCGTTCGCACGCAACTGAAGGAGCTTCTGGTACAGATCGGCAAGCGCGTCGCACTGCTTCTCGTCGCCCCGATCTTCTACCGAGACCTCCACGTCTAGCCCATTCCAGCGGCAATCAGACTTCCATTTTCAGGATGCAACTCCCTCTGTCAGGGAGGTTATTCCAGCCGACAGCCCCAGAACCTCAGTTGGAAACTGAAACCTCTGAAACTTCTCCTCGCCGACCACATTGGCCACGGCTCTTTCCAACTCGTCTTCGCGGAGCTTCCTCCCGCGGCCCTCGCGCCATGAGTGACCAGCCAGCACCTGGACACACTCGAACACCCGGTGAACTCGAAGCCAACCTTTGAATTTACATGGGCTTTTTTCAACATAGTTTTTTTGAAACCCGTATCTCTACGTGCTGCATCAACATCTGGAATGCTTGTTCAGCAGAGCCATTCTACTGTCAATTATTTGATTATACGTGTAATTTATTGATCGTTCGTCGATCAACCGAGCGGGGTGGGGGATGGAAAACTCCCGTTGACTCCCCCAAGGTATTCATGAGATGATGTCTTTCTTGTTTATTAATAGGCTCTACGCGGTGGCGCTGAGCTGCCATTTTTTGGGGGCAATAATTTTTGGTCCAGTATGTCATTTATATATTGACAACATATCAAAATGAAACTTGATCGCCGGACGCAATCCCACTACCTAGAATTGCGCAAATGTATACATACCTCGATCCGGTTCGTAAGCCCTCAAGACTCCTGATTTATTCGTTGCAATCTCCACGGTAGAGAGCCCCGCCCTTTTCTGAGCCTCCGGCTTTAGGGTGTAATCATTAATTACTCTGAGGGTATCGATAAACACATTTTGTATATGATATTCTTATATACGCAAGTACAAAAATGGGCATACTGGTACCCTTTGGCTTATAGCACTCTCTTAAGGTTTACCTCGAGATCATTAATTGCGATATTGATATAAACATGGCAAGTATCTTAATACACCAAAAATAGGGATAACCAGACAATCCTAATCAAATATGCAAGACGGGCGTTCGAAAGCTGAGATGTGCTTGTAGAGAGGGTGAATGGATAGATCAAGTGAGAAAGGACCCGAAAGTGAACGAGCCAAGAAGCAGACCAAAGAACAGAAAATGGGGGTATCAGAGGAGAGAGGGACCTATGTCTGTAGTTTAGACCCACCCACGCCAGCTCCAATCACGCTGGGCAGCTCTTGCTGGCCCATGCTGAAAAGCATTCCAATCGCGCTGCTCACCGCGAGAATAGCAAAGACACTCACGCCAGCTATTAAGAAAAACGGTGAGCTGATATCTTGTTTCTGGCATGCTGGCCCACCCCACTGAATCTTTTGCACGGTGCCATCACTCTTTTTGACTGTGGTCTGTTGGCAACGGCATGCATAACAATTGCCAGTACTGCCTTCAGTGCCGGATCCATATTTCAGGTAGCAATACCCATGTCCGGAGCAATTTTCAGTTGCTTCAGCACAAGAAGAGTTCGAAGCTTGGCAAACAGGGGCAAGGTTCGAATGTAGAGGTACGTCTTGGACAGACCTCCGCTCATGTTGTACCCCGATGGGAGCGGATTCACCATATGCTTGTGTGTCCCGCTGTAAAACCTGCCTAGGCATCTTTGAATCATTCTTTGAGGTAGTAAGGAGTACAATGGTTGCTTGCCGACCGTCTGTGGATAAGAGACTGGTTACCCCCTCGAAAATGGATTCCAGTGGTTTGAGATCAAGAATGCCGTCGCCAGATTCTGCCTATTCAAGAGCGATAATATGAGTATACGTATGCCTGTGTTGTGAATGAGGTATGCAAGTACCTTGAATGATAACCGAGAAATGATGGTTTTTTGATCCTTGGTCGCCCTTGTTTCTGCCGAATGTATCACATCAAGAACGTCGGAGTCGAAGAGGTTCTGCGAGGCAGAAAGGATGGGGTCTCTGGTGAGACACTCCCTAGCAGACTATAATCTCTGATAAGCCGCACTGCTCTCTACTCCCGATAGTTATGCTAGAACCAAGGGTAAACCTACATGGATACCGGCTGGGTTCGCTCTGCTGGCGCCCCCGTCATACAAGCAGTGTTTTTCGCCGCCATTGTTATATTCGAGTGACGCGAAGGGTTCGTCGATCAAGTTGTATGTAGCCTTGGGAATAAACAGGTTTGATGTATATCTCTGGCGCATAGTCAACCCTGGGGAGATAAAGATTTTAGCATTGGATCTCTGTAGTCAAGGTTACCAGGTATACTTACCCATGGCCTCATTGAACCCCTCAATGATTATCAGACTTTTCTCCGGGGCTTGATGATTGCTACCAAATAAAGATATTTGGTTTGGATCGGCAAATTGGTCCAGGTGGTCCAAATTAGTTTCCGTGGTCCCGAGAGCCGATGCTAGAGAGGACTCCATACGGAGTTTCAGAGCAAGTCGTGCAAAGTCCTCGGATACGGCTGTAGAGCCCGAATCCGTTAATGAACCCGGCGTGAATTTAAAAATCGAAGCTTCCATAGCATTCGTCTGAAGAGCGCCCACTGCCGCAATGGCTAGGAGCTTGGAGACACAACGCATGGCGTCAGCTTGGGTTGAGAAAGCGCTTCGACGAATATTGATTTTGAAGAGATAAACTTTGTGTTGGCTATAAGCGTTTGCAATCAGAAAACTTCCAATGTCGAGGGCAAATCGAAGCTCCCCGGTGTTGACATCCAATCCAGGAAGAGTAGTATGTATGTTGAGTTCGTGGTGCCAACTCTCGGGGAAGCCTGCGCCGCGATAAGATATCACGTGAACTGTACCCCAGCAGCCGCCCGCTTCCCAAATCCATCTCTCTCCATCATTTGATTGTATTCGAGCACAATCATACCGGTCTCTCTCAATGCTTCAGCTCAGGCATTTGTTTCGACGCCAAACTCGCCCCTTCCGCCTTCATACCGGCCATCTCCATACCGGCCCTCGTCAACAACAAGCCCCACTAACACCAATTGTTCGACATGTGAGATTCAGACGGCCTTGGCTGAGGTAAGTTATAGTTCGCATTGCATGTAGATATGACATATGTACTAATGAGTATACCTGAAGGTCTTTCTTTTCTAAGTGCCTTCTTTATGGTGCAGCCTACCAACTTTGGAGCTCTTTTGTTCTGGTCCGACTCGACGATGATACACACGACACAGATGTCTCGCTAGAGCCCACGCCTGAAACAAGTGGCTTGCGTCAAGGTTCTCGCGAAAATGAGGAATTAATGGAAGGGGAAGGAGAAATTGAGGTGCCTCTGTTCGTTCCTTTGACTTGGTCATGGTTAGAAGAAGGCGAGCTCTATGCTGCTTCCGACCCCGAATGGCAAGAGTTCGTTAAAATCTCCAAGGATCGAGCGAAACTTCAAAAATTAAGAAGTAAGTAGCTTTTGTTCCTTGAATTGTTGAAGTTTCGCTAATTATTATAGATGAGCTTGCTGCTATTGTTTTGGAAAATGCATCGGGTCAATTGTCCCAGGTTCTTGGTGGTCCGCTATCTCTCACCGGGTTTTGGTTGGTTCATCAGTTCCCTCACCGCGCTCCACCAGAATATATGCGATCTGGGTAGGTTCCATCCGGCTACATAAATGATTTCCTAATGCTAATTCCATGATTCAGAATTGAATTTGCCGATGATAGTGTAGCTTGGGTGACGAGGACCATCGATCCCGAAATCGGCGACAGATTGCAGATGTTTATGAAGCCCGTCCATTTGGCACTCGCCATAAAAGATGCATATCTGGTATTATTCAAGAGAAAACTGGCTCGCTTCCAAGGTCAATCATCTCAATCCCCTGGGTTGCCAAACAGTAATCGTGTTCTTTCCAGTGAAGATGACCTGGGCTCCGTCGTCGACCAGCATGGGCAGCCCACTCTACCACACAAATCTGAGGAGTCGTCTACCAATAGGCCACTGAACGGCAATCTTCACCCATCTCTTGTCATATCATTACTACAGCGGTTTCCTTTGCCTGATATAGGTCCCGGGTCAGACCTACACTTGGCGGCCGTTGCCTTCCGACTGCGATTAAACGAATATCAGTCTCAGTCCCATCAGACTCCTCTCCGAGGTACATTTTTTATATCTGGTCCTGTGGGCCTGAAGGGGCCGAAGGGGTTCTGCCGGCTTGAAGTACGCGGTGAATATGATCCAGCTAAACCTGGATGGCGTACAGTCCGAATGACACTGCGTGATATAAACTTCAGGAAACAGCGGCCACTTAGGGAGTAGTGATAATTGATTCAAAGAATGATTATCCTGGATATCCTACTATATAAGTATTATACAATATCAATTAATTAACATATTAATTATCCTGATCTAGCTTATCTATATATAGCTGCTAAAATAACCATTAATAACTTTCTATAGTATTTGTGATGAGGTGCCTATGATCTACTAGAATAGAGAAGAGTGCGAAGAATAACGAATAACAACGTTGAGGAAAGGGAAAGAAGAGAGAGAGCTATACTGGATATATGTAGGCGGATGCCACTCTCTAGGCCAATCATCTGATTAGTCTGTATCCGAGAGTAGGTCAAACCGTACAAACGTGCAGATAGTGCAAACATACCCGTCCCGAGTCTTCCTCCATGTAGTTATACTATAGTATTGATAAAAAGTATTAAAGTGTGAAGGGCTAAAGCAGAATTTATATCTAATTAAGCTAGGCCATATACTATATATAAAAGGCTTAAAGAGAGAATTACTAAGTAGGTATTCTATATAATAGGCTATTATAGTTATATATACTATATAACCTTATATTAGGTACTAACCTATAATAGTATCCTCTTTTTAAGATAGTCCTCTTTATATATATTATAGTTATATTTAGTTATCTTTAAGCTTATAATAGAGTTGAAACGGGGCTGAATTATCTTTTAAAGGTATTTAATATAAAGTAATCTTAAATATTGTTAAGACTCTATTAGATCTATTCTACCTAATCTATTTATTTTACTAAGGCTTTATTATAATATTCTTAATTAATTTTCTTATGTCTTATATTTATTATCTCTTCTACTTTATACTTAAGTTTCTTATTAATTAATATTAGTAGGAGATATAAATTATCTATAATCTATAATAGAAATAGATCTAAAATAACTAGTCTAACTAGTGAGATCTTTGGGTGTGAATGGGTATATATTACTAAGTTAGGGGAAATAATAGTTAATATATATACACCGGTAAACAAATATAGCAAATAGATATATCTGATCACATGCGATCAGATAACTGTAGATAGATGGTAACAGATATAGATATAGATATTACTATATATAAACAAACGTAACAGATTGTAATATATAAAATATATAGGGAGAATTAAGTAAATTTATCTTATTCTCCCCTACTTAATTAAGATCGTCTTAATCTTAAGTATTTATATAGAACGATGGTGTATAAAATACTTATAGTATGATTATATATATAGAGAATCACAAATATTTACGATTTACCTTTTTAAGAGTGCTATGTTACTTATTTTTTTGGCTATTTATAAAGTATTTTATATAATAGTATATAATAATATATCCGGCTATATAGCGGATAGTCTTATTGTATAGTATATATTATATAAGGGAATACTAGTAATATCAAGGATTATTATATAATAGTAGTATTCTAGGAGTATTAAGATAATAGAACCTTTTAAATTACCCTTCTAGTATATAAATTAATAGTCTTAGGCTTAATAATAGTCTGTTGGTTGTTTTCCGGATGGTTTTAATAATAATATAGTAAATAGTATAGAGGGAGAGGCTATAATTATAGGTTATATAGTATTTACTAAATAGTATTATGATCATCCCTTCTAGCTATATAAACACTTATATTAGCCTAAAGCCTCTTACTTAGTTTTATAAAGCTTCCTATTTATAGAGGATCTATATAAAGTATTAACCCCTCCTCTAGCTATAAGTCCTTTTTCTTTTCAACCTTCTATTATAGCTTAGTAATTAGTATTACTATTATTATTATATCATCTTTCTCTCCGGTAGTATAATTCTGTTTGTTTGCTAAAGCTTACTAATACTATCTTTATATTGTTTACTATCCTTCTTATATATTATTATATTATACTCTCTCTTCTTTTATATAATTCTCTTCCTATATTTCTCTTCTTATATATCTTATTATATCTCTTCTTTTCTAATAGGTATAATTCTAGATTCTTATAGTATTACTTAAGTTAAATATAAGCTAATATCTTATTTCTTATAGAAATATTAGATATTCTACCCCCTGATATAGATATAATTATATCCTAGAACTTTAGTATTAGATCTTAATTTATAAAAGTTATTATATATAGTAAAGGTATTAATATATTTAGTAATACCTTCCTTCTTAACTTCTAATTTACTTCTGATCTTATATTTATTACTATATTAGTTATATATAATATAGATTAGTATAATATCAATAATATTAAAGTTAATTTAAAAGGATAAAGATATATATATATTACCTAATAAATCAGGATAGCTACCTCTCTATTATATATATATTATTTAGTAGGTTATAGATCTTTTCTTTTATATATAGTTATAGTTCTTAATAATAAAGATATTATATTTAGTAGCTCTTATACTTTATATATATATAGAAATACTATAAGTAGATACTTTTTCTATTAGAATCCTCCTAAGAATCTTATTTATTTTATATAGGATACTTATCTAACCTTCTATTATTATATTTTTTGCTATTTAGTTAAAGATCTAGTTATAGAAAAGGATAATTATAGTATAGAGGAAGCTTCTTCTCCTATAATTATATTATAAAAGTATTATATTATTATCTCTATATCTTCTTTTAAAGAGACTATATCTCCTATCTCTAAGAAGCTATATATAATTATTCCTACTTTAGTAACTCTAGAGACTTTAGTTTATATTAAGTTAGTCTTTTCTTCTATACGAAAGATCTAAAAGATCTAATCTCCTTTTTTTATAGCTTTTTTTTTCTTCTCTTAGTCTAAAAGAACTTATCTATACTACTAATATTAAATATCCTAGTAACCTAGTTTATCTAGTAGATTAGTATTTTTCTTTATTAGATAACTATAATATCTACTATTATCTTAAAATTAGTAAGTTTAAGCTAATACTAGTAGTATATAATTAGCTATTTTTGGTAAAGTCTTGTTTAGTCTATAATTATATATAAATTAAGATAGTTCTAAAAAAGAATAATATTATTAATTTTTTTTATATTTTTTATATATTTTTTTTATTAAGTATAATAAAAATAAAGCTAAGTTAGAAGGAAATCCTTTTATACTTAATATAGTTAAAACTATATCTTAAGTAGTTATCCTATCTATAAAGAAAGATAATTATTATAAAAGAAAGTTAGCTCTTAAAGAAAAACTTAAAGAGTTTATAGATATTATTTATAAAGAGCCTAATCCTTTTATTTATAATAATTCTAAACTTTCTATTTATAATATTTCTAATAATAAGCTTTTATTTAGTATTTTACTTAAATCTTCTATAACTTCTTTAAGGAAGGTTATTATTAAATAATCTACTTATTATAGTTAGTTTTATAAAAATACCTCTATATAATTTATACTATCTTATATTATCTTATAATACTTTATAATATTCCTAGGAATAATTTTTAGTATTTTCTATTTATAATTTAATTATATTTTTCTTCTATATTCTTAGCTAATACTTAATAAGTCTTATATATATAATGGTTACTAAGTTATCAGGCTAGAGACCTGTGACTAGGCAAGGATATCGGATAGTAGAGATCAAATAGAACAGTTGATATACAGAACTGATTCTTGCAGGACAAGAATCATAGCTATTGTTCGTGCGTTTTAATATTACTAGAGCTTGCTAGGGCTTAGGGCAGTCATACATTAGCGGGTATATTATAGTAGATTCGCCCGCGGAGCAGCTATAAATTGTACCCGAATCGTGCCCGAAGGGATTCAGGAATCCCGTAATAATTCATCCTCCCCTTTCAATAATGGTCGACTCAACCATCTGTACAACTTTATATTTAATTGGGAGATTTGTATCTAGTAGTATTATATTAAACAAAGATTCTAGGACTAATACTACCTTAGGTGTCTTTATATATAGATACAAACAAAATAATATAGGTTCTTTAATATCTTTAAGATAAGAGCTTCTCTCCTATCTTTTTAACTCTTATCTTTTCTCTTTTCTCAGCTCTTAATTCTCGACTCTCTATCTTCTCACTCTCTACTTTCATCTTATTTCATTTTAATATATCTAAGACTACTACTTCTAGTATTTTTAGTAATCCTCCTCGCTACAATAGTTATTATATAACTAGAGATAAAGGTCAGGCTGGAGATAGAGATAATAATAATAGTAATAGAGATAATAGGATTAATAAGAGTAATAGGAGTATTACTAGTACTTCTACTAGCTTATACCCTCTTTATGATTAAATTGTTTACCCTTCCTTTACATTCTATATCAGATATATCGCTAAAATAGCTCTTTACCCTCCTAAGGATACTATTCCTGAGATCTATTATAACTAGGATTATATAAACTTGATTACTTATATTTTATATAAAGAGTATAGTAAAAATTACTTTTAAGTAAGGTTCTTCTCTAAGTTATATTCGATTTAGTACTAATTTATCTTAGATACCTTATAGAATTTATAACAATTTATATTAGCTTTAGTTAATCCTTAACTAGATATATAAAGTTTAAAGTAATAATACTACTATAGTAGTTATTAGTAGTACTATACCTATCTAGAATAAGGAAAGTAAAGCTATAGCTATAGGAGGATCTACTCGTCTCCTAGTATCTTTCTAAAAGATAATCTCTATTTATCTTTCTGGTTATAAGCTCCATTTCAATTCGCGGAATATAGACTAAGCTATAGGAGTATATACTATATTTATTACTAAGCGACAGAAGGAGTTAAATATTAAGGCTAATTTATCTCCTACTCAGCCTTCTTACTATCCTAATAATCTTTTATATCTATAGATTAGCAATACTAGTTTTACTCTCTAATAGAGTAGTATTTAATCCTTTTTTATAGAGGTTATAGTAGGATATTAGTATAATATAACTCCAATTAGGATTACTTTAACTCTAGCTATAATAGCAATAATTACTAATATTAAGGTACTTACGGCTTAGTATAGAATTCCATAATAATTTATTATTTTTGCCTTACTTATCCTTCCCTTTTTTGACTAAACAGCCTTA